AAACTTCCTGTTGGTGTTGCCTTGTCCATGAGACTAGTCAATTCCTGGTGTCTGAGAGCTTGTTCAGAGACTTTCTGCTATACACAGTCAGGAAGGTCGCAAGTCCGCGGAAAAACTGAGTGCAAGTGACATCGAGGTAAGGCTCATCCAAGTCCTCCGTAGCGTAAAGCATACCAGAGGACTTGCATTTTCGTTGGACACAGGTCTTCTATTATAGCAATTCTGAAGCCTGCGAGTTCTGTAGGTAATCACTATCTATTAGATTAGCAGATAAAGGAGATAGAATGATGAATAAGTACATCGACGATAGTGATCAACCGATAGAGGCGTTCGGGGATCGACATTCTGAAACAGTTTGACATCGGCATTCACTAGTGGCGACTGGAGCCCTTTGGGTCCTCATCGCCAGGCACATCTGATAATCATCTCCAGATTAAGCAATCAACTCCAACAAACTCATGTCTCCCAGACTACCAGTGGCATCCACGGAGCATAATGCTTTATGCTTCAACTTCATCGAACGTCCATCTGGCAGCTGCACGAGTGTAAATCCATGTGTTCCACACGGCAGATCGTCAAGGATTGGCGATTCTTCAGTGTCGAGTACCTCATAGAATAGGAGACTGCCTAGTACGGAGTATCTACATCGAGATTCAATCCAAAAAGGGTATAACTACAGAGCACTGCAGGACACGGAGTACCTTCCTTTGTTTTGGTTGACAGGTCTAGCCAGTCCTGACTCCTGAATCTTGCCGAAGAAGCCTCCTTTTCATCGACCATTGTCCACTCACCAAATGTCTACCCTTTAAAGAGAAATGGATGCCGAGAGCGGAAAACACTTCTCGAGGAATTTGGAATGGTCCCCGAGGAGGCGAAGACATCCAGATGGTGCCAACGCCAAGATTCATGGACTTGAAGAACGTTGACTAGATTTTCCAATGAAAGTGTTCTTTTGCGATATTGGGCGTAGTGTGCCGAAAAGTGCAGAGGAACTGGAAACTGGGAACTACTTACCCGCAAAATAATGGAGTATGTACTACAGTACTATATCCATAGCTCCGTCCCAGGTACAAACCATTGATGTGGTTCTTCCCGCGTGTTATCTGTTCCAAGGTACTGTCAAACAATGATCCATCCAGATACTTGATTCCACAAGTTCAATATCTAATTGCCAGCGACCTCGGTCGTAAAAGAAATTTGAAAGAAAGGAAAACAGGATACGAATTAGAATCCTTTGGCTTGCTAGCATTTAAGAAATAGATTGATTATGTTGTACACTGTAAGTAGAATAATGATTATTGGAAGGGAAAAAAAAAAAACAGCTATTTCTTGATTATTCTAAATCAATAGGCTGAGAACCAATCAACGGCTGAAGCTTGCAGATCCACACACATGGTTTAACATTCATGGTCTTAGATAAAGCCCGTACTTACTAGCCAAAGGGACCCACTCCAACTAATCACACTGCATTATCATTTTTGGGTTCGACTTTTTCTTTTTTTCATTTTGTCATTTTCATTTTTGTTTTCCAATCTGAATAATTAACTCCCAAAAAAACAGGGGTGGCATGCAGCCACTGCAGCCAAGCTCCCCCAGAGACGGCAGATAGTCGATAGCCGAGCTTGGCATTCAAAGCATCAACCAATAAGATCAATGGTGCCACATGAGCTGACGCGTGCACATCCTGAAGCTTTCCTGCTTTTGGCATGTCAGTCTCTGTTTAGGTATGAGGGACTCGAGAGGTGTGCCATGGGTATGACTGATGAAATCATGGAAGCGCCCAGTTTCATGAGTTTCTGAGTCAAGAACGAGATATCGATCATTCATTTGTCTCAGCCTCATCTACATATAAAATGTAAACAAACATCTGAATGCAAGGATTTACAGGAACATGGAGCAATATCGAGTGATGAGCGTTCAACCTGAGACCCAGTGCATACAACAAGGGTTCTCACTTTTCAGAGATGAGATTGCTGCAGAAATACTCAAAGCTGGCCCATCATTTGTGACATGAACCCCGCAGAGCCCATTTGCCTTGACCAACTGCGTGCGATGCTGATTGCTGTCTGATCCCCACCAATACTGCCATATTTAGGGTGTCGCGGCTAGGAGAAGTTAGCAGCATTTTGAAACGCGCCGACTGGCCTCTCAGCCCTTTAGAAAGTTGAACTTTCTAGCATCCACTTGTTCAGTGACTTTGGGCGATTTTGAGTTTTAGAGTTGGGCTTGTTCCGCGATGGGGGTTTACCGTTCTAGTTACCATTGCGAGGTTTGCACCACAAGCTTATCGGTTATCTATCTGTCTAAAACCGGTAGACCGGGCTTCCCTGAATCCTTGGGTGGCCAAATGGGTATCCAAGTTTGAAGTCAGCCATGTTAATAACAACTAAAACAGAACGGTTCACATGGGATAAGACCATAAGAGACTTGTGAGTTACTAGCAGTTCCCGAGTATAACGTATAGCCTACAGATTCTGTAAGCACTTCGCTGCATTTACACTCTGATCCTGGTAGCGTACAGACTCCGACCGCGGTATTCATGTCTCAACGACCATTCAGGTGTAGAGGATGAGTATCCCCTTTTTTAATTTTTTTTTTTTTTTTTTTTTTTTTTTTTGTAGACTACTCAGCCTCCATCTAATCATATCGAGCCTCGAGGTAGAGGTTTACTAATTACTATATCAGAGACAAACCCTCGGTCAAGAACAAGCTTCTCAAAACAGTCCTCGGCAGCAAATTGAGGCAAGATAGTGGGACAGGGGGGTTTCTTGGCCTATGTCATTGGTTGGATGGCCTCATTGACATTTTGATGCTCCGACGTTGGGCATGTGCTCGTCGTTTTAGTATGCTTGTTTGGAGGTTTCCGGGATAATACTGCTCTAGTTAGTAGTTAGCTCGGCACACCGAAGCATGAGCACAGTTTCTGGGGAGCAACGATACCGCATAACCTACCGAATTGGCACCAGAAGCATTACGAGACAGTAACCTGATCTTCCTACTCGACACGAAGACGGCGGTTTGAAGTCCAAACAGCTTCAACTGGTAGCACAGAAAACATCTAGGAACGGACGACGGAAATAAATTCCAAGGGCCTCGTCCAACCACTGGCTGCCAAAGGAGAAATACAGGAGAAACTACGGACGAGTTTCAGGGCAGGATCATGCAAGGTCAAGGCATGCGTGTACTGTGTATGTCTTATGCCAATAACAAGACTCAAATCTCCCAAATTGCATTGAAGTGGTCGCGCATTGCTGCTTTGGGGAGTAGTACTCCGGACATACAACGGGAATGAGACTTGACCACTCAAGTCCGCTTGAGAGAATGAATACGTATACTCTTTCTCTGCCGAAGTCGCATCACGAACCCACAGGTACAGATGACCCTTCTCCCGTCCGTCATCGTAGGAAACTGGTAATGAGTTGACTAGTTAGTCCCTGCCTCCCTGGCCCCTGCTTAGCTTGACTCCTCTTCCCTTCAGACCATGGGCGGTTCAGAGCCATATCTGAGTAGTGAGCGACAGGGGGTGATGGATCCTCTCTCTCTCCCAATCATGACGATTTCGAACCATTCAGGATCCTGATCACGTACGGAGTATCCAACAGCGTGCGCTGCAATATGGAGAACGGATTTGACGGAGTATGCATAAGCCGTACTCTGCAAGCTGTACTCCGCAAGCCCAAGGGTCCTCACCCGCTAATTGTCTCGCACGCGGTAAGGCGTTAAAGAGGGCTTTTCATGTTCCAAAGTTATGTTCAACTTTGAAGCTGTGAACCCTCCACCCCCCCTTTTTTTTTTTTTTTTTTTTTTTTTTTGAGTTTCTCCATCAAGCCAGACGCTCGAGCCTCATCACCTCGTTCCGGAATGGGCTGTCCACCTGTTCGATTGGGCCAAGGGTTCTGTGACGGGATGCCCAATGAGTGCACCTTCAAATGAGAACCCCCGATGATGGCAATGGACCCCGAAACAGAGAGGCCGCCAAGGCTTCAGGCCCGCACATGACAAAAGCGGTGGGGAAAGGCTTACGCGGCACATACTCAGCGGCCTGTGTTATGATTGCTTGGCACCGGGGCCAGTGGCAAAATGGTGTTGACCAGTTGATAGGTTGAACAAGAAAAAAAGCCATGACGGTGTTGGCAGGGGGTTGGATCTTGGCAAGTAATGGGTCCTGGTTTGTGAAGGCATGTCATTGTTGGGGTGTACAACTATACATGACGGTGTATCTATGTTGGAGAAGGCGAAGCAACTGCTGTTGAAAGGTCGTCATGTCCTGGAGGTTATGGAAAGGTACTCTGTAATTGATGAGCAGATAGCCCTAGAGACCTCAAAGTCCACAAAACCGATATGATGCTAGGTTCGGACATATCTCCCTGCCTGTTGCCTGCTGGTCAAGAAGAGTAAGTCATTGACTAGGCAAACAGTACGAGTATTCAAAGAAAGAGCTCAGTACCAGACGGTCGACATCGTCTCTCGAAACTCAAGCGTTTTCCCTGCTATCATGGAGACTAATCCTCCCGTTGCAAGGAATGGAACATCAGGAAAGAGCTATGATGACCGGTCCCTGCTAAGGGTTATCGAGTGTAACATCATTCAATGATTGAGGACAAGACAAAGGCACATCCATGGATTCGAAATATCAGCCGGGCTTGAAGATAATCTCTGCTGATGTATGCGGATGGTAGTAGATACTATCATGGGTCGCGGCCGCAATTGTCAGACTGCACCATGCCCTTTACTCAAGGTAGAAATCACATTTGTTCACTCTATTGATCAATTCTTGATCAGATATTATTCAGATATACAAGTTCGATTCAAAATGCCGATATCGATGCTGGACTGACAGGGGTCGAACGGAAGTCACCACAGAGATTGAGCCGACAACGCCGAGGATGGAATATAAAGGTATGCACAGAAAATGACCAAGTCGGAAGGTCGACAGCACCAGGCAGCCTACACATTCCATTCGCCTGATTCGAAGGTCGACAACCAAGTTGACGGTTGACTCAGTTGATACGATCCAACTTGGCCCGGTTCATGGCGATCTGATCGTCGACGAAATCGCTCTAAGTAAAGTTAGCAGCAGATCGGATGATGATCAAGGACAAAAAGCAAACTCACCTTGCCCATGATCCGTTCCAGATGCTTGTTTTGCTCGTCGAGTTCGCGGCCGGTAGCACGAGCAAGTCCATTCAAACGGCCTGCGGCACCAGATAAGAGGTCCAGATTCTGCTCAATCTCGTCCTCCATAGCCTCATCCTCGCTATCCGCCTCAAACTGGTACTTGGCACGTTCGGTAACATTCGCTCTGTGTTTGGTGTGCGATTTTCCGGCTTCTCTATCGATCTCCCGGAACGTGCGCTCCATTCGTTGGTTGGTCTGAAATGCTTCTTTGCGCGTGCCCTCCCGAGTCGCTCGCTCGGCGCGGTGCGTTTCGATAATCTTCTCGTCCCGCTCCCGTCGTCGTCTGGAGCTGGTGAAGGGGTTTGAAACGTGGACTGCGAACATGCTCTTGTTAAGCGTCTTCAGTTCCTTGGCCTTTTCCTCCGCTAGTCGACCTTCGATAGTCGCAACATCAAGAGCCTTTTCCGTATCATGGATTCGCTCGCCCTGGGCTCCTAGACGAGCGAGAGTTTCGCGACCGGTTTCCTCAGCTTGCGCGGCGACTCGGAGAGCATTGCGGGTGGACGCAACGTCACCCTGCTTGATGAATCGCATTTCTTGCTTAATACCTTGGATCTCCTCCTCCTCCTCTTCCTCTGCGGTGAGGTTCCTTTCTTGATAGGTGGATGTGTTGTACTCATTGCTTCCACCTCCGTAAACATTGTTGGGTTCCGAATACGGGGGGGGAGGTCCGTTCTGCTGCTGCTGTTGCATACGGTCCCTCGCGCCTCCGAAAAGTGCGTCCCTGTCTTCCGCCGCGGGATCATTTGGATCGGTGCTGCCTAATCCTCCATAGCCACCAGGGCCGTATCGCGAGGTCGAAGCGCCGCCACCGCTACCGAAACGATCATTGCCGTATCCGCCTTGGTTGCCGTATTGATTGGGTGCGTAGCCCTGGACCTTATGATCACCGGGAATACCACCTGCAGGAGGTCCAGAGGGAGCACGTCCGGAAGGTCCCTTCATCGAGCCTGATCCAGTAGACTGTTCGGAAGGTGGAAGAGGCGCTACTCCAGCGTTCATCTTGGCTCTAGTATATGGATCCACCGGAATCGGCTTTGCATAGGGATTCGTGGGCGGAGCGGGACTCTTGCTCTTGGATCGAGATCCAAAAAGTGCACGGCGGTTGGACGAGTCATCGTCACCGTCGCCAGACTTCTTGAATAAGCCCATTATGTCTAGTCAAGGGTGGGTATGGATTGAAGGGGTATCAAATGCAAAGACAGAAAAAGGCAACAAGAGCACCTAAAGGAAATGGACAGGGGAACAGGACAATAGAAAATATGGGTGAAAAGTAGTGGGAATAAGGACAGAAAGTTGTGAACCTGACACGTTCAGGGGAGTTTCATCGAAATAGATTGAGGGGGAGGTTCGAGACTCGGAGGCGGAGGTAACAGCATTACGATAATACGTGGAGAGGCTGAGAATTCTCCTGCCGATATGGAGCGTATGTTTGTATGAAAAGGTATTGTGGCTGAAGGAATGGCTGTGTAGCGCTCTAATACAAAGGCGGTTAGTTTAGATGGCTGAGCACCTTTGACATCTCCTCCAGCGCGCTGGGAACATCCTCCCAGCTCCTGTACTTCACCTTCTTCCAATTGCCGCCAAGTCCATCACACCTGGGAGCGCTTCGCAGAAACCATGGCGCCGTATCCAGGGTCTGATGCTGACTATCTTAAGGATAAGGCGCGCAGGGAGTTGTTGACCCTTCTCGAAGGCGTGAGTAAGGCTCCTGGTCTTCTCCAAACGCTGGACATGAGCTAAATCATAACCTCGTGCAGGTGCGTGGTAAGAAAAACCTTGTCATCGGCCAGGACCTGGCAGGTCCAGTTGGATTGTTCGTCAAATTCTCTCAACTTCAAGAGTACGGCGTAGATCGAGTCTTCCTGCTCGAAAATGCCAATGTCGATTCGTCCCAGCGCAATATTGTATTCCTAGTTCATGCCGAGAAGATACGCCAGGTGCGTACAGCAGCAGGTACGTCATCTCTCGTGCCGTCTAATATGGATATTTGTCACCTGTAAACCTTTGCCTGCATGCAATTTGGCTTGATTCTTCTGTGGGCTCGAGCCATATGGGACATCAGTATATTACGCAGAATTATTTTATCACTCTACGTAACCAGTCGAGTTCCCTACATCAGAACTTCAAGTCTTCTTCATGAAGACAGCCTATGAAGCTCATCTCTAAGGCTTTCTTTCTCTTCATTTGCTCGATTGAATGCCATCAGTGTGAGCTGACATTTCTCTTTAGAACAAATCAAGCGTTTACAACAGAACGGCAATGTTGAGCATGAATTCTCCATATTCTGGGTGCCCAGGCGGACCTTCGTAAGCAATAAGATTCTGGAAGAAGCGGGAATCATTGGCGATGTCAATATCGCTGAGCTTCCCTTATACTTCATCCCCTTGGAGCAAGACATCCTGTCTCTCGAGCTGGAAGATTCCTTCAGCGACCTTTACTTGGTATGTTTCCAGTAAGGAATCATTTTCATGGAGCATTCAGCTTATCATCCTTTAGCATAAAGATCCAGGCTGCATATTCCTCGCCGCCAAGGCTCTGATGGATATCCAACAGAGACAGGGTTATTTCCCACGGATCATCGGCAAGGGTGATCATGCACGTCGACTTGCAGATCTTATATTACGGATGAGAAAGGAGCTTGATGCCGAAGAAAGCTCCGGCTTGGCTGATCACTCGTCCAGAGGACTCCTCCCCAGCGCAAGCACTGAGAGTCTGATCATTATCGATCGAGAGGTGGACTTCGGCACCCCTCTTCTCACACAACTTACCTATGAGGGATTAATAGATGAGTTTGTTGGCATCAAAAATAATCAAGCAGACGTGGACACGGCCATCGTCGGAGCCAACCCTGCCCCACAAGCCCAGGAATCTTCCAAGGCACCTCAGCAGACTTTGAAACATGGTCAGAAGCGCAAGATCCAGTTAGACTCCTCTGATCAGTTATTCAGTCAACTGCGTGATGTCAACTTCGCCATAGTCGGCGATCTTCTGAACAAGGTGGCACGGCGCCTTGAAAACGACTATGAGAGCCGCCACACAGCAAAGACAACTTCAGAGCTTCGTGAGTTTGTGAGTAAACTACCAACTTATCAATTAGAACATCAAAGTCTTCGGGTCCACACCAATCTCGCTGAAGAAATTATGAGAAATACGCGCTCTGATATCTTCCGCAAAATTCTCGAAGTACAACAGAACAATGCTGCGGGCACAGACCCAACGTACCAGCACGCAGCCATAGAAGAGCTGATTGCTCGGGATGTGCCCCTGAAGACTGTCCTTCGCTTATTGTGCCTGGAATCATGCATGCTGGGTGGCCTCCGTCCCCGCGACTTGGAGAACTTCAAGAGGCAGATTGTCCACGCATATGGACATCAACATCTGCTGACTTTCTGTGCATTGGAGAAAATGGAGCTTCTACAGCCACGGTCATCGGCCACCACTATGCTGATTCCCACGAATGGCGCACAGGCAGGTTCTAAAACAAACTACAACTACTTGCGAAAGAATCTACGCCTTGTAGTGGAGGAGGTCAGCGAAAAGGATCCCAACGACATCGCTTATGTGTACAGTGGCTTCGCACCTCTCAGCATCCGCTTGGTCCAGTGCGTGTTACAGAAACCTTACGTCTTTTCCCTCATCAAGGGTGGTTCTGCCCCTGCCACCGCCAGCCCCGCCAGTGCCGCCTCCCCCGGATGGCTTGGTTTCGAGGAAGTAGTCAAGAGCGCCCGCGGCGCGACTTTCAGCATCGTCCAGAAGGGCGACGATAAAGCAGTTCGTGCACGGCAGACACTCAGCGGCAACAACACCACCAAGACCGTGTATGTTTTCCTTCTGGGTGGAGCGACCTTTACGGAGATTGCGGCGCTGCGATTCATTGCAGCGCAGGAAGCTCCACGGCGGAAGATTGTCATCTGCACGACGAGCATAATCAATGGCGATCGGATGATGGAGGCTGCAATTGAGAAGGGGAGTTTTGCAAAGACGGAGTGATTTTGGTACTGTGGTAGCCCAGGCTCTTGCATCTCCCTCAGGCGTCTTTCTCAACCTTTTAGTAACCCTGTCAACGTGACCATGATATATTATGATCGTAAATAATCAAGAGCTCAACCTATTAGAGTGTGTGAATTGCACACTAAATTACTGCACTCTATTCTATCGCGTATACTGGAATACTTCAGCTAAAGCAGAAACTATACATGGACTTTGGATTAGATTGATCAAGTGGTTTGACCGATGCTGTGTCACGAAAATGAATCCGTTTGTTTGTCAGTCGAAACTTGCTAATGCGAGATATATAAGGAACACCAGAGATTCCTCAACACATCGCACAATTACATGTTATGTTCTCATGAGAAGAAGAGTACTGTGAACGACTATGAGAGTGTTGAAGTTCTAGAAAATGTACTGACACTAATATGCGAATCCGGAATTAACACCCATCAACCGTCCTTGGTATCGCTCTATCACTTCACCGAGTTTAACCATGACTCCAGCAGCCAAGGTTCTTACCTGTTCCCGGGGGTCATTGGGTCCCTGTGCTGCGGGAGTTCGATCAAAAATAGAGCCAGCCCACTCGCGCAGCTCGATGACCTGAGTCGCAAACTCAGTGACTAGTCGTTGTTCGCCAGAGGAGCCGGAAGCAACATTCAAATCCACTAATGCGAGAAAGAGAGAAAGGAGTGCGGAGATAATGGTAGGTTCGTCTGAGAATGGTCGGGTGTAGAGTGAAAGAAGAAAACTCAATGTTTCCTGGGTGAGGTTCGGAAGGTATGTGTTGTGAGGACCCATGGCAGACAGGATGAGTGTGAGTGTTTGAATGAAGAGGCAGAGAATATGGGGTATGAGGAAAGGATTATAGGAGGGTGCGGTTGAACTGATGGTGTGAAAGCTGCGTCAGGCCTTTTTCGTTAAATCTATATAACAGGAGTTTGGTACTTACGAAGAGAACTGCATCATCATCATGCCGAAACGGCCTGTGAGTGGATAGAAAAAGCCCTCAGACAGGATTTTGTGGAGGTCCTTGACTGTCGCGTTTTGCCGCTGCGCATCTCGTTGCTGGCGTTTCTTTTCAACTTCCATTCGAGAAGAAAAGGTTCGCACCTTGAGTGCGTTTGGACCAGCAGCCGTATCTGCTGCCTGGGCTGCGAGTGGTTCGAGGGACGTTTGAGCAATTCTCTTCGTGAGACTGGCGACAGGAGACTCATCGGTGAGATATAAGGATTCCACATTGCCCGGTAGTCTATTGGATGGGAAGGAAGTATCAGGCATTGTCGGGAGCCCAAGCATGCGTGCATCTTCGTCGCCGTTTCCTGCCAATTGGCGAGCACTAAGACCTAAGGCTGTGAGAACCGCAGATCTCTGGGTCTGTGACAAATCTCCATCGAAGAATATCGCCGCAAACCAGCGTCCCATCTTCATAGGTTGTGACACAATCAGAGCAATCATACTTTGCAACCGATATTCCTGGAATTTTGGGAGCTTGATTTGCTCCTGCAATCCCACTAGAATAAGGGCTAACTCCTCACTATTCTCAGCCAGCTCGGTACCGAAGCCGGTCTTACGTCGAATCAATGCCGGTGCGGTACTAACGGCTAGCTGAAATTTCTCAGGATTCTCCTCCGTATCGCGTAACCCGGCAATCAAATCACGGATGTACCTAACTGCAGTAAGTATGTTTTGATGCATGTAGCGCAACGCTGTCTTGTCAACTTACACTGGCGGTGTCGGTTTTTTGCGCTGTATCAAAGTCGGGTCTTCGTCGGAGTCTGACGGATCAGCATCCGGTTTCTCGTAGGGTATCAGATCCTCATCCTCCTCGTCTTCGCCATTCTCAGAGTCCTCTATCTCTTCTATTGACATAACCTTGACAGGTTGCGGATGAAATGTTTTTACACCTGAAGTCTGTGAAGAGGTTTCCCTAGTAGACGACCGTGAGGTTGAAGACCGTTCTTTCGGTGACTTGATATCTTCAAGACATCCAATTCGGTCTGCCTTCTTAGTAAGTCCAAGATACCATGATGCTTCGTCACTTTCCATTTCTTCAAGATCAAATTTCATGGCCTTTCCTGGCTCTTCAATGAGCTGTGAGATCGCAGTACCGATCACCATCCCAAGAAAGCGTGCTCTGGGTGAAGCAGCTGCCAAATGATTGGAAACGGTATTCAGAAAGACACTTGAGCGTCCGATCCGTTTTACAATCATGACATCAAGCCGTGCAAGGGACCCGGCAGTCAATAGAACGACCTGCGTATTGGCTGACAAATATTAGCACAATTGACTATTTTGTATACCGGGTGAACGGCGCCTAAGCAGTACCTTCTTGACTTTTCATTGCGGCATGTTTAATATAGAATTTATCGCCACTCTCTTCAAGGCTTTTCGAGAGTAATACTTCCAGAATATCTAGAAATGATGTCAGTTGATCCTCAGAGACACAGCGCGTAATTTACCTTTTTGATCGGCAAAAGTCGCCAACAGCGCACGGCGCAAGCCAGACGTCTGAATAGAGCCCCCGCGACCTTTCGAAAGCCAGTCTATCAGCTGATGTTGAATCTGTGGCCGCTCGGAAATGACAATTGAGCACAAGGCCGCGACTCCCTGAATAATCTTATCAGAAGCATCGGCAAAATCCATGTGAGACACTTCGTCCGCAAAATACTTCTTCTGCACATCGCGTAAGATAGAGTCCAGAAATGATAGCTGCTCTGTCGGTCGAAGGTGGTCAAAAAGAGAGCCAAAATTGTTTGGCATGGATTGATCTACGAGAAGACCTGCGTAGATTTCCCTCACCAACTGATCTACTACCAAGTTAGCCGTCATGTGCTGAAATAGGCAAAAGATTAAAGGTATTAACCTGTATAGCCAATGCTCAATGCCCGTCCGGTCAAAGAGGCAACTGCTTTCGACCAAGCCTGATTATTGAGATCAGGTTTCATTACCATATGGCATATATTTGCCCCTAGCCAGGAAGCATAATGCGTTCCTTCACCAAGCCAGGAGGATTTATTAATGTCATCCACATCTTTGATCAACATAAGTGCCTCTGCAGCAGTAAGAAGAACTTTACTGGCCGCAAGAAGAGTAATGACTTCCCTCCAAGCAAGCTGCTTTTGGGTTTCATTAGAGTAGAGGACATTAATATCTGCATAAAGACGCAGGATAAAATCTTTTGGTTCCAATAAGGCAGAGATGATCGACAGTATTTCTCGGAAGCGAATAGAATCGCTTGATCCCTTCGCCTTCTGAGATCCTGAACGACTGCCCATGATCAGAGATCGAAGCTGAGTGACCAAGCAACTCAGGCCAGGAACACTGCTGAAGCATCTCAAAAGCATCCCCCGTAGCTTACTATTTCCATTTCGTGGTCCCTGAATGGATTCCCAATGGTCAGGGATTGTAATACTGACCAGGACATTGAGGACCTGAGCTGTATTTGGGCTTGGGACCCTGATGTCGAAAGTTTTAGGTGCACTTTTCTTCTTTGCAGGGTCAAGAGCAGCAAGCACATAAGACAGATGTATGTCGTCGGGCTTTGACTTCAGCACCGCCAGTATATGATCCAACGATGTTGCATCGATTTGTAGCTCAGGTTCCGAGGAACTGCTATGGGCAGAGTCTTCCGTAGCAGGCGACAGAAAAGAATTCGAATCACCAGTGGTGGTCTTGACAGCCGTCAGAAGCCCCTCCATCGTCGATACTAAACTCTGCTTCAGAGAAACTAAGAATATTGTCTGATGAATATGAGTGGCAGTGAGAGGAAACTGGAGTTTGTATGAAGTGGCCAGGTCACGTGCAGGCGGCCAGTCGTGGGACCAGTTATGATGCAGTCGACAGCGAATGCAGTTGGCATCTCCTATCAACATTTTGCAACAAACGGGTTCATTTACTTATTGCATCATAGAACAGAGATAGGTTCTTTTTATTGCGCTCCAACATTGGCCAGCCGCTTGAGGCCAGCGACACAAGAGGGTGAAGCTGTTGACACACAGTGTGGGCTACCTAATCCATAGACTGACACTTGCTTCGCAACCGCTTTTCTGGAGTAGGAAGTCTCAGACAACATTCTCTAGATCATGGCATCTCTTGACCCCACTGCTCGATGGTAGATTTTCTTGGTTCATGAATGATGACAACCATTGCTGACACTGGAGTAGGAGGTATCTTTACAAAGTCCTGACCAAGGATGGTCCATTCACCGATGGAGATTGGGTTCCCGGTCCGGAGACAATAAGTGCTTTGGAATCATCCAAGATCTTGTTTGTGATTATTCAGATGAATCTACGATCAAATTGCTAATTTGAGTCCAGGGTTATGTCAGTGACGTGGGTTGGCACCAACATGGAATCGGATTGCTGACATGTTCCTTACAGAGGCGCTGGTGGATTAGGATGCGAGATTCTTAAGAATCTCGCCCTGTCAGGCTTCAAGGACATCCATGTCATAGACATGGGTAAGTCTCACACTGTCTCTTAATATCACCCTAGATGTTGGTCTGACTGAAGCAGATACCATTGACATCTCCAATCTTAACCGACAGTTTCTGTTCCGCCAGTCAGACATTGGCAAACCCAAAGCCGAGGTCGCTGCAGCATTCGTAGAAAAGCGAGTCAAGGGAGTTAAGATTACGCCCTATGTAGGGAAGATCCAGGACAAAGATGAAGACTACTACATGCAATTCAAAATCATTGTCTGTGGTCTTGACAGTATCGAAGCTCGACGATGGATCAATGCCACTCTTATCGGGATGGTCGACCCTGAGAACCCGGAAAGCCTCAAACCTCTGATTGATGGCGGGACAGAAGGTAAGGCGACTTCGGTCTTAATGCCATATCATAAATTCATCGTTCTAATAATGAGCAGGATTCAAGGGCCAGGCCCGAGTGATTCTTCCTACAATCTCTTCTTGCATCGAGTGCCAACTAGATATGCATGCCCCTCGACCGGCCGTTCCGCTGTGCACAATTGCAACTATTCCCAGGCAGCCCCAACACTGCATTGAATGGGCTCACCAGATAGCCTGGCAAGAAAAACGTAAGGACGATGCCTTCGACAGCGACGACATGGAGCATATATCCTGGGTATACAACGCTGCCCTCAAAAGAGCGCAACAATTCCACATCCACGGTGTCACGTTCCAGATGACCCAAGGCGTTGTCAAGAACATTATTCCCGCCATTGCCTCCACGAACGCCGTCATCGCAGCCTCTACTACTTCCGAGGCGCTGAAGATCGCTACCTCCTGCAACCCGTATCTGGAGAACTACATGATGTACGCTGGTGAAGAGGGTGTCTACACATATACCTTCGAGGCAGAGCAGAAACCGGACTGTCCTGTCTGTGGCAGTCTGGCGCGGAAATTAACCGTGGATCCGAATATGACACTCGAAGAATTCATCGAGAGTCTCGGAGAGCGAGCCGAGGCTCAGGTTAAGAAGCCCAGTATGAGAACGGAAGAGAAGACGCTGTACCAGCGCTTCCCTCCGCAGCTGGAAGAGCAGACTAGAAGCAATTTGAAGCTCAAGCTGAAGGACTTGGTGGAAAACGGTCAGGAAATCGCTGTCAGCGACCCTGCCTATACGATTGACTTCCGCTACCGATTGATTTTCAAATGATGCCGTATCGACCGAAATCACTGGGTTTGAGCCCTCGGCGTCATGAGACATGATAGCGTTACGACAAGTAAGCGATTGATCACTTTGTTTAGAGAGACCCAGCATTATTTGAGAAAACCAAAGCTGCATTTTCCATATCTGAAGAAGATCCCTACCCAGACTCCTAACATTGTAAAGGAGGATTTGACCAACTTTTTCGTAGATGCACGAGAAGCACAAGGACAGCAGAATCGAACGCCGGCTAATGCATTATATACTTCAAGAATCGTTCTGAAAGACCATATGAGAGTGAAGCTCCCATTTATTACCGCATGAGATCGGTCAAGCCTCGCTTCCATCTCGCACACTTCAATTTCAGCACCTTGACGCTCTCAAGGAAGAGATAGTCGCTTTCAAATTGGCCAGTGCTCTCAACGTTGAAGATGAAGTGATCCCGGATACGGCCAAGCTTGACCTTGCCTTGGAACTCCTCATGTCGCAGACACTCCCTGCTGACGGTGTCGTTGAAGGGATCGCGGACGACAGCCTTCAGCTCACCGGCGTGGCCTTCATACTCGCTTCCCTTCTGGGCGGCCTCCGTGGAGGTGACGGGCTCAAGCTCAATGACTCCCTTGGGGAAGCACTTGGCGAACTTCTTGGCATCATCGCCGATAATGGGACGGAGAATCTTGATGTCTGGCATGAGGCGATAGGACGCCGTGGCCACTGGAGAAAATTTGGCATGATCGGCACCAATTCCTTTGATGCAGTGCAACTCCATATCGATCTTCTGTCCGGGGCGTAGCTTCGCGACCAAAATATCGGGGTTCACGGGTTGAATGGCGCCATCGCCGGTGAAGAATTGCTCTTGACGTCCGACGGGGTGGTAGGTGATATCCTTAGCATAGACGTGTGCGTTCTTGTAAAGTTTGCGCGGGTCGTCCTCGCCTGGAGCGGCGTTCGGGTTCTCGGCGCATTCAACGTCTAGACGCAACACAATGGTATTGTAGTCTGCGGGGTTGCTGCCGGAATCGGGGTCTTCCTCGGTAGGCTTCTTGAACCAGCGCATCCAGTTGAGGCCTTCCACAGAGCCTTTCAGAGGAATGAGACCCAGTCGCGATGCGAGGACCTCGTCTTGAATGACGGAGGTGTTGTTATGAACGAAAACGTACTCGATGGCAAGGGTCGGTACCTCGGCCATCAGGATTCGGCGGAAAGCGTTTGCGATAGAAGGATCGACTCCGATCAGCGAGAAGGAGGATTCGAATGGGTCGTTGCGATGGAACTCAACTCGGAAGCCCTACAGATCATAAGTGTGAGCTGACGGGAGACTTGTGTTGGGCAAGATAGACTAGAAATCCGCTTGCACGTACATCTTTGAACTTCTCCAAGTTCCACTCATGCGATTCTCCAGGCCAATGACCCGGGAAATCGGTGGAGGGGATGTTGGTGACGGTCTCCGCATTGATACCAACAATCTAGAAGCATGATTAGCGACCGATCACGCTGATGGTGATTCAAGTAGAGATGAAAATTACCCTTCTGCGCTCAAGCTCCTCCTGCGACGGGATCAAAGGCGCCATGCTTGCCAGAGAGGTAGAGTTAGATGGGGTGATGAGATCTAGGAAGTGAAACCAAGAAATTGGCGGGCGATAATTTCTTTGAGACAAGACGGCAGTATTTTCTGCAGGTCCAAGGCGGACACTCTACCCATCTATACTGCACTCACTAGAAATCGTTTTTGCCGTAGGCCCAGCAACTGTCCGCACTGTAGGAGGGCTAGCGTGGGTGCAGAATAGTGCAAGTGCAAAAACCAACCAGAGGCGGCGTGATGACCAGGAGCTCCGATCACGTGACTGCCCAATTTGTCTGGCGAGCCGCAACCTCCAAACGTCAGTGTTGACCGTTCCGCAGAGTCCCTCCTTCAATTGCGTCCGGACTGAGGACAGTCGGCCCTTTTATCCCCCCCTAATCCTCCCTCCCAACATCCCGAATGGCTGCCTCCTTTGCTCGCCTGGCGGGCGGTGCGCCCAAGAAGCTCGGTCTTCGCCCCTCCACCTTGACCAGAAACACTGCGATCCCCAGATGCCGTTCGATATCGACAACCCTTCGTCGGCTAGCGGAGCCTACTAGCTACCAGGCTACCAGATTGATTCCGACGGATCCGACCTTCACACACCTGGCCAACAAGGGTATTCAGGAGTCCGCAATTGCCTCGAACCTGGAGTCGCAGGCCGAAGGGACGGACCGCAAAATCCGCCACTACACGGTCAACTTCGGACCTCAGCATCCTGCAGCTCACGGTGTGCTTCGGTTGATTCTGGAGCTCAATGGTGAGGAGATCGTTCGCTCGGATCCTCACGTCGGTCTGCTTCACCGTGGTACCGAGAAGTTGATCGAGTACAAGACATATATGCAGGCTCTGCCCTACTTCGACCGACTGGATTATGTCTCCATGATGACGAACGAGCAGTGCTTTTCGCTGGCTGTCGAGAAGCTGCTTAACATTGACATTCCGGAGAGAGCCAAGTGGATCCGGACGCTGTTCGGAGAAATCACCCGTATTTTGAACCATCTCATGTCCGTCCTTTCCCACGCCATGGACGTTGGTGCTCTGACACCTTTCCTGTGGGGTTTCGAGGAGCGTGAGAAGCTCATGGTAGGCGCAATCTGTCTCTTCCCACCCTCAGGGCACTATGGCACCAAGGGATGCATTGGCCGGTGATTAATGATGTAACAGGAATTCTATGAGCGAGTTTCCGGTGCCCGTCTCCACGCTGCCTATGTCCGCCCCGGTGGTGTGTCGCAGGATCTTCCTCTTGGCCTTCTCGACGATATCTACCAATGGGCCACTCAGTTCGGTGACCGCATTGACGAGACTGAGGAGCTTTTGACAGACAACCGTATCTGGAAGGCCAGAACCCAGGGTGTTGGTGTTGTCAGCGCCGCCGACGCCTTGAACATGAGTTTCACTGGTGTCATGCTCCGTGGTTCCGGTGTTCCTTGGGATATCCGTAAGTCTCAGCCTTATGATGCCTACGATCAGGTTGAGTTCGATGTTCCCGTTGGCGTGAACGGTGACTGCTACGATCGTTACCTCTGCCGTATGGAGGAGTTCCGCCAGTCGCTCCGCATCATCCACCAGTGCTTGAATAAGATCCCTGCTGGTCCCGTCCGCGTTGAGGACTACAAGATCTCTCCTCCTCCCCGTGTCGCCATGAAGGAGAACATGGAGGCTCTGATCCACCACTTCCTTCTGTTCACCAAGGGTTACTCTGTGCCCCCTGGTGAGACCTACTCCGCCATTGAGGCTCCCAAGGGTGAAATGGGTGTCTTCCTTGTCAGCGATGGCAGCGAGAGACCCTACCGGTGCAAGATCCGTGCCCCCGGTTTCGCTCACTTGGGTGGATTCGACCAGATCTCTCGTGGTCATCTTTTGGCAGATGCTGTCGCTATCATCGGTAAGTCCCTCCCTCTTGCTATACTTGTAAATCATAAGACTGATACAATATCCTCAGGAACAATGGATCTCGTGTTCGGCGAAGTCGATCGGTAGAGGCAGTCCAGAGCATACAGGTTCAACAAACATGTAAGGCAGAGGAATAAACAAACCAAAAGAAAAAAAAACAGAAAACAGACCGAAATACTTCTTCTTGGCGCCTTTTCCTTCCTCATCTACTGGAGTTCTACGAGATCAGTGTAAAACGGAAGAGTGGCGATCTCGATCTCCCTGCCGAGTTGTATCAATTCCTTCCCCCCCAAATGGCGTTTTTCTTTTTTTCCCCTTCTCTTTCGTCGTTTCGTGTCTCGATCTATCTCTTTTTTCTTCAGTTTGTTTTCTGCTTATCATAACCTCTGTGTATAGTGACACGTGATTTTCCTCGATTGCAATATCATGTGCGAGTAGAATTCTAGATCCGATGGTGTCGATGAAACTCTGTAGACCATAAGAAGAAGAGGACTAGGGGCTAGTTATTTGTTTCAAGAGCGAGGGAGCGGTGATACTAGTTTCCATTCGATTAGGCCTCAACCAATGCTCCTTGCGTAGGTTATCGTGCGGCCGTGCCATGACTACGTATTAACGATGTATACCAAGGGTACGCAGAAGGAAATATCCCAAGCAGCCCCATGCAATCCCCTATCCGCAAAGGAACCTCAACGCCAATGCCAGCGCCCGCGCCAACAGAAACCCCAAAGAAAAAGACATGACTATCCAAGTATGCACTGCCCATGGCCACCATGCAATCCCACTCGCGTCCGAGAGCGTTTACCGCAAAAAGAACGCGCATCGCGTCAAGGAGGAATTGCGGAGCCCGATCACACATTATCGTCATCGTAGAGGAAATTGATATCGCGCGGCCGGCGCTTGTTGTATGAGACGAAGTCGCTGTCGCCGGGCGGGCGCTCATTGCGCGAGTTCGCCGTCAGCATACTCTGGATACTCATGCAGACGCTTTCAACTGTTTGGACGGGCGACCAGCCGGCGGAGCTGAGGAGGTCGAGGCAGATGATGCCGTTGCTGTAGATGTGCGGGTGGATGGGGATGGGGCGGGGGGTATCGGAGGTGGAGGGGGATTCAATGAATTGGACTTCTGGCGGTTCTGGAGTGGATTTTGTGTCAGTAATAGGGGTATTAAACAGAAGGCATGGAGGAGGACGTGCTGACCGATCGGGTACTTGGATCCGAAGGTGAATTTGAGACGGTAGGTCTGGTCTTTGTAGAGCGGGTTGTCGTCGAGCACTTTGATGTCCATCTGCCATTCTTCCAGGGTGTCAGATTTGGCTATCGAGATGCCTGGTGGGAGATGTTCTTTCATCTAGATGCAGCCGAGGTCAGAGTCCTGAGTTTGGAATCTCTCTTCATTTCTGGTTGGGAGAATTGGAAAGGGACAATGGGCCCGGTGAGGGGTAAGAATAGGCAGTACCTTGAGGAGCTCCTATAAATGGACATCCCGGCGTCAGCTTGCACGTTTTTCTCGGAGTTTTGGGAGGGGAAAAGAACGACATACTTTGCTCAAGCGCTTGCCAGCGAACATCTTCGGAGATGGGGCACCTGGAAGACGGGTAGAGCCTCGTCGAGTTACACAGCCCGCGGATGCAATTTACAATCGTAGCGCCAGGTACTGGTCCCGTTACATGTGTAAGTACCGGCTATCAGAGTGTTGGTTGTTGGTGGGCGGGGGGAAGATATGTATGACGTCTAACGCCGCGGGGTTGCTGAGGAATAGTACGGTAGATAGATATGGCGGGTGCTGGAAGCGAGCGGGTGCTGGAAGGACGCAGATCCAGTGATGAGTGATATTTGAAAGCCGCCGTAAAGTAAAAGGGACTGGACAGACGCAGAGAGAGTGAAAGTAGCTAGATGGCACTGGGGGTATATAAAGGTGGAATAATGAAATACTTCAATGCGGATCAAGCAGCAGCCGATCACCTGCTGTCGGTCATCTGATTGGCCTGTGGGCGCATCTGACACATATGCACGTGACGTGGGCATCAACTACATGTTCAGCCAGCTCTGTCTGCCTTATGGAGTACACTTGATCGATTGTGCTCAAAGAGCGCCACGAGCGCAGATGACTGGCAATCTGATAATCATCTGAGTATAGCCCACCCTAGAATAAGACATTGCACAGTAGGAGTGTGAGACATGAGCAGAGGAAGCGGGAAAGTATGATGTAAAAAGCACATGATGCAATGCGAGCAATCCAGAACTGCAAATTCATATCAACATGGGATTTTGCACAGGGAATCAACGAAATTATATCCATAGAAAGACTTGAATACGTCTTGATACGAGATTAAATACCAGAAAGGGAGGGGGGGTCTAGGGAGATAAACAGAATAAGGAAACAGCCGACAATCAACGAGGGATATCATGAAGCATGGGTAGTGCGTTCTCGGGCTTCCCGTTCAACTCGCTCCCGCTCTTCGGTCTCCTTGGCTTCTCGGACCTTGGCCAGAACGACTTCCCGGAAGATGGCACCGCGCGCGATCTTGCTCAGACTCCGCTTCTTGGTCCCACCAGCTGCACCATCGGCAGCTGACGCAGGAGAAGTGGTGCCATTTGCCTCGGTACCCTCCAGAGGAGGGAAAGCAGATGTCTCGGAGGTCTTGCTCGATGCTTCGGCAGACGCGGCCATATCAGCGGGGCTGGGAATATCGTCCTCATCCTCCTCCTGCATCTTGAGTGCTTCGATGCGGTTCGCCAGCTTGATGATCTCGATTCCTCGGCGGAGGCGGGACCGGGCAATATAGGCGCGGATCTCAGGCAGCAAGTCACGGTCGCTGGCGGACTCACCGGTCAGCCAGGGGTGCTTGAGGGCCTCCTCTGACGTGACGCGTTTGGCGGGATCGGGTTGGAGCAGGCTGAGGATGAAGTCCTTAGCGTCCTTGGAGACGTCGCGCCAGTAGCGCTCGTGGAAGACGATGCGTCCTGAACGGCATTCTTCGATCAGATCGGACAGAGTCTCCGATCGGAATGGCGAGTAGCCACAGAGGAGGGTGTAGGTGATGACACCGAGCGACCACATGTCGACGGCCTTGCCGTGACCTTGCTTGAGCATAACCTCGGGCGCCGCGTAACCGAACGACCCAGCCACCGTGGTGAGGACTTCGCCGGGGTTCTCCAGCATCTTCGCAATGCCAAAATCGGCCAACACCAAGGGGGATTGAGGATCACGGGTGAGATAGAGGAGATTCTCGGGTTTCAAGTCTAGAACCCAACCAGATTTAGCCTGCACCCCGGGAGCAATTATCAGGAAATTTATGAAAAGACTGACCTCGATGGACAATATTCCGTTCGTGGAGATAGTTGACGGCATCCAGCACCTGGCGGATGGTCTGGGAGGCATCTTTCTCGGTGAATTTGCCGTACTCGCAGATCCGATCGAACAGCTCACCACCGGTGGCTAACTGGGTGACAATGTAGAATTTGTCCTGATTTCGACGTCAGACGGTGGCACGCGGGTAGGCCAAGTCGGATAAGCCTGTAGCGGCACTCACCTTCGACTCGAACCAGTCCACGAAGTGGACGATGTGGGGGTGATCCAGGGCCTGCAGCATTTCCAGCTCGTCGTACACCATGCGTTCGTTCCCGCGAACATTCTTCTTCAAGATGATCTTGATGGCGACCTTTCCCGAGCCGCACTCGGCTTCCCGGACGATACCATATGTGCCAGCACCCAGTGTCCTTCCAAATTTGTAGAGTGCTCTAGAAGATGTGAGCGCACATTTCGTGTATGTCTGTGACCCGGCGGAGAGATGGGGTGGCCGTCGTACTTCTTCTCATAACTCTCTGGCTGTCCCGACAGCTTATTGAACATGGTAGAGACTAAAGCATCATAGAATCGTGTTAGCATCTCCTGGAATGGCGCGATCTCGATAGGCATAAAGAAGAGCCGAAGAAGGGTGGACGGGAAACGAAAAGAAGCACACGGGTATGCTCGAACCAAATAACACGAGAAGAACGATCAGCCCCCAGGCGCTTGCACTCTGACTCGAGAGCGCTACGGGCAACTCTGATAGGGACATGACAGCACGGAATGGGTGCAGGCCAGCAGGCTCCAGCATATCGATACACGTGTGAGAGGCATCAATGGCCAAGCACACGACTCACAACCACATTCGACCGAGCATTGGCTGGAAGAGAGAAAGGAGAGTGAGGAGAGCGACAGGGTATAACTCACAACTCATCGTGACGGATAATCTTTTTTTTTTGTTGTTGTTGTTGTTGTTGTTGTTGTTGTGAGCAGGACCCGAGCTCACAAATTGCAGCGTGCGGTAGAGGGGAGGGCTAAGGCCAACAGACGCAACGAAGCTGATGGGAAAAGAGACCCCGCACGTGAGGGGGACGGAGGGCGGGGCAATTAATGAGGAAAATAAAGGAAAGGAGATGGAAGGAAAATTCCAGGAGAATAATAGAAGAATAATAATGATTCTCTGGAATATGATTGATCTGTATCTACTATCTAGAATTCTAGATAGATAGTTTCAGGGCTCAGGGCTCAGGAGATCTGCCAGCACAGACAGGGGATTGTGGGAAGAGCCTCGCAGGTTGTCCGGATTGCAATGGATCGTTTGATTTAGGGGAGGGGGGAGAGACGAGAGAGAATAATAAACAGTAGAGGAATTAGTCGAATTGGATGTGAAACCACGACGAGGGAGAGAATTGGATTTTATAACCGCTTCAAGATGTTCAGCTCTTGAGAACGAGAAGAGGGATCATTTTATTATTATCCAGTCACAATCATCACAAGGAGAATCTTCCTGGATCGACTTTCTTTTTATTTTTATTCTTATGATGATGATGATTATTATTATTATTATTACCATCGCGACTATCACCAGCACAGGCTGCACAGCCACGGGGTCGTTCAGTCGAGCCTTGGACAGCGGCGGGGCGGATCCAGCAGTCCACGAAGCCAGGTACTAGTACTCTATCTACTCTTTAGGGGATAGTATCATAGTCTCATAGACCATAGTATGATAGTACTCTGTAGTCTCAGAATCCCCCAGACGAGGTTCTGGACTTCTCGTAATCGTATCTTGATTCTTGACACTCGGACTGGGCTGATTCGAGCCTTATTAGGACTTAGGAGAGGATGAGTTACAACGTACCCCTGTAAACGATCATGCAACTGCAAGATATCCCAGGAAACTCGCAACTCGACTTCTTGAGAATAATTCTACCTTAACTACACAGTACTAACTCTCCTACAACTGTGCGGATAAATATTAATAGTCCCCATCCAAGATTCAGCTTCTCGCATCGTGAAACACGCCATGTCCATTTTGGTGCCAGAATTCCAGCCCTTCGTGGAGTGGGCTGGAATCCACTTTCAAGGCAGCATCCAAAGGGAACGGCTAGTGGGAAAGTGGCATAGACTATCAAGTCGTGAGAGGTTGAGGACTGGAGAAGCTTTACTGTCACTCTCGTACAATTGACACAGTATCTATTTACTGCCTTGCATAGACCTGAGCCTTCAGCATCATCTCCGCAAAACTAATCACTCAAGAAATCTAGGTCATCCCCAACAAACGGAAAGAAACAAGCCCCCCCCCCCCACTCTCAAACTGTCTCCCCCCCCCAATCCGCCGACAGCACCATTCCCATCAAACATCAAGATACAACTCCTCCAGCACAGAATTGCAATATGCCTGGTAATACGCTGTTCCCTTCCACCCCCTCACCGGCGACCGCAACCCCACCGTCGCCCATCCCTCCGCCCGCAGTCGCGCAATGCGTTCCTCCTTGCTCTCCATGACCATCACCCGTCCCGAGCCACCCAGCTTCTTGTCGCCGCTGCCGGGCCCGGCCTTGACGGGACTGAAGCTCCAGAACGAGCCTGATCGGCGGATACTCTTCGAGGCACGGCGCGCGGACTGCAGCTCTGCAATTTCGTCGATGAGGGCGTGGATGTCTGCGATGCTGGTGTGGATTTGGGCGCGGAGGGCGCGGACGCTACTGTTGTGGCGGTTGATGGAGTCGGCGTGCGAGGGGGTCATGGGGGTGTAGTCCTCCTGACTGTGTTTGTGGTGGTGGTTTTGGTTGTTGTTGTTGTTGGTATTGCTGTTGCTGTGTTCTCGTTGAACAGGATTGCGGGTATTCATAGCGCCAGCAGGAACGATCTTGATAGGAAGAGAAAGAGGTCGACGCGATCGAGTTGGCTGCAAGCGCTGCCCTATCTGGACCTCCCTAGCGGCCGACTTGCGGATCTGCAGAGGCGAGGGCATGAGTCCGCGACGGTCGTCTGGAATGCGGGGTGGGTGTTTCTGCGGAATGTCGAGGGCCAGGTCGACCCAGCCCTCGCTGTCCGAGATGAAGGGATCATCCTCCGGACACTGGATGGACTTTTCAATGATGTCCGTGATACTGCTCAGCAGGCTGCTCTCTGGCGACGGACTGTCCGAGAAATCCGACGCCGTGGACACATCCACCAGCGAGACGGGACTTGCACTCGAGCTTGCCGCACCCTTATCACCCAGAATCACCGACGGCAGGATAGCGCTGCACGCGACGAAGCCGTCCAGCGCGGAATTCAGCATTGGGATTTTCTTCCTGGAGTAGTGGTGCGCGACTCGGCCCATCTCCTCGTAGGAGATGGCGCTGTAGAAGTACAGGTATGTCTTGTAGACGGGATGGATCTGCTTGCCCGTCCGTGGGGTCAATCCACGCCTGCACGAACGCACGCGGTCATCGATACGACTTACTGGCTCTTTGACTGTGTCGAGAATCTCACACGAGCGGGCGGCGCATTGTTTGTACTGACGTTGGAGATACAGCAGCTTGACGCCTTTGAGAACATCTTTCCACTGCTGTAGGGACTCAAGAGACGGAGCGGGTTTGAAAGGAGAGGAGCTTTTCGTGGTGTGGCGAGCCATCTTCCAGTATGGAATGAGTTTATAGAAGTAGAAGGAAAGTGGGTAGGTTCGGACGAAGAAGCTGCATCGCCACCGTTCTTCAACAGGAAATCAAGCTTGGTCAAGCCAAGGGAGTGATAATAAGTGATCTGGTGGAAGAGAGATGGAAAGACAGGTGGACGTGTATAGCCTCGAGTCCAGACGCGTCAAGGGCACCGTGTACACAGTGACCAGATGCGCTGCTTGGATGTGCAGTCATGAGAATGTATTAACCGAGCCGGTGGCCGGTTCATACATTTGATCGATTGTCTGGTGATGGTAGCACCCAGACTGAAAGGTAGGCTTTGTTGAGCAGAGACCTGCTGTTGTGATCTTTCGATCTGAAGATAAACACCCTTCTAAAGGGGCTACAGTATCTGGATTGTGCTCATCATGTTGCACTAATTAGAGAAGTCTTTTGAGTTGGTATGTCGTCCATCATAACAGTAGAGCATATCATCTACATAGGGTATCGGATGCAGATATGACTACCAGCGTCGAATCATTTACTCCACCACTCGCTCCTATCCCAAGCATTACCTCCAACTCGAAGGAGACAACCAATCAAATATCACTCGGCCTGGTCAGGAACAGATGGTCTCCTGGTTGTTTCTGGATCCACCGAAGCTCGAGAGAGCGCATCCCCCGTAGCCGTCAATGCATCCAGAAAGTCTCCCAAAAGCCTATCCAACTCGGCCGTCACGGCGCTATCGTCCGCCCCGGCCGTCAAGGCCTCCAGCCGCGGCGGCACGAGATCTGGAAAATTAATGGGCTCCAGGTCGTCCCTAACAGCTGGGCGCGGGTCCCGTCGGGCGGTGGGTAGGGGTTCGATAATTGGATAATCGTTCAACGTCGGAAACGGTTGGCTGTGTTCCATTTCTCTGGTCGGGATCGCGGTCGGGAACGGTTCAGAATGTGAGGGCGTGATGATCTCTGTATTGTGATCCCAGACGGTCGATCTCGTATCCTCCTCGTCGGGCCCCGGCCCGTCCAGCGGCGACGGACGCTCAAAGTCCCCGTACCCGGCCGATTCTAGCAGTCGGAGAAAGGTCAGTATTGTAAAAAAAAAAAAAAAAAAAAAAGCGGCTGCGGCAAGCTTACCGGGTGGTGTAGGAGGGCGGTCAAAGCGGAAAGGATCGTAGTCTGTGTCTGAGTGATTCGAGAGAATGGAATGAGCGGATGCTGAAGTGGATGGCCGTGAATCCCCTGGCTCTCCAATGCTCAACGGTCGGATGGTGGCCGATGGCTGAAGACCAACAAGCGGCGCACGGAGAGTGTCATGGCGGCTCGGCTCTTCGCTATCAGAAGGACCCCCCTGTTCATCCATAGCTGCACTCATATCGGGGAAAGTCCAGTCCATTGTAGCCCGCTTATCTTTGGGAGCAGAGGACGTCGCTGTTGGGGTCGTTTCAACCGTCTCCGTACTTTCGATGGCCTGGTGAGTCTCGGTGACAGTAGTCTCGATACTCTCGACTATCTCAGATTCCTCTTCGGGCGCTTGCATGAACACGGGGAACTTCCAGTCCATCGTTGGAGGCCGGGGGCCACTTTGGGGCTGATATGTTAGTTGCTGTGACTCTTGGTTAGTGCCTACATCGCTGCTTGATGATCGTGAGCGGCTTCCGATGGAGCTGCGGCCCTGTCGGCCGCTTGATCTGTTAGCTTTAATGGTGTCTGCGTCTGCAAGTTGAAATGGCTGGGCTGATACAGCCCCTGCCGCATAATGTGATGAGTCGAACGAGCCGATATCAATGTCTATGAACGTCGATGTCACGGAGGACCGGTCTGTTTCCGTGCGCAGTGGTAGATCGGAGACAGGTGGCTTGGGCTCAATGGGAACGAAATCATTTTTCGTTTCGTACTTGTAACTCGGCATGTCTTCGTTGAATAGCCCTTCCATGGCGGCAGCACCGCGACGTACGCGCTCATCAAAGTTTGCTTTATCTTCCACTGTCATTTCGGGATCGGTTGGGTCCTCAAAAGGATCACGGTCTGAATGATCTACTGTGGTAGGACTCATCTGCTCCTCTAATTGGGCTAGTGAAGCCGCGATCTGATCCAGATCGATGACGGAGAATCTTCGTTCGAACCCATCGGTAGTGCTAAAATTCCAATCTTCTTCGAAGTCTTGCTCGTGCTCTGGGAATTCCGCGGCCGCAGCACCTCCGGGGTGGAATAACGAGATTCGCTGTCCTCCCCGCTGAGACCATTGATAGTAAATACGCACCAGCTCACTCAACGATGAGATGGGATATTCCTCTTCTGTTCCAGCGATGTAGGGGTGAGACAAAATATCTGTCATCGTTGGACGGGAAATGGGTTCAGATTCGAGCGCGAACGACACTAGGTCTTTCAAATCCTCGCTGTATTCTTCATTTGCAAGTCGCGGTGTTGTGCGATTCAACTGTCTTCCAATCTGCATCCGCTCCCGCAGATTGGAATTTGGCGGGTTCCCTGTTGCAAATTCGAAGAGGGTACATCCGTAAGCCCATACATCGATCTTGAACACATCAGCACCCGACCAGGCCCGAGAAATGATGTTCTCACCTCACTACCATACTGGTGGGCCTCGCCACGGGCCATAAACATTTCTGGCGGCATCCAGTGCGGCGTCCCAATCCAGGTTGATCGCTTGTCCATATGCGACTGAAGCACCCCTGCCACCCCAAAATCACAAATCTGAAGACGGCCTTCTTCGTGAATCAGGATATTGGCAGCTATCATTCGAGTTGTTAGCGACTGTCCTTATCAACCGGGCTGCTAGAGATTCCTTCATACCTTTGATATCCCGATGGATAATACCTGCATCGTGAATGGCACGCAAGCCAGCGGCAAGCTCGCGCGCGATGGGTATGATGAACCTCTCATCGAGCTTATCTCCAGTGGCTCGCATCTAAGCAATCTCATTATCAGCAAAAAAGCGAAAAAGTATGACATTTAGATGAGACGGTAGGATGCAGGCGTACCAGTGTGCGTACACTGCCACCAGGACAGTACTCGCAGACCAGCCACAACTGGCTATGGATTGAGATCGCCTCGATCAACTCGTTTATATTCTTCGCCCCAGCGTCCTTGACCTGCTTCATGACTTTCGTCTCATGTATGAAATCCTTGATCGACTCATCCTTAAAGTCTCTAACAGACCTGTAGTCCATCGAGTCGATATCCATCACCTTAATGGCAACAACTCGACCAGAAGGGAGCTGATGGCCCTTGTAGACGCGACCGTAAGAGCCCTTTCCGATCAGCTCTTCGAACTCATAAGGTGGTGACTCCGTCTTGGCTCTGCGGCACATCTCGCGGACCGCGGCGCCTTGTTCCCGGGCCAGCTTGATGGCTTCGGCTTTGTGCTTGCCGATGGCAGCTGCCAGAGCAGATGTTGGGTCTAGAAGACCCGAAGCGCGAGGGTTGTCCATGGCGAGCTCCAGAGTGAACCACGAAGACCAAAACGTGGCCTTGCTAGGGTAATTAATGCTCTTGAGTAGTTGCTGTTGGGTGCCCCTCAGTTTGGGCGTTGGCTTTTCCAAACGCACGAGATTCCAAAGACAGGCCTTATACTAAGAGTACTCGCCTACTTATCTCAGGCATCGACATGCGCTCCGCAATAGACAATTGGGTCTGCGGTTGCGTGTGAGGGTGAAGTGTTACTGTTCACCTCGCCAGACGGTGTAGAGCCATCAAGTCCAGCCCCGAGGGCGAGCTTGCGTTTGATTTTATAGAATGTCGGGTCTAAATTCCACAGGCCAAGTCTCTGGGGAGGAAAAAAAAATAAGTTTAAATCAATCTCAAAAATAAGTGAAAGAACAAGGGTTATAAGAAAATAGGATTGTGGATATATCAGAGTAGATGTTGAGTAGTGTGACTGTTGAATGTTGATCTTTCTGAACTTCAAGCGGAAACATTCCAGATCACGCTAATGGGCGGCCGCTAATTTAGCGCCAAATGACAAACGGAGCTTCAACCCCAGAGACTTACAAGCTGGAACATGTCTCCAGGTTGGAGTGCGCTCTTTCTACTCTGCGACATCTTGTTGAATATTCGGATTTTGGAATGGGCAGGTATCTTCATTCTAAAACAAATGAGGTAGTCGCATGTCTAGACTAACGGGCATAAACCATGTACTTGATCGCGATGGAAATACCATCGCAATGTTCGCTTCTATCCAACATAAATCATTCAACATCATAACTATCCTTTGACTACAGGGAGAACTCGGTCTTCAGAGCAGAGGCAAATCGAGAAATGGCCTCTGCAATGTTCTCAGAGCTGGCGGCTGCAAATGTGGCGCGGAAGAACATGTTGCCCTCATTGCGGCCAGCCGCCGTGAACCAGCTACCACGCGAGACCAGAACGCCATTACTGATAGCGGCATGGAAGACAGCTTCCTCGATCTCCTCGCGAGTCTTGCCAGAGGCGACGCTGGGGTGCTTCTGCCAGTCGATCTCGATCCAGTGCTAGGAAAAGTCAGTGGTATTTCAGCCAAATGGGAGGTGCAGAGATACGTACAAACATTCCTGCGGCGGGAGGATTCCACTTGGCAATCTCCTTGGGGAGATATTTCGCGCAGGCATTGACGATAGAGTCTCTGCGACTGGTGTACTGCATGCGCAGATCGATCAACCAGTCCAGATAGCCACCGTGGCCCCAGTGCTCGTCGAGAAGCTTGAAAAGAACAATCTGTGAGATACCGCTGGGGTGCTGCGCGGATGTTTCGCAATTCCGCATGAAGCGCTCGACAAGCTGTGCAGGGCCGACAATCCAACCGGTTCGCGAACCAGGAGACAGGACCTTGGAGAAGGACTCAAGACGCACAACACGTCCATCGACGTCCAGACTCAAATAAGAGGGGATTAGAGACTTGAGAAACTCCTCGTGGGTGGCGGGAGGAGGGACGGGTTCGTGGTCGGGCCCGGTGTAAGGCTGCATCTGCAGGAAGTAGTACGGCTCGTCTTCCACGATCAACAGGTCGTGCTTCTGTGCGACCTTGTAAATAGCCTTGCGTCTCTCGAGCTGCTGAGTGGCACCTGTAGGGTTCTGTCCAGTAGGAATAGTGTACAGCACAAAGGGCTTGCAGCCACCACGAGCAGCTTCATCCCAGTTACTCAGAATCTCGTCAAGAGATTCAGGCAGAAGACCCTCCTGGTCCATCTTGACCGACGCGACTTTGACGCCTTGTGGAAGCACAGTCTCCTTTGCGCTGGAGAAGGTGTATTCCTCCATCAAAATATAATCGCCTCGGTTGCAGAGCATTCGGAGGGTAGCATCCCACCCGAAGGTGCTACCGGCGTTCAAGCAACATTGCCAATCGGAATATGGGGGGTTGTGAATGAGCTGGTTGCGTTAGCCGCGCGTGATGGTTGAATCATACGAAAACGTACCTCAGTGTGCTCTGTTACAAATCTCAGCAGCTGAGGAGAGCCGGTTGACTGGCCATAGTTGAGAGCAACCTCAAGATCTGAGTTCGGTCAGCCATTGCCTTTCCCCTCTGTATTCTCTTTCGCTCGCCCGGTACCCATACCGTACAGACTCTTTCCCTCTCGAACATCCCCCTTCTTGGCGGTCAAAACGGCGCCGAATTCCCGGGTCGCCTGAGGAGAGAACCCTGGTGGTGTAGGGACCTTGAAGCTGATCTCTTCGAATGGGAAGTATTCCGGCGAGGGCAGACCACCACCCAAGGAAATGAGACCTAAACAAAACCACTCATTAGCATGTTTCTTCACCGCTGACAGCTCCTTTCCAAAAATGAGGAGAAACTACCTGGAGTCTTCAAATATTGTGCAGCACCCTTCAACGTGGACGTCTGGATTGGGGTTCAGCTTCTGCCTTGTTTATCTAAACCAAGGTATTTCCTGGCCAAACAAACCTTTCGCGACTTGGATTCTTCGGAGATGTAGTCTTTATAGCCAATCAGTAATGCCGTCCAACTACAGCTTGTAGGGCAGATAGGGACATACGATCCCACCGCTTGGCTTTCGGCTTGGTATAGCAGGCCTAGAGAAAACATATCATTCCATTTAGCACGTTGATTCTATGCTCCCGGTTCCAACCAAGAACGATAAGGATGCACTCACGGGGCTCTTGAACATATCACTGTTCGTCGCAGGCGCAATACCCGTGGGGATTGGCGCGCTCTTTGCACGCAGACCAGCGATTCCATCAACCGTCAACGGGCCGACATCCTGAGCGGCGGCGATGGCGGAGGGGCTCATTCTGTTGATTCTGGTGCACGGGGATTGCGTATAAATGATCGGTTGGCTGGGTTGATATGCGAAGAAACCAAAGTAGTCTCCAACAAGTCCTCCGAAGTGATCAAGACCAAGACAGGGGCAAAAGACCAGGAAGCTGGGACAATTTGAGTTCAGTTAAAAGAGGGCAGACCTGACAGAAGACTAGATATGACTCCAACGCCATTTTTCTCGCATCCGCCGACAGCAGCTCCGAGAAAGGCGGGCCCGTTCCGCCGGCTGTACTGACGAATCCCCATAACTACCTAAGCCACCGCGTTGCGATCGGAGGTCACACGGAAGCAGCTTTGTTCGAACTCTTTTGTGAAGATTCTCGACTCTCAATGGTTACGCTCGATGTTTCTCTTATCTAATTGTCCAGTTGTTTTCCGAGGATGTGGTTAGTGGTTTGGCGTTGTTCATGCGAGGATTGATCCCTGATCATCGGCAGGGCGCGGGGAATAATACGGTATGATATGGTATGGTAATCTTGTTCGATTCCTGGATGCTGAACGATTATCGCCGGATTCCCGAAGTATACTTGGGTCACTTTTCTGATGCAATTGAGGACATTTGAGCCTCCAACCTTTTATTGCTCTATTCAGATACTACTTAGAAGTCTAGATAGTAAACACCCTTGCAGATCATGGGTATATCTATTGCAATGCTGAACTTCAGTGTGACTTGTGAAGCAATATTCCCCGCGCGCATAGATAAGGCTATCGCCGGGATCGGAGGGAACATGATTGATAAGCGCAGAGCAACCGCCATACCTGACTCGTATGGCATCACACATGGCCGACGAGATACGTTAGTTTTTTTCTCTATCTGCCCTATTCTCGATTTCTATTGCTTCTCACTGTACTTTCCCGCCGTCTCATCCAGCTGCGCTTCCAGGACAGCTCCCGTTCCATTGAGTACGCTTTGGATGGCCTCTGGCAGGAGCTCAGACAGCTCAGACACGGTAGCGGCACGGCCAGCCCAAAGCTCACCGCCAGCAGCAGCTTTTGCAACTCCCGCATAATCTGGGGTAGGCGCAAAGGAAATGTTGAGGTCTTCGTTGGTCACACGCGACCCGTCTCCGTTGGGATGAACCAGGAGCATGCTTCTGCGGGGAGCGTTCCAACCCTTGTTGTTCAGGACAATGGTGAGAATGGGGATGTTGTACCGACGAGCAATCCAGTACACGGAACCGGGCACGGAGAATAGGAATGTCCCGTCGCCCACGATCTGACAGACGAATTTTCCCTTGTTCTTGCCGCCGTGCTGGTCGTCGGTGGCGAGCTTGATTCCTAGTGCACCTCCGCCGGACCATCCCAGGCCCCCACCTCCACAGTTGATCCATGACTTGGGCAGTGTGGCATTGATCTGGTCCGCGGCGACCGTGGACAGTGTCACCGCTTCGATGGCCCAGATAGTGTCTATCGGGCAGTTATTTCGGATCTGCGCTAGGAGGTAGGATGCATTCAAAGACGCGTTGTCCCCCCCCAGAAGGCACAGCCGCTAGCTCCGTGATTCCCTGGCGAGTCTTCTTGTATTCTTCTTCTCGACGTTTGCCCATTGCGATCTGTTCTTCGGAGTTCACAGCCTGCTTGATTGACTCGTTCGACGCGACATAGTCGTTACTCTGCTTGAAGGCTGTGGCAGACTCTACTCGAAATGTTGCGAGAGACGGGATGTAGAACACAGGGATCTGCTGCTTGAGTGGATCGACATCAACGTGTATGATCTTAGCCTAATCGGAAGGTTTGCACTGAGTTGGAATCCACGGCACATCACAATCGGCGACCAGAATGAAGTCGGCTGTCTTAATAGCGTCATGAAGACCATACCGAAGTCCCAGCGACGCAGGGTGATTACCTGGGAAGCACATGTCGCATCCGCCTGTGTCGAGAACCCGGGGACCCTTGAATGTATCAGCCAATGTGACCAGCTCCTCTACACCTCTAGCGGATCGACCGGAGTAGCCCACGATCGCCAACGGTTCTTTGGCAGCAGCGAGATGCGAGGCAATGAGTTTAACACCTTCCGGTGTGAGGGCTGAAGGAGCCACAGGGCCCCAAACGCCCTGGTTGACCGTGTAGGGTTCAATTTCCTCTTCCATCACCTCCCGCGCACCAGCCAGGTACACCGGCCCCTTTGGATCGCTGGTTGCAAATTGCAGTGCCCGGTTGACCAGCTGCTTGATGTTTTTGCCAGATTTAATTTCAGCCGAATATCGGCAATATTGGGATACGATCTGCTTCTGGTCCGGGACGTCTTGGATCCAGTGAATGTACTCTGTGCGAGAACCGCTCATCTCACCTTCGATCGTGAAGGGAGAAAGGCCGGCGAAGATGAGCACTGGAGCTCGTCCGCAGGAAGCATTGTGTACAGCGGCAGCTAGGCCCTGTGTCCCCACATCAACATGAACGATCACGCATTGAGGTTTTCCAGTAAGACGAGCGTAGCCATCTGCCATAGAGAGGGCGACCATCTAGTTGGGATTAGTTATGCGGTTCACCAGGTATAATTGCAACCAACACTGGCATATGGACATCCAGACATGACTTACTTCATTCGGACAGGTGATAATCTTGGGGAATTGATCCGGTTTCTCTTTCTGGCCTTTGACCATAGCCTCCAAGATGGAGGGATGGTCGGAGCCCAGATTCACAAAGACATGAGACACTCCAGCCTTAAGCAAGTCAGCCATGAGTTTTCCCAGAGCGAAGGCACTTCATACCTCCCATAGCGCCTCAAAAAAGGCAAAGGAGGCAGTATACACCCTAGACACCGTGTGTTAGGGCAAGCTTGAATTACCAGTTTCTCGAAAGTGAGAACATACATGATAGGCACACTCTGATTGAAAGGAGACGTTGAGTATCTGGAATTGAATGTCAGTGTGGAGTACAGAGTGGACGACCGAGGACAATCATGAAGCCATCGCGGTATTTCCGCTGCGGGGTAAAGCCCGAGTATGGCTTTGAGCATGTTGCTTCAAGACAGAAGTATTAATCAGGGCTCCGTATTCCATCACTGGGACCTTCAAAGGTTCAAGCTTTGAACGTATATGTTGAAAAGCTCGACGACTAATAGAACGCTGGAATATGTCCCCGACGATGCTCCACGATGCTAATCATGCAACAACAAGCTTCGCATATAAGAACCCTCAGCCATGCATAGAATGACTTCTGAATTTGCGAGCGACGATGACAAGCTCGAATCTGCAAATATTAATTGCTGCTCTTTGCTGTGCCTCCTGTATACTGTGGTGACTCTGCATGAATATCTATCTCTTCATCGAGTATCCAAGCATGAAGTCTCGATGCAAGTATGTCTACTTGGTCTATTACAAGAGAAGAGATAGCTTGATTGATACAAGACTAAAGAAACTCCCAGTTAGGATTTCTGAGAATGTCATCAAGATATATCCTGGCGAGTAAAAAAACACTACAATTGTATGCTGGGGCTATATATGGCTGCTTCTTGTAGTTGGAGTTTTTAATCAATGTTCTCTAACCAAGTCCTCGAGATATATAATGTCGGCGCGGTGAGTCTGCCGATTCGGCAATTTAGCACTCTCCGCTTGAACCAACAAACAAACCGGGGTTATCTCCCGGGCATCGCTTCCAGTCTGAATGGATGTAGCTCTGTTTTGCTCCCTCTAATCCAGGCCAACAGTGACTGCGTTGACAGTTGCACTCTGCTCCGGATATTTGACCCACTGATAGAGATGATGACAACGATGACGTCGTTGATTCTCGTGTGGACTGTGGATGGTTGATTTTTGAGGAAATTTGGAGGCGTGCACACTGCAGTAAACTGCGCTGTTCTGCTGATGCAGCCGGTTATTATTAGAGAGAGTATCCTGATGCATATCCTATGTATATCCTCTTTCGATTGATGTTCTGTAGTTGTATACCTTAACATTTTTGAGGAGGAGTTTGTCGTATGGAGTGGGAAACGGAATCATCCAACAGTAATCAGGCAGTGCAATTATTTCCACACTGATACAGTTTTCCAGACAAACTTCCTTGGCTCGATTTGAGTTGGATAGTCAAGTTCCGGTTGATGCGATTGGCATTCCTTGAGGAGGACACCATGGTTATGGCATATTGCTGACAGGAATGAATAACATTGAAAACAACCATAAGTCTCAGTATTTTAGGTACTAGGTACTGTATTAGATGCCTCCGCAAGATGAGATACCTACTGTATTTCCGGTTACAAGTTCCAACTCCCAGAACATGAGGTATCTGATGCAGCAACGTCCTGGTTTGGGCCTCTTTTCCTTGACTTTCCGAGCGGAGTCAAGATATTGTGTATTACTTGTATGGGGGGTTAATCATGATGAGATAGCAACCCCTCTCGTGACGCAAGACTGTGGGCATGCGGGCTTTGAAAATGTCCCCAGTAGATGGAGATGTATCTAGCTCTTTTTCAACAAACAATTATAAACGGCATTTCCTGTAAACCAGTATGGAAAATACCTTCAAAATCCTTTTGAGTCTACCTATGAGGGAAGGGAATAAGAAGGTCGGACGTCCCTGGGATGATCAGGCTCCGTTGTGGCATGTTTGAGTGGCAAATCATGCAGCACCATCTATCTATCGCTTAGAGGACACGGTTTTCCCTACAGAGTAGATACAGAATCCCCAGAGTCAGCCGGGGAGCGTTTCCTCCCGGCCAGATTAAAGCCACGTCCAAAGTACGCAAGTAAACAGATCATGATGACCGAAATGGGGGCTCCCATTCCTTCGCCCTTCCCACTCCCACTCCCGAATTGTTGTATATTGTACGGAGTGGTCAATCTGGATCAGCCCTGCGTGCCGGAACAACCGGGCAAGGCAGGAATTCTCGCTATCCTCGGCAGCTGGATATCCTATCCGTTCAGTTGGATAGATAGATACGGAGCAGTGTGCGGATTAGAATACCGATTATATTAGTACATGAGCTGGAAGAGCCATCCACAGTCCAGGCAAGCTGAAGGCGGAATTCACCCAATATCGATGAATGCACGTGACAGGAATCCTCGCTTGGTGCTCTGGAAAGGGTATAGCGCATGGACCGTGCAGACCCGGACGAACGCAACTGCGGTAATAGATTACATACAGCCATACAGGCATTTGGTACTGAGATAATGAATAGATGCTGGTGGAGGTTGGAAGATCATTTATTCATTCGTGGTCGATTCCTGCTGGAGCTGGGAAAGCTGGAAGAGAATCCCGAGGGAATGAGCCATTGCGCAGTGTGGGAACAGGCAACACGAAAATACTATCAAACGGTCAGACTAGCAAAGCCCGTGAGATCCTCCAGAACCTGGGCTGTACCTCTGTAGGTAGGTACACCATAGACTGCAACCTAGACAGGTACAGTAGGTATTCTATCCTACGTAGGTAGCTCCCTCGAGGCAGGCACTCTACTTATATATATCCATCAGATATCGAGGTAACAGGAACTGAACTTCAAACGAAAGGAGTTTTGAACATCTCCCACAAATCAATGATAGTGATAATAATAAAGATAGTCATAATTGCTTTGTCTCTTCTGTATACACAACCATCGTACTTTGTCCTGAGCCACTCATAAAATAGTCTAGACACTTTCGCAGAACTCTGACCCGCATTGCCCGCCTGGACGAGAGAACTGGACCTTCGGGCTGAATGATCATTAGATACAGCTCGATGGATGAATAAGAGCAATTCATGGTTGAGCCGTAGACTGTCTACTGTTCACACTTCGCAGTTGTATTCTGAGCAAAAAGAAGTAGACACAGAAGTTAGAACTCGCGAAAGGGAACCAAGAGTTCAGCACACCTGAATTCAGCCAAAACCCCGTTCGAGGAAATACCTGGACTGGACTGGACTGGACTTCACCAAGACAGAGAGAAAGTCAAGACAGCTCTTCTCAGTCCTCAACAACACTATTCCTCTTTTCTTCTTCTTCTTATTCTTATTCTTCTTCCTTCTTTCTCATCATCCCCCCATTGACCACTTCTTCTTCTACTTCTTCTTCATCTTCATCCTCCATTTTCATCTTCAATCCAGTTTCCCTTCCTTTCTCTTCCCTTCCTTTTCTTTTCTTCTTCTTTTTCGTCTTTTCCTCTCCTTCTCCCCACTTGGATTACTTGGCTCTGTTCTTTTCCCACCATTCCGGTTCCATCACACCCTGTCTGCCCACACATCCCATTCCACTTCTTCTCTTCCTCCCACCCCCCAAAAAGAGTAGTCATCATCCCTGTCGGGAACGGCGACTTCAGTCCTCTTGTGATTCTCATCTTCTTCCGTCTTCTTCCTCCCTGTCCCTTTTCTCATTCCCGACACAAAAAATCTAAAAAAAAGGGAAAATAGAGGGAAAAAAAAGGAACTTCCGCCATTTCCTCCCTTCTGATCTTTCCTCTCTCTTTCCCCTCGACTTGTTCAAGGGGTCAGAGATTCGATCCTCCCTGGTCATGCACAAGATCTCCAACTTTACGGGCCAGGCCCGTCATGGTTGGGAGCGAATGACCCCGACCTTTGGCATGTCCAGACCTCACACCGACATGGCTTCCCACTCTCTTCGGCGACCCCACGGCGCTCCTCCTATGACTCCCCCGACTGGAATCGATCCTACCGTGAACCTGTCTTTCAATGTTCCTTTCTCCTCCACCCTCGCCGGTCCCGACATTGACGACGTGCTTCATGCGAGTCCAGGCGCTCTGCAGCGCTGGTTCTTTCCCGAAGGAACCCCCGAAGGTACTCCGGTCCACAACCTGCCTGTTCACGCCAGCAACGTCGAATCCCTGCGCCGACTATGTCGTCAGATTACAGAGTCCAGTAACGGTAGGGTTGAGGCGGCCGTCACGTCTTCAGAGCCCAAGGCGGTGCCGTCGTTACAGCGACGGCCCCAAGGTTTGGTGACCAATGTCTGCATCACGGGTGACGGAGAAACGGTGCGCAAGATGCGCGCACGGGTCCTTAATGAGACACCCATTTTACTGGTCAGTAGGACACTCATGGCAGACGTTATTCTTGACTCATATAGTTCTCTGGCTAAATCTTTGCGGTTCTGTCTTTTTTAGCGATGTGCGACCGTTGACGTGGATATGCATCTGATGATGGATGGATCGACCAAAGGCATCCGAGCGAGTGTACTGGAGCACCTTGATACCCTGGCCGCCTACACGGGTACCGATATCTTCTTGTTGAGCCCGAAATTCCGCGACACGGATAGTACTGTCGCGTCGTCCTATGGTTACGCTTCGGACAATGGGTTGGATCATCGTTTCCGGGTGTCCATCTACGGCGACATGGAGAGTGCGGAACATGCTAAGACTAGAGTCTTGATCATGATTGACCAGATCGTATGTTTCCTTTTCTTCCGGTCCCGCTACACAATTCTTTACTAAACAATGCTAGCTTAAACGTCATGTGGATGCCATGAGACTGGAGTTGACCATGCACACCTTGGTCTGTGGTCGGACGCGGAAAAATATCAAGCTCATCGAAGCGGCCACTGGCACTGCGATCTATTTCCCTCCGCCCTTCCCCCGGATCTTCGGCTACACCCCTCCAGGTGCCCGCCGCCGTAGCGAGGATGAGGTGTATATCACAGGTGATACCCAGGAACAAATAGCCAGAGCCAAGCAGAAGCTGCGGGAGTTGGTGATGGGCGTTAAGATCTACGTCAAGGATGTCGTTGTCAATTCGAACAAGATTGACAATATCCTGCTCGATCGACTGGACAAGGTCCGCAAGGTGATGGAAATGAACGGTTCCTACGTTCTGTTCCCGCAACTCGGCAGCCAACGGGGTCTTGTTCGGATTCAAGGCACGGAGGTTCTTCACGTCGAGCGCACCGTGCGGGAAATCATGGCTTTGGTGTGTTTGAGACGGAAATCCAGTACCCGGTCGCTATGTACTGACTACTTTCTTTAGGCTGGCCAGTTTTACAGTGCATCCTGGTGGATCATCATGCCCGATCCCTCTCAAGGCGGCTTCCGCGCCCCTTCTGCCGCCGACATCCGCACCATGCTGTCCGACATTTGTACCAACTCGGGTGCCGAGGTGAGCTTCGACAATCTCACGTTCACCATCAACGGGTCGGATGACGCCGTGAAATCCGCTATGATGGTCGTCAACCAAATTCCATTCGTGAAACGAAGCCAATATCAGATGCGTGTAAAGATTGAGCTTGCAAATGAGCACAAGGAGTTTGTTAGTGGCAAAAAGAATGGCAAGATCAACAAGATCATGGGACAAAGTTAGTTCTATCTCCACTCTTCTCTTGGGGGAACTGTTTTCATTGACTTCTCGTCAGGCAACGTCCAAATCATCTTCGACGGCTTCAACGAATACAACTTCTACATTGATGTCTGCGGCAATCAGTACGAGTCTACGAAGAACGGCCTTGATCTTGTGGAGCAGGAGATGCCCGCCTCTATCTCCTTCCATGTTCCCGATCAATACCACAAACGGATCATTGGAATTGGGGGTCAGCACATCCAGCGCATCATGAAGAAATATTCCGTCTTCGTCAAGTTCTCCAATGCGATGGATCGCGGCGGCATGGGCAAGGAAGATGATGACATCAAGGTCGACAATGTCATCTGTCGGACTCCAGCTCGCAATGCTCAGAGCCTCGACCTAGTGAAGCAGGAGATCATGGACATGGTTGAGAAAGTTGTAAGTTTCACAGGTTCACTATCAGATCACACTTTACGGGACCAATCCTCATTTGCACTTCACAGGATGCCGAGTATGTTTCCGAGCGTGTCGTTATCAATCGCTTGTATCACCGTGAGCTGCTCGCTCGCATTACGGAGATTGACGAGCTGGAGAAGAAGTGGAATTGCAAGATTGAGTTCCCAAGCACCGAGCTCGCGAGCGATGTTGTGACTATCTCTGGGCCGGAGTACCAGGTTCCTCAGGCTGTCGATGCCTTGCTGGTGAGTGCTCCAAATTCCCACCGATCTTTGATTGTTTTTTTACCATGAAACTGACTGATCTCCCTAGGGAATGGTTCCTGAGAGTCACGAACTTCTTTTCCACAGCTCTCACGAGCTGCGCGACTTCTTCAAGTCCGTCGAGTTCCGCGACGATGTTTGCTGTAAACTCAAAGAGCAATATGAAGTCGATACTTCGGTAGATAGCAATCCCGAAACCCCAGTCTCCTCGGAGGGTGGGTCTGCATCGCCGACATTTGCTCCCGAGGACCGGGTTGTGCTCGGATACACGCGGAACAATGCCGGAGGGCTCAAGGATGCGATTGACTTCTTGATCTCTCGACTTGTTGCGCATGGTCTCGACGCGACCACGGTCAAGGGCGCCATTCCACGCCCAAAGTCCGACTCATTTGAAGAGTCTCTTCCCTTCTTCGATTCGAAGCTTCTGCAGCATGCTCCGGCTCCAATTGTCACCGACTCTCCGACACGGCCCAACTTTTCCGATGAAACGAGCGAGCGTGGATCGATCTTCGAGAGGCTCCGGAAGCCCGGCAGCATTTCATCTTTCTCCTCATTCATCGGCCGCAAGAATCATTCTGCCTCACCGGCCTCATTTTTCAAACATGCGTCCAGCAACGCCTCGAAGGCGTCTCTTGTCTCCATGGAGTCTCGGGATAGTGGTTATCGCAATCCCTGGAATGATTCGGGCGTGAATCTTCCCGAGGACGATTTACCCGTTCTGGGAGGCTCCCACAGCCACAGCCACAGTGGTAGCAATGGGTGGCCAGCCCGTTTTGATACGAAATTTCCATTCGGTACCGCGCCGGGCGACATGACGCCCAAGCATGACGTCCGCGCATCTTTTGACAGTGGTCGTCCTAGCACTTCCAATTCTACTTCTGGATACCCGGCTCCTATTGGGCCACCGCGTTAAATCGAGATACCAGTTTGCAGCACTATACCCCAAGGCACTTGATCAGCTGTTTCAAGAAAGTTTGTTTGTTTGTTTTTTGTTTTTTTTTTTTTGCTTCCAGCGGTTTTTCTGTTTTTCTTTTCGGTTTGATTCCATTTTGTCCTTTGATACCACAGACTGCATGCAAGAGGGATATCAGGAGTATATGAAAAGGGGAAACCCAGGAGAATAAATGAGACGCATCTCACTCTGGATGTATTCATTTCCAAAGATCAGTTTTCTTGTTTCTAGTGAATTGTCTCCACGCCACTGTTTCTCGATGTTTTTCTTTTTCTTTTTGTCTTCATACCGTTCCAGGGGAGTGTACGGGGAGAGATGTGGGAATGTCGAAATCTTTTTACATGGGAAACAACATTGGAGGGTCGAATCTTCGTTCAAACATTCAATATATGATACCAAGTGGAATGATGGTGTATGGTGGTGTTTGCATGTCCTTTTTTTTTTTTTTTTTTTTTTTTTTTTTTTTCTTCCCTGGTTTCTATCTGGCTTCTTTCTCTCCACTGCGGAGTTTTGAGATCGGTTTTTCATTCCCTTTTTGACTGCTTGCTTTGATTTTTTTTTTCCCCTTCCCTTTTTGGATCGTTCTATATACCTTGACTTGACGCACACGGATATCCCAAGACCTTGAAGTGTAGAGAGAATAAGAGTGACTGGTTTCTTTGGCATGAAGTTCTTCCTCGTAACTGACATTGGTCGAGCTTAGCAGAGTTATATTGATAGATCAGCACTAAGTCCTTCCTACGCTTCCGGTCCAAGTTTACATAGTCTTTTCCCTACTCTCGACCTCGTACTTATGTCATGTCATGCCATGTCAATGCATCTTCTTTCTAATCCTGCAACCTAAATTTCATCTGACAAACGCATTATGCACGTCGCAAGTGGAGAAGCGGGTCAGAACTGGGGGAGGGGGTATCCGGTATATCATAATCCATCAACATGCAGACAGGCTGCATCACGGGGGTCGTTGGGTGGGTGACCCCGTCGCAATGCATGAACAGCACAAAACCACAAAGCACACATACCCATGTAAGCCTAAACGCGTCCGCTTCTCCGACGCACAGCCAAGGGCGGGGGCAAAAAAAAAAATAAAAATAAAAAATAAAAACAGAATATGGTGAGAAACATGGATGATTAGGGTTGGATAGACTGAATCACGAGATGGCCTGCAGCTCCTGGCATCAGAATGCAACGCCGATGGCTGACCGGCGGTGATGCTGATGCTGGTGCTGGTGTTGGTAGGACAGCTCGTCGAAGCGGAACTGCGGCGCGTTCTCGTGGATGGTTGGGTGGGACGGTGCGTCGCGGGCTGTGCTTGGGGGGAGGTGCTCGGGGTGTTTCTCGAAGGAGAAAGGGGTGGGTGGTGAGGAGACGGCGGTGGAGCCGCTGAGGCTGGTTCTGGTTGTGTTTGAGCTTTCGCGGGCGCGGGTGCGTGTGCGAAAGGTGGTCTTGTCGCTTCTTTTGGGGTGTTTGGGAGGAGGGGAGGAGGGGGTTATTTGGAAGAGCCATTGGGTAACGCGGCCGGTGCGGGAGGGGGTCGTTTCTGGGGTTGTTGCGGGGGAGGAATGAGAGTGTTGGTGGGAGGAGGAAGAGGATGAGTCTGTGGATGGGCTGCTGGGGATTGGGAGGGAGGGGAGAGGCCTGTCCTGCAGGGGAGTCTTGGGTGGGGTTTTGGGGACGCTTTGTTGCCTTTCGTCTTCTGCGACTGGTGGTGGCGGCGGGGGTCTGCTGTAGCTCGGAATTGAGGCGTGCCTTTTGTGTTGAGGGGGAGTGAAAGTGTCGCTGACGCTGACGCTGATGTTGATGCCGGTGCCGGTTGAGGAGCGAGTTGAGAAATGGGGGAGCAGGGGGCTTGCCACTGATGGAGATTGCTTGTCCAGTAGCTGCTCCAGGGTGGCTAGCGAGGATCGACGCGATCCAGAGCCTACGGGTTTTCGTGTCAACTGGACGGATGAGGTAGGGTGGTGCGAGCGAGTGCGAGAGAGACGGGGGTTGTCCGTGGGAGAGAACAGAGCTCTGCTGGGTCGTGCCAGAGGTTGCTGGCCAACAGGAGAGAAATCGTCAAAGGTAGGTAGAGTCGATAGACGATGACCGGGAGTATGGATCTTCAGCACCAGCGGCTGGAACTCCGTTGGACTGGAAGCGAAGGACTGGGAGGTATCGACCCGTCGGAAGTCTGTTGGCGCACTGATTCTCAACGGGGTGGTTGACTGCCGCTTCAGCGACATGCTGGCCCGGTTCGAGGCCCGCGATGCGATGTCTCGTCCTTCCGCGATCCAGGATGGCAGGGATGATGTCCGCGGTGGCGGACCTGGACTTGGAAGGTCATCGTAAACCACCAGCTTCATTGGGGTTATGAGATGAGGTTGGGTATGAGAAACCCTCATCTCCCGTTCGACACCTGAGGCAGAGGAATGTCAGCGCCAGTAGAAAGCACCTTGCAGAAATGCTTACATACCCTGCGACTTCATCGCCTGTCGACGAGACAAGCTCTGCTCATTGTCTTCAGAGCGCAAGCAGGACAGGCAGGAGGCAATCCAACCGGTGAATAAGGATCCTGCCTGTTCAATAACCAGCTTCATTACTGCCAGAGCTTCAAAGCTGTTTCTCCATCACCTCTGGAAAAGAGCGCGAGAATACTAGAGAAGGAATAAGAGGAATGGAGCAGAAGAAAGCAAAGCAATAGTGAAAGAGTGAATGAATCCAACGAGATGCCCAATAGACAGACCAGCTGATTTGATATCCTTCACCAACTCCAAACCCGCGAGAGGCTGGATGCTCCCAAGTCCTTTCAACCAACAAAAAACAAAGCCAACCTCTTTCTTGCTTGAGGGGAAATCCCACCAGGTCATATACGGAGTACACACGCAAAGTGCACGACCTGCAGGGCCGCATGCAGGCAGCTCAGGAGGAAACAGATGGCTCTCCTGCATAACGGTGCACCACCGATCCCCATTCCAGTATCGTCTGATGAGCCAGGGAAACTGTTATCTACTAATAATTTCCCACGAGGCTGCAAAGAGGCCAGTCACACCGGTTCGCAGGCCTCCATCTCGGACATCCCTGGAGTATGATCTGCATCTAATTTGCTGGCAGTGCTCGAGCAATCACATTGACCAACAGGGATGCTCGACAACGCATCCCGCGACTGTCTGGGAGAAATGGTGCCTGACTGGAAGATGGGAGGTGGAGGGCGCGTAAAAAGGCGCCGTCATTGCTCAGCAACACGAGCTAAAGACTTCCCATCACTAGCACCACGTAGCCATGGCGAATGCAAGTGCAGTCGAATGTGGATAGTAGCAGCTAACTAGAAGGACTGAGGAGCAAGCAGTACAACTGCATAAATTGATAAGTGACACGAATAGATTGGAGGGTCTTTCTTTGTTGATGAACACCATCTTCCTGATCGTCATTCGTTATCCAATGGCGGATGCTCCGTTCTGGATGATCTTGTTGGCTTTGATTATCGTCCAGTTCATGTTTTGTATATTCATTCGCCTACTATTCAAATCATAACAATATCAATAATATACTAGAGTCTCTTTGAAGAGTCATCTCAAACTTTGCTATGAAATCAACACAATCATGGGCCGTTTCGTCATGAGCAGCTGTTTTGTCTTATTGTGATAGATGCAGCCAGCCTCATCTATCTACCGACCCCAGACATTTTCTTCTTCCATCCCTCCATAAGTCCAGATGCGGGTTTTTGGATCTTCATCATCGTCATCCTCTTTCTTCTGATGGGCGATTTCTGTGTTCTCAACAAAGGTGCTGTCGCCCTGTGCGGGCTGTTCTGCATCGGTTTCCTCGCCGACTGGTTGACCAGAAGGTCTTCTGCAGGCCCAGTAGTCAGTGCTGTCGATTATATGATGTGAGGTGCGTCGCGAGCGGAGAACTCACTGGAAATGCTTATGTTCTGGTTCGACCCACGTGGAACCAAAGGCTCTTTGGACCTGAGCTCGTTCCTCCTCCTCAGCCTCTTGATTCTCGACCACAAGATCGACCAATTGACTACGATGGGAATGATGGGATGCAGAGGAGCTTGGGCCACGGCGAAGAGAAGGCGCTCCTCTGGAGCTGTTACTTCGAGATTGGCTTGGGGTCTCTTGTCGCTGGTTCTTATCGCTTGACGGACGAGATTTTCGGTGCTTCCGAGCTCTCTTAACTGGCTCGGTTCGGTGCTCAACTTGCTGATACGCTGCGGTAGACCCTAGCCGTTGGTCTCCTGGGACTACATTGGCAGTGATCACAGGATACTAAAAGCAGTTAACCCACGAAAACATTCACCATCCGCTGCGAAGAAACTCACATTCCAGTCTCCAAATTCTAGTGCGCGAGCCTGAGTGAATAACGCTTCGTCACCCGCGTCCAGAGTGGTCTCCTCGAGATTACTATTTGAGCGGAAGCGTTCCAGCGTGCTACCCCTTCTGCTCTGGTTGCTCGACTCCGCCTCGGCCAGCAACGGAGTTCGACTGTTGATATCACCCGGCTTGGGGATCCAATACTTTGCTTTCCCACCCCGCTCGTACCGCATGCCGTCCATCACACGCTTCACGCGAGAATTGGACTCGGCATGTGGGATGATGTGGTCTCCAGAGTCAAACAATCTGTACTGGTAATTCTCCCCCCGAAGAGTCATCTTCGTGTCTTCTATCAGATCTTTGATTCCGAAGGCATCTCGGAGCGCGTACGCAACAGGTAACCGAGCGGCGGAAATGGTAGGATCGGCATAGTCATGCCAGGAGAAGGCATACCAGTGAGTCAAGGCAAAGAATGGCATCTCAAAGCATATTAAGCTATCCTGGATTGCTGCGGCGAGGTTGTCCGGCGTGTATCCTGCCACACCATTTGAGAGAGCTCCCAGCCACTGCAGGATTGACAGAAAAAAGCCTTGCCAATAAGAGGCGAAAATGATCAACTTAACACACAGGAACTTAGGAACTGGTCGAAATGGTTGCAAGTCATCATGCAGGCAGACCCAGAACATCGCAAGCGAATAAAGACTCATCGTGACGCTGACGTTGTAAACGATGCCAGTCCAGAGATACCCGGAGGTCAACCCGAGATAGCCCTCTTGATAGGTATCAGTCGCCTTCATAATGATAGAGACAAGTGCAAGAATAGGTTTCAGCCATGTATACTGGAGAATCCCACGCTTGACTGCCAAGAATGTGTGCGGATCGGAGATATCAACTTTCGGAAGGAAATGGTTCAGGGGCCACGCATGCGAAACTGGAGGACGTCCATGCGTCATGATGATCAGAGCTCTTTCACCACCGAGGAAGTTGATCAGTAACTGGAAGAATGTATAGATCGTAAACGCCTGAGAAGCAGATGTCAGCATCGACGCACAAACTGGAAGAACTGGATGGACATACCTCATAGATATCACGAATCGGGCTTAGGAACATGGATGCTCGGAGCGAAACTATGCTCACCCAAGAGGAAACTGCATAGATTGGGACCCTGGCCTAATCAGCTTATGAGCTCATGTTTTCCAGAACCGAATACCAACATCAGCAATATCCGAACGACATATCGTTGGAGCAACGGTTTCCGGTAATTTTTGCTGCAATCAAGTTAGCGTATTGTCGGAGGTGTCAGTATCAAGATCCATCGTACGTTTGAAGCCATATAGAACTAGACGGGCGAACAGGTACACGTTAGCATAGATTTCTCAGAAAGTGGTCATGTAGTACGGAGATTGGAATGCGACACTCACAGAATCGACAGCATTGAAGCCACTAATGACGAAACACCAGCAACTATCACCACTGCTCGTGCCAGGCTAGAGCCTGTACCACCCGACGAAGAACCTGAAGTCATTGTCAAGGAGGTCTCACGGTTCCTGACCGCGTGCGTTTATTCCTTGGTCGACCCGCAAAGCATGCTGCGATCTGACGTGCGATAACAAAGAAGCTCAGAGCATGATCATACGCGATCGGACGTAGATAACTGTCGAATCAGTGGGCAAAGAACCTTCAGTTATCCACCCTCGGAAAATCTTCCTGCGAAAATCGAAAGACAATACAGACGAAGCTCTCTGCCTGGAGAGATAAACCAAGGAGATGGAGATGGGTGTCCCGTGCCCAGCAATCGGCATTGCGTAGGCACGACACCGCCTAGCCTCATTTATCGCAAGACCGAGGGGGGGGATCTTTCCAACAACATATGTTTTGATCTCTCCTCCAAATACGTTCTACTTGAATTTCATTCCGATAAGATGAAGACTCGTTCGAGTCTGTGTATATTAGCACAATTTATTCATTCTAGGGGACATCCCTCGTCTTGCTGAGTCGCCATGTTGACGGCCATTAGCGGTCGTAGACTATTGAAGAGATGGCGAGCGCAAGCACGAGCTTGACAACCTTATCTTTGACCCCCGATCCCAGCTTCAACTGGTGAGTAGCGCGATTGACGGTGAGCATTGACATTGCTAAAAAGGGTCCAGGTTCTTTCTCCTCGAACTGATCGTGTCCTGTATTCTGTACGTCCAAGGGATCTCCGCGCAATAACGAATGACCAACTAATGAGAAACTAGCGTACTGTTCTTCCTGCTCTACTTCAACCGTCTTTTCGCAACCCTCCTGTCATACGGAATCCGCGCGTATACCTGGCACTACTATCGCGCATATGTCGACATCCATGCGCTCCAAATATCGCTAATAGGGGGAAGGATATTCTTCAAGGGCATCCGATACCACGGAGTGAACGAAACGATCTTCGTACATGGAGGGTTTATAACATGGCATTATTGGAAGCGCACCGTCAGGCAGACCGATATATCGGCGCTCAACTCAAGTAATGGAGCTACGCGGACTGGCGATCAAGCCGACGGGGCAGACCGAAGCAGCAAGAACAGCGACTCGGGAGGGGAAAATGGAGGACTGAAGCGGACGGATGACCTTCCATGTCGCATTGCGATTCAGTTATACGGTCTCGAATGGTTCATATACAATCGAACCCCAGCGTACGACAGTATTCTTGCTGGTTTCGGACACGCAGCAGAGGGGGGTGACTCGTTTGACCAATCTGTTCCTGGCAGATCCGAAGGTCAAGAAAAAGACTCATTGCATCATGGTCCAAAGGAAACCGGTCAGGCAAGTCACAAGCCTGACGTTACGACGGGCCCAGGCCGGATTCCTGACCGAAATGAGACAGAAGGGGATTGCGCGATGTCCGAAAATGCGGCAGACCGCGCGCAAGAAATCGGAGAGAGCCTATCGAGACTGCTTCGACTCCTGCCACTGAGAGTTTCATGCGACAAGGGTGCCATTGTTGTTGGAAATGAGAATACAAGGTCTGTTTTGACGACCACATTTGATAGTGGAACTGGCCTTATAGAAGCGTGCAACGCTGGCCCTTTCGACCTCTACAGGCAAATATTTTCCTTTCAAATCCAACATCCTGTTATACAGATGCGGCCGAACCCCGACTACAAACAAAATCAGCTTGGCGCCGCCAACGGATTGAGCTCAAAACGGGAGGATCAGTCCGAGCCGAAGCGCAGGAGGGACACGATATTCAGTTATCAGTTTCAGAAACGAAGAGTCTGGCACACTATCCGGGATCTAATTCCTTATTTTCAAACCTCAGTGGAGTCTTTCCATATCCACGACAAGCATACAGACACAGCAAGGAACCCGGCAGATGGTCGAAACGATATTCGCTGGGCCGGTTTGTCTCGGTACCTGGATGAAAGTAGCCAGGATGACCACGAAGAGTGGCATTCTGTCGAGTATGCAAGGTTCTCCACAATTCTTGACAGTCCCAGCATGGATATCACCTATTACTGGGATATTCCTGGCTGTGTCGTTTCTCAGCAGCTTCCCCGGGAAGAATCTACTTCTACAGCTTCCACTGCCATCAATGGAGCTCCACCCCCAGAATGGGGAATTGACATCAAGCTTGAGGGGGGGTCCATAAACTATGGGCCCTGGGCTGACAGGGAGCGTGTTGGCTTGCAGAATGTGTTTTTCCCAAACGCATATAGGAGCTCTCAATATTCCAAACCACTAGCACCTGGTGATCTGAGAATAAACACACTATTCAAGATACGCGTTGAAATTAGCGAGGAGACAACCTTGCGTATTCCAACCAAAGAACCGTCGAAAGACTGGCAATGGAAAGGCCGAGCTGATGCAATCAGGGGTGCATCTAAGCTGAAGAAGCAGCAGAAGAGGGGACAATCGCGTGCTGCCGAAGGTGACAAAAGTAACCTGGGCCCTGACATTCGCCCGTTTGGTTGGCTATCGCTTCGTGTAGCGGCCGATTCTACTGTTAGCTATACCATGGACATGGTAGCCTCGAGTCCTAGTGGATTCAGCAATTCACTTGATCTCGACCTTCGGGAATCGAAGTTGTCATCGAGTGTCAACCATGCATTACTGTGGGAATGCTCCAGGCAGTTCCTCACCTGCGATCTTTCGAATCCTCTTTGCTGGAACAGTCTTCGGGCCTGGAAGTTCGATGTCAAGAGTCACGATATGAAGTTATTTCTTTTACGTGATCACATATTTCTCCTGACTGACCTCGTGAGTGACTGGGCCTCTGGCCCTCCTCAGGACTACTTTACATTCGTTCCTTTCACCTATACCCTCAGCCTGTCCTTTGACAATATCAAGCTTTACATAAACGTCAATGATCTTAACATTATAAGCAATCCGTCTGACCTTGATGACAATCGAATGTTGGTGATCAACGGTAAAACCCTGACTTCTGACGTCTTGATCCCTTTGACCACCTATAAACCTGAGCAGAATGCCGTGAAGTTCAATATTATTCTCAACGATGGTGGTATTGACTTCCTATCGCCACTGTGGGATACCTTACACACATTTCTAAAGAGCCGATCCACTGCTACCCTTGAGAATCTGTCTATTGAAGGGACATATGATTATTATCTCTCAACTTCATCGGATCTCACAGACACATTGTTGCTTGACATTGGCGGATCATCACCAAGACTCTATCTTTTTGGCTTTCTTATCAGGAGTTTCATGACGATCAAGGACAATTATTTCGGAGAAGAGATGCATTTCAGAACGCTTGAAGAGTTCCAGGAATTAGCACATTCCGAGGAACGAGTGGATTCCCACGCAGAGATCAATCCGAATCGGAAGTCGAACGACCTCGATGTGGTAGTCCACGTTGCTGTTGATAATCCTTGCGCCCTACTTCCAGAGAATCTATACGATCAGCTGAAGTGTCTCAGGCTCACGGCACCTTCCTTGGAGGTTGATCTACGCTTTACTAACTACTACATGGATATGCAATTCTCACTCTCACCTCTGAAGGTAGCCCTAGAATGGAATCAAAACCATGGGCCACCAGTCATATCTGACACCCAGTTGTTCATTGATGGGGCCACTGTTCATGGTCACAGGTTGTTTGGCTTGCCTCCAGCGGAGCCAACCTATGTCTGCAATTGGGATTTCGAAGTAGGACGCATCCTCGGCGAATGCCACCCGGAGTTTCTGGGCTGTTTAACTGCAGCTCTCCAAAGTTTTGATATGTCCTTTGACAATGAAGAGAATGCACTTCAACCATTAGTACCCATCGCTCTTCACGATGTCACCTTTCTCCGCGCCAAGATACACTTGATTCATATATCAGTGCTTTTGGACCAGGGTGCGATAATGTTCAGTTCAGGCCCCATTACTACAAAATTCAATGACTGGGCCAATGCTTCGTTCTCGAAACGGATGAGTCTTCTCATACCAGATCTTTCTATCGCCGCCATTGACAACGGTGCTGCCGAACCGAAAGGCAGAGAGCCCCCACTAGATGTGCCTCCTCTCGCGTTGTTTCAGACCACAGTGAACTTGCGAATGGCACAGCGGAGATGTGATATCATTGAAGGCAGAAAATTGCAGCAAGAACACATCAGGGTGCACGATCAGAGGACGCAGAGAACACCATGGCTTATCTTTGATTGGGAGGACGTTGACCCCGAGTCTTCCCACGTATTCAGTGATCATCTTGCTCCACCAACAATCCCAATGCCGCTGATGCCGGACCCTCTAATGAGGCGCTTTAATTCTTTCTCTCTATCTGCGAGAAGTCTTTTGGATAACACGAGCCAACGAAGCTCAAGAAGCTTCATCCTTTCTTCGAATGTTTCGAGCATCATGGCTCACCGGCATAGGACAAACGACAATCTTAATCCTGCACCAAATTCTGAGTTAGGGGCTGAGGATGACCAAGAATATAGTCAGGCAAATTGGAAAAGTGGTGGTCAGACTTTCATCTCCAAGAAGCACAGACAATACCGGAAAGAATTACGCTCAACAACTGGACCGGCAATTCCCAATGCTTGGATGATGCCCAATTTTTCTCTTTGCAAGATCTTATTGGATACCTCTCAGCTCCCTTTGCCCCAAATCTTTAATGAATATGCTACCCGAGAAAGTATGCCGGTAACGAGGTTTGATCCGCTCGTTTCGCCTTTCGAGGAAGATGGGGAGACATACACAAACTTCTTCTGCGAGCTACCTTCGGGAGTAAGAGGTCTCTGCTCTCCTGAATTTCTGTTCATGCTATCTACATTGATAGAGCAACTGCAGCCGAGTCATCCAATCGAAATAATCGATTCTCTGCAGAAGGACGTTGCTTCCGACATTATTGGGTATGAAAAGTCAATGAAGCACCCAAAGAAGTCGACGAGCTTCGCAATCCGGACCCCTTCCATTGTCGTGAAGATGACCAATTCGTCCGCATCTTCCGCGACATACGAGGTTGGGTATCGAGACGAGTATCGCATCGAAGTTTCTGACTTGAAAACCGAGTTGCGAACAAGGGTTGCACGACAGAAGGGCGATCTACTGACTGGAGTCAGCAAGAACTCTACCATTCATGCAGCAGCTCAGAATCTTGCAGTTCTCGTCACTGGTGGTCGAGCAGATGTATTCCAAGAAAAAGCTGAATTCAGATGTCTGCTTGGAGACTCAAACTTCTGGCTGGTGACAGCACCTACCATTCGGTCGAGCCTTCAGATCCGAGCCTTCGACACCGTCACCTCCACGAAGTCAGTGGAGCACCTTGCTTTCCTCGTCCGTCGAGCAACGACCATATTTGACTCTGTTGCCTCATCGTTCCAAAATAGCTCTTCAATAAGCAGCAGAAGACTCCAATTCATTATACATTCCCTTGCACAGCGTGCAGGAAAGGTTCCTGACCCTGCTTTTCTTACGCGCATTTCTCCTGTCCTCAGAGTCGCTCCTACTCATCTACGGCAGCATGATTCATGGAAGATCATCTCTCGTGTCCGGAATGTCTACAATCACCTGAAACCTGAGCAACAGCTCGACTTGGCCTATGATTGTCTAGACACCCGTCTCTCAGTGCCGGAGAATGCAAAAGATACTGTGCTGTCAGCTTTCGATCAGTGGCGCGCTTGGGATCTGGCGCATGTCCAGAAGAGTTATGTGATGCGGAGGATCTGGAACGATTTCGAGCAAAAACGTTCAGACGATATTACAGCGATAGCGTTGTCGCTCACAGTTAAAGGGTTTCGCTTCTCCATCGATCCGGGACCAAAGGAGAGTGATTTCGTCGTTGAGAACCTGTCATCTAGATTGACAGTCAGCACACGAAAGGGCACTCAGCCGGAGGTCGGTGAAAGCGAGAAGAACGTGACTATTTCGCAGTCTTATTGTTCATCTGCCGGGCTCCGTCTGAGATGGGAGATTCTCGATCTTGTTGAAGGTGTGTTGAAGGCAATATCTCCGATCAAATTGGAATCTGCAGCTTCTACTCAAGTAACCAAAGACAAGATTCTGGAAGACAATGAGCTTCAATTCATTTTCGGAGTTGACACGGGTTTTATCACATTGGACGGCATCAATGTCAAATTGGCTTTGGCCAGCAGGGGATTCAGGAGCTCGCTGGTTCACCAATCGAGCGAAACAGGGAAGACCAAGAATCTCAGTGTGCTACTCAGTGCTCAGACCTGTTCCTCGGAACTCTCTAGCCTCTCTGAGCTTCTCATGACCTGGAGAATCAGTGACCCGTATGCCTACTGCTCACGTGTCTCCGAGGAGCGACAGTCGACCTTGATACATGAATGGAAAGTAGCTGGATCATGCAGGAAGCTTCGATATGACATGGAAGAAGATCCGGCCAGTCTGGCTCATACAGCAGATCGAGTGATAGCAGATGAGATTCGCTACCTCCACCAGCTCATCAAGAACATCAAGCTACCGGAACCCCAGCCGCAAGAAACCCCGATAGCGACGAAGCCAGCTCTCAACAATTTCCACATCGCGATGTTCTTAGATGATTACCGGTTGAGTTTCTCCGTTCTACCGTCCCTCACATATGTCATATCTGGTGAGGTTGCCCGGATGTCAGTCATGCCACGGATGGGATCGAAGATCGAGGTTGATTTCGACCTCAAGAGCAACTCACATACATTTTTCTCCATCGAAGGGGATAGACGCCATTATTTGTCACAATTAGAGATACCGCCCATCAATGGGCGCGTTCTGGTTAGCAGGCCATCCAGCGGTACACAGGTGGAGGTTGATGCAACTATTGAGCTCATTCGGTTAGAGGCCAATGCTGTAAGAAGTCTTCTGGGTGCCTTAACGAAGCCCGAGGTCTCTCATTTAGTGTCAGACCTTAAACAGAACGGCAAAGTCTTGCAACTGCATCTTGGTGAAACCCTCGCTCTCAACAAAAATCCCCGGGAACAAGAAGCGACCCAAAGCGGTCATGGCCTCCTCTACAAGGCTCGTCTTAACATGGCAGGCACCAAAATTCACGCAACTGCGCCGGCGCTCAACAGTAAAGGGTACTCTGCCGATATGGACTTTAACCTTGGAATGATGCGCATACGACTTGACAATGGATTGGATAACGGTCGACCGATGGAATTTCCAGAAATCGATTTCGATGCCTCAAATATCAGCTTCGATTTAAGAAAAAATGACTCATCTGGAACACACTCGTATTGCAGCATTGCCATGGAGGCAAATTTCCAGGGGTTGTCGGAGACCAGTGAAAATGGAGAGTCAAGGCGAGCATATCATCTCAGCAGCAAGAAGTTCGAGCTTGAGCTCTTTTCGGAAACGGCTGCCCTTGTTGTTGATATTGCCGCGCATCTTCAGGACCGCATCAAGACTCTTGATCTGAGCCAGGAGGTCAAGCGTCTCAGGCGATTGCGCCATCGTGGGCACGCAGATGCAACCGCTCATGCTCCAGAGGTTCCAAAGATTGAAGTGCCCGGCGAATCAAGTCCCCAGGACTTCTTGAAAGACAGATATTCGTTGGATCTACACAACATACAGGTTGGCTGGAATATGTCCACAGCACCTGTACATAGATCGGGGCGGGAGCCGGATGATCTTGTGTTTTCCATCAAACGCGTGGACCTGTCAAATAGTAGAAGCACCGCTGCTAAATTGCGAATCGAAGACATGCAGCTTCAAATGGTCCCATCTTCCGAGAATCGGCGGAAGCGCTCCCTCAATTCAGCCCTCATGCCAGAGCTGGTCTTCAACGTGGCATATTCGTCGACAGGAAACGATGTTCTACTTGCCTTCCAGGCAGCGGGAAAGTCGCTAGACATACGAGCAACATCCGATTTCATTCTCCCCGCCAGTATGATACGGGACTCTATTGCTTCAGCTAGCCAAACCATACGTGAAGCGGATTCTGTGCTGGTAGCAAGGCCATCTGTTGAAAGTGACAAACAGCGCTCCTTGTTTGGGAATAAGCGCATCCGCTCTGTACTAGTTGATGTTGACTTTGCAGGTGCTATTCTCTCTCTTCAAAGCAGACATACAAATGACCAACAGACCCTGTTGACCGCATCGCTGACTGGGAGTCGTTTATCCGAAGCGAAATACGGTCAATACGTTCACGGTGATGCGGCGACCACTGCTACCCTTAGAGCTCCCGGGGTGGCGTTGAAAGTCCAGTTTGAGGACAATGGCGTAGATGCGTCGGCGTTGAATGCGGAGTTGAAGATCGACGCATCGTCCAACGTCTTGTACCCGACCCTTGTCCCATTGATCAAACAGATGACGTCCACTATCAAAGAGGTTATGGAAGGCAAGGACAAGCTGAGAAAGCCATCAACTGCTGCCATGTTGCAACCACAAAAGTTGATGCCGGACACGTCGTTTGACACCAAAGATCCGGCCTCAATCTTCGGGCGGTGCAAGGTCAACGTCGGTGTTTTAATTCGGAAACAAGAGTTCAGCTTGAGCTGCCAGCCTATCGCGAGGGTGGCGGCTACAGCGGGGTTTGATAATGTCTACATAACGATCAACACAGTCCAGTCCCATGAACAAGGCAGGTTTCTGGCAGTTTTGATTGCTTTCAACTCTCTGCAGGCATCAGTGAAGCACGTATATTCAAATGAGTCTACTGCAAGCTTCGATGTGAAGTCTATCGTCGTGTCTCTGATGAACAGCAAGCACCTGAGCAGCTCGAATGGCATTTCTGCTGTGCTACGAATTAGCCCGATGCAGATGATGCTTAATGCAAAGCAGGTGCAAGACCTTTTGCTTTTCCAGGAAATCTGGGTCCCTTCAACCGAGGACAGCGATGCTGGCCCGGCCTTCCAACCGCAATCGACAGAGCCTCAAGCTTACATTGTCCAGCGGTACCAACAAGTAGCCGCGGCGCCAGCATTTCCTTGGAACAGCGCGGTGGCAATCGAAAAGTTGGAGATTCAGCTTGATCTGGGCTCCTCGCTGGGGAAGGCACAGCTGGCTGTCAACGATCTGTGGGTATCTTCGAAGAAGAACTCCGATCGGGAACAAACGCTTTCCATTGGCTTCAAATCTACGGTGATCGAAAGTAAAGGCAGAATGAGTGGCTTGGTCGAACTCGAGGCATTGAAGATCAGTACCTCGATCCAGTGGCCAGACAACACGCCTGATGTCCATTCCGTGCCGCTTATCCAAGCCTCTATCGCGTTTCAGGAGCTACAGGCCAAGGTCTCTTTCGAATGGCAGCCTTTCCTGGTTGCCAACATTTCCAAATTCGACTTCTTGATGTATAACGTTCGAGGTACCAATGGCGTTCCCAAAGAACGGCTCTTCAGCATCCTGGAAGGGGATAAAGTTCAGGTCTTCTGTACCAGTTTGACTGCATCGCAATGTTTGGCTTTGATTCAAGCCTGGCAGCGACTGGCCCAAGACAAACAGACAGCGTACGAGGCGTCTTTGCGAGAAGTTGAGCGGTATTTGCGCAGGAGGACATCGGTGTTCACTGAGAAAATGGAGCTTCAAGCCAAAGAGCTGGCCAAGAAGGCGGAGGACATTAAATCCGAGAAGGCGCCAATATCCTTGCACACCGGGGTCGTTGTCAGCATCAACATGGTCAATCTTGGGGTCTTCCCCAGTTCCTTCTTTGATAACCAGATCTTCAAACTGGAAGCGCATGATGCGCAGGCACGGTTCAACGTATCCCCCGAGGACGGCAAAATACACAGTGCGCTGGGCCTCACTCTGGGACAGTTACGTGTCGCGTTGTCGGGAATCAGCCGACCCTCGTCTGCGGACATTGAGGAACTCCTGGTCAGCGAGATCGCCAATCGTGCCATTGGGTCGCGCGGGGGCACGATCCTCAAGGTGCCCCGGTTAGTGGCCAGTATGGAAACCTGGCAGACCCCGGGTATCCCACGGATCGAGTACGTCTTCCGCAGCACGTTCGAGGGGAAAGTGGATGTAGGCTGGAACTACTCGCGCATTAGTTTCATCCGGGACATGTGGGAGCGGCATTCCAATGCATTGACGTCTCGACTCGGCAAACCACTGCAGCCCTCGGCGGTTCGTATTACTCGAGCGCCGGGCACAGAAGGGGATGGTGACAAACACGACGAGAAGATCACGGCAGTGGTCAATGTGCCCCAATCCAAGTACACCTATACGGCACTGGAACCACCGGTGATCGAAACGCCGCAGCTACGGGACATGGGTGAGGCCACTCCACCACTAGAATGGATCGGACTTCAGCGGGATAAGCTGCCCAACATCACACACCAGATCATTATTGTGACATTGCTGGAGATTGCCAAGGAGGTCGAGGATGCATATGGCAAGATCTTGGGATCATCATGATCTTTCGGTTGTCGTATTGGGCTGTTGTTCTAATATACACTCTACCGACCACTGTTATCTGGGCATGGAGCCGGCGTTTCATGGTGGGGTACGGACTGTAGAGAGTCAGAGACTCTTTTTTTTTTTTTTTCTTCTTCTTCTACGGTTATCTCTGATAACCTGCATAGAACATATATCCATTGATGTACATACTTTAATCATCCCAACCGACATACATAGACCTGCATGCATGCATCAACCTATCTACCTACCTACATACATCTTTACATAAATGCTGCTGTGTACTGTACTGTAGATAGACTTTCTATGCTTGGAGCTTGGAGGGGAGATCTGTACTGGTATCGTAACATGCCACCCGAACAATACCTATTATTAAGCTTCATCTCGTTGATTTCTAACTCCGCTCTTGGGCGGTGAGGTGGAACAAAAGTCGACATCAGCACTGCCATTGGCTGGCTGACCACTCGACTCTCAAAAATTTCCTCGTTGTCCGTTTCTCGTGCAGAGGCTAACGGTTCCCGGTCTAGCGCGGGGACGTCTAGTACACTTCTTGTAACGAATAAGTGTGTCGTCGGCAGGACAGGTGGGGGTAATCTGGGTACTACTGATACAGATGGGTTACAACGTGCAGCACATCATGATATCAGTGCCGCAAACAACGCCACCCTGCTTGATGAGCAGCGGCAGCAGCAGCACAGAACCAAAAGAGAGAGTTTTTGCGAAAAAACATGTAGCTGTGACTGGTAGCTTCTGGTTCTACAGCTCTGGTAGATTGCTTGAACAACGAGTCACAGGTTGAGTCAACAGGTAAGAAGAACCACGGACAGAGAGGTCGGAGCTCAGGCAGCTTGGTTCTCTCATAGGGTACCTTCTAGTATCAGTTGAGTCAACTGGCAAACGTATCCGAGTCGGACTCCCTAGGTAGCTAGGTAGCTCTGTCATACAGCAAGGAATCATTTGCCCCCGTGGTATCTAAGCTACTATTCCGTAGATAGCTATCATGACCTCCAGAGTCTAGAGTCGTGATGGGGGGGGCAAATAGATAGATAGTTAATGAGGTAGGTACCTTAGGCATCCGTTGGTGTACCGTAAGCCGGTTCGACGGCCAGTACCAGACAGCAGGGCAAGCGGACAACCAAAACGGTAAAACGCACATCCCACCTTGCAAAATTCCCGACGACTGTACGGAGTACTCTGAATGAATTTTTTTTGGCTGCACAAATAATATTGAAGCGTCCCCACCTCGCTTTCCCTCCCTCTTTTTTTTCCCCCTCTTCCCACCACCACCAACCTTTCCTCTTCCTCTCTCCCTCTCTCTTCTCTCTTTTCTCTCCCTTCCACCTCAGCCCTCTTCCCTAGAGCAGCGCACATAGGTCCTTTGTCCTATTCAAGTTATTCAGGTCGAGCTAGTCCTCGGTCCTGATCATCTGTGTGTCGTTTCTGTTCTTGCTTTTGATTTTCTTTTCTCCCTCTTTACCTTTCTACCTTATCACACAACCCCGCCTCTAAGGCTTTGAAAAGAAAAAAAAAACCGTCAAGATGGTTAAGTATGTATAACCCTGTGTTGCAAGAATGTTCCATTGGAATGTTGTACATGTCCTTGAGGATAGTAATTCATGAAAAGTTGCTAACATGAGTGCTATAGCTTCACTATCGACGAGGTTCGTTGCGTCCCCCACCGTCTCCGTCGTCTTGAGCCGACCGTCGAGCGAAGCCATCACGAGAAGAAGAACAAAGGATGAAAGGACGATTTTTAACTGACAATGAGAATAGATCCGGTCCCTCATGGACCGTCCGGCCAACATCCGGAACATGTCCGTCATTGCTCACGGTATGTACAATCAACACCAGATAGGGGAATTTTTTTTTTCCCCTCGATGGCCGGTTTTTCGGCGATGAACTGGTAAAATCTTGATTACAAATACTAACGGACTGCGGGTTGTAGTCGATCACGGAAAGTCCACTCTCTCCGACTCTCTGGTCCAGCGTGCCGGTATCATTTCCGCCGCTAAGGCCGGTGAGGGACGTTACATGGACACCCGTCCTGATGAGCAGGACCGTGGTATCACCATCAAGTCCACTGCCATCTCCCTGTATGCCAAGTTCCCCGATGAAGAGGATCTCAAGGAGATCCCTCAGAAGGTCGATGGTGCCGAGTTCCTGATCAACTTGATCGATTCCCCCGGTCACGTTGATTTCTCGTCCGAAGTCACTGCTGCTCTCCGTGTCACTGACGGTGCCCTGGTCGTCGTCGACTGTGTCTCCGGTGTCTGTGTCCAGACCGAGACCGTCCTGCGTCAGGCCCTGACCGAGCGTATCAAGCCCGTCCTGATCATCAACAAGGTCGATCGTGCTCTGCTCGAGCTTCAGGTCTCCAAGGAGGATCTGTACCAGTCCTTCGCCCGTACCGTTGAGTCCGTCAACGTCATCATCGCCACCTACTTCGACAAGGCTCTCGGTGATGTTCAGATCTACCCCGACCGCGGTACCGTTGCTTTCGGTTCCGGTCTCCACGGCTGGGCCTTCACTGTCCGCCAGTTCGCCGTCAAGTACGCCAAGAAGTTCGGCGTTGACCGCAAGAAGATGCTTGAGCGTCTCTGGGTGAGTTCCAAAGCAAAAAAGCCACTGGACTGGATAGTTTTTGAGCATAGTCGACTAACCACTCTCCACAGGGTGACAACTACTTCAACCCCAAGACCAAGAAGTGGACCAAGACCGGTGAGCCCGAGAACCGTGCTTTCAACATGTTCATCCTGGACCCCATCTTCAAGATCTTCGCTGCTGTCAACAACGACAAGCGTGACGAGATCATGAGCCTTGTTGAGAAGCTCGACATCAAGCTCGCCAGCGACGAGAAGGACCTCACTGGCAAGGCTATGCTCAAGGTTGTCATGCGCAAGTTCCTGCCTGCCGCTGATGCCATGTTGGAGATGATCTGTATCCACCTGCCCTCTCCCGTCACTGCCCAGAAGTACCGTGCCGAGACTCTGTACGAGGGTCCTCTCGATGACGAGTGTGCCATCGGTATCCGTGACTGTGACCCCAAGGCTCCTCTCATGCTGTACGTCTCCAAGATGGTTCCCACCTCCGATAAGGGTCGTTTCTACGCTTTCGGTCGTGTCTACTCCGGTATTGTCAAGTCCGGCCTGAAGGTCCGTATCCAGGGTCCCAACTACACCCCTGGCAAGAAGGAGGATCTGTTCGTCAAGAACATTCAGCGTACCATTCTCATGATGGGCCGTTTCGTCGAGCCCATCGATGATGTTCCCGCTGGTAACATCGTCGGTCTCGTCGGTGTCGATCAGTTCCTGCTCAAGTCCGGTACCCTCACCACCTCCGAGACTGCCCACAACCTCAAGGTCATGAAGTTCTCCGTCTCCCCCGTCGTCCAGCGTTCCGTCGAGGTCAAGAACGCCCAGGATCTGCCCAAGCTGGTCGAAGGTCTCAAGCGTCTGTCCAAGTCCGATCCTTGCGTCCTGACCTTCATCTCCGAGTCCGGTGAGCACGTCGTTGCCGGTGCCGGTGAGCTGCATCTCGAGATTTGCTTGAAGGATCTCGAGGAGGACCACGCCGGTGTTCCTCTCCGTATCTCCGACCCTGTCGTCTCCTACCGTGAGACCGTCAGCGGCGAGTCCAGCATGACTGCTCTGTCCAAGTCCCCCAACAAGCACAACCGTCTCTACGTCACTGCTCAGCCCCTGGGTGAGGACGTCTCCCTGGCCATCGAGGCTGGCAAGATCACCCCCCGTGACGATTTCAAGGCCCGTGCCCGTGTCCTTGCTGACGACTTCGGATGGGATGTCACCGATGCCCGTAAGATTTGGTGTTTCGGCCCCGACACCACCGGTGCCAACTTGCTGGTTGACCAGACCAAGGCCGTCCAGTACCTCAACGAAATCAAGGATTCCTTCGTCTCTGGTTTCCAGTGGGCCACCCGTGAGGGTCCCATTGCTGAGGAGCCCCTGCGTGCTATCCGCTTCAACATCCTTGATGTCACCCTGCACGCTGATGCCATCCATCGTGGTGGTGGTCAGATCATCCCCACTGCTCGTCGTGTCCTGTACGCCGCTACCATGCTGGCCGACCCCGGTCTCCTCGAGCCCATCTTCAACGTCGAGATCCAGGTTCCCGAGCAGGCTATGGGTGGTATCTACGGTGTCCTCACCCGCCGTCGTGGTCACGTCTACACCGAGGAGCAGCGCCCCGGTACTCCTCTCTTCACCGTCAAGGCCTATCTGCCCGTCAACGAGTCCTTCGGCTTCCCCAGTGAGCTCCGCCAGGCCACCGGTGGTCAGGCCTTCCCCCAGTCCGTCTTCGACCACTGGGCTGTCCTTCCCGGCGGCTCTCCTCTTGACCCCACCACCAAGCCTGGTCAGGTCGTTATGGAGATGCGTAAGCGCAAGGGTCTCAAGGAGCAGGTCCCTGGCTATGAAAACGTAAGTTTTTTTGTCTCCCCCTACATCTCTGCCAAGGCAATTGGTACTAACTCCTCACCCTTCACAGTACTACGACAAGCTGTAAAAATGTTCCATACCCGCCTGATAGGTCTTCAACCAGTCATGGTTGGAAATCTATGTTTATGAGATTGACGAATACACCGCACTGTCTATGTTAAGGCAAAGGCAACACGAATGAGAAAAATTTCAAGACAAGACACAACCCGGGCTTGGTTCATGTCGTATGTGGATTTTCGATTACCTAGAGAGAAGTAGAATCCAGGTGTGCCACAGCATTCGATTGCTATTGGCTTTTTCTAATCTTATTTGTTACGTTTTAACGACTGCGAGGGCTCTTTACATAGTTTACTTGCTGTTCTTTTTTTGGTTGGACATGAAAAAAAGTTCATTTGGTAGTTCAAAAACTTTGCCCTTCCCATGTAGACTTTTCCACCTGTAAGCATTGCCAGGAACTGCTGCTGCAAAACCCAAGATGAAAAAATTGAAAAAACTAGATAGCCTGGTTGACAAGACTATTTCTGTGTAGTTTTTGTTGTTGCGCTGTCTGTGAGACCGACGGGGTCATGTGACTTTGCCGTCATCCGCGTTGCTCGCGTTTCCCCAGCTTCCAATGCGCAAAGCTCTGTTCACTCCCCCCTCGTCCCTGAGCCTCCACGGTGGCTTCATTCGATCTTTCGACTATTTGTATAGATAACATTCCCTCTTTATCTTCCGATTCGATTCTTACCACGTCTAGAAGACCGACGTGGCGAAAACTGGAAACAGCTGCAAGCTCCGCTTCCATTGGTGCTCGAAAATTGCCGACGTGCTCGTTCAACAACTGCTCGCATCCTGCCTCTGAAGCTTGATTCAGCCTCCGCCCGCGAACATGCAGCTCACGGAGGACGAGGCGACCGAGGTGAAGACGTGGGTTGTGAAGAAGCTGGAAGACATGTAGGTGGATTTCTCTATCCTTGCGCCCATCCAGTTGCACACCTATATAGCATGCGGTATCTTTTTCCTGGTGTTGGGAGAAGCTGACACCCCTTTTCTTGGAAATACAGCTCCGATGCCGACTCCGATGTCCTTGCCGATTATGTCCTTGCTTTGATCCGCTCCGACGCTCCGGATGATGAGATCCGGAAGGCATCAGTGGAGAACCTGGAGGATTTTTTGAGAGAGCGTGAGTGTTGGCTCTTTCGGCGCATTTTATTGAATCATCTTCTCTAACCAAATTGGCCCCGCATACAGATACTACGCAGTTTGTCGAGGAGCTCTTCGCTACATTTGCGACGCAGCCAAAGGCTCCTCCGCCCGTGTCGCAACCCCAACCCCAACCTCAGCACCCTAACGACCTTCCGCAATCCGTATCGGGTCCCCAACAAGCATTCTCCTACCCTGCAACCTCCGGCCCTGCTGCAGATGGTTATGGTGCGCAAATGGGGGGCGTGCCCCAATCACATCCGGGGCCCGACAGCTCGAATTTCAACCGGAAACGCACATTCCAAGAAGGCTTCCAGATGGATCAGGACCGCGAAGATGTGCCTCAGAACCGGAACTTCAAGACCCCCCGTCGCGGGCGTGGGGGTGGTCGAGGCGACTGGATGGGACGGGATAGCCGTGCCGCTCATGGTGCGCCAGGTCAATTCCCCCCTCCTGGTGCTGGCTTCCCGGTGATGCCTCCCTCTTTCCCAGGGTTCGATCAGAACGATCCAATGGCGGCGATGATGGCTTTACAAAGCATGGGTTTTCCGCAAATGCCAGGGATGCCTCCCATGCCCATGGCGCCGGGCGGGCCCGGTCAGCCCCAGGAGCAGATGGGGCCCAAGAGCTCGGAACGGTGTCCGTTCTATGAGACGCAAGGCATCTGCTATCTGGGTGCGGCCTGTCCGTACCAGCATGATGCCGGTCCTGGCGCTTCAAATGCAGATGGTGGGTTCCTTCAAGAGAATTCAATGAACACGCTATAGGACCTCTTACTGATAACGAACCTCTACAGAATATGATCCCAAATCAGCCAATATCATGATGGACTTCCAGAGACGAGAACCAGGTCCGATGCGTGGCAGTGACCGGGGTCGCGGTCGTGGTCGCGGCGGGGACCGGGGCGGGTTTGGAGGTCGTGGCCGTCGATCTGAGTTCTCTGCAGCTGGTCCCAGTGATGATCCATCCATCAAGACCATTGTTGTGGAGCAGATCCCCGACGACAAGCTCGATGAGGCGAGTGTGCGGGAATTCTTCTCCCAATACGGCGAGATTGCCGATATCTCATTACAACCACAGCGCAAACTGGCCCTGATCACGTTTGATAACCACGCGGAAGCCAAGCGTGCCTGGTCCAGTCCCAAGGTCATTTTTGATAACCGGTTCGTCAAGGTCTACTGGCATAAGCCCAGAGCGGAGAGAAACGGCGACCAGCGTCCTTCTGGTGATGCAATGGACGAGAGTCCAGCCTTCGATCCGGAGGGATTCCAGAGGCAGCAGGAGGAGGCGCAAAAGGCCTACGAGGAAAAGATGAAAAAGCGCAAGGAGACCGAAGAGGCCAAGCAGAAATTGGAGAAACAGCGCGAAGAGCTACTGAAGAAGCAGCACGAGGAGAAGCAACGACTCCTGGAACGGCTTGGCGCAAGCGCCGGCAGCAATGGTGCCGACTCCGCTGATGAAACCGCCCCATCCCCCGTCGACGAGAACGCAAGCGAGCAGACGAAGCAGCTCCGCGCGCAGCTGGCCGCTCTCGAGGCGGAAGCCAAAACTCTGGGGATTGACCCTAGTCAGGAAGCAGGCGGCTACCGCGGTCGCGGACGGGGATATGCGGGCTACCGAGGAGGCTACGTACCGCGCGGTCGCGGGCAAGCGCCGCCATTCCGCGGAGGCTATCGTGGTCGGGGTGCTGCGCGCGGGCGAGGCGGTGTCCTGCGTCTCGACAACCGGCCCAAGAGAGTCGCCGTCGCTGGCGTAGAACTGAACTCCGAGAAGGACGAAGCGCTAAGACAGTTCCTCATCGTAAGCAACAACATCCCTTCCCTTTCCTCCACCATAATATCCTTTCCCCTGTAGCAGAGCAGATCAAACTAACGAAACCTACAGGGCGCCGGCGAATACGAATCCATCGAACCCCACCCGGACCAGCCCAACTCGGTCGTTGTGGCCTTCAAGGAACGCTACCAGGCGGAGAAGTTCATGTTCGGGCCATGGAACATCCCCTCCGTCGGCGAGGTCCAGCTCACCTGGGTCCCTAACCCACCGATCAGCGTCAGCATGCCCACTGCGGCATCCGACGCCAAGACGGCATCGGACGAAGATACGGTCATGGAGTCTGCAGCTGGCTCGGGACTGGCCGTGGAGCAGCGCAAGGATGGAAATCATGATGTTGACTACGACGTTGCGGAAATGGACGACAACTGGGGCGAGTAGATATTATTCTCGATGCGCAGAGGGGGATGCAAAAAGGATGAGGTTGTCATGTATGAATGCGATATCATGGTTGGGCGTTCTATGTTTGAATTCCTCTTTTTTCCACCTCAAAAAAAATGCGGATGCTAGATTTCTTGTGCGCATTGGTTCTACACTTTGTGCTGTCCTGTGGAACTAGGACGGTTTCAATACAGTGCAGTCAAGACCTGGTAATATCAGGTCCATATACAGCTTCAACAAAATACCAAGTCATGTAAGTGCGGCCGCAGGCGAAACTAAAATTCACTGCATGTTCTGCGGGATCAACTCAACAAGATATCCATCCTGTAATCAGACATCAGCACGATCCAGCGGGTACCTGCAGCAAAGAAACCCAACCACTACAACGCAAGGGGAGGAAAGGGCGCCAAAAGAGGAAGAAAGAAAGCAAAAAAAGAGGGGGAAAAAAAGAACGTACCGGATCAGCCACATAAGCAATCTGGTCAAAAAGCCGTTTATATTCCGGATGGATGTCGCCGACCCCCACTCCCCTCTCCGCCTCCCAGTCGCTTAGCGGGACGCTCTCCCGCGAGCTGTCCCCGAGCTCCTTCACGATAGGCACACCCTCACGCCGCAAGCGCTCCACGGCGGCGGGGACATCCGGGACCGTGAAGCCCAGGTGTCCGAAGCCGAGGTGCGGCGGCGTGTTGCCCGTGGACATCTCGAGGCCGCCGTCCGCGGCCGCCTTCTCCGTCCCGTGCACGTGGTACATCTCCAGCAGGCCGGGCGTCTGCGCCAGGACGTGCGGGTTGGCGACTCGGGCGGCCCAGGCGGGCAGGTTGGCGCGGTCTTCCGCGGTGGACGGGTAGCCGAGATAGTAGAGGGTGAAGGGCCCGGCGTTCATGGTGAAGACGGTGCGCATGCCCATGAGGTCAATGTAGAAGTGGAGCGAGCGCTGCGGGTCGCGGATGCGGAGCATGAAGTGGTTCAGTTTGAAGCCGGCCGTGGGGCTGTGTTCGGGGAGCGCGGGGTCATTGTTGTGCCCGCCGGGCAGGAAGACGCCTGGTTCGAAGGGAGATGAGGAAGGTGAGGTGGGAGTGTGCTGTGCGCTCATTGTGGTGACTGTTTGGTATGGGGCCTTGCGATGTTTGGCCCTTGAGGAGAGATCTGTTTGATGAACTCGACTATCTCACAATGCGGGGCAATAAAAAATCCCAATGGTTTTGGTGATGGATAAAGTGTCAAGGGGGTCCGGGGGGGGGTTGTGCATCAAACGAAAGATCAATTCTTGCAGGGGTTTGAAACTGTCACAATATAAATAGCAAGATACCCCAGGTAGTTGCAGGTGTATAGAAGCAGTTGAGTCCCTTGTAACTGTCCCCCTCGGGGAGATGCATCACTGCCGGTAATGCCCCATACAAGACGCCAATTTGACCCATAACCCCGCCATGATGGCGATCAATGCTAGAGAGAACGATCAATGATATCCCATGCCACTGTGAGACGACCTTAATGAACCAGGTATTCTCCAAAACACCAACGAAGGGTGAAGATATCGTACGGCGCTGGCCAACAGCGAATTCGCTTCACCGTCCGTGATTGGAAGCTGGAAGTCCCAATAGGTATTTCTCTAACTTAAAGAGACAAACTTGAGCTATATGCGAATTTTGTAGTAAAGATGCCCGTCACAGCGCCATGATAATGAGGGAGGCTTATAGAAGATGAGACTTGCGAGATGCGGTAGGTGGAAGATATATCATCACTTTCGCAAGGAAAATGCTCCAAAGATGCCATTATATGGTCGAAAAGAAGGCCGGTGAGAAGAATATGGGGAGAGCCATCGCCAAGAAGACCAAAAACCAAGGCAAGGTCTATATAATGATCTAGCGAGTTTGTTCAATGAAGGCTGCTGGTGGACAATTTGGGAGGCTCATGTCGCTTGAAAGCGACGACGTGCAGGCTTGTTGTCCTCTTCGCTGTCGGTATCTTCCATCTGGTCCAGCATACGATCGATCTCGTCACCAGCTTGCGCCTCTAGGCACCGAGCTCGTTCCAAAGGCCCCGTTGCAAGTCGACTAACTTCTCCCTCCGCCTGAGAATCCTGAGACCGACTATGGGTAGTGCTTGATCCAGCGGTTATTGAAGTATTGCTGAGGTGAGAGGCACTTTGTTGCCGCTGCGAATGGGGATGATACGCTGAATTACCGGGACTGGACATGAAAAGTAACGTCTCAATTGCGTCCTGCTCCATTGACGCATTCCGAGAATGAGTAGACTGCCTGGAAAGACCGTAGTATGGGGTAGAAGTGACCTGCGATAATGGCTGGAGGGGAGGGGTTCCAGGAATGAGCACTTTCTGTGAGCTGTCACTCGGATCGAAGGTCTCTGTTCGATGTTGAGAGTATCGCCTCTGACCGAAAGAAGAATGATGTGGCGAAGGGGCAAGCATTTGATTTGGGTTTGATCGTCGCCGGCGACTGCTGCTACTTGGAATGATATCTGCCGGAGGCGCCAATTTCGGGGTCGCCGATGGCTTCTTGGGCGATATTTGAGATATCGGCGCTTGTATTGGATGCGAAGTGGATGAGAGATCTTCAGAACGGGCAGCAGGGGAAAGTCGAGCAGTGCTATCTAAAGGGTGCAAATGGGACTTGGTTAGCAGATCTGGCGCGGAAACCGTAGAACCATCGGGGGAATCTTCTTTCAAAAGGCGCGGACTCTGTATCCTGTCGGCATGGGTGGGTGGATTCAGAATGTTTGAGGAGGTATCTGAAATATCCTGCAGTAAATCCAGCGGCAGTCTGGTTTGGGCATCGAGCGACTGCCGGTTTTTTTCTATCTGGGCAGCGGCATAGGATAGTCGCGTACGAAGATGAACAGACAACTATAGAATTGAGATCAGCGATATCAGATTACAACAAACATATCATTACAAAGTCAATTTACCGCGGCAATCCTACTTCCATGGGAGGAAGACTGAGCATTTCCAGCATGGTAGGTTTCCGAGCCATCGACACCTGCGCGAGCAGGTGCTATTGAAGTTTTTGACAGCTTAATGTCGCCTGTTGCAGTCCTTTTGCGACCGGCAACAAATCGAGGTAAATTGTCAAACCCTGAAGAGGAACCACCCCTCTCTTGCCCTGCGTGGAGAGACAGACTGGGTGTTCGCGATTGTCCGTCGGGTATAGAGTATTCAGACGGAGCTTGCGACGAACGATCATGAGCGGAATCATGCTTTGGCGAGGTACATATCGGTTGCGGGCGTGAAGCAAAGCTTCCAGGATGTATCGCAATATCCGGCAGATCACTTCTGGAACCATTCTTTGATGACACGTACTCTGTGGAAGACATCGCGGGTTGCGACACTGGAGGCGGTGGATAGTTCATAGTGTGCTTTGGACGATCGGATTCCGTGCCTGTCGCCGGGGCCTTCTGAGTGTTTAGACCAGCAACTGTGCCGTCAATCGGACGAGCCACAAGCAGCGAACCTGGCTCTGAGAGATGCATATCAAGCCGCGACGATCCGCCCATTGCGATCGAGCCGCTCGCGCACCCAAACGCCTATCCAGGCTGGCAACCTTCCACTGGTTCCGAAGACAGAAACAACTACTTTCCGTCCTCAACAGCAGTCGAAAGAGAATAGCTTCAACGGCTTCGATGGTAATGCTCCCTCCAGGTAGCGTTTACTTCCCTGAACCAGCCAGGGAGGGGGAGGGGGCCACCGATCTCAAGTGGCACGAGTGAGCGTATTCCGGCCCGCACTCAGAAGACGCAGCGAGAAGCAGACAGAACAAGTCGCGATTGGCTCCAAGAGGCGCATTTGGCCCGAAAGATTCTTCAGGTTGCTGCAAGGAGGGGTTCTGTCTTAGTGTTGTAACTTGTAGCTCCGACTTGCACGCGCAAGGCGTGTAATTGCGATTTGCGACAGTTCGAGCGGCAACTGAATTGACCATTCAACTGTCAACAACTCTGATCTCCACACAGCGTCACGTCCCGTTAGATCGGAGCCTGTCAACAGCAGTCGGTTGCCATGGGTATGGACTATGGAAAGGCGGAGTTAGGAGACACCTCGCTTCGAGGATTATATAGATATCATTCTCCAAGATACCACGATCCAGAGCTCACCGGCCAGGCTTTCCAGTCCTCTGTACGGAGTAGTCTGTACAGCCAGGAATCACTGCTGGATGGCCGGAGACGCGTGCGCGCCACGGTCACGTGTCCGTCGATGCGTTGGTGCTTGATTAGCTAATCCTGATACCTGAGGCCGAAGCTGGAAGGATCACGTGATTATGATGTTCCCAAAGATGAGATTCAGAGTCTATCATCAGATGGTGGACCACTGGTATAAACGGATCGATGGGGAGATATGCTGCTATATAACAGGAGTCTTTGAGCAGTAGAAAATAGTATTTACCAGCAGATAGAGTCAAACAAACGCCACCCACCATGCGATACATGATATATGTACGTAGGTACTTGAATCATACCCATTGCAGGAGAACTTTTTGACAACCAGACAAACCCATGGGATATTGAACAAGACAAAGAGGCAACAGAAAACCCAAAGAAGCGCTGATCATCACCTGCGCTTCTTCCCACCTCCGCCTTCTGAGTCTTGAGCCTTCCGCTTCCTACCCTCGCGCCGCCAGTACTCATCACGCTCCCTCTTCTCTCGTTCCGCCTTCTTCTCCAGGCTTTCCGCAACCTTGGCACGGTACACCTTGCGTCTCTCCTCTTGCTTCGCGGCACGTTTGGCCTGCTTCTCGTTCCGCATGGTCGTGAGCTTCTGCATGAGATCCCGCGCCTTCTTCTCTTCGCCGCCAAGCACCACGGCACGCTTCTGCATGTAGGTCTTGTCCTTGTGTCCCTTCATCTTGGTGATCTGGGACTTAAAGGGAAGATCCGCAGCCAGCTGTCGAGGCACTCGGAGCGGGTTGAAGTTACGGGTAGGTCGCTCAATCGCGTGGTAGGCGGAGTCCTTGTTCTGAGGAGTGGGGATTCCCTTCTCACGGCGCACCTCACCGGTCAGACGCATTCCCTGCCATCCGTTATCGCCAGTCCCGTCTTCCTCCAGATCAAGTAGATTGGTCACAGGATTGTAGAAGCGATGGGGTTTGATCGGATACCATGCGCGCAGGAAGATGATATCGCTCATCAGGATCTTATCTTCGAACGTGGCACGGAAGCACCCCTCGGGCTTGCTCAAAGCGCGCTTGATCTGACCGCGGATACCGGAGACGGTTCGGATCGAAGCACCCTCGAATTTGGCAATTTCAAGCGACGTGTTGAACATGTCCCGAATGAAGGCGGTGTTCTTGAAGATCTTGTAAGGCACACCGGTAAGCTTCAACTTCTTGACGATCTCCGTGTGTTCGTCCACATTCAACACCACACCGGTAGCCGCAATCCGGAAACCGGGGGTCTTGTTCGAGAGTGACTGGACACAGCTGAAACCTGTGTTTGGCGCCACAAGGGGTCCGTAAAAAGTGCCGAAACAATGCATATGCTCGGGAGTGTATTTGAGCATGCGGTTTCGTGTTCGACTGTCGGATGTGCTGTAGATGGGGAGGGCTTGGAAGCGACGCCAGCCAAGCGAGAAGATCAGAGGATCGTTGCTCTTCAGGATCTTCTTGTGCCAGCGGTGTCTCTTGATCCGGACCTGCACGTAGCCAAACCGATCCTCTGTCGGGGCCAGGCCACCGACAATCACGGGGAATCGAGGGTTGAACTTGGTCGCGAATTCGCAAGGCACATTCTCAAGCACAACGCGTGCATATGTTCCAGCCTTGAATCCCTCAGCTCTAGCTCTTGAAGCCGGATCAAGAGTATCGAACTCCGCACGGTTGATATCTTGCTGCTTTTGCATCTTCGCCTTCTGCAGCTCGTACCATTGATCCTCACCGAACTCTTCTTCGGCCGCTCCTCCCTGTCGCGCATTATCTTTCGAGTTGGCAAAGCCTTCGCGATCTTCCTCTTCGAATCGCAACCTCAACTCTTCTTTCCTCTTCGCGTTACGCTCACGCTCGGCTTCAAGATCAGCGGGCTCCTCCTTGTTCTCAGCACCTTCGTCGTTTTCGTTGTCTGAGAGTCCGTTGAACTCATCATCGGCCTCGAGATCTTCGAACTCGCCGTCTCCCTCGTCGTCTTCGTCGAAAGCATCATCAAGGTCCTCATCGTCGTCCTCATCTTCATCGTCGCCGCGGGATAACTTGGCTGTGGCGAACCGGCTCCGCAGAGCCTCGATCATCTCACTGTCTTGCCATTTCTGTTCTAGCTTCTCGTAATCGAATTCCGGAACGGCGCGATAATCCGATCGCTCCTCCTTCTCAGTGTTGGTCTTCTTGAAGAAATCGTCCTCTTCTTCCGGTTCCTCATCTTCGATATCTTCTTCCGCGTCGTCGTCGTAGTCACCACGCCATCTCTTCACCACATCTGCTGGGGCAATGGATTCGTCGTACATCATCCGTGAGAGGTCAGCAGTACGGAACTTTGGTCGCTTGCCATGAAGAGCCTTTGCATTGGCGATCATGTTCTCCTTCCAGCGAAAAGCACCATCCTCATCCTCGTCCACATCATCCTCATCGACATCGCTTTCCAACTCTTGGTCCTCCACAGACGAAATTGAGCCAAGATCAGAATCGCTATCGGCAAACTCAAGATCATTCTCATCACGCTTTGCGCTGCCGTTCTGTCTCTCCCTGAAGTTCGCTGCAAAGTCTGCTGGAGCAGATACATCCAGATCGCCTTCCTCGTCATCGCTGAGGTCTCCCTCTTCGTCCTCATCAAGTTCTTCATCTTCTCCACTCTCGAACCCTTCATCATCATCATCCTCAGCCAAATCCTGCTGATCACGCTCCCCTTCCATGATTCTCACTCTTCTCCTCTCCTTTCTGCCAACGTTCTCATCTTCGTCCTCTGCCTTGGCGATGGCCTCACCACCGCTGAAGAGGCGGACACCGCCATCGGCCTCACCCAGCAGTTTGCGCTCACCCTGTAAGCCGACCACAAGTTGTTCTCCCAGACCGCGGTCTTCGTCATCGTCGCTGTCACCTCTTTCGAAATTTGAGGTTTTCACATCGATATAGACGGCATCCTTATCGACCAAAACACCACCAACGTCTGACATGGGAGCAAACAAGAGCTTTTGCTTCTCGCCTAGCCTGCGCTTGCTGCCTTTGCCAGATGATTTGGCAATTTGCTGGTCCATGTAGGGAGTGGGGCACGGGTCGGGAAGAGACTCAATGCCAGCAACCGTTAAGTCACCCACACCAGGAACGTGGACTCGGGCACCTTGAGCGGGGAAGTTTGTTCCTCTCAGATATCCGTAGAGAGCGATGGTACGGTCACATTTGGGATTTTCTTCGATTTGCGTAGGCGGTGTAATATCCAGGAAACGATCCGCAAGAGCGTACGGGTGAGAGTTACGCCAGATCAAAGGACGAGGATTCTTCATGACGGAAAGGAAGCGGGAGAGATTGTGGATTTCGCGGTCAGGATAGCGGCCGTTCACCACGCCGGACAAATAGAACAGCTTGGCACCATTGTAGAGCTCGCTCCAGAAGCGCTGCTTCAATCGCTTTTTCGCCGCGCGAAGAGTGCTCGGTTTCTTGAACAAATCTAGATGTGTCAGAATGCCGAACACGTTTCCTGGCATACCACTGGAGGCCAAGACGTTGAGGAACTCCATAGTCTCCATCTCAAAACCATAATTGCCGTCAATCATCAAGAGTACAATGTCTGCGATCTTGGAAACATCGATCATGCTGGCTAGAGAGTCGGAGGGGCATTCGAAGATAGTAAGACGTCGCCGTTTCGCCGTCACCACAGTTAAGGGTCCCTTGGGTGTGCTGAGGGTCTGTTTCGTATACCGGCGAATCAAAGACTTCACGAGAGTGGTTTTTCCAACCTGTACGATAGTAATCTGTCAGACGACTTTCTTGTGTTTTAAGCATTATTGATAAACAGCAGTTGAAAGAACTTACACCTGGAGGTCCAACCACTGCAACCACAAGCGGCGGCGCCTCCTCAGGCAACCGATCCACCAAAGGCACATGAAGCCTTTTCTCGTTTATCTGGATAGGTCATGATGGTCAGCGACTAGATTCTGCGTAGGTGAATGGCAGGAAGCATACATCATGCGAGCGCGCGGCTTGTCTGCCACCTTTTCCGGGATTCGAAAAAGCGAATGCCTTGGGGTTTTTACCTAAATACACCCCATATCATGTTAGCATGCCGCTCCTAAGAGAGTAGATGTCATGTTGAGGCTCTCGAAGTTTGTAAATCAAGAAAACGGAGCTTGAGCATACCCTCATATTTCTTCTTCTCCTTCGCGGGCCGATGCGCCCTGTTCGATTGGTCGTCCATGCTGGATATTTGAGGTCTATGACCTCTCAGGAAAGAGTTTCCTGTGCACAGAGAAAATTTCACCACAAAACAAAGCGAAACCAACGAGCTGTTCTTGAACGATTTGCTATCAAGCTTTCGGCCAAAATTATTATTTCCTTTTTCGCCGGGGCGGAATTTCTCCCCGCCGATATCCATTAAAAAAAAGTTTCTGCTGGATGCCTGAGGCGGAAAGAACATGATTACTCATCTGGAATCCTTATCGCTGTATCGGACCCGCTTCGGGCCGGCCATCAATTGATAAGGGCCGTGCCCTAAGACACCGGGCCGGCCATGTCTGGAGACTGGAGGTGGATGGAGTCCCCAGTATCCATCTCGTAAACCAACTAAGTTACTAACCATAAATCGAGAGGCAGATTAAACTTGGGGTAGAAGCGCCGAGCGGGGCTCGAGATAGCATACGAATGATACGATGTTACGATATGCGGCCGTTGTCGGACCATGGCCGCGCCGGCTTTCTATTAAAGCCTGAGGTTAGCCAGGTGAACGGGCATTTCAAGCAGACCTGTTTGAGATCAACAGTCAACCTAGGACAGCTCTCTGTGTTTCGAAATCAAGATGTCTACTCCACGTCGGCCTCCCCCCGCATACACTGCCGCCAAGGATTCGGCAGTCTATGGCACGTCCCAGTTCTACCGGACCGTGTCGGAGACTGCCTCTGGAGAAACTGAGCGGATTCTCGAGTCATCATTTACCATTCGCCCCTGCTCCGGACAAGCGTGGGTGGTGCCCGCGGGCCACATCTGTCGTTTAATTACACCCAACGGGCCTCAAGTGGGCGACCTCAACATCTGGAATGCGAACAACCCCCGGGAACGACTCTGGGCCGCGCGCACGCGTCAGATTCACGCTTCCCATGTCTCTGTAGGCGACCGCCTCTGGTCCAACCTCCCATATCTACGGCCGCTAGTCACCATCACGGGAGATTCGCTCAACGGCGGACAGCTACACGAAGTGTTGGATGTTAATGGCCGGAGGAAGGAGGGTGTCGGCTTCGGGACGTCACGATGGGGTGGACGGGTTCACGACCTGCTGGGAACCAGGTGTGATCCTTACGTCAACCTGCTAATGGGTGGGGAGCCTTTTGACTTCCACTGCCATTCGAACTTGACGCGCGCAGTGTTGCCTTATGGATTGACGGAGCTGGACGTGCATGATGTGCTCAATGTCTTCCAGGTGACAGGTCTAGATGAGGAGGGGAAGTACTTCATGGAAACCTCGCCGGCCAAGCCTGGGGAATATTTCGAGTTCTTTGCCGAAGTGGATGTTCTCTGCGCACTTTCGGCTTGTCCTGGAGGTATCATCTCTCACCAATCACTCTCGCGTCAAAAGTGCAACTGCTAATGGATGATGTAGGTGACTTGTCTCAATGGGGCTGGGAAGAGAAGGGCGAAATGGGGTCTACAACCCGTCCTCTGGGTGTAGAGGTGTATAAGCTGACCGATTCAAAGAAGCTCGAGGGCTGGAAACAGCCTGAGAGTCCCAAGTATGCCGGAATGCATGGCCTACAGATGCCTCCCCGGGAGAATGATGGATCCGGCTTTGTTGGTTTGTAGTTGTGATGTTGCAGGCCACTTGCTGGATCTGAGTTGACCATATCAACATATCTGACGCCATACTCCATGCTCTCTCTCTCTCCCTCTCTCTCTCTTCTATCTCGGATCGGATGTAGTGCGAAACGGGCGTTTCTGCATAGTTATTAGTATAACGTTTGACGTCCAAACGCAAGAACCGCGCTATCTAAAGTCCAACCGCGACTGAAGCTGCTTCATCTCTACTATTCTATCGCACCTGGTTTCTCGACTTGATATAAAACCTCAAACAACTTGGCAGCTGCCTGTTGGTGTTTATCGCCAGTACCGGTGTCTTGCACACGACACGCAACTTTCCGCCCTGCGGATCAACCCCGTGGTAGAACCAACCGCACAAATATCATTCATTAGTGGTCTTGAATAGCTTGATAATGAAGATTGCGCTGTAATGAAGGCCGCTCTGATGACCTCCTCCACTACCAACCATCGCTGCAACCTCGGAACTAGACCAAACTGTAGTCATGGAGCTAATCTGAAGACGAAGGCCTCATCAAGCTTTCATTCGCCACCAGTCCCGTCGGCTCTGTCCAATTTTGCGGGGAAACTGGCTTCCTGGGTCTAACGAGTCGTGAAGCCTTCACGCCAAAGTCTTGACTCCGTCTTCCCCGCAGTCCTGTCGATGATCCTTTCAGGGTTGATACGGCTGGTTCCGTGATTCCGTTTGAATTGATAGTGCCGAATGATATGGATTGGGAGAGATCGCTGGGATGTTGATAGCAGGCTCGGAATGATAAGGCGATTCCGAGCCCGTCGTGCTGCCTATCTCGTTGCGCGAAGGTGTTAGTCTCCGTACGTTGTAGGTCATGGCCATCAATCTAACTCAAGCCGTTGAGTCGAATCGTCCCTGTTTAGGCGATGCGTATCAGGATCTGGTTGCCACAGAATGAGGGGGTTGGGTTATGGGGGGAGAAGGACGCTGGTAGAAAAATGCATATCTCGACAGAGCACATCCTACCCATCTCATATCCTCGACTAGTATTCGACCATCTTCTATGACAATGGCAACAGACACCAAAGACTCCTACTCCAAGGCAGCCGCAGATGCGTCTCCCGAGATTGAGCTGGCCAATGGCCAGCTCATCGTGGGCCTCCCCGACATGCCCATGAAGCGCAAGTTCAGTATCCTCAGCATCATCGCCGTAGGCTACAACATCTCTAACAGTTGGGTTGCTATTGCCGCGAGCTTCGCCATTGCTATCCAGTCTGGTGGTGCCGTATCGCTGCTCTATGGGATCGTGGCCGTCACCGTTGCCATGTTGTGCACGGGAATCACGCTCGCCGAGCTGGCCAGTGTGTATCCCACGGCCGGCGGACAGTACCACTTCACCTCCATCCTGGCTCCAGAGCGCTGGAGTCGGAGTCTCTCGTACTTCAGTGGGCTTGCAGCTGTCTTCTCATGGATCACACTGGGGGCGTCGATTGCGCTGGCGGCGACCCAGGCTCTTATGGCGGTTGTCATTCGATGGCAGCCAACATACCAGCCCCAGGCATGGCATTTCTTCCTGGTCTATCAACTGTTCAACATCGCCATGGTTGTCTACAATATTTTCCTGACCAACAAGACGCTCTGGATATACAACGTTGGCTGTACGTCCTCCCTTATCGTATCTGTGCTCTTCTCGTCCTCACATTGACTCTCTACAGTCCTCCTATCACTCAGCACCTTTCTCGCCATCACGATCACCTGTCCCGCTCGCTCCTCCACCCCCGTCGACTCCTGGCATATCTGGACAAAGTTCGTCAATGGCTCTGGCGGCTGGCCCGACGGCATCTCCTTCCTCACAGGCCTCTCCACACCCCAATTCATGCTCTCCGGCCTCGACGCAACCCTCCACCTCGCCGAGGAGTGTCTCGAGCCCGAACGCATCGTCCCAAAGGCCGTCCTCACGACCGTCGTCGTGGGCTTTCTTACCGCATTCCCCTTCTCCATCGCTGTGATCTACAGCTACCGAGACGTCGGGTTATCCCTGACTACTCCCACGGGGTACCTCTCCCCTCCCTCTCCCGCATCCAGTAAGAAAGCAGAAGCAACTAAACATCAGCAGCTTCCCCATCTACTTCATCTGGGAAAAAGCCACCCGCTCCCCCACCGCCGCATCCGCCTTCATGGCTGCCCTCGTCCTCATCTCCTGCGTCGCCCTCACGGCAGTCCACCAAACCGCCTCCCGCCTCACCTGGTCCTTCGCCCGCGACGACGCCCTCTTCCTCTCCCACCGCCTCGCCGCCGTCCATCCCACCCTCGGCATCCCCGTCGCCGCCCTCCTCCTTAACGGATCCCTCGTCCTCCTCGTCGGCATCGTATACGTCTGCTCTACAACAGGTACTCCCTTCCCCCAAGCTCCCACCGCGGGCATCCAGCAAGCTGACACCCCAGTAATACGCAGCCTTCAACGCCTTCATCAGCACAACCGTCATCGTCGCCCAGATCTCCTTCGCCGTCCCCGCGGCCTTGCTCCTCTGCCGCCGCCGCAGTGCGGCATATCTGCCCGCCACCCGCGCGTTCCGTGTTCCGACGTTTGTGGGCTACGTGTGCAACGTCGTCTGTGTGCTGTGGGCGGTCGTGATAACGGTGTTTTTTACGTTTCCGACGAAGTTTCCCGTGACCGGGGGCAATATGAGTAAGTTACATCCTTATCTCTTGTGTGGTTTTGGATGGGTGGGCTGCGGGTGCTAATGAGTGACAGATTATGCGGCTGTGGTGCTCGTCGCGATGCTGGTTCTGGGGGTGGCGAATTGGTTCGTTTATGCGCGGAAGCATTATCATGGGCCACGGTTGGATTTGTAAACTCTTGTTTGGTTCAAGGAAGGAATTGTTGATTATGTATATACTTGTAGCGGCGTTGTCGCAAATATATACACATACATATATGTAAACATCTACAGAGTCTTCAGAACAGCCACGCTCAGATTCGGCAGCTTGAAGTCGAAGACGCCGCGTTTGCCGGCCCGCAGGGTCGATACCTTGCGGTGGACTAGATCGGCGCCGCCAACCTCGTTCATCGAGACGGCGTCCGGGGCCGTGAGCACGGTCAGCTGCGCCGTGGTACCGGGGCGGACGCCGTCGAAGGTGAGCGAGATAGGCACGTCGGCGGTGCTGTTGTACACGGCCGCCTTGAAGATGTGCGTGTTGGTGCTGTTGTCCAGGCCGGCGACGTAGTACAGGGGTCCGAAGTCGTCGGAGGCCTTGGTGGGGAGGGTGTTGGTTATGTGGTTGTGGGAGAAGACCTGTAGGAGTTAGCATGGGGACGAGTTGGGTGAAAAGTAGGCGTAGGCGTACATCGTAGAGATGCCAGCTGGTGGACCTGGCTGTCTGGTCCGGGTTTGAATTGAAGGCAATGAGTGTTGGTGACCAATGGTAGTTGTCTAGGTTCATGAGCAAGGGTGCCTTTTCGTGTTCATCAGGCCTTGATCAAATTCACGCCTGTAGAGAACAACTTACGTATGTTGTGCCGATGATCTTGTTGGCGTTTCTCTCCGTACCAATAAGGAGCACGGCCTCGGCAACAGTTCCAATCCACCAAGGATACAGTGAGAACTTCGTGATGCCCCAGTCGATTCCGTGGCCGTTATTCTGCACCGTGGCGGCAACTTCACCTTGACAACATTAGACATCACTAACATAGACATCGACGTTACTCACCAAGCAGAATCGGATGATCCTCGGAGAAGTTATCGAAAAAGTTGAAGCGAGAGACAAAGTTGTCCGGGACATCATACAAATGGTAGTCGCCACCAGCCTCATCAGGCAAAGTCATATCGATAGTCGAGGCAATGACAGTGATATCGGGGTATTTGGCTTTGATTCCATCATAGAAGGCCTGGAAGCGGTAGGACTTGTACGTGGCCAATCCGTTGCTCAGGTTGTCCTCGTTGCCGACCTCAACGTACCTGATGTTCCATGGTTTCGGATAGCCGAGGGACGCGCGAAGTGCACCGTACTTGGTGTCGACGGAGCCAGTGAGGAACTCAATCTCGTCCAGAGCATCTTTTATGAACATACCGAGCTCTGACTCGGGGATTACGTCGCCGTTCAGAGCAAGACCAGCCCAGACCGCGAGGACTGCTCATGGTCAGTGATAGCCGCTTGGCAACATGAGTAACTTACTAGGTTCGATTTCCAGATTATCACACCATTCCATGTACTCGATCAGACCCAAGCCGGGTCTCTTGGTATCCCCAGGTCGTGGGACGACCAGGTCGGTCCTTGAGGGGACCAATCGTTTCGTTCCACTTCCACCGGGTTTCGATAGTCTCGCCCTCGAGGTTATTTCCACCAGGGAAACGGAGGAATTTCTAGACTTGTCGTTAAAAATGCTGAGACGTAAGCCCGCGGCCAGTATACTCACGGGTGCAAAGTCTTTCATGGCTTGCATCAGATCTTTGCGAAGACCATTCGGGCGGTCGTTCCAGGTAGGCGGGAACAAACTGATGAGATTGAAATCCAGAGCGCCACCCTCAGCTTTCTACAAACAGACAAGATTAGCATGGCTCTTGACACACTCTTGAGGAACTTACCGAAGCATCAAAAGTGATGGAGAAAGTATTGTTTGTATTCGGAGGAGGTGAATGCGGGACAAGGGTAAAGCTGTGCTGCGTCCATTCATCTCCAACACTGTGCGAGGTCACCTTCGTACGGGCAAAGACCTTTCCATTCGTCGATGACTGAAGGGACGCCGTGAAGCTTCCCATGTAGGCACCCTTCACGTAGAAAGGCCCGGTATACTTCTGCGGTCTGACATCGATGCCCCACCAGCCCGAATTAGCGAGACCAACTTCACCCTTGCTGCCTTTGACGTTCACCGAAGTAGGTAGCGTAGAGGACAGAGGATCGCTAAGATTCTTGAGAGAAAGCGTTGCTCCGTTGACGGTGGTCCATGCGTCCAAGTTGGAAGGCTACTTAGATCCTCCCTGGAACGCGCGATTGCGGATCAACTCTGCATAGAGACCTCCTTCGCCGCAATGATTGATATCCTATATACGTTTTTAGTACTTCCGCCGTTCCCACTAACAATGGATAGGTGAGCTTACCTCCTCCATGATACCATACTGCAGGCCAGTCGTCACATTGCCTCCAAACGACGCGACAGAGATCTTCACGGCAGCGGAGCACGCCGCGAGAAGCGGGAGAAGCAGGAGCTTAGGCAGCACCATGGTTATGTCTGCACGAGAGCCGATCACAGTCTGCAGATCTGGTCGATTGGCAGCGTATTGTGCAATATGCAGCATATCTCAAGGGCATTATATACAGTTCCCATCCGAGCATCTGCGAGGATACCTCCTCATTGTGCATGAGTATTGTCGCTGTACCCCTCATCAGAGCGTACGGTTGTGGGTCAACTGAGAGAAGCATGAAGCCTTGAATCCGAGGGAAAATAAGAGTGCTTTGCAAGCGAATGCCTTTAAGCTTCCGGTTCTGGAAAAACTCTATGAGGGGTGGACCGGGGTGATCTTCGGGGCCTTTCCTAACAGAAACCGGTATTTAGCCGGGTTGCATGATGCCAATGCATGGGGAGCAGGATAGCTGGAGAGTTGAACAACGACGATACACCCAGAGTCCGTATGAAGGGCGGTGATGAAGGAGAGAGATCCAGTTTATTTCGACTGGACAGCTATAATGTCCTAGAACTCATGATTGAGGGTGCTGAAGCCATCGTCTGTGGCTGATATTGGCATCAAAATAGACACATTCTCCCCCAGTAGTCTATTTCGAAGTGACTGATCAGGGAGAGTCTAGGACGGGTGAGAACGGGACACCCCGACGTATCCTCTTCCAGCTCCATGTTATCGGTCTTGCTTTGCCAAATTAAAGAAGACCGGGTAATGGAAAATCATCGGAGTATCTGTGTCCACTTGTCATTGTTGAAGGTCGGACTATTGATGCTTCGAGGTGATGGGATGGAGAAGAGAACGATGGCGTTTCTCTATGTGGAGCAGACGGGCTCCATTTCTCCGTCTGAGCGTTCGTCATTAATCTCTCCCTTTCTCTCCACATCTCCAGTCGATTATAATTCATCCTTCCTGCTTGGGGATATAATCTCTGGCCGGCATATACAGTCATCGTTGCATTCTCCCAGAGATCGAGTCGAGAAAAGCTACTGGTGTTGTCTGGTTTTGAAGACAGTGTCCATATTGTTACAATCAAGCGAGGGAGTCTAAAGATGAGCATACAGTCAATCGATACAGCCGAAAGGCATCTCAAATGCCGGCATGAGCGTGAATGACAGCGATTCAATCTCAATCTCGAGTTCACCTGCGTATGTTAATTGAAAAGGAAAATAAATCGTAATTATAAGCGGCTCGAAATGAAAGCTACCACTCCGTGGTCTCCTACCACCTATCCCCAGAGTCGTTTTCCATCAAGAGAAAAAAAAAAGGCAATATGCAAGACAACAAATATAAGGGCATAAAACCGGCAGGAAGACATTTTACGCAGATGGTTCCATATGAAAAGCAGAAGATCAGATGGAGAACCTAGTGCTTCCTCGTTTCCCCAGAAACCTGCGGCACGCAATAGTATTGGAGTATCGTCGACGTCGTGGATCGTGGGACTTAGCACATTTCGCAGCATTCGATGCAATCGAAACAGCACTCGCAGGTCTCTTCGCACAGGAAACAACAGCAAAGGGTGGCGAGACTGGCGAGACAAGAAGAGTATCAGCTATCCGCTCTTTGCGATCAAGTAGATGGCCGCGTGGAGGGAACTTACCAAGCACCTAGACATCCACGATCCTTCTTCTGAGGAGGAGGCTGTTGCTGGTATTGCATCGGTTGCTGCGAGCGACATCAGTTCTCGGTGTAAAAACCCATGCACTAGAAATTTTAACGTACAGGAGGATATTGCTGCGGCTGCTGATATTGACCAGGGGGGGCGCCATATTGCTGCGGCGGCGGATAACCCGGTTGAGGTTGAGGAGGATATCTGTATCCAGAACACATCAGAATCACCCGTCAAGTGTGAGTTTAAGGAGAGCGATAGGGCCAAAGCATGGCGCGGGCCACTCTCTGCGATTCGTTCTGGCGCCTGGCTCTTGAGACTTCCCCCTTGACGTAAATTCTCAATGTAAAGATAGCCATGAAGACAAGTGTAGCTGTCGCATTCGCTGCTTCGATAACATCCAATCAAATCATTGATTGTCGATATGGCGCAAGGAATGCTAAGCCACCAGGTCTGGCAGAATCGCTCAGGAAGAGGAGGGAGTAATGCCGATGACAGATGCGAAGGCTCAAAGGAACTTACGGAGGTTGGGGGGGACCCTGGGCGTAGTACTGTTGGTTGCTCATGATGATGAAGGATCTGTCGCAAGACTGAGAGTGAAAGGCTAGTTAGTATTTCGAGTCAGAAAGGTTTGCAGAGACGGAGAAAACACGAAATGGTTTGGTTGGATGGACTTCAAAGCGTCGAGAGCGGCGAGTGTTCGAGCAAAGGAAAGTGCTTGGGGAAGGGGCCAATAAAAGGGAGCGGACAATACCTAAGCAAAAATGCCAAGTTACAACGGCTCACTGGGAAGCAATAAGGAGATGAAAAGGGGGTCGAAGAAGGAGGGAAATGATACGACCAAGTGGATGGAGGATGAGGAAGAGAAAAGTGAAAAGAAATGAAGAAGAAAGCGAAGAATGGAAGTGAGACGATCACAAGGAGGCTAAAGGAGGTAAGATTCCGACTAGCAGAAAAATGGCTCCTTAAGCCTTATGAGAGGATCCAGAACCAGAACAGCTGAGTCTTTGTTATCTATTCTTAGTTAGTGAAAGGCTCCAGTAATCCATAATTCGATCAAATTTCAAACTAATGGGTTGTTCATCCAAGGCTCAGCCGATTCCCATCCCAAACTGCGAGATTGCATGGCTCCCACAAGCCACTAGATACTACTGTTACTGTTTGCATGGGCAAGAGGGACAGTTGCCTCCCACTTCATCCACTGCATGATTTTTATCAGCCAGAAACCTGAAACGTGGTCATCCTTGCGGCAGTGAAATTAGAAAGTTAGAGATTAGAGATTCATCTTGAAACTCCCAAGCTACAGAGTACTGTTTACAGAGAGGAGAACTACCGTACGGAGTAGACTCATGATTACATCAAAAAGGGTGTACTGTGTAGATACAAGTGCACAGCCACATTGAATAATACGGTGACAACATAGCCTTACCTAAGCCACAATGCTTAGCTACTTACTCATAGTCTCACTCACTTTGTACGGTACTCCCTGACCACCCAGTCGCTGATATTATGATTTAGATGTTATGATAGGCAAATAACATCTCATTGAATCAGTGGCTGAATGAGATACTGGGTGAGACCCGGAGAAGATAGCAGACCAGTCAACCAAGGCTAATGGTCATTGAGTGTTTCAAATACCCAATGACTAATTTATCGTCATCTTTATCTACTATGCACTCCGTCTGGCACCGCCTCACCTTTGTACTCCTATGCACCAACAATGCTTAACATCAGTGGCTATCGAAGCTGCGAAAGATAGGTGTGGTCTTGGATAGATTCCAAATTTCAAGGAGATGGGCTTCTACGTCTCTATCCTCAGCATCCTAATCCTTTGTGTATCTGGACGATTGGCAGACGATATATGTAAACTCATCAGCCACCTATCAATTAAGCACCTAATATATATTGCTTCCCGATGCTGTCCGAACCATCAACCGTGTAAAGAGCTGAAAAGCTTCATTCGTACGCTTCTAGTCATCCTTCCAGCTTCCCTTTTCATTCAATCTCATATTCAAAGGCTACATGCTTCCTTGAGGAAAGTAAAATAACATAATAATGAAGTACAAAGCCCCCCATTATCTGCCTATATACCAGACCACGACATGGACGTATGCGAATAAAGCACACTGGGCCCAAAGACATTTCACAACAATCTTCCAACCAGCCTCTTCACATCACATTACACGCAAACTTCGACCTTGGCCTCTTCTTGTACTGATAGCGGTCGTTCCACCAACATAACACTTGAGCAAGTTGCCTGTGAGATCTTGGGGATTTAGCAGCATACCAAAGTATCCATTAGCTGGGACATGACATCGACTGTCCATGGTTCATCGGGCCCGATTTGCTCGCATAGGATCCGAACAGAAGTCTTCAAGAGCCCCACTGCTTCCGAATGCTGGCCTTGCATCCTAACAACAGCCGAGAGTATCGACATAGCAGTTGCCGTTTCGACATGGTTCGATCCAAATATCTTGATTATCTTTGCGAGTACTTCTCGCTCTACCAGCTCGGCCTCTTCGTGCTTCCCCTGGTTATTAAGCGCTATCACGAGACTGTGAGTGGTTGTGAGCGTGTCGAGATGGTCTGGTCCCAGCACCTTTCGACGTGATTCCAGTGTTTCTCTGAGGATTGCCTCTGCTTTTGTGAATTCTTTTTGCCACGTGAGCAGTTTGCCTAGCATTTCAAGACCTAGCAGTGTGCTTGGACTGTGGGGTCCTGCTTCCTCCATTTGTACCGCAAGTATCCAACGATGCATTTCCACTACCTCTTGGTACCTTCCCTGACCAGAGAGTGCCATGCCCAAGGCCTCCATAGTCCTCAACACCAATGGATGCTCAGGTTCAAAGATCCTTTCGCAGATAGCTAGAGATCTTTCATGGATGCCTTGAGCTTCCGCATACTTTCGTCGATTTCCAGAATTATGCCTAAATGAAGGTACATCCCCAGTGTGGTAGGATCTTCAACCCCAAGCTTTTTCTCGTGCCCTGCTACTGCCTTCCGAAGCAATGGCTCGGCCTCTGCATATTTCCGTTGGCCTCCCAATGCGGTAGCAACATTGCCTAAAGCTGCCAGAGTATCGGGATGATCGTCACCTAGTAGCTCCTCGTAGCCAGCTTTGACTTCTCGATATAGTTTTTTCACCTTCCTTATACTTTCCCTGTGCCATGAGCATCGGACCCAACATACTAAGCTCATAAATCTCTCCGCGGGGGTCTTCAGATAGCAACCTTCGGGCCTCTATCACCTTCTTGGCCTTCTCATGCATTTCCTCCGCCTCCACGAAATTCCCCTTTTGCCAGGTATACATTGCCGCCTTACAGAGCAACACAACCTCCATAGTCGACGAGGCCTCCGGATCTCTCTGGTGCGCTGTTGCTGTTACAAAATGTTGTAGTATCATATCCCGCTTTCTCCAGTCCTGATACGCTGTGAAGGGAAACTCCTGGAGGAGATTGGCAATACATTGTCCCCTCCACTTTTCGAGCTCGCCATGTTCCTCAAGCCATTTTTGCGTAGCGAGCTGAACTAATCTGTGCATCGCAAAGCTTACAGCGTCCGTGTTGACGGTGATAAAAGAATAGTCTCTCAAAGTACAGAAGTCTTCTTCACGTGGATCTTCCACGTCAGCCAAACAACTGTCCTCGTCCTTGACGTTCACTTTCTGTATTGTGCCATCGTTTGCTCCCTGGTTGTGTATTGGGAGTAGAGACTCATGAATCGCTTGTCTGTTGAAGAAGCTCATTAAGGAAAGAAGATTTGCAGCGGAAGGTCGCTCTTGCCGTAGATAGTCGAAAGAGATCTGCCATGTGCGAATAACAGAATTTCTTGCTTCTCGATCGCGACGAAGCTGACCCTTTTCATACTCAAGAAGGGTCAACTTGCTATTGTCGCTACTTTGGAACTGTTGCAAGTACTGCTTCACCGATGACCGGGGAGCCCGTTGTTTGATATAGGCTGCTGATTGCAAGCGGCATATGATCCAAGGCTGCTGCGAGCTGCAAAATTCCTCGGGGTTCTCCTGTATTCCAAGCTTCGCCTCAAAAAGCCTTTTCGCATGGGCTTGATCCATGGGTTGTACAATGATAATCTCTCTTTCCTCAACCATTCTCAGGGCAACGCCTTTGTTTCGGGTTGTCATGAGGATGAGACCATGCGGGCTCTGTGGAAGATATGCCTGCAACGGCCGCCATAGCTTCTGATCGCTATCCTGGCCGACATCATCTTTCTTGATCAATGGTGCCTGCTGAAGGAACCGGTCATCATCAACATTATCAAGGATCAGGGCCCATTTCCCTTTTCTTTCATCCTGAAGCCAGTCATGGACAAGCTGGAATATATTAGAGGTGGGATTCTCTCGACCAGAGATTTTCACTCGGTCTGCAATCTCCCGGAAACTTTGCTCAAAACGAGCGGCGTTGCTAGCATGAACCCAGAAGACCCATGTCTCTGGTGACCGCTCACGGATGCGGTAGGAGTATTCGATGGCCAGCTTTGATTTTCTTAAACATGTCAGCAGGCCAGAATTATGTAAGAGAGGATGGAGACGTTTCTCTAATTACCCAACGCCGCCGAGGCCAACCAGTGCAATTCGTGGAGACGGCGCGGGATTCTTCTCGTTTATTTCATCGAATATTGTTCCGCATTCAACAAATTCCTTGTCCCGGCGAAAGGGAACAGTTGACAAGGGGCTTGGTGGAGTTTCGGGCTGTTCTTAGTCGTGATGAGGCGTCATTATCAGTGAAGCTAAACCCTACTCCAGGCAACTTACCATTCTGAACATGGAAGTGTGCAGTTATAAGAGCATTGCTTGATCCTACCTGCAACCCAGAATTGCAATTGCCGAAAGATATTTCTGATGCCATGACAGTGATCGCTAGACCACCCATGTTTGGGAAAGTACCCTACCTAAATATTTTGTAAATAGAGCATCGCATCAGGTATCGTTGGTATCGTGGTGCCTGCCTTACAAGGTCTTCGGCTTCTGCTAGATGATTTAGGCAAGATTAGAGAAGCACCAAGGACTATAGAGGACCTGAGAGACAGCATACAATCGGTTGAATTAGCCCTAACTTGCCTGCGGAATATCTCCGACAAAGACTGGGAAGCATTGGGCAACCCGGTGACGGAGCAGGCAAAGGCCGCTATTTCGACCTGTAACAGAGCATGCAACCTGTTCAGAACCAACCTGCAACGCTGGACTCGCTATTCCTCCGAGGGGAAGCTATCTCGACTCGATTAGGCCAAAGTAAGCTTTTTCAAGCAAGGCCAGGTCAAGTCCATGTCAGAGCAGGTTCAGAGTTGCAAGACCACTATCACCGCGGTGGTCACTATCGCAACGCTGTATGTTCGAACTGCCACACATTAGAGGCCAAAAGGACACGCTGATAGCTAACCTTCCCTCATAGATATAGCTCCATTCGTCACACACACACATCACCGAGGAAACGAAGAAGACGATATCCCAAAAAGAAAAAGACATCCAAAATGCACTCCAAACAACAGATCTGCAAATAGCTGATGTAAGAAGGCGACTTCAAGAGCTCGATGCTGTCGACAGGATTCAGGAAGGTCCCTGGATGGTCGAGAGCACGGCAGTCACGCGAGGGCAAATTGAGGAGGAGAACAAAGCACTGCACACGTCCCGGGAGATTCTCGGTGCATTGTTGCTCAAGGCGCAGGAGGATGCTGTGGTGAATGTAGCAGCGAAGGACAAGAACGAATTCGTGCACGTAACGTTTGGAACGAACAACTCTGGCTTGCAGATTGCGGTTAGCAATGGTGCGATCAGTGGGATCACCTTTGGGGCGAGCCGATAAGATGCATAGGAGGATATAGACGATAGAGTGGTGTTGAGGTTTTGATACTGAGGTTGGTGTTACTATCCCCACCCCGTGAAGAGTTGGAAGCAAATACAAGTTTGTTCGTGTTCGTGCCTGAGGGATCTGGCAGCTAGGAAATTTGTAGATGGCAGGCTCGTAGACTCTAAATCACAAGTAGTGCCTGTGCTTGCACCTTCTAGGTGAGTTCATCTACTATTCTATAAGATTTTAATTTAATCCATAGCCGCATATACTTCTTCTTTAGATTTATCTTATATTTGGAGAAATGCTCTTTCCAATAATCATGTTATATTCTAGGAAATATAGTACAAATAACAGTCAACTCCAAGCCACGCTCCATCCATGAAGAGTAAGCCAAGTGCTAATGTAAGAAACTGAAGCAAAGAGCAAAACATCTTTATTTGCTCATGGTAGGAAGTGTAGTCTTTGATTCTCATTAGTGAAGTCTGATTGTGCGCGCAGACGAACTTCCCAACTGATTGAAGATTATCAGCATGATATTAGATAGAGAGCTGCTTGCCACGCTCCAGCTTGAGCTGTGAGGTTTACTTTATTAATATAGCTCTTGCGCCAGCTGATAAGCTTTCCCAAAGCTGCCTGCCCAGGAAGCTGGAGCACTGAAGAGGATTAGTCCTTTTCGTGAAGCAAACATGGTTAAGACCAATGCAAGTAGACCCAGAAATGATCAAAATCAAGATGAAAGAGGAGATATTGTACGATAGTCGTGAAGAGAAGTTGTATCCACATGGAATAAGATGAAGAAAAGATGACGAAGAAGAAAGGGGTCATAACCAATAAGAAGGGGTGGAAAAAAGGATGAATGAAGAAGAAAGTAAATAAGCGGAGCAGTCATTACAATGCGTCACACATACGAATCGATCTCGAGGGGTAAAGTCTGAGCATCGAGGTAGCTTGCTGTGTCAAGGGCTGGACCAATGGACATTGCCTGAAGGTTCGAAAACCCGTCATAGCTATGTGCCAGCGTTGTCTCAAGACCTAGGGAAGAGAAATTTGGAGCAGGTGCCGATGGCAGCCCGTTAAAGACCGGCTCTTCCATAGGTACCGATGACGGTACAGTGGTCAAATCATCCCCTAGCATGTCCTGGTCAATAAAACTCTGAGCATTCTCAAGAACAACCTCCTCCTTCTGCACCATCCAATGCTTGAGCACTTCCATTGGCGGGTGGTTGCCGCCGCCTTTGCCGCCACGCTTCTCGCTGTCCTTGCCACGTCCTCCCCGGCCGCGCTGGCACGGGTTGAAATGGGTTCGGCGGAGATGGGCAGCAGCATTGTAGTTAGCACCATACCGCTTGCCATTGCGGCACGCCTTGCAGTTGGCCAAGAAGGTTTTGCCTGGTGAGATGTCCACACAGACCCAAACCTTACGGACCACAGCATGTACTCGTTCGATGTGTCGCCGCAGCTCATGCTCTCCGTGGAACCCCTCAGGTTGATCGTTGCACATGGTGCAATACGTTTTTGGGCGCGGAGGCCGCTGAATCGAAGCCTTGGGAATGGCTGCGACCTCTTTCGAAGTCCCATCGGAGGATGAGATGCGAATCATCTTATGCTGCTCCACCAGCTTGGGTGGGGAGCTATGGCGCGACTCGAGCTTGGGCGCAATTGGTCGCGTGCCTTGCACAATCTGTTCTTGGGTCCGCCGCGCCGCTCTTGACTGCTGGGAGGCAGCCGAACTGTTGCTCTCAGCAGACAATGTAGGCTTCATCTCTGTGGCAGGGGATTCAGGTACAATATTGGATAGGGGGTGATAGAAAGAAGTTGTGGAGGGAGCAGAACAGGAGAAGGGAAAAGAAGTAGGGTCGGGAAAGGAAAATTGGTGAACATGACTTAGGGCTTGGTGGTGAGAAATGCTTTGGAAGGGAACATTAACAGGCGATACAGATGACAAGAACTCATTGGAAGGCATGGAAAAGGGGTAACTAGGATCCAGACTTGGTCCCGAAGAGTTAAATCTGATCATATCCATACCACCACATATGGAGTCAGTGGTTGTACTCCTGCTCATCTCGACGGCAGTTGATGGAACCGGCTGACCAACCAAAGTAGAATCCGACAAGCCAGCAGAGTCTGTCGATATCCCCGGTTTCGAGACCGGCAGGTTATGTTGGAATCCACTCGGGGCAGGGTCCGCAGCAAGAGCCAGAGAAAGCGCAGACACGTTTGCTCGGTCCTGGAAGTCCTCCAAGTGCTGACGGGCGTACTCAGACGGAGAGTAGTCGTTAACGTGATCAAGTCGGAGTTCTGAGCAGTGTAGTCCAGATTGTCGATTTCTCGGCACTCCAGAAGCCAGGGGCTTTCGATGGGCGACTGGAGTCTGCTGGCTCTGCGATCGAGCCATAGCCGTGTGTCGAGCAACTCCACGAGGGCCCGGAAGAGGGATGTTGTCCGTCCGAGAAGTCGTTCCCGTAGCTCTCACAGTGGTGGTGGGTGCTGGCGAGGAGCGCGAGTGAGAGAGTTCCCGAGTCAAGTCAACGATCACCGGGGGCTCCGGAGTCTGTCAATTGTCAATCCAGGGATTATTGCCGGGAGAGTCAAAAGTGATAGAGAGGGTTGCAAGAGCATCAGACATGCAGGGTGGGTAAAGGACGGAAAGGTGGTGAAGAGGCGGGAGCAGGAGACCAAGATAGATCACATACGGTGACTCGTCGTTTCGAAGGAGGAAGACCAGAACCAGGGAGTGTCCGAGGAGTATCCTGTCGAGTCCTTTTCCCAGATTTCTCGAGAGATGAGCCAGTTTCCGAAATTCCAGAGCCGGGAACTGGACGGTAGCTGGGGGAGGTTGTGGTGGGCAAGAATCGACTTAATTGCTGAGACCAAAGTCGATTGCGCTCTGATTCCGGAAGATGAGAAAGTCGGACCAAAAAAGCATCCCGATAACCAGAAATAGCCCTTGTGAAGAGTTCGTCGTCGGCCATGGTGGTAGCCATCGCGAGGGGGTGATCCTTTCCAAGCGCCTCTCCAATAGTATTCATGGGGGAGACAGCTGCTATCAGTATCAAACGGTTCTTAGGAGTGTGGGGAGGTTCTACATAGAACGCCAACAGATTAGTATGAAGAAAAAGCGTGAGAACAACAGAGATCGCTGATGAGAGAGAGAGGGAGAGAGAGAGAGAGAGAGAGATGATAGATGTACATATAAATAAATATAGATGTAGACAAGGAAGAGATGGGGGTCAGAAGGGAAACTGACTGTATAAGCTGAGAGAATGACCTGAGAGAATAGGTGGTGAGAAGAAGTCCGTTGTTGTATATTCAGGGACAGTAGCAAAGAAGATAATAAGTGGAAGAAGAACGATGAGGATGATGTTTGATGAAGAGAGAGAGTGGAAGAGGATTGAGAAGGATTAAATCAGAGAGAGAGAGGTGGGTGAAGAAGATCAGTTTAATAATAATAGCGAACGATTTCAGCGAAGTGTACGGGGTAGATAGATAGACAGAGGATAAAGTCAGAAAGGAACAAGAGGATCGGAGAGATCTGTCAAGAAGCAGGACTAAATCCGGAAGTTGAAACCTGAGCAGCGACCAGGGGTGGAGAACAATAATGATGGGGGAAAATGCCAGTCAGAGTGATACTGGATCATCTCTGAAGGTGAACTGGGGGTTTGTGAATTGTGACTTGTGAGATGAATCTTTGGATGGGGAAGATTCAGATAGACTGATAGGAGGAGGACGAAGTACCTACAGTAGTGCTTGAACAATGCAATAAAATAAAATCCATTTAATAATGAATAGATTCACTACGTAGTACATACTTGGATAGCCAACTACTGACTAGAATCACTAGATTGTAGTCTAGTGAGAGTCTGAGAGATATGGGGATCGATGGCTGTGGGTGGATCGGATCATCAGCCATCGTTAATGATGAACGAACTCTTGGAAGAAATCGAAGGTCTGGAACACTTCTGGCCAGGACAAAACTGGACAATTGGGGTTAGAAGGACAACAGAGAAATTCGATTCTAATTTTTCTGTTGGAGCATTATTATTAGGTATGATTATTTGTCTTGTTGTCCTGTTGCCCTTGGATGATCACAACACCATCTCCAGAAAGGTAGTAAGTTTGGGATGCAGACCAAGTAGTGGCCTTGCTAAAGGGGGGGGGGGACTGCTAGGCACTTGGACGACTCCTAAGCTACTGAGCACTAGGCTGTTACGGTGCCTACTCTGAGTTTCTTAAGTCTCCCAGCTACCTAGAAAAGGGGGAGAGAATGGAGGGTGACATGCAGAAGGTCTCAACTGGCCAACTCAGCCCTCTTTTAGGCTTAGGGCCTACTCCCTACTCCTACTCCTACTAGAGTAGTCAAGTATTGTAGTACTAGAAGTCAGGACACCAAAGTCCTGACTGATCCTAACGTCGGCGGTGACGAAGGACTGGGAATCATTATGGAGTAATAGGTAATGACTTGATTACTCCGTATCATTTACAGTACTCCGTACTATCGTTAATAATATTACCTGCTGCTATCCTCGAAAGGTTGGTCATTGTAAGTCCAACCTTACAGGAGGAACACGGGATGGTTCTAAAGTGAGGCAGCGAAACGGAAGAGGCAAACCTACACCCGGACCATCTGGAGAACAAACAAGTCCAATGGAATAATAGCATGTGTTGTGTTGTTGGTCGAGGACCAGTCAGGAAACCTACGTCCAACAATTACCTAGGTAGGTCTACCTGCAGTATCCAGTCCGTATCTGTATGATTTCCAACACTTGACTTTAATATCAGATCCTATCAATCATCCACAAGTGAATTGCTGATGGTGCTGGTATTCATAATTACGTCTAGTAGTAAGTGTTATTTACGATACTTCATTCTGAATTATGAGAGATCTTTCTTGTCTCGACACGTTTGCTGTACGGAGTAAGATCAATACCTATTTCATAGTAATAATTAGTAAGGTGCCTGATATCCAATTGATTTGGTTGTTTTGGTTGGGCTCGTCGATGAGCTGGGTTTCTTTGACTCTCTCCGTGGGCGCCTACAGCGGGACGAGGATGGGCTGGCAGAGTAGTGATGAGTCCGCTTAGTCGCTCTCGTCCGTAACTTCTAATCAACGACATGGGAAGATTGGGTGGCTCAGTATCTAATGGGCAACATCACACCGGGCCACCTTGGATACTGCCACATCCAACAAGCCAAGCGGAACTGACCAAAAATGTCCCCTTCGACTCGAGGTCGGCCACGTTGCTTGGGACTACACCGTATCCGGGCTGCTGCATCGCCAGCCGCTGGGTTCTCCCACTCTGAAGCTCAGATGACACTTCAAACTGACGATAGCCAGTAGCCAGCCGCTCTTCGCTTCAAGAAAGCAGCAGATTTCCATATTTTCTAGCGCTTGCTTCCAAACTGGGTGCTGTACAGCAATTCGTTGTGATTGACGGACGGAAGATGGCACCTGAGTGCTCCACCGAAATTCGATTCCTGAGGCATCAATCATTTGGCTGCCCAAGATTGTCCATGTGCTCAATTTGCTGACTCCTATCCCCTCCATACTCCTCGGCCCCTAAGCAGTCAATCTGCCGTGTTGTTTCCAGTATCGAATTGACATCTACGCAACTTCAGGAGGAGCCATGACGTGAAAGTAAACCTATTCAAACCACGGAAAGTTTCCGTGGCACCACGCGGAAGAGACCCAGGGATCAATCAGGTGCCCGGCATTCTGGCCGCGCGTGGCTATTGTCAATCCATAAATGCAATAGTGCGTAGGCATCTGTCGTAGACTCGTAGTAAGCAGTAGCCTGGTAGGAATACCCACGGCCTTGCGACAAATCTCTCGCCCGATTGATGAGCGTCTTCTGAGGTGAGGGGACTTCATGATCTCCTTTGACCCCCTTCCACAAGGACGATCTTGACACTATCAATAGACCGACTTCCCGAGTTGGTGGGGCTGTATCACGTGACGGTATCATTCCAGGGGTGGATCAGACGGATAGTGCCAACCTACGAAGTTGCTCCATTGAGCATCACCAACTGTCTGCTACATTGCTCTGATGGAAAAAAGAGGGTTCTCATATGCAGTTCTTTTCCAATTCGCTCACCGCTGTCTAGATAGACAGATTTGACCTTCGCTCCAAACAGGATCTTTTCCTACCATGAAGGTACTGTTTGGATTCCATCAGGTCATTCCACCGTCCCAAATTCAAGGCCATTGGACCAGATCACGGACTGGAGGTCACCTTTCAAAGCTTGGTTGCCATGCTCAGTATCCAGAATCATAGACGCAAAATGGCTATGTGTCAGCTGTGCTACATGAAACCACCCTCTGCCTTTGTTGACAGAGAATACAGAGAATAGTCTCTCCAGTACGGTCTCCGAAATCTCGCCTACATAGTTTCACCATCCTCAACTTTTTGAATGACATGTTGGAGGCATATGCCACTAGATCGCTAGAGCCGGGCAGTGAGCTAGATAGTCATCACAAATTAACAATGAATAATACTCCTCGGCTGAGTGCCTGAACATGCTGGTCGAGTAGTCAAAAGAGCAACTATCAAACCGAAAACTCCAGATGCCTGATCTCCTCATCCCAATTCCCAATGCCAAAGATAGACCCACCAAGTAATCACACTATTCCGCACTTGTGAAAGTGGCTTCACAAATACTGCTTCCATTGGGCCGAATGAATATTGTGATCTGATTCCTGAGTCACTAAGTGGGACCACTCGAGCTGACTGATGTGTATCACCAGTTTGTCGAAATCCTTGAGATGATAGGCTATCGATCTCCCCTCTCTGAAGGCCGTCGTTTCATATCTGCTGCAAGCGCCATTGTGGTCCGTAGGGAGAACCTTCGGCGGATTTCCCCGGCGCCAAGAATTGAGGTCACCGACAGAAGACGAGGGGCATTCATTATTCTATTGACACTATCATCATCAAATGTTCAACACGCGAAGGTACCTTGCGATAAAATAGTATAGTCTACTGTGCTGGAACCCGAATATCGTGCTCAACTGGGTGATTCATCATCACGAGCCACCCTCCTCATGATTCAAGACATGGCGTCATTGAACTTACCTACCCATGGCTATGAATAGCATGAGCCTAGCATCATCGCAAAAGCATGGAAACCAGTATCAGGATGATCTTGGCACTTGAATTCTTCCACATCACCAGTTGAGTTTGGACGTAAATCCCTTGAGGCCTGAGCCTCAGTCAAATGCCCAACGACAACCATTTATGCCTGAAATTCATCTTCCCTATGCCAAAGTACGAGAGAGTCATCGGCTTGCCTCAGATAGCGTTGGCCTGGTATCAACCGCGTAGGGGAGGAGGAAGGGGGAGGAGGAAGGGGGAGGAAGTTTTCTGGGTAAAGATCTCGCCTCGCTAAGATGGGCCGCGCCCATACCCCAGTCTGACCACCATCAATCGCCCCGTGGTCAAGTACATAAAGTACGAGGATCCTACGATAGCCAGCCTGGCTTATCCAAATTTGTGTCCGAGGCTAGACAGCTAGATGACTACGTTTGCTTTTACCCTCACTCAGGCATCCATGTCGACCGACGGATTTGGAAACCTGGTCGGGCTGGACTATGGCTCATCTCTAAGTCTTTCTCCCCAAAGTTCAAGTTCTCTATAGCAAGGGACGGCAGAGCGATGCTTGCCCGATTGGTATCGACAGGGTCAAACGACACCGGCTCCAGCCTGGTTCTGGAGATTCCTGCTCTCTGATGACGCGTTTAGCTAGCTGCTGAACAAGACCTGGCGAAGATCCGAGCGTTGGGAGTTGAGACTCCCAGAACCCTTGCAGGTTGCTGGAGGAGCAAATGCCTTTTGAGGATGCTCGACTGGCATCCTGTGGCGGCTGGTGACGGAATCCTGGGGTTTCTTGCGCTCGGGCCTGGTGACAAGGCTGTCTCGCTGACTTCCCAACCCTGTGTTTAAAGAATGTGCTATCAGATGGACCATGACTGTGAGGCTCAGATTTGCTATGATTGTTTGATATGGGCAAAATGATCTAAGACAAGTTTGCTCTGCCACAGTTTGCCCTTCTGGCCTTGACTGCGCTGACTCGGACTGCGCTGACTCATTAGATAGGGATCATGGAATTTTTCAAAGAGAGGAGACTATGGCTCTATCGGCACCTGCAGATGTACATTCTCCATCATCCATCAGCCAGACGTGTAAATTCTTGTTGTGACGGAGTTCTACAGAATGACATTTACTGTCGCACTCCCACCCGATATCCTTCTAGCTTCAAAGGCTTGAACCCTGAACGACTGGTAGTGTCTACTTGTTTGATCGCTGTTAAAAAGCTTGCCTGGAGTGCGAAGTTGCCGAGGTCTATGGTCCTTCTGCAGTTTGCTGAGATATATCAAGCAGATGCGGCGATAGAGAACAGAAGGCCCAGTCGAAGCGTGGATATCTATTCTACACATTGGATTTGAAAGACATGGGTATTAGTCAATAACAACTCAGTGCCTGATAACTTTCAATGGGTTGTATGGCTGGTTTCATCGCCCTTGTTGTCGATTCATCTTCGTGAAAGAAAGGTTCCTAAGCAAAGCCCACCAAATTGCATCATATTGTACACCCCCGAGTGCTGGACCAGTCTCCAGTGGGCCAGCTCAGTCCATCAAGTCGTCGAAAACTGAATCAGTTTCGTCTTACCAGAGAGACCACGGGAGAATTGACATTGAATCAGCGTCTAGATGAATATGGAGATGAAAGCCGTGAATACATAGCAATTGTGTTGAGTATTGAGACCTCATCTCAGCCCTATGAGAATGGAGAGAATACCGTCCCCAGTCTCCTTTCAAGAAACACCTATCAGAAGTACCACAAAGATCAATCCAGGGATCGATGCGATGTCCATCATGCTCGAAAAGAGTGGAAATGTCCGCCTGACGTCAGGTTGCCACGCTTTGGGTATGTATATGGGTCTTGTCCGCAGTCGCAGCTTCCATTGAAGATGATGTTCTGGAAACACAAGCAGCATTAGAGGGATAGTAGTATAAAACTCTCATCTTCCTGTTTCTGCCTCTTTAACTCTTTTCATCTATCATGGTAAACACACACTCACTACTACTACAAAATTGATCGCAGAATTTGTGTAAACCATCAACGCCAGCAACACGTGACATTACCTTTCACCAGACAGCAGCCACGTCATAGGCCATCCGCCCAAAAAAGGGGATATCAGATTCTTGGAGAAACGGAAAAGGGGAGACTTGCATTAACCACCAATTATACCCTCATTATTTCGGTGGTACATTTTCCATCTTATCATCCAGCATTCCACAGCTGTCTCACATAACCCCGCGAAAATCATCAGCAATGTCCGATAACACGCTCTATCTCTACACTTCTCTCACTGCGGGGTCATCCCACATCGTCACCGCTACTGCACGTCTGGAGACGATTCTTAAGGCCAACAAGATCCCATTTCGCGCAATCGACGTAGCCACCGATGAAGTTGCTCGCAAGCTCTGGGGCCGTCGTTCTAAGGGCAAAAAGCTGCCAGGATTGGTGAAATATGGGACGGTCGTGGGTGTAGGTTACTTCCCTTCAGTAATATCGTTTGATTGCGGCAGAGTTTCGTTGCTAAACAGTTGATGTTGTATAGGATCTAGAGGAGATCGAAGAATGGAATGAATATGGTGAGCTACGGATGCAGATTGACAGTGTGGAAGATTTCGACAGCATCCCTGCCACCAGCAACCCAATTCCAATTCCTCAAACAAATACCATCCCACAGCCGGCGTCGGGAACTGCCACCCCCAAACCGAGCACTATTAAGATTCAGAGTCCTCCGGCGAAGGAAGCCAAAAAGGATGGTTCGATAACACTCGCGCTTCGGCAGGCGGGTGAAGAGGCTGCCGCGAAGGCGAAGGAGAATACAGGCGCAGAAGCTACGAAGAACACTACTTCCGTTGCTGCTGAGCAGCAGAAACAGCAACCTTCGAGCAGCGAGGAGAAGCAAGAGGAAGAACCTGTACGTCGGCGATCGGTGGTTCCGGAATTTGTGCGGGGTGCTGGAGGGCGTCCCCCTTTGGTGGTGCCCGAGTGGGCTGCAGAATCGTCTGCCAATTTTCGTGCTGATAATGTCGCAGCTCTAGGATTGGTTGAACACCACCGCGGCTCTATCATTTCCGCCACGTCGCCGGAGGAAATGGAGAAAGTGGCCCAGGATTTGCGCAAATCCATCTCCGGTGGCCACGAAGATATCTTAGCATCCTTGAAGAGCGAACAGGCGAAGGATCCAGGACAAGAAGAGACGATTGTGGAGGAGTCTGACAGCTCGGATGAGGACCAGCCAGGCCAGAATACTCAACCACAGAGCACGCAGAAACGGGATGCCGAAGATGCTGCAAAAGGAACAGAGCATTGAGCGGCTCGTTGCCATCGATGAAGAGCAGGACTCAGCGTTACTCGGGATTCTCTCCTGTGACGGATTTCCTTCGTGTATGATACCAAGTTGCATTTCTTTTTCGCTGTCTATGCCTCGCATTCCCCATGCTTTACTCTCAGTCGTTCTATGCTGTTATCGTAGCATTAATTTAGTGGGCTGTCATTGTCATTAACCAATCTATCGTGCTTGTCTACTAATGTAAATTCTTCCAATATATGAGGCGAATATTCAACGGCAAAGAACACGGAAGCCATTGAACGAAGAGCGTAGGCTACGGGTGGTATATATTAACTCTCATACGTCTATCTATATTTAGCGGCGTTTCTCTACAGCCTCCCGGAGCTTCGCGATAACATCAGCAGGGTCTTGCGCGCCAAACACCGCCGAACCAGCGACGATGACATTGGCACCTGCATCAGCAGCCTGGTCAATAGTTCCCAATCCCAAACCGCCATCCACCTCGATGTTCAGATCTGGGTATCGTTCCCGCAGAGCCTTCACTTTGGGAAGCTCGGAGGCCATGAACTTCTGGCCGCCGAAGCCAGGGTGTACCGTCATGACGAGCACCATCTGCAACCAAATGTCAGCTTACAAGAAACCCTTGATTTCTAATGAGTTCAGAGAATGGGTAATCCCCACATCAGGCCGCTCCTTCTCATCCTTGTTCTCCAAAATGTCCCAGAGCACATCGACGGGGGTATCCGGCTTGATGGCGATACCCGCCTGCATTCCCTCCTCGTGGATATAGCGGATGAGCTCCTTGGGGCTCGTACGGCGGGTCGTCTCCTTGTCTTCGGGCGTCGTGGCAGCGACCGACGACACGGCGGCCTCGTAGTGGAAACAGTACAGATCGCAACCGGCGGATTTGAACTCCTTGACCCATTTATGAGGCTGTCATTGAGCTGAGTTAGCATTGAATGGCTCTTTCAAGGCCGGAAAGTCCGGCTCGTGCAAGGAGACAGGGATGTAGGAGAGGGGGAGCTTACCTCCATGATCATCATGTGGCAGTCAAAGGTGCCCTTTCCGTGTGGTTGGGTCGGCCGTTCCACGTGGGAGCGGATTTTGGTGACGACGGGAGCTCCGAAGGTGATGTTGGGGACGAAATGGCCATCCATGATATCGACGTGCAGCCAGTCGGCGCCCTGGGCGATCTTCGTCGAGCATTCATTGCCTAGCACAGCGAAGTCTGCGCTCAAGATTGAGGGGGCTATGATAGCGGGAGGGGCCATGTTGGATGATTGATTCAGAGTAAGTGAAGGGGATGGAGGGATCTATACAGGAGGAGAATTGAGAGCAAGAATGGTCAGGATCCAATTAAAAGGAAGGCAGTAAGACTTTAATCGTAAAAATGACAGGCTCTTCCGAATACACGATCAAGAAGCTTCCTGCTAGATGCAGTTCATAAACAAGGATAAAAATAACTTGGGCCAGCAAGCCTTTGATATCACCGCCGGTCGACGTCAGTCCGATGATTACAGGTGATAAGGGCTAGGGTCGGAGCTTCCACGTGAAATGGTGGGGTAGAGCGTGGGGGTCTTGACTCTTGACTCTTGAGCCTTAATGCCTTGATACTTTGATGCCTTAGAGCCTGGGAGCCTGAATCATGGCAACTCCATATGCTTGCAAAAGGGAGTCGCAGAACACCAACCTCCCCGCCATCGATCCACCATGCCACGCTCTCATCTGTGTTTGGTACATCTCAAATGCAGTGTTGCAACATCGATGCTTAGTTCATCCGCTTGATAACATCCGTGGTCGACTTTTCTTTGGTGCCATGGCCGAATGCCAGGTGTCGCGGATCTTCTCCCTTTCCGTCCACTGAAGAGATTGCATACTTTGGCGCCGTTCAGTGGCTAATTATGGCTGAGGGTACGGAATTAATATGGATGAAATACTTCTGCTGAGGGAAACCAGAGATGGACAAGTGATCAGAGATTTTTATCAGTCACTGAGACCTGCCATCTCCAGGCCCGTTGTCTATCCGAAGCTTTCTAAACATAGCCACTGAGCGCTTGCAGCCTTCCAATCAGGGGTCTTTATCACATTGAACAAGCTACATGTTCATTGTGGGCGCTTGATTGCAGGTTTAGGCTGTCACACATCTTCTGATTGGTTTCTTCTATGTCGACTCAGTCTGAGGTCGTTTGTGGTTCGCTAGACCAGTTCGAGGCAGTCATCGTCGGCGACGCGCCTGACACCTCATCTCCAATGGGCACACATTCAACAAGCCATTTTCAGGGGTCCCCTGACGCATCGTGCGCAATGCTGCATTAGTTTCTGCACGGATGACTGCTGGTGCGGGTGACGATGAGATCCTCCCTCCGATCTCCCCACCTACTTGTCGGTTCACGGTTCCTATTTATCAGGATCGCTCGCTACGCACCGAGAGATGTTCTACACCTAATCTTCATCTGCTTTTTTGTTTAGTCATTTCATTTCTAAGCTCTGGAAGCTAGCCTTTCATTCGTTATTATCCTCCTCTGAGTTGCTGATACTGGCTGACCCGTTGATCGGTGTCGGTCACATTGAGATACTCTTGAGAAATTGTTTATTTTGTCTATTCTTACAGGGCCCCGTGAATTTTTGAACCAGGATCTTTGAAAGAACGAATTAATAGACGGATCACCGGAAAGATTGTTGGAACATCAAACTGTACGACATGGCCGATTCCATTCGAGCTTCGACAAGATGTCCACCCCCACGGCAAGGCAGAGGAACACCACTTGACACTATAGTCGAAGACGTACGCGAGGGCCAATATTCGGAAAAGCTCGACCATCATACCGGGAGGGTTGAGCCAACTACTCCAACTCCGCGGCTTAAGCTCCAGACCAGCGGCCTTTCTGAGTCGTTTGCCTCAAGGTTAAATCGTCTTCGATCGCCCATATCTGCAGGGACAGTCTCGTCTTGCTCGGATACAGAATGGCAGCGACAGATGCAAAACTTGGATGATCTGTATGATGTCACGGACGACGACTCTGACTTCAGTGACGAGTGCACGTCATTCTCCAGTTCTCGACCAACGAGCCTGACGACTCCTATGACGAGGAACTCGCTGATGTCGCCTGCCAGTCGCAATCGCTACCCCAGCCTGACGATACCCTCTTCAAACACATGGCCATCTCTCCACAATGCCCCTAAGAGCTCTCCCATCCCTCCCACTCCGCCACCGAAGATACCTGTCTCCCCAGCTGCTTTGTCAAAACTTGCACGCTGCGTGCCAGCCCTCAACGCTCCTCCCTCTCTAGATGGAAGCGTCTCATCGGATCAAATTTCCTCGAGTAGTGAACCAGCAACTCCTGATATGCAGTCCCTTCCCGACATTGATTGGGACGCGCAAGACTTCCATGTGCGGCCAGATGAGGTGGGCAGTCAACCTGCGGATCTTCCAGCTGTGGAGATTGGCGAAACCGACATGCAAAGCATTGAGATTGCCTTTGAAACAACGGACGAGGATTGGCGACACGTCCTTGGCAACTTCCCCTCTATTCCGGGTCAACCTTCATTGCCGTCGGATGACGGGGTTTTCCTGCCTGAAGATGCTCTTGCAATCTTGAGGCATATCCCCTTGAATTCGACGCCCGAGCCATGGTCGGAAACAACCGACCAGAATGACGAGATGTGGCAGCTTGAGGTGCCGGTTCAGCGTCCTCGCAGTGCTGATGACGCGACTCCAGCATCGGCCCTCTCTGGGTACAGTTTCAGTGGCCTCAGCATACCATCCCCTGGCGGATTCTTCGCTTCGCTTGGTCCTCGGGCTCGCCATACCTGGTCTTTCCCCCGCACAGCTAAGCCACCTTCGTCTGCCATTGCTGAGGGGTTTTATAACCTACCGTTCAGTCGAGATAATAGAGAAATCGTCGAGCAAATAATTGAATGCCCTGAGCCGCTTACAGAGGAGCAGCTGACGGCAGTCTATGCCCCTGAAGGGCCACTCACTGCCATCAAAATTCCGCCCGAGGAGTCATCTGTACCTTTTGAGTACCGGGGCAGCCCCGTGAGTCCTGGCCCTGAAGGAGTGTACGAGATCTCGAGGCCTGCGACTTGGTGTGAGAATCAGGATCACGACGAAAATTACGAAGAAGAGCTGAAGAAGAAGGCAGTGGCGAGCCTGGACCGGACAAGTGTCTGGTTAGCAGCGCAAGAATCATATCTTGCCGCTCTCCGTGAGACCAATCCTGTGAACATGGAGGATGAAGCAGACAGTGACGTCGAAGCTGTGCTTGATGACACTGAGCAGGGTTCACCAGAAATGGGTCCTAGGAAAAACGTCCGTTTTGCTGAAACAGTTCCCGGTGCCCCCAGACCACCCTCTGCACTGGCGAGTCGGGATTCAATCTACTGGCGAGGCTTCCAATCAGTGCGCGGACGTTCCGATAGTCGAGACAGTTTCATTCATCGCAACACGCGCTTTGACGCTGTGCAGTCAATCCGGCTGGGCTTGGCCGGCATGCACGCTAATTGTCTGTCGGGCAATTACGAGCTTGTTCGCCCAGAGCGGCCACCTTACAAAGGTCCATTCTCACAAGCTCCGCGCAACTCTGTGCTCACTTCGGTCTTGGCAGAGAAGGCTCAGTTCTCTATTCTTGAGAAGGAGCAATTGGTTCTCTCTCAGATCCGGGCACCTATGTGGGCCATGGACGCTCTTCGATACCTTAATGGCGGCTGTCTGGTTACTAGCCCCGCGAGAAAGCGTCTTTCCATGGCAGCTGCGCCAACTAACTCGCCAAAAGCGAAAGGACGCCGCGTGAGGATCTTGGACTTGGGAGGACATGCTTCATGCGAGTGGGCATGGCAGCTGGCACATGACTACCCAAATGCCACAGTCTACACAGTCTTCACTGAACATCAAGCAGTGAATCAAGGCATCAAGGGTCCTTCGAATCATCGACAGGTTCCTGTCTCACAGCTATGGAAATTGCCATTCGCTGACAACAAGTTCGACTTGATCTCAGCCCGCTCCCTTCCTGCCCTGTTGAAAAACGAGCGGCCTGTTGGTGAAAATCAGGATGAGTACGATCTATGCTTGCAAGAGTGCCGCCGTTGTCTTAAGCCCGGAGGCTATCTTGAATTCTTCGTGATGGATGCCGAGATCTCGCGCGCAGGACCCTACGCCTCTGCTGCCTCCATCGAATTCGCCTTCAATCTCAAGACAAGAGGATACGATCCGCTGCCAACGAAGAGCTTCATGCCGCGCTTGCTCAAAGGAGGCTTCGTGGGCGTTAAAAGAGCATGGATGTTTCTCCCGATGGGCGTGGAGCCTGTGAAGGCCGAGATGCTCAGGGAAACCCCGGATCCTCGGGTTAAGAGCCTGATCGAAGACTGCGAGGCAGTCCATGGTCCCGTGGGTAGCACAGCTGATATCGCCAGTGTGACTGGGCTTCTGGGAGGCTGGATGTGGGAACAATGGCTTCTTAAGTTGCAGGTTGAAATGGGACGGGAACAATACCGCTTGCTTGAGGGCATCGGCAGTGTTTTCGATGAAGGACGCAAAAATGGCGCAGGCTGGACCTGCTTGTCTGGGTGGGCAATGAAGCCGAGAGGCAAAAGATTGCCCAAGGCTGTGGAACGCAACAATACTTTCGCTTGATCTTTGGCTTCGGGAGCTGGTTTCTCGGGCATACACTCATTTTAATATTGTTTCACTGCTGTTGGAACCTTTTGGTTCTCGTTGATACCCTGTATCGCCCTGGTGGCGACCCTTAATGTACTAATGATCGATGAGCATATCCCGTTGGGGAGAAATAATAATTACTGGAGCGGACTTGTCCTCGATATACACATAAAAATCCTGCCCATTGATTCTAGTAGTAGTAGTAGTTATATTTACATTATGAGATACAAAGGGTCTGGAAGTCTCTATCCTTCATATATAAACTTCAATTTCGAATTGATGTCTGCCAGAAAGTGGGACTTGAGGATCGATATCTGATGCGGTAGTTGTACTTACGTAGATAGATAGCTCCGAGATAGAACTGAACGTCAACTTCGACGCTGTACAAGGCTTATACCTTGATTAAACTGAGCTATCAAAATTCGTAAATGTGAAACCGTCAATCTACTAACATACAATACCATATTATGAAATGACTGGGAGAAGTTCCTCAAATGAAGGACGAGAGACCACTCGATGTGCAAGCACGTGACTTTGTGCTGTTTGCTCCAAGTCTCCAACGCAATATGCGACTCGAAGATCGCTTTGTATTAACTTCGGCGACCAAACTTCGTCTCCAACCTGTCTCTTAATTGAAGGAATATCCGTTGTGATAAACAAGGAAGGCAGGCGATTTGTCAATTATTGAGAAAAAAATCGAACGACCACGCGAGGGCGCCTCGACACCATTTCTTAACAACCCCTCCGACATAACTTCTTCGCAACGATGCTTTTCTTCAGGTGCGTCACTTGAAACCGGTGCTACTAGATACCATACCTGCGGCAACGATGATTGACCTGTCTCTGTTCTAGCTTCTTTAAGACCCTTACGAACCAAACTGTGACGATCGAGCTCAAGAATGACATTCGCATTCGCGGAACGTTGAAATCCGTCGATCAATATCTCAACATCAAACTCGATGATGTCGATGTCCTTGATCTGGATAAATACCCCCATCTGTCGTCTGTGAAGAACATGTTCATCCGTGGTAGCGTTGTGCGATATGTCATGCTTCCCCGATCAGAGGTTGATGTTGGTCTTTTGGAGGATGCTACAAGGAGAGGTACGTTTTTGGGCTATGCATCAGTCGCACGGGCTCATCGACTGCTTGAAACGGGCATACATTTCTCTCGGCGCTCTTGTCATCTTGTACCTGCGATTGACCCTACAATTGCTAACAAGTGCTTGTTCAACAGAGGCTGCGAACCAAGCTGGAAAAGCCCGGTGATACCCTTACTGTCTTCATTTTCATTTCTCATCTATGACGATACATAATACTCGATTGCTCTTGCATGAGGATCCTTACGATGCGATGCCGATGTGCGTATCATAAACGAATTGTACAATACCAGCCATGATGAAGTTGGTATGGAGCCGCCTAGGAGCGAATAGTTTGGCGCCTTGGGGGGATCTTTCAGAGATCCATCGAGAACACCTAGGAAATTCTTACCTATCGAGCGTTAGCAAGGATACATCTGATTTGTATCCTCATCCACGATTCGACAGTCGGATCTCCTTTTGTTCCTAGGCATTATGGGCGTCGAGAATATCATGTCTGATGTTTCAAAATTCTTGTCTGGACATGGAAGGACAAATATGACCGCACATCGTACTTCAATTTCGCGAGTGGTCCTTGGACCCTTTTTGCTCTTCGTGGATTGTCTCCAAACTGTCATTAAACGTAGTATCTGCACGTGACCGCGCGTCACAAAAATCAGGATTCGCCGCGTGTGCCGTTCACTTCGGTTGCTTCAACCACCAGCTCAATTCCAATTGCCCATGACGAAGCAATTTTGCGTTGTCTTTCGACGATAACGATGCAGCTTCTTCTTTAGAAACTCATGTGAACACAAAGGCATGCCTTTGCATTGGGTGCGAGCAAATCACGACTCCTAGATCCTACGACCGCGGCCTACAAGCCCTCCGTCTCCGCGGATTCTTTTTTAATATACCCTCCCCTCAGCCATGGCAGGCTTCCAGACGAGGAAGGGAACACCGTCGAAGACGCCAGTGCCTAAACAGAAGCCACCGGTCAAACGCAATGCTAGCCTATTGAGCTTCTTTCAGAAGGCCGACGGTCCCCCGCAAGCCACCTCTCGGCAACCTCGAATCACACAGTTTGTCACCAAAATTGAGCGAACGAACGGGAGCGGTAATAGCCCTCTTTCCCTAAGCAGGCAAAATAGCTCCCAAGCGAGCAATGGTGCTGGCAGTCTATTTCTAGAAGACAAAAATGGCTCCAAGCTTTCGAAAGATCATACATTTACTTCCGAAGCTCGTGAGACAAGATCCCGGACACCCGATGATATTTGGGAAGACGACGGTGAGGGAGCATCCTTGCCAACGGATGTCGAAAGATATAATGAGAATGGAGATTCGGTCAAACGACGGAGAAGAGACTCGCCCCCAGCGGCCGACACGGGTTACACAGAATTGAATGCTTCCAGCGGTTCCCGTTCGCCCAAATCTACCAAGACTCGACAAATCAGCGGTCCTTTTATCGACGAGTCGGATACTGAAGATGACCTGAGTGCCTTTAAGGAGGTGGATGAAGAAATTTCGGGTCTCGAGCGCAAGGCGTTCGAAACAAGCAAAGGAGATAGTCCGACCAGTGTTGACGCTGCGCCGGCCTTCAGAGAGCCACCCACCGCTATCACCGCACCCTCATTGGTAAGAGAAGCCACGAGCCACGCAGAAGTCGATGAGTTTCCGGATTTTGACGATATAGAAAACGACAACTTTCTAGACGAAGCAGATACCCTGGATCCGTTTGGCGGAGGCGAAGATAACTACGAGGAGCCGGGCTTGGGCCCAGGTCTGATAAGCGACTATCCTGCCCTTGATGCATGTGAGGAACCTCCCAACGGCGAAGGTCCGACATGTCCGATTTGCGAAAAGAGTCTCTTGGGCTTGAATGAAGCCGTAAGCCATCCTAATCTGACCATGCTTTCGAGAGGAGATCATAGACCAACAATAGCCACAGGATATCATGGTCCATGTCAACGACTGTCTAGATGGGAAGCCTACTACCGTGCCAGAGAATCAGTTGGACGCCACGACACCACCCCTGACGCGGATCGATCGTGCTGCCATACCACGACCTGCACAACGTGATCCATATTCATCCGGTCCCTCCAAATCCAAATCGGCCTTTTCAAAAATAATGGCCGGTAATGCTGAGGATGCTGCATGGGCGACAGCTGCAGCAGGCGAGGTCGCATCTCGGGGGAAACAAGCTTACCAGCGGACCTGCCCTTTTTATAAAATTATCCCTGGATTTTCTATTTGTGTGGATGCCTTCCGTTACGGTGCAGTCGAAGGCTGCAATGCCTACTTCCTCAGCCACTATCACAGTGACCATTATATTGGTCTAACAGCATCTTGGCGCCATGGTCCTATCTACTGCAGCCGAGCGACGGCCAATCTAGTGCGTCAGCAACTTAAGGTAAACGGAAGATGGCTTGTGGATCTGGAATTCGAGAAGAAGACAGAGGTTCCCGGAACCAATGATGTTCAGGTAACCATGATTGAGGCCAATCACTGCCCTGGAAGCGCTATCTTCCTCTTTGAAAAGTCAATTGGATCCGGATCTTCCGCCAGAGTGCAACGAATATTGCATTGTGGTGACTTTCGAGCGTCGCCCACTCACGTGCAACATTCCCTGCTGCGACCTGATATAGATGATCCTATTACGGGCGAGCGTCGTCAACAGAAGATCGATGTCTGTTACCTCGACACAACATACATGAGCCCCAAGTATGCCTTTCCTAGCCAAGAGGACGTGATCGAGGCATGCGCAAGTCTCTGTGTCAGTCTTGATCAGAATCCTGAGGAAGGCGTAGGCCAAAGTCTCTGGCAAAAAGGGAGCACCGGTGCAGGAAATGTGATGAACAAGTTCTTCTCGGCAGTGAGCGGATCCCGCCCCGCCCAAAATCCGTCTTCCCGGCCACAGGGGCGTTTGCTTGTAGTTATCGGCACCTATAGCATCGGCAAAGAGCGGATCTGCTTGGGGATTGCGCGTGCTCTGAAAAGCAAAATTTACGCTACGCCGGCAAAGAAACGGGTGTGTGCTTGCCTGGAGGATGCGGACTTGTCAGCGCTGCTCACCGACGACCCAACTGAGGCGCAGGTGCATATGCAGACGCTGTTTGAAATCCGAGCCGAAACGCTGGCCGACTACTTGGATTCGATGAAACCACATTTCTCACGCGTCGTGGGGTTCCGCCCGACTGGGTGGACTTATCGCCCGCCGGCAGGTCGAATGCTGGACAATCCGCCTGTCTCTACAGTGTTACACTCGCCGCATTGGAAGACGCCATTTTCGTCACGCGACTTGGTCCCTCAACGAGGCAGTACCCGGGAAAGCGCGTGTTATGGGGTGCCGTACAGCGAACACAGCTCATTTCGAGAGCTGACGATGTTTTGCTGTGCTCTACGGATAGGACGGGTAATCCCGACCGTGAACGTGGGTAGCCGGAAGAGTCGGGAGCGTATGAAGGCATGGATCGACCGGTGGGACGCAGAAAAGAGGAAGAGTGGTTTGTATCGTGTCGAAGGCGACCGATGGTAACAGTGTACATTGTCGAGATGCCAGAGGATTGCACATACTATTCTTTGAACCTAGATATAGAAAGATGTAGATACACGTTATTATGGCCTTGGATTATAAGTGAAGCCTATATATTTATCCCCAACCATCGTAAGTCTCCCTTCCGGTGTGTGAGGCATCCAGGCATCAACTCAGGCACTCAGGCATCCATCACGAGACATCGCCTCTGGAACTTCTTGCACTCCCCACAACAACTCTATCGCACAGCCGGCATTACAATTTAACTACAAGAAATAGGGCACAATAATACAATCTCCAGGTATGGATTTGGGAACCTTGAGTCATGATTGACTGATTAATGATTTGCTGATGATTGACTTCTCAAAAAGCCAACCCTGGTACGAGATGGTGGCGCACAATACTCCGCGATAACCGAGCCGTGGAGAGCGAGGGTAATAAGGAATGTCGGGCTCGCAAATCGGCTGGCAGCTGGCTAATTTCCAACCCCAGACTCCCGATCCCCAGTTCCGTCAGCGCGATAGCCTCGGGGACCGCAGCTGGTGCTCCAGTTCATAAAGAGACCGGATGGCTGCAGGCCTATAAGCACGCTTTGTTTGTGTGAGCTCCCATAGACAAGACTATGGACTAAATAGTTGGAACATTGTCATCGTTCGATCACTTCGACGTCTTTCTGAGTATTATCTATCGAGGGGGTTGGTTTTCTTTCCACTGCTGGACCCTTTCTATTACCCATATTCTCCCATCTCGACTTGGGAATCTTACGATTCTTTTTCGTGCGCCAAAGTCTTTATCCGCCGACCACCTAATCAGTTACCAGTAACCAACAAGGTTCGTCTTAGCCTACATCTACCCCAGACCACAACGGTGTTTGTGTGGCCCTGCCAGCCTTAACGGGCTGTGATAGGGTTGTACTGCTGTGACCTGTGCCACCTTATTGAGTTTTCTAGTTTGACCGTTTGCTAAGATAGTAGAGGATTTGACTATAGATCTGGCATAAGATCGACCCACTGGCATTATGATCACCGAGATCCTCACCCCACAAAACACAGGCTATGTCCTGCTGGGTCTGCTTACCGCCTACTATATCATCCCCTATCTGCAAACATGGCATCTGCATGATATCCCATCTCCCGGCTTCGCGGCCTTCAGCAACCTGTGGCTTCTTCTGCAGGCCCGTCAGGGTCATCGCTTCCTCAAGGTCGACGAGGCCCACAAGAAGCATGGCAAGCTAGTTCGCATTGCTCCCGGACACATCTCTATTGCCGACGATGGTGCCATCCAGGCCGTCTATGGGCACGGAAACGGTTTCCTCAAGGCGTAGGTCCTCACTTGCGAGAGATAGCCAATGTGTTCTAGCACTAATCATCCTTCCGCCAGCGATTTCTACGATGCTTTTGTCTCTATCCGCCGCGGTCTCTTCAACACTCGCGATCGTGCTGAACACACCCGCAAGCGTAAGACCGTCTCCCACACTTTTAGCACGAAGTCGATCGGCCAGTTCGAGCAGTACATCCACCACAACATCGAACTATTCGTTAAGCAATGGACCAAGCTCTCCAAGCTCAACGGCAACCCCCGGAGCGGCTATGCCACCATCGACGCGCTCAACTGGTTCAACTTTCTGGCTTTCGACATCATTGGCGATCTCGCCTTCGGTGCTCCCTTCGGCATGCTTGAGAAGGGCAAGGATTTCGCTGAGATGCGCAAGACTCCTGACTCCCCTCCCACCTATGTTGAGGCTATCGAGGTTCTCAACCGCCGTGGGGAGGTTTCCGCTGCTCTCGGCTGCTTCCCCCGTCTCATTCCCTATGCCAAGTGGATCCCCGATCGCTTCTTCAAGGATGGTCTCCAAGCCGTCGAGAACCTGGCTGGTATTGCTGTCGCCCGTGTCAATGAGCGCCTCAAGCCCGAAGTCATGGCCAACAACACCCGTGTCGATCTCCTGTCCCGTCTGATGGAAGGCAAGGACAGCAACGGCAACAAGCTCGGTCGCGAGGAGCTCACCGCCGAGGCTCTCACTCAGCTCATCGCCGGCTCTGACACCACCTCCAACACTGCCTGCGCGATCCTGTACTGGTGCATGCAAACCCCCGGTGTCATCACCAAGTTGCAGAAGGTCCTGGATGAGGCTATCCCCGCCGACGTCGATGTCCCCACTCATTCCATGGTCAAGGAGATTCCTTAGTATGTGCCTTTTACCCATCTCTTCTTTCCACACCATCAAACTAACAAATACTTTTTTAGTCTTCAATGGGTCATCTGGGAAACCATGCGTATCCATAGCACCTCCTCCATGGGTCTTCCCCGCGAAATCCCCCCCGGTAACCCCCCCGTCACCATCTCCGGCCACGTCTTCTACCCCGGCGACGTCGTCTCTGTCCCTAGCTACACCATCCACCGCTCCCGTGAGATCTGGGGCCCCGACGCCGAGCAATTTGTCCCCGAGCGCTGGGATCCAGCCCGCCTTACCCCCCGCCAGAAGGCCGCCTTCATCCCCTTCAGCACCGGTCCCCGCGCCTGCGTCGGCCGCAACGTCGCCGAGATGGAACTCCTCGTCATGACAGCTACCGTCTTCCGCCTCTTCGAGTTCGAGATGCAGCAGGACGGCCCCATGGAGACCCGCGAAGGTTTCCTGCGCAAACCTCTTGGCTTGATCGTCGGTATGAAGAGACGTGCCGCCCATGCGTCTGTATAAGCGACTCTCGGCAGCGGCGCTGGTACAGCATGCTCTCTCATTTTTTTCATCAATCAAGCAAATTTCTTGGAAAAGGAAGCTGAGCTGAGCCCTTTGGGAGGGAACGGTTTATGACGCAATGAACTAATTCTATAGAAAAGCTGTTTCCTTTCTCTTTTTGTATCTCCCTATTTCGCATCTCAAGTTCGGTATGATCATGCATCTACGCTGTATCCCCGACACAATTCGGCGGGTTACGAAGCTATCCGTTTCAGTCTTGCTTTCATCTTGTCTGTTTCAGGGTTGACTCTTGAATTACTGCTGCGCAGATTCATAAATTTTGCTTCTCAGGAAGCCCTTGGTGTTACTCGAGAACTAACTAGCTTACAACTCACAAGTATTTCCGTTTGAAAATGGATGGATATTATTAGGACCTTGAGTAGGCTCTTCTAAGCATTATCATAAGTTGTCAAATTATTATCAAATGCCTGGGTCATACAGCCAGCCAGGCAGGACATATAGACAATGAAGGTCGGAACGATAGCACAAGAAAATGAAGATAGATTTCCTTCCACTTCAGTCAAACCCATCCTGTATCAAACAGGACAGTAGCATCGTCACTCCAACCCATATTTAGGACCACGTCGCGGGTCCGAATATGCTGCCGTCGGGCACAGCTACCTGAATAGCTGTTCCGGCGGCATCCATGGTATTGCCGGCAATCTTAGTGCCCCACCACGAAGGGAAGCTTGTGTTCGTCAACTGAAGAGCGAGGAAGATCAATATAGTAGAAAGCGCTAGGCCGACATCGAGACCCGCCGAGAGAACATAGTTGTAATGCATCCACCACCCACGCCAACGGTTGCGAATATATCTGTTGAACAAGAGACCCACAATGCCCCAGCTCAGATAGTTCAATGGGGTCGCGGGGGGAATCAACCCAGCACCGCCGAAGATCAGGGGGGCACTAAGGTAGCGGATACGACTCTTAGGCCAGACCCGGGCACCGACGTAGATCATGACGGGCAAAATGGCTCCGGCGAGCCAGAACCACATCAGAGAAGAGTAGATCTGTCCGGCGGAAAACATGCGGGAGGGACCAATGACACCCCAGATGACGGATGCATTGAAGAACACACGGCCGTTGGGGCAGCTGTAGTGGCTTGGTTGGTCCTTTTCGCAGACCTGTTTGATGGCTCCAAGCGCCCAATTCATGACACCAATTTGAACCACGGAAGACCACAGACAGGCAACCATTTGGGCGGAAAAGGTGACACGAGGCGGAAGCTTCATATAGTGGCCTAATGACTCGCCAGTTAGCCGCATGGTCTGCATGGTCAGAAAATGGGCTGGCTCGTTATATACGTACCTAATTTCATATCCTGACAGAAGTACAACCCCTGGGACATGGTAATGTAGCCATAGGTCTTGAACAGCATCATGGCCATGGGACGTCCGGGCTGCATATAACCGACGATGAATTCCGTTATGACATTGAGGCCGATCTGGACGTTGGTTGTCGCCTGAACCAAACCAACTGGCACAAACCACACAGCGGCGATTATGAGAGATATAAAAAAAGCCCACCAGCTGAGATGGGTGGGATATCCCAGGGTAACACCCAGACCGATACCGATCATGATCAGGGTAAGCACAGCATACCACCACAGTGGTACGGTCTGGAAGCGAGACATGAGACGTGCATGGACGTCCTCTTCCTCACGCCCGAAGCTGCGGAAACGGGCCCAGATTTCCTTGCCGTGGAAAAGTCCAGTGTGAAGCAAGACAGCAATGATGGTCGCGAAACTCAGACCGTAGTTCAGCGCAAAAGTTGTGGATAGGAAAAGAGGCGAATACTCCTTGTATTTGACCGGATCAAACTCCATGTTCGGAGTCAGGATCTTGGATACGTTGTACACATTTGCGGTATTGTCGTAGCTGCTCGAGTCGCTAATGGGGAGATATTCGGCGAACCACACGCCACTGTAGTGCAGACCCATTGTAGTGATCCAGAAGAATATCACCATACCGATTAGGGTGTTGACATGGGCATGCCACGGCGAGATTAAAGGACTGAAGTTGAAGCCGGAGACTTGAGTCCAGTCGAATGTGATGGGAATGAGTGACAGACCCGTGAGGCCACCAAAAAGCTGATTGATGACTGCATTTTGGGGCTTTATCCAGGTGACAAAAGCAAAGGTACTCAGGAAAGGAGCAATGTATCCTGGGAACCAGTACCACACGAAGGAACCAATCATGCAGTACAGGAAGAAGCGGTACTTCCCGATGGTCCAGCCTGAGACCCTTCGAGGATCGGGCGCGGAGCGATCGTGCAGGGCTGTGAAGAGGGCAGAATTGATAAGGGTGGAAGGCCAGATCATGGCAGCAGGTGTTACCAAGAACTTATGGAAGAAACCGGCTAAGCCAAACCCTAATGTCTGGGTCGAAATGCACATCAGGATCTCGAAAGCCCAACCGAAATGCTGCTTATAGAAGGCCCGCTGAGCGAGCAGCACATCCGTTGCATAGGCCGCGCCACCAGCAAAGGTGGCATTGGCCATGATGACGATTAGCGTATGCTCCTTCTTGCTGAAGGGTCCAGGGTTGAGGTTGCAATCAATCCCAAAGAATTTGAATTGCTTGTCGGGCATAACCTTATACCATGCAATACCAACCGGATAGGCGACGACTTGCACCACATATGAGGGAATAACAATGTATGGTTGACGCATGGAGAAAAGCATGTTGAGAGCTGATCCGATTGTCGCGAAAATAAGTCCAATAGTCCACGCGCGAATCGTGTTGGTGTGTCCACCCTCGTCGTAGTTTGCGACAGCTGCGCGAACCTCGGGATATGGAGAATTATCCAGAAGTTCCTGTGTGATTTCCACACGAGCACCCTTGTCAGCGGTGTGCAAGGCTTCATCGATCTCCTCAGCCACATCATCGTCGAGGTTGGGATCCCACTGATGCTGTGCTTTGAGGTTCTTGAGATGTTTTGCTGCCTCATCTGGTGCCGTCTCGTCCACCAGCGAATTATCGCTGACGGCAACCGTCGGCTCGAGGCTCTTGTCCTCCTTCATCCTGGCAGACGGGGGGGGTTTAACACGGTGTGAATGTTTCTTCAATGCAGGATGATTGAAGGTGTTGAAGGAATGAAACAACAAAAGTGTACGTGCCGTGGTAATCCCCACCTGAGCAAGCTTACCTCCACGATCGACAGTGGGGGAGGGGGATTGGAAGGGTGAAAGTGAAAGGATGAAAAGGATGGATGAAAGAGGGAGAAGGGAAGAAGATCAGACGGGAGGTTGAGGCAGCTGCAGGTGATTCGTGTTATATAAGGAAGGCCGAGAGCAATTGACCCTCACTTCCCTCCACACCCTCTCTATCTCTCTATCGAACCCCTACACGGCCGACGGTAACCCGCCACTTTATCTCGAGATACTCGATTCAACTAATCTGTGAGCCAGTCATAGGTCTCTATTATGGACGGTCACTTGTTGTTTCCCGCCACTATCCTCACTGAGCTCCTAAGAGAAAGTCATTTGCGCCTGTCAAATGTAACCCTGATACCGACTCAGGTCGAAGATAGTCAAGCACCACATGGTCCCATTAGTTATCCTTGATTCCAGCAATTCAACACGGGTTTGAATAGAGGGCTTGACGAACGACATTATCCCATTGGAAGGAATTAATCCTTTGTGATCCTTAGGTTTCATCGAGGAAGGACTGGAGTCGGACTACTATCAGCCAGACAATCACAAAGGAATGACCTAGCTGGCATGGTCCGCAATCGCTGCAATCAGAGCTTGGATTATTTCTTGTCTGCTTCTCCGGTAAACCTTGTCTCACCAAATTTTGGGTCAGAACGGTTAAGTGTCCTAGCGAGAGCTGAACGCAATTTAGAAACGGTCTAATGTCGGGTACTAGACACTGAGTGGATGGCGGACCTCCCATCAGCAAGCATCTACTCCGGTAGGTTGAAAGACCCAGGATTGCTCCGCCGGACGTCCGAATCCCTGTACCAAGTCGCACAGCTTCTCGAAGAGTGCCAAAAACGCCATCACTGATCAGCCAACCCGAACCGTTCATCTGTTCCTAATCTACCCCATCCTGCAGCTGATTCGACTGTTCCTACGACTGGCTGTATAGTCGACCTTGGAAAGAACCAAAGAGAGAAACGGGAGTCGGAGCGTCCGTTCACTAGGCTTATCTTGCACAAAACATCCCGCTCATGCCTCGATCTACACAGGTGGGAGGAGATAAGGCTGAGGTATTCCCGACTCATCTGCCATTGATCAGACTCCAGATGAAGCAAGACTTCAAAGCTCATGCGACGGAGAATTAGACTACTCCGGAGTATGTGGGCAACCAAATTGTCTGGGTCGTCTGACGCTAGGGGATTGAAATCGGCATTCTCTGCCATATCCGGGGTAGCCTGAGACTCTCAGACAGTGGCTTGCCCCGAACATATCTGTACCCACTTGAGGTGCTTTTGCACAGAGAACTAGAAGATAAGCAAGGGGGCAGAATCTCCGACCACGGGTGGCAAAAGTTTCTGGCTGAAAGCCCCATACGGAGTATACTGTATGTCAACAGCAACGGTGAAAGAGGATTGGGGCGAAGATTTTGTTCCTGAAAGTCAAAAGTGACTGGGAAAGCAGATTGAAGAAGAATACGAAGGATAAGCGTGCTGCGAAGACTGCCCAGAAAGCATCCATAAGGCTTGTCGATGATAAGCCAGTAACAGTAACAACCACTCACTGCCAATAGTGTTGGGGGAGTGGAAAGAGCCGAGGAACTTGGCTTCGGAAGGGCTAGAATCAAACCCACAGTGGGTAAAACCTACTGGGTTACAAGTTACAACAACTTCTGTTTGGGGTTGGGCATTCTCTATATCTTTAGATTTGGATTTGTGAGTTTATGAGTAACAGCTAGATAACTACGTGATACTGATATCATTTCACCACTGGAACACGCCTTATCGGCCTAGATTATAGCCATTAGCAGACCATATATGGGCAATCTAATGCCAGTTGGTGTCTTAGTGAGCTTTTAAGCCCCTACCAACTACCAAAGTCATGGTAACAGATCTGGTTTGAGGAGGATATCGTATCCCTCCTTGCCACTCGGGCAGACACAATCAAAGGGCAATGCTTGGGTGGATTTGTCTTTCCACTGGCAAGGTAGTAATATCGCAGTGATACTGTTAGTATCATAATCCCAGACCACAATGACCAACCAGCAATGAGGGCCGCGACGCTGAGATAACAGCAATATTACCGGACTACCTCGCTTACGACTTGACATCGGGGTCTATCATTGGCGCTGCTTCTCATAAGGGCGCCCAGGCTTGATGCTCGACGGTTATACCCTGGATCTCGTCTTCGAAAAAGGCCAAACGACCTGTTGAGCAGCGCGCTAGGGCCGCTGAATCAGTGCACGCGCGCATCACTCAACGCTACGGTGATAGGACAGGTGACCACCTCAGTATTGTTGTTTATCCTGCACATTATTAGCCAGAGCCTAACAGTTAATCTCCTGCTTCTTCGATACTAGCCCCCGGGGCCTATCCGGAATCTTGACCGAAGCGGGGTTGGAATTGATCAGCCAGCAGTATCACAATTCACAAAGCTTCGCTCGGACTCGGGAACAGCGTGGTCCAACGGCGGAAGTGGACGTTTCTGACTGTACGGACTGGACTACAGACTACAGACTACAGAGTACAGAGTCTCAGGGCATTTCTGATTTCTGACTCGTGAAAAAGAAACGGTGTCGAATGTGGGATCACGCATTCTTCTTTTAGCACTCCGGGGGGGAGACACGCTGGGCAAGAACGAAGGAGTTGGTCATTGCTATGCGGTCTGCTAGATTATCTCATCGCTTTGCGGGGGAAAGTATCTCTGTTATCTTTGTTCATGCATCTCAGCGGAATGTCTCGGTCTCTCTACCGGAACTCACACAGGTTGGCAACCATCTTCGGTGGACATCAATTCTTGGTTGGATCCAATAATATCAAGATCCCAACCCGTCTACCTGAGACAACAACCAAATATGAAAGAAGCAACAAACTCCAATATCTAGCGTTAGTTAGTCGTACATGCTCTAGCCCAGATAATTCGGCGAAAAATGCTTTTCCTCCGAGAGGCTACCCCAATATTTTTCATTCACTTGTTCTCCCCCCCCTTAGATAGCGCCCTGGATGATCACACTATAGCCCCGCTCGATGGCCAAGTGGAGTTGTAGGATTCGGTAGGGGGGAAGAGAGCATCTTCACCCAAAGCCCATTCGAAATCTGCGAGAAACTGGTCATCGAAGCAAACGGGTTCCTGGCGCTCAAGGGCACCAGCCACGGTGTTGATGATGGCGCCGGGGTTGTCCCGATGGATTTCGACTCCTAGCGAGAGTTGAAATGGTAAGCTCAAGACTAATGGATGGGTGGGGAACGTGGGTGGGTGGGAGTGGGGGGGAGCAAAGAAAAGATTATCAATCAACTCCGTACCTTCTGTGGTCTCTCCGGGCGATAGAAAGAGGGCGCGGTACTGATTGTCGAACTCATCGCGCCACCACCAGACCGCATCGAGGACGGGGCTCAAGACGAGACGGCTGCGAATTCGCAGAGCTGTGTACTCGCTGCCATCGGACTTGCGGAACGCCTTGGTGCTGTTCCAGAGCTGGTTGAGGATGAGCACCGTCTTCGCTGCGGTGTCATTCGGCTCGACGGACATCTCCTTGGCGAGACCGATTCCCGCGAAGAACGACAGCCGGGCGCGGTCGAGATCCAGGTTGTACGATGCCGGCCCTTTGAGGATGCGCAGCAGCGAGACCGAGGCTAGCAGCAGGCCGAAGTTGATCTGGATCGGCGTGGCGGTGAGGCAGTTCATCTTCTGGCCTAGCGCCTCAATGCAGTCGATTACGCGGCATGCTGTGGTCAGGACGCGTGCGAGACAGCCTGTGGACGAGATGGTCTGTGTTTTGAAGAAATGGAAGACTTGAATGCTTAAGCGACCGAGAGCTGTGGAAAGCTTGTCATCCGCTACGGATCTGTCAGTGCTGAGACGGATCTGCCGGTCAGCGTAAGCCTGGTCTTACCGGAAGTGAATTGCGATTCCAAGTCTGCAATCTGACTCTCGTATGTACGAATAATAATATCCAAAGACCGCTCCTGATCCAGGGTCATGGCGCGTACCCCGTTTTCGACTACTGCCGCGCTGCATCGTGTTATTAGATCTAGGCATTTTACCTTCAACACGATTGCCGGCGCGATTCGCTGAAACAGGACTTGGCTCTGTCCAAACTCTTGCTGCATGTCCACGAGTGTCCGAGCTAGCTGTCCTTTGATAATGCAGGAGCTGTCCCTCTTTCAGAAACGGTATAAACACGAGTCTAGAGAACGAACTTACTTCTGATAGACAATCACGCAATGTGCCCATAACTCAGATCGCCGAATCATGTCAGCCTCAGAGGGAGCAGGAATCTTCACCTTCGAGAATTCGTGGCTCGACATTGGGATATGCAGTCCGTTCTGCATGGCAATGTGTACCATCATACCACACAACGAGAAAGTCACGTCGGGTCGGTTTCTGTCCTTCGCAAAAGGCCATGTCAAAAGCAACAGCAATCCCTGAATTGTGTGCCACGGGGATGTGGAGGTAGCAGAAAGCAATGCCATCTCTAGGATGCTTCGCGAGAGAGCAGAGAGCAAGGTGGGGTTTCTCGGATATGCCCTGCATGCGACCCCTATGACGGCCCAAAAGAGAAAAGGGGATTGCATGCAGTACGCGTTAGGAGATGTGCTGGTATCAAGGATAGGAAGGAATCGTGCATAGTGGTGGAAGAAGCTATGCCGTTACTGTCAGAGAATGCCGATGTAACTTTCATGAAAAAGGAAGGGGGGCCTTTGGATTCCATCTCACATACATCGAAAACAGATCATCAATCTCATCTGCAGTCAGTGCGATATTATCCATGCTGCGAGGGACAGTCGGATCAGGAAGACGATCTTCGCGCCTCATCTCCATCCTGGGTAAGGACGGCTCGAGAAATGCCGGGGTCAACAGCTGCTGGGGGTATGAAGACACAGGAGGATGGAGTGTGACTGGCGGAGGTAGACGCAAGTCGCTCTCATTGCTTGTCGAGAGGCCTCCCATCTCTGCTGCAGCGGTCAACATGTCTATGGGGGAAGGCTGAGGGTCAAGTGCATGGGATGTCAGCTTGCGTCGCAGCTCCTCTGCCTCGCGTTCTAGTTCAGTTCGACGTCTAAATCAATTTTGCCACCTGTTAGTGGGTTATCTGAAGGACGTGAATTGCAAGTGTGAATGGGGTCATTGATGTTATGCCACGTGACGTACTGGCGCTTGTGCTCTCTCCTAAAAGGCTCAGAAATGATACATTCTGCCTTTACTTTCACACATCTGGAACATGGTTGATTCGGATTCAAATGGGCATCGCATCTGGCCTGGTTGTTCATAGTTAGCAACACAGATGATCGCGAGATATGTCTATACGATCCGGTCTTTAGAATCAACTGAGAATGATATGCTTTGAGCTGACCTTCTGCTGTCTACACTCCGTGCATGCTTTCTTGCCCCGTTTCAAGACAGAACTACGAGTAGCTCCGCATCAGCATAGCTCAAGGATGATACAGGAGTTGCAGTAGAGCTGACAGAGCTTACACTTCAGTTTGTTGTGTCATTTTTGCGATCTTCAGCCTCAGATTCTGCTGGCAAGGATACAGAGATGCTGCATTCTGCCGATGCGCTGAGAACCTTGTCAGCCTCGAGCTCAGACAGCGATGATGAAGTTGACGAGCAGAGGGAGAGTCTGGTGGTCTTTCTAAGCTCGGAGATAGCGTCATAATCTCCGTAGCTGTATATGAGGCCCTGATAAAAACCGAGGAGGTTGCCATTCATTCGAGGTATATTTCCTTCGGCGAGTTACGCGATGAGGGGAGTTTCGCGCTACAAGTTAGGTACAAAGGGAGCGGTCACTGTTTTCTCGACGACTGACGGATGGCGATGGCAATGATATATTTGAAGTCTGATCGCGAGACGTGGACACAGTATTTAAATTTGATGACCTTCTGGTATATACGAGCTAGAACTGAGACCTACAAGTCTTATAGTTTACTCATAAACTTATGCATCTCTCACTCTCTCAGTCCTGTCCAGTTCCTATGCCGGGACATAAACAAAACAGAGCTTCTCATGATAACCCGGAACCGGCTCAAGAATGGGCACTTTCCCTAAGAGTTCTGCCTGATTGGCCTGAACGTCCCCGGTCCCGGCTACATACTCAAACAGATCGGAATATAAACCGGAAGATTGATCAGTCTCTAAAGTTGAGATACTGGATTTGCCCTGCATCAGGTGTTGACGCGAGTGTAGAGTTATTGAATACAAAATGGATACTAGAACGATTAGTCCTCCTCTTAGCTGCCATCCCATGCACCTTTCAGCCTTGATACTTCGCGCCCATACGCAAAATTTCATGCGCAAAGCTTCAAACACATCAAGACGTAAGAGACGGCATCGACTTTCTATGACGAAGGAGTCTACAGAGCAGAATTGAGCAAAGCCCAGTCGTTATCTTTGCACATTGTCATACTAATGCCAGCACTAGGGATGTAAAGACCCTCGAGCAATCTGCCTCTCACCTTGAGCCTTGAGAACCTTGGAAAAGGGCAGAAACACTGAGAGAATGAGTCGAGACTGTCTTCCAAGTCTTTGCTTTGCTGGGGACAAATCACATGCATCACTACAAAACGTCTACAGTGACACGAACCCTACCTTGATGATTGTCCAAAGGTCTGACAGAAGGAGCATTGGGGGTGTATTTGACTCAACGCAGCTAGGTTCGGGTTGCTCAGTGTGGATGCCCTGATTGACACACATTCAGCGCGTCGCTGCCTCACTTTGCAACGCCAATATGATGCTCCAATGCGACCGTGTGATTCTCACTGCATGTCTCCGTCGAAGATGTCTCGGAAATAAACGCCTGGTATCACAGTTGCAGGAGCTTGAAGTGGCCTTCCTGATAGTCAATTTTGCAGTGTGACGGTGGAACTCGGGGCTCATGGAGTTAGGGAGCCATCCACAACGTCAGAGAGGATTTTCTTGTCTCACTTCCGCGTCGACTTTGGACACAACCATGCTGTGTAGCAGCTGACACCTCACCTTGGATGCTGTCATCAATTGACTACGATAGCACCCTTTCTCGGGGCCGAGATTTGACAGCAAAGTATGGTTGAATCAAGAAATGTATGGTTGGAAACGAGACGGTTGCAAAAAGCCTTCCTCCATTGCGAGTATAGAAAGAAAACGATTGAGTCGAATATACGACTCTCGTGCAGTGGAAAATTCGTCGTACAGATGTGATTGATTGATAAATTGTAATACTCAATTATAGAGCTTGGTTGATGACCCTAAGATGCTGTGTCTTCCCCCAGAGTGACATACAACTATATCGGGATGTATGAGGAGGTGTGTCCTGGGCCTCTCTGACATGCGCTTGCTTCTTCGGCCACACCTGGCCTTTCATCAGCAGTAAATCATTGATTCATGTCGTTCACAAAGCAATCTCTTACCAATACCAAAGATATGTGTAGATATGTATATTAAAATCGGAGCTGTCTGTGTATATGGAACTTCCGGAGAGACGCGAGGGAAGGGAAGACAATCCCTCAACGATACATCCCTCAACAGGAGAGGAAGATGTGACTCGCATAGTGGCAAGAAGTAGCCAAATCAATGGTGACTTGCCTCACGGTTTCTGATATGATAAAGGAGGCGGCACGCACTCACAGTGACATCACTATCACTTCAACTCGACCCGAGGCAAGAGATAGGTTCAAACCACTAGGCTATGATTCCTACTCTCCATATCGCGAACACAGTTCTACAGACATTCCGAATCAAAAAACGACCCCGAAGATGAGTTTTGATCTACCCTCCGTTGACGAGATCAAACGCTCCGCCGAGGTCGGTCAGCGCATCACCCCCGAAGATGTCTCAGTGATAGCACAAGCGGAGAGCGAGTTGACCGGGAAAGGGCCAATACGGGGCGGTCCTGCCGGTGAGTTCCAATAGCCATGAAGAATCCAGACTCTGCGGTTCTAACGAAGCCAGCAACTGCACAAAGTCTGGCGATGAGGCAGATGAACTTCGACACGAAACTAGATGAAATCTCAAGGAAGCCGCAGAGTCACATTACCCAGGAAGATGCGCGAGAGATTCAGGCGACGGAGGTAAGGATTTTTCATACTTTCCCTCCCCATGGACGAGTAGATTGGGATGGGTTTTGGATTCCATCTGATGTATTTGGTCGTTCAGGGCCGCGCATTCAATAAACCGCCCGGTGCAGGCTCCGTCGCTGCTCAGGTCCGCTCCATAGCGAATCGGAATGAGGCCCTGGGGCTACCGCCGGTCAATGTGGATGTTTCTGTCTATGTGACCAAGGACGATGCACGGGAGGCTCAGAGCGCCGAGGCGTCTGTGTATGGAGGACAGAACCCGGCGGGCGGAATGGCGGCCCAGATGCAGGTATGTAACTACGATGAGGCGTTAGCAACGCATCTGGCCTCAGAAATAACCCTGGTCCCAGAGTGCAGCCGATAAGATAGAACATGTTAGACGGGCCAGTCAATGATGAGGTGGAGGGGATTAGAGCTCGATTGTGTCCATACAGGGCGTGGCAGTCACCTCGCTGCCTTGGGCTTCCACTCGATCATGCTGCATTTAGACTACAAGGCATCAACAACCTAGAGAGCTGCTTCAATTTCCATTATAACTATTATTATTGAGCCGGAGCCGAGACTGTTGGGAAGAAGAGAACGTAAAACATCTCGGGCGATAGTATGCCTCATCTACTCCATACAGTTCAGCCACTTCCTCTGGCTGGACCTTTAAACATTGTTTTTGATTGATAAAACTCACGTCTTACGCAGAATTTTGATCTTATATCAGTGGTTGACTTATAAAGCAGGGGCTAGAGGGGAACATGGAACCCTAACCTGTCTCTCCTAGAAAACTTCCTCGACATCACCACACGCTCAGGCTGAACAATAACCCATAGTGCATGATAAGGTGCAACAGCTGTTAAATTGTCATTTTATTGAAGTATTGGAACTATGATCCAGACTCCATGACTACACGAACTTGACACGACTGACTGAATTCCGATGAAACTAGGTAGAGATCCCAGGATGATGTGCAGACAAGCCTTGCTTACTCGAATGGCCATCTGCACTACCAGACTGAAGGTGATCTATTTGTCGACGCTCTTTCAGATCATCAAAAGATAATGAAGTCCATTCATGGCCACTGTTGGGTGCAGAGCTCTTCGAGACAGATGGCTTTTCTGCGGCAATATACCGAACGAAGAACAACACTGTCGAGTTAGAGTTACCAGGTGCTGTGGGAGAGATCTGATCTGCGCGAGGACCAGAGTGAGTGTTGTCTTCTACGAGCCACTAGGTTTGGGAGAACGCACTTCAGAGAAGAGGCATCGTCCGTGGACTGCATTGTTAGGCAAGCGAAGATCTTCAAGCAACGTGCAGAGACACTCAAAACTTCGTACGCATCGTCCATCACAATACTTGCTCCATAACTTCGACACTTGATATCTGCCGAGATCGGACGCGGCCAGAGATACTCACCACATAAGACAAGACGAGAAACTGAATCGTGGGAGCATTTAGCCAACACGCTCTACCTCGTCAGCCAAACAAGTCCCTGAACCGTGACGGTCTGAGCGGCCGCCGAATCAACAGACCGAGCCCCGACCTGGTGCAACCACCGGGCATAAAACCACCATGTATCCGGTTCCAAGGCATGGTATCGCAGATGAACATATCTCAATCTTGAGAGCACACTTTCACAGTAGTTTCCCGAAGCTGTTGAGTGCTGATGGCCCGATCGAAGCAGCTTGTGATGATTAGTGATCGGCGTCCATGGTTTGACTGACCCCCAAAACCCACATATCAGGGATATAGTTCGTGTGGTTGCCGCTGAGAACTTGGGCCTTGGAAGTTGGGAACTTTTTGGAAGACCAACTCGAGCCATCAAAGAACTCTTGATTCACAGATGCGAAGTGTAAATCATAGTTTAGTGGTAGTATTCCGGAGTAGTAGCTCTTTGGAATCTTCCCCATTATTTAGCCCGCCGACCAATGTGCAATGCGGATGGGATGCGAATGGCCTAGTTAGGAAAATGAAGCTGGTTCGGCGACGTATCCAGTTAGTCAGAGAGGTCTCCGACTGAATAAGGTATTAGTGACTCTTCGGTCAGCCTTCAAAGTTCAAATCCATCGACGTGGTCTCGTTAATGGGATGGACTAGTTATGCGGACGTGACAAATCTTTTTGGCGCAGGCTAAGATCCCCGACCGTCGTCTCTTCATCACTCTTCCAGTTAGAGTGAAGCAAGCTGCCCGGGAGTCTTTGTTGTCTTTGTTATCCCAGTGGAATATTAATGAGTAAGGACATGCTTTCCTGGTTGACAAGCAATAATAATAATAATAATAACAATAATAATAATGAGCCCCTCTCTGCCCCTCATTCAGCCCCAGGAGATCTGGTTGTTTGTTGTTGCTGTAGTTGAGATCTACTTCGTACTCCGTAGATAACTGAGTTCATTCAACTCAACGGGTACGTTGGTAACTTGGTCCTAGAGACTAGTGAGCAGCTCAATGACAAATACTGATTTCAAGCCAAGTCTCGTCGAATCGGAAGCGCGACCAGAGCTGAAATCCAGTGTTCTCGATCTCTATCCATGATGCTGTTCAACTACCGGTAAAGAGTGACGCAACTGTTGTGATTTTTGCCCCTCCAATGCCTCCCTTCATTCATCTCTCTCTCCCTCCCCAATTATCCAGAGCCAGAACGGTCGATCGTCTAACTGGATAGCGGTACAAGCTTCAGTGTTTCTGATTATGTGTTCCATGGAGGATCCCACCAGTGGTTCGAACTCAAAATAGAGGAGTAATGTCATGTTGAAGCTGGAAAAGCCTGAAGGAGGGGCGAGGAACTGGGTACCTATAAATATGGCCCCTCCATCGCCATCTTTCTTCAAAGGTACTCAACTGTGAGCACCTTGTTGTTGTTGTCGTCTTCAATACCTTCTTTTCCTATCCAATCGGCTTCTATCCACAATGCCTCTCTCCGGTCACTGTCTCTGCAACGCGGTTACCTACACCATTGATGTGGACGAGCCTCTTCTGACGGGATATGACCATTGCGATGACTGCCAGCGCCAGAGTGGTTCCACTTACTGTACGTCTTCTATGGAATAAATCCCCTACAATTCGAGTCGTCTACTATACGTCAGGCGAATCTCGCGCTAGGTACATTAGATCGTTGCTAATGCCTATCCTCTCTCTCTCTCTCTCTTTATATAGCCCTTGTTGCCGTCGTTCCCAAAGATAAGCTGAAGATCAACGGTCCTGTCAAGAGCTTCGCCAAGAATGGCTCTTCTGGCAAGGCTGTCCACCGCATTTTCTGCTCGGAATGCGGTTCCCCCATCGCACACGACCCAGATGCTGCTCCCGAGATCATCGCCATCAAGGCTGGGACATTGGATACCGAGATCAAGAAGAACCTGAAGCCGGTATGATACCACGGATTGAGTGCTCCGTCTTCTCAGATACTAATCCTGAGGTTCTATAGGATACGGAAATCTGGACTGTCGGCAAGCTTCCTTTCTGCCAGGAGCACCTGGCCAAGCCTTTTGAGCACATGCCCCAATAATTGCAACAACTTCTCCGATAATCTGTATGGGATAGTTCGCGTAGCGTGTGGAATGATTATCTTACGTATCTAATGATCAATAATACGCAAATGACTTGAATTTGGATTCACTTCCTTATAGTCCTTGATGATTATGATCGAGCCTTAAACATACCCGAAAGAATACGCGTAGACTTGGGGGAAAAAAGAAAAAAAAAAAAAAGAAAGAAAGAAAGGGGAGGTATCTACAGACCATATGTTGCCATTGACTGACAGGAACATGAGGAATGACAGATGCAAAGATTCGCTGACAGTTTGCTCCGTGAAACAGGTTAATGCATTGAAATTGCCGTTGAGTTCAGTTGCGGATCATTCTCACTCTGATCGATGTATGCTATGATCCTCTTGTGTTATGCTATCTTCGGAGTACCTCAGTTACCGATGGATATAAACCGAGCAGAATGGCTCTGCAATCTCCTGTATCAAATTTGTCCCGGCTTTGCAGTCAAATCATGCACTATGTCTTCGGGAGTGCTGTTCATCAAAGATTCGCGTACCAATATCCAGTACGAGATTCCCATCCGACGAAATGCAATCGCGGCGGTCGACTTCAAAAGAATCAAAGCTCCATCTGCTGGTACAGACAGGGCCGACCAAGTTGCCAGTGGGCTGCGCGTGCATGATCCCGGTTTGCTCAACACTACGGTGGTGGAAACAGAGATAAGTTTCTCGTATAGACGCCGAGCACTTCTATACCTTGACGAATCGAATTGACATCCTACAGTGACCATGAAAGGGGACTGCTTCTCTTTCGTGGATATACCTTGCAGCAGCTCTGGGACAGCGAGTTTGAGGATATGCTACATCTTCTGGTTTGGGGAACATATCCGACGTTACGGCAAAGGAAAGAGCTGAGCCGAAAGCTAGTCGATTGCATGCTTGCCGTCCCTAAGACGGTGCACGAGGTTATTCGTACACTGCCGTAAGTTTCAATCTCTGCAATACTTGGGATTTGGGACTGATGGCCGCAACGCAACATGCAGGAGCACTACCTCACCACTACCACTCATTATGGCCGGACTCTCTGCATATCTTGCCTGCATCCCAGGAACCATTCCTGCATCGACTAATCCAGACCTATATCAAGGCAATATGGAGGAGGTCGATCGTGCAATAGTCCGAACTGTTGCAGCCTATGCCGTTGTATTCGGCTTGGTGAACTGTCACCGCAAGGGGATCCCATTCACGCCACCGTCTCACGAGCAATTATATTTTGAAAACCTGTTCAGTATGGCAGGTCTGGTGGATCCGGCGACCAACAGCGCAGATGCCACGAAACTCTCGTGCTTCAGGCGGTTTGCCATGCTCAACGCAGACCATGGCATGGCGCTATCTGTGTTCTCGGCACTGGTCACCGCGTCCTCCCTTCCAGACCCGATATCATGCTTGATCACCTCAATAGGGGCAGCTTTTGGGCCCCTTCATTTCGCTGCTACCGAGTCAGCACAGCTTGCGCTACGGGAGATTGGAACCCCAGACAAGGTTCCCGAATTCATCGAAGAAGTGAAGAGGGGGCAACGAAGACTCTTCGGCTACGGTCATCGCTCGTACAAGGGGACTGATCCCCGGGTTGCGCCTATCAAATCCATTCTCAAGGACTTGGACACGTCTGACAATCCTTTCCTAAAAATCGCCGAGCAGATTGAGCGAGTGGCCTCGGCCGATGATTTCTTCTCAAAGAGGGGTCTACACCCCAATGCTGACTTTTACGGGAACTTTGTCTTCACGGCGATGTAAGGGCTCCCACCGTCACCGTTCCACCCGATCATGCATTAACCAAGGCAACCTGCAGGGGTTTCGAGCCAGAGATGATTCCCGCCGCGATGATGGCGCAGCGGATTATCGGGGTCATGGCACATTGGAGGGAGTATATGTGTAAGTCATTGCAACGGACGGCAACATACCGGCGATTTTCTAACTTAGGGTGTTTAGTGAAACGCGGCAAGCTGTTTCGACCATCTCATATCTACACTGGGGATGTCAGGGAGAATAAACCTTTGCCAAAGATATGACTGGTATGGAGAGTCACAAGTGATCAGGTTGCTGAATGATGATCGGGGCGTAGTGATGGGTCAATGCTGGGTTATTCGGAAGAAGATTGGAGTCGTTATGAAATACCTGAAGGGTTAAGAATCGCGAGATATCGATTCCCTCCATGCAGGCATAGGGTATCATGTATATTCATGTATATGGGAAATATACCGGAGGGTCGCTTCATCGTCGCAAGTAAAAAGGCCATCTGTAGGATGATTCTTCAGATCTAAAGAAGGACATATCTTTTCAAACCGAAATCGTCTTATCCTACAACATGGCAGACAGTTCTTTTCCACCTCATCCCCCAGCCACCGAGGCCACGCCGCTGCTCTCTTCCCACCAGCAATATTCTGTCTTTACCAATGGACAAAAGCGACTGATCATCCTTACAGCAGCACTGGCATCAAGCTTCTCGCCGTTTTCAGCGAACATCTACTATCCCTCGCTGAACTCCATCGCAGCTGATCTCCATGTCAGCAGCTCTCAGATCAACCTGACGATCACTACATATATGGTACAGTACCATTCAAATCCGCACTTCCACTGCACAAGCAGACACTTACCAAGATCCCACCTCTTCAGATCTGTCAAGGTCTCGCCCCCTCATTCATGGGCTCCTTCGCAGACCAAGCCGGCCGCCGCCCAGCCTACATCCTCTGCTTCCTCATCTATATCATCGGCAACATCGCCCTCGCGCTGCGACACAGCTATCCAGCCCTCCTCATCCTTCGCGCCGTGCAAAGCTGCGGAAGCAGCGGTACCGTGGCGCTCGCTTCCGCAGTTGCCGCGGACGTCATCACGTCCGCCGAGCGAGGCATGTATATGGGCATCACATCGCTGGGCAACATCCTCGCTCCGTCCCTGGGGCCGATTCTGGGGGGCTTTCTGAGCCAGTATCTCGGCTGGCAGGCCGTGTTCTGGTTCCTGGCGCTGGCCGCAATCACCTTCTTCGTGCCGTTGGTGGCGTTCTTCCCTGAGACGTGCCGTGCAATCGTCGGCAACGGCTCCATCCCCGCCCACGGGTGGAATCAATCCCTCCTGAACCGGTGGAGCAGCCAACACAAGCAGCAGAGGGATTGCGAGCGTCCTTCGAACCCGGCCACCCCCTGCCGCCACGACCTCGACCACAACCACGCGCAGAAGCGGACGATCGCCTGTCCGAACCCCGTGTCCACCCTCCGACTCCTCTTCCAGCTCCCCACGGGCCTCCTCATCCTCGCCAACGGCATCGTCTTCGCGAGCTACTACTCCGTCATCGCGGGGATCCCCTCCCAATTCAAGAAGATCTACGGACTAACCGACCTAGGCATCGGCCTGAGCTTCATCCCCGCCGGCCTCGGCTCGCTCGTCAGCGCAACCTTCAACGGCCTCCTCGTCGACTGGAACTACATCCGGCTGCGCACAAAAGCCGGCCATCCCATCTCCAAGACCCAGAAGCAGGATCACGGCGAGTTTCCCATCGAGCGGGCCCGGTTGCAGATCGGAATCCCCATGACGGTCGGTCTTTTCATCATCCTCCTCTTCCCCCCCCCCCTTCTATTGCAAAAAAGACACGAGCTGATCAGGCTATGGCAATTAAAATCCCGCAGGTCGCAGCAGCACTCGCAGTCGCCGCCTACGGCACAGTCATCGCCCGCGAGCCCGCCCTGGCCGTCGCCCTGGCGCTCGTGTTCGTGATTGCTTTCTGCATCACCGCCGCTTACAACGTCATGAACGTCCTCGTCGTCGACTTGTACTACACCACCCCGGCCACGGCCATGGCGGCCAACAATCTCGTGCGATGCTTCCTGGGCGCGGCCGCCACGGCTGCCATCCATCCGATGATCGTGCGTTGCGGGAACCAGGCCACGTACTGGGTCGTCGCGGGGGCGATGCTGGGTGTTACTCCGTTGCTGGTGGTGGTATACTGGAAGGGGCTGGAGTGGAGGAATCGTCGTGGCCCGGAGGTAGCGGATTCATAGAGGACAAACTCTTCTTCTTTTTTTTTTTTAAAAAAAAAAGTCCCCGAGATGGATGTGCGTCACACACATGGTTGTTTCGGGCGATTCATTCGGTTATACATCTCCCTTATACAAGTGATAGTTTTTTTTTTTTTTTTTTTTTTTTTTACTCTCGCTATGAACGACAGCGCCAACTAAGTATTCCGTATCAAACATGTCCATGTCTCTGTTTCTATTTCTCCTCGTAACGACCATCGTCGCGGCGACTCGTTGGCCGCTACCTCCTGCCCTTCCAACGCTCGAACTGCGATATCCTTCCACCCCGTGGATCTCACCTGGCGATACGCTCAAGAGACCAAGTGAGAGAATCCGTTCCAGCCCCCATTACGGGGCAGTAGGGAGTCTCTAAGACTAACGCAAAGAATGAACCAGAAACCCTCCAGCTTCCATGCATCGGCACAGAAAACCTCGACATCACCCGTACCCACCTCCTCCTCTTCATCGACCTCGATGTGATCTGGGGCACGCGCTCAACCACCGTCTTGCACTGGTACCAGCCGGACATGACAGTGTCCCGGGTCTGTGCGTGCACAGACGATGGTATCGACTGGTTGGTCAACGCGACGTCCCCCGGGGCAGAGTATATCGCTCCCCAGCCGCCGCCGTTGACCCGTCACCGCTACGTCTACCTGCTCTACGAGCAAGACCCGGAATATGTATTCCCCGAGTGCTTCGGACATATATTCCCTCAGACGATGGAGGCGAGGGCCGGGTTTGATATCCGGCAGTTTGTTCACGCCGCGGGATTAAGGCCACCAGTCGCTGGCAACTTCTTCTTTGTTGATAACGATGAGTCGACGACGAGGACGATGACAACTACTCCGCCAGGGCGTGAGATGTCCACGACAACATGGCTCACGTCTGCCCCGTGCAGGACGGACGATGTGGAACCCACTCCGTCAGCCTACACCGAACAGTATGACGGGGTCGAGAACCAGCAGATTGTGATATAACATTCATGTAGGACAGATGTGGTGTACAAGCAATGTGGTTGGAACGCTATTCTGGCCTATAGGAGCAGGAAAACAGTCATTTGAAAACCAAGTCATATCACTTCTTGATGCTGATTAACCTGTAAAGACGTTGCTTCGCGTAACCAACATGGACACGCTGGCAATAGCACTTATTTCAGAATCGCTATTGCAGAGCACACATTAAGTTTGAGCAAGGACTGCAGTGCTGAGTAACTCACCTTTGTGGTCCGGCGTCATCTCTTTCCATGTGTGAAACATATTGTGTGCAACGTGAAAGACCCAGTAGATGCCTGCAGTGCCAATGCTACCTCATGGCCCGTTCGCATATTGGTATCCAAGGCCAGAAGCATGATTTGAGAACTGTGACAGATGAGATACACGGGATAGTATCGGCGCCAACCTGCCCTCAAGTATATACAAACCATGTGCGTATGTCAATCGCGATAGAGACTCCCATTCAGAAACAGCCTCAGGAGCATAGCCAGCCATTTCTTCCTCACCCTTTCCGCTCGCCATGAATAGAGACAAAGTTTCCAAAGCATCGGCGGATCGACTGCCCAAGAGCGTCAAGGTGCGTTCGACATGCAATGCCTGCCAGCAGGCCAAGATTCGCTGTAGCCACGAGAAGCCATCATGCCGACGATGTCAGAAACATAATATCGAATGCATCTATAGCATGTCTCGACGACTGGGGCGACCGGCGAAAAGGAGGGAATCTCAATACGCCGCTCTTCCTGTAGACCCGCGCCAGAGTGACCATCCCCGTCAGCAGCGGGACAAGAAAGCTTCGGTTCCCAAGGCTGCGAAGTTGAAGCAGGGTCAGACACAGAATCGAGCAAATGAGGACGACTTTCTGCAATCATTAGAAGAAACAGTTGTTTTTGACAGTATCACCGTCAATGAAACTGCACCTGATGATATCTCCCTCGAAGGCAGCAGTCTACGCACACCCACCTTTGGCGATAGTGATCAACTGCCATCATTTGCAGGTATTCCATGCTCGCCTTCCACAGAGTGCAGACCGCATAGTTGATGAGAATATGTAGTTCCCGATTCCATCGATTTCGCCTCTGACAGTTGGCTGCAAGAATTCCTCTCCCAACAGGCGCCTGATCTTGCACAAGAAAGGGGTCTTCTGGATACGCTAGCATTCGAGACCTCCAAGGCCGACGAGGAATTCTCTAGTGTGGCAACAGGACTGCAAGAACTGGCTGCTTCGCCGAACCATTTACCGATACCCTCGCCGAAGGCACACAATCAACAGTCTTCGGTGGCCGTTTACTCTACAGACGACTTTTCTGTCACCGCAGAGACACTGACGGCCAGTAGTCAAAGCCTTCCGGCTGGTCAGTCCTTCTATCCAGAGTGCCTGAAGAAAAGCATTCCAGCCTTCGCTCAGCATATCTCAGCCACCGAGTCATTCGCGGACAGGCTGATGACTGCAACGGAGCCATTGGTTCTGCTCTCCCACCAGAAGGTCTCAAAGCGGGTGAACGACTATGAATTTTCATCTGACAATACTTCCTCGAACCTCGGAGCGCTGGACGCGGCGATGACACGTCAGTGTCAATGTCAGTGCCATGAGCAGATTATCAGAGAGCTCATTCGTGTGAATATTTGTGCTTCTCGAACAGGACCTTCAGCTACCATTGATTCTATCTTGAACTGCCAGCGCATCTTGCAACAATTAGCGGAGACTATTCTGCAATGCGCTGTCTGTTCCAAAACTCGGGTTAACCTTCTTATGGTCGTCGTTGTTGGGATTGACAGCTTGATCACAACACTCGAAGTCATCACCTCTGGTGACGGAGGGATGATCCAACGCGTCTTGCCGGAGTTTCAGAACCACCGATTTCTGCGTCGGGACTATGGTCAGGACTTTTCAATAGACGGTAGCCATCGAAGGTACAAAAGTGGTGTCTTCCAGTTCAGGGCCGAGGTGGAAGGTCGTCCGTTGATGGTGGGCGGTTTCTCTGTTCCGGTGGAGGAGAAATTCTTGTTCGTACACCAGGTTCTGTACGCAAGACTCACCGGGTTACTCGCTGTCATCCGCCGAATAAGACACTGTACGCAGCAAATTCTGACAGTATCTGCATCGCGCGGAAGACTGAGCATGATGATGGAAACTGATCGGCGCCTGCAGATCTTCATTATGAGGATGAGAATGTTCGCCAGTTCATAGCAGTTCATGATCACGTAGAATCTTTCAATCAGCATCCAATTGATATTTCTCTTAAACTGGAGACCACCTCCTGTTCCAATAAGGACAGTCTGTGCTGAAGGTTATATTAGCCGAACTCATGCTCATCTTCGGATTCTCTCACTTGATTTCCTCGACCCAGTGACATCCCTTATAGACAACAGCCCAAACCTCTTTCAGATGGTGGCACGTCGAGCCGCCTGATGGCAGTCGAAGCCCGCAGGAGGCCGTTCCCTAGATTTCCCATAATTGTATACAAGCAATCTCGCTATCAAACTTGGTGTGACCTTGCAGTTGACTTGAGAAACGTGCGTGTCCCACAGTAATCTGGGCCCCATTAAGGGGCAAGCCAATGGGATATGTGCCTTGAATGCTCGAAGATGGACACGAGGCTGCCATGAAGTATGTTTCATGGTAGACGGGATTCAAATATCCACTCCCATTGGCTTGCATCCCCAAATGATAACAAGCATGTGAAGCTCCGCGTCTTATTGCAACCTCTCCTTAGGCTCAGGATTGCTATGGGACGATAGAGCAGATGGTCCCTCTGATGTGAGGGCTGGAGCTTAATATCACTGAAGTAATCATGATCAGCATGGACACAGATAAGATCTCGAAACAGGCCTCGTCCTTCATCTCCAGGTCAAGCGTTTTACCATTGTGATATTCACCGCGTTATCATTCCGACGATGGAGTTAGAAAATAGTTGCCAGTGCTCTACGGCGATTCTGCATCTGATGACCGAGATCCGTGACGTTCATGCTGTTGTGGAGCTTGGGAAGGTCTTCGAATTGGTTCACCGCGTCTGCAGTCAAGGTCAAACTGTGGTCAGATGCAAGGATTGTAAGAAGAACTTTCCGTCATCCATTGTCACATTTCCTGCACTGGCAGAGCAATGCCTTTCACTATTTGAAGCCGTTTGTTCGACATACAGCATCAATCGGCCTGAAACCTTGTTCGACTCGGCCGCTCTCAGCTTCGATCAACCTCTACCTTCCTTTATCTGCATCCGAAGTGCGATGCAGCTTGGACAAATGGAGCTAGACGAAGAGGAGTCAATTTTTCTTGTAAGGATGCTCTTGAGTCGCTACCTCGTCACACTTCTCGGGCTCTTGGAAGCTTTCCGGGATATCGCACGTTCTCGATCGAATGATAACATGCACTTGCATCGTCTGGGTACTCTTGCCATTCGTTCGTATGAAGCCTCACTTGAAAGCACAATCCATCGTCTGGTGGTATTTACGGAACAGTTTCAAATTGAGCCAAGTGAGTTGTTGATCTTGTGCAATGCCGGGCAGCGGAGCCTAACGATAGTAGTGAAATGAACAAATGGCAACCATCGACGACGAATAAAAAGGCAATTGCATCCTATATTTGAGATTAGAGGGGAATGGGTGGCTTTTTCTGGATATAATTTTTTCTTTCTTTTTTTTTTTTTGGCCTGTTTCTGCTCCCTAATGCACTCGTTTCAACAATGGGAGGAGATAGGGATAGAGGGAACTAGGAAAAAGGACAACCATTGGATTTCGAATTGATTATGATGCTTCAGTGCTTCAGTGCTTCTTCCCCATTAATTCATTCAAGCTCCTCTTTGCCACTGTACTATTCTTTGCCCCATTCCGTATTATACCAGCACCAGTCTGTTGCAGCAAGTAGTGGTCGAGGATCATTTAGGCCACGGCCGCTCCCAGAGCCCAACCCACTGGCCCCAGCCAATGACTTTATCAGTCATAGCCTCTTTAATCTTCTGCTTGGTGACCTGGTCCTCTTGGCCAAAGGGGAGCGGCTCATTGAGGGCGATGATGGTGAAGATGTACCGGTGAGCGCCGTGGCCCAGTGGTGGAGCAGGACCGATGTAGGCGTTTCCAGTCAGATTAGGAACGTATTTCCAACCGGCATGAGTGGATTGATCTTTCAGATCTCTGTTTTGTTTGATATCGGCATGTGTTGCGGCTGTGGTTGTAGGGGGTATGCCGTAAAACAAGCCATGATTGATCACCAGGAAGGGAATCGGCGGGTCAATATCTTCGCAGACGAGGACGTACTCCCTCACATCACCGTGAGGAGGAGCATTCCAGTGGAGCTCGGGGAATCTTCCCTTGCTGTCCTCAGCCAAACAGGTATGGAAATCGAGCATGGTTGAACCAGTCGGACCGCATTCGGGAGCTTCGAGAGTCATGTTGGGATCGGGCAGGTCTTTGAACGCAGCGCTCTTGATGAATTGCTTTGCATCGTGGCCACGGACGCGGTAGAAGAGCTTTCCCAGAGCATACTGAAGATAGTCTAGAATTCCAGCCATTTTGCTGGGTAGATTGCGCTACCCTAGAAAGGGAGCACTGACAGAAAACAAACTTCAGTGGTCACAGTGGATAAGGGACGCCGCGATGAACTATTTGATTTGAGATAATTGGGAGCAGCTGAAGGAGGGAGAAGAAGAGGGAGAGAGTATAGAAAGGGAATGGGGGAGAAAAGAGGAAGAAGAGGAAGAAGAAGAAGAAGGGAAGCTGAGCGAGGTCATGGGTGCCGTGCTGCATACTGTGCCAACGGAGGAAGGTGAGCCTGAACCGGTCCGGTACCGGGTGCTGCTTCTTCACTTGGATTGCTTCACCAGCCGCTCGATTGGGGCGGCGTCATGTCCTCTGTCTGTCTACTGCTCGGGTAACTTCTAAGATGCCATAGTTGAGAGGCTTGACGGACGAGGGTAATCCCGTTGGGAGGGTCTTCTGCCATAAGATGACTTGACTGTGAATTAGTGTGAGGTCGAGTTTTGTATGCCTAGTGACAGGCTGATCTGAGATCCCGAAAGGGTTTCCACTGCTGGAAAAATGAGGCGTATATCTCTGTTGAGGTCGAGGATTGAGATTGACAGGAATAGTATCTAGTACTCGACTAGGGATCTAGGTAGATATCTCTCTATCTACTATTATATCGTCTATTATATAGTCTACTCTCTAGGTACCAGGTTGTTCAGGCATAAACAAAAGTCCCATCTGTATAGATCGGGCGGGCCAATCACCGTGGTCTCTGCTTTCCGCTGACATCCGCGATGAATCAGCAATGGACCCAAAGTACAGCTTTCGTCACCATTCAAAGCAGGAATCAATGTTCCTTTCATTATTATTTCTTTCCCGTCTGCTTGGTGTCATGGTGGCCGTGGTGAAGATATCTCGATCTCTCAATTGATAGTCTCGCTAAATACCAACTATCTTCATGATCTTCACCTCCACCCCACCCGCGCCTCCTCCCGCGGACGCCCAGCAACGCCAGCCTCGGTATCCAGGCGAAGACACTACCCCAACCAGCCGGAGGGAAATCTGGGGCTGGTATACGTACGGCATCGCAGCAGAGGTCTTTGCTGTTTGTGGCGTGGGTATGTTCACTCACTGAGCTCCTATCGAAGATGTATCCCGATCGCTAATAAATTTCCCAAAACAATAGGTTCATTCCTACCGCTCACACTCGAGCAGTTGGCTCGCGAGCGCGGGACCTTGCTGTCAAGCCATCTACCATGCGTAGGACCTGGCTCACCTTCGGCCGCTCCTGGAAATGGAACGACGCCGGCGATGCTCAGACGGGATGGGTTAGGGAGTGATCAGTGTGTCGTGGGTTTGTTCGGGTTACAGATCAACACCGCTAGTTTCGCCATGTATACATTCTCTCTTGCGGTGCTTGTTCAAGCTTTGACCCTCATCTCGTTCAGTGCACTCGCGGACTATGGTATGTTGTATTTTGGCGGATCAGGTTAATTACGCCATGAAGAACGCACTGCTGATTATAACTCTTCGATACAGAGAAGAACCGCAAGACCCTCCTCCTCACCTTCGGACTCATTGGTTCCGTATCGAGCATGCTGTTCGTTTTCATCTCTCCGCGACTATACATTTTGGGCGCGATTCTGGTTGTCATCGGTGTCACCTGCCTCGGGTCATCATTTGTCGTCCTCAACTCGTTTCTTCCCGTTCTCGTTGCCAATGATCCATCTATTCAGACCGCGCGCAAAACGGAAGGCGAGGAATTGCCACACCTAGACTCTAGCGGAGAATATACACGGTCGGGAAGCTTCAACAGAGGCGATAACAGGGGATTCGACGATTATGTGGCGCCTGAGCATGGGTTAAAGCCTAAAACTACCGATTCCACTTCACCTGAAATGCAGCTGTCCACCAAAATTTCCTCGAAAGGTGTGGGCCTTGGTTACTGCGCGGCCGTGCTGGTACAGGTACTGAGCATCTTATTGCTCTTTACACTGTCAAAGACATCCCTACCGAAGATTTCCGGCACTCTGCCCCTTCGATTTGTGCTGCTCCTGGTGGGCATCTGGTGGTTCTCTTTCACTGTGGTTACTCGACGCTGGCTGCGGAACCGCCCCGGTCCCCCTTTGGACACTTCCAAGGGTGGTGCGCGATGGCGCATCTGGTTACGGCTGGTCGGTTTTGCATGGAAGTCCTTGTGGAAGACGGTCAAAGTGGCTGCCAAGCTGCGGGAGGTCGTTATTTTCCTCATCGCGTGGTTTCTTCTCTCGGATGCAATGGCTACAGTGTCTGGAACGGCTATCCTATTTGCTCGCACGGAACTGAAGATGAGCACAACCGCTGTTGGACTCTTGTCCATCACTGCGACCCTGTCTGGTATGACTGGGGCCTTTCTGTGGCCAGTAGTATCTCGGCGCTTGAAACTCAAGTCCAACCACACTATCATGCTCTGCATCGCGTTGTTCGAGATCATTCCCCTGTATGGAATGCTCGCCTATATTCCCTTGGTCAAGAAGTGGGGCGTGATTGGGCTCCAGCAGCCCTGGGAAATTTTTCCCCTGGGTATCGTCCACGGTCTCGTGTCCGGCGGATTATCTTCCTACTGCCGCTCTTTCTTCGGCGTGTTGATACCCCCTGGTAGCGAGGCCGCATTCTACGCACTGTATGCGGCTACAGACAAGGGAAGCTCATTCATTGGCCCTGCGGTGGTGGGCGTGCTTATCGACGCTACTGGCCAAGTGCGGTCCGGCTTTTTCTTCATTGCGGTCCTGATCGTGCTTCCTATTCCGCTGATTTGGATGGTCAATGCCGAGAAGGGACGGCAGGAGGGACTAGCGATGGCAGAAATGCTCGAGAAGTCCCATGGTGAAAACTCGTCTGAGTTTGGCCATCCCTCAGAAGAGGCTGAAGGCTTGTTAGCTCGAAATCCGTAGAGGACCATGGATGCTGATATGACGATGATGAGGCAGCACATCAATAGATAATGTCTTACGATTCCCTCAATAGAAGACCATTAACGATAATGATATCAACAGATGATGGCTTGTAGGATCCTGAATGCATTCGCCGAGACCGTTAGCGTAGGGTCAACAACCCTGAAACCTGTCAGCAATTAACGTCGAACGGAATCCCATGGCGATTTATATGAAGTCGTGAAGGCAGCCTGCGAGTGTCTCACCAAAGACAGGCTGCAGCCCGCGCTAACTCGGTGCTGCCTGGGTTAGTGAGGCCTCACCCTCCATTTTATCCAAAAGAATCAACGAGGACAACTTCCTTACATGCAAGTTCAATCTATTTTCGCTTCCTCCAAGATGAATAAACCCAAGCAATCAACCATTCCTGCCGCGGTGCAGCCTAACCACCAACGACTCCGCGAGACACCTGCCTAGCCAGCATCAACACTCAATGCAACCTCAGCTCTCCAAGACGAGCAGCACGCACAGCGAACACAACGATATAAATACCTCTAAGCGACCAGACAAGAAGCCCTCCAGAAGCAACACCCATCCCATCCACCAAACCACCTCCTCACCACCCTCGACCGCATCATGCCTCGCTCTACCCTCCTCGCTGCCCTCTCGCTGCTAGCCCCGAGGGCCCTGGCAGAGGGCCAAGCAACCCCAGAGCCCATCGCAGTCCCTGTCCCAGGCGGCTGCTCGGGCCTGCCCCTCTACGACGCCTCGACCGGCATCGCCGGCCCATGGGTAATCCAAACAAACCAATGCACCAACACCACCGCGCCGGGGCAACCCTGCACGATCGAAGGCTACGGCGACAGCGTCGTCATGCGCTATCAGTCCGGCGTGTCCGGCATCTACCAGGGCTATGTATATTCCCCTCCCTCTTCCCAAAACCACAAGCCAAAACTAACCCCCTTCCCAAGGTCACAATCGTCCCCCGCAACGACCTCGCCAAGACCCCCCTCCGCTGCAACGACGCCACCTCCTCCATCGAAGGCCGCGTGCCCTGGGGCGTCAGCGGCGTGGCTTGGAAGACCGTTAATGTCAGCGACATGGCGTGGTCTGCGCCCCTGATGTGGGGGCTGGACGCGGCGTTTAGCCGCGCGGTGGAGCCGTACCACCACTACGTCAACGGCGTGCGCCAGGACGGGGTTTTCCTGGGTGCGGGCAATGTCACCCGGTGGGGGGTGAAGTATTATGAGACGTCGGCGGGGAGTTGGGGGTGGCCGTATTGGATGCTGAGGTTGTTGGGGCCTGGGAGTGAGGATCGGGCGACTGGGGAGGCGTTGAAGCAGGGGGAGTCGACGACGTTTATTCGGATTTATGGGAGTTGAGGAGGTCTTCGGGGGGTGGGGGGAGAGGGATTTGGAGAATGATGTTTGAGTGAATTGAAGGGGGTATGTTGTTTGTTAAATGTTCGTTGGCTTTTGATTACTTTGATGAAGTTGGGAGTCTTGATTTGAGTATATTCTATCAGTCAACATATGAAACACTACAGTTCCTCCGAGACTTTGAATGTCTTTTCGATATTGACCTCATATCGTGGATGCCATGCCTCCGGCCTCGGATTCAGATCCTCCTGGCTGCTATGCGCGTCATCTAGGTAGCTTCTCCCCTGCGGGGAGGAGACGGCCGTCACCACGACATTGGAGACCTCGCTCGTGATGTCCGGCCGCCAGTATCCTGGATCGCGAGGGCCCTTCTTCGACACGTCTCCGCTCATGTTGGATAGAGGATACTGCCGGTCGCTGCGTTTGCCGCTGCGTCCGGCGCGACCGTAAGTAGTGCTGCCGTCCAGAAACCAGCGGAACAAGGGACGGAGGGTGACGAGGCTTCCTGCCGTGATGCCGAGACCAGTCTCGATCACGGACCAGATGGCGATTTGGAAGGTAGAGTCTGGGGTATTGTTAGGACGGGGGGGTGGTCAGGACAGTCACTAACGGCACTCACAGAGAAAGTCGGCGTCTTTGTAGGTTTGGAGGAATGGAATTCGGATAATCACTGCAACACTCGCACTGGAATCACACGGGTGGTCAGTCAGTTTCTTTTATCTCAGGATCTTCCATCGCCCTCCTTGAGCTCTAGGTGGTACATACACGGCTCCGAGGCTGAGAATCGCACCGAGCGCGATCTTCGTCTTACGATTCATCTGCAGGTTCCATACGAGAAGCGCTGGCATAATGCCCAGCGTCAAGTCACAGAAGATAGTAAGCGAGCTGTAAAGATAGGAAATATCGACAAGCGTGTCGGTGGACAGGCATGTTCCTGCATGACCTGGTCGTACGCGCTGCCAGAAATACGAGATCGGTTTGCAGGCGAAAAGAAGGACGAGCCAGAACATGATTGCAATGCCGATAGAGAGACCGAGGACGGTCCACAGAGTGACGCGATGGAATCTGCGCACGGCCAAACGAAGGAGTGCCACAGCGATGGAGACTTTAGCAACCGCCGACGACCAGATATAAAGCATTTGATTCAGCCACCACAGCTGTTAAGATGATCAGCGCAGCTCTTCTGCTCGCAGGGGCGGGGGTTTTTTTTTTTTTTTTTGCGTACCAGCAGGGATCTTTCCAGCAAATCCAACCCCGTCATCGGGTCTACTTTGCTCGCGAAGTCGATCATCCTATGGCCAATTCCGGTCTGTGCCCCAATCATACATGAGATGTTCAAGGCTATAAATATTAACTGGTTGCAAGTCAGAGGATGCCCTTATCCAATGCCAACGGTAGGGGATGTTAGTAATACCAAGGCGATGACCATAAGCGCGTCATCCCATCCAAAAGCTCGCACCAGGAATAGACGAACGAAACTTCGTAGGAGAACTGCGAGAACCGAGATACTCATCATCACAGCACACACGACAAACTGGCCGAGACTTTGCCCCTCGAGGGGGAGCGAATCCTTTGCGACCGTTGCCATGGCCCAGAAATGCACAGCAATTTCGTGTGTCTTTGTGCCTTGATGCTGCAGTGACCTCGATCAAGGGAAATTTGCATTCAATCCAGACCAGAGCTACCCAAGGATTCAGACACGGCCATAGTACTAGGATCAGGAGTCGGGCCGCCGCGAGTCGCGGTGATAGCACATGGAGAAAGTCTGCGGAAACTGTGAAGGGGAGAAGAACTACTTGATGTATGATTGGCAGCTAGACAGCGAAGCCGCTAACTGTCAACCCAGCTGTTCGATTGGAGGAATACGAGAACGTAGCCACTAGGACAAGAAATGACAGAAGATGGATATGATCTTCATCAGCCGAGACCCATTCTGCTCTAGTCCTCGGAGAGCACAGGTGATGTCCCCATACAAGTCGTAGGCCGTGCTCAACTTACCCGATCTTAACCTTCCGATCAAAGGGCTTCAAAACCAACTGTCCAAGGCATAAAATCCGTCTGCCAAGTTATCCACTTACCCATTGTGTGGCATGTAGGCTGAAGAATACTTGGAGATTCGAAACAAAAAAAAAAAAAAAAAAAAAAACAACCGGGGGATCAAGACGGCCTAGAAAACAGCCGGACCACCCCGGGTTCCCATTTGCATCCTTGGGTGGAGGACAAAAGTGCCGGAATATGGGGGATTTGTCAGGCACGCACTCCATAAATAACCAACCTGGTCGTTGTGGCTCGAAGTTGGCGGAAAGCATAATCTGAAAAGTGTGAATCCTGATGGAATCCTGTTTGTTGAAAGAGGAAAGGCCGATAAATAGACTACTCCGTAGGAGCCTGGGTATAGGCTTGTCCTGGTAGCCAACGCCTACGGAGTAGTGTCAATGGTTCGTTCATCGGAGATTGAAGAGTGATTGACTTTTGAATCAGTGTCAACTACGGAGTCCGTAGTTCACTGTTCTTCTCCTGAGTCCTGACTCCTGACAGCTCCGACAATCTTACCACATCACCATGAAGAGAGTTCGATGGAGGATTCGAAAATAGACGATGGCTTGACTGGCCTCTTTTGACCAAGGCAGCCCCACTGCGGTCCTGAACTGTCGGAAATGAGTACCTTAATCCCTGAAAATTGGGCCCCTTTAAATTGACCGAGCGAGACTCAATGATGGGGGTAAGCAGATCAAAAGCGAAGCGAGGTGCAGAATCATGGATGTATGGAGTTCGGGAATAATACTGGGCGTCTGATACAAGCCATCTGCGTCGCGAGTGTTATGTTAGCGGCACATGAAAGAAAAGCATGACGTTCGGGTGGTAAAAAAAAAAAGAAAGCAGCCGTTCTCACTTGAAACTGCCTGGACGCATCTAGCTGTTTGCAGGACCCGGGTCTTCCTCCGTAGATGATTACCCCTGGGAGCCTGGAGGATGAGAACGCTGCACGATGAAGGATAGAGTACTCATCCTTTGATACGAAAAGCTTAATTCACCCAGCCGATCTGATCAGAGTCATGTGTGAAAATGTGATTTGATATTAGATGAACAAGTGAAAGATCGTTGGTAAATTGGTAGCTAGGTAGATGTCGAGAGATGGAATTTGACATACATCATCACCACTCTGGCAAGGTGGCTGCTACGAACCCAAAAGGGATACATACTTCTTAAAAAGGTAATAGTAATGTTTACTGATATGCCCCTCCTCTATAAGTTATTGAATCTTTGTTTATACACCACGCCCTTTGCCACATGATATCTTCAAAAAGGCAGATCCATCAGTTTGGTGGTATAATAGTCATATCTAGTGTCTCCAGGTTTTTAGCACAGTTGCTGCCAAAGTACAGTCCCAAATCCACCTTTACCGAAAATTCTGTACCTTGACCCATGCAGTATAAAAGATCATCAGAGAGCCTGCTGTAATTTGCCACATTTCGATTGGTAGATTCCAGAGACATCCAGCCATCATGAGAGCCAAATATGCAGTGACAGTTTTGGCCGAATCAAGGTAGTAGGGGACCAGCGTGTGCAAGCCAAACGCAAATCTCTCAGCTAGTAGATATTTTGTGAGCGTATCGTGATACTCTGTCTGCTGTGTAGATGACAGACATGAGTAAACAAATCTGTCTATAAATGATAGCGCAGCAGATTGACGGAGCCAAATAATCAATACCCTCCTGATCTGCTGAGTATAACTTGCAGGCGTAGAAGAAACCCCAGCAGTTGATCCTACTGATTGTAAAATATCGAGTAAGGATTGCTTATCAGAGGCCCAAAGACGCTGCGATATGCCATCAGCAGGGAGAGGAGTTATGGCTAATTCAGTTTCAATACCGGTTTGAGCTTCGGTATATCTCTGGATACTGGTGTAGAACTCTGGGCTGAGCACTTGTAGAGTTAACTCTACAGTCACTGATTTTGTTCCCACCTTGGCTGCAGGTGAACTCCATGTCTGTGGTTGATAATAATGTGACTTGGATGGTATGTAGTGCAATGTTAGAGGGTGAGGGTATTCGGCGACCAACCACGCCAAGTATTGTCGAAAGATCGGTTCTAACTTTCTAATTTTGATCAGTATCAAGAGCACCAATAGATAGGTCAAATCAAACCTCTTACCGTTCAATGTCTGTCTCTTCCCGAGGGATGTTTCCTGGACGAACCTCTGGCTTGCGTAGGTATGTAAGGTTTCCTCGAAAGCGAACACGCAGCGCTTCGTAGATAATTCGCGGTTTAGATAGCGCTCCTATATGGCCCCATGTACTTATGAAGCGGATCAACTGCATCGGTGATGCTGACAGTGGGTCCAAGGCACTGCCGCATGAATAGAGACGGCTTATTATCTTTGGCCTTCCATCAGGTGCGTACAAAGTGGTGATGGTATGCAATGGGCCCTTATTCCCTGAGTTTGGATTGCAAGGGTCACTGCACGTTGTGCTAATGGAACCCTCAACCTTCTCAAATGGGGATAGAAAAAAATCTTTATCCCACGTTCCTTTGTACATCTTATGTCGAGAATGTGATGATCCAAAATGGATAATTTGTTGAGCACCCTCTGTGTTCTTGGCAAGGACAGTGGCCATTCTTTCAATATGCTCATGTTGGCTACTCTCAGCATTGAGATGGCCTAGGCAAAAAGAAGGCTACTTTGCGTTCACCAAATGAATTGTTGACCTCCATCACCATGGCTGTTACTTCTTTGTCGGCTGAGTATAGTAACCACCAGGACACAGCATTGCGTGTAAACCAAAGGAATCTGGGGATGCTGATCATGTATGCATATGGCCATTCAGCTGGATCCTCACCCTGGCCTCTATTAGCCTCCCTTTGATAGTGATGGGATGAAAATATGGGTTATTGAATAACACCTACCTTTGATTCAAGATAACTCTGTAACTTGCCTTTTAATCCTAGTGGATGATCACCAGGCTCCAGATAATACCGCTGATTGATCTCAAACCAGCATTTGACAGACCGTTGGGCTGAACCCGCGCGGGCAGTGTCAATGGAGAGGAGTGATCCAACCCGGCCACGTAGACCAACTGGTACTCCCACAACAAAGTAGCTGTATGTGTAGTTGTATCTCTCTGGTATCATGCGTGTATGAGACAACTTAGTGCCGAACAGTAACGGCTGACCCAGTAAGTCTTCACCTTGCAGTCCCGGTTGAGTGCTGGTCAGGATTAACTGCCTTCGGAAATATGCCGTCATGAGAAGCCACAAGAGAATGGTAAAACTAGTAGCAATGAGGTTGATAATAATGGTTGTAATCAAAACTATATTCCAATGGATTTGAGGGGACTGATAAAGCAAAGTTGCTGCCAGGAGTTGAGTATTAAATTGTATGAAGGAAGTCTTCTCTGCACTGGGCAGAAAGAGACAGGCCCATAATCCACAAAGACTGGTAATTCCAGCGGTGTTTGGTAGTAAAGAGATGCTAGTGATCATGATGAGTAATAAAATAATGGTCTATTTGTTTTTGTGAAAGGCTTCTATGCAAGATGAGTCTGTAAATTCTCATTGCCTTTATATCTACAGCAAAGCTGGAGATTAGTTAAAGACTTACATTAGAATTTTATTCACATCATCATGAGTCTAATAACTATTAATCAGGAGCACCCTCAGTGCTGTATGATGAATAACATGATATGGTACAGCTCATAATTCACGACATGGGTTCCTGTTTTGGAAACCTGCATGGAATTCCTATAGCTCTCAAACGTATACATTGTCTATCTCTCTCCAATTAGCGTAAGAAAATAAGAACTTCTGTTGATAAGCCTCCATCTCATGGATCAGCTTCTATTTGCACAGAACACAAAAGCAGCAAGGATTGTGTGATAAGAGGGAAATGATCATTACACACACTTCAGCATGGTGTCAGCATTAAGTTGTAATGATTTTCAGAACCTTTATTATTCATGTGCGAGGAGTCTGGTCAGATGGGTATAAGAAGTCAGGGTATGGGGAGGGGAGGATGGGGTTTTCTTTGCATCTCATCCACCAGTCAACAGATATTGCCAAAGAAAAAGACGCCTTCAGCCAGTATGTCGGCTTCTGCGAGTACCCCATCCCCATTTGTTCAGGTCATGATAATCGGGGCTGGCTTTTCTGGCTTGGCCATGGCTTGTCAAATGAAGCTCAAGCTCAAGTGCAAGGACTTTGTGATATATGACCGCGCAAGCGCATCAGGAGGGACGTGGTGGGCTAATCAGTGTATTGTTCCTATCGCCTTTACTGCATGAATTCCTACTTACATAGATCTACAGATCCTGGATGCGGTGTTGACATTCCGGCCGTTTTCTACAGTCTGTCATTCGCCCCAAACCCTGGATTTTCAAAGGTCTTCCCCAAACAGTCTGAAATTCTGCAGTATTTCAATAAAGTGGCTACTGACCACGGTATACCTCCCCATATGGTCTTCCACACACAGTGGGAAGGAGCTGAGTGGAAGGAGGATACGAGCAGTTGGCGAGTTCAACTCCGCAATCTCGCCACAAATCAGTGCTTTGAGCAGGAATGTAAAGTCCTTATTTCAGCAGTGGGAGGGCTATCTGTGCCCAAGCCCTTTAGCATGAGGGGTATGGAAACCTTCAAAGGGGAAATAATGCACACGGCTGAATGGAAACATGACGTGGTCCTTGATGGAAAGGATGTTGTGGTCATTGGGAACGGAGGTATTATGCCTAGTCCATGGTGAAAACATTTAGCTAACATACAAGATAGCCTCAGCAGCTCAACTGATTCCAGCCATTTTGAAGCAATGCAAATCGGTCACTCAATTTATACGAGTAGGTTAAACTTAATACGCAGCCTACAAGCGCAGTATACTAACCAGGCAAGACACCTCAACATTATATGCCGAGTCAAAATAATACGATTCATCCCCTACTCCGTACCGCGTTTAGATTTATTCCAATTTTGCTCTGGCTTATACGTACGGCAGTCTTTCTCTATCTAGAGACCACTGGTCCATACTTTGGCCTCACAGAGGCTGGCTCTGCTCTGCGAAAAGTGGCAGTGGAAAAAAGTCAGCGGTATATCCAGGCAAACTCTCCAGGTCAGCTTAAGTCATACTCTTTCTGACAATTGAACCTCGGCCTAACATGCATTCCAGAGAGTTATTGGTCTCTTCTGCTTCCTAAATTTGAGTTGGGTTGCAAGGTAGATCACGTGGCATTGTATAGCAAATGAAGATATATGTACTAATTCAAGCCTCCATCCAGCGAAGGGTCTTTGATAACGATGAGTACATTGCATGCCTCCGCAAACAGAATATCTATTTAACGGACGAGAAAATTGCGGCTCTTCAACCTGATTCAGTCCTGACCAAGTCTGGAGCAGTCTATCCTGCTCAGATTATTGTAGGTGATCTGATTCAACAGCACTGGGGAAAGTTCTTCTAATCTCGTATTAGATCCTAGCCACTGGATTTGCATTGCGGCAATTCGATATCCAGCTCTACGGCCGCGATGGCCTGAGCAGAGAGGACCATTGGAAACAATTGGGAAGTAAGTCAGCGTTTAAAACAGTTGCGATGGCTGGGTTCCCCAATTTCTTCTATGTACTTGGGCCCCATTCTGGCAGAGGACATACATCTACCCTTTTTGCCGTTGAGAGGTATGGAGAAATTAGTTCCAGCTCAAGACTTTGACGCTTACTCATTCATCGGACCAGCTTTGTTGGACTCATCATACGCGCCATGAAGCCAGTGATCAATGGCCATGCACAGTTAGTTGAAATTAACTCCCACAGTGAAAGGGTGTTTTATGAACGCACAATGACGGCACTTGATCAAACAGTCTTTCAGAATAATTGTGGGAGTGTAAGCTGAAATATGACCATTACCATGCATTGAGATAGCTCATGACATATTCTAGTGGTTTATTGATCAGAAAAGTGGGTTAAATTGGTTCAGTTATCCTTGGAGCTCATTTGAAATGTGGTTCTCTACCCACATAGAAGGGATGAATGATTGGATATACAAGGTGAGTTTGGCTGTATCTGAATTATCCAGATGCATCTCCGCTAACTGATCAGTGGAACGACAACTGTTATTATGCGCCAAGTAAACTCTGGATCACCCTTTTAATGGTCTCTATTTTTCTAATCTCCTGCACATGGGGTGTGGCTATATTCTTCTAGAATTTGCTCCCACACATACCCAAGGATTTTAGTCTTTTTAGACAAACCTAGAGTTGCATATAGGTGTCTCTAGCGGCCATAATGCAAATGAGCTGAATATGATAGAGTGTGCCCTCTATAGGGGGGAATCATGGGATTGGGACCACAGCAGAACCTAACATTAGTCCAGCCCATCCCCCCCAGAATCATTAAATGGTTGAAACTGATTTATGAATCTAACTCATGGAATTATTATATTCTATATTTAAAATAAGGTCTAGTCCGCTAGAAGGGGTCTAGTAATATAACTATGATTAGGTAATCATGCCTAGTTATTTGATTAAAATTCAGAGAAGAGAAAGTTTAGGATATATATATATAGAGAGAGAGAGAGATTAGAGGTAGGATGGAAGATGGTCAAAAGATGAATGAGATGTACATACAGAGTAGTACTTTTGTCTCTACATACACTGAACAAAGCCACCTCAACATTTTCATTAACACAAAACTATTGTCCGAGTCTCAATTTCTCTACGAAGTCCGGAGTAACTCGCTAGCTAGATAGCTACTACCTCCCCTCAGACTTCCTCTCCCAATAGAGTCAACCTGTCGACGTGAAAGTCGCTTACGGGGGATATTTTACCAGCCCAACTCATATGAGCCCGATCGAGTCCCACTTAAGGGGGAGGAGGCAACTGAATCTACACAGTATGAGAATCCAGAGGAGTATAGGAAGCAGAAAGATCGATCACAACAACTACCACGCGAAGATCGGTAGTAGGAGAGACCCTCCCTGCCAAACACTCTGAGTCTGAGACTCCTTCGTTCTCCAGTCCCATCTTCATCTCAAATCTACCCGAAGGGAATGGGTGATCATCATGATCCTCCGATCACAGCCGCTCATCCCGCCTGATTGGCGTACATAGTACTCTGTATGCAACTGCGCATCCCAGCCGCAGCGTGTGAAACACAGATTGGCTGGCGCTGACGAGATTGTCGGTTTAGGAGAACACCGCTATTTCACTTACTTTAATAAATAGATTGCAGACACCAATGCGATCCGATCCTTTTTATCTCCCATCGCATACTCTACTTGCAAATTGCAAACATCGATTTAACACGATGACCGTCGCACAGTCCATCTCTCTCTGGAACGATTTCGCGGCCAAAAACGGGGATTTGGAGTTCGTTTGGCTGCAATTCATGTCCTACAGAAGCCTAGTCTATACTCGGATTTTCCCTATAGCCAAATTCAAGTCCATGGTCGGGAATGGGCGATTCATTGCCATCCCTAAAGTTGCGTTCCACGTGGGACCAGGCGATGTGATTGCGGAAGGGGTTCCGCCATCGGGGAAATTCTGGCTGCAGCCAGATTTCGAGACGGTCTATTGTCAGCCTGGTTCCAAGGGGTCCCGGGCGGTCATCATGTGCGACTGCGTAAATGACGAAGGCGTCCCAATCGGCGATTGTGCGCGGTCGCGGTTGCAGGAGCTGGAGAAGATCTTGATGGCGGAGTTGGGCTTCTCAGCATTGGTCGGGTTCGAGGTTGAGGTGGTGTTTATGCGAGCCAAGAAGGAGAATGGAGGAACGCAGTACGCAATGACCAACTACGAGCACTCCTGGTCCAGCATGACGACCGAAGACGAATCATTGGTGGGAATGTTAGAGGCCATCTCACGTACGCTAGCAACGGTAGATGTGCCCCTGGAGCAGTTCCATGCCGAAGCAGCACCGGGCCAGTGGGAGTTTGTCCTGCCTCCTGCGCGGCCGGCACGGGCCGTGGACACGCTGATCAAGGCGCGCGATGTCATCAAACGAGTTGCAGGATCATTTGGGTACCATGCCACGCTCTATTCGCGTCCGTCTCCCGCGCATGCGGGTAGCGGGGCTCATGTCCATGTGTCAATAAACCCGATACAACAGGAAGCGCGGGAGGGGCTGAAGAGAGCCGAATCCTTTTTCGCAGGTATCATGACCCACATGCCCGCCGTTCTGGCTTTTTCTCTCCCCATGGACATCAGCTACAGTCGTGTCGCCGCAGGCCTCTGGAGCGGCGGCGAGTACGCGTGCTGGGGATGGGAAAACAAAGAGGTGCCGCTTCGTCGCATTGAGGGCAACCGTTTCGAATTCAAGCTCAGTGATGGGTTTGCGAACCCCTATCTGGTTCTATCAGCCATGTTTGCGGCTGGCATCGAAGGGATGCGCAATCGTGCGCCTCTGCGAGGGGGGGACTGTACCAAGAGTGCATCGAAACTGTCCGCAAATGAACGCCGGACTCTGGGAATAGACACTGTGCTACCAAAGTCCTTGGACGAGAGCCTCTCAGCACTCACACAGGATCTAGATCTGCGTAAGCTGTGCGGTGCAGAGCTCATCGATGCATATCTCTCCGTCAAGCGGACGGAGACAGGACTGTTGCGACAAATGAACGAGGAGGATCGAAAGAATTGGCTGATCGCAAGATACTGACATATCACATGGGCCCCGATCATGCATTCTAGAACAAATGTCAGCTCATGGCATGCCAGATGAGCCAGTCAGCCACCCAAATATAGACCGCTCCAGAAATTGATGCCCCTGCCCGTAAGACATGTCACATCGATGAGCCCAGCAAGCGTCCGCCTCCTCGGCGCCAATTGCATCATCAATTCTCACGGATCTCGATCTCGTGGGGTATAGGTTGCCGTCATCGATCGATCGGGGTTTTCGCGACTTTGATGCTGCAGATCGAACTTCATCGAGCGCAGCGGCTGGCTTGGATGGCTCCCAATCTTCTCCTTCTTGTTCGCCCACCATCCCCAACAAAGTAGCCTCCTCGATAGATAGATTGTGTCTGGTATCTTGGTGATGCATTGCTTTTGTGCCTGACAGGCGATCGTTCGATGCATCATTCCTGCCATGGCCTTAAAAGACCAGGAGTTCCGGGCCTCCCATGGCCTTTCCCCTCGTCGCGAGCTGTTTTTCCTTTCTCTTTTCTCCCTTGTCAGGAGTTTGTACCTCTGAGAATCTGTGATTGTGAAGAGCAAGATGGATATCCTTGATCAATTCCCTTCCGGAGGATATACGAGCTTCCCCGTAGCAGAGTCCTTGCGCTCGTTCGCGTCAACCGTGGCGCTGGATGACGGCGGCCCGCTTCGAAATGAGTCGCGACTGTCGAATCGCCCCGATCAATGGTCTGACGGTCATTCACGGTGAGATCAATTTTTTTTGAGCGCATGAACTTCTGGCAAAGGTCCTAATCATAGCAGAGCCGACGACCTCCTCTCCGACTTTCCCCATCCACCAAAGAGTTCGCACGCCGTCGACACCACCGTAAAGGACGGCAACCAACTCACCTCCAAGCCCTCCATCAAGACCCTGCGACGGAACTACATAGTCCACGAGCTGCCGCTGTTACAGGAACTGAACCCGTACGACGGGTCCAACCAGTTCAACCCAGTCAATGCCGACGGCGTCTCCTACGACCTGATCGCCCCGTATGACGGAGAGGAAGCACCGCTGCATAGCCTGGAGAAGCTTGGTGACCTCATGTTCTCTTCCGAGCATATGCTTGCGATTCTGAACAGTCCACGCTATCTATCGCAGTTCCGTGACTTCCTGCTCGATGAACGTCCGCAGTCGCTTCCCTCCTTGACATACTACCTGAACGCGCGCAAAGCCCTCCAGGCAATCAAATATGCCAACTCCCTTGTCCGCTTATCGATTGACGTCCCCACGGCCAAGATCAACACAACTGACTCGCCCATTGGGCCCACCACAAACGCTGCGCTGGAACGGCGCGTTGAGGAAGCGCTTCTGGCGCTGACCGCCGAGGAGCTCCCCGCGTTCATCACATCTAATTGCATCCGGATCACCAGTAAAGTGGTCGAGGAGCGGGTGCGTGGGACGCTGCCAAAACGGTTTCGAGGAACGTCGGATGCTCTGGCAGAGGTTTTCTGTTTGACGGATCCATCGCGTCCGGACAATCCGATTATCTTTGCGTCAGAGGGTAAGTTACCGCTGTCGGGGTCAAGACGAGGGTTGTGCTAATGGATATGGCTCATAGAGTTCCACCGTACCACACAGTATGGTATGGACTATGTTCTCGGAAGGAACTGTCGCTTCTTGCAAGGGCCCAAAACAAACCCCAACAGTGTTCGTCGGATACGGGAAGCCATCGAAGCCGGACGGCATCATTCCGAGTTGTTTCTGAACTAGTGAGTTGTGATGCCGAGGCGTGCAGATAGATCGACAGCTGACGCGGGAGATATATAGTCGACGCGACGGATCCCCTTTCATGAATCTCCTGCAATGCGCTCCGCTTTGTGACAGCAGCGGCAAGATCCGGTACTTCATTGGGGCCCAGATCGATGTGTCCGGACTGGCGATGGATGGTGCCCAGATGGAGTCCCTCCAGAAGCTGCAGGAACAACAGCGGAAAGTCGAAGGCGACGATGGCCAGCGAACGATATCCTCTGCGTCCGAATACTCGATGCTGCCTAAAAGTGAATTCCAAGAGATGTGCGAGCTGTTCAGCCCGCGAGAACTGATTAACGTGCAAGAAAACGGGGGTAACCTGTTCAACCCCACTGCCAACGCACGATACAGTACTCGCAGCTCCCGACCTTGGCCGGTCCCAGATTCTTCATCGGAGAGCGATATTGAAGCAGTGATTCGGGAGTCGGCAGCGAAATCGTCCTTACTGAGAGGGTCGTTGATAGGGGCGTATGGAAACGTATGTGTGGTCGTCCTGTCCTCTTGTCCCTGATGGATATCATGTTTTCACGCACACTGACATCGGAACTAATCCAGTATCTGCTCGTCCGCCCATATCCATCCCTCGCTATCCTGTTCACATCGCCTTCGCTTCAGATCCCGGGGATCCTGCAGACTTCGTTCTTCTCGCGTATCGGCAGCTCCTCGGTTATCAAAGACCAGCTGCTGGAGGCGATGAAGGCTGGCCGCAGCGTGACAGCGCGGATCAAGTGGGTGACGCGGTACAACACGGAAGGTCGGCATCGATGGGTCCATTGCACGCCCTTACTGGCCAGCAATGGGGAGGTCGGCGTCTGGATGGTGATTGTGGTGGACGATGACGAGGACGAGGTGAAATGGATGGGGAACTGGCCAACAACAGGATAGCGTTCACAGGATCAATAATACCCCTCATGATATTTTGTTTCAGCTGTATCAATTCCAGCGGCCCTCTGTTGCCAGAGAAGTGAATACTCTGGTGCACGAGTGAAGTTTCGGTGAACCAGGAGAGTCCTGCCCGACAGATGCAATCCACCTTCAGTACACCAACCTTTCTCGCCAATGCTATCGCTCACCTCCTCGCCATATCACTCACACTGGTCTATCTCACTTGGCTTGGAGGCCTCTCCAAGGTCCTTGCGGAGGCGATTTCCTCTCTTCGCGTGACTTCGCAGTTGAATCGTTATCGACCGTCCATATGAGTTTCTAGGCTTGGGACAGCGATTTGATCCTCTGTGCACAAGGACAATCCTTTGATCCGGCGGTCGAAGGATCTATTATCAATACGGTCTTCGCCGATGTAACCTCGGGCGAAGCCTATAGCTTGAGGCCTTTTGTCTTTCGCGATTCGATCATGATCAGGGATTGGATGTGGCCTACAGCATAACTGAAATGATATGTTCTTGGCTGGTGTGGATGGAGGTGTGGTGACTGTGCACGAGGGAGTTGGGAGGATGGGAGATGGGTGGTTTGTAGAGAGAGATTCCTGTTGGATTGTATAGCTTTGTACCAAGGGAATGAATGACCGGCAGTACTTTTTCTCTTTTTCTCCTTGAAATGGTATTGACTACTCTTGGAGTTTACTGTTGATTGACCTTATATGAGCAATATATTCAGATACTGAGGATATTGAGGATCTTGAGGATATATATCGATGGTATTCTACCAGACAATATTGATGGTAATAAGATGGCCTAATACAGATATAAAATCGCTTAGTTTGCTGGTGTTCGCTTATCATTCCGATAGGTACTACGGAGTACTAGAGGTAATATCGATTAGATCTTCTTATAATGTGATAGAATTTGATAAAACTCTTCTCTGATCCACACCCCTTTTCCGACTTTTTGCATATTTTTAGCTCAAGTCTTTCCGTTTCTTCCGCTGATGCACCTGTAGATAGATAGATAGATAGATAGATAGCATAGCATAGCATATAGCTATTTAGTTATCTATATACTTCTATCTACTCATCATGGACTGCGACGATCCTGGCGCGGACTTGCCCGTATTCATTATCTGACGCTTCTCTCCCTCTCTCTCTCCAAGAAGAAGGGGTTCCTCTGTGGCATTCCAGTCCAGCAGTTTGGGGAGAGACAGAGACAGACTGATCGCAGAACTCCATCTCTACTCGTCCGTCATCCCTGTTTCTGCCATCGCATCGCAATTTAGCAATCATCCATCAACCACACTTTCCCTTGTGTGATCGTTGAGCTTCCTGACTCGAGAAAATCTCATCCACCCCCAGTCAATAATGACCGAGGTCAGACTCCCACATCGGCCGGGTCCGATGGAATCATGGATGATGGAAGAGCCAGAGCCAGACCAACCCCAGCACGGTGGAGCATCAACTACCGTCTACCATGAACTAGCAAGCGGGGACACTCCTCCCTATTGGATCACGAATCCCAAGAATGGTTTTGCTGGAAGCTTTCCGTTCCTGGGCATCATCAGGACGCAGTTTCTCTTACTCTATGGGTGCTGTTGATTCGTGAAGTCAGAATGGTAGTTGCGCCGCTTGCTCAATGCCTCAATGATGCTGCAGCGCGAATCCATCCCGCCGCTCGAATCTGGGGTCGGAGGGCGCATCTCGACGAAACTACGATCGTTTCTGGGGCGCGCTGAACAACCAAGGGCCTATTCGCCTCTCTGGAGACGGTGGAGTGAGTGAGTCGTCAGTCGCCTGCTTACGAGACCAGGACCCCCCCCTTCTCCCCGATGATCGGCCAGCCACACACTCACAGTAGCCCTTCCAACTCCCTGCTGCTGTTTATTCTGGGGAATCTTGGTCCACTTGGTGCAGGCGTGATGTTGTGAACAAGCTGGTGAGCACAACCGGCGCCCGCCGATGACCGTATAAAATCGTTATCTGCTATATATATGCAATTGTCATTTCTGGAAAATATGGAGATCCATTGCAAGCGGGGGCATCGAAGGGCCTTTATACATCTTCTGACTCACCGTGGTTTCCTTATTGCCGTCATCATCGCTGTCGGCGTTTCAGAAATATCGACAGAACCAGCCCTGGGGACATATCGCGCGATAGTTGCATGATCTCGCCCGAATCCCTCGCACCCCCCCCCCCCTGTTGTTTAGTTCAGTCTGTGAACCGTTGAGATGGCACCATATTTCGGCCTGCGCGGCTCTGCCCTGAGCAACGCCATCATCTGGCTGGTCGTCTGTCCGGCTTTCGTCACATATGGTTACAACCTCAGTGTGGCCGGTGGCCTGTTGACGCTCGAGTCGTTTGTCAGAACGTTCCCCCAGTTAGACACCATCAATACCACGGGGGCCCAGCAGCATACCAATTCGACCATTCAGGGTATGTTTTTGTTCTTCTGTCCCTCGCCCGTGATGGGACCGTTTGGCCAGGAGTCATACTGACCATTGTTGCAAAAAAAAAAAAAGGTACTGTCGTCGCTCTATTCACCGTCGGAGGTATCTTTGGCTCTCTATCATGCGTCTATTTCGGTGACAAGTTGGGACGCCGACGCGTCATCTTCCTTGCGTCCGGCATCACGATTGTCGGTGCCATCCTCATGGCGACCGCCTTTGATTTCGCTCAGTTGGTCGTGGCCCGAGTGGTGCTGGGATTGGGAACGGGCGGGTATCTGGCCACGGTCCCCGTGTGGCAAGCAGAGATCTCCAAGGCCAGCAAGCGTGGCGCGCATGTGGTGACGGACGGCATCTTCATCGGAGCCGGTGTGGCCATTTCGCTTTGGATTGACTTTGGCTTCTACTTTATCACCGGCAACTCGGTGTCGTGGCGGTTCCCGCTGGCCTTCCAGATCGTGCTGCTGCTGTGTGTCATGGGGTTCATCACCGCACTTCCCGAGTCCCCTCGGTGGCTGGTGAAGAAGGGCCGGCAGGCCGAGGCGCGGGAGATCCTGGCCGCGCTGGCGGACTTGGAGCCGGAGTCGGAGTCGGTCAGCTCGGACATCCGGGACATCGAGCTGTCGCTGTCGCTGTCCGGCAGCGGCTCGTGGAGTGACATGCTGAAGATGGGCGAGCAGCGGCTCTTCCACCGCACGGTTCTGGCGGCCACGGGCCAGATGTTCCAGCAGATGTGCGGAATCAACCTCATCAGCATGTACGCGACGACCATCTTCGAGCAGTACCTGGGGATGTCACCGATCAAGTCGCGCATCCTGGCCGCCGCCATGTGCATGACGCAGCCGCTGGGCGGGTTCCTGGCCTTCTACACCATCGACCGGCTGGGCCGGCGCGTGCTGATGCTGTGGAGCGCGGCGGGCATGTCCATGGCCATGGCGATCCTGGCGGGCACGACGTCGGTGACGGACAACACGGGCGCGCTGGTCGTCGCCGTCGTCTTCCTGTTCGTCTTCCAGTTCATCTTCACGTTCGGCTACTCAGGCCTGACCTTCCTGTACGCGACCGAGGTGGCGCCGCTGCAGCTGCGCGCCGCCATCAGCGCCGTTTCCACCGCCGCGGTGTGGACGTTCAACTTCCTCCTGGCCGAGGTGACGCCCGTGGGCTTCAACACGATCGGGTACCGCTACTACATCATCTTCGCGGTGCTGAACGCGGCCATCGTGCCGATAGTCTTCTTCTTCTTCCCAGAGACCAACGGCCGCACGCTGGAGGAGATTGACGAGATCTTCATGCGCTCCAAGAGCATCTGGGACCCACCCAAGGTGGCACGCTCTCTTCCCCGGATGCACTTTGCAGAGGCGGTTGATGTGCCGACTGATTCTGGAGAGGAGAAGATGACCAAAGCGTGATTTTTGTTGTTCTTTTTTATTTCCTGTCCTATTATTTTAGCCCCCTCTTGTGGGGCCTTCAGGCTACTAGATAGCCTCGAATTGATTAACGAATTTATTCGCACCTTGTGATGAATGTGCTTGTTTCTTTCTACTGAAGGATCGGGCCAGCGGCCCGCTGGATAAAATTCACGAGCTGAGATGAGCTGGATCATCGGATATTTTAGCCCCCCCGTATCTGATGCGGTATTTGAGACGCTGATCGTCTATTTGTTCTACTTTTGCAATGATCTTATTCACGTTTTATGGGGAGGTTTGAGGTTGCTATGGATGAAACAAGCACCGGCCGTCAATTGCACATCCGCGCGCCCCATTTTAGCCGTTTCAATATGAAACACTCTTGGGTATATAAGCGTCTATGACAATCCTTCCTCCAAGATCAACTTCCAACTTCCACAAAAGTCAAGTCAAGTTCACCATGGACAAGATGAAATCCCTTCTGTTCTTCCTCCCCCTCGTCCGCTGCGAGGTGCTCTGGAACGGCTTCTTCGATGAGAACTTTACCGTCGCCCACTTTGACAAATGTACCCTTCTCTCCCCCCAGCCTTGAAGCAAGAGCATCATGCTAACGCCCCTGCATAGGGTCCTGGTCCAACCAAATCCCCCCGTACCAATGGTACATCCACGGCTCGCAGCCCACCTCGCACTACCTGGGCCTGTCCGCGGACTTCAAGAACCCGGCTGCCACAAGTGACGCCCAGGGCATCCGCATCACCATTGTACCACTCCCTCCTCTCTCTTTCTTTCTCTCTCTTTCTTTCTCTCTCTCTCTCTCTCTCCTCTTCTCTTTCCCCAAACACCACACTTGCCTGAAGAGCAAAGACTCGAAAGGTTAAGGCCCCTAGATAATGACCACCGTGGCTAACCTACAACCCAGGACGACACCTCCTCTTGGAACGGCCAGACCATGATGCGCAGCGAGATCATCCCACAGACGACCGCAAACCTCGGCAAGGGCCATCTCTTCTACCACTTCTCGCTGTCGACGCGGGAGACGAACGCGCCGAGCCCCGGTTTCGAGCACCAGATTGCGTTTTTTGAGGTTCGTCGATTCTCTGCGGCTAACCCCAACTCCATTCCCCAACCTTTACTTCCTAGGAGACATGGATATGGATGTTTTTTTTTTTTTTTTTTTTTTTTTTTACCGGCATGATGGTTAATCAACGGGTTTATACCGTGAGGATTTGCAGAGCCACTTCACCGAACTCAAATACGGGCGTCTCAGCGGCGCCACGGAGGACGACAACACGCTGCGCTGGATGGTGGGCGGGCAGACGCACTGGTCTACGCCGCTGGCGGCGGGCACGTGGTACAACTTCGCGTACGACATCGACTTTGACGCGGGGACGGTGGGCCTGTGGGTGTCGGAGGGGGCGGCGCCGCTGGCGCGCGCCGTGGAGAACGTGCCGGCGGCGACGTCGACGAACTCGCAGGACTGGCATGTGGGTGAGCTGAGGTTGGATAATGGGGGTGCGAGCGGGCCGGCTGAGGACTGGTTCTGGTCCGGGGTGTATGTGGAAAGTGGGGAGGTGACTACGGGTGTGGCTGGGCCTGTTTAGGGGGTGGGTGGTGTGGATTGATTAATTGATTGATTGATTGATTGATTGATTTTTTTTTCTTGAATTGGGTCTAGGTAACATCAATGTCATAGTCGTGGTCATGAGGAAATGGATGGAAGAAGATGAGACCGAGACGAGACGATCACCGGACGCAGTAACCACCGTCGATCAGGAGATCGTTGCCGGTCATGTAGGAGCTGGCGTCGCTGCACAGATAGACATAGGCGCCCTTGAGCTCCTTGGCGTCGCCATTGCGGCCCATGGGGATCATGGACAGCCAGAGATCCTGGACCTTTCTGTCCACGAAATCCGACAAGCCGGTGTCGATGTAACCGGGCGAGATGCTGTTGACGCGGGCAAAGTCGCGCCACTCGTTGGCCAACGACTTGGCGAAGTGAATGCACCCGGCCTTGGCGACGTTGTAGCTGGTCTGCTCCTGGGGGAAGTTCGCAATGTGGCCGGACATACTCGAGGTGATGACGAAGCTGCCCTTGCCGCGCTCCTTGAAGTGCGGGCCGACGGCCTTGGCGCAGTGGAAGGTCCCCGTCAGATCGGTCTGGATGACCTCCGTCCAGTCCTGGACGGAGCCGTCGAGGATGCCGCTGGAGGCGGTACGGCCGGCGTTGGCGATGAACGCGTCGATCTGCCCGAACTCGGCCAGCACGTCCTGCACCAGCTTCTGCACGCTGTCCCAGTTGCCAACGTCGCACTTGTATGCCTTGGCCTTGATGCCGTAGGTCTTGGCCAGCTCCGCCGCGTTCTTCTCGCCGCCTTCTGGGCGCGACGCGTAGGTCAGCGCGATGTTGGCGCCCATCTCAGCACAGCCGCGGGCGGCCTCGATGCCCATGCCGCGGGGACCGGAGGCGCCGGTCACCACAACGGTGCGGCCCTTCAGGCTGAAGAGGTCATGGAGGGAGTTGGCGGCGGGGATGGGGATAGGCATTTTTGCAAGATGGGGTATGTGGATAATAAAGGGTAATGGATAATGGAGAAAGGATAATGGATGGAATGGAGGATGAGGAAGTGTTTTCGATCCGAGACTGAAGCAAGCAGGGCTTTATATAGACGGCATGAGCGGAGCCATTGTCCATTCAGTGACGTTGAGAAAGTGAGGGGGAATATGGTGTTGGTGATGTCATGGGCCAAAGCATGATGATGACTAAGGACCTTGGGGATCACGCCTAAGCATTATCATGATCCTGATCATTATTATCATTCTATTATTATTTGCCCATCAGACCATGGATGAATGAAGAGAAAGAGAGTTGCTGAATCGTTCTGAGACCGATGTGGTCGGTTGCAGGACGCTGAGGCCTTAGTCCTTAGTCACGCCAGGCTAAGCGATTATCTTGTCTGTCCATAAGCCATCAGTCATCACTCATCACAGTTTCCCCCTCTTTTCCCCGGCCAACGGCAGCTCCAAAGGCTCCAAAGGCTCAATAGGCTCGTTCTGATGCTTAGTTGGTTAGCGTCGAGATGATTTATTGCTGAATGGTGATCCCACTTTCCCCTCACGCACCCCCAGTCAGCCCACTCGGGTAGGCCAACTCAGCGGGGACCTGCCTACATGCATACGTACATGCATACATACATAACCCCGGGTCGAATGGAAGCATCATAACTCGTGTGCAATTGATGGAATTTGATTCTATCATCCTCGTGAACAGGGTATATATGCAAAATCAACTGATCAGACTCCCGTCGCTCGCCCGTTTGGTCGGATGGCTCCCGGTGATGATGGTGGTCGTGATGCCTCGATACTCCTCGTCCGCCAGCCCAGTCCATAACCGTCGTGCATCTTCCCGCTCCCCGTCGGGTTTGGACCGTCGCGAAATCATCCCCTTGGGAATGTTGGAGGACAGTGGATACGAACCCGGCGTTCGGTGGTGGCCCCGCGAGCCGGATGAAGCATCTCGCAGGAACCGGACCAGTGGTCGCAGCGTGGTGAGCGAGCCGGCCGTGATGCCGAGTCCAGCTTCGACATTGCTCCAGATGGAGATCTAGCAGGTCAGTTCAGTCAATTGTTCGTCCCTACACACGCGGAAAACCAAAAAAAAAAGAAAAGAAAAGAAAAGAAAAGAAAAGAAAAGAAAAGAAATTGAGCGATCTCACTTGATATGTGGCATCTGACAGCGCATGTTAGTGAGGGATTGATGCATGCCGGACCGAAGGGTCACTTACAGAAAAAATCATGATGCTTGTACAGGTGAACAAACGGCATGCGAACAATCACCGCGGCGCTTGCAATACATCCCAGGCCCAGAATCCCGCGATGGCGATCTTGGTCTGGGCATTCATGCGCAGCGACCAGATGATAAACACGGGCAAGAAGCCAATGGTAAAATCGGTCACGGCCGCAACCGCACTATAGACGTACGCGATGGTGATCAGAATATCGGTGTCCAGGCATTTTCCCGTCTTGGTCAGACGGTTCCAGAAATAGTCCGTGGGGTTGCACTCGAAGATGGCGAAGAAGAAGAAGAGAAGTCCGATCGCGATGGTGAGCGCCATGACGGTGTAGAGGATGGCGATATGGATCCGGTTGATGGTGATGCGCAGCAGCGAGATGATGATGGATACTTTGGCGACGACGCAAGTGATCACGTAGAAGATTTGACCGAGCCACCAGTACTGCTCTGGTTAGCCATCCGTGTCCCATTGGCCCATTTCAAGAGAGTTGGATGAATTACCAGTGCGGCAAGGCGAAAGTGATCTGGCCGAGCCCTAAAATACTCCGTCTTCTGGCCCATGCCGTAGCATGCACCGGCAATCCCAAAGCTGGCGAAGAATATGTTGAGAATCTGGGGACCCGGTCAGCCAGCGTGCACAACCACCAAGCAATATTGACCGCAGGGAAGAGAGAGAGAGAGAGAGAGAGAGAGAGAGAGCGCGCGCGCATAGTACATACCATCGCCGCCACCATGGTCCAGTCATCCAGCCCAAAGGCGCGCACGACACGCGCTCGCACAAAACATCGCAGTCCGACGGTGACTAGTGACAGCGCCAGAAAGATCGCGGTGACGATGACAATCGCCTCACTGCGACCGTTCAGCATGATGCCCGCCGAGGCATGAGCGTCGACCCGTGGTGAGAGGTATTCCGATATCGAGACCATACAAAATGCACGACGGGGGGGGGGAAGCGAAAAAAAGCGAAAGAGAAAGCAAACCCCAGGCGCAACGGGGAAGAGAAAAAAAAAAAAAAAAAAAAAAGGGCGATCAATCCATTTATTAGAATAATACTAATTATTCTTTTATTATTATTACTGTTGTTATTCTTCAGTGATGGAAATCGTTGGACACAATGACGATGATCATGACCGACGACTGTCCGATGGGTGGAGATGAATAGCTTCGGTATCACGGTGGTAAAAACCCTCTCCTTCTTGATTAGGGAGAGTCAATTTGAGTCTGTCCACAGTTTTCCCATCTGGAGCGAACTAAGGTAGTAGTCTAGATATCCTGCTATGGACCGGTCTTGACTTCCGGGTCTGGTCGTTGGATTTCCATGGGAAATTGAGGGCGGGGGCTTCGATCACGCATTCACGATAGTCTGATGGACTATGGAGTCATGGACTATGCAGCCATTGATGCGATGTGAGTTACCTTAAAGAAACTAGATCCGAATGAGGGCTCCTAAGTGGTTGATTGTCTTCTGTCTCAGTGTGATCCCAGTGGTCCATAAGCCATGTGGGATTCTCAGCTCGTATGGATCAGGATTCAGGGTGTTGGGTTTAGGCGTTAGGTTGTTCATTTCATTGCCTCCTCTGTAAGTAGATAGTACATACCATGTGGATCGCATGCTCTGCAAAGCATCGTGCATCGGGTGGATTTGACGACGGTGTAGGCGAGCAAGCTGTTTGACTCGAAGATCCACTGTTGGTCAGTGACTAGACAGTAGACAGTCTTAGGAACTGGAGGACTTGGTACTTGGTAGTTGGTAGTAGTAGTGGGCTACTACTGGAACTGGACCATCAACTATGACCTTCCGAGACTCGATGACTCCAAGTTCAGGTCGAGGATCTCAATTAGTCTGACCGTGGGTGATTTTGGTGGTGGTGAATGATGATAGTTGAAGACAGTGCGGATGAGAGCCGCAGGAGATGATTTCTTCAAGGAGCAAAAGGGCCGAGTCTAACAAAGTTAATTCCGTCTGGTGGTATTGATTAACTACTCAGAGTATTATTGGATCTTCATCCATTATCCATCAGTGTTGATTATTGGCTAATAATAATAATCATCATCATCACCAGTTGGAGCCGTGGAGGAGGACACTGAGACCTTTTGTACTTGGCTACCACCAACCACGGTAGTTCCTATGGAGTAGGTAACCATACGGAGTACTCCTACTTCGACTTTGATACTACTTGGGCACCTCTGAAACTACTCCGTACTACCGGAGTTGACTGCAATCAAGAGAGAGAGAGAGAGAGAGAGACTGTGTTCCAAAGCATGAGTGTGTATTCAGTATTGCATGTATGATGATGATTCCCAGATGAAAGACGACAGAACCACTCCCAATGGTCTGTTCGATAAGATTCGGACTTTGTTATCTTGGTCCAAGTCTATTTAATCTCTTTTTCATAATCATAAATTCATAATAATTTAATGTCTGGTCACTCTAATGACTAGTGTCTCGGGGGTGGCTCTCTTTTAGGCTTTAGGGCTTTGTTTCTTACTACGTCCCCCCAGACGCCTCGTTGGGCATGATTTGATCTCCCTCCGGAAGTTGAACGATTTCAATCTCTCTTTGGGTCCCTGTGAGCCCGGATTTTCGAATAGAATCGCCCAGAAGCCATCTATAGAAGCTGATTGTAAACTAACTAACTTGGCAGACGAGTTCGAAAGGAAGCCTTTTTTTTCCCCGTTGGCGTGGAGACAATTCCAGCAAATGATAGATAAGATAGATGCTAATTAATATTCATTCAGCTCGCTATCTTAATCTATCGTCTTCTTCTAAAGTTCTAGCCTAGTTAACTATCTATCTATCTATCTATCTATCCACCAGCCTGAAACCCCAATCTCTCCAGCTCTGCTCCGTGGGACAGGGCTGAAGTAAAGGCAGTTGGGTAGGAACACTTGTTCCTCACGCTTCACCAGTATGGACCTCTTGTGATAAGGAGCACCTCGTGTCTTTTGTCAGCTGGACAGGCAGGTCGACGTAGTCCGGACGGACATGCTCAATTGTGATCAAACCATGGAGGAGGATGGAGAAACGGGCCGCGCTCCTGGATGACGCGACGACGCTGCATAAACACTCATCTTTGATACATCCCAGCAGCTCAGGAGGAACGTCCCACTGCCCACATTGCATGCGCATGTATGTGCGATACCTGAGCTGAGCAGAGCAGATACATCTTCAACCATTCAGCTATCATCTATATCTATATCGATGCCTCCCGAGTGGTAATCGCGAATCCCCCTCGAACCCCTATCCCATATCTATCTATCTATCTATCTATCTATCCTCTACTCGAATCGTATCATCTGGGTATTTCCGCAAAAATATCATTCACGTCATGGTCTGCAAGCAAGCACGGTCCCGTACAAACAGCTCCACCCCGGCCTCTGCACAGGCCGTGCGCAACGGTTCCACCATCCCATAGACCCGCGGCCGGATGACCGAGTCTGTCAGTGTCAGTGTCTCGTTCCCCGCCGGCGCCGACCCCCCCGACCCGGAAGAATCCTCAGAGTCCTCCTCGTCATGGAACAGCCCTTCGATCTCGAGCCGCTTCAGACCGCGGAACCGCGAGCCGCGTTTTCCCAGCACCAGTTTCAGCTGCGCGACCAGCATCCCCAGCGCAGTCTCCTTGCAGCCCTCAACATACAGCGACTCCAACCCCGCAGGCAGGATCTCCGTCAGCGGAACGGACGGCTCGGCCTGGTAGCGGATATCGACGAGGTTGGGCAGGCGGATGCGAAGATTCTGCAGCGCGGGGAAATCGGCCAGCGAGCCGAACCACTCGTCATGGGTCATGTTGGCGCCGGCGATGGTGAATGGGAGATGGTGGCCGCAGGTGTCGAGCCAGAGGGTGCGCAGGGTGTGTCTGTGTCTGCTGCGGGCCAGAGAGCGGCAAAACGCAGAGGGCCGGTAGCCCTCGGAGAGAAGCTGAGCGTCTGAGTGCTGGTACTTGAAGGTTGTGAGGGAGGCGCAGGCAGCAAGCAAGCCGTTCATGCCGTTGGCACCGCTGCTGGAGTTGAGCACGATTTCCGAGATCCCCGAGAGCGGGCCAGCGTCCATCGGGGACTGATCCTCGTCCTCTTGCGTGGAGGCCGATTCGATGACCGATTCGGCAGTGATAACGCGCAGGGATGGAAATTGGAAGAACGGAGCTATCTGGGACGGGACGAAGGTCCCCTGGGCATCGTCGTCCTCGCGCTCGAGGTGGCCCAGGGATACTTCCTGGAGAGACCGCAAGGCAGGTTGCAAATGGAAGGGCTTTTCGCCGCGCACAGCTCGCTGCATCGTGCGGTCCAAGTATACATTCTGCTTCGGGTAGACGAGACGCAACCGCTTCACATTGCGCACCAGCGGCAGGAGAAGGGCGATCCAGGCCTCTTCTACATCGTGCAGGAGATCCTGCTCCCACCGAACATATTCCTCTTCCGACTGGCTGATTTCGCGCGCCCAGTCACGGAATAGAACCATGTCGTCTTTGCACCTGCTACCACCCGCCTGGGGCACGCTCGTAGCAGGTTTCAACTGCCATTGATCAAAGTCCAGAGAGCGGACCGCCCGAGCCAGCTCGGGGTGTGGCAGGATTGCCGTCAAAAAAGCGCGGATCTGATCACAGTTCTTCAAGGCCGCGTGCCGGTATACCAGCCTGCGAAATAAACCACAGAACCGGTTGCAAACGAAAAGAAGGTTGTAGCGGTCTTGATGGTCCTCCAGGAACTCGCCGACCAGCAGCAGGATATCGTTAGGGAGAGAACAAGACATGCTGCCTGCTTGACCCTTCTCCAGGAGCGTGGAGTCTATGGAGTATGGAGTATGGAGTATAGACTCCTGATATATGAGCTGGAGCCGGGGCTGGAGCAGCAGCAGCAGCAGCAGAATTCCATGATTCCATCCCATACAGGAAAAATTTAGTTAGCCGACCGAATGTCCCGATCAGGAAATAATGTTCTGCAGTAACCACGGGAGCGAGGAGATCCCTTGCATCTGTCCAGCCAATAGGGGCTGAGCACTGCGTATGTGGCGCACCCTTCGGCGGATTCTTTCTCCACTCCGAAAAAAACTTCACCAGTTGGCAGCAGTCAGCACTCATTAGTCATATGCTTAATGCACAAGCATTGCTGACACACTTATGCAGATGCCTTGGCTTACCTCATCCTGGGGGGACAGCGATATCGCAGCAGCACCTCTGTATGGAGTCATAAACACAACTGTCAATGCCATCATAGCCCTATACGCATCTCCACAGACCACAGTGTAAGAGTGGATTGAAGTGGATCAGTTGTCTCCTGTCAATTGCCACCTCATCAACTCTCTGCTGCGAGATCCCAGATCCCAGAAGCAACTTCATTCACACTCTACTACGAAGAGTCGGTCCTCATTCGATCTTTGCTCGTCATATGCTAATCGGAATTTCCCTGAAAGAGACATCAATGGAGGCACTCCGTGGTCTATGGAGTATATGCATATCGGCAGGCCTGCTGCTTTGGGATGTGGATTGTACAACGCATTGTCCTACCAGCCTACTGCTGCGCTAACCTGATGATCATTGTCCTGGGAAGAAGCAACTAAGAGCCCAATGTAGCCAATCATGACTGGCAAAAGTGTTTTCTGGAAATCGATATCCGTGATGATTATGACGGGGCAGATCTAATGACGAACTATGTATCCGTCAGGCACCCCCAAGTCCCCAACCTCGTCATCTAGTCTATCTCCCTCGACGACAATAGCAGGATGATCGGATCGGCACATCGGCTGTTGCGACAACGAGCTTTAGTTGCTGCTGAATGATCCTTGCTTCGGCCGTCCGTCCAAGCTTCATCAAACACTCGTGGTACCCATGTAGCGACCACACATTATTTGGATGCTGCAGTGCGCGCGGTAGTGTATCGTCCATCCCAAGGTCTGCACTGTACACCGCCGCGGCTTGCTCGACATGGCCCTGCTCCAGTAAGAGAGCACCATATGCATGACGAGTCGGCTGCATCCAGCCCCAGGGCTCGTCATAGGGCAATCCGTCATCTAACGCGATCGATCGTTGAAGGTGGTCAAACGCCGCATCATAGTTTCCACGCCGGTATTCAATTTCTCCATCCAGCATGGCGTTCGCAATCGCCAGAATATCGACACATTTATTGTTGAAGAGCATCCGAGTCGGCGCGACTCGACTCAGAGCGTCGTGGAACAGCGCCCGCGCTTTGTCCGCTTCTTCCAGTTTTCCGAGAGCAGCGGACGCTACCCCCTTGGCGTAGTGTACCATCGCTGTTGTCACGCAATATAGGGTCTGATCTTCGGGCAGTTCCAGCGCAAGGATATCCTCCCAGCGCCCGAACCTGATCAGCACATGTACCTTCATGGCGAGAAATCCCTCCAGCCAGTCCGCCATCGGTGGTGACTCAACCCGCAACAGCTCATCGGGTATCGAGGCCTCGAGCTCCGCCGCGGTCTCCAGCGCTACTCGAGATTGTCCAGCGAACATGGCAGCGTAGATGCGGAAGTGATAGTCATGCGATCGATACAGCGTGTAGAAGTTGACCGGGCCCGCCCGCGCAAGAAACTTTTCGTCTGCCCGGATGGCTTCCGAGTTAGACGCGATTGCACGGCGATAGTCGCCGCATAGAATGTCCAGGTGCGTAGGCATGTGGTTCAAGTGTCCAGCATCCGGCACGAGCCCACGCAGATGGTCCGCCGCTCTCAGCGCGCTCTCGGGAGACCCAGACATCTCCATTAGGTGTATATACAGATGCAGCAGCCCCGGGTGAGCCAGTCCACCCGGCTGCGCCAACGCACGATCCAGCACAGTTTTGACATCCCAAGTGCGCGCACCAGGCGCCGGCTGCCCGGTCTTGAGATCCCACAGCGCCCACGGCGTCAGATTCATCAGTGCATCCGCATACAGCGTCGCGACATCCAGGTCATCCGGAAACCGCTCGTAGACCCTCTCCATGGCATCTGCGTAGCCCTGGTTCCAAGACGAACAGTCCCCCGCCGGCCGGTCCTGCGGGTACCGGTACAGCAGCGCGTCGACGAGTGCGGCCTCAACGGGCGTGGCCGCGGCTGTGTTTGCCTGGGCGCTCTCTACGGCTTCGTGGGTGCGCTGCACCGTCGCTTCGAGCTCGTGCTGGTCGAAGAACTCCCACGGCTTGTTGTAGTTGGGACCCGAGGTGTAGGCGAGGCCCCAGTAGGCCATGGCACACTTGGAGTCTAGCGCGATGGCCTTCTCGAAGCACTTGGCTGCCTCTTCATGGTTGAAGGCATAGGTCCAGACCAGGCCGCGGTTGAACCAGAGCTGAGCCTGGGGGTCTGCGGTGCTCACAGGCCGATGATAAGAGCCGAGGTCGTAGTAGGTTTCCATGGCTGAGTCGCCGGTCTTAGTTGACGTGATGCGTGATGTCTTTTCCTATCTTCATGGACTCGATTGGATGTCAGGTCAGCTGTATCTACACTCAGCCCTGTGCTGTCGGGTTGATGAACCCAAGATAAAGGGACCTGGTCAATGTCGGCGGAGGTGGGGTAGTTGCGGATATGTCATTGCATGACCCGAGAAGTTGGTCGAGACAAGAATAACCTTTTTTTTCCAGTGAGGTTATCGCGCAATTATCGCAAGATCTTGGCAGACGATAGAGAAGTCCGCTAATATCGGATCTGTGCGAGAATGGTGTGCGTCCGTCTCTGATAAGTGGTGTGTTGAGAAAGATACCAGGATGAATGAGGCCATTCGCAACATCGAGATCCCAATGGCATACTAATCGTTTGCCTGCTCAAACTGCTTCCTGCTTATATTCTTGGCGAAACAAAATTAGTACGATACCCAGATTATGGCTGTACTCAACCTGGCCTCCCAAGACTGCCCTCGCGATCCAGGTGCGAGCAACAGTAAGACTCACCAGTCTGACAGGAACCCGTCGTTTATGCATGGTCAGAAGGCTTTCAGTATGAGGACATAAAAGATATCGATACTAGAAGATGGGGAGAATGCTGGAGCAAGAAGCACAGAGCGTATCCTTCTGGTAATCTATCCTGTCAAGCCTTTTGGTTTACTCCTGGAGAACAGACAAACTCGATCTGTGGCCATGAAGAACCCATTGTAGAGAGAGTCTATGATCTTTGCCCTTATGCCCATAAACAGACAAGAGAAAAGCGTCAATGAAAGTCCATTAGACCTTTCATTCAGACTCATTTCATACAATTCCCCCACCAGCTTTCTATCCTCAATCCATACTTTTCAACCCGGACAGTTCAAAAACCGCAGATTATATTCAATAGCCGTCATTGAAGAGAAGAAAAAAAAAACGCCTTGTACCATAGATATAAGAGAACAAACAAGGGGGCCGAGGCTTCTCACAGGCCCCATCACATCAAAAGTCAGGGCGTCCAGGTCCCAACGACCCATTCCCACCCTCTCTCTCCATTTTCCCACCTCCCCACAAAAAAAAAAGGATGTCTTGTCTTGGGGCGGGTTGGGTTTCGGAGCCCGAATCTCGGTATTGAGCAAAATCGACCCGGATGCTTAGCGTACGTGAATCAACAACCCCGTCTCTATCGCAATCCCAGATCCGTCATCTCGACGCTGTCCGCAGAACCCATCCAGAGGATGTTGTTACACCTGGAACACGCGTGGCATATTAGCATGTAACGCCCAGACATACCGGCGATTAGACGTTAAACGAGGAAAGAAAGAGAGGGGGGGGAATAAAAAAGGACGCACCGAATCAGCACCAGACCAAGTGTCCCCGTGTTCTTCCCGTCGATGAACTCCTCCGTATCCCGCAGGAGCACGTTCATGTACGAATCAATGCTCTCCAGCTTGCCCTTGTACTCTGTCTGGCCCCATTTGAGGCGGATGACGAGCTCGGTGCCGACACTAGAGAGTTTTTTTTTGTTAGCCCAGTTCGTCAATCTGGGGAGGGGGAGAGCAGTCAGGAGGTTCGGGTGGGAGAGCGTTACCGAGCTTGCAGGAACGGCCGGGGGTTGACTGGTTGGAACTGTAGGAGTAGAAGAATTGTCAGTTTGAACTTTGAAGAGTGTTTAATTGGCAAGGGCAGTCATGGCGACAAGCCCGTCGCAAAGGACGAGGAAGACGGACACTCATCGTTTTTTGTTATGTGAGGTGGATTTCCGGTCGATTCACCAGGAATCCGAGAGTGTAAGGGAAGGGGCGTTGAGGATTTGAGATGACTAGACACAGGACGAAAGAAGACCTGCCAGCTTTTCAGAGATTGTTTGGCTTGAGGTGCTGGACTGGTCGCGTTGGAGGATTGCAGCGTCGGAGCTAATTATCGCAATTCCCAGCTGGGCTGCAGGTTCGCAGACCGCGAAAATGTGATGCTGCTGGACGCGGGTTTCAGCCAATCAGGGAGATGTATGCATCACCGCCTTGAGTGCAGCTTCAGAAGGAGCAGTGAAAAGGAAGAAAATGAGGATGGGAAAATAGAAGAAAGATGGTTTTACTACAAAGGACGAGAAATTGATGGGGTTTCAATTCAGCTATATGAGCATGTAAGCCTGATAGTCATCTACTACTGTATCGCTTATGCTTCCTCACACGTCACTACGAGGTTTCTGCGTATAACAGCAACGGTTACATAGTAATTCCATACGATTTGACAAACACAAATACTACAAGAGAAGGATCCCTGATCCACACAGGGCCAATACCGATTCCCTCAGGACCGTCCGACCTCCCAGCTGATCTCCTTGATGGAGACCTCATCCCCCGCCTTCTCGTCGTAGTCATACCATTCGTCCTCGGACAGATCAATGCCCTTGAAGGCCGTCGAGGATTCAGCTCCCTTTGCCTCCCATTCTCCCTGTAGACTCGGGGTTAAATCTATACGCCTCAGCCTTGGTTAGGCGGATGAAGGGAACATACATCAGGCTTGAACTCCGTGAACTCGAGGCCCCGGCAGTCAAGCTCGATCACCTTTTGCTTCTTGCGTTTCTCGTCGGCCTCGTACGTATTGGGTCCGCTCACGATCGAGGCGGAGTGTGTCTTCTGTTTTGTCGATGGTAGGGTTAGCTATGCGGTTTCTCTGCTACGAACTCAACGCCAGAGTGCCGTCGCTATCACAGCCATCCTCTCTACTTCTACAATAGCGAGCCGCACTCAGAGCAAAAGACGCAGGCCTCGCGCACGTCCACAACTAACCTGGCACAGCTTGCACTTCCACACAAAGTTGGCCTCGCCCCGGCTTCCGGGGATCTCGTGTTGTTCCTGGATCATCATGTCAGCATGGATTCACATGGTCGTCTTTTTTCGTTTGTCAAAAGTAAAAAAAAAAAAAAAGGCGTAAAGCAGATGTCAGGGGAAGTTCAGACTCACAAAGCGATTGAAGCTGACCCAGTTTGGGTGCACCTCGCGGCACGATGTGCATTGTACCTTGAAGGTATAGAAGTACGGTTCCTCCTCGGTATCTTGGGGACGGAGGTCGGTGACGCTGTCAGAGAACAAAGGAGGTCATTAGCCTACTTGTTGTTACAGATGTAATGAATATGTGAAGGGAGGTGCGGGGAAGCCGGTGCGGACAGAGATGGAAGGAAATCCAAGGCAACGGAGGGAGAGACAGTGAATATCTTGTACGGTCTTACCCTGTGAGCTCAGCGGAAACGAGAAGAGAGAGCATTTTCGTGATGGTATTTTGTGAGATTCGTCTGGGATCAAGATGAACAGACGGGTTGAGGAAGTTACTGGCGGAGTTGTGCGGGGTGTTTTTTTTTTTCTTTTGGAATTCATTCCATCTTCTTCGGCCACTGCACGGATATGATCACCAGCCCCTCATCGCGTGGACGTGCTTTTTATTTGTGTATTACAATTTTTGCGCTCGTCTACTTCCAACAATAAGTTACTCGGTACGGATTCTCGATGAAAAAAAAAAGGGGAAGAAAATATATTGCATGGTATCAACGCCAGTAATGCTAGGTCATAATCGCTCGTCCAGAATGAATCCGAAGACCAAGAAAAGGGAAAAACAAAGGAATCGACACATCACAAAATTCTAAGATACAGAATCATTCTCGATGATGATTTCCATCTTTTACAGACGGCTCTGCTGGTCCTGGCCCAGAGGCTTCGTGGTGAAAGCATTGAAGTATGCGTTGAGAGCATCAATAGTGCCGCTGCCCTCCACAAGCTGAACAGTACAAGCAACGTGGCTGTCAGGGCGGGTGACAACGACACCACCCTGCTCGGGGTTGAAGCCGAGCTTCTCATGAGCAGCGAACTTGGCCAGAGGCACCCGGACGTCGGGATAATCATCGGAGTAGATGTGGTGGTGGTAGTCGCGAAGGATCTGAGGAATGGCCTCGACGTCAACCTCGTTCTTCTGCGCAGCATAGATCAGGCAGATGGAGAACAGCTTGGAGTGGGGAAGGTGGCGCTCGAAGAAGGAGACCTCATCGATGCGGCGGTAGGCGGACAGGAAGGAGCGCTCCTTCTCCAGGTTGGCACCAAAGTCGGTGATGGCCTTCTTGGTGTTGGCCTGCTTGCCGGCGAAGATGAAGATACGGAAGGCTCCGTTGGCAGGGATCTCCTGCTCAAGGTGAACGATGTTGGCATCCACAAGACGAGTGACGGTGGTAGGAGTGAAAGCACGGCCGGGAGTCAGCTTCACGCCGGGGATGTTGAACAGAGACGACTGGGCAGCGTGGCTGGGATCCCAGTTGAAGATGTTGGGCTTGTAAGCAACGCCGTATCCCGAGGTGAATTCGCAAGACGACTTGAAGGTCTTGACGAACTCATCCTCCTCGCGACCGGCGACAACCTGGGTGTGGCTGGCAGTTCCGACCTCACCGGCGGTGGGGCGGCGCTTGGAGAACAGAGCAGCATATCTGTTGTCGAAGTCAAGCAGGGTCTCGGCAATATCCTTGCGCTCGCTCTCGTAGGTGCTCAGGATGGACCGATCAGCCAACCCGGACTCGACGGCGTGCAGCTTCCAAGCCATGTTGAGGGCGTCGTGGAAAGCAGTATTCATGCCCTGACCGGCTTTAGGGCTGTGGGTGTGGCAGGCGTCACCACCCATGAAGACACGCTCATCCAGAGTATATTTCTCCGAGATACCCTGGCCGATCGGGTACACCGAGTACCATTCGACGCGATCCCACTCCAAGGTGTAGGGCTTGAGGATCTTCTTGGCAGTCTCCTGGACCTGCTCGGCGGTGGCAGTCTTTCTGGGATTGAAATCGGGATCGGTGGAGGAGGCGATCTGGACGTAGAGACGGACCATGTTGTCCTCGCGGGGAATCACCATGATAGAACCAGCATCAGAGTGGATAGTGCACTTGGTCTATAAGGGCGCTCAAATTAACGATTCTTCCATTTTTTTAAGGCTCTGAATAAATGGCTCAGTTCTTACCTCGATATCAGGGAAGTTGGTTCTCACGACACCGTCCATGACACCCCACACGTAGGAGATGGGATCCTTGTGGCGGATCTGAATACCAAGCTGCTCTCTGACGAAACTGCGAGCACCCTCACCACTGAAGAGGTACTTGGTGCGGACAGTCTCGATGACATTGGTGTCAATGCTCTTCAGCGACACTTCAACAGGGTAGGTCTTGTCCAGGCCATCGTTCTTGAACCCGACGATGGTCCAAGGTCTCTCAATTCTGGTGCCCGCCTTCTCGATCTCCTCGATGAAGACTCTCTCAATCTTACCCTGGTGGACCAGGGTGGTGAAGGGATATCTGGTATCAATGAAGCGAGGGCAGCTGGGCCAGCTGCCGGTGCGGTGGATACCCTGACCCTCGGGGAGGGGATCCCAGAAAGCAACATCGTACACCTTGGCGGGCTTGTAGGCCATGATCTGGCGCTTCAGGCCCAGATTGCAGAGAATCTCCGTCGAACGGGGCTGGATACCATCGGCGCGACCGGTTGCGGTAGGCACCGGGCGGTTGTCAATGTGCTTGACCTTGTAGCCCCACCGGGACATGCACAGAGACAGCAGGATACCGACAGGGCCGGCGCCCACGATGACAATGTCATACTTCTCTTGGTTGTGTGCCATTGTGTGAAAGGTAACAAGAACTGACTGTTGATTTGCGGGGGATAACAGATAGGCAGAGACCGCGGAAGCCGGAATCAAGCAATGGAGTATAGGAAGAAAGATGAACAATATCACCGCATCACCCGTATAAAAATCAACCAGGATCTATGGGGATGAGAGAGAAAATAGACAACAATGAGAAATCATCCATGTCGAACAGGAGGCTGTATGCGCTCATATATACTGGATGATTGTTGGGGGGGGGGGGGTTTCAATTTGGTCAGCAGTAGTCACTCCGGGTGTGTAACGGAGGACCACAACGGCATTCAGATTCGGCTGGATGGTGGAGAGAAGCCAGACGGTGTGGCTACGAACTGGCTTGTAAGCAACCCTAAAGGGCGAACGCACTGGTAGATAGGTTTGGTTCATCAGCATCGCTGACTGCTTTGTCATTGGAAGGACTGTCTATGAGAGGGTCTTGCGGGGGAAGAACAAGCAGAGTTGCCGTCGCGCATTCCGAGTGCCTCAACTGACTAGAGTCACTAAACGCTGGAGCACTACAACTACAGGCAGCGGAGTAAGCAGCCCAGGGCGGCTAATGACTCGGCAAGTGGAGAGAGCCACGTGACCATTGTCGCTCGGCAGCAATCCCGATTCCTGGGAATACCTTCACCTTGTTTTCTTTCATGTTGAATCTCGATTATTGAGTCTAGTGCTCGGGTCTGGAGTATTCTCGGCAAACGGAGACAGATTCAGGCCCCCTCAGTACCAGTTGCCTTGCTGGTTCCCGTGTTTTAGCAGAAGGATTATATCATTCCTAATAATAATCTGCGGAGAATTTCAACGCTTCTGTCGTCTTCAATTTGGTAACAGAAATGCTAGATACTAAGGTAGGGTGTTTCTGGCTTGGGATCATAGTAGAGCCGTAGTATTTATCCGTATATGCCTGAGGCCACGAGGCATCCCCAGATCTTCCCCTGCATTCTCTCAAGGCTTCAACCATCTTGACTTAATTTTTCATCAATGACCATCTACCGTCTTCTTTACCATGATTCTTATCACCCAAGCGCAGAATGCCCACTGCAATCGATCCTCATAACCCCATTGGTTCCCTCATGTGTGGGGAAGAAGACGAGGGATGGCCCATTGGCGATCCCCGGTCGTTTCTGATAATGTCACTTCCCCAGCCAGGCATTGAGACTCGGCTTCCCGGAGTATCTGGTTCATTTCTCTGGATTCTCTCCCTGATCCAGTGCAGTTTGCTCATAGGATGCGGCTAGTCCCAATGGCAGTTGCCTGGATCTACCTTGCGTCCTCCTGCCCTGTGTCTCTCGTCCCTACGAGACGGATACTTCTCAGCTTACGGAGTTTACTTATTCACATCATAGCTCTATGGGCATGGCAATGGTAGATCTGGCTAGTCAGGGATTGCTACCTACACTCTATCTCAAGCTAGTGAATTACATCATTGAATTTGCCGCGCTGGATCTCTTACTGGACTAAGCATTGTGAAAGTGAATTGAGCTCAGTATAAACGTATTCAATACTATCTTCATTCCTCTTTCAGGGTCATAAGCATTAATGCTAGGCAGTAAAACAGCTAGCTTTATCATCTCAGACTCTGTATGATGTTACTGCTATAACTACAGGAAGATACACAGTATGGTGTGACATTCATTCTTGTATATATATACTGAGATGATCATTACCAGGTTATCTTATCCCTTCTCTTTATCCCCTAAGAGAAGTTAATCATAGATTTCCTGACTAGGAGATGAACAAACAAACCACCTGTTACCTTCTTACTACAGGAGACCTGCTCAATCAAACACTAAGTAGTATAGAGTCTCATGTCAACTACAAGAGAAGAGGACTCCCCCATTGTCTTGTAGGACTATTTCCCCAGCACATTGCCAGGGTTGCTGTAGGTCAATATTGAATTAGAACAATAGATTACCATATTCTATTGCAGAATGATCAAAGTAATAATAATACAAATTCTCATACATTGTCAATTGATGACTACTTGACACTCAATGGGGCTATTGAGGCAATGGGAAGAATGCTATTGTCCCTAATTCACCTCTGGGTTTGCTGAGGAAGGGACATAATCCACCTGCTGAAGGCAACAGTATAGCTTGAGTAAAGTCATTTGAATAATTGTCAATGCAGAGATAATAGCACTGTATTAAACTCAATAGATCAATAGCTCTGTCACTAAACAATGTAGTTATCACCTACACATGGGGATATACCAGTTCTCAACATCTTCTTCGTCCTCGGAGCATCATCCTTGAAGTCAGTCATATTCGGTCTTTCCGACTACCTGCTATTGTCGTCACATCTTCTACAACAGTATCTTGCTTCTCAAGCTACCAAGGTCTACTCCATCGTAGTTTTGATCTCACCATCCATTCCACTACAGGAAAGATGAATGACGAAACCTACGAGGTCCCTATCATGTTGAGCCCGGAGTATGCCCTTTCCGATCTGCTTGAAGTTGCCAGATATACTGACTGTTTGGAGCATCCATCTCACATACGAGGATATCGCCAAGCTCAATCCCTTTTACGAGGAATACAGAGCTTTCTGGAATGCCTCTTCGGACACGACAGCAACCACCCTCTCCTCCATGGATGCTTCGTCGAGATCCTCTTCTCAGCACTCAGTGCGTGCCGAAATTGACACACTTTCGTCTCCGGTTGATGTATCGTCGTCTCCTTCGCTGCACTATCCCGAACCTTACACCGGACTCAACTTCCCCAGGAAGCTCGATGTCCCTCTGTATGAAGGAAAGCAGCATCGACCATCTGTCCGGATCTATGACGAGGATCTCGCTGCGAGCCAGCACGCCAGTTTTGTACCTGACGGTCTTGTTCACACCTTGCAATCTATCAATGAAGCAACGGAAATGAGTGACTATGACTCCATGGATGTCCATCGGATCGGTGCACCCCTCCAGCGTGTGAGGTCTTCGCACAAGAAACTTTTTGGGACGAATGGCTGGCTGGGGAATACTTCCGAATTGCGAGATGTCCCTCTTAGAAGACAGAAATCTGGCATTTTCAGAGATCTGGGGAAGAAAATCAAGCACCATGTGGGAGAGATTGTAAGTGCTTGCCTGTTGTCCAGTGCCACTGGTCTTAGCTAACCGTCATTAGGCTGAAGATATGGCAAAGGCATATCCGAAGCCATTCGCTGTCGGATCACGCCGGTCAAGAATCGTGCCTGAGCCCACAATCCCCATCTCCTTGGATCCTCCAGCCCAAGCCAGATTGTATTCCGAGATGGAAGTTATGATCTGCCAGACCGCCAACAGATTCCTCATCCAACAGTATGCCGAGGGACGTGTCTCGGGGGAATCCATTAGGAAAGTCACCAGCTTCTGGGGCTCCAAGAACAGACCCCAAGTCGTCGAGTTTCAATTCGATCAGGCAACTCAGCGTCGTCTGATTTTGTCAAACGTTCGAGCCCTGCAATTCAATGGAGAATGCTCGACTAACCCTATCCTTCTACATTCCAATCTTCACAACTGGAAAGCAGTGGTCAAGGAAATGAGTATTCGCACCTTCTGTGCCCCTGATAGTGCCATTCGCAAGCATATGCACGATATTCATAAGCTCCTTGATATGCTGAATGCTCAAGACTCCACATTCATATCTTTCGAAAGGCTTCAGATGCAGGTATTGGCTCTAATGAGCGAGCGTAGGCAGACTAGCTACCAGCTCGAGCGAAGCAACAGCACCTTTTCAAGGTCGAGCGGCAGACCCACAGAAAACAGCTGGATAGTGCACTAAAATGACACCGATGAAGTGGAGCTGGTGGGTTGGTTTTGATCATCATTATGTCTGATTTGGTCATCCTTTGCAATATCTCTCTCTCCTTCTTCTTATCTTTCTTTAGCTTCAGCTTCACGTTCTCCTGTCCTTTTGTTCTGTAGCATGGTCTTTGTCTTCTATGATACCCCTCCTATAGCAGTTTAGCAATCGAGCTTTCTTCAAACTTACAGACTCACTAACATTCTCCATCCATATGTCTTCAGTATGAGACTTTTCCCCTTGCCAGTTATTATTGTGACATTGGCGTAGACAGAGGATGCAGTTTTCTTCTTTTGTGTTGTCACTTGTTCGATGCCCAGCAACCACCTGCCAAAAGCACGTGGGCCGACGTCATAGGCTCACGCGTCACATTAAAGAAAATGACCGTCTCACAGAAACGAAGACAGCTTGTCATCTCTCGCAATAGTCTGATTCAATGCTTTTAAACTCGTGGAATATGTTCTTTGACTTGACTTGACCTCGATGATGACGATATATCGACTGTCAATCTATGATAAGCACTGTCGAAGCCTTTCTCGATGCTGATTCCCCTTGTTTGTTGGCACAACGCTCAGCCCATGTGAAAGCGACACAATAATTTGCTATGGCAATGACACAAGTAGCTATTTCCAACTGACAATAATGACAAGCTCCGTTGTCAGTGATTAAGTCTAGGTCTTCCCTCAGCGCTGGACCGTACACAGCAATATTCCTTCTGCAACTTGCGGTGAACTATTATAGCATACACGATGGCTGGTCCGCTTCATACCTACGGGCCGAGTTGTCTATTGACCGACGATGACCCTGATCTCTCCTCGTGGCATTCCCAATCCGAGCCACCGAAAGTTCGTATACAGTTCTTCTATACCTCGTCTCTTCCGATCGATGATCCTCTAAGTGCGCTGCCTCCTCCGTCCGGCGGGCAAACTGCTGGGAATGAACGCACCCCGCCCCAGCCATTCTCGATCAAGGACAACATAAACCTCGAGGAAGCTTGGAAAGATTTACGACTCGCGAAGGAGCGCAAAGATGCCGAGTCAAAGAAGGATTCGGGCATTGCACGGGTCACCTCGATATCTGTACCTGGGAGAGAATCAGTTGAAGAAAAGGAACAGGGTAGGCAAGCTGGCAGCCGTGAAGGCATGAACCTGATAGGAAAGGATGAGAGCTCATCAAGTAATATTGCTTCTTGGGGTGGAACACAGCTTCGATCGTCACTTGGCGGTGGGTCTGGAGATCACAGCGAGTCTAGTCTTCCGATTCGTCGCAAAAGGGAGTTGTCTCTGAGCGACCAATTCACAGCTGTCAAACGTGTCGCTGGGAAGTCATCAGTGAGCGAGGACACAGCTATTGGGGGGCTCGAAGCCGAAAGTCTACGTGCGAGGTCATCGCGCGATGCAAGTATCAGTGGATCTCCGTTTGCCAGAGCTCCTCCGGCTCAATCACAGACCCCGCTGGGTCGCTCAATCGAGTCTATATCTTCGAAGGCTGGAAGTCCAGAGGTGCAGGGTGAATCTTCCCATACTGCACCACACCATACAGCCTTGAAATCATCAGGTCTCCGAAGCAGTGTTCAGGAAGAGAGTCCGTCTAATGAACCTATGAGCGAAGCTGGTGCAGTCATCGAGGATGATCCTTCTCAAACGAGGATTCCGGTCGGTGTTTCCCGACTTCATCTGGTGGAACTACCAAACCTCAAGGTCTGTGTTTCCCTCGCACTCACTAGAGAATTAGCGCGCTGACTGTAAATAGATGAAACCGCTATATTGGAGTCCTCTTCATGACGCATCAAATGTTCTGCGCGCTACGTGGTTCTACAAAAATACAATGCTACCGGTAGAAACAGAACTTGCTAACAGGCTCGAGGATGGATACCTTTATCTCAAACCCTGGACGGATACCTGGCAGGACGAACTCAACAGTTGCGTCGATAATGGAGCCGATGCAGAAATGAAAATCGTACATAGACTGTGGCCTAAGGACGAACCGAAATCCTCCGCTACACCTACTACCTCTCGGCCTGCCTCTAGTCTTGTCGAGGGCATTGAAGGGCGAGAATCCGATCCCTTAACTTTTGACGAGAATCGCGCTGCTGGCGGGGTCACTGCACACGTCGAAGCCGTCAAGCCATTCTTGAACTCCAGTGTCATTTATGTCGATGGTAGGAATGCTCAAATCCTCAGGCCTAGCCTGCTTCCATCTGTCTCAAGAGGAAGGAGACCCCTCAGTGCAATCCGCAAGGGTCGACAGATTGGAATACCCGTCGTCCGTGGCTTCAGCCGTCGCTTGTGGGAGCGGCTATATCCGTCTAAGCCCAGCTCCGTAGATGTAAGGAACTATCTCCGTACTCAGACACGGGCGATGTCCAGGACCGATGGTAGACAAGTCTGTTATGCTTGTGTCATGGAGGAATCACGCCCTACCCCTACTGATCTCGTACTGGTCATTCATGGCATAGGTCAAAAGCTGTCCGAGCGTATGGAAAGCTTTCATTTTACACATGCAATCAATGCTTTTCGCAGAAGCGTCAACATGGAGCTGAATAGCGAGCCAGTGTGGCCCCATGTCCGAGAGGGTCATGGTGGAATCATGGTTCTTCCCGTGAATTGGCGATCGACACTGTCTCTTGACGATGCAGCTCTTGAATCTCAGACTTCCAATGATCCAGCTTCCAATCACTACTCTCTAAAGGACATTACGCCGGAGACTATACCAGCCGTCAGGTCGTTGATCAGCGATGTTATGCTTGACATTCCTTACTACTTGTCTCATCATAAACCTAAGATGATACAAGCGGTGGTCAAAGAAGCGAATCGAATCTATCGACTCTGGTGCCAGAACAACCCTGGGTTCCAGCAGGACGGTCGTGTCCACCTACTCGCACATTCTCTAGGAAGTGCAATGGCTATAGATATTCTCAGTCATCAGCCAACGAAGGTCTCGGATTTTGACTTCTCGACTACGGGGATCCATAGCGATATCTTTGAGTTTGACACAAAGAATCTGTTTCTTTGTGGAAGCCCTGTTGGGTTTTTCTTACTCCTGAACAAAGGTATAGCAATACAGTGGGATTTAGTCTTCTTGAGATGTTCGTGCTAACCAGCTTCACAGCGAACCTCTTGCCGCGCCGGGGCAGAGACAAACCCGGATACGAAGGGGAAGACCGGCTGCGTGGTGTCGCTGGTGAAGCAGACACATATGGATGCCTAGCCGTTGACAACCTCTATAATATAATGCATACCACGGACCGTAAGAACTTCTACATGGACCTTATTCGAATCAACTTACTGACCCTTATCTTCCAGCAATCGCATATCGTGTCAATGCCGCAGTCGATGCTGACTTGGCCAACTCGCTCAAGATCGCATCAATCCCAGGCTCCAACGCATCCTTCTGGTCATCGTTCGGCAGCGTCTTTCGCTGGAGCTCGCCATCTCATTCTACACCAACTCGCCCTGCCGCGATTGCCAAGCTCCCATCTAATGTAGAAATGGAGACGCATGACTTCACACGCGAGGAGATAGCAGAAAAACGAATGCTACTGCTCAATGACAACGGCCAAATAGACTACTTCATTTCCGGTGGAGGGGGCCCCCTGAATATCCAGTACCTCAATATGCTGAGTGCGCACAGCAGCTACTGGATCCTGACAGACTTTGTGCGCTTCATCGTTATAGAGGTCGCCCGTGAGCAAGGCCGGGAGGCGACCTTGCCTGCTCTCCGGGCCGAGAAGAAGAAGGGCTGGAAGATACACAAGGGCTGAGATAGATTAGATATCCTTATTCTGGACTGGGCGTTTTTTCTTCTTTATTATTTCGAGTTTTTGTTTTTAGGAAATATACCTCCAAGATAACGGCTTACGGGCTACTGTTCCCCTAAGGCCGATGATAATGGCATCTTCACGATTGAGAGTTATATCTTCTTCTGAGATAACAAATTCAGGATTCCATCGATGGTAGACCTGTGCTGCCGCACTACACCTCAGACACAATGTTTCCCAACAACAAAGCCTCGACAAGAGTACCCTTTTCAACTGTCCCGCTGCCCGGCTGTAGCACTAAGAGCGCATTCGCACTCGCCAAGCTTCCCACTCGCGAGCTCCGCTGGCCAACCCCCTCCAGCCCGGTACTCGTCGCATACAGCCGCCCATCCGACTGCGACGCACTGACAATGCCACGGTGGTACTCCGTGCGCTTCGGGTCAAGCGGGAAGGCATGCGCCAGCACCACGGATACCAGCGGCAGACCCAGGGCGGGTGCGACGCCCGGCGCGGTCTGTCTTTGGCCCAGGCCCATCAGCTTGTGCAGGGAGGGAAGCACGAAGAGGTTGAGCGTGACGAGCGCCGAGGCGGGGTTCCCGGGGAGAGAGAAAATGAGTTTTGCCTCGCGCTCCTGCTGCGTGGCTGTCGCCGCGGATGCGGATGCGGATGGCTTGAACGGCACGGTCGCGAAGGTGGTCGGTTTGCCTGGTTTCATCGCCACGCGGCCGAAGTGGATTGTCCCGCCGAGCGAGCGCTCGATCGTCGGCTTGAGCAGGTCCAGTTCGCCCATGGAGACGCCACCTGTGGTCACGATCACATCGACAGGGTTGTGTGCCCGGCCGACGCCGCGGAGGGCGTCGCGGAGGGCGTTCTCGAGTTCGCCTGGTGGGGTGTCGCGCGCGATGCCGAGATCAACTGTGGGAAAGCCCCAGGAGGCCAGGCAGGAGAGGAGCGATGGGCGGTTGGAGTCTCGGATCTGACCTCCGTAGAGCTTGCTTGGGTCGTTGTGCTCGACTAGCTCATCGCCGGTGCTAAGGACACCCACGCAGGGTTTCTTGTAGACCTTCACAGTCCTGGTTCCTGTTGCGGCTAGGAGGCCGATTTCGCCACCGACGGAGGTAATGAGGTCGCCTTTGCGGAGGATTTTGGATCCGAGTGGGATGTCGCTGCCTGGCTCGCGGACGTTCTCCAAGGGCTTGATGTCACCGGTGAGGATCTCGATTGTTGCTTCCTCCTGGCCGTCGGGGGTCGAGGAGACCAAAACGGTGTCCTCGACCATCACAACCGCATTTGAATTCGGAGGGAGTGGCGCTCCGGTCGTGATCCGGGCAACAGTACCTGGCTCGAGAGGTGATAGCGCTCCCCCCGGGTTCGCATGGGTGATTGAAGCCACCGGAAAAATGCCCTTTGTGCTCGGTCCGGCTGGGGCGGAATCCGGTGCAATGACAGCGTATCCGTCGACGATGCTTGCGCGGTAAGCTGGTACAGCCTCTCCGGCGTAGACATCTTCCGCAATGACGGAGCCGACCAGAGCGGTGGTCACAGGGACCTCAACGACTACTGGGTCTGGAGTGTGCTGGCTGACCAGCTTGAGGGCTTCGTCAACCGATAACATGGGATAAGGCGATGAGCGATACCGGCGATTCGGACCGGCATTGGGATCATTGGACTGCGGTCGTTCAGAAGGCGATGTGTGCGCTCTTGGAACGACATGACCGTGAGCATGGGAATGCCCGTGGTGATGGTGGTGATGATGGTGATCATGCTGCTGTCCTTGACTTTCCGAGCGCGGATCATTGGGGGCTACACCAGCTTCGGCTTCCAGCTTCTTGACACCGCCAGCATGAAGAGCTCGCGAGTCTGCTCCAGCCGCCTGAGTACAAGCGTGCGGTAGAAGCTTGATGATTGCCTCAAGATTTTCCTTGGCTCCCTTTGGCGAGCCTGGTAGTGTAATCAGGAGTGACTTATCTCTGACACCCGCCACGGGGCGAGACATCATTGCAACTACAGTAGATGTCAGTCATGGCTCTGGATTCAAGGGCAATTTTGAGTCATACATGGTGTCACTTTGAGAGAAGCGGCAAGCATGCCGTGTCTTGGTTAGTGGATCAGTATACAGCTCTATAACATATAAGCAATGAGCACAACTCACACTAAACCAGGTGCATGGCGATGGATGAGAGGGGATACTGCCTGGTCAGGCTATCAGCGTATCTGTCCATCAGCAAGCTAGAGCGGAACATACCTCGGGGGTATTATCTTTGACGGCAAAACCTGTGCCACCGCTAATCAGGACTAGATTGGCCCATTCCGGGCCATCTGTCCAGCTGCAGATTGTTCGTTGAATGTCCAGCACATTATCAGGGACAATCTTGATAGTGGGAGCCTCCCAGCTGCTTGACCCCTCAGCTGCAAAAGTCGCCGTCAGAGTATCAGCCACTCTGTCAGATGATGGGTCCTTGGAAGCAGTATCCGATACAACCAGGATCGCAGCTCTCAGTTTGCCGTCAGCCATCTTGTCCGTCAACGTTGTGGGAGACAGTGAACGGGTTGCTGGTTGGATGTGGGGGAGAGTGTATTCGAGGTTGGTTGTATTTAGTTGGAGATAAGCGGGAATCGGGGATGCCAAGACAACTGGCGGATCGTCATTGGAGCTCCAAAGCTTCAAGGCAGAAAAAGTAGCTATTCATGATCCAAATAGCCTTATTTACATAGCGAGGAGTAGAAGTACAAGGCTGTCCTGGATTAGCTGGATTGAGCCCCCGACAACTGCTACTGTACAACATAGCCGACATCATCATCACCATAGCGAACCAGCGAAATCATCAATGCAGTGCTCAACGGACCAGAGAAGCTCTACAGTTTAAACCAAATTCCAGACGCCTCAATGCTTTATATAGGAACAGATAAAGAAAAATGAAAGAGAAAAAAACTTCGAACAAGAAGAAAAGGTCGAAGGGGTTTAAAAGCCCGGTCCGGCTCACGGCATCTTCTATCGAAGAAGACTATTGGGGAAGGGAAATTGCAACATCATGCTCCAAAGTCGGTCGCTTTTTGTCCAACCAGGAGTCCAATGATGAGGCCGAAAAGACCGAGAACAGAGCTGAAAATCTCAATGACGAGGATCTTGACGAACCTATACCTGAATGTTAGCGGCGAGGATCCCAGTTAAGGATAGCACGGGGTACAGGAGACGAACAAGCTGGGGTCAGCTGCATCAGCCAGAGCCGCACCACTACCGTTGATACCAACAGAGATACCGCAAATCAAGTTGCATGCTCCCACTGTGATACCTCCCCAGAAAAGCGCATATCCGGTGTAGTAATTGCTGCCGGAAAAGAGCTCGTCGCCTTCGACCAGGTTGAGTTTGGACGAGAAGACGATGGCCATGATGACTCCGTAGATAGCTACGACTTCACAGAAGATGATAGAGATCAGGTTCTTTGTCCGAATCCGTGGTGCCCTAACACCTCCACCAACGATCGACGAGCCTGTGAGGAAGATACCCCTAGTGGTTGTATATCAGTGGCTGAGGGGTCGAAAGGTCATGGGTACACCAAGGGTATCGAAATACATACCAGCCTGCTCCGACAACAGATAGACCAATGCACATTGCGATACCAAGGTTCGCCCAAGCATATGGCGAAACAGCCTCGAGGAAATGGCCAACCTGGGAGATGTCAACACGATGCACCCCATACAATTCGGTATCCCCGAGATATCCGTTCATACATTGAATTGTTCACCGTCGCCATGGAAAAGCATATCTAAGAGAAAGCATGTCAGTTCTCGTTACGGTCCATATGGAAGCTCCGATGATGCCCACTCACATCCTCCTATCACCAGGAGGGCCACGGTAGTAGCACCACCTCCATAGTAGAGAACCATGGTGACTTCCAACCCTTTCGTGCGCTTGCAAGAAGAATAAAGGAAAGATACAGGATGCTTTTCAGTAGATTGAGTGGGTGTTAAACGCCCGGGTAAACAATGGACTTTGAAGCTCTGGTTGGAGCCTCTCAACGTGCACTGAGACAACTCCAACTCGGTCGGCGGTGATGCTAGTTCGGCCCGGATTAATCCGTCGGCGCCGCGGCGGAGTTCCAATGGTTATTAGATAATGAATAATGCCGCCAGATCGTTAAGGCATACACGAGGCTAGACACTAGATGCTTTTCAAAGTACCCCAGACGGGCCCATGGATCGAGCTCTTGTCCATTCGACCATCTGAACACCTCACCGCGGGCACTGATTGCTATCTCATCGGAGTCATCAAACGATTTGTTTGTTCTCTAGACTCCTCCTCTTATCAACTTCTCTTTTCCACTTTTTCTCCCTCCGCCGAAGTATAGAGACTGCAACCGCGGCTATCTCTACTGCCCCTTATTCTCTTGTCACCGCTATCCAGAACACCTTCGCTATGGCTTCTTCCGGGGCTGGGTCGTATTCGAACCCTTTGAAGAAATTCAAGTACGTGACTTCGGGGCGCACGTCGTATGTATGGCTGGGCATTGTTAATGAAAAATTCTAGACTGGTGTTTTTGGGAGAACAGAGTGGTACGCATGCCTTCGCGTCGAGAGGTCGCCATGATCCCCTTTCAGAGACATGATGTCTGACCTTGATACTATAGTCGGCAAAACATCTTTGATCACGCGATTCATGTACGACTCGTTCGATAATACTTACCAAGCAACTATCGGAATCGACTTTTTGTCCAAGGTATACTCTATACTCGCACCGATACCCATGACGCTATCTGGCAGCACCCCCGCTTGCTTTTGTGTCGCCCTCCATTTGCAACCTGTTCATATTGAGCTAATATTCGGTTTTGCGCATCAGACCATGTACTTGGAGGATCGAACTGTCCGACTTCAGCTTTGGGACACAGCCGGCCAGGAGCGATTCCGATCTCTGATTCCTTCATACATTCGAGACTCTAGCGTGGCGGTGGTTGTATACGACATCTCAAATGCCAAATCATTCCAGAATACTCGGAAATGGATCGACGATGTTCGAGGAGAGCGCGGTAATGACGTGATCATTGTCCTAGTAGGCAACAAGACGGATTTGAACGATAAGCGGGAAGTTACCACGGCGCAAGGCGAGGAGGAAGCGAAGAAGAACGGATTGATGTTCATCGAGACCAGTGCCAAGGTCGGCCATAACGTGAAGCAGCTGTTCAGGAGGATAGCGCAGGCCCTTCCTGGAATGGAAGGTGAAGCAAACAGAGAGTCTCAAAGTTGGTCAATCCTGGAGAACCGGTGGCTTTGCGTTGCTGAATACTGACTTCTTACTTTTTTTCCAGTGATCGATGTCAACATCAGCCCCAAAGAAACGACAAGCAACGATGGATGCGCTTGCTGATAGCTATATCAACATTCTACTACCCGTTTATAATTGCCACTCAAGCTTCTGATGATTGTAATCTCAATAACGAGCATTGAGATTGTCTATAATGTTTTCCCCCCCATTCTTGACATGTATATTGTCTTTCTCCTGTCCTTTGTTTTCTCAAGGTAAATAGCGTCTCTAGATTCCAATCCTCTCGAACTTGTCCTTTTTCATGTATATGTGTTACAGTGTGGCATGGAACAGAATCTGGCGTTCTGCTTCTCGCATTCTGCCAGCGTCTATTCTTCTGGTTTATTCCCCCATCCTTGAGTCCATCTTTCCTTGTTTCAACAGAAATGATAGATTTCGAATTGCGCGAGGTATCGATCTATTCTGTTACAGCATAGCTTGGATGCTCTGGCGTACAATGGAATCTAGCCTACGGTGGTCGAAATGAAGGCTTCATATTGCTATCCAAAAGAATTCGGTAGAAGAAGAGCAGGCAGACATGGTAATAATGACATCTGGTGGATACTCAGCCCCTATACCGATCAATAGGCTCCTCAATAGTAATCCGGTAAATATCTGAAGCTCAAAGATCAACCAAGGCGGTTGCCTGACCAGACTAATCACTCCGCATTCTATCAGTCAAGGTCTCTAACAGCAAGTAATCAAAGACCGCCTGTGCTCATTCCGCTGTACATCATTCTAAAAATCAATAATGGAGAGAGACTGTATTATACATTCCAGGAGAACGTCATGAACAAGGGGCGATAATGCATGGCCCCATTATGCTGTTATGTTGTGCACACTACACAAAGACCAACAGCGTCATCCGCCTCGCCCGCTGGTCTTGGCATTCCGATTTCCTCTGCCTTTAGACTTTCTCAGCCTCAGCACAAATGAAAAGGCAGCGATCGGCAGGCGGATCGTTCGGAAAATCAAGCGCCCCTATGTAAGGCATTTTGCACTACGACCTTAACAACAACTATCTAGACTAACTAATAATATTGACATTTGACTGCTGCTGTCCACCAGCCTCTTTTTTTTTCCCCATCTTTCCAGCTGACTCTCACCCTCACTTTCATCATCATTCCATTCTTTTGCCTCTTTTGCCGTCTTTGAGCCACAAACGGTCTCACCCCCCCCCCCTCCCCCCCCGATCCCATCGGCGGCATTCAAGATGGGTTTCTCAGCCCGTTTTCTCCGCGTCCCGCGGCCAGAGGTACGTCAACTTGGATGGTATTATTTAAAAATGAAGAGGGATTGGTTCTGGCCTGTTTTCGTCTGTCGCTTATCTCTGATAGCTAATGATGGTTTCCTGCAGACCTTCCTCTACGTGATGAGCCTGGAGACGGGCGCTTCGTTGATCACACTGTCCCTGCTACTTAACAAAATCAGTGGTCTCTATGGCCTGCTCGCTTTATTGACCGGCTACGACCTGTCGCCAGTTCAACTATCGATGTACCTGTACTCGCTTGTCGCCCTCGGACTCACAGCCTATCTCTTCCCACACATCCGGAAACAATCTCCTCTACAATGCCTTGGCCTTGCATGGCTCTACCTCTTCGACACGATTATCAACGCTGCGTACACTGCGGCTTTCGGTGTGACGTGGTTTCTCGTCATCTCACAGAACTATGAGGGCGGAAAAGTGAAGGGTCCGGGCAGCGAGACTATCGCTCAGACTGCGGGCTTCACTAGCCCCCAGTATGGCTCCTCAACCCAAGAAAGACCTACTCGACGATCGGATGGCCTCAGTAACGCTGTCACGCAACCGGAGAGTTTCCAGAGCATTGTCTTGGTGTGCTCGCTTTGGATTGTACGCTTCTACTTCATCTTCATCATGTTCGCCTTTGCCCGCCAGGCTCTCCGTCTCTACGTCGCCATCCCCCGTCACACTCAACTTCCCACTCATAGCCGCAATACCTCTATCGCCAGCGTCGCCAGCATCGCCGACATCGATCGGGAGCCATTTTCGTCATATAGCCCTGATGGTCAGGGCTGGCAAGGAAAGCTTGGCCGCGCCATGATCAGCGTCGGTCGCGGTTACTGGCTGGGCGACGACGAGGACGGCAATTGGGTTGACACCATGGGCCGCAAGTTCCGGTCACGCGGCGATAACATGGAGCTTCCTGGTCCCTTGGAGCGTGAAAGAAGGCGCCGTTCCGGCACTGGGCCTCCGCAGCCTTCTCAGGCCGCAGTCCAGGCCGCTGCACTGCAACAGCCGCTTCCCGAAGGCATGAATCTGAAGATGCACGACTGGAATGAGCCTCGTTGATCTGCGATTTGCGCGAGCATCTCTTTCATCTGAGACTATGGTGTGACTCTTGAATTGAAGTGACCGTGGTCCTACGGCAGATATCCACCCCTACTGGGCCCCGTTGAAAAGGCCGACATGCTCACATCACCTGTTTGCTGTACAGAATCTAGGCCAGCAAGACGCTCTATTGTCCATAGTCATATGTCTTTTTTCTTTTTTTTTTTGTTCCTTGTCATTTATTCTACATGCCGAAATGATTACATAATATGGTTGGGATGGGACTTGGGCTTCTGGGTGACAAGGTAACGACTCATGTCTTATCCCATTTGCTTTTATTGGGTGTCTTACTTCCAAGGGAGAGGCGTTCGGTTCAAACTCGCTCGGGAATTTAGGGATTTGTGGGTGTGATTGAGATTGAAGGGGGATCACTTGGAGGAAGACAAGTTACTGGAGATCAATCTGGTATTGGGGGGGAGACACATTTGTATTCATCAGATATGGCTTGGGGCGTTCAGACCCTGTACATTTATTTATTTTTTGTTACCAATATGGGTTGGCATTTAATATGGCGTTCTGAGATATCATCAATATCCATCTATTCCATGGCTTCGGCCTATTCTCACGCACGCAATCCAGCATAGGAGTACTAATTTCTCGCCCGAGAGTGCTAGCTGCCTTAGGCTGCGGACACCTGAGTTCTGCAGTTTGTAGTTATGGGACGATGGGCTGCGGAAAGTGCCGAGACAAGTGAATAATCGTCAGACAAGTTGAGTGATCGAGGGGAACAGCCCATTGTCAGTGAATAATTAGTAACCTACTGTGTAGTGCAACTTGGCCCATGAGCAGATCTTGATTACTGATGGGGTATCTTCAAATATTATTAGCCTCGGTGAAGAGACTGGAGTCCTGAGGCAAACACCGACGCCAAGCCCGTGCCCAGGCACCGGCACGTGACGTGGGAAAACTGACGTGCTCGAGAAGCCAGTCACGGGACCCCCGCACTTGCCCTGATTGGGCAGGTTTGCTCTCGGCGGTCAGGTGTGTTTGCATCGATGTCGTGATCGAAGTCCAATCAGAGCTTTGGTGATCCAAACCCCCCCGATGGCGGAGAGTATGGAGGGACTCATTTTTGGTAGAGTACTAGACAGCTGTTGAAAAGAAAGTCGGGGAGACTTTTTCTCTTTAAATCCTCAGTGTGGTCGTTTCTCTTCTTCCCTCTCTCTGTTGTTTCATTATTATTCCCCCGTGTCAAGGTTGCAGTGTTACTAACAAGTGGGAGTCGCCGTATGCGGTGATATCGTTGTAAAAACACTTTATAGTTCATCCCACCCTCTGCGCCGTCAAGAGCGCACCTCATAATTGTCAGATATGGCGTCCGTTTCGACTGCTGCGGAAGCAGGTTAGTCCCCCCCTTTTTCTGTTCTTGTTTGTTTAAAGAGATCTAAAATGCTCTATCTGCGACATCGCATGCTAACTATATTGATCAGCCGCTCGCGTTGCCTACCTCGTCAGCGATGTCGTTCTCTCCGTCCAGCCATCGCTGCAGACAGATTCTCTCTTCTCGAAGTCTCTCAAGGCTTTGAAGGCGAGCAACGCTCCTAGCGTTCTCCCTAGAGCAGTCCCCGAGGTGGGTCATGCATCCAATATGCCCTCCATTTCGAGGCATATTGCGGGACCAAAACTGACACTATCGACAGGTCGTCCCTGTACGATACAATGAGGATCCCCTGCTCTCCGCCTTCCATCCCCTACAGTCCGGCAACTTGGTCTCGGTTGTCACCAGCTCCTCCATCCTCCTCTCCTCCGTTCCTCATCTCTACCGCTTAGCGAACTCCCCCATCGTCATTCACGTCGCCTTGGAGCCCCTCCCATTCCCAGATTACTCCGTTATCAGCTCGATACGCCAATGCGGTTTCACCTTCTTGCACTCCGAGACCATCCAGGAGGCTCAGGATATCGCTATCACCGCCCACGCCCTGGCGCACCGGTCCGGGAAGGGTGTCATTCACTTCTTCGATCCTGCCAATTCCGCCAACGATGAGACCATTGCGGCGGAAGATGTGGACGTGGTCAGATCCCTCCTCAACCTAGGCGGAAACACTAGCCCAGACACTGCACAGACTCTATATGCGGACTCCGGCCGTGTGGCTACAGTCTCAGAAGAGGCTACGGAGGGATCTAGCAGAGCTCAGGGCGACCTTGCATCTACCCTGGCCCAACCTGCTCCAACTCCTTCCAACATCAGTGTCGATAACTCCTCCGTTGGCTCATCGCGGAGAGACAGTAGCACAGACAGCCATGCTCCCAGCTCCGCCGCCACAACCGTCGATGCGGCCGCTTCTGTGCGCCCAGTCACCGCTGCCGACATCTTCGAGTGGACTGCTCAGATCTGGAGCGTACTGTCGCAGACTGTTGGACGCACTTACCGGGCGATTGAATACACTGGCCCCGCAGATGCCAAGTCTGCCATCTTCGTGTTCGGCTCAACCGGAGTTTTCGTGGATGTCCTGGCCAAGGCCGACGCCAACAGCGAGCTCGAGAACATCGGCCTCGTCACAGCTCGCCTGTACCGTCCCTGGATCGGGGGCCAGATTGTGAACACGCTCCCCAGCTCTGTCGAGAAGATTGCCGTTCTCGAGCAGGTCCGCAAGACCACCAAGTGGGGTCCTTCATTAATGGACCTGTTGTCCAGCTTGACCCCGTCTGCTGGCAGACCCACTCCTCAGATTGTCGGTTACAGACTGGGTTATGTTGAGCCTTCCACCGCCGTTCAGGCACTTCGGGGCATAGTTCAGAACTTGAACTCTGCTTCCCCGATTCAGAACCTCGAGATTGGAAGCTCCAAGGTGCCTGCCACCCAGCCTACCCTGGAACAGCCCAACCTTGAGAATGCCTACCTGAAGATTCTGAACCAGCTCTTCGGCGAGCGTTTGTACATCGCCAACCAACTGGATTCAAAGGACGCTGGCGTCTCCACCACCATTGCTGCCAGCCCTGAATACGGATTCGGCTCGCTGATTGCCAGAAAGGAGCACCGCCAGCGCTTCATTCGTGAAGTCGAGGAGGCTTCCAAGTCTACCGGCTTCTCGACCGATGCGCCTAAGTCTTCTTTGTCGAACTGGGCCCTGAATGTCAAGGATGCCTCCAAGGCGAACAAGCTGGCATCTGATGTCATTGACAATCTTTCCACTGATGGCTCCGAGGTCGCCAAGAAGCTCCTCGAGTCGAGAAAGCTCTTCTTCGAGGAGTCTCAGTGGCTCATTGGTTCCGACGCCTGGGCTTACGATCTCGGCAACTCTGGTGTTCATCACGTCCTCGCTTCGGGCGAAAATGTCAACATGCTCATCATTGACTCTCAGCCTTATTCCGAGCGCACTGCTGCCGATCCCACTCGCAGAAAGAAGGACATTGGCCTTTATGCCATGAACTTCGGCAATGCCTACGTCGCCTCGGTTGCGGTCTATGGCTCTTACACCCAGGTGCTGCAAGCAATGGCCGAGGCCGAACAGTTCAAGGGTCCTTCCGTCGTCGTTGCTTATCTGCCTTACAACCAGGAGAATGACTCTGCTCTCACCGTGCTGCAGGAGACCAAGAAGGCCGTTGACCTCGGCTACTGGCCTCTGTACCGCTGGAACCCCGACAACGAGGAGAATGGCGAGCCCAGGTTCTCTCTTGACTCGGATCGTATCAAGCGCGAGCTCGAGGAGTTCCTCCGTCGTGACAACCAACTGACGCAGCTCATGAACCGCAAGCCTCAGTATGCTCCTGTCCTCTCTGAGTCCTATGGCACTGAAGTCCGCGCCTTGCAGAAGCGCAAGGCCAAGGATTCCTACGAGAAGCTTCTCGACGGTCTTTTCGGTGCGCCTTTGACCGTTCTCTTCGCCTCCGACGGCGGCAACGCTGAGAACATTGCCAAACGTCTCGGCAACCGCGGCCGCGCCAGAGGCTTGAAGACCATGGTTATGGCGATGGACGATTACCCGGCCGAGGATCTCGCATCCGAGGAGAATGTGGTTTTCATCACCAGTACTGCTGGTCAGGGTGAGTTCCCCATGAACGGTCGCAACCTCTGGGAGGTCATCAAGAACTCGGGTGACTTGGACCTTTCTACCATCAACTACTCCATCTTCGGTCTTGGTGATAGCCACTACTGGCCCCGCAAGGAGGATAAGATCTACTACAACAAGCCAGCCAAGGACCTCGATGCTCGCATTACCTTCCTCGGTGGTCGCAAGCTCACAGATATCGGCCTTGGTAATGATCAGGATCCCGATGCCTATCAGACTGGCTACTCTGAGTGGGAGCCTCGTCTCTGGCAAGCACTTGGTGTGGACAAGGTCGAAGGTCTGCCTGAGGAGCCTGCTCCCTTGACCAATGAGGATATCAAGATCCAGTCCAACTACCTTCGCGGTACCATTGCCGAGGGTCTGCTGGATGAGAGCACTGGTGCTCTTTCTGCCAGCGACGGGCAATTGACCAAGTTCCACGGAACATACATGCAAGACGACCGTGACATTCGTGATGAGCGCAAGGCCCAGGGTCTGGAGCCAGCCTACAGTTTCATGATCCGTTGCCGTCTTCCTGGTGGTGTTGCCACTCCCTCGCAGTGGATCCAAATGGACGACATCAGCAGCGCATACGGCAATGAGACCATGAAGCTCACGACCAGACAAACCTTCCAGTTCCACGGTGTGATCAAGCGCAACCTCCGCTCCGCCATGCGCGCCATCAACAAGTCCCTCATGACCACCATCGCAGCGTGCGGTGATGTCAACCGTAATGTCATGTGCAGCTCCCTTCCTGAACTTTCGTACTTCCATCGCGAAACCCATGCCGTTGCCCAAAAGGTCAGCGACCACCTACTGCCGTCTACCACTGCCTATCATGAGATCTGGCTGAAGGACGACGACGACAAGAAGGTCCAGGTTGCAGGAGACGCTGTGCAGGACCACGAACCCCTGTACGGTCCCACCTATCTTCCCCGCAAGTTCAAGATCACCATCGCCATCCCTCCCCACAACGATACCGATGTGTACGCCCACGATATTGGCTTGATCGCTATCAAGGGTGCCGATGGACATCTGGAAGGCTTCAATGTCCTTGCCGGTGGTGGTATGGGTGCGACACACAACAACAAGAAGACCTACCCTCAGACCGGTCGCATGTTCGGATACGTGCCTGCTGACCAGGCTCACATTGTCTGTGAGAAGATCATGTTGGTCCAGCGCGACTTCGGTGACCGCAAGAACCGCAAGCACGCTCGTCTCAAGTACACCATTGACGACATGGGTGTTGAGGTCTACAAGGGCAAGGTGGAAGCTCTGCTGCCTGAGGGACTGCGCTTCGCCGAGCCTCGCCCGTTCGAATTCACGTCGAACGTCGACACCTTTGGCTGGCAGAAGGACGAGACCGGCCTGAACCACTTCACCTTCTTCATCGAGAACGGACGTATTGAGAACACCGCCGAGTTCACCATGCGCTCGGGCTTGCGCGAGCTGGCCGCGCTAGACAAGGGTGAGTTCCGCCTCACGGGTAACCAGCACCTGATCCTCTCCAACATCAAAGATGAGGACCTGCCGGTCGTGAAGGAAGTGATGGCCAAGCACAAGCTGGACAACACCGCCTTCAGCGGCCTGCGCCTCTCCTCATCCGCTTGCGTGGCCTTCCCCACCTGCGGTCTCGCCATGGCCGAGTCCGAGCGCTACCTCCCCGTCCTGATCTCCAAGCTCGAGTCCACCCTCGAAGAGGTAGGCCTGGCCCGCGACAGCATCGTCATGCGTATGACCGGTTGCCCGAACGGCTGCGCCAGACCCTGGCTCGCCGAAGTCGCCTTCGTCGGCAAGGCCTACGGCGCGTACAACATGTACCTCGGCGGCGGCTACCATGGCCAGCGGCTGAACAAGCTGTACCGCCAGTCCATCATGGAGGACGAGATCCTCGACATCATGAAGGGTCTGCTGAAGCGGTACGCCCTCGAGCGCAACACCGACGGCGAGACCCCGGAGCGCTTCGGCGACTGGTGTATCCGCGCCGGTGTCATCAACAAGACCACCGACGGCACCAACTTCCACGAGGGTGTAAGTTCCTCCCCATAGTTTGCCTACCATAGCGTCGCTTCCTGAACCATGAAAACTAACCCGCTACTTCACAGGTCGCCGAGGAAGACGAGGAAGAAGAGTAAACGACGCTCCTGCAGAATAAAAAGCCAGTAATTTTTATTTTTATTTTTATTTTTTCTTTCTTTCCTTCTTGCTTAGAACGACTTGGATACCAAGCTTTTTGTCGCCTTTTTCTTTTTTTCCCCCCCCCTTTTTCTGATGACGAATAAATGCCCTATTCCGAGATACGATCACAGTCACACGTCTTCCCTGTCATTTGCATTATTTAGTACTAGATGATGATACAGTGGCCACTTACCTACTTGATAGCCACAAGATTGCAGGGTTATTGTATATGAGCGAATGAACCAATTGCATAGTTCCTACGGGAGTACTTGCCATCCTTTTCCAGAGAAAAATAACAAAGAATTTCAACATTCATAGCTCAGTTTCACCCTCTAGGTATACATAAGTACTATGGCTGGCGCGTACTCGTGCAAGAACAATACAACAGAAAAAATAGGGGAACACAGGGCCTCGGACGATTTAGGCTGGGAGCTCAAAGCGAAAGACTTATGGCTTTCATGGCTTGTTCTAGCAATACAACGAGGGCGATGCAGGTTGCAACTTTGATTCGTCGATATAGATATGGATACCCGGATATCCCCATGATATGGACAGGTGTAGTACACCCTTTTTTCGAGAAGCCAGATGAGGAAGGATGAGTCTACGAGTACAGGAACGTATGAATAGATTTGTCCAGCGTAGGAGTGGCCAGGTTCGCGCTGCGCGAGCGTCCTCCAGCAAATGATTTGGATTTTCGTTATCACAATGCTGTGCTAGTACAGTTGGCTCAGGCCATGACCTGTTCACCCTGTTTCGTGGCGTCCCCAAGGTTCAATCATCTATTATCTCACGTCGGTGGGAGGCCCCCGTTTAAAGATTGCGAGCTAGGCGTGCGCCTGCCCAGGTGTAAAGGTAGTTGTGCTGGTACCAGTTGACACTTCCAAGACTATCAGCACATACTCCATAATCAATTAATCAACACATCGATATGGGCCACTTACAGTGTCGTACGGCCGGCGATTCTAGGATGCGTTGCCCAGGAGCCGCCGAGGACGATGTTGTGTTTTCCGTCAAAGAAATCCGCTGTTTTTTTTTTGCCAATCAGCAGGGGCATAGGTTGGCTTTGAAAGTATCAGTGACGTACCAGTATAGCCTGGATAGATGTCCATGGCTTGGAAACCCTCATGCGGGGCTAATGGGGTGCTAGTCCATTCCCAAACGCCTCCCATTTCGCCTTGACCAGCGAGTCGATCACCGTTTGGCGTAACTGGGGTAGGGTGCCAGGACTTGAAGCCGACGTTGCAACCGTCGAGGTCAACAAAGACCGGCATGCTGTCCCGGGAAGGCGGCTGCACTGGCTGATGGCCCGGTGTACGAGGCTTGCTGGAAATGGATTTTGAGTGTCCATTGCTTGACGAACCGTTGGTGGTACCATTGACTCCATTTCTGCATCAGAATTAGATTAAATGCCCAGCAATTGAGTAAACTGGGAAATACCCACCCAGTACGATGTGCCTCATCTTGGCTCAACTTTCTCAACCGTGCAGAGTAGCTATAGATACTCTTCACTTCCTCATATGTGGGTATCCTGCAACCCATCCACTCGGCATATTGAGATAGTTCGTCGTAGGAAGCCATGACTGGCCAATCCTCCGCAAATTGAAGTGGTATCGAACCAAAGACTGTTCGGACAGCAAAGTTTGCCAGGAAGTCTGCCGTGGCGTTAGCGCTTTCTTGAGTTACCCCCTTGCTAATCGGATAATCCTCGTCGGAATGGGCCAGGGCCCAGGACGCAGGTCTGAGTCGCTGACGAGTCGCTTGCAAGTACTTGGCATACTCGCCATTTGTTATCGGACGAGCTTGCGCTTCAAAGGCCGGGACACTGACACTACGCTGAGGTTTCTCATTGTCCCATCCAAAGGACGCAGTAGGGAGGGAATTTTCGTCTGCATCATCGAGTCCAAGGGTCACTGTCTGTGCAGGGATGGTGAACCATTCGTTCGGCTTCGCGTTCGCTTTAGCCTTTTGTGATAACTCCTCAAAGTCCGGTCTGGGAACAGTCGGTGGAGGAAGAGTCTTCTCGCTTTGAAGAAGCATGTAGAGGAAGGTCTCAAGATGCATTGCTTCGTGCTCGAAAGCAATCCAAAGTGCCTCACCCAGGCATCGGTTGTGTGCGATATCGTCTCTCTGCAAGACGGATTCGACTCTAATTCTGACCTTATCCTGATATTCCAGAATCTCACTCAGCCGAGGCCACTCGTCAGGAATTTCACTGTGAGAGTGGCACTGTTCGGGGTTGTCTACGTCTGGATCAATTCCACGTTCGAAGATTAAGCGATACTCCTTTGGCTCAGTCGGACAACCACCAAATGCTCGGGTGAGATGAATATCTGTCCACGGTATTAGTATCGAACCACACCCCACGGCACGCCGGTATTAGAAGGTACTACTGACCCATGAAATTGGGGATATGTCCAAGGTAGAAGACCAAAGCGTTCCGAAGCTTGATAGGCTTGGCAAGAAGTTCTTCCCGCGGCACCATGGCCTTTGTGACAGCATCCCACGCAGTCCATAATGAGCGGAACTCTTTCAGACTCGGAACTGGGCTGGCAGCATATTCGGACGGTCGAGTGGGAAGGTTGAGGTAAGTCGATGATAAAAGATGGATGTCTGGTCACAGATAAGACTTCGGTCAGCTTACAATTCCGGGTAATGATGATGAATGACAAGCGAGGTGATCGACTTACGATAGTCTCCCGAAGCGTTGCCAAGCTCCGCGCAGTGGAACAAGTTTGCATCCCGCCACAATTGCTCTCGCTCTTCGGGGCCATACTTAGTTGCCTCTTCAAACACGAGCTGTTCACCTTTCCGAAGAGATACCCCCTCTATCGTCACATCCTGCTTGGGTGAGTAGAAGGCCCGATGTTGCCCTCCGATAACATCGTAATCAGTCACCACTTCCCATTCAGAAGCCTTGAAGGCTTCATACCCTAAGACAGCATTTGCATGGACGAGTCCATTCTCATAGAACCTCTGGGTGATGCCTTTCGAATCATTATACGCTCTGTACACTTTGTCCGGGTCCGTGCATGCATCCAGCCCGATGATCATCAGATCGGATGGTCCGAGCAGCTTAGCAAAGCCAGAGAGGAACTCTGCCGCACCTGGACGGCTAAAGTTTCCAATGGATGACCCCATGGACATGACCACTGTTGGGCGCTGTCGGTTGTCTGGGTTGCTCAGCCAACCAAGAGCATCATCATAGGTTCCGTGGAGACCGTGGAAATCGACATGGGTGTAATCGTCAAGCGATACTTCCGCGAAGGTTCGCTGCAATTCAGATAGGGACAGATCTAGCGCGTAATAATCGACATGCTTTCCTGTGCGTTCGAACTCTTTGAGAAGAATCTCAATCTTCCGGAGATTTCTATATGAGTTTAGTTGGTAATCCGCGGCAATCACGGGTGAGGGATGCTTCTGGGGACTCCTTCGAGTCAGACATACCCACTGCCCAATTCCAGCAATTGTGCATTATCTGGAATCTGCTCCACGATTCTCTTCGAGTTATCCTTCAAAACCTCGATCTCGGCATTTGTCAGGTAGTACTCATCCACGTAGGTGATCTCCTCGAAGAGCTTGAGTCCCTGTGCATCATAGAGCAACATGGTTGGCAGGGATCGCCTCTGCCCCTCCGCGGGGTTCAGACCCTTGCGGATTTCGTTTACGAGGGAGTATTCCACGTCATTCTCATGTATATCGACAATGTCGACCTCTTTCGTAGGGAATGCCAAGGGAGACATGGTCTTGGTGTAGATGGGCTAAATCGGGGGCTCGATAGGAGGACAACAAGAAGAAAGAGAAAGAAGTCAGGAAGAAATGGTCTATTCGGGATATATCAGGTGTAGAATAGTGCCTATATGATATAGACAGGCCACGGTATGGGTTCAAGGGACAATTGCAGTGAGGGGTAATGGAGGGGAATGCATGAATAGACTCAATACACAACTCGAACAAAACCTGAAATCGAGAGTCACTGGAACAGGGGAGAAGAGCAGAAGGGGGGGGGGGAGAAAAGAAGAGAAAAGAGGAATGTGGAATCTCCTGATCCCTAAAATACGGTGATCTGTGAGGGAAAGAGAGCAGCTTCCTGGGCCAGGCTGTCAAGCTCCATTTCCGTCCTTCGAGTTGCTTTGAGAGGAGTGTAAGCATCTCGGAGATCCATCATCATATCCTGATCATGCTGGTAATTGAGAATACGATAGGCTGTTCCTGGTTTAATACACTTCAGGCTAGTCCAGAGGAAGCATGAGAGAAGAGAAGCCAGAGAGAAGCCAGAGAGACGAGGAGAAGAGCTGGATGAATGCAAACACCCCACACTATCCCTGGCATAGTGTCCCTAGTACGGAGCGGACGACTAAGCAGTAAGAACATGGATAATACCAAGACAGCCGCCAGAGGCGAAGATTGTGAGGTGGAATATGATAATATCAGATTGGATGTGGGATGTGGATCAATGAAGCCGTACACGATGACTGGGTGTGACGTCGACGCCAATATTGCTAATTTGCTACCCTTACTGTATGATATCCCACTCTGCAGGATTACTACAGACTGGATTTGATGCAAGTCAGAAGTTAGAGTGTGTTAGGTTGTTTCTTGCTATGTATATGGAGCACGGATCGGATGCTCCATACTCCATAGCTGAGTTCTGTCCGATCCGTAAGTGGAATCCTACTTCCTCAAGTCTCACACAAGTTACAACACCGCATGTGCATATGGTCAGGATTGGTTCTTGAGAAAGTGATTAGTGATTGATTACCTAGTAGTATCATGCTGCTACGGAACCATACTCCGTATTATTACTATTATTATTATTATTATTATTATTATTATTATTATTATTATTATTATTATTGCTATGATCCGAGCACGGACTGGAAGCTCCTCGGACCGGGATTTGGCGGACAAAAATGGTAATAATGATAATAACAATACTATTAATAATGCATGTCTGAACGTCCGAGTTTGCATCTGTTTGTGGTGTTTGTCGGTCTGACTTTCTTGTTTTGCTGGTTTGTCTGGTTTGCGTACTTTGCATATCTGTACTGTGTATATCCCTCACGAGTCACGAGTCACGAGTCACAATCTACCTAAGATCTACTAAAGGTACTAACTACTAATAGGTACTACTACTAACTGTTTGGAAAGAAGTCAAGATGTGGTTCGATTCTCTCGAAATGATTACGGAGTACAGAGTACTAATTTCCCAATTCTCAGATATCAGCGTGTTATCTCCTTACTTAGTGCACTAGTAGTAGTACCTATCAGCTACCCTGCACGGAGCACTATGTAGTCGTTACCGCACTAATAATGCTTCTAGTCGTCGTATTCATGTTCGAGTCCACATATAGAAACAATCGCGATGTCAGCATTCGAGAAAGTTCTTACTCAAACAGCCATTTCCATCTGGCCAGATAATAACATGCAGGATTGAAGACTACAGTGGCTGCAATCAGCCTCATCCTGTTGTGCTCTATCTATGGGATGATATGATCTCAACTCTCAGGTTTGTAGGTTAGATAGGTTTCATCCCACTATTACAGAATTTGTCTATGCTTGTTGCTCAATCAATGTGGTCAATGTCAATTGCATCCGATGTGTAGAACTTCATGGATGACTGGCTGTTCATCCTTGCCATAGCCTTCCTTCTATAAAGTGTTGAGCTCTGCAAAGCTTATATAAGTTCTTGTCTCTAAGGAATGTGCCACCCACACCGAGTCAGCGCCGAATAATATGGTCTAGTGGTATGATTCTTGTGTTGGGCTCTCCACCTGAATTGCAATTTGCAAGGACCCGTATCTCGAGCCCTCGTCTATGCTTGATGGTCCTTTCACCCCTTCAGGAATCTGTCAAGCTGTTATGCTGATGTTCGATCTGGAAGCGTCTTCAGGATCTCAGCTCAAAAAGAGTACATTAGTCCAGTGACCAGTCCCATATCTTTCCCGCCCGCCCTTATCAATCCGGCCGATCTTCTTCTGTACGGAGTAGACTGGGATAGTAGGCGGTGGGCCATCAAAAATTAATTTCTGCCGCATATCGCCGTAATTACTCTGCCAGCTTGTTGAGCAGGCGAGAAAGCCTCAGGCTACGAAAAAGTAAAGGACTCTGAGGAGTTGGGTTTCCTCGTATCTTTTGCTCCTAGCCCTTCTGTCCGCAATTGTCGGGTTTTCGGCCATCCGCACCCTCAGACACACCCTTAAATTGCAGATCACTGCAAGTTCCACCCCTCATGGACGATTCGGATCCCGTCATCGCATCCTACGATGTATACCTCACCGATTCCGAAATCTCTCGGTTCGTTCTTCAATATCTCGACCGATCAGCTGAACTCCCCTACGACGAGGGCCACGACCAAAAACCCACATCGTTCCGCTTAAAACCGAAGACCGGGCTCGTCGAGGTCGACGTGCCCATCCAAACGCGCGTGAACTACGATGTCAGTAAAGGCTTGCGGTATGGGGATGCCGTCAAGAGAAGCCGCAGCGCGCGGGAAGGGGGCGCATATGGGCTGGCTGGGGGGTTCAGCTCGGGCACCTCGAGCGGTGGCAAGGTGAAGATGGAGGGCGCTGGGGATGTCGAAATGGGCGGGATGGAGGGTAAGGACGGGTCGGATATCTTGCGGGTGCAGACGCTGGGAGGTCGGATTAAGGGTCCTGAGGATGGGGATCCGGTATACATGCTTGCTGCCTTCCGTGGACGTGAGTGGTCTCCCGCTTTTCTCCTTTCCGGAGGTGATATGCAATGACAATTGGGAAGGTTTGCTGACCTGGGGTTGTGGTTTACAGAAAATTTACATCTTTCGCCGGTTTCTGCAGTTGTTCAGATGCATCCGCAGCTCCACCATGTTGACGCGTTGGATGAGATACCTACCAAGGGGAGGGGGAAGGCCCGGAAGGAAGGTGAGGAAGAGCAGCAGACCGAAGCTCGTGCGATCGATGTGAAGGTCAAGGCCGCCGAAGATGCAGAGGCTGCCATGGTTGCGGGCAACCTGGAACTTCTCAAGAAAATGCAAGATGAGAAGTGGACTTCATATGAATGGGTGGATGCAGAGGTCGGTTCTCTCTTTGCTCTGTCTGTTATTCAGGGTTGCCTTACTGACATGTCCTCTTTTACACCAGACCGAAGAAGCTTGGGAAACATACGAGGGCTATATGATTCAGCAGGATATGGAGAATGTCCCGCAGCTCGAGGCTGCCATCGACAGCGAAGATTATCTTGACAAAATGAGCGCACCACGTATTGATCCAGCTCGACCCGAGATGACTGGTTGGGCGATGAAGCAGAATCGGAAGAGGCAGAAGGAGCAGTCTGGTGCCGTCGAGAATGACACACAAGGGTAATTTTTTTTCTTTCCCTTTTTAGACAGAGATCCCTGAATCAACGACGAATTGTCATGATGTCAATATCACTTTGTAGAACATAGACATGCCAATTGTACTTTGACCATGTTCTTCTGAACCGTGGAGGACCAGTGTATATATCATGCAATCCGTTGAGTATTATCGAAACCTTAGGAACCATGCCTTCAGTAACTGAACAGTGTCCACCACTCTCTTCTCTGAGTTCGACGTAAGTTCTCTCTATACAGGGTGCCTAGTAGTAACTTGCCTACCTATCCATAGTGTCTTCAAAGAAATACATCGAATTGAGCATTCATCCAACTAGTATTTGCCACCAGAAGGGTGATCTGACCAATCCGATAACCGTAGAAAACCGCTAGAAGATGGAGTCGCGTGATCTCACGTGCCTTATCAGACCGTTGACCAACCAAAGAGGGAATAGTAGTATTTTCTTTTCTCCGGGATCCGCGTTCCTGGACGCCGAGATCAGTTCAATTCTGCTGCATTGCAATTTTTCCATCCTCCTGTTTTCTCTCTCTCTCTCTTAGATCCTCCTTTCTGTCATTCTTCCTAATAATTTGTGGAGGGCTGCAGGACGGCTTATCAGTCTGGATTGCTCCTTCCGTCTGATAGACTCGCCTTCTACTGATATCCCTCGTTTTTCGTTTCGATCCTTTTTCCGCATCTAATGATTTCGAAGCGATAAACTTGCCACTAATCTTTTCTTCATTTCATCCTATCTCATTTTAATTCCGTTGCATTGTCTGTTTGTTAGCGGTGTTGTGCATCATGTTGTCTCGAGTCGCTCGTCAGAAGAATGCCATTCTCCTGCTGCGGCAGTCGCATGGGCATCGCGTCTTGCCCTCTTTGACAGCGTTGAGATTCCATGCTCATTCCAGCAGATCGGTATCACTAGCAAACTCGTCCGCCAATTCTTCACAGGAAAGATTCCGTCGACCCTCTTTTCAAGCCAACCGAACTCTCGCCACTGCCGCTGATCAATCCGCAATCGAGCAAGGGTCATATGTATCCTTCGACGACACCTCCTACGCACCCGAACATTACTACGACCCGTCACAGCAATGGTCTCATTTATTCCCCACGCTTCCTTCGCAAGAGCTCGACCCGTCGTCGCTGATCATCATGGGCGACTCCCTCCAAACAAAGCCTAAAGTACTTCGCAAAGTTAGAGGAATCGGCGGTGATGAGGATGAGATGCTGGCCAACCTGGACATCTCGTTGAAGGTCGGGAGGTTCGATCGAGCAGCGACGCTCGTTAACCGGCTGGGACAACATTACCCCATCGGTTCGCCTGAATATCTGGCACTTCACAATCGCTACCTTGAGAAAATGGTATCGCATATGATTGTGACAAGGCAGCAAAGTATGGTGCTGCCCATGCAAAGGTGGTTTGAGCTCGACATGCCGAATGGAGGTGTAAAACCTGACGCGACGACATACGCAATTATGATCCGTATGGCGCTGCGTATGCTTCATGGCTCAAAGCGGGACAGAGCAGTACGGCGCTACTGGCAGTTTGCCAAGAAGGATAATGTCGAAGAGGAGGTTCTGGCAGTTCCTGTTCTCTCAGAGTTAGAACTTGGAGAGCTCTCAGAGGTTTGTCTTTTGCTCTTCTTACCCTTGCTTTTCAAAGTGTCCGTTGCTAAAGTTGTCGTTTTACTAGATTTGCTCGTCGGATCTCCAGCGCGTTGCCATTGGCAGCATGGGATCTGAAACCGCACTCGATTCCACTGTGAGCCCGCAAGCTGATGTCATGGCTGATGTTAGACCTGTTGAGCAGAAGGGTCTCGGACTTTCATCGTTGAAGCAGTCCCTTTCTCTGTTTCTGAACGAATCCAGTTCTGCAATACCGACAGATCCGGAGCAGAAAGCGGTATACGATGAGCTCAGACAGCGACAACTGGAATCCGACTCGATTCGCTCGGCGATGGACCGATGGAGGCAAGAATTCGATGATAGACAGAAAATGGGACTTGATGTTACGGCTGGTGGGAAGAAACTGGGCTCAGTCATGAATCAGTGGCACTCTAGCCTCGTTGCTAGGATTAAGGAGGAGCTTGATCTCGTGGCTGAAGCCGAGGCCAACCCTATTCGAACCCGTGACCAGAAAGGGCGCTGCGAATATGGTGTATATCTACGAAGCCTTGATACGGACACCTTGGCTGCACTCACCATTCTCGCTGTCATGTCTACTTTCAGCAGGGGTGGTATGGAGAAGGGACTGAAGGTGTCCGCGGTTGTTTCAACAATTGGGAAAGATCTTCAGGATGAGTTGATCGCCGAGGCTGCCTTGAAGAAACAGGCTGGTGCCGATGCTCGACGAGCCAAAGCACTGAAAGAAATGCTTGCTCAGCGCAGGCAAAAGGATGGCCGGACACGGTGGCAAGCCATGGTCTACAAGATGCAGCAAGAGGATTCCACCATTGTGTGGCCACCGCGAGTGATTGCAAAGGTTGGAGCTGTGCTGATGAGCTTGTTGTTCGAAGTTGGCAAGGCACCGGTCACCATGGAGGATCCCGAAAACAAGAAGAAGATGGTTACAATGCAGCCTGCATTCCAGCATGCGTACCAGATCACATGGGGAAGACGCACAGGCTACCTTCACCTGCACCCAGCCATTGTCAAGATTATCGCCAAGGAGCCCACTGCTGATCTATTGGGTCGGCATCTCCCCATGGTCTGCAAGCCCCGGCCATGGAAGGGCTCAAAGGACGGAGGCTTTCTGCTGTACCAATCCGATCTTGTGCGTACGACACCTGGTGAGAGTCTCCAGCCTACATATATCAAGACCGCTTTGGAAAACAACGGTCTCGAGGAGATCCGTCGTGGTCTGGACAACCTTGGTAGCACTGGGTGGGTTGTCAATCGCGACGTCCTGAATGTCATGCTTGAGGCCTGGAATTCTGGAGAGGCAACTGCGAATATTGCGCCTTTGGAACCCGATCTGCCCCTTCCGCCCAAGCCGGCTCCGGAAGCGGGATATGAGGCGGAGAAGGAGTGGGATGTGCTGGTTCGTGATATTGAAAACAGGAGATCCGGGTTGCACTCGATGCGTTGTTTCCAAAACTTCCAAATGGAACTCGCTCGTGCTTACAGGAATTCAACCTTCTACCTCCCTCACAACATGGACTTCCGTGGCCGTGCTTATCCCCTTCCACCGTACCTCAACCAGATGGGTGCGGACAACTCTAGAGGCCTTCTCCTCTTCAGTGAGGCCAAGCCGCTGGGTGCCAGCGGTCTCAAATGGCTGAAGATCCAGATTGCCAACCTGTCTGGTTTTGACAAGGCCAGCCTTTCTGAGCGCGAGCAGTTCGCTATGGATCATCTGGACGATGTGCTCGACTCGGCCGACAAGGGTCTTCATGGAAAACGCTGGTGGCTCAAGGCAGAAGATCCCTGGCAGTGTCTGGCTGCTTGCTGTGAACTGAGAAACGCTCTTCGTCACCCCGACCCCACTCAGTATCCTTCCCGCCTTCCCATTCATCAGGACGGTTCTTGTAACGGATTGCAGCATTATGCAGCGCTTGGAGGAGATAGCATTGGTGCTCAGCAGGTCAACCTCGAACCCTCTGACCGCCCATCCGATGTCTACACTGGTGTTGCCGAATTCGTCAAGAAGGCGGTTGCACGCGATGCTGCTCAAGGCAATTCCACCGCCAAGATCCTTGAGGGAAAAATCACGAGAAAGATCGTCAAGCAGACGGTCATGACTAACGTCTACGGTGTCACCTTTATGGGCGCTATGAGACAAGTTCGTAAGCAGCTGATCGACCACTATCCGGAGCTGTCTTACGAAGATAAGAAGCAAGGTGCTCTGTACATTGCTCGCAAGATTTTCGAGGCGCTGGGCTCGATGTTTAATGGTGCACACGAGATCCAGCATTGGCTCGGAGACTGCGCAAGTCGTATTACCACATCCCTGGCGCCGGAGCAGATTGAACAAATCGCGAAGGATGCCCTTACACCTTCCAAGGAAACCACAACTACCAAGGTCAAGGATCCTTCCGAGAAGTTCAGATCCACCGTTATCTGGACCACCCCTCTTGGGTTGCCTGTCGTGCAGCCTTATCGTGTCCGGAAGGCTCGGCGCATTCAGACCACCCTCCAAGATCTCAGTATCGTCGACACCAACTCCGAGGACGTCGTCTCCAAGCGCAAGCAGCTGCAGGCTTTCCCACCCAATTTCATCCATTCCCTCGACGCAACGCACATGATTCTGTCTGCCAATGCTTGCAGCCGGGCTGGTTTGACTTTCTCGGCGGTTCACGATTCGTTCTGGACGCATGCTTGTGATGTCGATTTGATGAATGACATTCTCCGGGAGGCATTCGTTCGGATGCACTCGGACGACATTATCAAGCGACTTGCCTCCGAATTCCAAGTCCGTTACGGCCAGAACCTGTTCCTTGCGAAGGTCGATGTCGGCACGAAGATCGGGCGAGCAATCCGGTCCCTGCGGAGAACCGAGAAGAAGAGAGCCGGCAAGCTGCAGGAGCTCCTGGAGGAGTACAAACGGCAACAGCTTTTGAGATCGGATGATCCAGAGCTGCAAGCGCAAGGACGCGCCATGGTCACTGCGTGCAGTGTATTCGAGAAGCTTGGTGGTACCGACGAAGATCTGGCAATTGCGAGCACCCTCGGTGAGGCCGCCGTCGGACATATCCCGGAGGATCTGGCTGCGGCGGAGCGGAAGATGCCGGGTCTGGGCATCGACACATCGGACCCAGCGATCGAGTCACTGTTTTCGGATTTCCAGGACCTGGAGCCGAAGACCGGCGAGACGGACAAGGCCCCTGCCGCCGAGCTCGACGACGAGGCCATGGATGCCCAGGATGGCGCTGCGAAGAAGAAGCCGGCGCGAAACTACGTGTGGCTCTGGCTTCCCCTGCGGTTCCGTGAGGTTCCTACCAAGGGCGCCTGGGATCTGACTCGCATTCGGGACAGCAAGTACTTCTTCTCGTAAGCCATCGGATTGAGCTCGAAGGGCTGCCAGGATTGATTCCCGCATTACGGAGTAACTCGGTCGCGGTGTTTATTTACTGTATTCTTTTGGGATGGGTGGCACAACAATCGCCCCAGCGCGGGATTCGAGAAGGTTAATCTCTCCATCGCTTCTTTGGCGGTGCTCTTTTCTTTTCTTTTCTTTTTTTTCTGTTTCTGATTTGCCCCTGCATATCTTGAAATTTGGCCTTGTTCGGTTGTGATATCCCGATGTATATTAATGTGTTGGCTTCCAGTTCTCCTCTTCGTGTATCATTTTTCTTTTTGGGATGTTTTGCACTTCTTTCTCTACGAGGCGGCATTATGACGGCATCATGTACAGTATGATATAAAAAGCCATGTATATACATATAAATATTTTTTTTCCCCTCCTTTTTTTTGCCTCTTATCCATTCAATGACTTGCCATCGAGGTCATACTCTGGGGATGCTGCTGTGCGTCCAGCCTTGGCAGGGCCGGGGCTATTTAGGCAGAATGCAACCGCCACCATCTCTCTGAGTCCGGCCTGGGTTTGATTGGAGTGGTGATGTCTCCTTTATATGTTGGCTAGTCCGAGCTCATCTCCGTGGACTGGGATCCGGAACAAACGAGAGCGTCCAGATCATCTGGTGGGATCATGAGCCTTATTCGCGAGGCTGTGTAGAGGCAGTCCTTTCGATAGTATGATCCGGATACTCTCCTCAAGCCGACCAAGCGGGTCTACATACACAAACACACACTATCGACAGAGAACCCCGTTGCACACACAGAATGAGTCGAAAGAAGCCGTTGACCCGCGTCCAACGTCGATCTGTACGGGGTATAGTGGAGGGGCGCTCGCTCGCTCCCCGATTGAGTTTACGGGACAAGGGGGGAAACCATGCGCCAGATCGGAAATCGCATCAGGCAATATAGTCTGTCTTCTTCTACTCTGTAGACGTAGACCAAGGGCGTCTGATCTGGGGATGGTGAGGACGGTGGTTTGATTTATGTAGGTCGAGGGTGTCGACTGTCGTGTCCTTGACTCCTTGACTCCTTCGTCTTGGCAGAACTGGGGTTATTTAGGCAAAATACAACCGCCACCTCACCTGTGGGTTTCCTGGCGGTACGGCACTTTTTGCATCATGCATGTGCCTGATGGGTTAGCTGTTGAGGATTGGAATGTGGAAAGCATAATTCGATTTTGGGGGGGGAAAGTAAGATGAATGACAAAATGGAGGGGCAAGCCTATGGCTCGAGCGAGTCGCGAAGAGATTAATTATTAGAATTCTTTGACTTGGAGGAGGCGCTGGTCGTGGCTTCTCGAGGAGACGACGAAGTATCTACCTACTCCATCCCTGGTATTTAGGACCCAGGAAGGGTAAAGGAACTGCGCAGACCTCGATGCTCTGTATAGATTGAGTACATAGTAAGTAGCCCAGTCACCACCAAATCCATGGTACTTCATGGTTCACTGACTTCACTCTGCCTCGGCGATGAAAAGACAAGCCTAGTTGGCAAGTTGGCTTTCGAGGGGAAAAAAAAAAAAAAAAAAAAAAAATCTGTTTGATGGCGTATACTAAAGCTATGGCGTAATGATGGACTGATGGATGATGGATGTTCTCCTCCGTCTGGATAATGAGTTACCCGCGGTCTTGTTATGCACGGAAGACCCCGTTCGCTTAACTGACTAGTGCCCTATCGGTTGTACGTAGTTGGTAAAGGGCAAGATTTCTTGGGGGTTGGTAGTGGTACTTGGTGGCCACTGGCCAGAATGGTGAAACGGGCTTGCAGGGGACTTTTTCTTTTTTTTTTTTTTTTCTTTTCTGTCGAGGCCGACTGTCTCGACGATTATTGATTAAGACCCCAGGGCCCTACCGTAGTAAGTTTCTGGCAGGGTTCTCCGGACAGCAGGGTCTTCTGTTCTGATCTGCTCGAGCGATTGACAGGGGACATTCCAATTACAGAGTAGGTGCCTCGGCCTCGTAAGCGAAAGTCTGGAGAATACACAGGCGGTCTGGATGGACGCCCTTTTGAACACTCAGCTGCTGGATTGGGGTTAGCTCTACGGAAGGGGACTGTGGTGCTTGGGACGTTTGGACTGACCCGGGGGAACCTGAAGGACTCAAAATGCTGACTGATTCCTACCGAGTTGATAGACTTGGAATCGGGAGTCCTGGCTCATTTCCTCCTCATCCTTCGGGCCAGCCCCCATCTCTCTCTTTCTGCGCTCTGATCGCCCGATACAAAAGTTCGTTGACCGGGAACGCTTGGGGAAGAATCCGGGTTACGGAGTCCTGGGCTCAGAGGGGCTAGGTCTTGGACCTTTAGGCTTTTGAGCTTTTGGCTGTTGAAGTAGTGTAATCATCTCCTCCGAGTTTGCGTGGAATAATATACGAAGTAAATCAATATTTCCTCTGTGATGATCTGAGAGGAAAATTAGAATCTCAATGTGACGATCCGGATGACCGTCCGGTCCCATTGACCACAGGACCATAAAATACTATCTCTGGTAGACTAGATGAAATTTTTTTTTTTTTTTGTATCTACTGACTACTCACTAGTCACTACTGTCTCTGGCTTCCCCGCCTTTTAGTTTAGTTGGAAAGTTTTTCCTTCTGGCCGGTGTGGTTAGTTCACTAGTATCAGTATAACGAGTAGTGAAGCCTTGAGATTCTCTAGGTACTTTACTACTTACTATAAGAGACTACTACTACTACTACTACTAGACTAGCTGTCTCCGGATCTTCAGCTTTCCCTCCTCTTTCAAGTGTCTCTCTGTACTCTCTAATTCTCGTTTCATGACTATCATCCTAGCACTACTAACGCCTCATATGGATACGGAATCATAGTGATAGGCCCGAACTCCACGTTCCTTTTCCCCCACTGCCGAACACTCCAAGTCCTCTTTTTTTCTTTTTTTCTTTTTTCTTTTTCTTTCAATTCTTTTGATTGAGTAACTAGAAGTTAGTACTGTAGTAGATAGACAGTCCGAAAGAAGAGAGAGAGAGACAGAGAAACAGGAAAACAGAGACCACCAAACTTGGTTACTCATAGTCCATACTCGATTCGTCGCTATCCCCAGTTTTCCATCCCAGACTTCTCTCTCTCTCTTTCTTTCTCTCTACTCTCTCTCTTCTCTCTCTCTACTCCTAGGCCAACCTCTTTTGCTCGCTGGTCTTTCGGCATTGATTGGATCATACACAGTAATCATCCTGAGCCCTTGATTATCTCGACTACTACTCTTACTCCATTTTCTCCATCTACCTCCTTCCTTTCCCCGCGCGACTTTCTTCATCTTCACCAACTAACTACCCGACACATCATCTATCCTGTCGGCTTATTCGAGGCCAGTCTGCCTGCTCTAGTTCAAGTTATCAAATATAGAGGTGATCTTGCCGATCGACCTTTCAAAAAAAAAAAAGATCTCCCCAGTTCTTTAACAGCCATCACGCTATTTTCCGTTCCCCGTCCACGACGTTTGGGGCCTTTGGGGCCCTTAAATTTCTCCACATCTCCCCCGGTTGGCTGCGCCCTCTCACTTCCACTCTCTCACTTTCTCCCTCCCTCTGTCTCTATCTCAGTCTCAGTCTCGGTCTCGGTCTCGGCTTGCTTCATGTCTGGGTAGGTTTGTCGCTTTCTCGCTTCTCCCCTCCCCTTCTCGTGAGGATGTCAACTACCTCAGTCCAACATTTCGCCCCTTCCTATCCTCCTTTCTCTTCCGGATTATCTTCGAATCGAATGGCACAGTCTCAGACCCCCGGGCTTGATACCCTGGCCGAGGGCTCACAGTATGCGCTTGAGCAGCTGCAGCTGTCGCGAGAAGCTGCAGCCGGTGATACAACAGCTACTGCAGCGAGTGGCCCAAGCGACCCCATGAGCAAATCCAAGGATCCATATGATTTCGATCATCATAATCATAATCATCATAATCATCATAATAATAACCACCACCCCAACAGCAATAGCAACAACTCCCTCCCCGGCTTCAAGAATCCAGCGCAACGCGATCCTCTCGCCGAGGCTCGTTCCGCCATCCGTAAAAACTCCTCCTCGGCTCCCGTCCGACGAAGGATCAGTCGCGCCTGCGATCAGTGCAATCAGCTGCGCACTCGATGCGACGGCCAGAACCCGTGCGCTCATTGCATCGGTATTTCCCAAACACACTTTTCCTCCTCAGTCGTACTGACCTTGAACACAGAATTCGGATTGACGTGCGAATACGCTCGAGAACGTAAAAAGCGGGGAAAGGCTTCCAAGAAGGACCTCGCTGCTGCTGCTGCTGCCGCCACCGCGACCCCAGGCCAGCCGAACGAGAACCCGGGCAAGGACAGCGGTACAATGGTCGGAGGACACTCGCCTCCGGATCGGCGACAGGAGCTCAACGGGCGATACGACCCGGCTTTCGACGCTGCTCGCAATTTGTCGGGGTCGGCGCAACCCCAGCTTCCCCACGCGGAGGGCCCAGGCATGGTCGGGATGCCGAACACTCAACATCTGCCATCTCCTTCTCAACCGCCCATGGGCGGTGGTCTTGAGGGGTTGCCGATGAACGGCTATAATGGTCTGAATGATTCGAATCGGCCCCCAATACCTGTCTCGGAGCTCCAGTCCCTGCACATGCTGCATTCCTCGAACCCGCATCCTCGATCTCCACCATCGATTCTCCCTTCCCAGCGATACAACGGTGGCTACAATGAAAATGCGTACTCTCTGATGAACCCACAGGAGCACAACCCCACCCCAATGAATCAATTTCGACTCGGCAACTCGACAGAGAATCCGCCGAATACGTTCCTCGGGCTTTCCCCGCCAGCACAGTCACCTGGCTGGTTGCCCCTCCCTTCTCCATCTCCTGCAAACTTTCCTTCTTTCAGCATGGCTTCGTTTTCGACAACGTTGAGATACCCCGTCCTGCATCCCGTTTTGCCTCACATCGCGTCCATCATTCCCCAGTCTCTCGCCTGCGATCTTCTGGACGTCTACTTCACCAGCTCCTCATCGTCTCACCTCTCCCCACAATCGCCGTATGTGGTCGGCTACATCTTCCGCAAACAGTCCTTCCTTCATCCGACGAAACCCAGAGCGTGTAGCCCCGGCTTGCTGGCCAGTATGCTCTGGGTCGCCGCGCAGACCAGCGACGCGCCCTTCCTCACATCTCCCCCCTCGGCACGCGGCCGGGTCTGCCAGAAGCTGCTGGAGCTGACCGTAGGTTTGCTGCGGCCGCTCATCCACGGCCCAGCGCCCGGGGAAACCTCCCCCAACTATGCCGCAAATATGGTCATTAACGGTATCGCGCTCGGTGGCTTTGGTGTCTCAATGGACCAATTGGGAGCACAGAGCAGCGCAACGGGAGCCGTCGACGATGTCGCCACATATGTTCACCTGGCAACGGTGATCTCGGCCAGCGAATACAAAGCAGCCAGCATGCGCTGGTGGACTGCGGCATGGTCGCTAGCACGAGAATTAAAACTCGGCCGCGAACTGCCGCCGAATACTTCTCAGACCCGGCAGGATGGGGAGCGAGAGAACGATCCGGATGCTGATCCATCCAACCGCCATTCCCCATCGCTTATCACGGCGATGGGGCACGGGCCTGGCAACACTGTGATCAACGTTACCGAAGATGAGCGGGAGGAGCGTCGACGCCTCTGGTGGTTACTTTATGCGACGGACCGCCATTTGGCGCTCTGCTATAATCGGCCCCTAACACTGCTGGATAAGGAATGCAACGGGCTTCTGCAACCGATGAATGACGATCTGTGGCAGGCCAGTGATTTTGCGAGCGCTAGCTACCGCCAGGCGGGCCCTCCGTTGGAGTGTTCGGGCCACAGCATGTTCGGATACTTCCTGCCATTGATGACAATTCTCGGCGAGATTATCGACCTGCAGCAGGCGCGGAATCATCCTCGCTTCGGCCTTGCCTTCAGGGGTAGTCCCGAATGCGATGCTCAGGTCCTAGAGATTGCGCGCCAGCTTGATCTCTACGCACAGACGTTAAAGGAATTTGAGACGCGGTATACGAGCGGTCTGGCGCTCGGTGCAGCCGACAATGATACCGCCATGGAAGGATCCCATCTCAACCACGTCAGCCCCTCTGGTCGATCCAGCAGCACTGTTGATTCGCGCGTGAACGAGTCGATTGTGCACACCAAGATGGTGGTGGCCTACGGAACCCATATCATGCACGTGCTCCACATTCTCCTAGCGGGTAAATGGGATCCCATCAACCTACTAGACGACAATGACCTTTGGATCTCTTCCGAATCCTTCATCGCGGCCATGGGACACGCGGTTGGCGCTGCCGAGGCCGCTGCGGATATTCTGGAATACGATCCAGATCTCAGCTTTATGCCATTCTTCTTTGGGATCTACCTCCTGCAGGGTAGTTTCCTGCTTCTCTTGACGGCCGACAAGCTGCAGGGCGACGCCAGTCCCAGTGTGGTGCGGGCATGCGAGACCATTGTCCGCGCCCATGAAGCTTGCGTCGTAACACTCAACACGGAATATCAGGTAGGTTATCTTTCCTTCGTCTCGGACCTTTGCTGAATCTCACCCATTGCTAATGCTCCCCACAGAGAACGTTCCGCAAAGTCATGCGTTCGGCTCTCGCGCAGGTTCGTGGGCGCCTTCCCGAGGACTTTGGCGAACAGCAGCAACGCAGACGGGAAGTACTCGCTCTCTACCGCTGGACCGGGGACGGCAGTGGTCTCGCGCTTTGACCATGAACCATTCGTACATATGGTTCCGGTGCTTCGGCTCTATTTTTTTTGTTTCGAAATTTGTTTTGATATCCATGCGTACAGTAGTCAACAGTGACGAAGTGATGCGATACCATGAAATTATTTATCATTGGGACATGGCCCAAGTGGCCAGAAGATTTGGGAGTTCAAGGGAAGCGACAAGAACCGGATTAAGGGTTTCTTCATATCATTTTATACCTCGTTTTCTATATGCTTTTGACTCTCTTAGTTCTTTTATTTGCCCTTTTTCTTCGCTTTTTCTTTTCTCGTTAGTTTGGATTTGATCCGTCATGATCAGCGTTGAGCTGTTGGCTTTTTTTTTTTTCTCTCCCGGCTCCCGGTGGAAGAAGCGGCTGGCTTCAAAGGGGCTGTTGATGAAATCAGAGGGCTTTGCTCTGATGAGTATATTCTCTTTCATTTTGCTTTCTGTCGATGGTTGTTCATATCTTCCTGTACACTACCATGCTCAGTTGAGTTGTTGCAGACCCCCATACCCTGAACATACGAATGCCTGCAGCCATTGCCAGGTTATTGATCATCTGCAGTCGGCCATAGTACATATTCATGAATCATTACACTCAGATATCTGGTTATAAGAACCATGATAGATCGCTCTATTCCAGGATGTTAACAAACTCCTGAAGCCTCCCACAAACCAGTCTTCTGTGATGAGATAAGCGGCTTATCGATAAGCCTTCTATCCTTCCGCCGAGGTACGATCGTAATCTCCATCTTCCCTTCATCTATCTCTCGGACTAGATAGATCCAAAAGGCTCTTTCTTGATCCTGAGTCTTTCAGGCTTACGCTCCCCGACGAAATGGACGATCCAATATAAGAGTGGCTTACACGATGAGTAGCTTCAGCAGATCAATTCGACCCTTGATCACCCATCACTGCCGCCACCACCGACCCCTGTCCCCTGTCATCCTGAAGCGGTTTCTGGGCATCCCCCCGCAGTTCCTTCTAGACGACTACATCCCGCGATGCCAACTTCTTTCGTCTGTCGACGCAGCGAAGAAACGCTCCCTCGCCTACTACCATCTCCGGAATTGCAATCTCTGCCCGCGCCGGTGTGGTGTCGACCGGTACAGAGAGACGGGGGTATGCCTGATTGGCGCCGAAACCGTCAAAGTCAATGTGATTGCGCCGCACCGCGGGGAGGAGCCGTGTATACAGGGATACCACGGGAGCGGCTCGGTGTTTTTCTCCGGGTGTAATCTGCGGTGTGTGTTTTGTCAGAACCATGTATGTTGTACTATCTTGATAGTGTGTGCGTGCGTTTTAAGCGTCGCTGACCTCATTTTCCTGTCTAGGATATCGCTCATCAGAGGAATGGCTTCGACTTGACACCCGAGGAGCTGGCAGAATGGTATATCAAGCTCCAGCAGGTGGGGAACGTGCATAACATCAACCTCGTCACGCCGGAACATGTGGTGCCCCAGGTGGCTCTTTCGATCTTAACGGCTAGGGACATGGGGTTGAAGATCCCGATCATCTACAATACCTCGTCATTTGACTCGCTCGAGTCGCTGGCGCTCATGGATGGTTTGGTGGATATCTACCTACCCGACTTCAAGGTGTGGAAGAGCAGCACGTCGCGACGGCTGCTCAAGGCGGACGACTACGCGGAAACCGCCAGGGAGAGCATCAAGGAGATGCACCGGCAGGTCGGAGACTTGTCTTTTACGTCTGATGGGATTGCGAAGAAGGGAGTCCTCCTGCGGCATCTGGTCATGCCGGGAAAGGAGGACGAGGGCCGTGAGATCATGCGCTGGCTTGCGGAGAATGTCTCGCAGGACCTCTACGTGCACATCATGGAGCAGTATCATCCCGATGCGCATGTCGGGAAGACGAAGAGGAAGCGCGCTACGCGGCATGCAGAGGGAGAGGAGGGCGGAGAGCCAGAGGTCCGCTATGCGGAGATCAACCGGGCGGTGCGAGATGAGGAGCTGAGCTCGGTCAAGGATGCCGCAGTCGCGGCTGGTCTCTGGCGGTTCTGTGAGGTCAATGAACAGGGGGGCTTCCATCTTTGAGGCAACTTGGCCTTTTTGTCAGTGTGCTTCCACAGTGGACGTCAAGATGTCAACCGTCTGGCTCCATTGTGGTCGTTAGGCACTATTTAGCCGGGTTTAACCAGGCTGGGACAGCGAGACTGCCCGAGTCAGTCATTCCGGCTAATCAGTTGCGCCATCCTAAGGCTTGGATGGAGATCCCGCGAACAGATCATGGATGAAATGGACTAGTTTCAGGAGTAGACTGACTATTTCATGCGAGGCATTTTGGAAGGTACATATCTAGTGGATGGTTATTAGCCTTGCGATCGCCAGGTGTTTACTGTTTATCCGTGGGACACTTGGAGATGGTGCTTCGACTCCGACATTATCTGGGGTTCATCTAGTATGAAGTCAACGCTGGGATTACTTATTGTGTCCATACATAAATATAATTCAAATTAGCTTATATACTCCGTCGTCCGTAGTCCGTACAGAATTGCATGACTTGGTTCACTAATCATGTAGTGGTGAATACGAAGTCACCGCCAACTGGCGACTGGCAGTAGTTGTTTGCATGACGACGCCAGCTGACTGTATATAATCTGACAGCTCAATCAAGACCTTATTTTTTTGGTCTTTCTCCCTTCTCACACTCCACAAAGATGCTTATGACCCTACCACCCATGACCAGAATCTAGCATTACCTCCTCCTCCTCCTCCGTCTTCTTCATCTCAACCATGAAACCCATCATCGCCGTCCCCGCCATCCTGGCGCTCGTCCACCGCGCCTGGTCCCGCAAGTCCCTCACCCCCCTCGGCATCATCGTCGCAGCCTTGACGGCCATTGCACACGCAGTCCACCCCTGGTCTGCGCCGTTTCTCTTGCTCGTCGTCTTCTACCTGGGCGGGACAAAGGTTACCAAGGTCGGTCGTCCTTCCCCAGAGCCAGAATCTACCGCTTTTTTCTACTTTCCACGAGCCTCGTACTGCTTGCTATCTTTCCCCTTGCTAATACTTCTCTCCACAAAAAAAAAACAGGTTAAACACAACATCAAAGCCCACCTCACCCTCTCCGCCACCGGCGCCGAAGGCGGCGAGGGCCAACGAACCCACATCCAGGTCCTGGCGAACTCGCTCGTCGCGACCGTGCTGATCCTCGCACACGCACGCGCCCTCGTCGTCTCGGACCCGGCCTCCACCACCACCAGCGAACCCTGTTTTTCGATCCCGGGCCGTGCGGCCGACGTCTTGGTCGTGGGGATCGTAGCGTATGTGTCCCACCCTGCCCCCCGGGTTCCCTAACATTTCTTGACTCCCGACAGTAACTGACAAGCGCATGCGATGGGGGGGTTAGCAACTACGCCGCCGTCGCCGCCGACACCTTCTCCTCGGAACTGGGCATCCTCTCACGCTCGAAACCCCGCCTCATCACCTCGCCGACACTACGCGTCGTCCCGCCCGGCACGAACGGCGGCGTCACCGCCGCGGGGCTCGCCGCCGGCGTGCTGGGCGCGTTCACCGTCGCCGTGGCGTCTGCGCTGGCGCTGCCGTTCTGCTTCTCCGCCGCGGGGGGCAATGCGTATGCGCTGTCGGTGCGGGCGGGCTGGGTCCTGCTTGTGACCGTCTGGGGGTCCCTGGGGAGTGTGCTGGATAGTATCCTCGGCGGGTTGCTGCAGGCGAGTGTGGTTGACAAGCGTACGGGGAAGATTGTGGAAGGGACGGGCGGGAAGAAGGTATGTATCTTTTCCCTATTTGAGGTTTGGAGGATGCTGATGGAGTCCATTGTAGGTTCTCGTTCATCCCTCGGCCACTGCGCCTGGCGGCACCGCGGACGTCTCGGGCTTCGCCCATCGGGACGCTGGGAGTGTGCATCTTCGGAATACCGAGGAGGCAGCGAACGCGGCGGCGCTGAAGGGCACCCGGGCTACGGGGACTTCGGGGGGAGCGTCGCCGGGCCGCACGACCGAGGGTCATCATGAGAGCCGCCGTGTTGAGAGCGGGTGGGATATACTGGATAACAATGCTGTGAATCTGCTGATGGCAGCGCTAATGAGCGTGGGCGGGATGGGTGTTGCGTGCTGGGCTTGGGAGGTTTCGGCCTGTGAGGTTGGGCGTTTGTTGTGGCCGTTCTAGACGGTTCGCCAGTACATTTATTATCAAGTTGTTTGCCATGATATATACAGTGATCAAGCGCCAGACAGTCTTGGGCTCTGGGCACAACAAGCAGCATTCACAGCGCGGATATCTACAATCTACATAGTCTCCCTCTTGATAAGCAAAGTGGATCCCGCCACCACCAACCTCGGCGGGGAAGCTCCATCCGATGGCGATAACGTGACACTGACAGCACTCCCCCCTCCATAGATATCTCGCCTCATCTACGAGAAAAGAAACACTCATCTCACAAAGCCAGTTCCTCTTCCCTTCTTCCCTCCTCCACACTCCTTCCATCTCTCTCGCTATCGCTGAAAAAACTACTCAAAATGTCCGCCGAAACGATCACCACCATCTCCCCCTCCACCAACCGCCCGATCATCACCCGGACCGGCGTCTCCACCGACGAAATCAAGCACATCCCCGCTCTCGCCCAGGACGCGTACCGGTCCTTCTCGCAGTCCACGACCCTCAAGCAGCGCCAGGAGATCGTGGCCCGCGCGCTCGACATCCTCGAGAAGAAGAAGGATGCGCTCGCGCGCGAGCTGACGGAGCAGATGGGCCGGCCCATCGCCTACACCGGGGTGGAGATCGCGACGGCCGTGAAGCGCAGCCATTACTTGACCAAGATTAGTTCGGGGATCCTGGGCGATGAGGGCGTTGTCCCTGGAGAGGAGGAGAAGGGGTTCAAGCGGTTTATCAAGCGGAAGCCTGTGGGTGTGGTGTTGATAATCTTTGCGTGGAATGTATGTTGCTCTTCTTTTGAATATACCCCCCTGTCCAGGTGAAGATTTGAGAGGGCTGGATGGACTGATTATCTGGGAAAACTTTAGTATCCCTACCTCGTTCTCGTCAACAGCCTGATCCCAGCCATTCTGGCCGGCAACGCCGTGATTTTGAAACCCTCGCCTCAGACCCCCACGGTCGCGGAGCAGGTCGCCGGTGCGTTCGCGGAGGCGGGGCTTCCCGAGAACGTGCTCCAGTATGTCCACTGCGGATCACCCGAGATCCTCGAGACCATCATCCGCTCACCTGATGTCAATCATATCTGTTTCACGGGCTCGGTGGCCGGAGGATTGGCGGTCCAGAAAGCCGCTTCGGATCGGATCGTCAACGTCGGGCTGGAGCTTGGTGGCAAGGACCCGGCCTATGTTCGGGACGATGTCGATGTCGCATGGGCGGCAGAGGAGATCGTCGACGGCGCTATCTTCAACAGCGGCCAGAGCTGCTGCGCGATCGAGCGGGTCTACGTGCACAAAAACATCTACGACAGCTTCGTGGACGAGGTCAAGAAGGTCTTGAGCAAGTACCGCGTCGGCAACCCGACCGATAAGAACACGCAGATCGGGCCGGTCATTTCGACGCGCGCGAAAGAGATGATCCTGGCACACATCGCGGATGCGGTCGAGAAGGGCGCGAAGGATGAAAACCCCGCCAATGAGACGTTCGACAATCTCCCCGAGAATGGCAATTACGTCAAGCCCACCCTGTTGATAGGCGCCAACCACAACATGCGTGTGATGACAGAAGAAACCTTTGGCCCCGTGATTCCCGTGATGAAGGTGGAGAGTGACGAGGAAGCTATCAAGCTCATGAACGACAGCGAGTTCGGCCTCACCGCAAGTATCTGGACCAAAGACGTTGCCAAGGCGGAGGATCTCATCGAACAAGTAGAGGCTGGCACCGTCTTCATTAACAGATCCGATTTCCCGAGCCCGGTAAGTACTCCCCTGGTTTGCGCGAGTCGATCTATTCTTCAAGATAAGGCTAACAGCTTGGTAGGATCTCGCCTGGACTGGTTGGAAGAATTCAGGACGCGGCGTCACCCTGAGCAAGTTCGGATTCGAGCAGTTTGTGAAGCTCAAGAGCTACCACGTCAAGGATTACCCCAAATAGATGACTTAGATGACTTCATAGATACCTTGATTCTCAACCGTTTCATCCTTGATTGATTGATTCTGTGTAGCCTATTGGCGAAAGTATCGAGATAGAGGCAGGTAATAATGACATCGGTGGACGTCCTTCCAATCCATGAGGGATGAAGAATTCCTGATCGGTGCAAATCCAAATTTCGCAAGGCATGTCCGCCTCTTTATCTCCTTTCCAGAGGCAAGCAAGGACACCGGTCTATCAGCGCCCAAGGGGAGGGAGAGAGGGAGCATGCCGGACGAGAAACGTCACACGAGCCTAAACACCTTCCGCAATTTCTGCTCATAGCATGCCAGTCATTTCAGTTTAGAGGCCACTGACAAATATAACTTCAGAGTTCTGGCAGAATGGGAGCAAAGGAGTCTGGACAGGTGCAACAGCTACCAGGCAGCCACGGCATTCAGGGCAGCTGTATGGAGTAGTATCTGTATGGATAGTGTCATCGTAGTAGCCATTCTAGACCCGGATCATCTCCACCATAAACGCCTGGTGCAATCTCCCGAATCTTCCAAGAATGGCACCCAAAGGGAAGGGGGGTCCCAACTAGGCTCGATAGTCTCTTTCAAGCAAGAGTTATCCCAGCCCGCCGTTCTGGATCGATTGCTGAATGCCGACACTTGCCTTCTTCAGACTTCATCCCATCGAAGGGCAGATAATCCGACTCATAGCTAATCGAACATCAGAATTGGTCGATTAGATGGGGGCAGGAATGCTGATGGGGGGCGCGATGTGGTGGATTTCGACGCAAGGGGAGATAGGTACATTCGTGGGCGCGACTCGTTCCTCGTTCTCCCTTTTTTTAATCGTATCGCGCATACGCCATTTTCAGCACGTTCAGTAGGGGAAAGGAGAATTAGTGAGGTTGCTCCAGTCGTTGGCTAGATTTTAAACTCGGCCAATCCTTAAGCGTGGTGCATGTGGAGGCGGAGGAGAAATTGACAAAGGAATGTTGGTCGTGATGGCGGCATCAGCAAGCCAGATAGCTGATTGACAGACAGACATCCTGGCATGGAGATGCATTCATGGAGTATCTGCAAGACAAGACTGAATGACTGCTGGATAATTGGGAGTTTGCTGTCCTAGAGCTTAACGAGCGAAGCATAGAACAACTGATCTCAAGCGGTTGGGTAATTCTGGAATACTGGACGGGTTATGCCCCCATCAAGGGACACATCTGCCTCTGTCGCTTTCCGAGACATGCAGGGCCCTGGTTTGGAACGAGTCGATTTGAAGCTTACCAGGAACCCAATGGCCCCAGCAAATCAATAAAAATTCCCAACAGCGCGGTCTGCCCAAGAATCTAGGCACGAGGCTTGCTGCAGGTGTCGAGCCCGTTGACCAAACGCGGCACACCGTGGCTGTCACTGCATTATCGCTCCAGTTTCAAGGAGCCAATTATCACGGCGGTAGTATGTAAGGCTAGGCAGCTCCTGTGCCCTGCATGCCCATCACAAATTGACGAGACCCGAGAGTGGAACTGCTTGTGGAAAGGAGAGGTTCAGAACGCGCCGAGGAAAATCCCACAGGATTCTTCGGGCCATCCTATTGGGACAAGTCACCCAGGAAAAAAACACAGCAATTGCTGCGAGGGACAGCTGTGAACGGAATGTGTCACAACACGTATGCTGGAGTCTTGGACTCGAGGCTATTGAATTGTTTCTGCGTGCCACAGAGATAACCGATCAGCTTGGCCAACATTGCAGCGGGCGGAATCCGTTCTATCAGGCACTGTAGGCTGCAGCTCCTTGACAGACGCCCCCATATATAGGATTGTATCGTTCCCAAATCCGAGGAAAGTCTCCCGTCTGTCAAACAAAAACGCCTTGATGTCATAGAGCATCGGCCAGTCATTCGTTTATCTTGAGTTTTCGTCTTTGTTTCAGCGTCAAGTCCCTCGTTTGGTATACCGTCACTCATTCAGAGCATTTTCCAGAAGCGATCTTTGTCACTCATTTTTTTTTCTTTCATCATCAAGTGGTGATTCTCAAAGCATAATCTCTTTGCGTCATCTCTTGTGTTCCCGACTAACTGTCCAAACGATATATCCAATAATCACCTAATCAACAGCATCACCATTCTTTTTTCCAATATGGAGTGTTTCCGACAGATCGTCCTACTGGTCAAAACACCCTTCAGAAGCAAAAAACACCAAGCGTTGGAAATTGTAAGTTGAGCATGGCTCAGGATTCCTCAAGAAGAGGTCTAACCTGCTTCATAGGGCCCTCCAACAAACTTCCGCAAGGAGAAGCAGCCATTCTTCTCCGATGACGAGTGAGTACAGCCCCCGCAACGTATCATTGGGACTGGTTCTAACAACGACTCTCGCAGCGCGCTGACATTGCATAGCTATGGCTCGACGCCAGAGAAGGATAGCAAGGTTGACGCAGTTGAGCGCCAGCCATCCGCACGTGATAAGATCAAGCAGCATGTTCGGAGATTGAGCACCAAGGTCGGGGGGCCGCTTCCCATTCACGACTAGGATCACTTCGTTGAACGCCCAACCGTTGTCTGACGCTGAAGCACCGCCATTCAAAGGTTCTCCATTTTTCTCGGACGCCGATACTTGACCGGTTGATCGATAGAATGAAAACTCAATAGACCATCATGGCATACTCAAAGCAGGAATGTTGGGACTTCATTGAGGCGCGATTTTTTCAAGTTCGAAACTTTCTCCTTCTGATTCTTCGGTGTATTATTACTGCTAGGCGATGAGAACCGACCACCCGTCGGAGTAATTTCTGACAGCTCCGGCAGCTCGTCAAAGTCGTCGAAAAACACTCTTTTTTTGGTTCTCGGTATTGGTTGGGTTCTGTAGCTGACGTCCACGGGCTGTCGTTCTTCTTTGACATCAACGTAGGTAGACTGTGGCGTCGGAGTCCGTGAGACTGATTGTTTCGAACTTGATGCAGTAGAAGGCATCCTCGGCCGCGTAGGAGTTCCGTTAGTCTGTCCATCCAAGTCGTCATCCTCCGTAGCGGTCTCGTCTGCTGCATGTTCGTCTTTTTCGGCGGCTTTTGACGGCGAAGTGCGCACATTGTTGCCACCAGCTGCACTCTGCTTCTGTTCGCCAGATGCGCGACCATACCCAGCAGCCGCTCTAGTCGACGACTGGATCCCCTGCATCCCAACCAGCGATCGAATCTTCCTCGGGCTCGTCATAAGGTATCCCAGCGACGTCCCAGCAAGCCCGTCATCATCCTCTGTATCCTCCTCTCCCTCCTCAGAACCGTTGAGAGGACGATCTGCCTCGGCTTTCTCCAAGCCCGCCTTTTGTCGCGCAGAGAGCGCCGCAGCCGCTTCCCTCCGTTTAGTCTCTTCGCTTATGGGGGTGACTCCATCGGTGGGTCGAGCGAGGTCCTTGATCGCGGCTGCGTTCTGCAGCTTAGCCTCCTTTTTCCGTTTCACGTATTCGGCGTAGTGGAGATGCTGCGTGAAGGTTTGCGCCATCGCGTAGAATTCGTCTTCGACCATCATGTAGATATCATCGTTGTTGAATCCTTCAACCAGGTATCTAACAGTAGTCTGAACGTTAGCTGCGCCTTCTAGGCATTTATGTTCGCTGTGATAAATGCTACGCACTCTTCGGACGGACAACGTTGAATCGGAGAAGTTGGGGGGCTCGGGGCTGTGTGTGCAAAAGCAAAACCATTAGCAGAGGACTTTGGAGCCTGAGCACATTTGCCGTTAACTTACACGACCGAAAAAAATCGCGCTTTTCAGAGCGCGATGGCGCCTTGGTTGCCTTTGGGGTTTCGTCTGAAGCCGCATTCTGCTTCACTTCACGTCGACGCGGCGAATCTTTCGCGTCTTGGGCTTTGCTAGCGCCGCCTGTAAGCCATGGTAATGTTCGAGGCATGATGATGATGGGATTTCTGAGACTTCAGGAGCAGTGATGCCGGACATCACTATGCTGAAGTCGTGCAGGCTAGAACTGTATGAAGGTTTGAGTCTAGTAAATGGACTACGATCTGGACTCCGCAATTGATGGATGATGCGACATGGCGGGACGCGGGTCGTTTCCGCCCCGCTCTCCGCAGTAGGCAATATTCAGCATGACACTGCCTAGTGCCTATCCCTTTCTTCACCAAGGACTTGAGTCACCACAGACAATCTTGGGTATCTTATTTCAATCTGACAATTTCAGGTATTTGTAGAACATGGAAACTTGGATATCTCCCAAACGCCGATGGAATCCCCCCTGATTACAAAATGAACCATGCATCTCCAGCCAGACCAAACGATCTCGTGTACAGAAAACGCCCGCGAGCCAAAACGGCCAGTCAAAACTCCCTAAACGCAGATAAGCAGCGTGGAATCGCCGATCGCCGATCACCGATCACGCCTCTCCGGGCCGCTTGCTGTTGCAGCTGACAATCTTCACCTTGTCGGCCGTAATGGTGGTCTGATTGTCCAACTTGAAGGTGACGTCTTTGATGAGGAAGGTCCATACGTCGTCGCAGAATCTGTAAGTATCCAAGTGACCCTGATGCGAGCGAAAGATGTCAGCTCTGGTACGATCCCTATCCAAAACCATCGGATACTGTCCGCAACAGCATCCGTTCCATCAAACCAGAGATATATGAGGAAGAAGCTACCTTGAAAGTGAGCCTTGCGCGCACTTTGTCCGCGAGAACTTCCGTGATGATACGGTCGAATGTGGAGAGTATTTTCATAGCGAGCTGGGGCTCGATTCGGCCCTCATTGATCAGGTCATCGAGGGTATCGGTAAGGGAGAGACCGAGACTAGAAACAGGACATTTTTAGTAACAGATCTTACATATGTTTTTCTGAGGTCGTAGTACCTGCTCCCGCGATACAACTCGTAGTATGCCTGAGCGCTCATGTTGACGGTGAGAGGTGAGCGATCAAAGCCAAACCGGGATGTTGTCCAGATGGATGAGGCTGTTAGAGTCAGGTCGGCTGGTTGATGCCGATCGCGGGGACCGCGTCACGTGCTCTTATATCATCGTAATCACGTGACAGTCAGTGTTAATTACATCAGTTGTCGACAAGCTCTACAAACTTGGATATCTGCTATAAAGATGAAGCTGAATATTAATTCAATCCTACTTCAAGCACCAAGGATGAAGGTTTTACCACGAAGTTTACAGGCCACAAAAAGCATCATGCATGTGCGCACATCATACCTTCGCATCGGCACCGGCAACGGCAACCGGCTCTATACCTATACTGCGCAAAAGCTTTCAGCATCAGACACCAAGAGAGGTTGGTCAAGCCCATAAGGGCTTGTAGAACTGCGCGTGACTAATAGATCAGGAAGGTGAACATCCGTCGTCCAATTCCTCAAAAGCCGAAAATAACAAACAACAATCAAAGTCGAAAATGACCCAGAGCGTCGCCCAGGCTGATGCAGAGCTTCGTGAGCGCCTTGAGCAAATGTCTGGTGAAGGTGGAGCTGCTGGGATCGAATACGAAGATGGCAAGCCAAGTGCCATGAAGCGCAGTGTGCGAAACAACATGTTCCGATATATCTGAGGAGTGGCCCATTCACGTTTATACGATTTAAACGGCCTAACTCCACGATACACGCTGAGACGGCGAGATCAAAGAAAGAAGGGCAGCATGGTCTTTAACCTGTGAACATCATTCATTCGGGCTGCTCAGCCAGCTTAATAGCTGTCTCGGATTCAGATGAAAGTACACCATGGACCAGCATAGATCTTGCGGATGGGACCCGTCTGGATCAGTTTGTCTGCTGTGGGAGTATATCAGCCACATCCGATGACGCCCAATTGACCATGAAATCTAATTATTGAGATCAGCACTGAGGTCCTTTTATCAAGAGCCATCATATCCTATCATACGGAATTGTGTCTAGAGGGTGAATTTGGGAACGACAAGAAGGTTCCATCGAATTTAGGGCATCTCAGTGGGATGGTAAGGCCATCAAGGTGAAATAGCGCTAGATACCGACTACCAATTCCACCTTGGCCATAATATAGTGACAGTCGGCGGATGATGTACGGAATAGCATGCTCGATGTCCACATCTTCGATCAAATATGAGAAATGACGACCAACAAGCACATATAGAAAATAGGAACGAAGCACATAGCTCATTCCAGACCAAAAAGATGAGCGCATCGAACAACCTAGGACCCATCTCTATCCATATGAAAAAGGACAATACATCTTGAAAGTTCTTGAAAACATAGCGCTAATTCGAAGATAACCAGACAACATGGTAATCGTAAATGTCTCGTTCATATGAGATTGGCTAGAGCATTTTGGGGTGTTTTTTTTCCTCCCCTTTTTAGGTGTTCACCACCATGCCCGCTAGCACGCCCGCACCGATAACTCCACCATCTGAAGCTTCTCGAAGAAACACCGATTTCCCGCTCTTTTGGGGGCCTGTCCTCATAATAAGCCGATCAATATATTGCTGGCACATCTCCTTGAAATTGGGGTAATGCTGGATGATACCGCCCGTGTAAGCTACGACGAGCTCTTCAGGACCAGATTGCCAGTCTGCAGGTGTTGTCGTGGGCAGGAGAACGGGGACGATCGGTCTGTGTCCGTTTCTGGAAGTGCTAGTCTCCGAAACTGACAGCTCTGGTTCGTTCAGGATGTTTTGTAGCTTTGCGCTACCATTCCGCTCAGGCGATGCGGCAGCTGAGTTTTGAGGCGAGTTTTCGTTGCTATCCACCTTCAGTTCGATTTCTTGAGCGCTGGCGAGCAATCCAACAACCGCTGCAGCAATTAGCCCAGCAGATCGGCTCTGTACGACACGAGCAATCTTCCAGAAAGCGCATGCAGTGAGCGAATCCCAGCGCCACTCGCCATCATCAGGAGGAGGTAACGATTGGTTCAATTCGGCAGCGAGTCTCTCATCTGATCGAGGACGAGCCACTTTATCTGAAACGTATGATGTGGTCAGGGCATATTGCTGCAATAGTGTCGTGGGTAATTGTTTTTTATTCAACCCGACCACATTCACAAGGTAGTCGAGGAGTATGAGCCGAATCAATTCACCAATATAACGACCACCAGTCATATATTCAAAAGGTTGAAACCCAGGGCGTGCGCAGTCTCTATCCAGTTCTTCGTCCCATTTTGTGATAATGTTGAGCTCTTTCAAAGGGGGAGCAGCGCCCGAGATGGTCCACTCTGTGTTCACAATAGTTTCTTCGGCGTCGGGGTTCTTCGACTTCACATGTTTCGCCTTGGATTCGTGGAGTGAGCTCAATTTCATCGGGATGGTAGCATTGCAGCCCGTGCCCACAATGATACCCATCGCAACACGACTGTTAGGCAAGGACTTCACGGAGTAAGCAAGGGACGCGAGTGTGGCAACGGCGTCGTTGGTAATGGCTGCGATCTTAAGTTTAGGCAATGCGAATAATTTCCGGCGCTTGCTGGAAGGCTCATCCTCGTCATCGGGACGTCTTGTATGTTTTTCATAGCCATGAAGCAGGATCTTTCGGAGGTTGAGATCCGAAGTGATTGCAAAGCCTTTGCCCATGGGCATCAGTGTGGCTTCCGCGAGTGACTCTTGCCTGATTTGGTCAGCCGGAGAACATTACGCATGCGAGAACAATCGGACAGTGATGCCAGAATATCCCAAATAGATCCGATGGAGAGGCTCACATGATAGGAAAACTGAACGTGATGCCCATGTCCAACTCCTCCGGGACTTTACCTTTTGTGGCGTCGCATGTTAGACTCTCCGCAACCACCTCCGCTATACAGTCGCCGATCCACGCGAAGAGATCCTCCGCATTATCCATTTTCAAATGCTCCTGGATGGGCCATGCTCTCTCTAGTGTTCGTTGCACGCGCTGTCTTTGGGCCTTTCGAAGGGTATCCCGTGTTCTTGCTGAGGCGTCTGTGGAACGGATATCAGAGTCGGCCGCCTCTCCCAGCAATTCGATGAATGCGACTCGTAGATTACTCCCTCCAACATCAATAGCCAAATAGCGGCCTGTCTCAAGACCTGTGGGCAGTTTGGTGACTGGAGTGGGCAAAAACTGCTGGTCCGAATTCAAAGCCAGATGGCGGTAGGTGCTGGAAAACCGACGGGCAAGTCTGTAGAGAACCGCTTCGTCGAGCACCAATGGCGCCAGAAACCCATTCAGTCTGTGTTGCCGTTCCAAGTATTCCTTTCTGGCTGGATCGACTTCTGGGTCATTCTCCTCCTCGTCCTCCTCAACATCAATTGGGTCTTCATGTATATCGTGCTCTTCATCCTTGCTGTTTTCCGCTTTCACCGCGTCCATCGGGGCCATCTTGGATCTTGTAGACGTGTAAAATAGCAAATGATCCACTGAAACGACGCGGAAAGCACTCAGCGAGAAAACACCACGCTGTTCGACCTCGTACTGTGGACGATGTACTGGGTTAAAGGACGGATGGCTAGGGGATTTCCGGCTGAAAACAACGATTTCGAGCTCCCACAGATCGATTGCTTGGAATATTTGGGATGTAACAACGGGTGGACGTTTGATCGTCGAGGCGCATGAGTCTGAGCGGATCCTTGGTATCTGGTGATGTGGTGGGGAAGGGGGAACAACAGTCTAAACGCGTTTCGTCCAGGAATGAAGAATCAAGAACGTAATCTAGCTCGCAGAATTTCCTAACAGGCAAGGCGACTGTTAGCCCATGAGTTCCCGCAGTAATTATCAGGGTGTGAAGACAAGCAAAGAGTGTCAACAACGGGATGTTTGGTGGGGACAACAAGAACAAGAGTGCAAACATTGACAATCATATAGTCATGACTCATAGCATCGAATAAAGTAGAAGCGAAAATCAATGTGGAGATAGTTTACCTGCCATAAGACTTAAATTGAAGAAGTGTATATAGTGGGTAGGTAGAAAGCAGCTGGTGACACTGACAGGTGGGTGGTGGAAGAGTATCTGTATAAGAGGAAAGCAGGGCAGAATGACGATCGTACAGGGAAAAGGGTTAAATAGGACCAGCCAGCGAACACGAAGTCATTCTCCACAGTACGAGAGAAGGAAAAGAAAAGAAAAAGAAAAGCAAAAGAAAATATTAACGAATATCTCGGAGCTGTTGAACAAAGATGGGGGGGACAAGAGCGAGTATTTAGAGAGGGAAAGCAGGAAGATCTACTTGTAGTAGATACTAGATAGTAGTATTGACGACGGAGTAGTAGTTGATTAGTTAGGTAGTCAGTCAATAATAATACTTAAATTAATTAATGTTAAGTACATAGTTGTAGCGGTAGCTAGCAGTATCTTGTATATCTTGTAGATAGAGTAGCTTCATTTAATATGAATTGCTTCAGAACTGCTGGGGGGGGCAGCAGCAGGATGCGACCATCGGCACCAGACGATGTGACCTTGTCTGTATCCATCGGCGCAAAACACTACGAGACGTTGTATGCATTAGACACAACCATGGATGATGACTCGGTGATCCTTCTAGTAGAGTCTTGACAGGATTTCACCAGCGATACCACCAAGTGGGCTAGATATATCCATCTTCCGCTCATAGCTCTTCTCGATTTGTTTGTTGATGTTCATTATTATTATTATTATTATTATTATTATTATTATTATTATTATTATTTGTTGATGCTTGGAATTTTTTTTTTTTATTCTTTTCTCCGAAATCCCTCCGGGCTTCTTCCTCTTGTGCACTTGTGATCTTATTGCGCCTCTCTACCCATGATATTGCAAAATAACATACTACAGTACATTCTCTACAGGTTGGGTTACTCTTCACTATGACGGTGATGATTATCCAGACTTTCACAGAAAACTTAAATACCGTCAAATAAACCCCCTTGTGGTCTTCCTGGTGGGATCGGAGCAGTGACAACTTTGATCAACTCAACAACACAAATATCCTGTTTTCCCACTCGGATTCTCAACCGTTCATAAGGAGATTGGAAATGAGAAAGCAAAGAAAGCGAGAAAAAGCAACTATCAAAGCTAAAAAGGATGGCGGAAAGACTATCACTGCGCGACTCGAGCCAGACTCGGAGTGACTGTTCTTCAGTCTTGCACCTTTCAGGAAGTGTCAAAACCAAAAAACCATGTGGTAGTCTATCTATCTAGATGGTGGGGCCGACTTCATCCCTCAGAAGCCAGAAGCTTCATGGGCCATGATCCCATCCCCATCGCTTCAAGCCGGGCTTGCCTAGGTGTGGTTAGAAACCGTCGTGTTGTTGATGGTCAATCCAGTCTCCATTTTCTAAGCCTTGTTCGATCCACCAGAAGACTAGAGGCTTACTGTGGTAGGTGGTGCAGCTTCGTCTAATAGACCGACGCTGGGGGGTGCATGAATCATCGGCCAACAATTCGAATTGCTGGTACGCCCGAGACCTACCCACGCATGGATCCAATTCGGCACCTATCATTCACCTACGCCCCCGTTAAGATGCTATTTTTATGATGACAACCTCCGACCGGCTTTTTTGTCCTACTATGAGTAGGGGCTGAAGCAGGTACCTGGATTGTCGACTATCCATATCTGACAGCCTGGAACTTGTCAAACACCTTCCCTACCATCTATGCCACCAGGCATGGCGTCGAAGGAGGGTTCACTCACTCCATGCTGTTCACGGTAACTAGCACTGTCATAATGATCGAATGGGTATTCAGGTACCAGTACTCCGTACAGTACCAAATTTATCACACTGGCTTGGGCTACGTATCATGCCCTGTGATGGCTAGACCCTAGTTCAGACTCCGAGATCGGAGTGACATAAGAGTCAACCAAGCTTGCGGAGTTGGGTCAATGGTCCGGTGAGATCAGCAAATGCAGTACATACGTCTATCGTTTCCTTGCATTCTTAAATCTGTCAACCCCAGCCTGCTCACTAAGGTCTGATATCGAACAATGAGTCATTCGGGATAGCCATTATTCAATATATTTGCAGTCAGGGCTATTCAATTCAGGACTTGTTTCCCATGCCGAGCTTCTCACAGGCATCACCTTCAATGATATTGATCGCTAATACCTTCCCCTTGAGCAATTTCTACTTACGAAGTATCTTTTCGGATATGGTACTCCGGAGTAACAACTACTCTGGGCTAGCCAACAGTATCTGATGGACCACACAACACTAAAGCCCAGAGCGCACAGGCTCATGGAGCCCTGGAAAGCAAAGAACCAGTCGGCATTGCTTCGGATGTTGGCGAGATGGTAATCTATCGCAGGCTTCCGATTCTTTCATGGTCTCCCCATCTGACTAGCTAGCATGCGTTTCCCATGCATGTATTGAACTACGGATGCAGTCTAATAGGGATCGTACACCGCGACTGCTAACTAGTGCAAGGATGGGAATTTGATTTTCGGTCATCCTGGTATGTCCTAAGGTGGGTATCTAGCCTAACGGAACGCTCATTAGCTTGACGCCTTCCGACATTTTCCTGTAATTGATGCGGTTGGGCTGAGAGGACATTTATCTTCCTTTGGTTGTTAACCCCAGGTCGTTGATTCATGACTGGGGTAAGAATGCAAACTACTACCGGTATCTACGGCTAAGAGGCTTGGTACTCGAATGATTGGCCCAGGAAGGGACTAGGGAAAAGGGATAAATGCCTTCCAGGCAGTCAGACTGTCAGGCACTACCTATTATTCATCCAACTGCCCCGAGCACTCTCAGGTTTCCTACGAGGCTCCAAGCCAAGAGCCATTTTGTCTTTGAGCGCTGGAATTTGGAAGGCGTCAAAGCTTTCATCCCCGGGATAACTTCCTGTCCTTATACGGAGTAGACTAAGGCACCCCGATTTTCATGTTGCATATATGGCCCGAGCGCTGTCTGTTGCAGCGCACCTCACAGCATAGATTGTAACTACTGTGCCTGGTTTAGTTGGCTACTATTAGTAGTGAGTACTTGAAAGCTCACGGAATGCCATGCATACAGCACTTGACGGCAGTGGTTCTATCAGTATAGAACCAGTATGCCAGAAATACGATGCGAAGGTGTTCAAGTCTCTGTTGTTAACCCGGCGATGAGAGTATCCCTCCTCTGACGATCCAAGCAAAGCGACTGCTCGGTGAGCCAATCCATCATGGTTCCCATTCCTGGAACTAATTCAGCCGAGTTGTGCACAAACATACCGTAAATAATGATGGCTATTGTGAACTTGTGAGCTTCTGTATGTGCAAAAGTGGGCAAATGTAACACTTGGCCTGGATCTGGCAATCAAAGTCCGCCATTGCTCCTATCAGGCCAGATACGACGATGCAACCTCGAGAAATGAGCACGGGAACAGGGGTATGCAGAAAAACCATCCACGGGCTGGCCCTATCCAATGTTTATTTTGAGCTAGTATGAGCCTCAGCGGCACCCAGGCCATCGCGGTCCTTCATTCCAACTTGAGGCTGTCCATCCTTGTACATTAGAGGTCGGATATATCCATCAGATGAAGACAATATTGACCTAGGATGAAGAGATTGGAGATAAGTAACTATTGCGACATCTGAAGAATCAAGAAAGAAGGATGGACGGCTGACTGTGTAACGTTGCTAATGTGCTGGTCTTCTTTCGGGGCGGTGGATCGATTGCTTACGGAGTACGGAGTACTCCGTCCATCAATCTTGTACAACCCCACAGGCCACAGCCTTTGGATCTCAACTCTCCCCACATCACGTCAGGCATATAGAAGTCGAAGTCCGAAGAAGTGACAAGTTGACAACAAAAGACCAGAAATTATGTCAACGGCTTGGTAATCACAGCCAATATTCCGGTTTCTAGCCGTTGTCATGGAGAGGTGTCCGGCAGGCTTGGTATTACTACCTTTGAGGCTAACCTGTCCCGTGACAACGCGATTCGTGGTAGAAGGCAGAAGACGCGTAGTCACGTCGCGCATCGATTCTCACTTCGCGGTCACCAACCAGCTCAGACCTACTGACCTGCAATTGCGTCGACAAGTATAAGTGTCTTTCATGGCATTGCCTTTCGCCATGCATGGAGGGGTAACACGGTGGGCAGGGTAGGCTGTGCTGGAGACATACATATTTGTCTCCCTCAACCGCAGAGTCTCATCTGCAAGTGTCTCTTATCGATACTCCGCATCAGCCTCCCTCCCCTTTCTTTCAGCAATCTCGGGTTTAGCATGAGTATTCTACGCGGTCCTCGCGGTAACTACTGTGCTCTGTGTCGGGGAGAGGGGCTCAAGTGTCGGGTGGTTGATTGGTATGATGATTTGCGCTTCCTCGACACAAAAGGGATACGCCCATGGAACTCCCAGTGTGGCCGTAGGCGCCGGAGACGGTGAATGCGTTGGAATTAGATGGCTTTGCGAGCCTGAGCTGTATGGGCAATGAAGAGATGGAAAGGAAGAGGGCAGGATGGGTCACTACTCATCTTCGGGGATTTCGGACGTCAATGGGACATATGGCTTGGTGATCAGACAGCTGCTGGCGATGGAGTGATGGAGGTGATGAAGGTGATATCAATGGTAAAAGTGGCTTGATTTAATTGTGCTATGCGACTATAGTACTTAGCTCATGATTAACTCATGATTTTTGTTTTGTTTCGCCATGCTCTTCCTTCTGCTCAACTCTACCATAATGTAGCAACATAAACAGATAAAGCTCATGTGGGCAAAGGGTCTTTCCTTTATATTTCTTTGGGTCCCTTTTATGGTTTCCCCAATCCAGATAGGCATCACAAGCACCATTTTTCATCTTCACAATCCTCTCCTCACATGGTTTATGCTGAAATACTAAATCATAAGCATAGATCGCACACCTCCAGGGTTATGTTCTATGATGGTCATGTGAAAATATTCTACCTGAATAGGTTTAGCGGGTGTTGCTGGCAGGAAGAGGGTGGTGTCACTATACAAAAGTAAAAGGTATCGTTGTAACACCTCCCCAGCACCTTTCAGTAGTGTATAGGCTACCTAGCTGGTAGATCAGTGACAACTATGGAGAAGAAAGCCTTTTATCATCAGAATGAGTTCTACGATGATGAGCATCGCCATGATGTTGATGCCTTGGAATCAGCTGAGCTGAACCCCAGCCCTTTCCGCCGCGACCGACTTGCAGTAAGGGTCTTACATCGTTTCATCATCGCCATCACCGTCGGCTTCATCTGTTTTACCGCTTTAAGCTGGTTACCTCTCTCTATACCGAATTTTCGTCTGCCATGTCATCGAATCTCAAAGGAGAGCGTAGATGATGGTCTTAGGTTCCCATCGTTCATGGGGGATGATGCGGTGCCCCTACGCACGTTCAAGGCACCAGCAGGCAGCAAAAGAATTCCTCTGGAAGCTCATATCATGAGCAGGTGTCCAGATGCGCGAGACTGCCTCCGGCAACTGGTAGTGCCCGCCATGGAACAAATCAGTGATAAAGTGGATTTCGAACTGTCATTCATTGCAAGGTAAGCCCAAGGACTACTTCGTCGTCTATGCCTCTATCTCATAGAGACAGAGCCAGGGCCTGGGCTAAAGAGGATATAGTGTGTCCAACAAGTCTACAGAGGTGATTTGCAAGCATGGCCCCACCGAATGCATCGGTAACATGCTCGTCCTCTGTGCCGCGAACCTCCCCTTCCCATCTAGGGGACATAGCATGAGCCGGACCCCTACTATCCGCTCCCTGGGATTTGCCAACTGCCTGGTCAGCTCCTACGAACGAATCCCTGAGCGTTCCTTTGTTGAGCAGTGCGCTTTGGAGCATGGCATCGACTTTGATGCTTTGAACGAGTGCGCCAGCCAACAGGATGATGATCCTGGTCATGATGGGTTTGATAAAGACCCTCTGAGTGGCATTGCGCTGCTGCGCAAGAGTGCACTTTACAGCGAATCTCTCGGTATCAAGACAAGCTGCACTGTTCGACTGGATGAGCAGGTGTGGTGTGTTCGTGATGACGGGGTATGGAAAGACTGTGCGAAGGGAGGAGAAGGCAGCCAGGTCTCTGTCTTCGTGGAGGAGATCAAGAAGCTTTGGAAGCAGCAGAACTGATGTAATCAGGCATCTGGGCTGATGAGCTTGGTTAATGGGCTAATTTCCCGCGGTTCTGAAACAGGCAGCTTTCTTGTTGGTTTTGGGCTATAATTTTTGCATATCAAGATTGTATGACATTTCTTTTGAGGTTTTCACTTGGTTACCATGTTTGCAGTGCAAGTATATTGGATCTCCCCTCGAGAATAATAATCTATGGCTTTCGGTTATCTGATACTACTTAGCCCCAGTCAGCGCAGTTGATATATCAGTGGACAATACGGAAGAGTGATGTGCTCTTCTCAGTGGTGTTACTATCATTCAGAGAGGATTCTTTGCTATTTTAATGCATATGTACCGATGTGCCAGCTCTCTGATTGATTGTTCGACCCAAACTGATTTGATTGTATCGGGCTGTTCTTCTCTACGCAGCGGATCCGATCTTTCTTGTTTACTCACTTATTCATCGGTAAACAGTACATCTGTGTTTTATTTGAATCTTCAGGTCCATCTAATCTTCTTCTATTGACTTCAATTCCACACAACATCTGTCCATACACTCTCTCTTCATGAGGTCGATCTTTGCTCCATCCCCATCCTCACTCTCTTGATTTCCCCATCATCCCTTTGCCCTCTGCTTTCTATCTACATTGTCACTTTCCCTCGGACAAATACCTAACATCGGACGAAATGGCCTCCTCCTGGGTCTCAGAAGAGTCCTTTCCGAGCGGCACCCACTCCAAAACGGCCAACCAGCAAAAGAAGGTCGACGAGCTCGTACACAAATACCACAGAATTAGATTCCCCAGTCCCACCCTTAGAGATATTCTCAAATCCCCCCATAAGTCTGATCTGCTCGTAAGCGCCGTCCGACGCCAGTGCTCCCTCGTCAGATGCCGCTCCCAGGATCTCGAAGACAACCAAGTCACCATTTACGATAAAGCTTTGTTAACCCTTTCAAGGAGTGGAGAAGACCCGGCTGAGCTGTGCGCTCTGGAATTGTACCTGACGGAATTTCTTGGGATTGTCCCAATTGTTAGTGCTGTCCACAGTAAGGATATTGCGGCCAAACACCTGGTGTTGCATTCCGTTTTGCTGGGAGGTTTGTACACACTTTTGTTTGTCCTCGCTTGATCGCTAATTTGTGCTGATTTGTTGTTCCTTTGTCTTAGCTGGTGCATCTCAGAACGTGTCTCGAAACCTCAGTGCTTCTGAGAAGCATCACCAGAAGCCGGACAAACAGACCTCGATGGCACCTACAACGCATCACGATCCCTCCATGAAAGACATCGGTATGAAGTCTTATTCAGAACCACACGCTTTCAGGAAGACGGTGGAACGGAATCCAGCCCTCGCTGAGTATCATGGAAGCGAATCTGGCACACTCAAGATTGACACCAGATCTGTATCTGAGAATCGCTGCCAGAGAGAGCGAACCCAGAGAAAGACGCATCATTCCCCCAAAGCCGATTCTACCTCTAACTTGAAGAGGAAGAGGGATGATGAAGCCGTCGAAAATCGAGCTGAACGGCTCCTCGAAGTATTCTTCCAAGCCAAGGAGGAGTACATCAATCAAACGCACAAGGAAGGGGTACACAATCACAACATGGTCCGATTTCTACGAGACTCTGCAGAGAATGCTCTCACATACCTCCAGGCGAACAATATGGGTAGTCATAAGTTTATCCCAATCCTTGAAGAATGGTTCACGCTCACGAGGAACAAGGCCACTGCTCTGTTCGGTGGTCGAGAGCGCCATTTCGATAAGAAAACCCCTTTGCCTCGCAAACGCCCGCACGCGAAGAAGCGTATGCGACGGACTGTCGATTCTTATCGACCTTAGCAATGGAGGTATAAGGCCTGTGGGCGTTGTTTGCAGGTAGAATTGGGTTTGTCAATTCCATGGTCCTTTGATTGCGTTTGGAAGCTGACAGCCATAGTTCACTATCCGTATTGTCAAAAATCGGACAGGCACATGATTTTAATCAACACTTGACCAATTCACCTTCAAATCTATGAGGTGATGTTTCGGTAGCATTGAAGCTCCACTCACAGGAGATACTGGTGGATCTCCACGCGGGGAGTCTTGCCTTGTCTGAGTGTCTCACCTTGGCGCAAATCATCTTCCTTATTGTGTGCCACGTGCACTGTCCAAGCAAGCTGTCAGAGTCTAAGTGGAGGTTGTACTTAATGTCCTCAGGTCTTCAAAATGAATTGATTAAAATGAACCGAGAAACATTGCAAAGACTGTAATCAACTTGGGCGTCTCTGCTTCGGTTCTGAGAATATCTTGGAAGAGATGCTCTCTCATCAAAAATACTCAAATTCCTAACGTGATCTACTACGTAGATGGTCTCCTTTCTGCTGCGGCCGAATGAGGCTGCATCCTATAGCTCCAGCACAGGGACGCCTTCCAGCTCTCAATATACGCCGGTTTCTGAAGAAGCCGACGACGAGCATGGCTCGTCCAGCTCAAACCGGTCACCAGCTGGGGCTTTAAGATTGCAAACCGATTTTCGAGCCGACAGCGACAATGTCTCCGGCGATGAGGGCCAAGATGAAGGTTACGACTCTTATGACGAACAAGGAGCAAAACCCAAGCGGGCAAATGCATCTCCAAAGTACACGTCTGCGGAGGAGCAAGAAGTCGTGAAGAAATTCGACCGCAAGCTGGTGCCCTTCTTGGCTCTCCTTTACCTGCTCTCGTTTCTAGATCGATCCAGTGAGTCCGTCAACAGCCCAGAAACCTTGCATTGACGGCTGACTCCCAAGCAGATATTGGAAATGCAAAGATCGCCGGGCTCATGGACGACCTGCGTCTTTCATCCCCACAGTATGAATGGGTCTTGACATCCTTCTACATCACGTACATTCTCTTCGAGTGGATGACGCTGATGTACCGTGTCGTTCCACCGCATATCTACATCTCCCTCTGCGTCTGCGGCTGGGGTCTCGTCGCATCGCTTCAGGCACTAGCGACTTCATTTGGCGCCCTCGTGGTCCTGCGAGCGCTGCTCGGCATCACGGAGGCGGCCTTCGGCCCCGGAGTGCCCTTCTACCTGTCGCTCTTCTATAAGCGGGAAGAACTCGCTTTTCGAAACGGGTTGTTCATCTCTGCGGCGCCGCTGGCGACTTCGTTCGCGAGTAGTCTGGCTTGGCTGATTGTTAAGCTCAGCAGCAACGGGCCAATTGCGCCCTGGCGCACCCTGTTCCTGGTCGAGGGGTTCCCCAGCGTACTTGTCGCTGTCTTTGCGTGGATTCTGATCCCCGATTCGCCAGGGACTGCCCGTTTTCTAAAGCCCAGGGAGAGGATGGTAGCTCAGCTACGGCTGGGAGAGAACAAAGCCAGTTATCAGGAGTCGACGCCCGGGAAATTCAATTGGAGCGAAGTTTGGCAGGCGTTGGCGGATCCCAAGTCCTATGTCACAGCTGTTAGCAATATCTCATCCTTTTGCTTCAGACCATATACTGATACGTATTTCTCAGGTTATGTTCTTCAGCTGCAACGTCGCATTTAGCTCGATGCCCGTTTTTCTACCCACGATCATAGAAGAGTAAGTTGCCAGTCCCCCAAAAACGGGGGGAAAAAAGTTCATTTCATACTCACAACCACACAGCATGGGTTACTCCGCACTCTCCGCCCAAGCCCTCTCTGCACCCCCTTACCTCGTCGCCTTCATCGTGGTGCTGGCCACCGCATACGCATCAGACCGCAGCCGCTCCCGAAGCCCCTACCTCATCGCCCACGCGCTCCTCTCCTCAGCCGCTTACCTCGCTATCGCACTCACAGGCTACTACCACACCCACATGGCCCCCGGCCTCAACACCTTCATCCGGTACGCGTGCGTCTACCCCGCCACCTCCGGCTTCTTCTCCGCCATCACTCTGATAATCACCTGGACGATGGACAACCGCGCCGCGAAGGAGGGCAAGGGCGCCAGCATAGCGATTCTGAATCTCATCGGGCAGTGTGGGCCGTTGCTGGGAACGAGGCTATACCCGCGCGCGGATGGGCCGTGGTATGTGCGTGGGATGGCGACGTGTGCATTCTTCATGGTCGTAGTGGCTGCTCTGGCGGTTGTGTTGAGGGTTATCCTGCAGAGAGCGAATCGGGCCGCGCCGGGGTCGGGTGCAGATATTGAGATGGAGATGCAGCTTGAGAGAGGGGAAAGGGAGGTGCTTATGGGTGGAGGTGGAGGTCATCACGTTGAAGAGAAATTTGTATATATTATCTGAGTTGGAAGCTTGAATGTAAGGCTATGATTTGATATGAGTAAGTGTCGTGATTAGAACTTCCTTTCTAAACGCTTATTGTACAGGAAAGGACAAGCTGTCGTGTACTTTTGCCCCCAAAGCAACCAGTTCCTCGCCAATGCAATATAACCAGCGCTGTCAGACAAGACATAAACACGCTGCGCTTTGAGCCATGTATACCCATCTCCATCCTTGCTGCACCCGCAACCTCAAAAGGTCATAGGCAGCTACCTACCAGTCATTTCTGCCATCACGCCTCACCATGCAGTATGGCCACCATCAATGAGCATCGTGCTCCCAGTCATGAAGCTGCTCGCATCGCTAAGCGCAAACAGCGCAGCACCCCGAAACTCCTCCGGGGTAGCGAGCCGACCGAGCATATTCTCCGCTTCCCAGATAGCCTTCGCCGACGGATTCTGCTGGAAGACCTGCTCAACCATCGGCGTGACGATATGCCCAGGGCACAGGCTATTGACACGAATCCCACGACGGCCCCACTCCATCGCCAGCGACCGCGCGAGCTGGATCACAGCGGCCTTGGACGAGTTGTACACGGGGGAGGTCATGCCCTTGTTGGCGATGAGCCCGCTCATGCTCGCGACAAGCAGAATCGACCCCTTTTGCTGGTAATTGAACATCTGGCGCGCCGCGGCGGTCGCCGAGTTGAACACCCCGTTGTAGTTGATCTGCATGACCTCATTCAGCGCGGACTGGGAGTGCTCGAGCGCGCTTTGCAGGTGGTTGATCCCCGCGGCGGCGATGAGGCCGTCCAGCCGCTGGTTTTGCGAGGCGATCTGCGCAAAGACGTCCTCAACCTGCGGCTCGTCGCGTACATCGATGCGTCGGTAATCCAGGCTTCCGCCGTAATCCTTTTCGGCTTTGCTGCGGGCTATTTCGAATTCGGGATGCGGGCTCTCTAGGCGATCCAGGCAGTATACTACCGGTGGTCCGAAGAGAAAAAGTGTCAGCACAAGGTGCTATGTGATCTGACTGACTGGAGAGTGAGGATACCTTTGGCGCCGGCTTCCATGAGGGCTTCAGCCATGGCCAGTCCCAGTCCTCTCCCGCCTCCGGTAATGGCATACACGCGGTCCGCAATATCAAACTCCTTGAACCGATGCGGTCGGATTGATGGGAGTTTTCTCTGGATATGTTGGGGATTGGTTTCGGTTGAGAACTTTGACTGCCGTTGGAACGGATAAAGCGAGGCGCATGGGCGCCATGAGCGCGCTACAGTCAGCGAACGAGGCAGTGCGAGAGACATGATTTCTAGGAGCTATCGGTAGAGCTTAGGAGGATCGAAAGCACGGCAAAGGGCCACTGGATCGAAGCAACCCAAATGCCCTATGGAAAATACGGACTGTGTTCTACATTGCTCTCTAGGTCTACGCTGGGAGGATTTCGAGGTTTATACTCTAGGACATAAGCAATGATATCACGGCTCAGCAGACTAAGAGCAAAACATCGTGAGATTGGTAAATCAAGGACGGAAGAATGAAAAGAAAAGAAAGAAAAAAAAAATGAAAAGGCCGTGTGACTGCCCTGATGGAGTCGTGAAATCCTTGAGTTGCTTTCACGATGATCCAATATGACCCAGACACACCATCGCCTGCGAACATCCACGGTACAATGACCAGTCAATGAACAAGAGACGCCAAGAGATAATGCTTGCCACAGGGAGAATGGAAGCATACAAGGTAATGAAGACTCTGCCAAGCATCGTGACTTTTGTCCTTGGAGTTGATTTCTTGCCGGAGACGGTGTGAGATGTGATTCTTTGATCAAGGAATGGCGATCATACATTTCCTGGATTGGCTCACTTCTCGCGACGGGATATCCGAGTATGGAGAGACCGAGTTGACGGCCCATTATCATATCTGCTTTGTTCCATACCATGCAGTGGAAACTCACTATCAGGAGTATCCATGGACTCTCATCTGGTATCCCACCCCAGGATCTGTCCCGACGACATCGGTAGCATGACAGCTGCGAAAAATTGGCTTGATCAAGTAGTAGGATCTGAACTCATCGATGGTATTCCAATGGCACAAGAGCATACACCTTGTTTTTCTTTTTTTCCTTTTTTTTTTCTCCCCTTTTTTCTCAATCTGTGTTAATGCCCGTTCATCAGTGATAGCGAGTCATTCGAGCGTTTGTTGGTGACGTATAACACTGCGAATGGAAGTCTCCAGACTTTTTTTTGCCCCAGAATTCATGATAGCGGAGTTTCTCCGGGGTCGTACCCAGATACAGGGAGGAGAACTAGTAGCATAAAGCCTTACTCCCAGAATCCCAGTTCTACTGGGGCAATGTAGATGGAGTCTCTTTCACGATGTCTCCCAGCATTTAGCGGAACGCGGTTCCTCCAATGTCATTCTCAGCTTCGTGAGATGTTGTAAATAGAACGTAGGAAGCAAATAACATAGCTTTCTGGAAGCTTCAACTCAAGATCAACAGATCGACCTGTGCCCTGGCCCCATTCGTCGAAGTTGATATTTCTTCTTTTCCACTTCCACGATGGATATTGGTGTCTAGTCTTTGGAGAGCATGTTGGTATTCCAATCCATACTGTGCGAGATGTCATGCCGCGCGGGCCTCCCGGAAACCCGAGCATTCCAGATAACATCAAGGAAAGACCTTGTGCATTGGAGACCCTTGGTACTATGGTAAAGATGAGCTCCCTCTGACTCAGGACCACTCAGGGATGATACCTTGGGACGCTCTCAATGATGTGTTGACTGCCTTCAATGCGTATTGTCTATAATTCGTGTTGTCTGAAGAAATAAAACCCAGCGAAAGCGAAGAATAGAAAAGGCGTTAATAGATTCGATAAGAGATGAGGATTTCCCAGCATTGACGCTTCGAATGGGCTGCTGCAATACTACTATGGTTTCGATATTCAAGTTCTATGGAAGTAGTCCTCCATGTCGTCTGTCATAAGTCCGCCTTCGACTTCTATTTCGGTCGAAGCAGAAAGTGCTATTCCCTGACTATTCGAAAGTCCTACAGGTAGAGGACAGGCAAGTTGCCCTTGTTCAAGGGTACTTGACAGTCAACCCCGGAAACAGGCAGGGGTCCAGTTATCAAGCAATTATTCTGGATTTTTAAAAGGTATATATGGTCATGCAGCTTCTTTTAGCAAGATAAAACGTAGTACACAATTCATCGTCTCCATCGTACATTCGACCCATTGGCTGGCTGTTGGCTCAAGGGCAAAGAGCACCACCGCATAAGAATACGACAATTGTTCATGAATCATCCCAAGCTGCTCTTTGAACATTTCATAGCACAAATGCGAAATTACTGCGAAAGCTTGCTAGTCCATCACAACAAATTCGCTTACCGCAGGAGCTATAGGCCCCATGCTTCCGTTGGCATGTCCAAAGTCCAGCTTCATCAGGAGCCAATCCACTCCAGCGGCCTTTCGCGGTATATATTGGCAAAAGTGAGGCCCGGCAGAGGCATCGTTCAGCCGATCGATGGCTGAATTACCACCAGGATACTTTGCCAGGCCAAACATCTTTCGTCCCTCACCAGAGCGACTATCGTCGATATCTCGTAATCGTGCAACAACATTTTGAATGCCTTCCTCAACTTCATTTCTCGTGTCGTTCAAAGCTTCCCATAACTCACGCTCCTCTCTTGGATAATCTGCCAAGGCGTCCACTACACCTTCATCCGTTTCCAAGTCCATGTTGCGCTGGACATTCTCTAGACGAATGATCAGTGCGATGAAACGGTCAATAACAGCAAGCAGCGACCGAAGGGCCGACGGGAAGGATTCATCGGTGAGGAACAATGACTGAACGAGTGAGGAGAGATAGCGACGATGCGCAACGGTAAGAGTTTCAGGATCGTGTCGTTGAGTGGGATAGCTAGGGTGATCAACAGCCGAGGCTTCATCTAAGAAGTCCTCGTTGTGCTTGTTTTTGAACGATGACGATGTTCCAGGTCGCGAGTTCGTCGCAGATGCGATGGATATACCACCATCGATCCACTCACGAAAGTGTTGCCAGCAGCCATTGACGATCTCACCCTGAAAGAAACTGCCTATTTCTGATAGGACAAATAGGGAGGCACTGCCCGTAGCCCAGATAGGCCTCATTTGTCGGATTCGGATATTGTCCCTTTGTCTTCCCAATGCAAGCTTACTCTGACCAAAGGCAGAGTTGCTCCTTGGTGGGCCCCAAGGAGATGGATGGCTTTTTCGGAGGAACGAATGCTTCCAGAGATCGCCAATCCGTATCTGCGCACGCCGGATGCCCAAGAGATAAGAATGGATTTTTGAATATACGGAGATGTCGGAGGTAGAGAGGAATAAATCAAGCGGCGCGCGGACTTCCACTGAGAGGGATGTGGGCGTCGGAAAAAGAAGGTCATCAAACAAAACGTCCGAGAGTTCCGCTGTCAAGTCAGCCCCGCTTAGTTCTGAGAACGATGAAGCTACTTGACCATTGTCTTTGCCAGAGATTGAAAGGCGAATAAGGTCCTTAGCAAGATCGAGGGCTTCATCCGCGGGATCCTCTTCGTTCTGTAAAGAGTAAAGCTCGGTCCAGGATTGTGTCAAAGTACTCAGTACATCCCCCTCTTTCACGACAAGCCCTTCTAGCCCGGTGTGTGTATTTGCCCTTGCAGAGAATAATTCTGGCCTCCGGTGTCTTTCGAGTAGTCGGGAATCAGCGTTCTTGACAAGAGCAGTAGCAAATTCTCCACGTCTCAATAGCAGGAAATCATGTAGAACGGCAAGGATCTCAAGAATCTTAGGCAGAGGTAATAATTTCGATAATGTGCTCTGTGATAAGGACAAACGAATGGAGTCTATAGCATTTGACAACCTAGAAGCGGATATTGGCGATTCCAAAGAAGCAAGATGCTTGATATGCTCTCCCTGGAGAGTGACTGGCGATGTCGAAAAACCATTAGACAATTCGGCTATGGAGCTTGTGCGTTTAGCTTTGATGTGATTTAAAGTCTTCCCGATGAACAAGATTGAAGACGCTGTTTGTAATGAGACAAACTGAGGAAGCAAATTCGTCTGCATTACAAACTGTGTAACTGCCGAGGAGCTATCAGGATCGCTCGACTTATCTTCCTGGATGAAGAAGTCTTCCTTCCCAAAGACCGGGAGAGTCCCGTACAAGAGCCATGTTGATAACTGCCTCATCCAAGCAGTCTCGGCTGTTGCAATCATGTGCAGCGCCATTTCTTCAAGATCAACATAGCCTGTCTGGGATTCTGTCCGTAGGTAGTTGATCAAGGCGGCGCCTGTACAGCCTTGTGCGCTCCCGGTTCCTTGTTCTGGAATGATGAAGTGAACAACTTCCCACAACCACTCGAGTCGTCGTGTCCAGGGCGAAAACTCTCCAACAATTGTCGATAATGGGACAATGCCATAGCCACCAACGTACGCACTATCCTCTGCCAACACCGCTTTCTCGACGTCTAGTATCTTCTTCTGAAAATTGCCGAGGTGTTGTGCGCTTATATTCGTAGCGACAGCACGGCAGATGACGGATGGATGTGACGACGATATCAACGCTGTGTGCTTTCGTAACCCAGCATGGAGTTTGCTCAAGCGGGAGAGTGATGCGAGGAGGGCTTTTTCCGGAGGGGCCAGAGGAAAAGCATTTTCAGAGATGATATCTTCCTCTGAATGAACATTGAAGAGCGGGGACGGTTGACCTGAGAGTGAGAGTAGGATCTCGTGAAGCATTCTGTCTGAAACTCACTATTCAAGGGAATTAGAAAGAAGATCACTAGAAGCATTGTATCCGCAAGATACCAACCTGGACAGTGAATCCCTGTTTGCTTTGGACTTTTGACGCTGCCAATACAGTAGTCCTCGTCCAAGGAGCTCGTAGCGACACATGTAAGAGGGGACACAGTGCGGTTGTCTGTCACGAAAGCTGCCTCAATATCGCGCGGGTCTTGACGACGCGTCGGAGATAGCTGCGACAGTGGATTTCCACGCAGAAGAAGGCTAGCTAGTCAGTCCGAAAATCATCAGCTTCACTCAATTACGCTTCTGCTGGCCTCCTGGTATGACGAGCTCGCAGACACCTTATCCCACCCACCTGGCTGTCATCACCATCACGCCTTCATCGTCCTCGTTCCGCCGGAGGTTCCATTGGCAATGCTTCATCCCATCCACCTCCTCGCGGGGCAGCAGCCAACCATATGCTTCCATTTGCTGAGTCATCCGCCAACAGCTTGTCCCTCTTACGTCGCCGACTGAGTAGAGACGTCCTTCTCTTTCTCTCTGCGTGGTTCATCCATCATCTATTTATTATCTACCTGAACTCACTGCATCTCTTTGAGCTTGACAAATCTTTTGACTTGACAAGAACGTTCTGAACAGTTCCTTCCAGCTCTGCTTATCAACTTCGCCGCTTTATAAGCCCTCCCGCATCTCTTCACTGCGGTCCGTCCAGGGAGTTATAGACACAAAGTCAGCTTGTTGGAAAGTCTTGCCTTCGGAGCAAGACTTTCACCTACAATCTTTCACCATTCCGTCAGAAATACCCCTCCGTGAAGCTTCAAAGCTAGGAAAGCGTAGAGCGTCTGGCGACGAAGCAGCAACTCCTCCCGAGAAGAAGATCATGATGGTATACCCCGCCTTTCAGCAAACCCGTTTCTTATGGGCTTTCCGGTGCAAGGTGCTGATCTTCCATATCTACAGGATTCCAGTATGCAGATCGATAATCCCCAAGAAACGGTGGAGAAGATCAAGCATGGAGAGATTGATGAGTCCTTGTACAGCCGTCAACTGTATGCCCACCTCGATCTGATCTAAACCAGATACACAGATACTTATGGAGTATAGGTACGTTCTTGGACATGAAGCCATGAAGCGCATGAGCTCTTCGAATGTCCTGGTCGTCGGTCTGAAGGGTCTGGGCGTGGAGATCGGTGAGTCCAGTAATGGTTTGGAGCAGGATGGACAATAACTGACCGCTCATCTTCAGCGAAGAACATTGCACTTGCCGGCGTCAAGTCTCTCACCCTATATGATCCTACCCCAGCGGCGATTTCCGATCTGTCCTCCCAGTTCTTCCTTCAACCACAAGATGTTGGCAAACCACGGGCCGACGTAACAGCTCCAAGGGTTGCAGAGCTGAACTCGTATGTTCCTGTGACGGTTCACGAGGGCGCCAGTCTCGTGGATGACCTCGAACAGCTGAAACGGTATCAGGCGGTGGTTCTTACTTCGACTCCTCTGAAGGAGCAGATTGCGATTGCGGACTTCTGCCACAAAAACGGGATTTATCTCACCATCACCGACACATTTGGCCTATTCGGTTATATCTTCAATGATTTTGGAAAGAACTTTACTGTGGGCGATGCTACTGGTGAAGAGCCGGTAAGCGGAATTGTGGCCGATATTGCTGAAGACGGCTTGGTATCAGCGCTCGATGAGACTCGACACGGTCTGGAAGATGGAGACTTTGTGACATTTACCGAAATCAAGGGTATGGAAGGCTTGAATAACAGTGATCCTCGGAAGATCACTGTCAAGGGTCCTTACACATTCTCCATTGGAGACGTCTCTGGTCTTGGCACCTATCAGAGTGGTGGTATCTTTACGCAAGTCAAGATGCCCAAATTTGTCGACTTCGAGTCGTTCAGCGACCAGCTCAAGAAGCCAGAGCTGATGGTTTCCGACTTTGCCAAGTTTGACCGGCCCCAGCAGCTACACATCGGTGTTCAGGCGCTTCACAAATTCGCCGAGACCCATGACGGCCAATTCCCTCAGCCCCATAATGATGCTGCTGCTCAGGAAGTGATCAAGATTGCGAACGACCTTGCGGCAAGTCAGGAGGAGAAAGTGGAACTGGACGAGAAGATCATCAAAGAGCTGAGCTATCAGGCTCGCGGTGATTTGAACCCCCTAGCGGCCTTCTTTGGAGGTGTTGCTGCCCAGGAAGTCTTGAAGGCTGTCTCCGGGAAGTTCAATCCTATCCATCAATGGCTCTATCTTGACTCCCTTGAGTCGCTGCCGACATCTGTCACTCGTTCAGAAGAAAATTGTAAACCGCTTGGCACTCGCTACGATGGACAGATTGCCGTCTTTGGCAAGGAGTTCCAGGACAAGATCGCCAATCTCACACAGTTCCTGGTCGGTGCTGGAGCTATCGGTTGTGAAACTCTGAAGAACTGGGCCATGATGGGTCTCGGGACTGGTCCCAAGGGCAAGATCTTCGTCACCGATATGGATCAGATCGAGAGGAGTAATCTCAACAGACAATTTCTGTTCCGTAGCAAGGATGTTGGTAAGCTCAAGAGTGAGTGTGCTTCTGCTGCAGTTGAAGCCATGAACCCCGATTTGAAGGGCAAAATTGTGACGCTCCGGGACCGAGTTGGGCCCGATACCGAACATATCTTCAACGAAGAATTCTGGGAAGCTCTTGATGGCGTCACAAATGCCCTGGACAACGTCGACGCAAGAACATACGTTGATCGTCGCTGCGTCTTCTTCCGCAAACCCTTGCTTGAGAGCGGTACCCTTGGCACGAAGGGCAACACTCAGGTCATCCTTCCACATATCACTGAGTCCTATTCGAGCTCTCAGGATCCTCCGGAAAAGTCATTCCCTATGTGCACACTGAAGAGCTTCCCCAATCGGATTGAGCATACAATTGCCTGGGCTCGTGATCTTTTCCAGACATACTTTGTTGGGCCTCCCGAGTCTGTCAACATGTATTTGTCCCAGCCCAACTACATCGAACAGACGCTCAAGCAGGCGGGTAATGAGAAGCAAACTCTGGAACACCTGCGGGATTTCCTGGTGACAAGCAAGCCTTCTAACTTCGACGATTGCATTGTCTGGGCCCGTCAACAGTTCGAGGCCCAGTATAACAATGCAATTCAACAGCTTCTCTACAATTTCCCCAAGGATTCTAAGACCTCTACCGGCCAGCCTTTCTGGTCGGGACCCAAGCGTGCCCCAACGCCTCTCAAGTTTGACAGCTCCAACCCTACCCACCTTGGATTTGTCATTGCGGGTGCGAACCTCCATGCTTTCAACTACGGGATTGAAAACAGCGGTGCGGACAAAGAACACTACAGGAAGGTTGTCGACAACATGATCATTCCCGAGTTTACCCCAAGCTCTAGTGTCAAGATTCAGGCCGATGAGAACGAACCTGATCCGAATGCTCAACCATCTGGATCTTTGGACGACGGTCAAGAGATCCAGCGACTTGTAGACACTCTGCCCTCGCCTGAGTCTCTCAGTGGATTCCGCTTACAACCAGTCGAGTTTGAGAAGGATGACGATACTAATCACCATATCGACTTCATTACCGCCGCAAGCAATCTCCGAGCAGACAACTATGACATCCCTCAGGCAGATCGTCATAAGACAAAATTCATTGCTGGCAAGATTATCCCCGCCATTGCCACAACTACCGCTCTGGTCACTGGACTGGTAGCCTTGGAGTTGTATAAGATCATTGACGGCAAGGATGACATTGAGCAATACAAGAACGGCTTCGTCAACCTTGCACTTCCCTTCTTCGGCTTCAGTGAGCCTATTGCCAGTCCAAAGGGAAAATACATGGGGAAGAAAGGCGAAGTTACCATTGATCGGCTTTGGGACCGATTCGAAGTCGACGATATCCCTCTACAAGATTTCCTCAACTACTTCGCCGATTTGGGCTTGGAAATCAGCATGGTGAGCTCCGGGGTTAGCTTGCTGTATGCCAGCTTCTACGGTCCATCTAAGGTCAAGGACCGTCTCCCTATGAAGTATGTACCACCATTTCTCCTTCACTTCGGCTATGTCGTGGTTAGTTAACTAACGATTCTTCATAGGATGAGCAAGCTCGTCGAGCACATCAGCAAGAAGCCTGTTCCAGAGCACCAGAAGAACATCATCTTTGAGGTGACCGCTGAGGATCAAGATGAGGAGGATGTCGAAATTCCCTATGTCATGGTGAAGCTTCAGAAGTAGAGCACTTCTACTTGTGGAGATCCATGATATACGATAAAACTCTCAGCCATTAGCCATTCATCTGACGTCTAGATACAAGAATTGATATTTTTGCTTCTCATTTTCTCTACTCGATATCCTTGTAATCAACAGGGTTTGTAATCGAGATGATGGTGTTTTTGTTCCTCAGTGTGTTGTGTAAGCAGGCCATCTGCTGATGGCGCTTTGTCAGAGGTTATGTGATCCATCCGTAAGCACTCGGTCAGCAAACGTCATTCGTTGCTCCCCGCATACAATAATGACATTATCTATTAAAGGTGTCGCTCTCTGCCTCACTTTCTAGTGGGATTCTTCCTCTCATGTTCACTGCCATTCCTCGAGCTCAGCTGTTCTCCCGACAACTCTTCTTGTCTTCCAAAGCAATTGCGGGGTTCCCCAAAAATCATTCCTTAGCTTGTAGAAGCTCCATAATTTCCAGACAACCCCTCTCTCCAATTCGCAACATGGCTGTAAGTTTATGACTCCCGCCTCAAGACTCCTAACCAGCTTCTAATTGACTTATTTCTCTACTTGCAGACAGGTAACAAAGCCAAGATCACAGACTGGGTGAACCCCAACGACAAGTCTGGAGAGTTCAAGCGCCAACAGTCGGTCTTCCGCAGCTTCATCTCCCGAGAACCCGGTGCTGAGTTCCCTCCGGAGAAGGGCCGGTATCATCTCTATGTCTCATATGCATGCCCCTGGGGTAAGTATCCTTCTTTTTTGTCGCTCTGTGGACCCTCGAAGGTCCCGGTAGGTGGATTGCGATGGCTAAATGACCTCGTATTACAGCGCATCGGACATTGATCACTCGGAAGCTCAAGGGTCTTGAAGACATTATTTCGTTTACATCGGTGCATTGGCATCTGGGCGAGAAAGGTACAACAAGCCATGAATCACAACATGAAGCGAAGAGAACGAACCTAATTCCTTTTGATTCACAGGCTGGCGCTTTGTAACCCCGGATGAAGATATCCCGGGAGAGAACGCCACAGCAGACCCATTGCATGCCGACTTCACGCATCTGCGGGATATCTACTTCTCCCAGAACCCGGATTATGAAGGCAGATTTACGGTCCCCGTGCTCTTTGACAAAAAAACGCACCGAATCGTGAGCAACGAGGTGCGTCTACTACCCTTCTTCTCTATCAGTCCCAGAGATAGTCGCTAACCTCGCTTTTTTTTAACCAACAGAGCGCCGAAATTATCCGCATGTTCTACTACGAATTTGACGATCTCCTCCCCGAACAATTCAAGAATCTCGATCTGTACCCGCCCGCTCTGCGCAGCGAGATCGACGCCACCAACGACTGGACATACAACGACGTCAACAACGGCGTCTACAAGTCCGGGTTCGCCACAACCCAAGAAGCGTACGAAAAGGCCGTGGCCACCCTCTTCTCCTCCCTCGACAGAATCGAGGCCCATCTCGCAAAGAATCCCGATGCCCCCTTCTTCTTCGGCTCCGCTCTCACCGAAATCGACATCCGGCTCTTCACCACCATCATCCGCTTCGATCCCGTCTACGTGCAGCATTTCAAGTGCAACATCCGCGATATCCGCTCCGGATACCCTGCCATCCATCGCTGGGTCCGACATCTCTACTGGGACATCCCTGCGTTCCGGGACACGACCGATTTCGAGCACATCAAGAAGCACTACACCAAGAGTCATAAACAGATTAACCAGTTCGCTATTACTCCTGTTGGTCCGGTTCCGGATATTCTTCCCAAGGATGAGGAGGTGAGGGCGGTTCAGGCAAAGCAATAGGTGCTTATCTTTGATGTTAGGGACACTTGTGGCCATCGAGATGATGCATAGGCTAGTTGCCCCTAGTATATATAAATTGAAATGAGTTTAGAGATATCTAAAATCAAGGCAATTGTGATAAAGGAATCTATATCCATTCACATCTTTTCCGTCAATTGCTGATGCTATGAAGTAAATAGTGTAAATACATAAACAGGCTTCCATGTCTTGATCAGACACTCAGATCGCTATTTGCCATTGATATACAAGAATGAAGAGAAAAAGAAATAGTGACAAAATGCAGTATAGACAAACGCCACCATATGCATTACCACGCGACGCCCTGCTATGCTAGGGGTGGTCGGTCACGCCAAAATCCTCCCAATGAATGAGCATTAATGATGGACTGTGTCGCATCGAGAAGCTAGCGGCAAACAAAACAAATATCAACACATGAATAACAGACCTTTTTGGATGGTCAGTGGGATCAAAGCTGAAGAAAAGGGTCAGGGAGCAAAGACAAGTCTTGCACATCCCCACCCAAAAAAAGGCCTGCCATGGATGGCGACTTGGCTTGGGTATCTTGACGGAATATTCTAAAAAATCGAGGAAAGAAAAGAACAGGACAACGGTCATAGCAAGGATGAAGCCGAGCTTTGGCTCGCGATTGCTCTCGACTGAAAGGAAGCGTGGAGGCTATCTCAGCCCAAGCATTCGTTTCGAGTTCTCATATACAACATAGCTGATGGACACGGCAGGCGCTACTTTGAGGAGATTCGGTGTCAGCCCTTTGTAGAAGCCACGAGGTCCTTCGGCTTGGAGAGTCTTGCGAGCGACGTCGAGGATACCGGAGTATGTGGTTGGGTGGAGGACAGTGCCTTGAGCCTGTAACCGAGTTCGCAGAACATTTAGTGGATATACGACAGAAGCACTGAATCCACCACTGATGGCACCGATGGCTCCTGTGGTGAAGTTGTTGAGTGGGACATCATCCTCATGGCAGTGATTGATCTGAGCTTGCCGGGCGAGTAGGGCACGTTTCAGATATTCAAAGGTCGTCAAATCGATGGCAGCGTATGGAAACATGCCAAAGACGCCGAGCGGCAACCCACGAAAGAACCCCAACAGGCCTGCTCGCTCCCACACCTTTCGAGCAGTAGCTGCAATGAGCTGGTTGCCTGTCAAGCCACCTTCAACGGTAGAACACTGCATTCGGCTAGAGAAAGCCAGTGAGCATAGGATATATTTGAAGCCCATCAGAGCACGACTTACAATTTGAGGGTATCAAGTGGGTAGACGAAGCATCTACATCGTAATTAGTGAATTAGCCCAAGTCATTTGATGAGATTCGCAAGTCCGACATACTGTGCTACCATCCCACCAAACCCTCCGGACAAGAACTGCGAAGTAGGTTTAAGCCGCTTCGGGTCATTATGACCTTCCAGGCGGGCAAATGCGCGTTTGGCAGACTAATATGCATTAGAAATGGCACTTTGGCGGCCTAAATCCAACATTAGGTAGGTCAAAATACCTCGTAGGCTCCGAATTTGATGGCTGATTCGGGCATGACCTTCACAACGTTCAATCCATTGCCTTTCCGCGGATGTTAGTAGAGCTTTCTACCCTACGAGCACATCCAACATACCTGCGAACAGGCTCCGAATCCCCCCAGCACGCCATAGCTCTCTTATCGCACCCTTAAGCGTTTTAGAAGCCTGCCCAGCTGCTTGTAACGGAGCACCATCCTTTGCCGCTTGAACCGCGGCTTCCTTTCCCCCAGTCTGGGCGATGAGATAGACCTTGAGTCGATCCAAGGGCGCGGTAGCTGTTCTTGACACGGCACCTGCGATACCGCCCGCAAGAAAATAACCTATTTGGGGAGTGTTCTCGGTCAACTTCTGTTCATAGTAACGGAAGGACATCCACATGGCGACAGTCCTAGGTATGGGCAGCCACTCCAGCTCGAAGTCATCGTCTAGGAGAAAAGGATCATGCTTAAGAGCGGCGCTCAAGGATAACGTCCCGCCAGCTTCTGCATGCGCTGATGGAATCAAGGCTGACAAGGCGTGCACTGGGAAGATATTGTACAGAATGACTTTAATGGCCAAAAGATAACGTTTAAGAAACGGGTGGTCTGTACCTAAACCCTGCAGATCATTGATGTGGACATCTCCTTCCGGGTTTAGATTGCCCGTGGCCGTGTAATATGACAAGACAGCGTGTAGATTGGACGACGAATAGGCAGGTAGAAAGAGAAGAAAATCCCTGAAAGTGACGGTCAGCCATCGTCAATATAATTCATCTGACCTTCCATGCACATACCTCCACTCTGCATATGAGATGACGCCATCCTTGTTCGAGTCCACATCCTCAAAGAAGGCGTCCAGCTTTGCGGTCGAGAGCGTTATCCCAGAGTTCGAAAAAGCAGCTCGAAGCTCGTTCTTGTCTATTTCCCCATTCTGGTTGTGGTCGATGCTTTGGAAGAGTCGCCACAGTCCGTATTCCGTATGGTTGACAAACGCTCGGAATTCTATGCATCATTAGGTGGGTCGAAAACACTGGCCGCAGGAGCCAGTTTCCAGAAAAAGAAGAACAGAGAAAATGCAAAGATCCTAACAAAGTACACATGATCTTACCGGAATAATCTATGTACCCATCACCGTTTGTATCGACCGTCCGCAAGACATTCTGTAACATGTCATCCGCATTTTTCAAGGCTAAGAACGAGGAACAAAGTCGAGGTCAGTCGGCTGCTCAAGAGACACGGGATCGGATCCAGAGGAATATGCTCACGGTGGTCGATTTTCTTCAATCCCTTCTTTAGGCCATTGAGATCGATATGACCTTGCTTCTGAGCATCCAGGCTTTCCCAGAGTTTCGCAACTCTTCGGTCACGTTCATCTTTTGACTCGCCGGTTGTCATGTTGAATGCTTTGAGGACTATAGCCGAGAACCCGTCATTATTTTCAGAGAGGGGTCACGGGGATGAGGATCGGAGTTATCCCTGTGACGACAGGGGAGTATATGTTTTCGCGATAAGAAGTGCATCGAATCCGCGAGCGTTATGGTTATAAAGAGAGGAATGTGCTATGCATTATTATTGTTGTTTTATTTTCTTCGTTGATGGAGCCCGATAAGTAGCCATGAGAAATCCAGCCGCAATGATTTGCTTCCCTTACGAGTTACGACATCCTGCCGGAACAAAAGCAGGCTCCGGCCCGGCTTCACGGGACCAAAAGGGCCCAGCCCTACTATTCCTCTTTGGGAAGGTTCTTGTCCTGGTCACCTGTTCGAGAACCAATTCTGGTGATGATGATGTCGATGATAGAAGGCTGTAGCATCGACTTTTCGTTCTTTTTTTATGTTGATTCGTGAGGCTCATCGTCTAGCGTTGTTTGCGACTCAAGTGGTTTATATCTCGCCGTCTGTATCACATTGAGGATTTCTCCGACGCTCGTGATCGAGAGGAAGTTGTCCATATCAGTTGTATAGTCTAGTGCCACCACGATGGCCTGAGAAGACTGGGCATTTGTCAACTTACTTGAAAAACAGGCCGAACATGGCGGCAAATTACTGGGCGTCGACTCAGCGTCGACATTGGCTGTTCACAAGAGAACGATTGGCCGAGATTCGTGAGGCCTTTCGAGAAAGACACAAATTAGCTCATTCACAGTTCCCTCTGCCGGATCAGAGGTTACTAAATATCTATTTCAGTCAGCGTAAGATGATAGCCAAACATCTGCCCAAAAGAAGGGAGTGGGACTAAATAGCAAGCAGAGCTCATCAAACTTGGGAAGCGAATGTCAACTAGACAGCAAGCTCTTGCAACGGCCCAGGTGTATATCAAAAGATTCTACACAAAGAATGAGATCAGACACACAAACCCCTACCTTGTTCTTACGACTGCCTTCTACCTCGCTTGTAAAATGGAAGAGTGTCCTCAGCATATCCGTTTCGTGGTTGGTGAAGCACGAAGTCTCTGGCCAGGTAGGTACAGCGTTCCATGCGGCCATTCGAAACAACCGTCACTGACAACTGGCAGAATTCATCACTCCGGATGTTTCCAAACTCGGTGAATGTGAATTCTCCCTTATATCGGAGATGAACTCGCAACTCATTGTGCACCACCCTTATCGAACTCTGTCTGGGCTTCAATCGGAGCTGTCACTTACTTCGGACGAGGTCGCTCTTGCCTGGTCTGTTATCAACGATCACTATTTGACGGATCTACCTTTACTATATTCCCCTCATGTAATTGCAGTTATGGCAGTCATGGTCGCCGTGGTCTTTAAGCCAGGCCCAGGGAACTTCCATGGCTCTGCGGCACCGGTTCTGGCCGGTGCCATGAGGGATGGGGGTATGAATATGCTTGCCGCATTGGGGGACAAATCCGGGAATGAGCCTCCTCCCAAGGTGCAAAAACTGATCAACTGGCTTGCAGAGAGTGAAGTTGACATCAAAGCGGTCATTGAATGCACCCAGGAGTTGGTGTCTCTCTACGAGGTTTGGGAGCAATACAGCGAGAAGAACTGCAAGGAACTTCTTGGACGAATGGTTAAGACGAAACATCTGGATAAATAATGACTGGCTAGGGCGAATCTTTTTTTCTCCTTGTTTCTCTTGGGCTTTGGGATGGCGCTTGGAATCATTGATACTGGCATAAGCATACCTTTTGGCGCAATTTCGGGACTTTTTTTTTTTCATTTGAGTGGGCAACTATTAGACCAGGCATGCCCTGAATATATCCCCAACGGGGTTTTGTGATCGAGTAACTTCTATCAGATCCATTGTTTTCTACTGCTTTGGATAGAACAATGGTGGTCGGGGGTCGTAGGGAAACTATTAAGATACTAGAAATCATCCTACTATCCAAGCTCTCCTTAATCAAACCGTTGAGCTCCTGTACAGATTCCGAAGCCCGATCCTTCTATCCTTCTATTCCTCTGGTTTTTAGCAGTAGGGTCCCCATTGAGTCTAAGGACATAAAGATAGTGCAGGAGGAATGTTCTGAATTGTCAGGACTTCCCACTTCCTCATCAACGGTCGACCGGCATGCATGGACTCTTGCTTCAAGCCTTCAACTCATGGTACTGATCCTGGTCGGAGTCTGCTTGTTTGAGATATATATGGAGATTCATTCTATCTACTGGGTATTTCCTGGGACTGTATAGTGAAGCCGAATTGACTATCTATTATAAATCTACCTGATCTCTGACCCTTAGGAGGGGCAACGATTCCTTACAGTTTAACTAATACATCGGAGTATTAGTAGATGGCGGGGTATCTCGTTGCATGTTGATCGGCATGAGTCCTTCACAGTCAACCATATCGTAAGACTCCAAAGAGGCGGTGAGATAAAGATGCCAGACCTGTGGACTTCTGGGGAGCATCTTCAGAAACATGCTTTTGGATGGTTTCATAAACTCAGAACATGGTCTTGGTGGATCTGATGGAGTGATGAAAATCAAATAGAGAAAGACATATCTACCAGCCGATATTTATCTAATGCATGATCCAGGACACTACTGGACTAGATGAGTCTATCAAACTGACTCTCGGACTCTCAAACCCCAAGTGCTGCAGCAAAGAGAAACAAGAAAGGCGGCATTCTGATCCCCGAGAGTCAGTCCATGTGCAGTAGCGCGAGGAGATGGGGGACGCAGACTGCGGGCTGCGGGCTGTGGGCTGTGGGCTGTGGGCTGTGGGCCTGTGGCTCTATGGCATGCGTCCTTCCAGAGGGAGAAGGCCGCCGCCGTAAAGATGCTTCTAGCCGCCATCGATGTGCCCTGTCCAGTCTCCTGTTCTTCGTCAGGGCAATCACAGTTCTGGATATTTCTTGGGGGGGTGATAAGGGGGGCGTTTGGCTTCTATCCCTGGCCAGTGAGATAGGGGCATTGGAGTCTCTAGTGACCTCAGCTGAAGTACCTATTATTATTGGGTTGGCGCCCTCCTTTCGGATTGATCATTGCTTCTTATGAGGACCGAACCTGTAATTGGATAACTAGTGCCAGCATACTAACAGAAATCAGGATAGTCAGGAGTGTGCCAGGAGTAGATTGTAACATGGGCTTGATCTTTCAAGTCAAATTGTATGGCCATTTGACATCAGACTCAGAGGTCTGTGTAAGACTCAGAGCGTTTGTTGTCTTGGATCTATTACTCATTCAGAACTTGAAGACAGCGGCATAAATGACGGTATGGGGTCAGGTATCTACTCCATGGCTGTCCCCAGATCGAGATGGTCGGGAGAGTATTCAGGTTAGTTAGGTTCTGTTCATTGTCCAATCTTACGGTGGAGAACAAGCCTACTCCGTAACTATGGAGTAGATATGGAAAATTGGAAACCTTCGAAGCCCCGAAGATCTCGAATTCGTCAGCTTACAGTCCTCCGTAGAAGGGGATTTACCTGTTGAGACGCAGATACCAATAGCCTAGGGGCTCAACATTCCAACGCCATCATCGTAGACAGTCTCGTATCGAGTAGTCTGATGACAGCAGATAGTCCATAGATTCAATCAGATAACTGACTATCTACATTAACGCAGAATCGTTTAATCGTTACTATTGTTGGTGACAGAACCGACCATCTTCACCACCCGTTTGTATGAGATTGGTTGGGGAAATCAAAACCACTCCCCGTCCATTAAAAGTTAAGGACTTCAGGCTGCTCCAGGGCCAAGTGGCACGGTTCACTAGAAACGGGATGGGGGGTCATCCAGATGATGTACCTTACCGAAAGTGACAGAACGAATCATGACACTCAAGCCGAGCGGGGGTCTGCCACCTTTCGGTGCGAATCATGACCCACTGTTGTCGTAGGGGGCAGAGAAATGGGAATATTTTGGCGCCCGCTGGCCTTTTACGAAACACCGTACACTCAGTGTACAACGCATGCCTGTCTTCGGAAAGTCTGAACTCTGAAGTGTACGGAGTACCTCACCTTACCTTACCTTACCTTACTTGACATTCCAACTCCCATCCTCTCCTTTCCGAGTTGGGATTAGTCGCATGACAATAAATAGGTTTGGAAGGATTGACTCCTCAGCAGGAGCTGTGTACTGTTCAGATGGTCATCAACAACGAGACTTGTTGCATAGAGATGGACAACCATGAGAGGAGTCAGAGCCATTGATATCATAACATCTGGTTGAAGTCATTCGGGAGGCGAAGTTAATTGTCTGCAGCATACGACTCCAGAGTGTCCATGAGGAAAAACAACAACCAGAGTCATCATCCATCTCCTCATATTTTCCGTCCACGGCTGCATTGAGTACTCCCGTAATGTGAACATCGCCTCTGCGCTGTCCGCTAAACCAAGTCGAGGAAGCCCAGATTTTAGATCCAGAGACAATGGAATAAATTCGCCCAATGCAGATTAGATTGTAATTAATAGACGTCACTTGGAATCACTGCGATAGCCACTTGGACCATGTTTGAAGCATTACCAATTTACCGTTAGCTTTTACGTTTTTAGTAGCTAATGCTTCTCCACTTATAGCTATAAGAAAGAGCGATAATTGGCTTTTCCGCTGGTATCTTGCCACTGAGCTACCGCGGACGGACTCCTGGTTGGATCTTCTGGTGCCCTAAGGGTGCTGCGTGACCAAAGTTAGCGCGGCAAGTGGAAACAGAGTTATGACAATACGATCCCTGTCAGGATGGGGAATGACTCTTACATACCAGAGAGACGGTATGGTAAAGTATGTAACGACTCGGTACTGCCTCTTGCCAGAGCTCCACCGGCTCCTGAGGATTCTCTCACTCAGCCCCAGCAAAACAACAGTTGCAGCCCCTCCTGGCTTTGTTGCCTCCGTCCGCTCCGGGCAGTCCTCTTCCTTTTTCTTCGCTCCCGGTCCTGTTCTTTTCTATTTCTTGTCCCGCCATCGATTCATGATTTGATTCCCCATCCCACAACCCAAAACTAAACCAACAAATATTGTCCCTTCCAAATACCCTTCGCTACTCACTTTGCAATCTTCCTCTCTTATTTCTTCCCTTTTCGAAACACTATCATTACCATTTTCCCATCTCCTTTTGTATCTTTCTGTCTTATATACCTGCATTTCAACTGCCTTTCCGCCGTCCATACCCTTTCTTTCGCCACATCAAACATCAAATAGCCTTCTATTCGAACTCAGGTATCGAGTGTGCTGATTGTCTTCTACGCTCACTTCGACACCTTGAGACTTGTGATATAACATATATCTCCTGTCTTATTCTACACGCTTCGCCAAAAAAACAACAACAAGAAAATCAACAACAATGTCTGCCTTCTTCTACGGTCATCACCAGCAACAGCATCAGCAACACCCACACCAGGGCGCTGCTAGCCATATGCCATCGTCAAGCAACCATCATGGCCGCTCTCGCAGAGGTCCCAAGATGGCAGCCCAAAATGCTCAGCGTCAGTTCCGGGGAGTGAAGAGTATGAGGGAGTTGGCTGAGGCCCCTGCCGTGACGGCCTTCCGCGCACGGTTTGAAGCTGGACGGTCTTTCGATCTTGACGACGACCTCGAGTTTTGCCCAGGTCTCCTGACAGAGGACGATGTACGTTATAAACGCCCGGTTCTCGGATCTCCTGTGTGCCTAAACATAGGCGGAGCGCCCCGGTTCCCCTCCAATCGTTGAAGTCGAGCATGCTATTAACATTCGAACTCACAGCTGCACTCAATCCACTCCGCTTCTTCAGATCGCTCGTCTCTTTCCAGTGGTTCTCCCGACTCGTCTCCACTTCAGCATCAAATTCAACCTGTTCAGCAGGTCACGCCAACCATCTCCTTGTCTCCTGCGTCTTCCAACTCGTTCATGCACTCCGGAGTTGCCGGTAATCTTAATATGACTTTCCAACAGCAGTCCGCAGTTCGCACTCGCAAAGTCATCCCTATCGTCAATCCTAATACGGGCATGACTCTGACCAGCCCCCCAACTTCGATCTCGCCTGGCGCGATGCAGAACGCTCAGCGGCGGTGGTGAAACTTGCTATCTGCCAGGTCGCCATGTCAGTGACAGGGGCCTCCGCTCATGGCTTGTTTCCACCTTTTGACGTCCACGCTTCTGCATCATCGGGGTTCCCTAACCGCGGGTCATCTTCCATTCTTCTCTTATTTTCCGGTACTATTTTCCATACGGCCATCGCATTTTATCACGACTCTACCGACGTTTCTTTTACGAGCGCAAGAAACCGAAGAGGATAAACTAGTGTTTCCTGTATATACACTTTTCTCCGATGACGACCCACAGCACTTCTTAGATTCTCTGCGATGCTTTCGACTTACTGCGAGCGACGGCGCCTGCGATTCGACTTCCGTTTTGCATTCACACCTTTTTTTACTTTTCTCACACGATACCTTATTCAATCTTTCGGTTAGGGAAAATACTACTCTTTTTGGCCCCGGGGTTTGACCGCGATGATGTATAGTAGCGCGGCTCGGCGCTTTCATGTCCATGGTCTGGAGTTGCTTTCTGTTCGGTATGCTTTGGTGACTGTGTCAGATATGCTTGGTGTTGCTGCCGATTTATCGTCGGATGTTTCCTTTTTGGGGTTATTGATTTTTTTGGGTGGGACGGAACTCTCATGCTTCAAGGGATTAGAAAGGCGGAAACGATATACGTCTGCATTGTTGGGTTGATATTCTGGGTTTTGATTGGAAATTTCCTCTTTTGCTGGGCTGATGTTCCCATATTGTCCTTGCCAATGCTTGTCTCTTCTTTCATTTCTTTTTTTTTCATGTTTTTCTTTCCCTGTAAATTGATTGTGTGTGCGTGTTCAGTGGTGTTTGTTGCTCCTTGGCAGTCAAACCCACTGGCTGAGATAGGTCTTCCCGAAATCTTTCGCGAGTCCTAGACCACGGTGCACTTTTACCTTTCAAGAAAAAAAATTGGTTCTATTTGCAGCATCGTTGGCCGATGCTCGCGTTTTCGATTCTATTGCTTCCACGTTGATTCGTCTGGATGTTCTTCTGATTTGTTATCTTCCTCTCCTGGAGAGCTGATGCAGTGTATGATTTTTTTTATTTTTATTTCTTTGAAATAATCAACAATCTCACCACACATCCTTAATCGATCTACCCTATGGTTGCTGATTCTGAAACAATGGCTCTCATTCCAGACAGAGTTGTCAGTTGGCTCAAAACGGGTCTTTCTTGGTGACTCGTATAAGATCAAATTGATCAATATTTGACTCCTGGACGATCCAGATGATCAGACTTCTTTCTAAGCCCTGGAAATCTGGGTGACAGGTCAACAGAAGCTGCTGTAAAGATAGAGAGAGTGCTGGACAACAGCCAAGAGAAGGATGCTGGAGAGTGAGTATGTCCACAACGCTGAGGGTTAAGACTCTGAACGGGGTTCATTCCACGATTATGAGTGCCTTGCTAGGACGAGGCTCAATTATCATCCCTCCTTAAGCAGGAAATCTGCCTCCAAGTCTTCTCTTGCTAATGATGTCATTGCAATGGTTCTGTGCAATCTTGTGCGAGGGAGAATTGGGCGAAGGATAGATATATCAATGATTGCCCAGGAGATGACCGATATTCTACTCCCTCTACAACAGTGTCACAGCACAGTATATCTGCAGCAATTGCTACCGTAGATTTCCCCCAGCCATTCAAAAAATTGCCCATGCAAGCAATATAGAAAAGCTATACTACTACTAAATGCCAATGATGCTACTTCCATTCGCCCTTCGCCCGCCAAGACCAACTGTCGATCGAGTACCCGTGACGTCACCACTGACACCATTGCTGGACGCAGTGGGACAGCTTCATCGATTGACGACTTGCTGAAGATCATTTCTCTCCCCCCCAGAGATTGAATCGCTTCCGGAAGCGCCCAGGTAAAGTTGGACCGAGGTGGATGCATTGTCGTCGAGTTGCGTATGGGTCTGGCCGCAACTTATACTTAAGACGTCCTTCTCTCCCCCCCCTGATTCCGGTGCAAAGATTGTTGTTACTCATATACTCAAACAGAATACTATATCTATTCTTGGCATTGAGGAATTGAAACCCTTGATCTCTCTTCTATACTCTATATCTTAAAGAAGTGAGTTGTTCCAAGCATCGCTACTGCTAATTTGTCCGCCCTCAACCAACCTCCCTTCATCATCTGCGCCATAGTCGGAATCAGCCAAAAGTGCTAATACGGCCATCCCTAAGCAGAAACCACCATCTATCCAACCACCATGTCATTCCTCTCCACCGTCCGCACCTCAATCGCTCCCCGCGTGGCCCTCAGACCAGCCTACACCGCCGTCTCGGGCTTCCACAGCTCCCCCGCTCGTGCGGCCCTGAATGAGTCGGATCACAGTTCGTTCTCCCCTTCCTCATCCTCTGCCCCTAGGCAATCTCCCTCCGAAGAAATGGAATTGGCTAACTCCTCCCCACCCACAGACCGCGATAACCTGGACTCCTACTACGAGGCCGAGAAGCAGGACCAGCTCAAGAGCACCAAGGAGGGCAATGCGAAGTGGAAGGGCGGGCTTGCCAGCAACAGCGAGGCATCGGTATGACTCTTAAAAAATTCCCTAGATATCAAAGAGAGGTGAGAATGATACTAATACCGGCAGGATAGGTCAAGGCGGACCGCGGCGAGGTCGACAGCGACGACAAGGACTTCAGCTCATTGCAGGACCGCACCAAGGGCCTGCCTAATCGGAGTGGTTCTGTGAACAAGACACAATAGACTTGGATCTCGTTACTGGGTTGATTGTTCTCTTTATCGGCAAGGCGAGCTGAGCTGGCTTTGATCCGCTGGAGTTCTTTGTTTTTTAATGATGTCATGTATTTTTGTCACAAGAATATCTATGGAAAGTAGTTGAGAACCATTTGATTGTATTGTATTTGCGAGTTCCCATATAAAACGGAGTGGATATCAAGGAGCGTATTCGTATCGAGATTAATAACAACAAAAGTTCCGACGAACGCCCCCTTACACAAACCAATAGCACACCTGTAGGAATTTCGAACCTGTAATGGAAAGCAGAAGAACGCCGTATTCACCATTGAGAGTTTGAAAGTCCCAGAGTCCCGAGTAGAAGTGAAAAAAAAGAAAAAGAAAAGAGATGTTTCGTCAGGCCTCACGGATTATATAGATCGAGCACTCATTTCAAGATGACAATGAGGATGACGAGAATGATGATCAACCCAATGATGGTCATCATGCTCCAGTTCTCCCCAGCGCTTTTCCTGATCTTGTCTAGTCGGCGTCTTGCGCCGTCCAACCGTCGCTGGTGTCGTTCCACGTCGCCGTCCATACCATCGAGCAGGGCGACATGACCCTCCAGCTCATCGCCAATCTGGATGCTCAGCTGGTGCTGCCGTCCAATGGACTCCCCGAGCCGGTCGAGCTGTTCATCCTGCTCACGGAGCACATTCGCATGGTGGTCGTAGATCTGCTCGTTATCCATGCTGGTCGCATCCAGACCCGGCGGCGACGGCGAGTCGCGATACGGCTGGAAGAGGTTGCGACGATTCAAATCAGCCTCCTCTGTGGCGGAATCCATAAACCGCACAGACTTGGAAGACGGGTGCTGTGGAACCGGCTGTTTCAGGTCGGGCGACGAGTTCTTGACGTTGGCAAACTCGGAATCTAGGAAATCGTCCTGGCCGCGGAACTGCGCGGAGAGGTCTTGATACTGTGACTGCAGGTGGCCGAGTTGGTCTCTGAGATCCGCGGCTCCGTCATCGTGGACGTCTTCTAGGCGTGCGACTTCTGCTTCTACCGACTCGATGCCTTCTCGTAGCGACTCCAGTGAACGAGAGATCTCTCCATCTTGGCTGTTGGGCTCCGGGTCCAGGGAGATCGCCCGTTGTCGCTCCAGCAGCGACAGCTTGATGTGATCGGCAAGAAGAAGGAGCTGGGATGGATTCGTCATTGTGATATGGAGTGTTGCGCTTAAAGGGGTCGTAGGATCGGTATGTGACGAATAGGACACCTCCGGAAGGGTGTGAGACTTGGATGTCCGGGCTGACTGCCGTGTCGATGGCTGATGAGGCAGTAATGTGGAGAGGGTCTGAGAATCGGGGAATGCGGAATGCGGTCTAGGGGTCGGTCTGCTGGCGATGGCTCGAAGGAAATAGGAGCACTTGTGAAAGGAGTTGAACGATGGTTGTTGCCGGCGAGGGGGGAAGGGCTTGAGGGTATTAGTCTAGATGGGTCGATGAAACAAATGAAGGAAGATGGGGATGATGCTGATGCTGATGCTGATGCTGACAGGAAGATGAAAATGGCTTGGGAGGTTTGAAGTTCTCAGCCGGCCGCGGGCTGAACAGCCATTTTCCGCAATACTTCAACTCCCCGCAATGATCGCTGGCTTCCCTTTCCTCCCTTCCATCCGATGCGATCTTCCCCCTCCCCCCGTTTCTTTCTCACTCAACCCTCTCCGCAACAGTCTTCCTGGATAGTTCGAGACCGTCAGCATCGGCACTAGTTGCGTGCTTTATCTATTTTAAAGTAATCCTCGAACGAGCCGCAGCCACTGTGTGACCCTCATGGGTTGTTGTTGTTTCATCTTCAGACCTCCACGGCAACTCGATAGACGATCATTTCTCAATCATCCCTGGTTGGCTGGGACTTGAAGGCTGGGGGCTGTGGCCGTATTTAACCAAGATCAGTCAACAGAGGTCTTTGACTCTTGCTCGACATGAAACTCGAGGAGCTTCTGATGATGGAGTCGAGCTGTGATCGCGACGAGCTGGTCGATCTGCGTGGCTTGGACTATGTGACCAGCTTTGACGACCACCTCATGTGTCCAATATGCCACTGTCCCTTTATCCGTCCAGTTCGCTTGCAGTGCGACCATGTGTTCTGCCAAAAGTGCCTGAATTCCGCCATCACCTCCTTTGCCGCTGGTCGGGATGATTTCACATGTCCAACCTGCCGGTCGCCGACTCGGGATGTCTACCTCAACGTACCTCGACTGCTGATCAACATGTGCGACGATGTACGGGTTAAATGTCCGTTTACGGCAGAGGGATGCAAAGAAATTGTACCGCGAGGTCATATTCAGTCCCACGTTGACAAGTACTGTGGGTACAGCCTCATGGATTGTCCGAGTGCGGTTTGTGACAGGAAGACAAGGAAGAAGGATCTGAACCCTGAGCAGAAATGTATGCACCAGCTGCATCAATGCTCCCGCTGCGAGGAGGAGGTTATGGAACAGGACTATGAGGTTTGTGCTCTGTTTATATTTTTTCCGGAGGTGATGACTGACAGTCATTCTTACAACCTACCAGGAGCATGTCAAAGAGTTGTGTCCTAGTCTGAGAACCACTTGCCCCGATTGTCAGACAATGGTGTTTCGAAAAGCGCTGCGAGAGCACATCGACACCTGTTCAGAGGCAATACATGCCTGCGCGGCATCGAAATACGGGTGCCCTGTCAAAGTCAAACGGGCCGATTTAACGAATCATCAGCAGATCTGTCCATTAATTGCCATGGGCCCTTACTTTGAAACCCAGAACGCACGCCTTGACTCTATGGAATTGACGATTCGCCATCTCCAGCAGCGAAACGAGATCTTTGAGGACGGGATTGCCAATATCCGCTCTACCCTACTTGATGCTTCTCGTGCACTGCCTGGACAGGACATGGACTTGCGATCAGGCTCTTCGGGCCACCCAACCCCCTCGAGCTCTCGGTATGCGGCTGACGATCAATCACACATGGATGGTTCTAACGCGTCGGCTTCCAATGCCGCCACCACGACATATCTGCTCGCTCTCCACGAGTCCCTCCGGGAAGAGGTCGGCCAGCTGTCACATGCAATCACCGATCTAGACGCTCGGGCCAGCATGGCTATTATGAATGAGTGCCTCCGTCTGAAGGAGGACATGGCCCATACAAATGCTGCCGTCAGCAGCATCCGCATGCAGGTCCAGTGGCTCATGAATCCTCGTCTACATCAGGGCCAACGGGCTGCGGGTGTGCGATCAAATACCGGCGGCAACGGCAATAACCAGGAGCCTAGGCCTGGCCAACTGGGATCGTCCAACTCTGGTCCGAGCAGCTCGGCTGGCCCGTCTGGCTTGCTCCGTCCTCGAAGACCCAGTGACAGCGGACGAGAAGGCACCAAACTTTGATGCTTTGTTCTGCCTCTCCTTGGTCAACCCTATGAATAATGATTGTGAGATAGACCGGTTTGGCGAATCCCTAATTAGATGCACATGGAATCCCTATCCAAGTATTGGGCATCTGTGTATCAAAAGACGCATGTATATAGTATGAAGCGCTGCTAGAGTTCACTGATATATTGTCGGCATTGCACTTTCCGCATCTCTTGTTCTATTTGCCAGCCTCATTACACTTCGATCCTCCATCATGGAATGCCTGTACATAATACCCATGGTGCAATCTGAACTAATTATCTCAGGCTGTAGCGAAGCTACAGTTTATACATGTCACACACGTCCTTCCGAATCTCGTCGTATGTAAAAGGACCCGCCCAAGTCTTGGTACTGGCCATTTGATCCTGATAACAGCGGACAATCAGCAAAACAGAAAAATAAAAATAAAAATAAAAAATATGCAAAAGTAGATGGATGCCGTATGAGGACGACGAAAAAAGAAAAGCCGAACGCGGGGGTCGAACCCGCAACCTTGAGATTAAGAGTCTCACGCTCTACCGATTGAGCTAGCCCGGCAGAAGTTGTTGAAGGGCTGAATTTTATTTTAACATATATCCCAAGCCCAAAACTCCTACAACGTGTGAACACCAATGTCAAATCTATTTCAATGATCAAATGATGAGTGAAGACCACAAGACTGTGCTGCAAGGTGATTGAACCCTGTTTTTTACTTGAGGAGGTTTATGTATATGTGATCAGTGTGTCAGACCCATCAGAACCCATGATATTAGGCATTTCACTACATCATATCATCACAGTCATATGTTCACAAATTAGAAATATATATCCAACCCATGCAATAACCATACACCAGCCGACACATCCACGCGGAAAACTAGTCAATCAATACCGATGCCCACCGGAGCCATATCCATCACTATATCCCTGGCCGGGGTAATTGTTATGCCCCTGGCCGTATCCCTGCGATTGACGGTGGTGATGTTCCTGATGCTGGTGCTCTGGACGTCCGTAGCCAGGACCCGTAGGCGGTTGGCTATATTGGCTTCCGTAGCGTTCGTCATGACGCCCGCCGTGATGACCACCGGGATGCTCGCTGTAGTCGCCGCCAGGGTATGGTCGGCCGCCGGAGTACTGCTGGTGATGCTGAGGGCGTGATTCGTACTGAGGCTGCGGCTCAGGTGGTGTGCTTTCGCCTTGCTCTCTCGAGGAACCACCGGGCAGGAAACTGGAGAAGGCACCCTCCAGCTTGCCCAGATTGGATAGGCCAGGAATGGGAAGCTTGGAGAGCTGGTCCCATGGAAGAGAAGAGCCCTGCTGCTGGGTTTGTTGCTGCGGCTGGGACTGGTGATGGGACGAGTATTGCTGATGACCACCGTGCCCGTGACTGGGCTTGTTACCCCCCAATGCGGGAAAGCCGCTGCTGCCGCCACCGTGTGAGTGACCGACCTGGCCGCCATTGTTTTTTCCTGTCTTGACGCCCTCGGAGCTGAGGATATCATTGAGATCGGCACCACGGCGGGGACGGGAGTGTGCCCAAGCCTCTACCGCCTCGAACATGGTCCGGTGTGCCTCATTGCGCATGTCCCGCAAGGCAGGATGGTGGAATATCCGCAGGCAGTCCTCAAGAACCTGCTGGTCAGGGACTTCGGTATGTTCCCAAGCGTACAAGACGCGAGGAGCTACATACTTGAGGATGGCCGAGGCGACCCGACCGGCGGGTTCGTTGAGCACGTTGGAGAAGTGATCCTTGGAAAGCATCGAGTGTGTGGGGTCGGTGCAGTGAGGGTCGGTCCATGGTTCAAATTGATGCTCGCCGGAGGCTTCAATCACGCCCGAGGAACCAGTTTGCAGCGATTTGGAAGCGGCATTGATGATGGGACGAATGAATGGGGCCAACAGAGACATGACGAAGACCGTCAAAGTCTCGCTGATCTTTTCCACTAGCGACTCCAGGCCAGGGATCTTCTCGATGATCGCCGACAGCTTTCGGACTACATTGTCTCTGAATTCCAGGATGGGGTAGATCTGAGAGACAGTCTTGGATGGATCGAAGTCTGGCAACCCTGGCAAGCCAGGTCCAGCCGAACCGCCGGAGGAAGAAGGCCTGTTGGACCCGGACGCCCGGCTGCGCGACTCTCCAAAATCGCGATCAACGCCCGAGCTGTAGTCATCAAAGCCCCGAGACGATTCCTGCGAGGCATACCCCGACCGCTGACCGGCGTGCTGGTTAGCGTACTGCTGAGCCTCCGAGCGGCGCTTGAGCTCTTCGGCCTGAGAGACAAGATCCCGGGTTCCCGGAATCTTTCCCAGCAAGCCCGTGAAAGCAGCAAGGGATCCACCAGACGAGTTTGCCTGAGCATCTCCAAGAGCAATATCCATTTCGTTGACCTCCGACTGTGTGAAATGGTCCGTGGCTTCCCCAAGGACGGAGTGGAAGAAGTCGACCATACCGAAGGTGCCAGTCACCAGAGGGAAGACACGATGGCCGTGGAGGTTCATCTCCGTTGCCGCACCAGTGTGGGGGAACACATTGCGGAAACCCATCTCGCGAAGTGCGAGTTCGCAGTAGTTGGTATGCGCCGCAAAATCCTCCAGGGTATGAAGGCCCTGTCCCAGGCATCGCAAGGCCTCGTTGAGGTCCTCCTCGTTTCCTTTACGGTGTCCACTAGTATACAACCTTCCGTAGTGGATGCTCCGGGCCAGACTATATTTGATGTAGGCGGTACTAGTAGCCCAATCTCCTTGTTCGTTGGCGATGTAGTTCTTCATACCAGTCTGGGGATCGATATCGAGTTCAACCCGGCGGACCGGGCCACGGAGTCGAGAGTCGTACTGGCGAGCATCCTGGTTGTCTGCGTAGTCTTTGGGATTACTAGCGACAAGCACAATGTCAGTATCCGACAAAGTAAGGCAAAGGAGCACAGGATCAGCCCCCTTCCCCAAGGTTGAACGTACTCAATATGTTCCTCCGGGCGATAAACACCGAGTCTATCCAGCGTAACCTCGTATTCAGCCGTCGCATAGCCAAATGTCATGAAAGAAAGGATCCAAACGAGAATGCGGATGGTATCGGCGGGAATGCTCTTGAGGGTACCAACGTCCATTGCCTGCGAGCTTCAGAGACAGACATTGGAATTACTTGCTCGTTCACAAACATCCAGAATCAAGGAATACTCACTAGTCTCGCAGCCAGTTTCCGAAGTAAACCCGCTTGATCATGCTGGATGTCCATTTGTGGCCTTTGATAAAGGCGATCGTCTTGAGCATGTCCTCGATGTCGCCATGTCGCCAGTTCTTGCCCTCGACGGCAGAGATAGAAGCGATGTCTGATTGATGTTAGCGATAGAAAATAGAATCGATGTGAAGCAGGTAGAAGATGAACATACTGCCAGCGCCGAACGCATGGACCTGAGAAGGAAGCAGAACAAGAAGCAAAGCGACAACGAGAAGAGCGTTGAAGCTCAGACCCATTCCCCGAGCCATAGCGTGATGTGAAGAATGGTAGATCACTAAATCATGCAAGGGATGCTGTCAGAATGGATTGATGGAAGCGTGTCGATAGTAAAGTTGAGAAGCGAATGGCAGCTGCAGGGAATAATATGGAGTAAGTATCAATCGATGATTTTCGGAGCCCCGCTAAATATCATCAGCTACGGAGTACGCTCGATCGCAAACTGGACCCCTCCAGGTGAGAAAAAAGATAGCAAACAAATAATACAGGGAGATTTGGGTACGAGACTACGAGACCATGGACTGGCACAGTTGTTTTGTTTTCTTGCTGACCCACGGTACTGACTCGGGGTATTTTCAACAATAATATAAGAGCACCAAGGTAGTCAAGCAAATGTCTAGCTGTAACTGTAATACAGGCAATACCAATAATGTAACCATAGCAGGATCCCCGCCTGCTTCTTTGGGTCTGCGCGGGGTTACTTACCTGGTTATTTTCAAAGCCATTGTATCATCATGATCTTGGATGCTGCTAGGGAGGTTAGATAGGTATCTCTAGACTCGAGGTAGTCTCTACACCATTGAGATCACAACATTCAGGGTGGGATAGATTCGACAAGGTAGTATTCAATCTACTACTACACTCCGATGCTCATGCAGAACCCCCTCATTGCCCATGTTCAACAACTAGATAAGTACTCCTACAAAAGGCAACCAACCCCACCCGCTTGATCGATCATAGGTAGTCATACAAATAAATCTACTGGACTCATCTATATCCCAAGACACCGCAAGCTACGGAGTCCTCTTCCCAACAAAGAGCCCATCAACAACCATGACCATCACAACCCCCCACCTCTCCGCCCTCCAACGCGACGGCTTCGTCGTCGTCCCCTCCCTCCTCACCCCAGACGAAATCACCCACCTCCGCACCGTTGCCGCAAACGCAACAACCCTCACCCGCGCTGGCACATGGCCTCACTTCCGCACCGTTCCCAAGCAATTCCCCCCCTGGCCCACGACCCCGCCCCCGCCCTCCGAAGGCGGCATCTGGGGCGTCCAGCACCTCCTGCACCCACGCATGCCGCACCGCACCGACTTTGCCCGCTTCTACTTCTCCGACAAACTGCTCGCCGTCGCAGAGGAGCTGCTCGGCCTCTCCCCGGGCCAGGACCACACACACGAGCCCCTCGTCATGGAACTTTTCAACCTGCTCGTCGCGCCCGAGACCAGAGACTTCGAGCTCCGCTGGCACAGAGACGATATCCCCGACACCGTGCCGGAGGCCGAAGAGCTGCGGCTCCTGCAGGCCAAGAGCCCGCGCGGCCGCCAGTCGCACGCCCAGTATAACCTCGCGCTGTGCCCCGATGAGTCGCTGATTGTCGTGCCCGGGTCGCATCGGCGCGTGCGCACGGCCGCCGAGCGCGCGGCCGGCCCGTATGAGAGAGACATGCCCGGTCAACTGGTGGTTAAGCTGCAGCCTGGGGATGCGGTCTTCTATGATAGTAATATTCTGCATCGCGGAGTGTATCGGGCGAAGCCGGACGGGGGCGAGGAGACGCGTTTAACGCTGCATGGGAGTGTGGGGTTGAAGGCGTCTGGAGCCGGGGATGCGGGGGACGAGGATGATGCTGATAAGAAGGTTCGGGCTACGGTGGTTCTGCAGCATGGGGTTGGGGCCTGGGTGCACCAGGACGACGCGGCGTTTGGCATTGGGGAGCGCGCGGAGAAGATGCGGGCTAATCTGATTGCGCTGGGCACGGGGGAGGGTGTTGGATACTCCCTACAGGGCTGAAAGGAGTTTCATTGCAAGGAGTTCCTTCTTATTCAAAATTGCGTAGAATTGAGTGTTGGCACTTGCAGGCCGGTATCTGACACAAGGGGTATCGATTTTCAATGAACATGACGAAAAAAAAAAAAAAAAAAAAAAAAAAAACCCGAACGAATTGACTGAGGATGTCATCGTTCGATATCAAGTATACAATGGAGCCGTAATCGTTGCCGTAACTCATCAGATCATCATTCACCCGTCGAGCGGTCGCTGTCCGCACACAAAATGGAACACCACGTAGATATGCAAGTGGGGTTTTAGTAGCTCCATCCGGACTTTGTCCACATAGGCTTGAGCATCCTCGCAAGACCAGCCGAGGACCCGAGTGAAAAGGGCGAGTGTGTATGGCTCCACGGCCTCGTATACCGTGATCCTGCCCGCTCTTCCGATTTCTTTCAATCGGGGACTCTTGGGCCATGATCCTACCGGACACTGATTCGCTCCGTCAGCCCGACCATCCGAAGCTTTTACGCCACAATATGTGGAAGATAGGAGACCGTACCTTGTAGCTAGAGTCCGTGACATTGACAAACCCGGCATCTTCCATCCACCCTCTCATCTCTGGCGCAACGTTCATGTACTTGCCAAACTGCTTGCTGGCGGCATTGACATACTCCTGCCACTCCAGCACCAACGGCGCTTGCTGCACGGAATCGTCATCGGAGCGGATGAAGGACTCGTACTCTTGGATCTCGACCCAGCCGCCGGGCTTGGTATGCGCGTATGCCTGGCGCAGGAAGCGGTTCCAGTCAGCGATGCCGCCATGCATGCTGCGCGAATGGATGTAATCGAAGGCCTCCTCTGGCGTAAACGTCCAGTCGCTCTCGGCGTCGTCGACGTTGAATACGCAGTTCGGGGGCGCCCAACTCGGCTGGATAGGGCTCAGATCGGTGCCCACGATCTCCGCGTCGGGGAAGTCATCGGCCATTTCCAGCGCCCAGATGCCGGTGCCGGTGCCCACGTCGAGGATCCGTTTCGGCGAGGTGTCGTTCGCGAGGATTGGAGCGCGATATAGATCGCCGCCGAGTAGGAGCTTGAAGAGATGGTGCATGAAGGCGAGGCGGTCTTGTTCTTCCTCGTCGTTGGGCATGGGGTAATGACCCAGCCGGTAGGCATGGTATCGGCGACCATTTTCGTAGCAGTAGTCTCGAGCGGTTGAGGCGAGGGTAAAATTCGAGTCTATGAGAGATTGTGTATCGCAGACGGAGTCTTCATCGCTAGTCTAGAAATTGATGGTTAGCGCCAGTCATTGTTGGAGTATTATAGTCAGGGGTGTCCGTCTTGAAGACACCTTGAAGAGGGGTAATAAAACCACCCTGGACAGCATGAAGAGGAGCATCCTGGAAAGAAAAATAAACAGAAAAAAAAGAAAAGGCACATGTGTACATGCAGATGGATTTGGGATTCAGTAGAGCCGGGTTCATTCTTCTCTGAGCAGTGAGAACAGCCAATATAAACAGCAAGCCAGCATCAATGCAGCTATGTTGTTGTATACGATACAATAAATAGTGCCGCAGCCAGACCAATGCAGTGAATACACCGAATTTCGGGGGATCATTCCCGCCAAAATATATATATATATATATATATATATATATATATAAATTGAGGAAGAGATCAAAGAAAAATGGTTGGGAACTTACATCCACAAGGATTTGTTCGTCGAGATTCGGTTGTGTCATTTGAGGATGCTGAAGCTGGACCTGAGATGGGAAACAAGAAACGAGAGGGAGGAAAGAGAATCTATGTGAGTCTATAAAGCAAGATGTAAGAGAGAGAGAGAGAGAGAGAGAGAGAGAGAGAGAGAGAGAGAGAAGGACAGAAATCGTTGAAGAAAAATTGAAGACTTGAAAGAAGTGCAACTGGGGGGATGGACCAGCTAAATAATAATAACAATACCAAGCCTCCAAGGTATGGCCTCGAATTGCAGCAGACGCCGAAACCAATATTAATCAATAAATGATCGATCAATGGCATCCGTCAGATCGGACGAAGCTCCAGAACCCACGATCAGGGAAGAGGAGGAGAGAAAGAAAAAAATGAGAGAGGAATCGAACCAGTTAGAAGGGTGCCATGAATTGATCACCTCTTACAAACCGGACAACTTCCTGGAATGAGTCGAATGTCGATAGTGATACACACAGTACACTTAGAGATAGTGTATGTAGCTACTAGCTAGTAGCAGTAGGTAGACTCCTAGACTACTAGCTAGTTGGTATCTAACTAGCCAGAGGTGGTATCTAGTAGCTAGTTAGTGCATTGAGCACTGAGACCGAGCACAGAGCAGGGGTTCTGGTCCCGGGGAAGAGGATGATGGATTCCATGCTTACAGGCTGGGGGGCGGTGTGAGTGCCCAGGGCTGTGGTTCTGGGATTGAGAGTATGCCGCCATGCCCTCTGTATGGACGGAATGTTTTGACGATTATTCCTCTTGTTCGACTAGGTAAGGTATAAGTAGGTTAACCTTACTTGGATACACAGACAGTTCCCCCACCTTAGGAGTAGTTAGTACTAGGTAGTATGTACTACCAGAATATCCTTCTTCTCGCTGTTACATACATGACTTGTTCATTTTAGCTGTAGAAGACTACTAGTCCCACAAGTTACTTACTTATACTGCACTATCCCTCCTACTCTCAACGGGCATGTCTCTCATACACCGTGGATACTGTCATCTCAGTAGGTAGTAGGTACACGGATGGTACTAAGATGGTGATACCAGAATCTGTCCAACAGCTACCTAGGTACCTCAGTTCTAAGGCAGAGACACCCCGCACGGCTGGACCCGGTTGGGCCTGAGTCACCAATCGGATGCCTGGTTGGAGGCGATCAGCCAATATGTCGGGTTCAGGACTTCAGGCCTCTACGTTGTTTGCCAGAGGGGTTTGACTTTTAGACTCCATACTCGAGTCATATAGATTATGTAGGATATGGATCCTCACACTCCTCCACAAACCCATAGAGTAGATGGATATCCATCCCTTTGTCTAGAGAATCCTCGCCTGGTCATCTCAACATATCCAGCAGTATCTTAGATACCCCCGCACCACTAAACCACCCAGGAGTGCCTACAGCCTACCAGCCCCAATCCAGAGGAGATGATTGATGTATTTTATAAGCGCGCCCCTTCACCCCCCAAAATACACACAATCGGAGTCCCCGAACCCTCCCTCTAAAATATATTACTCCTGAAGACAAGCCAACCCGAAACAGCAAAAGTACACGCTACCACTTGTCATCAGCCCGTGACTACTCCGTAAAAGATAGTGCTAGATAAGTTACCAGCTGACGATGTACGGTACTTAACTGTATGGACGATGGACCATGGATGATGGAGTCTTGTCCCTCTACGCCAGACGCCTTGGGTGCGTTTCTAGTCTCGTCCCTGTTCCTGAAGCGGCATTTCTCTCGCTTCCAGGGCTCTGGTCTCTGGAATTCGCTTTGTGTCACGGGAAACCACATGTCCAGGCCATTGGTCATGCAGGCTGGATGTATACTCTATTATTACGAGGGTTGCTAGTGCTAGTGCCTGGCTTAGTTGGCCTATTGTTGTCAGTGGGCTAAAAGGTTCCGGTGCCTTTTTTTTTTTTTTTCCTCTATCAATTAATTAATTAATTTATTTTTTTTCTGTTCTATTTTCTCTTGAAAGGAAAAAAAAAAAAGAATATTCCGTATCATGGCTTTGTTCGGTATCAACTAAGTACATATCGTGATGATCATCAAGTCTGGGTCCAGAAGCCGGGATTTGAATTCTGGACCACGTCATGCAGCAAGAACGAGAAGCTAATCATGCTAGGAGGAACAAGCCTCAAACGCCCGGCTCGAGGACCCCTTTCGCTTCGCTTCGTTTCGTTTCATTTCGCGCTCCTCCAATTATCCGACACTCCGAAGTTTCTCCTGCTCATCCGGGGTCAGCGCCGCAAACAGTTGTTGGAATTCGGGCTTGGTGGATGCATTGCGGAAGAAGTCCAGCAGGAATGCCTGGGTCTCGTCGTCCCGCTTGCGCACGCCAAACACCCCCTCGTTGCCTCCTTCGCCAAACGCCATGAGCTCTTGCTTGGTGATACCCAGGTTCAGATCCAGCGTGCCGCTAGGGATGTCCTCCCACTCCCCATCGTCGTCGCTGTCCTCTTCCTCCAAGGCGGCTGCAGCTGCGGCATCAATCTCCTTGCTTCCCGATGCTGCGGCCAGTTCTTCAACCAGGACTTTGATAATCTTCAACGGGGCTGTCACCGTCGTATAGCGGTCTGGGTTGTTGCGCGTCTGCGACCGAGTCTTGATGCGTCCCGTGTCCTGGATAATGAGGTCGCCCTTGACCTGCACCTGAGCCAATCGGGGATCCTCGAGGTTGTACAGTGTGGCCAGAGCAATGATGTTCTGCTTGATTTCGTCATAGCCCGCAAAGTTCACCGAGTTCTCCAACCACTTGCTCAACACAATCGGTAGGCCGCTCTGACCACTGATGTCGACTTGCGCCAGGAAATCAACCACCTCGTGGGCGTTGATGAGAGTGAGCCGGGCAAACACAAGGATCAGACTCTGAATAAACTGTGCCTGTTCGGCAGTGGCAAGCCGCTGCGCCACGGCCCGAAGAAGCTGTGGGAGATACGGTCCCAGTCGCTCCGAACCGGCCTTTTCTACCAGCTCAGCAGCGAGCTGTCCAACTTCTGTTGCAGCATTGTCATCAACCGAGGGACTCAGTAGCCGATCGATGATGATCAGCGCAATCTCAACCGCCTCCTTGCCGCTCTGGGGATCGCGCCAGGCTACGAATTGATTGAAGTCATGGGAAAGGATATGCCGTACCGCTTCGGTGGCAGGGCGAATCAGCTCAGCGTCGGTCGAGTCCAAGAGCAGTCTGTTGAGCTTGGGCATAACGGTCTCCACGAACCCGGCAGGCAGCGGCTCCAAGGCCCGCTCTGTCAAGGCGCGTAGAAGGTCGGCCGCGAAGTTCGTAAGCGCATTTTCTTGGGTAAGGTTGCCAACGTCAATCGCGCCGGTGAGCGAAGGAAGCACCTTTGCACAAAGGCGGATAAAAGCATCGGGTCCCTGCTCGGAGATATTTTCCACAATGTCCTCAAAGGCCTCCGTAACGATCATTGTGAGTTGGAAATTGGTAGCTCCGTTGCTTGCGATATTGAATAGCACATCGATGGCGATGGACGACAAGACCACGCTTGGGTCGACCATAATGACGTCGCGAACTGTCTCAGCCAAGGTGACCTTGAGATCATCGCTATCCGATGGCTCCTGAAGGTCCTGGGCGGAGATGAATTCCGACAGGGTGTTGATGGCGGGAACCTGAAGAGGGATAGTGATATTCTGAGGAAGGGAAGACATGAGATCCTGAAGGGCCCGGATGCATGAGACCTTGACCACTTCGGAGGGATCTTCGGTGATCGCCTTCAGGGTAGCCTCAAAGTAGGATGTAGCAGTAGGCCGGAATGCATCACCTGCAACCTGCGCCAAGATGCCGGCCACAAGGTAGCCACGAGCCCGCAAGAACTCCTGCTCCTGCTGAATTGCGAAGGTGACGAAGTTGTTGAAACCGTTCGCCAATTCAGATGAGATTTGCTGCGAGACCTCGTTAAAGTCGCGTAACAATTGGTTGAGGATGAACAAGGCCGATTCGCGTGATTTCCATCTGCCAGGAGTTTGTTAGCCTGCTCTTCAGAGGGTCTCATAGGTGCAAAGCCAGTTGAAAACTTACGTGGAAGACGAATCCGCGAACAGAACGTTCATGTAGGCAAGAAGACCCTCTACAGTTGTTGTCTTGAGCCACTCGCCCAATTTGACAACCAGATCTCCACTGCAGGTACGAGGGGTGTAGTTGGCGGTCACAGACGTCTCCTCTGAGAGGAAAAGGTTCACGTCAATGTCCCACAGACCTTCTTCTTCAGTGGTGATTTGCGCATAGGAGCTGGCCAACTTCAGAATCTCTGGAAGCCAGCTGGCGGTTGCGACAGCCTGACCTGCGTTCTGCAACTGTTGTTGGAGTTCGGCTTTGACGGGAGGTGCCTTGAGAAGCGCCTGAATCAAGTCCAGTTCCTCCAACACCAGGAAATCCAGAGTGTAAGGGAGTCCATCAACGTCCTCCAAACGGCCCTGTCTTTCGTCGTGGATGTAGAATTCATGGTAGGCAGCCTGGATGTTGGAAAGCTCCGTCCAGACAGTTGAGAAGTAGACCGGGCTCTGGGCAGTCATAAGGCCCGGGAATACCATACGAATCTTCATGAGCGTCTGATAAGAGTGATACCGTTGTCAGCGAGGGATAATCCAGGGCGAGACTTCTTAAGAAACATACCTTGACCACCTGCAACTTCAGCCCAATAGCGCCCCTCCACTGCGAAGGAATCTCACCCTCCTTGGACTCCTCTTGCTCGATGGGAGCCTGTGGTAATGGGGCCTTCAGAGTGGAGATGAAGAACGGAGACCAGCCGCTGAGCACCTCATCCATGAACTGTTTGACTGCCACTTTGTGCTGCTCCAGGACCATCTCAAGGGTATCAAAGCAAGAGCGAAAGACGGCAACGGCCAGAGCCCTCAGCATCGGCTTTCTCGACTCGTTGGTCGCGATGTTGAAAAGAGTGGTAACCAAGTCTCGAGCGACGCCGAAGAACTGCTCCTCGCTGAACCCAGTATCGACCAGATCCAAGAGGACCTTCAACGCGCCATGGAGCGCTCCAGCGCTGCTGTTGACATCGTTAATGATCTGAAGCAGCGACGGGAGCAGCTCTGGCCATTCATCGGGGAAATCGGCACTGGCGATCTTGCTGACAGCAAAACTGGCGGACGACTTCACCTTGCGCTCTTGGACATCTGCGGTAGTGGCCAGATCCAGCAGAACACGTCGGATCTGGGCCTTGTGGGCGTCGTTGATGAGGATCTGGCCCTTGAACTCGTCGAGATTTGGAGACCAGGCGGCGGCGATGAAGGTACGCAGGACCGAGAGAGAGGACTGACGAAGGTTGGTCGGGACGGAGTCGTGCGAAGCGATGGCGGCGAGAGAGAGGGGGAATTGCTCATTGCTGTAGAGACGTAGAAGCTGGAGCTCAGCGGCCTTTCTTGTATCAGCAGCTGGCGACTGGGTGTCAGCCAGGAGTGATAGGAGCTCTTGCTCCATGGCTAGATGAGTTCAAAGGAGGGGAACGGGCGGGGATCGTTGAGCTGCAAATGAGGGACTTGGATGGAGAATATGGAGAGAACTCCGAGAACTCAAGAAGAAGAGCACCTTCCTAAGATCCTACACTCTGTAGATCTGCAGACTTCACTTTTTTTTTCTGCTTTGACGGCACTGCGATGTACCTGATCTGCCTAATACTGATTGGCACAGCCGCGCATTGTCGCGCGATAGGAGGGGCAGAAGATGTTGAAAGCACAAAACATAAAAAAAAAAAAACAAAGGCGGTGAGAGGAGACGATGTATGCCCGATGGGAGGTTTGCAAAAGCAAGATTTGCAATAATGATCAGTTATATCATTTACAGAATACAAGAACACCAAATTTTGCACGGATGCTGTGCGGGATTTTGTCTTGAAACACCAGCTCCTTAATGTTTGCAAATCTTTGAAACTCACAAGAGCTTAAATGATAATCTTTGATAATATTTTAGAAGATTTTAGAAGTGCAGAAGAGTCTATACCTATCCTTGTCCTTATTGCAGTCAAAGAGTGAGGAACTGAGGATATACTGTGTACATACATACCCTGTAAGTTCTGTCACTTGGATTTCATTGCCGTACCTGTAATTAAGTGTGGGGAAAGATCTACCTCAGATCCAAAGATTGCGAAACCACTATCTAATAATTCCTTTTCTGTCAAGTATCTATCCATGACTAGTGAGGTTCCAGTAAGATGCCACCACATGTACATTGATGTCAGAACAGTTCATAGCTGGGCATGTAGTGTATGTAGTACTTTTGCAGAAGGATCATTGGTATCCACTGGTCCTTGCAGGGTTCTTCTTTCCTTTTGGAATGCAGACTGTTTTTGTGTATTCATCTTCTTTCACAAGCTGTGAAGGAATGGGAATCTGATGGTCAGAACCTAGGGACTAGGAGTAGTATGGAAGTATTATGAAATAATGAATGGGGAATAAAGGTCACCACTCATCCATACAGGGAAGACAGAGGAAGTAAAATGCTGATCATCAGTGGAGCCCTTGGGCGGCTTAATCCAGTTGGACTGTTGGAGTGTTTTGTGTGGAGACTTGTTGGATTGTAATTTGTAGGTACTTCTTACAGGGATATCACACCCGACAGGCGGCGAAGAGAGTAGAGTAATGATTCAAAAAGCAGAGAACAACAGAAGCAGAATTATGGGAGGCAACATGAGTTAATCCGATTAGAGAAGACAGTGCAAGCTGCAGAGTAATGAGGAAAAGATGAATAGTGACACTCTCATAAAATGATACAACTGCACATGAAACTACCTAGGTAGCTTCTCGAATCTCCATAGACTCGAAAGTTTCCCAGTACCGCATCATACAGTAGCGCCAGGTACTGGAAGTAGAATGATTTCAGAACAATAATTAACACTGCTTCAATAATGATACTACTACTAGTCTACTACTAATAATAATAATAACAACACCCAATAATATTATTAAGGACAGTATGAACTACAAAGCCTACGTACTCCATAATAACTAGTTGACGGAGCTGTCCAGTGATTTGCTCCATCTACCTTTGGCAGTGTAAATCACACTCAAAACAATATGAACAGATTAGCCATTACTCTTTACTTTTGCGCTTGCCACAATGCTAGGGTCAGAGGCTCAGAGCCAAAGAGAAGAGAGCTAAAGCATTTAAGCACCATCATACATACATGCCATGACGTAGGAGAATGGGGGTGACATGCCAAAGCAGTGGAATACCCACCGCAATCATATTGCTTTGGCCGTTGAGATCGGGGGAATAATATCGAGTATCAGAGCTGAATACATCAGGGGGGGTGAGATAGCAAGTGCTAGTATATCGAATTACTTTCTAAAAAATTCATGAAAACAATATATCTAGCATTTTGCTCTGTTCCTCCATCTCGGTTCAAACCCTTGACAGTTACCTCGTGATGGTATAGAGCATGTCCTCCATACCACTATTACTAATGTCCTGGGATCATTCGCTTCTCTTCAGCAAAAGATGATCGGCCATGGGCGCCATACCGTGTACCAACCATAGTCGTTCTTGAGCCACCCACTTTCGGGTCGTAGTGGAGTAGGAAGAGTTTTTGAGATGAGACCCTCGAGAGCAAACAGTTTATGTGTATCTACCATGCAGCACAGAATGCAACAGCCAGTGCAGGATATCTGGAATCAAGCCAGCGACATCAACAACAATCGGTAGGAGGTATCTCTGGTAGTCATTGCGACTTCTGATAACAGGTATGCACTTGCACCCTTGGGTCGACCAAGTTTGGATCAGGTCTCAAGACTCTGGGTTGGCAGCATGAGCTGTTCCCCTCTGCTCGGTTGTCTATGTAGTATGTGGTTCTCTCATATAGTCCCAGCTTGAGTCATGACAAGTGTGTTGTGGGATTCTGATTTTGCCTCTTCATGTTGTCCCAATAAGAACGAAAGTTCGGACAGCGGATTATGATGATGATGATAGTTTTCCTAGCATGACTCCAGCATGTGTACTCTCGAGTAATCATTGTCATTAGTAGTATCATTACTTATCTACTGTTCTGCAGCGCATCCACTCCCATGACGCAACCACGTGATGGGTTGGGGACTTGACTTCCATACCTTTTCCCCCATTCATTCTTTTCCAGTCTTCCCCCTCCAAAATAATGCCCGTTGCCCACCGTTTTCTCTTTTACTCTTGTGTTGACTAGCTTCCTTTCCCTCGCGTTGCCTTCCTTCTTTTTCACATTCGCTTGTGTGGCGCATATAAGCTCGCCTTGGGTCTGAGCTTCAAATTAATTTCAATTTACTCCTTTTGGGGCGAAGCAGCAAGCCCAGTGCCCACTTCTTCGGTCTTCCGGTCCCTTGCCCAAAAGCAAAGGGGTTCCAAAAGTCATTTGTATCTACCCGTTGAAAGGATAAGGAACAAGGGAGAGAGAATTCCCTGGTTCAAGTATTATTCTTCATCAACTCCCTTATCGTCTTATTTTCCAAGTGTCTTGAGGCTTTCCAAAAGCAAGAATCCTCGAAGAAAAGGGCTGAACAAGGAAAAAAACCAAACAAAAACCAGGAAGTACAAAAAGAGAACCGTCTCGTACTTCAAAAAGGACAAGACAGACGCTATTACTGTCATTATCATTTCTGGTCATCGTCATCAGAACAGCACGCAAGCTCTCAATTATACTTTTCTCTTTTTCTTATTTTTGTTAACCTCCTTTACTTTTCGCCTTTCTGTTATCAGATCCATCTATCCTCTTCCTTACGATTTCTACGACTCCCATATCAGTGCAAGCCTATGTTCTGAGGTTCTTTGCATGTGTTGAAACTGTATGTAAGTATTGTTGGACCTTGAAGATCTTCCTGAAATAATACTCCCGTACAATACCTGATACCTACTATTGATAATATCCCGCCCCTCTCCCCTGTGTCTTCTATCTATACCCTCATCCTACTCAATTGTTTGTTTTTTTCCCACTAAGACAAACTAAAAAAAAAAAAAAAAACACCTTCCTCATCTGTTTACATACCAAGATACCATGGTTATTTCCATTTGTACCAGCTTGTCGTTCATGCTGACTACTCCATACTTACGCTCCCAATAATCCTCACTAAACAATCGACTCATCCTCCCCCTCTCCCGCCTATCCCCTCCGCAACTCTCTCTATCATACATTCTTCCCCCCATTGATTCCTTTCTTTCTTCTATTTTATTTTTTTCCCCTCGCAAAAGAGGTTTTGTATTCTATCTTAGACAGCTTTGTGTTTTCATTTCATACATATCACGATTTCACTTGTCTCTTTGTTTATTTGCAATCTTTCCTTCACCCCCGCCATACCTTCCCCTACGATACACTGCCCGACCTTCCTGCTCTCTCTCTCTCTCTCTCACACACTCTGAGCAAAGTCACTGTTGATATCTCCCATGTATTGGTGAGAGTGAAAGATAGTTGTTGACTTTCGTCGTCGGGACAGAAGGCAGAGCGATGATTAGCTTCAGGGTGGAACAACACTCAGATTCGAGATCCCGTCAACTTCATCTTCCCCGTGGACAAGACGATACCAGAGCGTTCGACGGCAATGCCGATAGCCAGTGAGAGCACCACCCTCAACTCCGTCACCACCACCATGACCACCTTCTCCGCTCCGGTCACCGCGCCCAAGTCGATGCCCAACAACCAGTCTGCGTTGGCGGCGTCCTTTACAAACTTCCTTACCGTTTCAATCCACCAGATTCTCTTCCTGCGTTCGGTTTATCCGCGAGCAACCTTTTTGCCGGTCCGGGCGTACAATTACCCCGTCCGACAGTCTCGTCACCCCAAAGTGTGTGACTATATCAATGATGCGTCGATTGCAGTCGGGACGGAGATCTTGAAAGGCACAATCACCGCTGTCAGTATCATCATTTCATCTCTCCGCACAAACCAGCCCCTCGAACGATATGCCTTTGATCTGTCCGGGTTTCCTCGTGTTGCTGCCGGAGATATCAACACCACTTTTGAAGACAGAAAAGAAGATTCACCCAAGCCAGGTGTCTCCATTACTGACCGGGGTTCCGCGCCGACAACCGTCGACCTGGAGGCGCAGTTCCGTGCCTGTCTTGCAAGGCTGGCCTCGGCTTGCGCTCGGTTGACCCCTCTGCCTCGCGATGACGAGTTCAGCTTTACCGTCTGTATCGAAGTCCGGGAAGACGCGTTACCTCCCGCCGGTACCACGAAGGAAGAACAGACGTGGATCGTGGCCGAACCCGGAAAGATCCATCTGCGATCGTGCAGCGCACCTTATTCCGTCTCCAAGTTGAAGAATGGCGAGCTACACCCACTGCCGCCCAAGGTTCCCAACGGTCGTGCCAAAACGGTGCCGGTGCGGCGTGTAGAAGCTGGGGAGCTTCGTTTGGAACTATGGGTGGAAGAGGCACGGCAGAAGTTCAATGAACCCGTGGATTCCGAGCATCCTCCATGAACCACATGAGCCTCTTTGCTGTTTCCTGGATTTGTCTGCTTAGGCTTCCGTGTCTCTCTTCTTACTTTCTTTACGTTTTACTTTTCTCTCCAGCTGTGATTTCTCTTATCTCGTTCCTGAATTAGCGGGACCAATGATCGAACATACATGACAGATGAGAGATCACACATATCTGTCGCCCGAATGAGTGGCGCACTTTACATAAAATGGGGGCGCGGACGATTATTGGGACTAGCATGGCATTACATAGATCTGGTTCATATCTCTCTGTTCTCTTACTCGCTTCGTTTTCAACGCCTTCTGTTCTCTATTTCCTCTCTCATTCCTTTCATTTTCCGCCCTCCTTATCGAGCGCCTTTTCTTTTGAAATTTAGCTTTTCTTTCCATCATCTTTCTATCTTCACTTCAACCATCTATCCTTGATTTCCTTTTATCTCATACCATTTCCTGTTGTGCCTCTCTCATTTCCGTTTGAGCTTTTCTTTTCTTTTCTTTTCTTCTTTTACTACATGATTCTAGCCAATCCAAGCACTTAGCAAACCAGTTACCAGGACCCTCGCATCGCCGCTGCTAGCAGCGGAGAGAATTTGATGTTTATGTGTTGTAGTCGATTGTCTCTTCTGTTCTGGGAAGGCTGGAGTTCATGCTTGGAGTTTCATTTCGTTTCCTTTCCTTTCCTTTCCTTTCCTTTGGATCATGAACGGGGAAATGAGATCATAGATGCGCATAGAACGCATTTGATCAGTGTGTATGGTGTCATGTCATGTCATGTTGGATCATGTTATATCATGAGCTTGGTGGAGGTGGATTTGTCTTCATTTTGCGTGTGGGGAAGATTCTCGGCTTCATGGGAGCTTAGGCAGCACCCTGATTGGGAGGAGCCTGTGCAAGGATGTGTATACAGTATACCATATGTCAATTTTCGGCTGCTACTTTTTTGGTAATTTAACCCGAACGAGAGCCATGGTGGCGTGTATACTTCTGTCCTGTTTGAGCGAGATATTGTATTTTCTTCCCACAAGGATAAATAGAACCAGTCCCTATTGAAAACGGATGTAAAGCACCCTTGTCGCATCGTAGCAAGTAGCGAGCGCGTACAGTCCAAGGCACAAGAGAAGAGAACATGAGGAAGAGGCAAGACGATGAACGAAACTGAAACACAGACAAGGTAGCAAGCGGAGAAGGGGGTATTGGGAAAATTAGAAGGGGGAATAAACCCGTCTCAGGCGGGATTAGCAGTTTTGCGGCGTGAGGTATTGATTAGGTAGAAAAGAAGCGAGACAAGGAAACAGGACTCCCCAATTTGGAAGTATGTAGCTGGTTATGAGATATGCGAGGCGGTTAATCCCCAAGAGATGGTTCACCCAAGTGAACTTTTACATCCTCCCCTGTAATTGGAAAAGGACGGCGGCAATGTTGCAGGTGTTTCGGTCATATGAAACCGCTTACCGGATAGGGCATCCACTAGTTGTGGTAGAGATCCCCTGGGAATGGGAGGAAGGCATCTCCGTACGCAGGTAACGGTTGCTGAGGCAAAAAAGGGTAGGCATACGCATGCGCAGCATGGTACGGGGCAGGAGGTATGTGATACTGCTGAGCAGGTGCTGGCATGTAGCCAGCTAGAGGGTCCGCATAGACTAACGGCGCATTCTGACCGAGCGCTTGCTCGTTGTCGTCAAGGACGAAAGGGTCATCGCGGACACCAGTTCCCGCGGGTAGTGCGGTGGCAGGACCACCGTCGGTCGGATCGGCTCCAGGATCGACAAGAGGAGCAAAGGGCCAGACGGGGTGTTGATGCTGACCGGCTGGGGGAGCGTAGTTGAACTCATTCGGGATGTGCTCAGTGGGATCAAGTGGAGGTAACTGCGCCGCATTGACCGCCAGGAGCCTGCGCAGATTTTCGATCCTGGGCCTGACCTGGTTAAATGTTTCTCGACGACGAAGGTACTCATGGTGGACCTGATCTGGGTGTAGCGGTAAGGCATCAGGGACTTCCTGCATCTGATGAAGAACAGGCCGCTCCCAACCTCTTCTACGGTTGGACGTGGTCGACTCCCGATGGCGCACTTGGAGTTCCTCCTGAGTAAGATCAGGATTCTGTGCGCGGATCTTGTCGATTGTAGTCTTCTCGGCTTGTTCAATGGCCTGCTGGTCGCGCGTGGGATCATCGTCCACACGGCAGGTGTTTGGCCCACGGCCGAAATGAGCATACTGTTGACGCGAAATGTCTTTCTTGCATACGTAGCACATGACACAGCGGCAGTTTGTACATGTCATCTTGTTACAGCCGAATTCCTTGACGATTTTGACCTGACACCGAGGACAGCTGCGGATGAGAGCCTCGCTCATGGCTTCCTCAACCAGATGGCGCTCGGAGATGCCCCTCTCCTTCCTGGCCTCTTCGCACGTTTTGGGCACGTGGGTGGTCTCGTTGCACAGCCGGCAACTAACAATCTCACACGAAGGGTTGCAGCAACGAAACTCCCGATCTTCTGCGACAGGCGGGCAGATGGCCTTGAATTCGCAGAATGGGCAAGCTGCGAGGCCCTTGATACCAGCGCGAGAAATTTCGTCCTGTTGCTGAAGCGCATCGAGCTTCGCCATCATCGGAGATCCAAGTACCTCAGCTAGCTCGGAACGGGTAAAACCTGCCTGGCAGCCGCTAGTGTCGAAGCATCGGACCTGGTATTTCATCATACCGATTTGAGTCTCCGCAGATTTGCGGATACACAAATAGCAGAAGAAATGGATATCCGCAGATTCGCAGGGAATAGCTCTGTTCGGGGGAACGTCTGCATAGCAACATTGACATTCAACCAGTGTACCTGCCCGGGCATGCTGTTCCTCATTCTCCTTCTCGGCGTCTTCACGCTCCCTTCGTTTGCGCGTAGCCTCTAGAATATGGGCATCCACTTGTTATTCGTTGTATCAGAATTGTTAAGATTGACTGGAGAACATACCAGTGACATTCGCAAGCTTGACCCTGGCAGCTTCAAGCTCCACCTGGGCTTGCCCCCAAGCTGGAAGATGATACATGTGCCTCCGTCCATCCCTGTATCTCCCCTGTATTCTCGCCCGTTTTAACCTTTCGTAAGGTAGCCTGGTGGATGCAGCTTCGTTTTCTTCGGCCGAAAGAGCCAGAAAAGCACAATACAAGTTCTTCTTTTCCTTGAACACCTGGCGAATGTAATTGACAGGGACTTGAGGAAATGATTCTGATAGCAAAGTAGATCTGAAAGAAACGAGGTAAGCATTGGAATGGGCGTCGTCATGACTAGAGGAAAGGACGCAGGGTATCGCTTACGCAGCGGTTTGGTACATGTGATCACCGTCGTGCGTAGCTGTTTCCCACTTCTTGTCACTGTCCTCGGGTTGCGAGGCTTCATCCCTCTTTCTCTTTAGCTGCTTGCGTGTGGGATAAGATGGGTTGGCAAGAATCTCTTCGACCACCATCTCCCTGATTGTCAGTTGGAGCATCAGTAAATCCTCCTGGGTCGCCGTGGGGCCAGGACGGGCGACATTGCCTCCGTGGCGATCAATGAGCTCCTCCACATATGCAAGGCTAATATCTGGGAAAAGCTCAAGAATCTGAGTGAACAAAGTGCCTGTTTTGAGTGAATGCTGCGTGGGAGCGCGGCCTGTGAATGCAGCATGGGACTCGATTTTCCTTGTCATGGACGCATAACCTAGAGCTGGAACCGCGCCCCTAGCAGCCATGGCTATGGTGTCATTGTTTGTGTTCAGGTCGGCAACTCTCCATTTTGCAGGCTGAGCGGGAGCTGCGTCCTCATCGGACCAGCCAGACTCCCCACCCAGATCTTCCTCATCCACGTTCCCAACAAAATAAGCGCCTTCGAGTGCATCGGTAGAATATTTGGTCTGAGAGTCTTTGGCGAAGTCATAGTTGTCTTCAGCATTGGTATTACCCAAGCTAGAGTAGACCTGAGCCATATTGACTACTGGAAAGACCTCTGGTATAGCAGAGTTTACACCGGAAGTATGTGCGTAAACTGCCAAGAAAGGATATTCAAAGCTGGAATTAAAGTAATGGGCAATGATGGAACCACCTATTTTCAAGAAGGAGAAGGGAAGGGGATGAGGGAAGAAGCAGGGAGGTAGATGAAGCAATACAGAAGATGTTAACAGTGAATATAGTGGCTGGGGACTGGCAGTGGCAAAAAGACCATGATATCGTTTTTAGAAAAAAAAAGTGAGGTTATTCCAAGTTTAATAGGGTCCATGGAAGCTGGCAGAGGAGCAAGCAGGAGGTCGAAGTGAATATTGTCAAGACCAACTGGCCCTCTTCTGCAAGACACTGATTATTATCGGTACGCAAGTGACAGCAACGAAAGCCAATACGGAAGAATGATGGTAAGCTTGGAAGAGCTTGATAGTATATAAGAGGCGCTCATGATGCTCATTGAGCTTGAGATTGGGGATAGAGAAGGAGGTGTAGTAGAAGTATGTATATGCTTGAGGCACTGAAGAGAGCATGCACCTACTGCGCAAGAGGGCCTGAATAACATCGCTTAGAATATCCAAGACGAAACGCTACTGTTCGATTCGACACGGCCTTAAAGTCGCTCTGGCTGTTTGATTACCACACCTGGCTGTTATTGATGCTAAGGGGTTTCGATAGTATGTTGATCAAGCTCAAGAAAGGCTCCAGGTCATGGTGGGGGTGGTTTGGTGCTGTGCCCGACCAAATGTTGCTTGCATTAGAACGCCATGGGTGTCCTCGAGAGACCGGCATAGACAGAATAGCAACTTAGCAGAATTGGAGACCCGAATAAGCCCAAGTTTACTGCCAAACAATATCTATCCGGTCGACGAGAGCGTTTGACTTGTCGGTGTCGAGTCTTTTCCAGCCCAAAAGGAGAGCTCCGTCTTGACCGCTGCACGTGATGCAGCGGCAGTATAACACCGCTTTCACGGCGACTTGACTTGGGCAGAGCAGCAACAATCCGACGACGGACGAGACAAGACTTTTCCAAGAAAAAAATTAAAACTTGAGTCTATAGAGACTGCAGTCGAAATAAGAAACCGCGAATCTAAAGCCTTAAGCCACATAGGACTCAGTCCACTATGGAACGATGGGCTGCTGTTTACTGCTCGCTCAGATCTAACCGCGGTTCCAGACTGATTAGGTATAGCTCGTGTCATTGTGATAAGATAACTACCTCCGATCTCTCCCGCCACCTGTGGACCCCGTCTCTTAAGATCTCCATAGATAGTCCATATGCATACCCCGTAGCTACCTGACTCGGTGATAATGGATATCTCGATAAGAATGAACGACCTGAAGAAATCGCAGCAGTCGATAAAGAAGCAAGGACCAGCCCAATAATATTATCTGCCACTGATCGGAATGCTCAGAGGCGTGTGACTAGGACAAAGAAGCACTAGCGCGGGTCATCAGACCTGGTCATACCCTGTGCCCTAAGCTCTATGCCGCATCTCCTACGTATATTACTACTCTTACTACTACTCTTACTACTACTCTTACTACTACTCTTACTACTACTCTTACTACTACCTAGTAGTAACTATCATACGTAATATGGTTCGCCCAGCTAGTATGCTTCCCTGGATGCCAATAATGGGATAGATAGTCCGTTGCACACTTTCTCCCTTATGATTCTCCTCATGCACGGATCATAAGCACGGCATTATTATCATACATTATTAGTACTAGTAATATTTTGACTCTCCGCATGTCCTCCTCATACGTCACAGCCAGGACAGGCAGGTACAACCTCCTACATGTGAGGAATCTCCCGCTTGCCATCGCTTGCCATCGGCCTCATGACAAATGGAAACAACTGCCATATCGCTTGCCATTGTTGTAGGACAACGGAGGTCCCGCCCCCTTATATCACAACCACCCCGATATCAGCTCAGCTTGAGCTTTTCGTCTTCGGAGGCATCTTTGGACTTTAGCACTATTTAGTGTTCCTATCTGACTGTTGTTCGTGCGGAGCACCTTGGTTTTGTCTTATCAGTAACTAGCTCCATCGGCATCTGACAAACACGATTCGAATGAGTCATTGAATCAGGAAACCAAAACCACCCTATCATTGGAATACAACGTCCTGGTCGATTCACGAAACTAGAGCAGATAAATTCGATTGTCAGTCTTACAACGATGATTGCCGTCGACAACACGGAGTTGCTGCCGGGAGAGTCTCCCGAGCTGGTTTTGGTTCCTGCCACCCCAGAGGAGCGCATCAAGTCGATCAAGCTGAACAGTACGGCATGGAAGGGCCGTTTGGATGTTGATACGTACATTGCCAGAGAAAATCATCTGCTTCAGCAGCGATTGGTCAATGAAGGGTTGACCTGCTGGATTCTGGTCGACCGCAGGGAACCGGAAGGCGAGCGGACGATCTTGAGTTCTTGCGAGACGTACAAAAAGAAGGCTGTGCGGGCTTACTGTGGTTCACTGTCAGATGTGCCCACCTATGGAATCGGGAGCGTCTTCTGTCGGCCTGAGTACAGAGGTAAAGGATATGCGAAGAGGATGTTGCAGGAATTGTGCAGAAAACTCGACATGTGGGGTATGAGCCCTGAACAGGGAAGCCAGCCATACTTCAGTGTGCTGTTCTCGGACATTGGAAAGAACTTTTACGCCCAATTTGGTTGGAAGCCCTTCCCTTCGTCTCACATCTCTCTGCCACCCATCTCGAAGGAACAATATGACCAGTCCCCCGGGGCCAACCTGCCAAAGGCGAGGACCTTCGGCGCAGACGACGTTCGGGACTGCATGTGCAGTGACGAAGTCCTACAAAAGGAGCGCGAGTCACTGCGCGCAGCATCGAACGAGAATCCCGGCGTTAATAAAGTAGCAATTCTGCCCGATTTTGATCATTTTACGTGGCATTGGGCGAGGGAAGAGTTTTATGTGGAAAAGCTGCATGCCGACAGGGCCCCGCCACAGATAAAGGGTGCTGGTGAAGATCAAGCTCGGGTGTACTGTGCTTGGACTAGAAATTTTGGCGAGACTCCTCAGGATAACACTTTGTACATCTTGCGATGGGTGTATGACGAACCGACAACGCCTGAAGAGACCGAGGCGTTGGCAAAGGCGATGGCAGCCATCCTCAGAAGGGCCCAGCTCGAGGCCCATGAATGGGATATGGCCAAGGTGGATTTCTGGAACCCAACCCCATTGTTGCAGAAGGCAGTTGGCCTGCTGGATTCACCGGCAGAGTTGATTCACCGGGAGAAGAGCAGCATCGCCAGTTTGAGGTGGACAGGTGCCACCCTGGGGCTCGGCGATGAGGTTGAATGGGTCTGGAACGAGAAGTACGCTTGGTGCTGAGGTTGGCGGGCGTCCGTTGTCTTTATATTGCATTCCATATTCTCAGCATAGGCGGTCGTTGTCGGTTTTGCTAGAGGTAGTTTCTGATCCAACCTGGAGAAGCGCAAGCGAGCTATCCACGGAACATGAGGTATCCTAATCAATTCTTTTGTCGTTTTTGGTTCTTGAACACTTCGTGCCAGTTCCGTGACTTCTTGGCCGCTGTAGCAGCACTCGCCTTTGCCGAGACATTCTTGTTGACCTTCTGTCTGTCGATGCTGTTGACGAAGCATATTGTCGTTGGATCGGGAAGCCCGTAGACGCCGTCCTGTAGCAACGGTCAGCAATCTGCACCCAAACTAGAAGACACGCCTGGCTATAGAGAACACATACCGCCAGTTTAGACAACACCACCTCGTCGCGCCAATTCTCGGGTAGATGATCCTTCCATGCGTTGAGGAACTCGCTTCGCCCAATGGCCGATTGCGATGTAGGCGCCACAGCCTCTAGATACATCTCACCAACCCATCGCGTGCAGGTGTCCTTGTCAATACTAGCCCCTGTAAAGAGTTCATCAGCCCAAAATCCAGAGCCACACGCTCCCACCATAACGCGAGAAAGTAGATACTCACATTTCATGTTCCCACTAGCGAGACCCCGCGCCTCGCCCTCGCCCTCGCCCGCTTCACAAACCCGCCGAACAACAGCCTCAAAAAGCGGCCGCGGAAACGGCGCGTCCTCCCCGTCCTCCAGCACCGCCCTCCACAGATCCGATACAAGAAACTGCTGCTCGAGCCGGATACCCTGCAGCACCGCGCCCTCCAGCACCCTCTTCCATACCCGCAGCTTCGCCCCCGCCGCCGGCCGCCAGCAACGCTCCCCGCCAGACACAAACGCACACAACTCGGTCCAGCCGCGCTCACACTGCGCCCGCGACACAGGCACGTCCGCAAACACGCGCCGCATCACCGCCTCGGCGTCCTCTCTCCCGCCCCCGCCCCCCTCCACATCCACATTCACATCCACATCCTCACTCCCCTCATACACCCGAAGCAACCTCTCCAAGACCGGAATCGCAGAAAACCCCTCCGGCGGCGTATGCACCTCCAGCGTGGACCCGCACTTCGCAATCGACGTCACCGTCTCGATCAGCCCCTGCTCGAGCTCCTCCTCCCCACCGACCATGGCGATGTCGCCGCGCGGGACGCCGCCGTCGCTCGGGCGCAGGATGTGCAGCGGGTTCGACGACTGCACCTGGCGGAGGCGGTAGGTGCGGGTCGGCGTGCAGAGGTTGACGTAGTCGCGGGCCTCGGTTGCGCTGCCTCCTTGTGCCGCGGGCGATTTGAGTTCGAGGCTGTCAATGTGCGGTTGATTGGTTAGTTGGCTGGTTCGTTGAGGGGGGGAAATGTGGGAACTGGGAAGGGAGGTACATACGTAGGTGCGTGTTTTGATGTGAGCAGCTCTGCGAGTTCGGGGGGTAGTTCGAGTAATCTGAAGCCTTGCTGGGGGGATGTGTGTGTGAAGAGGATGCTGCGGGCGGCTTGGGTGGACATGATGGTGAGGGTGAGGTGAGGTGTTGGGCCACCGAGGGGAGGAGTGATTGGATTGGTGTTGAGGAATGTGTTCGTATTCAGAGTGAGTCCTTCGGTTGTTTAGATGGTCATCCACGAAAAGATAAGAAGTAATGTGGGTTTGTTGAATGACCAGAGGACATCAAAAAGTGCTGGACACGAAACGCGTGCCAGTCCGTGATAGGCGCACAGACCACCACTTAATGATCTCTAGTCGCAACTCTCTCTCAAGTCTTTAGAGGTAGAAGTTGACAATTGCTCTAGAGATAGTAGATTACTCCCAATTGCAATCTGGTACTATTGCAGTCAGGCCACATAGATCTGAATTATCATGCACTAATCTGGCTAAAATGAAACAAAACAACTGTCTAAAAGATATACAAAAAGCACTGGGCGAAGAGAACACTGTAACCAGCACAGCGATCAGATGCGTCGGATGCAATACAACAAGTAGAGATGATAAGCCCAGCGTTATTTTTCAGAGTCATTGATGATTTCGCATGCTCGGTCTCCCAACTGCTGAGAGTACATGAGGCCAAATCACACTCAATGAACGATGGCGAAGGAGGACAGGGGTACTGCCCGCAGCCGAGTACCGCAACGCTAGCAGAAACTCATCCTGCTCAAGAGGGATAGCTTGACTGCATATGTTTTCATGGCTTTCCAGGCGCAACAGGCACAGGCGTGATGCTGGGCTCGGGAGCTTTGACTGCAGGGCCATTCTGTTGCGCCTCCGAGGCCTGGGCGTCTGAGGCACCCACCACATGGTTCACCAGATCCAACTCTTTCTGCTCGGTTTCAATAGAGTCCTGCACGAAAGCTTTGTCGATATCCCATTGGGGCCCAGGGTCCTTGAAAAGAGCTTGTACACGTTCCGCTCGTTCGGCCTGGTCTTTCTCTTCCTTCTCTCGGGCTTTTCGCTCCTGCTCCATCTCTTCCATGTGTCGGAGATCGTCTACACTAGGTTCGTAAAGATGCCAGATTGTGTAGTGTGGAAGTCCGATCACCGAGAACCCCATACGCTTGGCCATCTGGTAGAGATTAGTTACGCTCTACAAACATCTCGATTCCCACGCAAATGCTCCTTACCTTTCCAAATGCCTCTGTTTCAGCATGTTTCTCGAAGCTGAACGCGGGAAAATGTACTCCTGAGCGGAACACCTTGGCCTTGGCAAGGATACTGACACCGCCGACACCATCCAACTCCATCTCCATGTCAGGGTCCCCGTACGGATCGCGAAGGTAGGCAAGATGAGGCCGCCAAGTGGCATACTCAGCGTACCCTTCGACAATCACGGCATCCTCGTCCAGAGTTTCCGCCAGTGCCAAAGCCGTCTCTGACTCCTGCCATGAGTTCAAGTCATAGGGTTGTTCCCCGCCCAGCCAGTCAGGAAGTGGACGCCAGACATCTGCGTAGAATGTGTCAGACCGAAGCATAATATTAAACAATTAAGCATTGGAAACACGGGTGACTTACTCGGAACGATGACGTCTTTATCATGCCTCATCAAGTCCTCAAGGATAGTGCGAGGGGCGGTCTCCACATCGGCATCGCGCCAATACACCCAACTATGCGTCGGGCGCAGGGTAGCACTCAACAACCAGTTCCTCGCCTGAGCCATCAGCTTTCTTCTCCCCGCCTGCGCAGCAAACCCGTGCCGACTTTCCACATCCTGCTGAACCTTCTGGCCGAAATCCTTCTGGATCACCGAGATCTCCCCAAACGCCATCTTGGGATCGGGATCGTTCTGGACCTCTTCCAGCATCTGCGTGAGCAGCTCCAGTGTAGCATCCTTCGAGTCGGACACCAGGAACGCGAGGTCGATGAGATGGTGAGGGTAGGTGAGGTTCCGGAGGTGGGAGAAAAACATGGGCAGATGAGACGAGGCATCCCGAAGAGGCGTCAACATGAGCACACGCTCCTCCTGCTCCCATCCTTGCGCCGTGCCTTGCACTGCAGACAGATCATAGTATCGGAGAGTCTGGAGTTGTAGATCGTCGCTAGAATGGAGAAGGCCAAGGGATAAGGTCGGCAGGATCGCGGCTCGCCACGAGGGAAAGATCAGGACAAGGAAAAGGATAGAGACACCGCCGAGAAAACAAAGTCGTTGAATGAGTTGTCTGCGACGTCGTAAGGCGGATTGCGGTCGTGGTTGAAAGCTACCATTCACAGCCAAGAATCAGCCGATATTCAAGAAGCTTTTTTGCCTCTTGAAGGCTCGCAAGACATCCGACCCGGATACTTTTTTTTTTAACCAATTAAGCGACAGATAGACTGGAAACCACGTACCGATGAGGAGAGATAGAAAATGCTCTGCTCTGCCCGCGCGGGTAGGCAGAGTAGCCGTTCGCAAAGGCGTGATGCCTATTCATTTCTCGCGAAATCACAGCATGTGTAAGCTCAATGAAAGTTTCCAGAAGTCACAGGAACCCCCCAGGCTCCCTGATCCTGGAGAAATAGACAGCCGCACAGCGGTTGCACAAAAGCCGGCCTTGTACTATTAGTAGGATACTGCGTGGAGCAAGGCGGAAGAGGAAGAAGAAGTTGGAGAGATGGTTGCGAAAGGCCGGGAATAAGAATGGCGGCAGAACACGACGGAAGAGGAATGTAGATTGATCAATCCGAAGGAAGAATGAAGGAGATCAAAGTGGCATATACTTAAAGAGATTAAATCAATGTAGTATCCATGCGATGAGAATTAATTAAAGATTGTACCGGTGCAGTTTAAGATCGAGCTTGAGACTTAGTTGTTACTTGTTACGGGGGACATTGGTCTGACTGGGTTCGACAGTGTAGGGCCAAGTGTTCCTGTCCAATCCGCCGAGTTTCACTTCCCATGTCATGATTTGCCAGTGTGTCATCTTCCTCCTCCATCCCAAATCCGGAGTCATTCAGAGAGATGGAGAGACCTTTGTTGGACGTTTGCAGCCATGCAACCTTAAACTACCCCTCGAGGGAGATTCAAATATAGCTTAATAGTGGATAAATGCTGAACGCTAGGTCGCAGCTCACTTATTTACAGGCATATAGGAAACCAAAAAAATGGAAACAAAGGTACCTGGTCTATATCCCCCCCCAAAAAATCAAACTCCCGAAGAATGCTCCAAGCTAAATGCCAATATTCGCCATGTGTCGCAAAAGATGAATAGAAATTAAGAAAGAAAATGAACTTTCAATCTCCCCCAAACCATTTTTTTTTTCGTTCCCATCAAGAGAAACTCATCGGGTTACCCGCGATATCCTGGAGTCTGGCGAACCCATCCCCTTGACTCCGATCTCAACCTGTCGAAGCATCTTCTTCAGCAGCGCATCCATCTGGGGCGGGTCTCGCAGCGTCGGGATGACGGATCCGGCCTCGTATTCGCTGTCCAGGATATAATAGCGCTCTCTGCCCCAGAGCTCCACTGTTTCTCTCTGGAATGCAACTTTCGCAATCACCTTGGCTGGAACACTGGTCTTGTTGATAGCGCTCTTGGAGAAAACTCGCAAGAATGGCCGGAGGCTAGACCGCGTCTGATGTGCCATCCGGACCGATAAGGGGACATCTGCTGTGAGATGGCTGGCCCCCGTCATGCCTCCAGGATCCAGTGTGTATATATTAAGCGAGATATTACCCGTCTGTAGAAGACAATGTCAGTGAATGAAGATAAATAAGGATTAAGAGTTAATTCGAAACCTACCAAAACCAAACTGCGGCGCAAGGCATACATGGCGGCGCTCATAATGAGTTTGCTGCTGCCAAACCGAGCGTTCCCTTCCTTCGCGCTCAATGGCGTGCCCGGGGCTTTGAGGCCTTTGTCCGGGTCAGTATCGTCGAAATAGTCCAACGAGCCACTGGACATGGCAGAGCAGCCGACGTTGATCACTCTGGCGCCTCCGTCCGGCGTCCCATCCCCGGCGCGGAAGGCCTCGAGTAAGCTGACCGTTAGTAAGAACGGCGCGATGCAGTTGATCTGGTAGACGGGATCGTAGCCATCTTGCGTGACTGGGTCCGCGACATACGATGCCACGGCCGCGGCATTGACCAAAAGCATCACCGGCGGGATCTCTTTCGTTCGCACTCTCTCCACCGTGTTCTGGGTGAAGCTGACGATGGAATTGAAGCTGGCCAAGTCGACTTTGGCCACCTCCACGGACCGGGGTCCGACGAGTCGGATTCGCTCCAACAGCGCTTTGACGCTGTCGGATCTGATATCGCGCGCTAGCAGCAGCAGGTGTACGAACGGCTCGGCTTTTGCAATAGCAATCGCTACTTCTGAGCCGAGGGACCCATTGCCCCCGGTAATGATTGCGGTTCCGCGAAGCGGTTTCGACATGACGATATAGCTATCAGAAGAATGATGGTCTCGGCGAAGTTGAGATCGTGGAGCCCGCTGGACCCTGCCGGATTTATCGATTGTGATATTGTATTAGGGGTCAGCGCCAGAATGAGACAAGACAGAGTATTACAGCCCCTGGGAAGTCTAGGATGTCGAAGGCCCGTGTTTCAAAAATAGTATAGTTTGAACGATCGTCAGATGAGTAGGGATTTCTTGGGGAGTTTGTGATTAAACGAGTGATGATGATACTCGGAGCCAGGGTCCTAACTCCCAACAAAGGAGAAGGGTTATATGGACAAGAAGACGAACGGATGGATATGAAAGAAAGATCGGAAAGATAGAGTCGAGCAAGGCAAAGAAAGCAACAAGAGATGTAGAAACAGTCCTCAAATTCTGGATGAAGACAGAGAGGATCTGAAGCCTGAACCGCCCAACAGAGCCAACTTGAGATGCATCGAAAACTGGTTGGAGTAGTAACCAACTAACTACGGAGTAGTTTGCAGTGAGAAGCGGATGGGTGGGGGCAGAGAGTCGTGATCCACCTGGGTGAGGAAAAAAAGACAGTGCTAACTAATGAAAAGGAATTCTGAATAGTTCGTTTCAAAAGACGTGGCGCAAGTTGAAACCAATGGAGATAGAGAGAAGAAGGATTGAAAAGAAAGTTGAGACTGGAGTTGACTAGATAGATATTAGTTACATAGTACTCTGTATATTCGCTCATATATATGGGCTTGCTCATAAGTTGTTCAACAGGAGATCGATTGCCATCCTTGTGCTGCTGAGTCTCTCCTTTTGGAAAACACTTTATGACTACAGTACTACTACTACGTACCAACTAGCATTGGCCATCCAGACATGCCCCTAAAGGAGTCGAGGACAGAAGTCAGCAACTTCCGGGCTGACGATGGACGGGATGGCCCCAGTAAGTCGATACAGCAGAGATTTGAACGCCTGTATCACTATTATTACCCAATGGTGGTGGTCCATAGAGACATGCTCTGGGATCTCGCAAGCAAGACGACTATTAAGTAGTAGTTATTATATTTATTAGGACATCTTCCTCGCCCGACGGTGAGCTAACCGACGGACACGGCCAACACAGAGCGACAAATATAGAATTATCGACATCAGAGCAGGAAATATTATCGAATGGTGGCGGTCTTGGCTCAAGCGTCGAATCGCCCGATCGAACGCCTGTTCGTCTGCAGCCAACAGATTCCACTGAAAACACCAGCCAGGTGGATGATCAGAAAGAAGGAAAAAAAAAAAAAAAAAAAAAGGAACATCGAGTTAGACTACAGGATCCTAATTATCCCAGTCGCGGCTAGAACTTCGAAGCATGATCGATACATGGGAGTTGACTCGAGTCTCTGCTCTGTAGGGAAATACGGAGTTGTCACCCGTCAGACCTGCGCAATAATGGGCACAGCAGCAGCACACACACACACAAAAGCATTGATGTCGAATGACGCGAAAATATGAACAATGCCAGTATGATGACCGCATTGGAGTGACCAACCCAACGCAGCGGGTGCCTCGCTTGAGAGTACCCAAATCATCGCCTCCAATATGCATGCATGGATGAGACTGAAAAAAAAGCAATCCGCATGCCTGGGGACTCCGGCGGTGCCGATTTCAAACACAACCGATTCGCGTCCAACACGTGTCGGACGGAGCTCTAGGGAATTGAGTCATTCTCCGATGCCCCGACCTGCAGACTGCAGTTATCGTATTCGTGAGTGTTGGTCAGCTTGCCTGCTTCCATTAATACTAGGCTCTCTGCGGCGTTGCCAGGGGCGGGAATCATACTGCGCCTTCAGTTCTAGATTCATCGCTTATGCAAGCCGTGAGGGATGACTCCAGGGTCTACTCATGGTCATGGGCATGGGCATGGCATGATGAAGATTTCTTGGCTTCAGCCATGGATTACCCCTGTCGTTATGCAGATACATCTACCAGAATCTTAACATGCTTGTCCCGCTCGTCAATTAGAGCCTTGAACCCCCTCTCGACCACGTCTTCCTTGCAGGTGATCATGTCTTGAGGGCTCAATTTTCCTGTTCGAGGCGTTAGCGGTGATTCAGATCTCTGAAGTATGATCAAGGAGACATACCTGATGAGATCGCGTCAATGACCGCTTCAAAGTCGCCATCTTCGTATATCACGGAGCCGATGACATGCTTCTCGTAAAAATTAATATCAAACGCATCAATGCGCGGCTTCTCCTCCCACAACGACATAATGGTCACCGTACCTCGCACTTAAACCCCGCTGATGGCTGCGTCCAGGCCGGCTTGCACCCCGGAGCACTCAAATGCAACGGTGGCCCCGGCCCGGCCGTCATTGCACGCACCATGGCCACAACATCTTGTGTGCGCGGATCCAGAACCTTGCTCGCACCCAGCACTTTCGCAATCAGCTGACGTTGTGGCGAAACCTCCGACACGACGATGGACTTTATGCTATGGGCTTTCAGGACCTGCACGACCGCGAGGCCAATCGGTCCGCCGCCTACCACGAGAACCGTGTCACCAGGTCGGACGGAAGAGCGATTGAGCCAGGCTCCGGTCAGCGGTTCCACGAGCGCTGCGTGGCATCCTTCCATCAGCTTCCTCGTTTCCTCTCACGGTAACGCGAGCTAGAGCGAAGTCTGCACTTACCACCGAGATCAAGCGGAAACCCCTCCGGCAACAGAATCGCATGCTTTTCCCCAACAACAATCTGGTCCGATAATCCGCCCGCATCGTCTTCCCTGCTTAAAGCCTCAGCCCGATACCACAAAACGCAAAAAGTGAAGTCACCCCCCCCCTTCTCCGGGACTATATAGCGTCCACCACCAGGAGAACTCACTACTAAGCCCAATAAACGCCATATTCCGACAACAGTTCGGCCGCGCCGTAACACAGCACGAGCACGTCCCGTCATACAGATTCGGCTTCACGGCCACCCGGTCCCCGAACTTGACGCGGGTCACCCCAGGCCCGATCTCCGCAACCGTCACGGGGATGCGGCCGCCCGTGATCGAGTGTGCGGTGCGCGGGATGGTGATCGGCCCGTGCAGGTATTCGTGGGGATAGGATCTGGGCGTCCCGATCAGCCATGCCTACAAGACATGTATTGGGATGGGGTGTTGGGACGTACCGCTGCCGCAGATACCCACGAAGGCAGGTCGGATCTAGTCCTTCCTCCCCGGCCCAGTCTCGGCTATTTTCGTGGTTCCGTGCTCTCTGCATGCGTTTGTAGAAGTAGAGCGGGTGTGCGAAGCGCGGTCGATTATCTTGACCTGACCCTCTCCGCAAACAGGCTCGTCGATCTGCTCGACTCGGATGTCGCCGCAGCCGTGGAAACGGACTTCTCTCATCGTGAGGGTAGATAGCCGATTTCCTAAGAATTTGGGGGGGTATATAGATGGGCAGGAGAGGAGATATGATATTGTGACCGTTATTATTATTGACTATTTGGACTATCAGTGCTGCATATCGGGGAATGCGCTACCCCTCCCCTTCACCTCCCCGACTCCGAAGAGGAGAGAGCTTAGACATGAACCACAAGGCGTCGGGATATTCTCCATTCTACGAATTGAGGGGACGAGATGCGGAATTGGCCCGCGTGAGCGATCTGTTTTTGCTTGATACCTCAGATTTGGTCTTGATCCCCCGCAATCATAGAACGTGAGGTTCTGGATTCTTGTCAGGAGTATGGCGTGTGTGCGAGGCGGAGTCCGAAGGAGATGATAACGAAACAGGGTTGCGGGGCAGCAAAAGTAAGGTATCGGGAGATCATCGAAAAAAAAAAAAAAAAAAAAATTTGGTGCAGAGGAAGACCAGTTAATACAGCAGAAATAAAACAAGACAATTCATTTCTCATTCAAAAGTTTCAACATGTCGTTGATGCTAAAGATAAAAGGTACTATTTATGTTGGCTGTCCCACCATATCATCTCAAGCGATTCCAACCCGCACTGCGTAGCACGTACAATCCACCGCATCCATTTTACCGAACGGTAGCGCCCTTCAGGGACTTGACTGTACAAACACCTCCGGTCAGGGCAACCAGCTTGCCCAGGGCCGGCTTACCCTCCTGGCCCTGCACGGCGGGGACGGCGCTCGCCTCGAAGGCAACCTCCAGGTCATCGGTAGTGGTGAAACCAGGCTGGAAAGTCTCCCAGACCTTCTTCTTGGGGTTGAGCACCTTCTCGGGTTCGCCCTCCAACCAGCCCTCGAAACCGATCCGCGTACCGGCGGGCGCGTCGGCGGGGGGGTTGACCAGCTCGACAGGGCCGGCGTGCGAGTCCTCGCCCTCGGCCACACGGGGCGACGCGGCCAGAACCATCGCACAGGACTTGATGCCACGCATGGTCACGGGCTTCAGGTTGCACACGGCGACGATCTTGCGGTTCTGCATCTCCTCCAGGGGGATGAGGCCGTTCAGACCCGAGCACACGGTCCGGACCGTCTTACCCGTAGCCTCATCCAGAGAAGTGTTGTCGGTGCCAGGGGCATCGCCGCAGTCGATGGTAGACACGTAGAGCGAGTCCGCATTGGGGTGGTTGATGGCACGGAGAATGTGGCCCACACGGAGATCGATGAGCGAGGGGGACGGGGGAGCAGCGGGCGCCGGGGCAGGCTTGGGGGCCTTCTCTTTCTTCTCTTTCTTCTCCTTCTTGTTGGTCTTGGGCGGAGCACCGGCGGCGCCAGCCTCCTCGGGGCCCTTGGCCGCCTTTTCGGGCTTACCCTGTCCAACAACGAGGGGCTTACCAGCCTCCGGGTTCTGAGCAGCAGCCTTCTCGCGCTTCTTGCGCTCCTTCTCTTCCTTGGGGTCCACGGGCTTAGGCACGAACCGCACATCGGTCACGTCGATCTTGACTTTTTCCTCCTCGGGGATCTGCAGGGAGAACAGACGGCTGTTCTGCACGAAGTCGACGTGACGCACAATGTGATGGTATCCCTTCTCTCCGGTGCGCTCCTCGGGAGTCCACTTCTCAACGAGGGGGCCGAGCTGGGCGTAGACCGCAACGTCGGCCACGGAAGGCTTGGTGCCTAGCAGGGTCGTGCGTGTAGCCAGGTGGGTGTTGAGCTGTGCGAGGATGCTGTCGACCACGGACTTCTCGTCCTTGCTCAAGGCAGTCTGGAGACCGGCGTTGGTGGCAAGCCATTGCTTGATTGCGGCCTGATCCTCGACGGAGAGGGTGGTCTCGGGGAAGATCTTGGACGAGGCATGGAGGAGATCAAGCTCTGTGGCGTCGGGAGAGACGGCAGTGGGGTACGAACGGTAGAGGAGAGACAGGAGAGAGGACTCGGGGGCAGAGGGGACGGCCATTTTTGCGAAAGGACGACGGACGAGCAAGGAGAGCGACGGTAGGGTGGAGGACTGATGAGGAGGGGCAGCAGAATTCGGTCGTAGAAATAATCCCGACGAGTAGTGACCGAACCGCGGGGCTGTTCGAATGGGCCCCAACAGGCGCACGGCAAACTTGAAGGAATTCAACTTGATCAATGGACGATCCCCTGTGTGAAGGGATCTTGTATTTACTGGCTTGGTAAAACAGTTATTAAATTATCATTAGAATTGGCTAGATATACCACTGAAACGCTGTTTTTGCTACAGCTTTCTCGGCTTCCGTGGACATTCGATGACTGACCGTATCCGGTTAGACTTAGTTCTAGGGCTCTGGATGACTCAGCTGCGTCACTACTTGTATAGTTAGTTAACCGATCGTGCCTTTCATTCACTAACTAGGACTATCTCCCAAGGCACTTGAATATGATAATATTTTGAATAGTCTATCTATCTGGAGATACAAGAATATAGGGTTCCGTTATCTAAGCCTCCCAACGACGACCTAAGAGTGCTTCTGACGAGAGAGGTACTCTGTCATACGGGCGATGCAAGCCCGATGGATGGTCCACGCATGTCGAAAACAACGAAGAATGCCTTCAAAAACGAGTCTCCGAGAATCTGCAGAGAAGAACCCTGGTTGGACTGGACACCGCCGTAACATACTGTAGAGAAGCATTGTCAGAAAATCAACACTGCTTGGCTTGACTCAATCGACTTACCAGCCTTTCCTGTGGTCGTATTGGTACCAACCTGCGCAAAGTTGAGATACGTACCAGGGACTGTCGCCAAGTGCTTCGCACCTACAGCCACCGCGAGACTGGGGAGCTCTGTCCCACAAGGATAAATGTATCCGCCGGCACCGCTGTTAAACTGTGCGCCTGGTACCTGGGCGTAGAAGGAGTCCACCACGACATCACTAAGCAGCATCAGAGATGTGCCAGTGTCGGCGATGGCAGTGGGCGTGCCTTTCAGCGTCTGAAGGGATCCTTTTCCAACCTTGAAATAAGCCGATTCGAACTGCCAAAACCCATTCGACGGGTTCACGGTCACGTTGATCATATCACCCTGGTACTTGGCATGATCGATGACACCAAACTCATACTCGCCCACGCCGTCACTCTTCAGCTGCGCCGTCAGAACAGGCTCGTCCAGGCTCCCCGCGATGTTGTCGAGGAAAGTCTTCTGCTTGCGAGGCTGGACCGTATTGAGAGACGAGAATCCCAGCCCAACCAAGCCGTTTGAGTAGGTATCCTCAATGAAAGACTTGGATACGCTGTTCGGGAGACCGATGGCCTGATTCTTCACTACAGCACCGCCAATGTCGACCGTATCGGTACCCACGCCTCCGGTAGCAAACGACTGGTCGCCGTACGTGATCTCAAAGGTAGCACCCTCCATCTTCTTGAAAGTCGTCGAATTCGCGGGATTGAAGATAGTGTGTCCCGACTGAGCGTTCATTGGGAGCTCGGAATTCATCACCCAGCTGGCAGGGCTCTCCATTAGTAAACTCACAATATACCGCGCATGGGGTTGAGTGCCCAGACTTACAAATCCGCCGAGCCAGTGTCGAAGTTCAGAACAAGCTTCTGCCCGCCAACCGTCACAGGGCTGACGAAGGCCGCATCGTTCTGCACGGAGGCCGCGCTGACGGCGCCCGTCTGGTCCAACTCTTTACCATCGGCCAGAAACACATTGGCACCGGAGTCAAGGGTCTTGTCGAGAGGCTCGAAATCTGACAGGTCAACCCCAAAGGATGTCGGGACGATGCCGTATTTCCGGTATGCTTTGCGCAGAGCACTGGGGCCGTTGATGGTGTTGCCGCGCTTTACTCGCTCAACCTTGAAGGACCGGCTTTGAGGTTGAGCTTGTCGCGGCGCGGGTGCTGCGAGCACCCCGCAACCGAGGGATAGTAGGAACAGAAAGGATAGTAGAAAATGCATGGTGCTTCTATGTGGTCTGCGATCTCAAATCGGAATGGACGACCGAATGAATGTACACGGCTGCTTCAAGCAGTTGGAGGGGTAAATAAGCCGGAAAGGGCTTTAGAAAGAGAGTCAAGGTAGATTAAAAAAGAATGTGCAGGTCCAAGTCCAGACTTGGATGCCTTAGAAAGATGAAGAGAAGAGGAGGAGAAGAAGTATGAAGATGGGAAGACGAAAGAGATCAGCAGAAAAAGAACCACAAGATACGGATACAAAAAGGAAAAAAGCGAAACAGAGACCTGAATGACCATGGCCATCGCTACAGAGAGATATGATGACAATGAAACCACCCTCTCCCCACAAACACCATCCCCTACGAACGATCCACATGAGGAAACGAAGCAAAAGTGCGCGGATGCATTTACTCCCACCAGCCAAGACACAACTGACCGCAGCTTGGGCCACTCACAAGCAGAAACAAGAGACAGCCACGGCACAAACAGCCCAATCCACAGTGTCTGCGAGTCGCAGAATGGAGTCGCAAACGCAGCATTTTCATCTGCCTGACACAGTCAAAACTTGTCGAGAGTAGCGGATTTGACAGCACTCACAGCACACGGCGCCAGTCGGGGGGCCACTAAGCGCTGCTCAAACGGACTTGCCCCTGAGACTGAAACACCCAAGCGCTGGGCAGGTCGCAGGTTGAGTTGACCAGTCACCAGCCATTCGCCAAGAGATGCTAAAACGGGGAGATTTGTTGCGGTTGAACGCTTTGGGTAGGTATGAAATTCTCAAGCGAAATCGAGTTGAAGACTTGAAGGGGGTATTACGCCATTATTAACTACAGTAGCTTCTGTCGTTCGCGAGACTAGGTGGCTAAGCGCTGTCGGGGAGCACAACAGAATACGACATGGTGTGTTGTTTGGGGGGAACTGTAGATAGTAGACAGTAGAAACTTGAGATCTCAAAGTCTCCTTTTCACTTCAGCTTCTCAAGTCGATTGATGACCGAGACAACTGATGAGTGCTTTGGCCCTAGTTACTACTTAGTAGTTACACAATGACGACGCGTGGAGCACTGTGATCAAGTCCAGGATGGTTACAACCACCCATCTCAATGATAGTTACGAATGTAATGGAACCTTACATGATGACAGGCAGAACAATACGCATGTATATAAATAGGATCATGCAGGTTCGTCATTGAAATATGGTATCAAAGCACTCTTGCCCAAACGCCGCTTTTATGTAAACCCACAAGGCAACGCTACCAAGGTCGAATGCACCGCGCTATATAAGTCGTAGAGGATGAAAATCATATAGTATCCCAATCACTCAGCCATAACGTCGGGAGGCAGCACTTTATCTGGATCCTCCCCGATCATCTGACTGACGGACCGGACAACTTGCTTGATAGCCATCGAAGCCGGGCTATCGGGATAGCTGTCCACGAAGCTCTCGCCGTAATCACAAGCCATGCCGACTCTGGGATCCAGAGGGACTGACCCTAGGAATGGAATACCCATCTTCTTCGCCAGTCGTTTACCACCCCCGGTCGTAGCCCGGAAAATCTCCGAAGTGTTCGAGCATCCGGGGCAGACGAACCCGCGCATGTTCTCGACGAGACCCAGGATCCGGATGCCTGCCTTGCGGCAAAAGTCAATTTCCTTCCTGACATCGAGTAGAGAGACTTCCTGGGGGGTCGTGACAATGACCGCGCCATCCACACCAGACTCCTTCAAGAGTGTGTTGACCGACAGGTGCTCGTCGGATGTTCCGGGCGGCGTATCCACAATCAAATAGTCCAGCTCTCCCCAGTCCACATCCTTCAGGAATTGCTTGATGAGCCCATTCTTCTTCGGGCCCCTCCAGATGACCGCATCATCTCGATTCGGCAGCATGAACTGTATACTCATCGCCCCCAGATTATCCGTCACCCACACCGGACTCCAGCCCGCGTTGCTGACATGGATTGTCTCCGCCTCGACGCCCATCATCTTGGGGATCGATGGCCCGCAAATATCTGTGTCGCAGAGACCCACGGTCGACTCGGGGTTGGAGGCGAATGCGTGCGCGAGGAGGGACGAGAAGGTCGATTTCCCCACACCACCTTTCCCGGAGAGTACTAGGATTTTGTGTCGGATCTGCGAGAGGCGTTCAGTGATGATGGGAATGTCGGGATCGGGGCCCTTGGGGGTAGAGGAGGCACAGATGGCCTGGTTCGGGCACCCGGCGCAGGCATCCCCTTTTCCTGCTTGTTCTGATTCAGGTCCCGGACAATGCTCTAGCCAGCCGTCAGTCATGCAAAATATGATCTAAACTTCCAAATAGAATGAAACATACCTGGCTCGGGCGCAACGAGATTCGGTGCGACCTTGGATGGCGCGTCGAAAGCTGGCACCGGTTCCACCAGAGACGGCGCCATTATTGTTGGGTGTGGGGTTGACTCTACAGCAGCCAGAAGATGTATCTTCGATGATCTTCAGGAATATCAAAAGATCTCGATGTGAACAAGGGATGGTATTGACCTGGCGATCAAAAAAGTGGCGGATCGATTTGCTTGATAATCACTATCGGGATGACAAACCTCTGGTGGCGATTGGCGCGGGGCGTTTGCGGTGTCGGAGTGCCCCGCGATAAGATGAGATCCCTGGCAGAGATATTATTGTTGACCATGCAGTATCTATTTAAAACTCGAGATACTATTGGCAGCTAACAGTGAATGAAATTGATCCATGTGTTTATGGGGTCTAACATGGCTTTTCAGATCTCAGGGTCAATCATCGGGTAGCAGCACTGTTGATGCTCTGAGCGGCTATCGCAGACACTTTCACTGAGGATCTCTGTGAGATCATCAAGAGTGTTTCTACAATAGAGGGGCAGCCTTTGTCGACGAAATCCACGCTTCATATTATTTCCCTTTATCTGATGATGCTAATGCAAATGCCGTCTCCTCGGAGCAAGAACAGCATCGAGTTCTTGGACATGGGCACGGCCAGCATGTCAGAACCTTACGCAGAGCAGTGTAAACTGTAATATATGCATCTGCATCCCAACCCCAATAACCCTTGTGTCCCATGACAGCCCGAGAGGATATCAAAATCTGGTTTACTGGCATGATATCATGTTCCCTCACTACAATTCAAGGTTCAACTGTCCGAAAGAAAAATCCGCACGAGTAAGATGGACGCCTGGAAACGCGATCTTCATCTCCTCTGCAGGTTCGAGGTTGTGCCTGTGTAATGCATAAGATGTGGTCTCTTATAGGCGCTCAGTAAGTGCCCCTCATTTTCTTGATTGGCTTCATTATATATATCTCTATATCTCTATTGAAGGTGTAGGAAGATAGATAGATGGACATATTAGAGTAAATAAGATGGAATATCCCAGACACCTGCCATTATCGCTTCTCGTCGGACCGCTATCAGCCTGATGGGAAGGTCAGGACATCTAGGTATGGAAGCAAAGACTGCATAGAATATGTACCTTACTCCGTAGTCTGAGAATTCATGCTTCAATAACCGAGTTCTGAAAGTATGTCACGAGTCTCAAATGGTCTTCATGTAGGGAGGTGTCCCAAGACCCGAAGCCTCAAGAGTTGCGTGCATATTTTCCCGTTCTCCTACTGAATGCATATCTATGTAGACAGATATTAATGCGAGATACTAAGGTCTTCGTTTATCTGCTGGAAACGAGTTGACTTTCTCTCAACTTCTGGTCTATTCTCTATCAGCTCGGACTACGGTTTATGATTGGCGCTGAACCGGCTCAACGGGGGGACTGGGTCTGTGGTCCCTTGAACTAAAAGTCACTTAACTCTTTAAGTCTCGTCTCCCCCAAGTTGTACGTATGAGGCTAAAGCATCGCTGGTGATGGGAAAACAGATCACCAGCTCCCCGCTCAGTCGCCGAGTCTATTCTTCGTTTTTCTTTTCTTTTTCCTTGTTTCTTTTTTCCTTTCTCTTCCCTTCCCATCTTCCTCTCTTGCTTCGACAATTCCATTGAACCTTGTTGTTGTTATTGCTTGTTGTTGATGCGGTCAGTCTTGTCCTGCTAACTAACGGCGTCACATGAGCTCCAGCCAACTTAAATTCCCACCCTGGCTTGCCTGTCACATGCTCCTCCTGCACCTGCTGTCACTCTGATTCATCCTTCCCACTCAACAATATACTTAGTCTATTAAAAAAAGAAAGAAAAAAAAAAGACACAAAAAAAAGTTCCTCCACCTCCCCTCCCTCCATTGATCACATTCACATAGGGAGAGAGAGAGAGAGAGAGAGAGAGACAAACAACCAGAGAGAGGAAGATAGTCGCAAGCAATCATGGATCGTGGCCTTTCAACAGGCACCCATCAGGAAGACGATGGACTTCGTGAGAGGATTGTGGCCTCTCAGTCCGGTGCCGCCCTCACTCCCGAGGCTTTAACAGCCACGGGAGAAGGGTTGCTCAAGGACAAGACTGGTAAGGAGATGAAGACATATGGTCGGACACCGGGCGGTACAGGTATGTCGCTCTTGATTTATCTTGTTTGGAAGGACGTCATTCTCGAAACAAGGTGTCGGATCTTGTGCGAGTCCTGCGGGTAGCACTCACGCCAGCTAACTGAGCGTTCGAATAACAGTGTTTACGGTCCCTCAAACACACGATATGGTCTCTCAGCTTCTGTCGCCCTCAGAGCCAAAGAACCTGTCCGATGTTGCCGTCATTGCCATTCTCGGGGTCCACATTCTTCTCCTGTGGGGGCTTCCCGCGGGTGCTAAAGTTCCTGTCTTTGCGTTGATCTATCTCTTCTGGCGTGCGGCCTACAACGCTGGAATTGGATGGCTCCTCCATAACCAGTCCAACTACAATACCCTCGTCCGGTGGGCTGAGAAGACCAAAATCTTCGTGAACCCGGCAACAGGCAAAAATCCTCATCCTAATCTGTACCAGCTGATCAAACGTGAACTGGAGACCAAGATCCCCACTGACTATTCGTTCGAAAATGCTCCAATTGAGTACAACACTTGGCTCGTCTTCAGACGCCTGGTGGACTTGATCCTGATGTGCGACTTTGTCTCATACTGCTTGTTTGCGGTAGCTTGTAGTGGCCGCCCCGTTGACGAGGGCGCTCTGATGACCGTCCTGCGCTGGTCCGCCGGTATCGTTTTGGTACTGTTCAACCTGTGGGTAAAACTAGACGCGCATCGGGTAGTAAAGGACTATGCCTGGTACTGGGGCGACTTCTTCTTCCTCATCGACCAGGAGTTGACCTTTGACGGTGTCTTCGAGATGGCCCCGCATCCGATGTACTCGGTTGGCTATGCTGGTTACTACGGTATCTCATTGATGGCGGCCAGCTACAAGGTTCTCTTCATCTCCATTCTTGCCCATGCAGCACAATTCGCCTTTCTGGTTTTCGTTGAGAACCCGCACATCGACAAGACTTATAACCCGCCTCCTCCCCGAAAGCGAACCATCGATCAAGAATCTGTATCCGCCGCCTCTCAGGCATCAAGCTCGCCCATCGCGCCAGCATCCCTTGATGAACAACTCCCCCATGCGCCTTCTTATGCTAGTGGTCCACCTCCGTCTGTTCACAATCTGTTGGGCATTCAAAACCTGGACCTGCATCGAATCACGGATACTTCTTCCATGCTGATTCAGTTCCTCGTATTCGCTATTACGGTTCTGACTCCGTCAACGCCTTGGTACCGGTTCCTCTTTGTGGCCAACGCTGCCATCTGGAGAATCTGGTATTCTGTCGGTATTGGCTTGGTTTTAGACCGTCAATCGAACCGTAAGGCCTGGACCCGGCATTTTGTAAAGTATGGCGAGACCCCTCAGGAGGCTTGGAACCAGTGGAAGGGCACTTATCACCTTAGCATGGTCATGTGCTACGCAAGCTTCATCGCCGCCGTATGGAAAATGTACACATTCCCCGCAGACTGGGGCTATGGTCTCGTTCTGCTCAGACACGTTCTGGGTGCTGGACTCATCAGCCTGCAGATCTGGACCTCAGTCAGTATCTACGAGTCGCTTGGCGAATTTGGCTGGTTCTACGGAGACTTCTTCTTTGATGCCTCTCCCAAGCTGACATATAACGGCATCTACCGGTTCCTGAACAACCCCGAACGTGTTCTGGGTCTGGCTGGCGTTTGGGGTGCTGTCCTCATCACAAGCAGTGGGGCTATCACGTTCCTTGCCTTGTTGAGCCATACCTTGACCTTGGCCTTTATCCAGTTTGTGGAGCGCCCGCATATGCAGAAGCTGTATGGTCGAAGCTTGAGACGAGATGCTGGTTTGACGAAGAGCCTGAAGCGATCTCTGCCGGACCCTTTGAAGCAGCTCCACGGAAGTGTTGATAAGATGTTCGATGATTCGTTCGAGTTCATCGAAGATCTCATTGATACTGCCCGCCCGAAGCTTGCCGCTGGTGTGAACACCTTCGTCAAGGATACCTCTGCGCTCTTCCAGAAGTACCCCGCTCGTGTGACCATTTCTCGCATCGATGAGGATCTGGCTGGTTACGACTCTCGCGACTATTCCTTGGAGGTAGAAGGCACTGATTCACTATCCCTTCATGATGTCGATCAGAGTAGCGGTAGAGAGGGTCTCAACGCTCGTATGCCCCTTGATAGACGAGGCGACCTGAAGAATCTTGTCTTTGAGTATGGCTCGCCGATCAAGGTCAAGTGGACCGCCCCCCTGAACCACAGCAAGAAGGATTGGATTGGTCTGTATCGTGTCATCGATAATACTTCCCGCGAGATTTCTCGTGTCTCATCTCAGGGGAGATGGATCGCGACCAACGAAGGCTCCTACGACAATTCGAAATGCGAGCAGGGCATCGTAACAAGTGACGTCGTCATCCCCGCCTCACAACGCAAGGACGGCGAAGGCCGCGATCTCGCCTCTGGCGAGGTTGTCTTCTCTGGCGATAAGCTCTTCTGGACCCAGGGTGTGTTCGAGTTCCGGTATCACCACAATGGCAAACACAATGTCATGTCCATCTCAAGACCATTCGAAATTCGCATTAGCCGATTCGACGAGGATGAGATTCCCCTGATGGATCCTACGTCCGTGGAGATGAGCCTGTTCCCCGTGGTGCGCAACTGTTTCGACCGTGATCCCGAGATTGCTCCGGAAACCGTGGACGAGCCTTTCGGTAGCCTGGTCGAACGCGACGGCAAGTATGCCAAGAGAGTTGTCTTTGCTGTCCATCAGATGTAAGTCTTGTTTCCCCCTTGCCCCAGTTCCCGGACATCTGGACTAATCTCTTTCCACGTAGGTTCGGTATTGAATTCGCTCCCGAGGTCGTCAAAGCCGACGGAAGCGTTCACAACCTAGCCTGGAGGATATGTAACGCAAAGAGGGTCTTGGTATGTAGTCATCTTGCAGGCCTCCACTCGCATCTGTGCTATCTGCTTCTCAATGCTAACGGCCTTTTTCCCTCAACACAGGCTCCCTACAGCATGCCCAAGAACGGTGCGGCCACACCAACAGAGGCCAAAGAATAATCCATTACACCCCAATTTTCAAGAAGAATCTCAATGGAATTGAGAGAAAGAAGAAAAAAAGAGACCGGAAAACAGAAAAACAATCCCAGAAAAATCGAAAGAAAAGTGGAGACATGATGACCATGGCTTCCGATGAATAATATCCACGGCGAGAATTTTCCTATTTGCTCTTTGCAGCTTATGTTTGGGGATGAGCTATGAGCCTATGACAGCTTTTTTTGTTAGACGGGTTTAGACGCCAAAGTGGTTCCGAATTGAGTCTCAATCCATGTTTAAAGCATTACTACAGTCTCGCAGAAGGAGTGGGAGGGAGAGATCATGGCTCAGTTACGAGTACATGCAAATCCTGGCGAGCTCCAGAGTTGGGTGAAGTTTCACGAAGCATCGAGTAACATTTGAATATAAATACTCTACGAGGTGTTTTGTTTCATTTAATAGAAATAGAAAATAGGAACAATGCTTGCTATATTCAATCTATCTGTTCCGATGGACAAGTCCATGATCCTACTAAGATTGCGACAAGATAAAGAGCCTACGACTTGAGGACTGTCAGCAAAGGTCTTATCCATAGACTTGTTGACAGGAAGAACAACGAAACACCTCGAGCAATGCAAACCCAATAAAGAAATTTGCAGCAAGAAATTGGATCAGCCAAGCCGGTAAATTCAGCCCATCCCCTGCCGACTTCTTTCCCCCAGCTAATCGTCCAAAACGAACAAGAAGTCAGGAGAAAGTCATCGACACAAGTCAAGCGTAGCGAACAGACCAACGGTCACGGCACAAGAGACAGCGATGGTACCCGTTTTCCAGGACTCCACAACCAATCATCCCCTCCACATGAACTACACTTCAGAGAAATGTAGCCAAGGGAAAGTCCGGTATAAGGGAGATGGATGAACGGATCGCTGTGTCCAAGGTGTGCCGCTAGCTGGCAGTTGCGGGCTCGAGGGGCGGTTCTCCGAAGAGATCATTGAATGGATTGACTTGTTGTCATCATAAAAGGGATGTGTGGCTGTGGGGTGTGATTGAGAAGGGTGACTGTACCTATTGCAACTGAGAGGGAAGTGCTGTTTGGTTGAGAAATATCTACAAAGAAATTCCTTTTGAAACTGTTAGCCCCTTTCCATGATAAAGGATCATGCAAGAGTGGGTGATAGTTTTCAAGGGGATCAGGAGTTTTTGGTAAGGTATTTGGTTTTCTTCAAGGTTTTTGCAGAAGCAGAACTGAAAAAATGTTTCTCATCATGAAAGGAGGGTTGGAATGTACGGGTTGAAGGGTATATGAGCGCATACCTAAAGCGGCTTACAAGATGCCAGATCGGAATACCCGAAAGGTTTCAAAATCCTGTCTGATCAACTAGTCAGCCAATTGCAGAGAGCTAGGAAAGCTGACAAGAATCATCAATATGATAGGGTGGGTAATCAGATGGTGATGCATGTTTGTTCAGGCCCATTTATTTGTCGCCAGAACTGAAGATTTTTGGAAATCATTCGTCATATAGAGTGTGTGCTTGGACTAGGGAATGAAGGTGAGGCAACTTACAGAAGACGGAATTAGTGTCGAAATGCTGCTTTGAGGAGATGCCAGTGCAGTTATATCCCAATGTCAGCCTTCATCATAAGAAGGTCGAGTGCTGTTGCAGCTTGAGAGGGAAGATGGAGGAGAAGAAAGAAAAGAAAAACACGAAAGAAGAAAAACTTCAGTGGGAGAAAATCACGAGTTTTAGCGTGATCCACCCAGATCAAACAGTGCAAACATCTCCAACATCGCAGAATTTCCTTTTCTGGACTGAGATGATCGTTCGAAAGCTCAGGGTGTATTGCTCATTTCGCTGGAGTTCCCGTCAACAAAGCATTCTTTCTTTAATCTTTTTACTCGAGCCTATTATTTCTCCGTCTTCTTGAGCTGCTTCACATTCCAAATTGAGGTGTGATGGCCGACCGAAGAAGAATTAATGGGCCGCCCAGCGGCACCAGGCCTGCGGTCTTTGCCTCGTCGCTCAAAACCACTGGTGCGGCACCTACAAGACCACAGCGGCAGAGAAAGCCGAATGAATTGCGCAAAATATGTAAGCTCGCATTATGAGCCGAATCCTGTTATATGGTGCTAATTTGATTGCCTCTCAGTTATCAAGACAGGCTTGATCCCATCCGCATCTGGCTCTGCATACCTTGAATTCGAACCCTCAGCGTCTCTCGCTGCTGCTCGCTCTTCTCCTCAGTCTCTCATCCCTCCCTCATCAGCTTTAAAACTAGCCTGCACAGTCCACGGGCCCAAACCGCTTCCTCGGTCTGCGACCTTCTCACCCAATCTCGTCCTCACCACTCATGTGAAGTATGCGCCGTTTGCTGCACGTCGGCGGAAAGGGCACATCAGAGACTCCAGCGAACGCGATCTCGGTGTACACTTAGAGACGGCGCTGCGGGGGGCTATAATCGCCGAACGGTGGCCCAAAAGTGGTTTGGATATCACAATTACTATCTTAGAGGCAGAAGATGATCGCTGGTGGGGCGATGCGCCAGACTCCCATGATGCGCCGTGGGGGATGATGAATGTCTTAGCTGGATGCATTACAGCGGCGTCGGCAGCCATTGCGGATGCGCGGATCGATTGTCTGGATCTTGTCGCTGGCGGAGTGGCTGCCCTTGTTTCCGACGAGTCAGCGGAAGGAGCGCGGTCGACACCTCAGCTGATGCTGGATACCGATCCGGCGGAACATCGATCGATTTTATCAGCATGCGTGGTCGCGTACATGCCTTCCCGGGATGAGATCACAGAGCTCTGGCTCAAGGGTGATAGTTCAAAGGTTCAACTAGGGTCTGATGACAGGCGCACAGGGCATGATGCGTTAATAGACGGGGCAGTAGATGCTGCTCGAGGAGCACATACAGTCTTGGCAGAGGCAGTGAGGGAATCTGCGGAACGGTTTGCTGGCCTGGCTACATTGTAATGAGAACTGAAATAAAGATATAATGTTATTGTCTGATATGAGTCGCTCCGCCACTGTATGAGTAGGCGCCGTGACGGGGATCTGGCCGTGCCCTTCTTTCCAAGAATCATTGTCTTGTGCCAAAGGCCAATGATGAGCAAGCTGCTGCTGTGTGCATCATTAACTTAAGGTGAGTATAGATTGCTGCCATGGGTAACACTTAGCTCTGCTCACAGCATCTGTTTCCTAAACATGAAATTTGCTCTTCATCCTCTCACAACACACACCCACTCACACCCCCAATTCTCTTTCTCCTCATAGCACCCTCATCTGAGCACCTTTGTCACCTTTATCTCTTCCAATTCAGAACGCAAGGCTGCTTCCTATAAACCTCACATCTTTCCAACTCCTCACCATCAACCCAGCCTACCCAGCTCTGATAAGATGCCGAAGGCTACGATTGACGAGAATCATGTGTTCATGTACCACCTGGTGCAGAGCATTGGTGATAAAACTGTAAGTCCACAGAAAGGAACACAGTCAGATAAACAGCCAAAAGGCCTCATTCTTGCTCCCCCAATTTCCAGTGCCTCCATCTATCCCCAACAATGAAAAGAACACCCTGCTAATCAACCTCTCCACTGCAGATTGACTACGACGCCTTGGCCCAAGCTGTCAATCTTAACAAACCGGCTGCCCGTATGCGCTGGAGCCGCTTGAAAGCCAGGATCGAAGAGGCCAGAACTGAAAACAACAATGACGACAACAGGGACGCGACCACCCCTCAGACTACTGAGCCCGTCACTGAGTCGGAAACCTCTTCCCCGGTTAAGAAAAAGCGACGCACCCTCAAGCGTAAGCGCAGCGCCGGTGACGAAGACGGTGCAAGGGATGGTGATGCTGGCGCTGCCACCGCCGACTAGCATGGTGTTTCACTTGAATATTCGTCTCTTCCGCCGTGAGGCTTTGCGGGCTTGTCACATTGGCGCTCCTGAAGTTTGTTTCTATTTGGCAGAAAATCAGGGGTGGAGATGAGATCTTGGTCCTTATGGAAAACACATTTGTGAGGTCATTGGTTCAAGGGACTTCAAGTATTTAGATGATACCGATAGCATCGGGAAGACATTGGTTGTAGCTAGAGGAGAACAGTGGTAGTGTTAGGTCAATCTAACCTACGATAGAGAGCTTCCACAAGCACATGAGTTTACACATCCGCGCAAAGTAAAGCGAAAAATCTATATAGACACAGCTGACCTCCTTCTATATCAGTACCTCTTATCATTATACCATGGGCCGGGATTTTTGATGCTCAAGTTGGACAGGTATGCGATGGAAATGAAGAAATTGACCTTCCTGTCGCCTCACCTTCGATCAGGAAGCCATCATGCCCTTCCTCACTCTCGATCATCTCCAACAGTGCCCCGGTAATATGCCTAGCTAGCGTTTCCTGTTGTTCTATTGGGAATAACAAGTCCGTCGTGATCCCGATGACAAGGGTAGGTTGCTAAATACGATTCAGCACGGCTGCAACAGAGCCTGGGCTGTGCGTTTTCACTCACCGACGACAGACATTATAAGAGTCAATTGTGTCCATCAAAGTGAGATAGCAATTGGCGTCGAAGCGGGAGTTGAAATTCTGTCCCTGATACTCGAGGTAGTTATGGACGGCGAATTCTGTTCTTGTGGATTCCCCTCGCGGTGGTGTCGCTCCGCTCGAAGTAGATCCTGTTTCTGATGGCGAATATCCGCTATCATCTCCTCACTCCAATTCACGGTTGAAGCTTGCCTATTGCAGCCACTTGGACCAGGAGAACATTGTCGATCAAATGGGGGATGCGAGTGATAGGTTGGCAAAGCGATTTGTCTCGCCACGGCGAGGCCTTGGATCGGTGACCCGTCACTCGATCCATAATGCAGTAAAACATGCTGAAACTGGGGGTCATTCTGGATGGCTTGCCACCAGATAAAACATGGCAGACAATGACCACATTGTCCTTTCTGGTGGAGAGATGACCGTAAGTTGTAACAGTTGGTGAGAGTATATATGCAGCGCCGTGCCCATCTAGACTAAGAGATCTGACAGAAAGCCGAGGGCTCTCTTGTCTGGGCCATTGAAGTGAAAAATGTACCGGATCAGGGTTTGGGACTTGACTGTCTTGCTGTCTGGCAGCTGAAGTCAAACAGATACTCCTTGGAAATTAAGAAACAGCAGCGGGTTACCAGGCGCCTACTATCAAGCGATAGCCCCTTTGTTTGGACTATCTGTCGTCCTTTAGAACTTGAGATGTACTTCCTGATCTTTGCTGACATGCGGCCAATGGCTTCCAGACAGTACTTATTCTGTCCTATGCCATCCATGATTTGCACACAGAGAAGAAACCCTGTACGGGATTTTTGACTCTGGCCTTGATAAGCAGTCGTGTGGACACGGATCTTATGGTGGTATATGATTACCATGTCTGCGCTAAACAACGCCGTGCTACGAGTGCATTGTACCTTGCTGTTGGTACTTTTCGACAAATGCGATATTGCCTGTCATGAAAGATGTAAGGTACTGAGCGGGTCCCTAGTGGGCGTGCTAAAACTAGACGCCATATACTTCAGCGCTCAGTGAGTAGGATGGGTGTGATGAGATGGCGAACAGCCCATTCGCCTGGTTTGCCAGTTCATTCTGAATCCCAAGCAGACTGAGATGAAACAGCCTGTACCGAACTTCGTGTGGGAATAGCACACCAATGCCTCTCCCATACCCTGGCATCTTACAATAACAACTAGCCAACATATATAAGGGAAAACACTGCAGATCGAGCTGAGATAATCTAAAAGCTTCAGACGAACATCCCAATGCCCTCTAAGCAAGAGCCATTAAGCGAAATCACATCGGATTGACAGTCACGGAATCCGGAGTCATCAGCAGGAGCACCGTTCGGAATAGAAACCACCCCGAGTTCAAGAGCAATCTGATAAGCCAATATGACTTGAAAACGGAGATGATCCTGTCCGCTATCGTGCATGCAATCCTCGCCGACGTTGTGGCAGAAGAGCATCGCGTCCAGGCATTCTTCTACTTAGCGAGTAGTACGCTATTCTCCGAAATGCTTGCTCCAACTGTGGGTTCTGTTTCGATGACGGCCTACGGTGTTTATATGCCATTGCTGTGGGGGTTTCCGTTGCAAATAATGGCTATCATGGTGTTTAGACTAATTTCGGACACAAGGTCAGGGGACATCAAGGGAGCTGATAAGGATGGAAACGATTATGACATTGAAGCCGAACACAACATTGATGAGAGCGCCAGCAGTACGGGGCCTGGAGGCTGGGCAAAAATTGCGATCAAATCCTTTCGGAATGCCTGGACTATGCTTAGTCGCAGTAGGCGAATTATATAGGTCAAATGTTTCATTTTTGACGCCCAGGTTAGCTAGAGAGACTATTTAGTACAAAACGTCTCCAAACGGTTCGAATGAAGTCTCGCGAAGGTATGTTTGACCTCATCCCCTGATTCCTGATGATAATCAGCAAATGTCGCTAAATCGACAAACCTTGCCTGCTAGTCGAACCACCTAGTTTCACTCAAGGCACATACCAACCTACTACTGTTCATGCTTGTGCTACCCCTACTCAGCACTACCCTGAACAGGCGATACTCTATGATTCCCCCGAAAGTCGACCTTTGGATTGCCCGTGGTAGTTCCCTCTTTGGGGTTATAGATCCAAAAGCCCAGTTCTAATGATCTTGTGTATGTCATTTCTCTTGACACTTGGTCACTCTTTTCTTAACAAATTCTTTGGAGGTGATGGAACTGACCAAGAATAGCCCTCATTCTTTTCACACTGTCCTTGGGGTATCCCTCATGGCATTCAGTCATATGGTACATCACTTGGCTGCCCGGCAGACGTGGCGCCATTTTACTCCTCAGTTGCGACGCTGAGGATAGGGGGAACATTACTGACTTCCCCCATACTAGCTGCGATATTCAATGCCGGATTGAAGCTCGGAGGCGGCGGGCTGAGTCTTTTTTTCTATGTTGCTGGGTATTTGTTTGCCTGCTGGCGCCGTGGGTGCAGCGTTAATGCAGTATAGAGGTGGCATGCTAATCTCCTGACGATTGATCAATATTTCAGTGATATCAGTCTGATTCACCTGCAGATTAGGAATAGAGTTGAGAATAAGGCAAGTTGACACTATCCAGGTACAAACTACTACTTCACCTATGTGGAGAACATTGTATTATCAGAGTTCGCTGAGACGACTGTTGTATCCAGAGCAGTGGCCAGTCCTAGTAATATCAATCACATTCATCATAAATATTCTGGACTCTGGTCCCAACCCTATCTGGGAGGTCATCTCATTTCAGATAGGCAGTATGAGCTGTAGGAGGGCATTCTTAGAATGTCTGATAATAGCATAAGCTGTCCGTGTGGTGTGAATGTCTACCATGCCAGAGGCAGTTGCAATTGCAACGCCTTCTTTAGGCTGTGTCCCAACAGCTTGTTCATACTTCCAGGCAATTTCCGCACTTGATGAGTGCAGATAGAAAACACTTGAATGTCAAGCAGACGTGTCGTTAAATCGAATATATCTCTCTCACTCAAGCTCTTCGATTGTAGAAGAAAATCCAGAGATTTGCAGGGGCAAGTATTCCCTACCAGTTGCACGCGCCACTGGCAACCAGTTCAAGCTCCAAAAGAGTCAGCAAGCTTCTATGCGGCGAATAGAGAGTCCTACCAGCATTGAGTTCTATCATGCATGTGTTCCAGTTTATTCTTCCCATGTAAATTTGCACGTCTTCAGTGAAATGGACTTTAGTGATACGAAGTATAACGAGGTGCGAAGAGGAAGAAATTCGCCATTTATTACCATCGAGACATCAGAAGCTTACGACCAAGCAACATGGGTAAAGAAGGAAAAAAGGTATAGTATAAAATATATGCATCTGACGTATCAACAGGACGAGAATCAAGATTCAAGGCAGTGAAAATCCTGAGGTGTTAGATATCTACAATGCAAATGGATACGCAGCGTTTGGAGGCATGCCATATATTTAACCCTGAGGTTCTCCAAGCCTATACCTAAGGCGCCAAGGCACCCAAATGACAGCTGAGTCGCTGAGATAATCAGAAGTTCACAAAATTCGAGTCGTCGCACATAACAGATCAAAGTTCAGGAATCATTTCATTTCCACCATCTTTCCCGTCATTCCACATTCTTGAGAGTTTTTATTTTTTGACAGCTTTTCTGTACTTCTGTCTGGCTAGTTAACGGCTGAGGGTCCTCCCGCTAGACACGACGGTTCCTGGCCGACAGGACGATCGCACCATGTCTACCAATAATAATAGAACCCGGTATGGATGCCTTTCCTGTCCACTAACGCGTTAAGGCATTGGCGAAATCTATCGGGATTCGGGACCCATTTTTTCTAGTCTCTGGCACCTTCATGTCCATATTCATCTGAAGCTAACTACCAGCAGCTTACGGAGTAACCCCGTCTCATGAACCTTGTCGCTAAAGGCACTGGAATTGGCACATAGGGCACGATACTTGAGCAGTGAGCAGCGTCCAATAGTCAAGGCAACTCTTTGTGTTAAACACTACAGATGGGCCTAGTCACTAGTCAATGTGTCCAGTCACAGTGTTGATAGTTTGATACTCTGTTCATCTTTTTGTTCTCACATCACAGGATCGCATACGAACACTCCAAGCTTGCAAGAGCGAATCCCACAGTGCCGCTAATCGATTTGCTGTGAGCTAGCCTAGCAATGCAGCATGGTAGCACCAAGGCGAGATCGATCATTGAAACCTCGGTCATACAACTATTGCATATTTCTGCAGGAGCAGGGGCAAGTATAGACGAGGAAAACCGGGTTATTACGACTCTCGAATTGCCCTCTATTCGCTGGTCTCACAAGAAGGAAAACCTTCCTCTTCGTTCTTAAACAGCCACAAAAGCGAACAACGGAAGGACGGGCATGGTGGTTGATGAAAATTGACACATCGAAATTCAGGAATGGGCATTTTTACCATGATTATCGATTGGTTCATCGATCCACGAATAGCTCTTCAATAATTACTTCTCTTTGTCAGTGCAGTTGCTAACTAGTCTAGTTGCTGACTTGCTGGTCCAGCCCCAATTTCCTGCCCGTTGGTCTAGTCCGCGATAGTACTCCGAGTAGTGGATGATCGGGGACTGGACCACTCTCTTCTTTTGCCCTGATCCAGGAACAGCTGTTGGATCATTGGATGAGGGATCTGCAGACTGAGCAGCATGTTGGGATTATTCGCAGTACAGAGTGTCTAACTCACTAACTGTCTACGAAGTTCTCCGTAGTTAGTCTGTCAACTCCCACGATCTGCCCAAATATCTCTCACCCTTTTCGAGATATCTCCAGCTCTTCTCATTCCCCAATTCTCGCGTGTTGAGACAAGACATGCCGGCCTGGTGTTCGGGATAGCTCAGAAATACCTCCATCTCTTCGCCAGAAAAGCATTGACGCAACCATACCCAAGAATAACGGTCTTTGAAACATCTGACCCCTCCATTCGTTTCCTGAAATTGCGGACACAGTTCTCTGTATCTATTATCTTTTCTCTAGAATTCTCGTCACATCTTTGAGATTCATCCTCATGCACCGCACCCCGATAACTGCAATTCCGTTATATTTCACACAAGGATTCCTCCGGTGGTCGACTAGCGCTTTTCTCTAAAAAGTTGAGCAGGCCGCCATCGTTCGAATATGGTCGCTCTAAGAAGGCTTTTCCAGGCCGAGAAAGGCTCATCTACAGGCTCTGCAAGTCAAGATCCCCCGCAAAATTATTTAACACGAAGTGTGGATGAAACGCAGAGGTCCCGAAGCCTCAACACATCGCTACAGCCAGGCGCCGGACAGCATTTTCAAAACATCGAAAAGCAATTTGAAGAACTCCATGATCAAATGCAGGCATGGCCTTTATCTTCTCGCTCCTATGCCCCATCATCTCGTACCTCCAGTCGTTTCACACAAGTGACACAACGCAACCCAGGGCATGTTGATCTGCTGGATGCCCTGTTTTCATCGCATCGATATCAAATGCAAACCGCCAACGCGTTGTCGCCTATAACACCATACAATGAAGACGTCGCCGAGCGCAACATGGTGCGATTTCTTCAGGGGCAGCCACGCACGCATAAAGTGTATTCCCGCATCGTCTCTGCACCCTATCAGGAAGATGTGGCGGACAGGAACATTGCGCGAAGTCGAACAAACAATCGTACATTTTCCAGAAGCGCCAGCCCTCTGTCTCAAGGTCCATCGGCTCGCGCTGAAGCGTCTTGTCGGGGGAACAGCAGTCGTCCTCGGTCGACGGCTGGCTCCCAGGCCACGTCATCGAGCTCAAGGCCAGGCTCCAGGTCCTCATCACAACAAAATGAAGCCCGTGAGGCAGTTGATTCTGACTTTGAAAGACCTTCTAGTGGTGAACATTTTCTACGGGCTCACCGATCAGCCTCTGATATGTCAGCTGAGCCCCCCCAAACGTCGCAGGAACTCTCTGCTACAAGTTCCCGTAGACATCTGCATGTACCTCCGGCTCATAAACATGGCCATCAATGGAGCAACACCCCTTTACCGGACAGTCCTACGTTGCCCATGACGATAAATCATACAAGGGGGAGATCTCCTGCTGGCAACGGTCAGCAAACAATTCCTAGTGACAGTCCACCGGCATCCCTTAGACCTTCCTCGAAAAGGAACGTCCGAGATCTGTCAATTAATACGGAGTTGGCTGCCCGAGGAAAGCATGCGGACAGGATCACACATCGTGCGATACAGCCGCCAACTCCTAGCAGCTACGATACGAAACAGAATCCGAGCATTGCTGAAGTCATGAACAGCCCTTTGCTGAATGCGACGCCCACGTCTCTCTCCCCACTGCCCCCATCCGATCAGAAGGTGGCGGTCATCATGGACCTGTTTCGACAGGCTTATACTTCACCTGCCGAAAGTATCTCGCCTCACCCTACGTTCGAGACCTTGCAAGATGCAATTGTCCGGGAGATCAATTCCCACGAAGCTTTCCGAGGCCCTCCCCCAGAGATGAGCCTCCCGTTCACATCGACGTCGTCTCAGGACTCGCTTGGTGGAGAGCAGCTTCCCACGCAAGCAGATCTCACCAGAAACGTCCCTGCTAAAGAAGTGAAAGAGAGCCAATTTTCTAGGTTAATCAGGCGCACCTCCTCCAAGAAAGATCGGAAAGGCTCGGAGTGCAAAAGCATATCAGCCAACGTTCCTTCCGTTGCATTTGGCCGAGGATCCCGGACAGTGCGACGAAGGCACACAGACGCTCCTCCTCCGACTCCTGGGCTCCTGAACGCAAAACAATCAGGAACTACCACAAGCACCAGCCAACCCGAAGAGCAAGTTACCTACATCGATATCCTTCTCCGGTCACAGAAGCCGTCACCACCCACCACGATCGGCTCGAGAAGGGCTGCAGAAGCGTTCCGAGATTCAGGACGTTCGCAATTCGCAGGCATATTTACCTCCCCAAGCGTCTCGGACTTGGAGAGGCCCTCCACAACGCCCTCCGCTTACTACATGCGCGCACAGACATCGGAATCCTCGACCGACGGCCGAAGCTGCATCTCTGCCGACGACAGCGACGAAGAAGTCATCCATCTTCCCAGCGTGGGGATCCCCCGCGTTCAAATCCAAGCTGTTGACGAGAATAACGCCACCTACATGATCGAGAACACGACGCCGAGGGACGCTTATCGGCTAATGAATTGGTCTTACAACGCGCGCCGCAGTGTCTCCAGCAAAAGGAACCCGGTGCTAGATGAAAACAAAGCACAGCAATGCTCGGAACATGAGCACCAGCTCCAGGGTACCCGGTCCGTGGAGTCTTATTAGCCCTTCGCCATCAGTATCATCATATACCCATCTTTGCATACCAACTACTATACGATTACGTGTCTCATTTTTTTTTGTTTCTTCTATACGTAGCCTCCAGAGGCTTGTTGTCACTCTCTATATATACCATCATCATCATCATCATAATCATCATCAGGCGTATCTGCGATATCCGATTCAGTCTCTATATCATTTCTTTCTTTCTGGGGTCGTCGGGCATAGCTAGGCATGGAGAAAACTATAGAAACCATAGTACAACTAGAACTTACAAGTTGAGAGCAGGCAATCTCAGCTTCACTCCGTTAGACAGAAACACTCATCATAACGCGTTCTGTCCTTGATGATCTCATAGTGTACCAATCTAGTCTGTTACGACCTTGACGAGAACCAAACCGAGATTCTCGACCTCTTACAATAAATGAAGTCTCGCTCAAGTCGTCATCATTCAAATCCATGCTCCAGCTACGCGTATGATATGCTAGATCCGACTGTGAAAGAAAACCAACAAGGTATCCCGAAAATCACTCCCCATGTATCACCTCGCCCATGTAGCTAGAAGCTATTTTCTTTTGTTAATGCGACCCACTACCATACATGTGCTTCAACCGGATAGAAGATAGCAGAAAAAGGAAAGTCATAAAGGTCATAGGAACCATCCTGAAAAAACGAATGGGACAATCTGACGTAGATGTGCATGACTTGGATGCCATGTGCGACGTTTTAATAAGAACCTGAGTGCATAGGTTAGCCATTGCGCCGAAATAAGAAACGACAGGAGATGGAAAAGCAACTTACGTCCGAACATGCACCACTTCTCAGCCATACGGCTGCACTTGGGGTTGGCGCACTTGGTCTGGCCAGGGACGATGCCCTCGGGCTGATCGAAGGGAATGCAGAGGGACTTGGCACCCATGCTGGGGGCTCTAGCATCCTGGGGCACACCAGAGTCCTCCTCGGCCTTGCGGGCGCTCAGGTCCTTGATCTGGTCCTCACACTCCTCCGTGAGACAGTGAGGAATGACACAGATGTTCTTGTCATTGAGAGCAGGGACGAAGTCGTCCCAGTTGGTGATGAGCTTGCGGTGAGAACGGAACTCATCATCCGCGCGCTTGTACAGATCCTTGTGGATGGTGTCCAGCAGAGCGGGGACCGCAGTGGACAGCTCGGCGATGGGAATGGTCGACTTGCCGTCCTTACCAGGAATATCACGACGGGCAGCCGTCACAAACTGGCCAGCGGATTCACCGGGACCGAATTCAATGCGCAGGGGCACACCACGGAGTTCCCAGTCATTGAACTTCCAGCCGGGGGAGTATCCGTCTCTCTTGTCACTATCAGCGCGGACGCCAGCAGCCTTGAGGACAGAGACAAGGCCGTCAATCTCAGCATAAAGCTTCTCGCGGTCCTCCTCAGTGGTCTTGGCCGTGATACCGACGGGGACAATGATCGTCTGAGTCTCAGCAACGCGAGGGGGGAGAACCAGACCGCGGTTGTCACTGTGGATCATGACCATGACACCCAAGGTACGGGTGGACAGACCCCAGGAGTTCTGCCAGACGTGAAGAGGAGGCTTCTTCTCCTCAGGCTTGGCAGAGGGGTCCTCGACGGTAATGCCGAACATCTTGCTGAAGTTCTGGCCGAGACCGTGCGATGTTCCACCCTGAATACCACGCCCAGTGGCAGGAATATAACCCTCAACAGTGGTAGTATACAGACCACCAGCAAACTTCTCCTTCTCCGTCTTCTGACCCTTCACAACGGGAACAGCGAGGAGTTCCTCATAGATCCGCGCATAGAGGTCCAGAATGTGCAAAACCTCTTCACGGGCTGCTCCCTCAGTCAAATGAGCGGTGTGACCCTCCTGCCACAAGAACTCTCTGGTTCTGAGGAAAGGCTGGGGATGCTTGAATTCCCATCTGACGACCGAGTTCCATTGGTTGAGCTTAAGGGGGAGATCACGATGGCTTCTGATCCACTTGGCGTAGTAAGGGTACATAACAGTTTCCGATGTAGGGCGAATGGCGATCTTCTTCTCAAGAGGAGTAGAGCCACTTTAGCAAATTAGAAGTCAGTTAAGTCACATTACAGACGAGGACAGAAAACGAGTTGAGGGGTATTCATACGCATGAGTCACCCAGGCAACCTCAGCAGCGAAACCTTCAATGTGATCCTTTTCCCTCTGAAGCACATCCTCGGAGACGAAGAGAGGGAATGAGCAGTTCTTGACACCGATCTTCTTGATCTCTGCGTTGAACCATTGTTGAATCTCCTCCCAGATCGAGTACGAAGCAGGCTACACCTCGTTAGCCATGTAATCACCGTAGAGGGCCAAAGACCGACGTTCACAGCCGTACCTTCAGAATGAAGCATCCCGACACATCATAGTAGTCCAGCATATCACCCTTTGTAAGAACCTGCTGATACCATCCGGGGAAGTCCTCCTCCTTGGAGACGTCGATACCAATCAGGGCAGCACCCTCGATCTTCTTCTTAGGAGCCTTCGATGTGGGCTTCTTAGCCTCCGACTTTCCAATGCCCTTGTTCGCAGCCTTTTCGGCTTTATCAGCAGCTTGCTTCGCGAGCTTTGCTGCCTTCTTGGCGGCATTCTTGGAGACCTCTCCCTCAGGAGCGGCCTTATCAGCGGGGTTCTGGCTGCGATCAGGAAGAGTCACAGAATCAGCAGCGACCGGAGCGTCGGCGGGAGTTTGGCTGGCCATTTTGGAAATGAGGATCGGGTCGAACAATCGCTTTGAGATCAGATGGGAAATAGAAGGAGGCGACCGCCAAGGCAAGCAACTCGTCCGTGGGAGCAAAATAACGGAGGCCGCTTTCCCCTCGTCAAAGTGGGATGCATCTCGAAAAAATTCACCGCCTCCGGACCGGCAGAACTTTTAGCGGGAGAACCCCAGCGACGAGTCGGTAGCAGAATGAAAGAACTCCAGCTTGACGGAGCTCTGCCATCACTTCACAAGCATCTTTTCTGTCTACTGAACAATTATGGCAGGCATCTTTGAGGCACCGCGCAATGCGGACACTCTCTGTGAGCTCCCAACCTGAACGACCTGTCATCTACGAGATCCATTTACTGACGAATCTCGCACAGTCTTGGGTGGGCAGAAAATAACTGGCTCTGATGTCCGCGAACAGAATGGTATGTGACACGAGGTCATTCGGGATGGTCAAAAGCCCACATATTAACGAAAAATGTAGTTCTTGCGACGCAGGCTATTGCAAATGTTGTGAAGAGCTCCTTTGGACCCTCTGGTCTGGATAAGATGATGGTAGACGACATAGGGGTAAGCATTGAGCCCAACCCCGCGTCATTCTGGGCCAACTCCTGACGGTTGATTTAGGACGTCACTGTAACAAACGATGGAGCAACTATTCTGAGCTTGTTGGATATTGAGCATCCTGCTGGGAAGATTCTCGTCGACCTGGCTCAACAACAGGACAAGGAGGTAAGTTCTATTGCCTGCATCGAGTTTCGATATCTTCGAGCTCTAAATTGATTGTCTCTCTCCAGGTCGGTGATGGTACCACTTCCGTCGTTCTGATTGCTGCCGAACTCTTGCGACGAGGAAACGAGTTAATGAAGAATCGTATACATCCCACAACCATTATCAACGGCTACCGACTAGCCCTCAGAGAGGCGGTCAAGTACATGAATGAGAACATTACCACAAAAGTCGATTCGCTAGGAAAGGACAGCTTGGTGAATATTGCCAAGACGTCCATGTCCAGCAAAATCATTGGCGCGGATGCGGATTTCTTTGCCAACATGGTCGTCGATGCCATGCTGTTGGTGAAGACCACCAATCAGAGAAACGAAGTCAAATACCCTGTCAAGGCCGTGAATCTGCTCAAGGCCCACGGAAAGAGCGGCACGGAATCCATCCTTGTCAAAGGCTATGCACTCAACTGCACCGTTGCGTCACAAGCGATGAAGACTCGGGTCACTGATGCCAAAATCGCCTGTCTGGATATGAACTTGCAGAAGGAGAGAATGAAGCTTGGTGTTCAGATCACAGTCGATGATCCTGATCAACTGGAGAAGATTCGCGAAAGAGAGTCCGGCATTGTTCTCGAGCGTGTGGAGATGATCCTCAAGTCTGGCGCAAATGTCATCCTTACTACCAAGGGTATCGACGATATGGTTCTCAAGCTCTTTGTTGAGAGGGGCGCCATGGCTGTCCGCCGCTGCAAGAAAGAAGATTTGAGACGAATTGCCAAGGCGACTGGAGCCACCTTGGTAAGCTCGCTTTCCGACCTCAACGGTGATGAGAAATTCGACGCATCGAATTTGGGTTACGCAGAGGAAGTTGTGCAAGAGCGGATCTCGGATGACGAGTGCATCCTAGTCAAGGGTACCAAGGTCCACACGTCAGCCTCCATCATTCTGAGAGGGCCCAACGACTACAGCTTGGATGAGATGGAGCGTTCGGTCCATGACTCCCTCTGCGCTGTCAAGCGCACCCTCGAGAGTGGCAGCATCGTCCCTGGTGGCGGTGCCGTTGAAACCGCTCTCCATATCTACCTTGAAGAATTCGCAGTCACAGTGGTATGTTTACATCAGATTCCGTAGTTTGCGCACCCCTCTAACACTTCATCTGTTATAGGGCTCGCGGGAGCAACTCGCGATCGGTGAATTCGCTCAATCGCTTCTCATTATCCCGAAGACCTTAGCAGTCAACGCTGCCAAGGATTCGTCCGAACTTGTTGCTCAGCTCCGAAGCTGCCACTTCGCCTCTCAGCGTGTGCAGGAGACTCCTGCCACCAAGGATGACAAGGCTATCGCGAAGAAGAAGAACTACAAGAACTACGGGCTCGATCTGACAAAGGGACGAGTCCATGACTGCATCAATGCCGGTGTCCTGGAACCTAGCATGGGCAAGCTCAAGCAGTTCAAAAGTGCCGTAGAGGCCTGCATAGCGATTATGCGTATCGACACAATGATCAAGCTGGACCCCGAGATAAAGGAGGATGATGGACACGGCCACTAGGAGATCAAAAGATTGCTCGGTCCATTCGGTTCTTGTTGCCCCTTGGAGTTCTAGATGAAGGTAAAGAAATCTAAAAGTATAATAAGATATCACGAGTACAGATCCCTCTTAGTGCTGTGACTATTCGGCCTAATGATTTGGGAACCTTCACTTTCTGTCATGCACATCCCAGTAGAGTGAACTCCGCAGACGAATGAGTGGCCCTCTTTAAGCATGATAGCAGTTTCGCACCATGTAAACATCATTTTTTCAGTATATTTATAACCGCCACGATGTTTGCCAATAGATACTGGTAAGCACATGGCTCCCAACAATGTGCTCAACTGGACGATCAGCGAGAGATGGGCCATGACAACATCCAGGATAATAGGAAATAGAGCTCAGCAGAGAGGAAGCTCGCAGGGATTGTGGTCAACTACGTCAAGTTGATAATGCAGTAGTCCTGACAAGACCTTTACCAAAAAGAATCCAATTGATATTGAAAAAGCTGCTTGTGGACATATGCAAGCCAGTGACCAAAGACAAGCCCAAACTTCCTGGCTCGAATGATCTGCATAAAGAGATAGGTATTGTTGCTTTGCAATGCAATACAAATCACAGAAAACGGCTGCGAGCCGCAAATCCTCTAAAAAAGGTAAACCGACCCTCGCTAAATAAGATAAATAATGCCCAAGCGCCTGCAAATGCTCAGATAAACCATAACACCAGCTGAAGACATAACATCCAGTCCTCACATAATCATTCATCTTCATCATCATCATATGGATCTTGGGCGTCAGCCCATCCACATCGCCATCGTCTTCCTTCTGTCTCGCCACTGACTCGTAATTCTCGAGCTTCGGGTCCCTCGCGCCAACATCTAGCGCTGTAGTCATCACTAACCGTGATGAGCTCACCGTCTGCGGACCACGAGACAGCCGAGACTTCCTTCTTATGGCCTTCAATCAAGGGCGTCCCTGATTGATAGATCGGCACAGTATCCTCTAACCGTCCAGATAAGCCAACTGCTGAATTCGTGCGGCGTAAGCCAGAACGGGTGAAGGACACTCCAGGTGATTGTGCCATTGAATTCACGGCTGATTTCTCGGCAGAGGAGTGAAGAAACCGCTCGTCGGTAGGAAACAGCACGGCACAATGGTCACTGCTACCAACAGCGAGCATCTCTGCTTTATCAGCGGTGGCTTTTCGAACGCCAACTCGCACGTAAAACGAAGCCACTTTCAAGCGTGGATGACGGAATCCGTACAACGGACCCAGACCCTCCTTATCAGATCCTCCAGAACGTCTTGGGCGGTTGTTATACAACGACAATTCGGGGGCATGTCCGAGTACCAGGTGGGACGTCGAGTAAGCATACACTGTACCATCTCGGCAGAGAGTGTAAAGCCTTGAACCATCCCCATTCATTGTCATTGACGTCAGTCCGAAGCGCCTGTATTTGATGTGACTATCGGGTTCGCGGGTAGTCGACAGAGGAAGAACTGGACGACCCCGACGATTGTTGTGTGCTGTGCGTAAATCCCACAGTCTTACACACGCATTGGCTTCCGAAGCTGTAACAAAGAGATTCTCCCTGCCAGGAGGAAGAAAAGTCAAGGAGGTTACCGTAATATCGGAACGGCCAATTTGAGGTTCGGATTTATCCACCGTGGAAGCTTGCGGCATCCATGCATGGGCTCCATGGATTGTATTCAGAACTTGAGGATAGATCATTTTGGATGGAAGAGATGTGGGAGAACTGTCCGCCTCGGATTCGAGCGAACATCGAACTTGCAGAGAAGGCCTCTCAAATCCTTTACACCGCAGGTCCCAAATGTTGACATTTCCATCCCGACTACATGTTGCAAGAACTTTGTTATTTGCAGCCGGTTGAAACTGAACCCGTTTCACCGAAGAGACATGGTTTGATAGGCAGTATACCGGCTTCTGGGTAGCCATGTCGATCACCAAGGCGGTTTGATCTCCGGATGCCGTTGCCAGTAACATATCATCGGATGAGAACTCGAGATCCATGATGGCATTCATATGGGGACGAAACGTAAGGTATGCCTTGGAGAACCCGCTCTTATCGTCCTTCGCAGAATCCAAAAGTCGGATGCCGCCCTCCTCATCACCGACGGCAACGAGTGAGTTGGCTGTAAAAGTCGGCAACTGTCAGTGGAAAACTGCGAGGTCACGAAGAGAAAGATAAATGGAACGCAAGCGGCAACATACTATTGCATGACGCGGTGCAAAAAGGAAGAGCAAGCCGGTCCCCAGTATAGCTCGCGCAAGAATAACTGTCGGCAGGACGGGAATAGAATGTGGATGTCAAATCCTGCCATCCTGGATGATAGTGAGAACGCAGTAACTAAAGAAATCATGGTGAAAGAACCAACCAGCTCCAGAGTTAGAGCGCATTGTGACTCGATTTGCCCGTGATCCCAGGACACTCCTCATATACAGCCCTCCAGATGTCTGCAGCGACTGTGACCGTCGAATAGGTGCAACTGGAAGAGACAGTCTGCCAGGAGCTAAAGGTTTTGTGTAATTATGCTTTACATCGAAGACAACCCGCGTATCTTTTACTGGAACATCCAACTCCTCGTCGTCGTCCACAGGAGCCCTCACGCGAACCTTCCGCAAAGGCGATGACTGAAGCGGAGACCCAACAGACGAGAATGATAGCTTTCGCTTTCGGCTAGGAGTTCGAATGAGATCTGAAGCGTCATTGTGACTAGTCCTATGTTCAACCGCCTTCAACGCTCGAGTAAAAGCCGGACCCAGGCGGTTGACAGCGGGCGAGCTGAGCACCTTCAAAGCTTGACGATTCGTCTTGACCGATCCCGCACTGTTTCCACCACTCAACATCGACCGAGGTGTAAAGAAGCGCCTGAAAGACCGAGGCGTGACTGGTGGGGGCTTCTTGAGTTTTCGTCGCACGCCAGCATCGGATACTATTGACGGAGGAGACGAAGGAATCTCCTGTGATGATGAGGGGGGGAAGACGGGCTCCGATCGAGGTACCTCAGGAAGGCCATGGCTGCTCTCCATTGTGGATTATGGGCAAACGACAGACATACAAAGCATTCTAATCAAAAGACAAACAACAGACGAAAGAGGATAAAGAGGACAACGGGGCTAAAAGGTGTGAAATTGCGGCATGGTGGAGCTTTTTGGGGCGGAATGGAGACCAGCAATTATGATCATTGAGGAGGAAAATGCGTCGCGGCCAGTAGAACTCGTGTCGACGTGCTTTTTTCGTGACGCGAGGCGCTGCTTCTGGCAGGCGGTGAGCCTGTCAATTAAGGTGCTGGAATCGTCCTGGATAGGAAGGCGGTCTAGAGAATTTTTCGATGCGGATATTTTTTTTTGGTCTTTGCTCCCCGTCCAGCTTGCCCCAGTTTTAAAGACACTCAACCAGATCATTCACACGGTGGCGCTTGATTTTGAGGTGGCCCTGTTCTATTAGATATGGCCCCCATAAAGCGCAAGGGCAATGCTGCAGATCAACCAGTGACCCGTCAACCTCAGAAGCGTGTGCGGGTGGGAGCTGAGGAGAGCAGCAAAGATCAGAAGAAGCAGAAAACATCGGAATCCGCAAATGCTCCGAACGCTTCGGAGCTTTCAGTACTACGCGATGATGAACCGTCGTTCCCTCGTGGTGGAGGAAGTGTCTTGACCCCTCTCGAGAAGAAGCAAATCCACATTCAGGCGACTAAAGATGTCCTTTTCGAGCAGAGGGGTCCCAAACAGTCCTCTGGCAATTTCGTTGACGAAGATGACGATGAGGACGTCGAGATGGGCGATGCGGACGACAATGCGACCTCTACCAAACAGTCTAAGAAAAGAAAAACCAAAGGCAAGAAGCGTGCAGAGCAGGAAGCCAAGGACAAGCAGGGTGTGCGAATTGAAGGTCTCAACTTCAAGGTAGGCTTGAGTTTTTTTCTAAGAAAGGTTTCGTTTTTCAATGCTGACAATCGCAGCGCCTTGTCCCCGGGTCGATGGTACTAGGTCAGGTTTCAAGCATCAATGCACACAATATTGGCTTATCTTTACCCAACAACCTCACTGGCTACGTTTCGTTGACTGCCATATCGAAAGTGCTGGAGGACAAGATTGAAAAGATTCTTAACGACAACGAGAAAGAAGGAAGCGATGCGGAAGATGAGTCGGACGATGAGGATTCGCTGGATCTTAAGAACTACTTCTATCTCGGCCAATACCTGCGGGCATACGTCGTTTCGGTTGGGAGCAACTCAGCAGACGCTCCCTCTAAGAATAAGAAGCGTATCGAGCTCACAATCGATCCGAGGCAGACAAACACCGGGCTCGCGAAGACGGATTTGGAGCTCAACACCGCCGTGCAAGCGTCCGTTGTCAGCGTTGAAGACCATGGTCTCGTGATGGATCTTGGTATCGAAGGCGCGAATGTCAAGGGCTTCATGTCCTCAAAGGAGATCGATTTCAACACGAAATACTCGAGCATTAAAGAAGGATCGGTATTCTTGTGTATGATTACCGGCCAGAATGCGAATGGAAGTGTCGTGAAACTATCTGCCAACCTTCAGTCTGCTGGATCTATCAGGAAATCGCATTATCTCAGCACCGCGTCTACGATCAACTCATTCCTCCCTGGCACAGCGGCAGAGATCTTGTTGACCGATGTCTCCTCGAGCGGTTTGATCGGTAAGATTATGGGCATGCTCGATGCTACAGTGGACTTGGTGCAATCGGGTGCCAACTCCGGAAAAGAGGATCTGGCCAAGAAGTTTCAAATCGGCGCCAAGATCAAGGGTCGCATTGTCTGCACCTTCCCATCTTCCACGCCGTTCAAGGTTGGCTTTTCCCTACTTGACCACGTCCTCAGGTTTGCGACTGAGGGTCATGGACCTGGCACCTCGGAGGATGCTCCGGCAATTTCTGCCATTGTGCCCGAAGCCAAGGTGGTCAAGGTTGACCCTGGACTTGGTGTGTACGTGAAGATTGGAGATACTAAGAAGATGGGTTTCGTCCATGTTTCCCGCTTGGCTGATGGAAAGGTTGAGAATATCGCCCCCGACCACGGTCCATTCCGGGTAGATTCTGTTCATGAGGCTCGAGTAGTCGGCTACAGTGCTCTCGATGACCTGTATCTGCTGTCTTACGAGAGAAAGGTTATCGAACAGCCTTTCCTACGTCTTGAGGACGTCACCGTTGGAGCTGTCGTCAAGGGAAAGATTGAGAAGCTTTTGATCGGACCAACTGGTGTAGACGGCTTGATTGTGGCTCTGGCCGATGGCATCACGGGTCTTGTCCCCTCTATGCATTTCGCAGATGCAGCTCTTCAATTCCCCGAGAAGAAGTTTCGCGAAGGCATGGCGATCACAGCGCGGATCTTGTCAGTCAATCTTCAGAACCGCCAGATTCGCCTGACTCTAAAGAAGAGTCTGCTCAACAGCGAATCCGCTATCTGGAAGGATTATGAAGATATTGTTCCTGGGGCTCAGTCTCCGGGAACCATTGTGAACATTCAACCACATGGTGCTGTCGTCCAGTTCTACGGCTCCGTCCGTGGATTCCTCCCTGTGTCAGAAATGAGCGAGGCTTTCATTAAGGATCCTTCGCAACACTTCAGACAGGGTCAAGTGGTCAATGTCCATGCTTTAAGCGTCGACCCATCGCTTGGAAAACTTGCGGTTTCTTGCAAAGACCCTTCGACTTTTACCGAGAGCTATAAAAAGGCATTCGAGAAAATCCAGCCCGGTATGCTTGTTACTGGCACAGTCTTCGAGAAGTCTGCCGATGATCTACTCCTCAAATTGGACGAGTTTGGCCTCGTAGCTCGTCTTGATTTGGCACATGTGGTTGATGGATCCTACCCCAAACAAAGCTCGACTCTTTCCAAGATTCGTGTCGGCCAAAAATTGAATGATCTTCTCGTTCTTGACATCCAACGCGCCCGTAGACTCATCAAGGTATCGGCGCGCGCAAGCCTCAAGAAGGCTTCCAAGCAGGGCTCCCTCCCGGCTAAGTTTGAGGATGTTCAAGAAGGTACAGAAGTCACTGGGTTTGTTCGAAACATTACTGCGGATGGCCTGTTCGTCGAGTTCCTGGGCGGCATCACCGGTCTGGTGCCCAAGAGACTCCTGGCGGAGGAAAGTGCTAGCAAACCCGACTATGGCATGGTGAAGTCGCAAATTGTCACTGCGACTGTGCACTCTGTAGATGCTGACTTCCGGAGATTTATCCTAAGCATGAATCCTTCGGAACTCACCTCGGCCGGCCCGAAGAAGCCTGCCCCGAAGCCTACGCCTTCCAATGACGCCGTCGCCAATGCTGTGGACGAAAGCATTGAGGCCATGTCTGATTTCACTTTCGGCAGGACTGTGAAGTGCAAGGTTGTCTCGGTGAAGGCGACACAAGTCAACGTCCAACTTGCGGACAATGTGCAGGGTCGTATCGATGTCTCCGAGGTCTTCGATGAGTGGGAAGATATCAAGGATCGCAAACAACCTTTGCGCTTCTTCCGTCCGAAACAGATCATCTCGGCCAGAATTCTGGGTATCCATGACGCCCGCAATCACAAATTCCTCCCGATTAGTCACCGGTCAGGGAAATTCCCTGTGTTCGAACTGTCCATCAAGCCCAGTTTTCTCGAGGCTTCCAACCCCACTCCGTTGAACTTGGAGCAGGTTCAGACCGGTTCCTCCTGGCTGGGCTTCATTAACAACATCGCCGATGACTGTCTCTGGGTCAACCTGTCCCCGAACGTGCGTGGAAGACTCCGTTTCATGGATGCATCGGATGACCTGTCTCTGCTTGCCGACGTTGAGAAGCATTTTCCTATCGGCTCTGCTTTGAAGGTTCATGTTACCGCCGTCGACACCGAAAAGGGCCGTCTGGATCTCGCAGCCAAGCAACGCTCCGACAAACTGTCCTTCTCAGACATTACTGTCGGCATGGTTGTGCCTGGACGCGTCACAAAGGTCACCGAGAAGCAGGTCATCATGCAATTGAGCGATTCGATCGTAGGAGCCGTCAACCTGATTGATCTGTCAGACGATTATTCGAAAGCGGACCCCACCGTCTACAACAAGAACGAGGTGCTCCGTGCCTGCGTCGTCGGGGTTGACAAGGCGAACAAGAAGATCTCCCTTTCCCTCCGGCCGTCCAAGGTTCTGAGCTCCTCGCTGTCAGTTCAGGATCCCGAGATCACGTCCATGAAGCAGCTCAAGGTGAATGATGTTGTGCGCGGTTTCGTGAAGAGAGTCGCTGATAGTGGCCTCTTCGTGGCACTGGGTCATGATGTCACCGCATATGTTCGGGTCTCTGATCTCTCGGACTCATATCTCAAGGAGTGGAAGGATTCCTTCCAGGTTGACCAGCTGATCAAGGGACGAATTACTCTTGTTGATCCCGAGCAGGGCAGACTGCAGATGACTCTTAAGGAATCCGCCCTGGACCCGAATTATAAGGCGCCCGTCACGATTAACGACCTCAAAGTCGGCCAGATTGTCACCGGTAAAGTTCGCAAGGTGGAGGAATTCGGCGCTTTCATCGTTGTTGATCGGTCCGCGAACATCAGTGGACTCTGCCATCGCAGCGAGATGGCTGATAAGCGAGTTGAGAACGCCAAGGCGCTGTATGAAGAGGGCGACGTCGTCAAAGCCAAGATCATCAAGATTGATCGTGATCAAGGCAAGATCTCATTCAGCCTGAAAGCGTCTCACTTCAGGGATGATGACGAGGATGAAAGCGGCAGTGATGAAGACGATGTGTCTCAAGGTGTCAGCCTTGATGGAATGGAAGATGTTGATTTCGAAGGAAGCGACAGCGACGATGACGATGAGGAGGGAGATGATGATGAGTCCATGGGAGGCGTCGACCTCGAGGACGACAGTGATGATGACGAGGACGACGAAGACAGTAACGTTGAGATGGACAATGCTCCTTCGAATCGGAAAGGAGGACTTGGCGAAGCGGGCTTCGACTGGAGTGGCAATGTCAGAGACGAGGAGGATGAGGCGGCGCGGTCGGATTCCGAAGATGAGGATGACTCCCGAAGGAAGAAGAAGAAGAACCGCAAGCCAGAGATCCAAGTCGACCGCACCGGCGAGTTGGACGCTAATGGACCACAGTCCGTAGCGGACTACGAGCGTCTCCTGCTCGGCGAGCCCGATTCTTCGCTTCTATGGCTTCAGTATATGGCTTTCCAGCTGGAGCTTGGAGAGCTTGAGAAGGCCAGAGAGATCGCCGAGCGTGCTCTTCGTACCATCAGCCTTGGCCAGGATACTGAGAAACTGAATATCTGGGTAGCGCTGCTCAACTTGGAGAACACATACGGCAACGATGACACTCTCGAGGAGGTTTTCAAGCGCGCCTGCCAGTACAACGATACTCAGGAAATTTACGACCGCTTGACCAGCATCTATATCCAGTCCGGAAAGAACGAGGTCAGTATCTTTACATTCGGTGTTCATTGAGTACGTGATCGCTAACATGACTGCCTTACAGAAAGCGGATGACCTCTTCCGAACTGCTCTCAAGAAGAAGATCTCCAACACGCCCAAGTTCTTCCTGAACTACGCCAGCTTCCTCTTCGACAGCATGGCGGCTCCTGAGCGCGGTCGCGGTCTGCTTCCCCGCGCTCTCCAGTCCCTGCCCTCCCATACCCACGTGGAGACGACCTCCAAGTTCGCCCAGTTGGAGTTCCGCTCCCCCAATGGAGATATCGAGCGTGGTCGGACTGTGTTCGAGGGTCTTCTGTCTTCGTTCCCCAAGCGAATTGACCTGTGGAACGTGCTCCTGGATCTGGAGATCAAGAACGGCGATGCAGAACAGGTACGACGACTGTTCGAGCGGGTGCTTGGCATCCGGGACGTCAGGAAGGGCGCCGCTGCTCCTCTGGACGCGAGTAAGAAGCTCCGGCCCAAGCAGGCTCGGTTCATGTTCAAGAAATGGCTTACCTTTGAGGAGAAGCTGGCGGCCGACAATGGCGGCAATGTGAAGATGGTGGAGGAGATCAAGGCTAAGGCAGCGGACTATGTGAAGTCGCTGCAGGACGCATGATTGTAGAGAAGATCGGGGTCCCAAAACGAGCCCTGATGTGCGTTGTTCATAATTGGTGTTATAGGGGGCAATATAGATGGTGCACTGTATATACAAAAGCATTCATGAAGAGAGGATGTTCCTCCTTTTTAAGGGTTGCCAATAAACATTGTATTAACATAGGGGGAATCTCCCAAGTAAAAAAAACTTTAACGCCGCTTCTCAGCCATCAACCGTCGATATTCCTCCACGATCGTCCTCCGCTCGCCGGCCAGCTCCTCTCTCCGTCGCAAGCTGCCCACCGCATTAGGGACATTCGCGACATCGACCTTGGCACCACCGCGGACCTTGAACACCTCCTTTGGCTTGGTCAATTGCGGCGGCGCCTGGACTACCTCCAAGGGATTCGCCTTGTTGGCACTATCCCGCTTCTTCAGCTTCGCCCACGGATCCGGATCATCGTCCACATCGACGCCATCGTCATTCTTGCCCTTCTTCTTCTGCCGCCGCGCCGCAGCTCCCTTCTTCTTCGCCTTGCCCCGCCCCGCCTCCGTCTCCCACTGCTTCCACAACTCCAACTGATCCTCCATCTCGGCCTCGCGCTCCTCGCGCTCCGCCGCTTCCCGCTCCAGGATCTTCACCTCGTCCTTGCGCCAGCCCTCCTGCAGTCGCCGCAGGTGCTTCTCGTGCTTCGTGCGCCGCTCCTCGCGCAGCTTCGGCATATCCGCCGCCCCAGGCTTGCCCGACCGCTTCATCCCCGAGATCGGCATCTCGCGGTCCACGCGCGCCGCGAAGTCCGAGAGTTTCTCCCCCGGCAGGATCTTCGGCTTCGGTGTGGGTTTCGCCTGTTCTGCTGACGGTGTCGGGGCCGGCGCGGCTGCTGGCGTTGGAGCTGGCGCTGACATGGCCCCAGTGCCGGTGTTCTTCTTCCGCGCAGCCCCGGTCTTCCCTGCGTCTGTGGCGTCGCGTTTGCGCTTCTTGCTGGGCTCGCCGGTGTCCGGGGCGGAGGACGGCTTGCCGCGGGTTTGGAACTGCATCAGGCGGAGGAAGGCTTTCGGGGTGTCATCCTGCAGGGCGGGTTTGGCGCGGGCAGCAAATTTGGGGTTCGCGTCTTTCTTTGCATCCGGCTTGGGTTTGTTTTTGCCTTTGCCTTTGCCTTTGCCTTTGGATTTGGATGTGGCGTTGGGATCGCGGACGGGGAGAGGTTTTGCGATTAGGGTGGGTGGAAGGTCGTAGATGCTACCGATTGAGGTTAGAATATGGGGGGGAGGGGGGGAATTCCAAGAGGGGAACGGGGGACAACTTACTTCGCGTCATCATTCTTTCTTCGCTTGTGCTTGTGAGGCATTGTGGCTGTTTGATGGAGCGGGTGTTGCTGTAGCTGGCTGTAAGTTGGAGCTGAGTTGGGCAAGTGAACTTTTTTTTTTTCTTCTCCGCTTAATCAGTGATACCACCGATAAGGATAAGGATCTTATCCTTGGCAATCTACCTTATTTCAGAGTCTATGCACCAGTTGAAGAGGTCTATATTGATATTTTTTGTACTGCTCTGCTTCAGAGATAGAGCATGCTCTGAATATGACCTGGTGATCAGCATGGTTGACCTGTTGGTGCTCTGGATGCAGGGTGTGTGTACACGGCGAAATATATATCTGGAGACCAGAATATGTCGAAGGAATCAAGGTCAAGGCAACTCAAGCATTAATAGCTAGTTGTTTTGGTTTAAGATACAGATTTATCAAGTGGAAGAGAAGGCGACTAACACTGAACTGAGAACTTCCTAAAGGTCTCTCTATAAGGTATCAGCAATGTTCCAACAAGAGCACTATTCTATAGATATTCAGTGTAGATACATTTCCAACCAATTCAGCCAGCACCTTGGTGGATATACATGATTTACCTTAAGATCACCTGGAAGTATTTAAGTGCATCTACTCCGGTACTTTGATACACAATAATAATAATAGTTCTTTTCTACCTGTCTTTCTCTCTACTCCGTATGCTGAGTTGCCGACACTGACAGAGATAGTTATCAACTTATAGGACCTCCACCGGTCACGCGCGGAATCCCTCACTGTGTGGCTTTTCTTTTCCCATGTTTCTTCCTCACCAACCAGATCCAAGCCGGAGAATCCTTAACAAAGATTCGCTATTCGTGTGGCAAATGGCGCAAGTGAGCCAGAACGAAATGAGAGATCCATCTCGCTGTGTCTCCCAAGTCCCAATATGGCATGTCCAAAGAAGGGAATTCCTGATCGTCCAGGCCAAATTGATCCATAGGAGCTGCAGCGACTCGGATCAATCGGCCCCAGAATCGTTCTTGGGGATTGTACTCATGGAGGGGGTCTTCTTTCTAGTGGATTGCTGGTCTCTCCATTTATCCATTTTGCAAATGCAGACTGTAGAATGGAGATGGGTGTTTGAGAAGGACAGAGGCTAAGACACTGTGATAGTAGTACGTAGTAATACACTACTCACTAGTCACTCACTACAACCCAAGAGATACTACGTAGTCCAAAGGCTTCGCTGCTTCGAGTCCAACCAAAATCGGCAAGAATCGCCTCTTTTCCGACTCTTAGCCAGTCAATCTGGAACGGCGTCAAACCCCCCCTTGGGTGCATAGCGTCCAATCGTCTCGTTGATGCCCGCACATGGGGTCCAACAACCAACACTCACAGACCACAGTGGACACTGGTGACTGGACAGCAATTGCAAAACCCCCAACGCTATCCATAGAGACTCTAGACTAGATAGATAGGCACTGGCTCGTCGAAACGCACCCCAGTCGACCATGGCTGATGATTCTGGGATTCCGGGTGCCTGAGGAGGGAAAGTCAACAGTAGTAGGAGGAGGAAGGAGTAAGACTCGGATTTAGGCATACTCTTTTAATGGTCATGGATTGCGCGGTATATTGTAAGCTTTTTTTGCCGCTGGCCTTTTTCCTCCTCTCTTTTGACCTTTGACTTCCTGTTCTGTTGTAGAATGACGGAGAAGAGAGATGGGCAGCGACAGTCCTAAAACATCAATCAATCACTATGGGCTTCTTCTCATCCTCCCGCACTGCTCGGTCTCCGCAGTCCTACGATCTCGTTGCTACCACCCCTCCCACAGACGAAGAGGACTCTTTCGAGCGTGACGAAACAGATTTCCATGCCGCAACTGAGGCAAGACCGGCGGATTTCGAGTTGAGAGGCGATCCCCATCTATCGGACCGATTCCGTTCGCAGAGCAAGTCCGCATGGAGCCGCCGACTGGCTGCGATCTCAGCACGTTTTGCATCGAGTGACGAGAAGCTCGAGGATGTCTTGCCACTGTCATCAGGCTCTCCACAGACAAAAAGTCCATATAGGCGGTTTAAGAAACTCAGAATCGCCCATTGCTTGTTGTTCCCCATTGCGGGGTTCTTTATTATGCTGTGAGTTCCTTGGCTTTACTCTACAGCTATTCACACAAGCCCATCACAAGAGAGGACGGACCGCTAACGTTCTATTGCTCGATTTCTATCCAGAGGTATCATCCAATTCATATCCATTGCCTGTGGCGTCGTTCTCTCGTTTTTCCCGGATGAATTCGACAGAGCGACCGAACGTTGGCGGCATTTCCCCGATCAGGACCTGTCCGCAGACATCTCGCATTGGCCGACCGATCTCTCGCGGGACATCGCTCCGATCGCATGCCACTCGCATAATGACTACTGGCGACGCGTTCCTCTGTTCTCCGCCCTCCAAGCGGGCTGCATCGGCGTGGAGGCCGATGTCTGGCTCGTCGAGGACGAGCTCTACGTCGGGCATACCATCTCGTCCCTCACTGCCGAGCGCACGCTCACAACCATGTATATCGACCCTCTCCGAAAGATCCTCGAAAGGCAGAATCCCATCACCAAGTTTCATCCCGCGGTCGACCAGCCCGCACACGGCGTGTTTGACACCGACCCGGCGCAGACGCTGATTCTGCTCATCGATTTCAAAACCGACGGCGAGCAGACATGGCAGCACGTCACCGCGCAGCTGTCGCCGCTTCGCGAGCGCGGCTACCTCACCTACTTCAACGGCACCGGCATCGTCAACGGGCCCATCACCGTCGTCGGAACGGGAAACACCCCCTTCAACCTGGTCACGGCGAACTCGACCTACCGTGACATCTTCTTCGACGCGCCACTGAACCTCCTGGCGGAGGAGGAGTACCGCAGTCCCGAGGCTGATGCTGATAGCGACAGCAATGGCGACGGAGATCGTGCGACCCCGCCCAACGCAACAGCCAAGCAACCCGCCAGCAACGCCGGCCAAGGCTTGTCGGGCATCTCGGCCGGCGACATTGGCCCCGACACCTTCAACTGGACCAACAGCCTCTACGCCTCCGTCTCCTTCAAGAAATCCATCGGCTTCCCCTGGCGCTTCCACCTGACCAGCGAGCAGCTGGCGCAGATCCGGGCGCAGATCCGCGGCGCGCACCGCCGCGGTCTCAAAGTCCGCTACTGGGGCCTACCCAGCTGGCCGCGGAGTCTGAGGAACCACCTCTGGAGCGTCCTGGTGCGCGAGGGCGTCGATATCCTCAACGTGGATGACTTGCAGAGCGCCACAAAGCAAGACTGGAAGCCGAGGGTCTTTGATTGGTGATCCGGGGCAGCCCGGAATTCTTCTGCCTGCGTGCCCAGAAATCAAGAAATACGGACTGATGCTTGCTGGACAATCATCGACCCGTCCTGAACCATATGACCATTGCTGCCAGCTGCTGTACAACCTCGCCTCGGATGATTAGATGAATCTTTATTGTTTGCTACTGTTTGGGGTGACTCCTTTTTTTTGGGAAGCCTGTGCTATATACTCCTTGCTTTTTTGGGTTGGTGATGCTTGCGAGTTGTCTGGCGTTTTGGTTCTTTCCGATCGGATAAACATACATACCTTGGGTTGGCGATGATTGCAATGTTCTACGAATTTCCATAAAAGATCTAGAGCGTTTGAGTGGGACAGAAAAAAAATTGGATCTGATATGAAAAGGTCAAAGAGAGAAAAAAAAAATATAGATTGAATTCTCGTAGAGGGCGAGTATGGCAGACTCAAGGATGAGATCGGTCGCCGAATTGAAACGGAAGATTCAGAGATAAACGATTTGAATGTGTAGTTGTCACACCATTCTGGGTATCAATATGGTTCCTCATACATCTTCCAGTCAAGGAAGATCAGTGCAAAAATAAGACGTGTACTGTGGCAACGAAGCAATCGCCGAAAAGAAATCGGGGGGGAAAAAAAAGGTAAAAAGAAAAAAACAAAGAACAAGGAAGATTGGTTATAAGCAGGCCAGGGACTCTTCGCCAAACTCCTTGCGGATCGTGCCCTCTTCGCGAAGGATATCACCGAGCCAATTCTTGGCGGTCTCGAAGTCGTTGGCGCCGAACTTCACCAGCACGAAGCCCTCGCGGACGCGTGCCGCGGTGAAGGTGACATCGGAGTCGGCGTTGGAGGGCGTTTCGACGGCGGCGGGGGCGGACGAGGACCAGTTGCGGGCGCCGATGCGCGGCTGCGAGGTGAAGCGGTCCATGAAGAAGGCGGCCAGGTGTTCGAAGACGGGGCCGTAGAGGATGAGGGTGCCGATGATGCCGTGGGGGCGGGTACGCTGGCGGATGAGGTCGTTGCGGCTGAAGGTCTCGGTGTCGTCCTCGAGGAGCTGGGCGTCGACCTCGTCGTCGAGGATGACGGAGTCGCGCAGCAGGAGCTTCTTCTTGCCGGCGGCGTCGTGCGTCCAGACCTCGTTCTTGCCCCTCCAGAGGTGGAAATCCCAGTTCTCGCCGCGGGCGCTGCGGCCCTGCGTCACCCAGTCCAGGACGCAGAGGCTGCTGCGCGTGTGGTCCTTGGCGGAGGTGTCGACGGTGAAGGATTGGATCTGCTCGTAGCGGCTGTCCTTGAAGGGGACGGCGGGGTCCGGGAGGTAGCAGAGCGCGGCCTCGCTCTCGATCTGGACGTCGACCAGCTGGCGGCTCTTGTCCGGTAATGTGCGTGCGGCGGTGGCTCGCTGGCCCTTGACGCTGGCCGTGGGCTCGGTCTTGAAGATCTTGGTGCTCCCCTGGGGGGTTGTCACGACGAGCCTTGTCCGCGGCTTCAGGGTGATGGAGACATCGATGTGATCGCCCGGCAGCAGCCCTCCGCCGTAGGTCAGAAGGTAGAGGTGGACGGGTCGAGAAGGACAGGTGAGGCCGGACGACTGGGGGACGAAGCCGGGAACGCGAGGAAGTAGCTTGAGTGGGTATTTATACGTCAAGGTCGTCAGAGTCGGAACGGAGGGTGGGAGGAGAGAGAGGACGACTTTGCCCTGGCCCGGTTTGGCTATGGACGACTCGAAGGGCGACTTTATCGGCATGGTTGGAGAAGAATTGGTGGTGATGATGGTGATGATGTATGTATTGCAGAGAGATTTCTGGGTGGTTAAAGAGGAAAGAAGCTCGCTCATGAAGCTTTCAGGACGAAGAGAGACAAGAAATGGCAAAGTGACCTCATGGTATATGTATGAACGAGAAGAACTCTGCGGAAGCTAAGCTGTGCAGAATGGCTCAGGGCGCTGCAACCATCAGTCTTGTCGCTCCTGATGGAAATTCTGGGGCAGCCACACAGCTGCACGGCTGCACAGCTGTCGTCAGCCTGTCGACCATTCCACATTCCACGGACGCCGTCGTCAATCCTTTTCCTCGCTCCTCAAACTAGCACTCTGGAAGCGGGGTTTTCTTTGACCTCGTGAAACCCGCAAGAAGGCTGGATGTTCTTGGCTTGCCAATATCCAGCATCAGACGTGCATCCGGGATGGAGTCGGGAGCATTCTCATTACGGCATCATTATTCGGATTCTCCGCAAAACCCAGGGTTTACTAACTACAGGCTGCTAGGGCTTGCTAGGGTTAGATGTTTTTATGATTAATACATAGTATGTGCATTGTGCTGTGATTGAACTATGGCCGAGAGTGGTGGTGATTCCTGGCTGATCCTAAAATAGTGAGCAATAGTCTCAAGATGCTCACTATTAGCCTACTAAGTACAGTTACATAGTAGTATCGAGGACTTCTAGGTACTATCTCGTAAGACTTAGTCCCTAGGTAGTAGGCAGATGGGATTGAGATTGGTACCAGGGTATTGAACTATTGGAGTATTGGTACTGTTTGTGACAGGACCAGGATTTATTACCGGGATGATATCATTAGTAGACACCTGAGGCAGAAGTAAATGCCTTACTGCCTTACTGCCTGACTGCCTAATCCCCCAGGCCCCAAGTCCCAAGTCCCAAGTCCCAAGCTCTCCTGCCTGAGGCTGCCCACCAGCTCCCTCCGCCAGGCATCAAGGCGCGTCGTCCACGAAAGAGACAGTTGGATTCCGTGTTTCTCCCCCTCATCTCTCTGGTTTCGAGTCTCACTCTCGACCCAACTCCCCGGCCTTTTTCATCGCACATGGTGCCATTGTATATCTGAGAGGTATGTATCTCTACCTGACATCCCGTTCCTGTCTGCTCCCCTTGCATATAGCGGCAGACGCGCGCCTGCACCGACTTGAAACAAGGTGCTTGGACAAACACCGCGTTCCCCGATCCCCGTCCCGTCGTTGTATCCATACAGAAGCCCCGTCGCATTGCACAGACACACACTTATCACCAGCTCATATGCCAACCCGTCGCTTGAGAACATCAAAATTCCAACTCGCTCTTACTGACAATTGTCGCCTTGTAGTGCGCCTCATCGCTCGCAAACGAAAATGGAAAATGAGTCGCCTCTCTCGAGTCCCGAGCCCGGGCTGACCGAGCATGATTACCCCCCGGCCTCAGACAGAAGGAAGTCCGGACGTGCCACGCGAAAACCTGAATTGTTCTCTCAGAGCTATGGTGAGGCACGTCCCGCCGGAGCCAAGCGCAAGCGTGATCCTACCCGCGACAACGACAACGACAACGACAACGATGATGACGACGACGACGAGGAGGAAGACGCTGAAGACGTCGACGTTGAGAACGCGTCAGAATCAGAGGATATCAGCGACGAAGAGCCCGATGAAGAAGAATTGAAAGAGAAGAGACGGGCCGCACGCAAGGCGTCCGCGAAGAAGGCTGTATCGGGAACGAAAAACAAGAAGACCAAGTCGCCTGCTACACATGCCGCAAAGAGACCCAAAGTAGCCGGTAATGGTGTCCCCAGTCAGTTGGCGTTTCGACCGGCTGCCAATGGCAAGAAGACAGCGTCGCGGCCCAGGAAGCCGAAAGCGCGGCCAAGTCTGGCTGCTGGAAAAAGTGGCTTATATGGTAGGTGGTCTGTTCTTGCTCTTTCTATCCTGCGCACTGGCTGACGGTGTATTCGTGATTATAGCGGAGGTCTTTGGCAAGAACCAGACCGGCGACACCGTGGCTGCCGAATGGCTCACGCAGTATCAGAAGGATGCCAAGGTCGCAATGCAGGCCATGGTCAATTTCATACTCAGGTGCACAGGTACCGACCTCGAAGTTAGTGACGCAGATATTGGAGATCCAGACCACGCGCCAGAGCGCATCATTGATTTGCAGAACGAATACCATTCGCTGGGAATCGTCGATTATCCTCTTGTTTCGAAGGCGCGGACCTTCAAAGCCTTTCAACCAATTCTGGAAGATTTCTTCCTCGCGCTCGTGCAGACTCTCCATCACTCGTCGGTCTTATACAAGCAGCAGGAACTCTACGAAAATCTCCAGATATGGCTTGCTGCCTTGTCCACTTCGGGATGTCGGCCATTCCGACATACCTCCACTGTCATCTCTCTCGCGATTATGAACGCCTTGTGTGATGTCGCACGAGAAGTGATGAGTACTGTCTCAACCTCGCGTAAACAGCTCGAAACAGAAAAGAAAAAGAGAACGGTCAACCAGGGCAGGATCGATGCTATCACATCCGCTGTCGAGGAGGGCGAGCATAAGCTAGAGTCGATTGATGAGTATCTCAAGGACGGTGTCAATATTGTTTTTGTCCATCGCTATCGGGATGTGGATCCCAAGATTCGCGGTGAGTGTATCGCAGCTCTGGGACGCTGGATGCGCAGCTACCGGGAATACTTCTTTGAGGGCCAATTCCTCCGATATTTTGGCTGGATTCTCTCCGACCCTTCACCAGAGACCCGCTCTGTCGTGGTGATGCAGCTCCAAAGCCTGTATTCCAACAAAGATAACATTGCTGGCTTGCACTCGTTCACGGAGCGTTTCCGTCATCGAATGGTGGAAATGGCTGCCCACGATGCGGATGTCGGAGTGCGTGCCGCCTCGATTGAACTCCTCGATCTCATTCGGGATGCTGGCTTGATTGAACCCGCAGATATAGACACCATTGGTAGACTCGTTTTTGACGCGGAGCCAAGGGTGCGCAAGGCTGCTGGGTCATTTTTCGTCGCCAATGTCCAAGACGTCTTTGATTCGACAACCGAAGAAGTCGGCGAGGAAATGAATGAGATGTTCGGCGATGAAGACGAGGACGATTTCGAATCACCCAAGCGCGCGTGGATTAAGTTCAAGTGTTTGACTGATATTTTGCAAGCCTACGACGAGCAGGAAAACGAGTTGAAACCCGAGGGACACTTGTCCACTGCCCGCGACGCACTCTCGGGTGCTTCGCTAGATACCCGATTCGTGCTCGCTACGGAGGCCATCTATCCTCATTTCGCAGAACTCGCCCAGTGGCAATCCTTGGCCGGCTACCTGCTCTACGACCATTCTCAAATCCCTGATGATCCAGTTGAGGATGACTCTGCTGGCATAGTCAAGAAGCTGTACAAGATGCAGGAAGGTCAGGAAATGATCCTCCTCGAAGTCCTTTGCTGTGCGGTCAAATTGCGCATTCTCGACGTTGCCAAATCCGACATCGACAAGAGAGGCCGTAAAGTCAGAACCCTGACAGACAAGATCCCTGAAATGCAGGAAGAGATTGCACATAGCCTCGCTCAAATCATACCTCAGCTTTTAAACAAATATGGATCTGTTCCCGAGGCGGCGTCTGCGGTCCTCCGACTGGAACATTTGGTCGACCTCGATAAGATCCAGGATTTGCAAAAAGATGCTACAGCATATACTTCGCTGTTGAACGATATCAATAAGCAGTTCCTCACACACTCTGACCAGGATGTGCTGGCAGAAGCTAGTGTTGCCTTTGTGCATGCCAAGAGCTCCGATGATATGAAAGAAGCTCTTGAGAGCAAGGTACAGGAACTTTGGGACGACATTGCGGACGCTTTGAATACGCTATCTCAAAAGAAGGAGGTTGCCGAGGGCAGCTCGATACCCACGTCAACCCTAAATGAACTGGCCAATACAGTGACAAGAATCTCGAATCTCGCCAGTGTAACAGACTGTACGCAGGTACTTGAGACCAAGCCAACTGGCAAATCAAAGGGCAAGAAGAAGGATGGGCTGGAAGCCCCTTTCAACATCCTTATACGCCTTATTGAACGTGGTCTGCGCGAGGAAGAGGATGATGAGGAATCGGCGAAGGCAGAAACGGAACTAGTAATTAGCAGCATACGGACACTGCTGTTCTATTTCATGTGGAAAGCTCAAGCCATGACCGCAGCTTTGAGTACAGGGAAGGCGGCTTTTAGTACAGCGTACTTTGAGGCTTTGAGCAAAAGCCGCGAGGTATTTGAAGCGAGTCTCGTCGCCATCATGCGACAACGCTCTGGCCTGGACAATATGCGCTTCACAGCGACCACAACCCTCCTCGACCTACAAACCTTGTTCGGGACCCTTCGCCATGCTGGGTTGACGGCAGGAAACGACGAGGATGTCATCCAGCAAACGCAGAGCTTAGTCCAGGAAATCCACTCGGATACCCAGGCACTGATCGGGAAGATCCACGGGATCGCGGAACGTACCTACGCCCGGAAGCTGCGACAGCCTATCGAGCCCGCAGAAGACGACGAGCCTGCCTCTGACTCGGATCTCGAGCGCGATCCGTCAGACGATGAGGATGAGGAAGGCCCCGAGGGAGAATTAATAGCGAACGAGCGTCTGCGGTCAACCATTCTGGCCGAGCAAAGGTTATGCGAGCTGACAGGCAAAATCGTCCTCGCCATCATCGGACGGATCATCGATGCTTCTGGCCCAGACCGCGGGCAACTCAAAGACCGTCTGCTCAGGGACAGATCCCGCTTGGGCCAGAACTACCGCGAAGTCCTCGCTTTCCTTGATGAGCGCAAACCCAAAGTCGTAGGGCCCCGACCCTCCCGATCAAAAGGCAAGCAAGCCGCCACCGGAAACGTGAAAGACGGCCAGAGCGATGCCGCCAAGCGCTCGAAGAACTCCAAGTCTGCTGAGCGAATCGATGACGAGGACGACGAGGAGGAGAATGATCTAGACATCGAGGAAGATGACGAGGAGGATCTCCGTGCCCGAGGACTCGTCGAGGACGATCACATCGACGAAGACATTGAAGACGAGGACGGGAATCCCACGGCACCGAACCCCGATGAGGACGAAGTGATGGGCGATTGATTGTATCCTCATCCCATCCATCCCTGATCCTTGTACCCATGACCCTCGCTATACTTTTGTCCTCCCCCCCATCTCCCTTCCTCCTCCCGTCTGCTCTCCATCTGTAGATTTTCAACGCCGCACTGAACATCTCCCTATTAACGGACTCTGGGCATTTCTTTTTCTTTCCAAACTGGATATCTCACCTCGGTCTTGTTTCCCCCAATCCTGCTTGATGTTCAACCTACCTACTTGCTCTGAACGACGTCGACGTCTCGTTATCTCACTATCTACTGAATCCGTTCTCAAATCTGACTTGACTTTCTCATTCTTCTCTTCTTTCTATCTCTACCTCTACCTGTATCTCATTCGAGGTACTCGAAGCTTCCTTTAGTGTTCTTTCTTCTTCTTCTTTTTCTTCTTTGTCAAACTACCTTCGTGCCCGAGTAGCTTGTCAGAATCAATGATTCGGTTCTTCGTCCTTGTACATATCAACGGGATTGTTCTCGGTTTTCTTCATATTCTGCTGCGGTTCGCTTAGACGATGGATGGATCAATCATGAATGTTTTACTCGTATCTGTCTTGTGTACTGCAACAGATCTTGACACGGTGTTTACAACAGAACAGCTACATTCAGGACAGCGCATGGTGGAACGGTCTTTGTTACTTTTGTATGAAAAGCGGCTTACTCGGTTCTAATAGAAAGACGGATGGCATGCCAGCCTACCAAGGCACCGCACTCGAAAACCTCATCAGCGGAAAAAGCGATGAAAGGGACAAAAAAAAAGAACATGAACGTAAACGAAACCGGATGACAACATGGACGCCTGTGTATGGAGGATGCTACGAAAAATGGTTGCAAGGGGCAGATATAGGGGTTACATGACGGTGAATCTTGTGCATCGTAACAGAAAACATAAACTGATCATAGCCGACGGGGACAAGGGGTAGAACAGAAGTGAGCCTTGCTCGCAGGCTGGCAACTAAAAATAGATAGGAATTTGAAACAGGAGGTATGCCAAAGTTATTGAGGGGAAGAAATTGTAGGATCCTTCCAGTGTTTGACGGAAGGCGCAGGTATCAAGCTCTTCGACTGATCGTGAAGCCACGAAGCAAGGACTAGTATGGCGAGTAAACAATGTCGCCAACGTGAAGATCGAATGATCAATCGAAAAATGGGAAACTAGAAGCTTCGCATTGAACGCTTACATGTCCATGGAATCGCCGCCGTTGGCAAAGTTGAATCCACCGGGCTGCTGCTGGTTGGTACCCAAGGCGAAACCGGTTTGGGTCTGCTGGGGGGCGACTTCGTCAATGTCACCACCGGCCTCCTCTTCATCAGAGAAGTACTTCTCGATGATGTTGTACGCCTTCATGTAGATCTCCTCATTGGCGTTGTTCTGGCAGTCGTGGATCTTCTCCATACCACCAGCCTCTTCGATGAACAAGGCATAACGGTTGACACGAGCCTCGCCAGTCTGAGCAGTCTCCTTGTCCATCTCGCCGACCTTAAGGATGTTCTCCAAGCCATCCAGAGCGACCTGGATGATCTTGTTGTCGGGGCAGGCAAGCAGGTCGCAAAGAGGCTTGATGCATCCCTGAGACACAAGGTAGCGAATCTGCTCGGGCTTCTGCAGACCACCCGAGGTAGCGTTAGAGATAGCCCAGCAAGCTTCCTTGCGGGTCTTGAAGTCGCCGTTGGCAAGCAGGTTGATCAGAGGAGGGATGATGCCGGCATCGACCACGGACTGGATCTGACTCGAGTTACCGGCAGTGACGTTGGAGATGGTCCAGCAGGCTTCCTTGCGAATACCGTCCTTGGTGGAGCTCAAGAGAGAGAGAAGAGCAGGAAGAGCACCGCAGTTGATGATCACCTGGGTCTGGACATCGTCACCAGTGACGATGTTTCCGACGGAGCGCAGGGCAGGTGTCTGGACAGAAGTGGAGGCGTGCATCAGCAGCTCTACCAGACGGCGAGGGATGCCAGCCTCAATGACAGCCTGAATCTTATCATTTGAGCCGTCGGACAAGTAGGAGATGGCCCAGCAAGCATCGATCAGGACCTCGTCATCGAGCATGTAAATGAGCTTGGCAAGCACAGGAAGGGCAGGGGCGATCTGGAAGCGCATTAGAACCGTGGTGCTCAGCGGGTAGGCGAGTGATACATACCGTGTTCCAATCGGGCTGAGGTGTCTTTCCACGGCAGAAATTGCTCAGAGTCCATGTGGCGTTTCTCAGCATGCTCAATTTCCGGCCATCGTTGATGAGGTTGAGCAGGGGACGCAGGGCACCCGCATTGAGCACAAAGTCGCGGCACTGGGGGCTATCACCGGCGATGTTTCCAAGGGCCCAGACAGCCTGTTCCCGAACATCGGGTTCGGGGCTGCTGAGAAGCTCAACGAAAATGGGCACGGCACCGGCTTCGATGACGACCTGTGTCTGCTGTGCGGAACCAGAGGCAATGTTGGTCAAGGCCCAAGCGGCCTCAAACTGCACAAGAGTGTGGGGAGAGCGCAGGAACTCCACAAACCGGGCCACAACACCAGTCTCGATAACGCGCTCAATGGGAGGGTTGCGCTCCTTGGAGAGCAGCTTTCTGAACTTGGTGGTAGCTTGGATCTGGGACTCAATCTGGTCGGAGAAAACACCCTTGACCATCTCCGGGAGTTCGACATTGAGCTACACGTTATAATTCGATTAGCCATGTGGATTTATTAAACAGCGTAATGAAATATGTTCTGCTGTAAATGAAGGCTGGGGAAGGTCGTGTGCTTTGATAGGGCTGAGTTCAAAAACTGGATGCCCAGCCCAGCAACCGTGGGCGGTGAAAAGCTCCTCACTGAGCGCATAGTGAACAAAAACAAATACAATAAAGCGACAACGTCTGGGGAAAGTAGAAACGGGAGCAAGCAGTGATATTTTTTTCACAACCAGCAAGGAAGAGAGAGATAAAAGGATAAATAACATACCTCGCTCTCAATAGCACTGGCCTCATCATCACTCTCAGGGGCGGCCATGCCCCCTCCTACACCAATCCCACCATCCCGGGTCTGAATACCTCTTCTCTTGGCCAAGTTCTCCTCTCTCTTCTGCTTGCGGATCTCAACTTGTTGTTCCTCACGACGACGACGAAGCTCATCAGGCCGGAACTGGTTTCTAGCCTTGAACTGGGTGCGACGGTGCTCTGGGATGTAGCGTTCGGCCATGGTTGCTTAGGACGCAGAGGGGTGAAAACAAAGAGCACCAAAAAGTGGGGAGGATGGTTGACAGAAGCGAAAAGGGACAAGGATGAAAGAGAGCGAGAGAAGGATGGATTCAGCTTTCAAGGATAAGCTTCAGACAAAAGACACCCTTCTTTGTTCTCTATAAGCAAGGCTGGGAGATAAGATGGAAGATAGAAGATGGAAAAGGCGAGAGGGAGTTTGAATGAGGGGAGGGGAAAAAAGTAAGGATTTCCTCCGGCCGCTGTTCGCTCTGGTGCTGCCGAATCGGGCAGTTCGGGGTCACGGGAAGATCACGTGGTAATGTCCCGGCCTGGCTGCCTGAGGCGGGCTGTTTCCGGCCATCCCTCAGTCTTTCTTGCCAAGCACCGTATTCGCTCCCGACGCGAAGACCAGAGACCAAGCACGCGTGCTATTTTTCAACCCAGTTTGATGATCCAAACAAGGGCTGTACTCTGAGTTCCGAGAAGAGATTCAATATGAACGGCGGCGCTTGAAGAGCTCACGAAAATTGGACCATAGCTACTCCGTCCATGAATCTCGTCATGCCACAGCGCTTATCTGAGCCCAGCTAGTACTACTATTCCAGTATCTACTTCCAGAACCATGCATATCTTCTTCATGAGACTGCATTGAGAGGTCCCTGAAAATGTCTAACAAGTCCGTGACCGGGTTCGTGGACATACCTACCGCTCTCGCTTCTTCGGGTGTAGTAAGTGTAGTAATCGGTGTGGTCGTCGACGTCTTTGGGGATGTGTTCCAGTCAAGTCGATCCAGTTGTATCACGTTCACCATCAAAGATTCGAATTTTGGAAATGGGCACGTATGGGATGGCTTGAAGGTCAAATATTTCAAGGAGAACGCGAATCTCCTTCCTCCTGTTCAAGTACACGATGTGATCCTCTTGCGCAATATCTCGGTAAGTCATCAGATGGCCATTGAGCAGGAAGTTCTGCTAAGGATCTTGAACCACAGATCAGACGCTTTAATGGAAGACCTCTGGGCGTTGCGCCGGACGGAATCAATATTCCATGGGCTATCTTCCGACCAGACTCGAACGCCTCGGTATCTAGCCTCTCTCCCATCTCTGGTCCCATACCTTTTGAACCATCTCGTTCGGAAAGTACCTATGCGTTGTCCCTTATAGAGAAGAGCTCCGGCTTCAGAACCTTTCGCAAAGCTTCATCACAGCGAGCCGCTCCCACAAGTACGCGTTCCGTCCCGTCACTAGGCCCTACGTCCAGATCCACCGGCAATCAAAAGTTTGCTCTCATCCAGAATGTCGAAGAACGAACATTCGTGGACCTCATTGGCGAAATAATCAAGATCCATTACAATGAGAGTGAAAAAGTTGCTCTCTATCTTACTGACTATACTGCGAACCAAGAGCTGTACAACTATGTTGTTGACGGCGTTGATGCCCGGGAAGGAGATGAGTATGGTTATCAACCGCGATCTCTGAAGAATTGGCCTGGTCCTGCCGGCCGAATGACCCTCCAAATCACTCTTTGGGAACCACATGCTTCCTTTGCCCGAGAACATTTCCGTGCAGGCGATATTGTCCGCTTGAGAAATGTCCACATCAAGCGTAGTCGCATCGAAGGCAGTCTTTTGGAAGCGAGTCTTCATGGCGATCGCCAGAATCCCCAGGAAGTCAATATTCGTAAATATGATGCGAACCAGGATGAACGAGGGCAGGCATTGCTACTTCGCAGAAACGAATACTGGGCAAGTGACCCACGCAAGCGATCAGCCAACGAGGCCAAGGAACCATCCTCTAGTCGCAAGAGAACCAAGAAAAATCAACAGAAGAAAGTGGAATCGAAGCAAGCGAAGAAGGAGGAAGGCCAAGTCACGCTCTCGATCAGTAGGAAATATAAGCTCAATGATACTGGTAAGCGCTCTTTCATTTCAATCCACAAACAAGATAGCTAAGATCATGACCGTCACCAGTAAAAGCAGCGCACCCTTCCATTAATACTTCGAGGATCGAGGATATTCTGGACAGTGATTTTCACAATAATGTCTCGCCTGATAGGATTGAATACCGCTTTCCTTTCCAAAATGTCTGTTATCGATCCACAGTCCGCGTGGTCGATTTTTTCCCTCCCCTACTAGAGGACTTTGCCGTTCCTGACCTATCTGAGTCTCGACGCCAAACGAGCCCATCTAGGGAGTCAGGCCGTCCCACCGATCCAGATCGATTCATCCCATGGGTATGGAGATTTTGCCTGCTGGTTGAAAATGTACCACCTCCCCGCGGACAACCTAAAGAGCGAATGAAGCTATTTGTTTCTGGAGCAGATGCCGAGTATCTCTTGAAAATCGATGCTACTAAGTAAGTCAATGCCGTACTGTATCGATGTTTTGTGTCTCGCATAAAAGAAGACAGATAATGCGTAGTGGCTAACATGTCCTCCAGTCTACGAAAGGATCGAAGCAGATTGGGTCAGTTAAGGGAGAAGCTCTTCCATGTCTGGGGTGACCTTGAAGAAAGAAAGGTGGAAGCTGCCACAAAGGGGACTACGCTCGCTCAAGATCCGCGTCCCATCTCTTCCGTTCCATTTGCATGCTGTATCAAAGAATATGGTGTCAAATGTAGCCATGATGGTCCATTCCAGGCCGACAATCTTTTGGGTTGCGCCCTTGAAACCTGCTTTGGTTGGGAGAGACGATTCGCGATGTTCATGACGACTATCCAAGCCTAGCGACACTGGCGGTTCTACACATCATTTGCTTCTTGCGATCAGACTCTGAGGTGGCCTTCGCGTTTATGGGGATTAGCTCATGGATTATCCTCCCAGCTTTCACCATCTCGGTATCATTCTTGGCCTGACAGTAAACTATCTTTTTGGCAGTTCTCATCCATATTTGGCCTAGTCTCGATTCGAAGGACATTGGGACATTGAGTATCAGAGTCTGCCAGCTCTCACACCTACTAATATTTGGATATATTCTTGATAATTATGGACCGTGGCTCATGACTTCCAACTCTACCATAGAACGCGGTTGGTACCGAGAACCAAAAGTGGAATACGGCCGGACGTACGTCAACCGTTCATTCTAGGGCAAGTTTTAGCACACGGACAGCAAACACCCAAGCATTTTAACGACCTGTCGTTTTCATTAGCTTTGCTGTTCCTTGGTCTCCTTAAAAGTTGACCATTCAGCACTTTGCCCTTCGCATATTGAGGAAGTCTCGACTGAGATCTCAGTAACGAACGGCCATAGCACGGTTGCCATGACAGAAGGTCTCTTGAGGAGGCACCAAACATCATGGGGCAATTCTCATGACCATGCAACTGTTGATCATGCCGAAATCATCAATATCGGGGCATCTCGTTGACCCCGGGATTCGACACTGCTGGTTATTGATGCCAGCTAACGTCAACACCGGCGGCTACCCGAAACAGCTGAATCTGTGTCTCGGATAGTCTCACATTCTCTGACATGTTATACTAGGGCATAAACATCCCTGTCACCTGTGCAGGTCGTCCGTTTGAGGGAGTGGATTTTCTCTGGTTCTTCATGTATCTCAATAGCTCGACGAAGGGGTATATAGACCCCTAAGATGCCATTCGTATGAGCATCTATCACAAGCATCTAAGGATCTGGATAGCTTCTTGAAAGCGAGCGCCTAGATCTATTGATTTATCCTGTTTACCTTTATCATTCGTCTCATAGGTACCTTCCAATTGTAAACCCGACACTCGGTTCTAGGACAGCTTCAGTTGCGCCATGCTCCACTGCTGCAATATCGGAAATGAATCGAAAGCAAAGCCTGTAACATGCGCCATAAAACCAATTGACACAAGCCAGTCCGCATATCAGGAAGCCGGAAACTCTTGATTGTAGTAAGAAACCAGCAGCTTCTCATTGTAGCCAATCAGAAGCTGCGGGAGAATTATGCTGAGTCAGCTACTGCATGGGGAAGGACCCGACTTGTGACTACGTGGAGAAATTGAAAGCAGCTCTGATATTCCCCCCTACTACCACATCTCTCTCTCCCTCCACCTCCTCCCGCTCCTCATTCCCTTCCCCTTCATCTATTCTTTTCTCTTTCTTCTTTTTTTATTTACTTCTTAATCGGGTATTCGACTCGTCCGAGTCAATCGTCTATCGCAATGGCTCGCTTTGGTCTTCTCTCGCTGGCTCTGTTCTCCGTCCAGGCCTTGATTGGTGGCGCCTTCGCAGCTGTATGTCGCAATTGCTAGTTTTGGCAATATCCGATATCGATTGAGTTAACTAACATGGCATGTGATCTGCTAGGATGCTGCTGAGAATGTTCAAGAGGCTCCTGAGGCTGTCAAGCTCGCTGTCTCGGCGCAGGCTTCCTTCCCTGCTTCCGAGATCTTCGGTGTGAAGCTTGTCAATGGCCACCCCACACAGGCCTTGATTACGATCACCAACGACGAGCCTGCTCCTGTGACGGTCAACTTCATTGGCGGCTCTCTGTCGACCCTCGATGAGAGCAGCAATGTGATCCACAACCTTACTGTGACCAGATACGGTGTTGAGATCCCCGCTGGTCAGCAGGAGAGCCTGAGCTACAGCTTCGCCACGGAAATGCACCCTCAGGATCTGAAACTCAGCATCGTTTCGATTATTTCCAACAGCGAGGGACAACTCTTCCCGGTTTATGCCCACAATGGGACCGTCAGCGTCGTTGAGCCCGAGACCAGCATCTTTGATCCTCAGATGTAAGTGGTTTCCGTCCTTTTTTCCTTATGTATGGTTCTCGCTCGGCGACCATGGACTTACAATATCTAATAACAGTATCTTCCTGTACTTTTTCCTTCTGGCCTGTTTCAGCGCTACCGTCTATTTCTTCTACACTGTCTGGATCGCGCCCTACTTCCCCCAGAAGCGCAAGAGTGGAAAGACCCCTGAGTTCTCCAAGAAGTCGTCTGCCGCCGCGAAGAAGGTCGAGGAAGGCCCCAGCAGCCCTGCGGTCTCCTCTGCGACTACCTACAACGCTGACTGGATTCCTGCCCACCACATTAGCCGTCCCGAAGCTAGAAAGGTCAAGGGCAGCTCCCGGTCTAAGAGCCGTGCTTAGACCCCTAAGCCAATTGGGATGGTAGTTGGAAATTATTGAGTTTGGAGGTTGCAATGGACCATCTATGGTTCTGTGAACGAAGGGCAGAATGAGCTGGCTTGAAGGCCAAAGATTACTGAGAATGTAATCAGCCAAAAGGTTCAGGCGACTTCTGTCCCGGTACGCTGCGTGTATATTTATGATGAACTCTTTCATAACATGGCCTTGGAAAGCCAATAACTATACAAATTCGTTCCCACACGTGGAACGCTCGTTGAATGATATACAGATCATGGTCGTTCATGACTCATTATTGAAGCTGGACACTTCCCGGGTCGAATCGGGATCTTTCACTTGGCCCAGATCGTTCACAGACGTTTCCATTCGTTGAACTCGGTCTCAAGATGCCTCTTCAATTCCGTAAACTTATTACCGAAATCCTTTCCACAGCGCCAGCAAATGAAGTCCCTTCGTAAATACCCCTGCCTATCCGGATACCTTCTGACATCATCCTTGGCAAGGGGGAAATCCTCAATGTCGACGAAGAACGGCGTCGCGAAGCTATTGTAATGCTTCCTATGCTTCAAGCGTTCGCTATACCTGTCCACGGAGATCACATGGATGTGCAAATGGCTCATTGACGGATGCGCATGGATCCCACACATGATCTCCTTCTCCCAATCGCGCCCCTGCGGGAGCACATCCGGCGGCGGGTCCGCGTTAAGTGCATCCTGCCGTTCTTTATCCTGGGCCGAATCCCTGCCATATTTGCGCCTGAGCTCGCCGGCAGCCAGTGTGCGCAGCTTCCTCGTCTCCGCCTTCACTTTGCTTAGGAACTCGGGGTCCTCGAAGGCATCGAATGGATGGAGGCGTGTCTTGGCAGGGTCGCGGGGAAGAAGGAGCAGATGTAGCGAAGATTTGGGGAAAAGGTCATGGATCACAACGAAGTTATCGTTGTAGTATACGACGACATTGGATGGGTATGATTCTGGTTTCGCAATGTAGGCGCCTAGAGCGTCCCGCGCGCCGAAGGCGGCTTGCCTGGAGTGGCTTCCTTTGAGTGGGGGGTTGTTCGCATGTTTCTGTTGTTTGTTCTTGGGGGATAGGAGCTCTGCAACTAGGCTGTCTGGTCAGCTGTACTTGAGGATATCTGCTAGGGGATACGTTGCGCATATACAGGCATCTCTCTTTGCTGGTTTCTCTTGTAGTGATGGAGCCGACGGTGACTCCGTATGCTCTTTTTCCGGAGCGCGGGATTCGTCCGACATTGCAAGGATATTTAGACTCCAGGTTAGATAGATTCTTCAATTTTCAGCAAGCTTTTGAGGTGTTAAAATGGGTGAACCTGAGTTCTGATATTGTAGCAGATGGTCATATGCGGAGAGCGGGAAGCTTCAGTCCCCGCAGTCCTTATGTGATAAAGTAGCCTAGTGCGGGCCAGCATCTTTTTGCCCGCCAGGAATCAAAGATAACATTCACGCTTTGCCATCCAGCAACTCCCCGCGATCAATTCATTGACTCGCTCCATGGGTGCTTGCCCCAGTATCACCCGGAAAACTAAATAATGGGGCCCAAGAAGAAGTCCGAGGCCCGCGGAGGCCCCAAGCCCGGGACGAAGCAGGCCAAAGCTGCCGCAGAGAAATCGGCCGAAAATGCGAAGAAAGCGCAGACCGCGACGACAGACGAGCCCAAGAAACCGTCTGTGAAAGAGGTCATTGGGGGCGCCTCATGGACCGGCAAACTGCCCGTCAACATGCTATCGGAGCATTGCCAGAAGCAGAAATGGGAGAAGCCTGAATATACTATGGTAAGGATTGAGCGAACAGAATTCCCTAGTCATCCACGTCCGCGTGTCAAGAAATGCGCTGATAATATGCTACTCTGCCTCAGACGAGAACATCGGAGGGGTATGTATCCTCAGTTATACTGAAACGTGTCGATCCCAAGACTCGAGAGACGGTTGTACTTCCTCCCATGAAACCGCCGCCATCACACAAGCATCTGTCGGCTCAACCCACGGCGCTGGAGGCTCGCCATTTTGCCGCTGCGTACGCTCTGTATCGAGTGTGCAACATGAAGAACCTGCATATGATGCTTCCGCCGACGTATAAAAAGCTGTGGAAGGAGGACTTCACGGACATCAAGAGTGCAGATAGCAGGGAAGGGAAAGGATGGATGTACGAGGCAGATCCGTTCTTGGCTAAGCAGGAACGCGAAATTGCCGCTGCAGACATGGAGAAGAAGCGAAAAGAGCGAGAGAAGGCGGCGCAGTCGAACGAGAAAGATGTCACTGTTGACCTGGGCCTGGGCCCGAGTAACCAGAACAAAGGGAAGAGGATCTGGTCACAGGCTCCAAAGGTCGATATGGGAAATAAAGTTCGTCGCGAAATTGAGAACCTATTACGGCAGCATACAATCTGGAATCCCTATAATGTGCAGATACCGGACTCCGAGCGCAACGCTATCATCGAAGAGTTTGTCGGATTGGGTTTCCGTCGGAGCCATATGGAAGAGGCTACTGCTGCCTGCAAAGATCGCGAAGAGGTCCTGGAATGGCTTCTGATATATGTCCCGGAGGATGATCTCCCACGGTGGTGTCTACCTGAGAGGTATTCCGCCGGCGTTACTCTGGCTAGTGATGACCTTGCTAGGGAGGCTAAGATCAAGCGGCTGTCCTCCATCGGCTATCCAACTGATCTGTGCACACAGACTCTGGACAGTAAGCGCGGGGATGAACTCGCGACTGCAGAGTTCCTACAGAGCATCTTAGTGCATGGAGAAAGCTTTCCTGTGGAGTCGGTGTCTGTTGAAGACGACGATTCCTGGTCGGAGGAGCAGGATACTTTGGAAGCCATTTTTGGAGAGCGCTACACCCGCGTATCATCCAAAGTCTGCGAGATCAAAAGCGAGGCGCCGAATCTGCCTGAGTCTCTATCTTTCAGATTCCAAAGACCATCTGGAGCATATCCATCATGCGTGCCCGTAATTGCAATTCTGGCAAACGGCATCCCAGCTTATATACGACTTAGCGCGATACGACAAGCTGTGCAATATGCGGAACAAAATTTCTTGGGAGAGCCGATGATTTTTAACATTATCGACTGGCTCGAATCTCATCTACTGGGTATCATAGAGAATCCCGGCAAACTGCGAGATATCTCAACAGTGACAGCATCTCCTTCCACTGCCGGGTCCCTGTCCGGACTTCCCACCCGGCAATCGCGCAAACAGCGCAAGAACATCGATTGGCGACCAGACTCTCCCCAAAGTATCTCCATTCAAGAAGCTTGGAGGGCCAGACAGTCAACTTTAGCGCAACAGGAAATGATTCGAAAGCGCGAGTCGCTCCCCGCGTGGAGGACTCAGGATGCTATCGTCCGTGCTGTGGGCGAGCATCAAGTCACAATCATTTCAGGTGAAACGGGAAGCGGCAAGAGTACTCAGTCAGTGCAGTTCTTGCTGGATGACATGATTGAACGAGGTCTTGGTGCCCTCGCCAACATCATTTGCACACAACCACGGAGAATCTCAGCGTTGGGTCTGGCAGACCGAGTCAGCGATGAGCGTTGCTCATCCGTTGGCAAAGAGGTCGGCTACGTCATTCGAGGAGACTCAAAGATGAAACCTGGTGAGACCAAGATCACCTTCGTGACTACTGGTGTGCTACTTCGTCGTTTGCAGTCTGGCAGTGGCCCGGATGGGGACGTCGCCAGTTCCCTCTCCGATGTCACTCATGTGGTTGTGGATGAAGTTCACGAACGGAGTCTTGACACGGATTTCCTTCTTGCCCTGCTGAGAGATGTGCTGCGTTACCGAAAGGATATCAAGGTGATCCTGATGAGCGCTACCCTGGATGCAGATATCTTTGTAAGATACTTTGGAGGCCGCGAAAAGGTTGGTTTAGTAAACATCCCTGGGCGAACCTTCCCAGTCAATGACTATTACCTGGACGATGTCATTCGGGATACCGGATTTTCCCCAGAATTAACGGAAAGGGGCTTTGAGGAAGACACGATCTCTTCTTCCCAGTCGGATGAACCCTTGGGCAGGCTCCTTCGCAGCTTGGGCATGGGCATCAACTACGAACTGATCGCCTCTACTGTCCGGTACATTGACTCTCAGTTGGGGGATCAGCCAGGGGGCATATTGATCTTCTTACCTGGTACCATGGAAATTGACAGGTGCCTCAATGCTGTGCGGAAGATACCCAACGTCCATCCACTTCCACTACATGCATCCCTCCTTCCCCCAGAGCAGCGACGCGTCTTCCTCAGCCCTCCAAGGGGGAAGAGAAAGGTGATTGCGGCCACCAACGTCGCCGAGACCTCGATCACCATTGAAGACGTGGTCGCTGTCATTGACACGGGGCGTGTCAAGGAAACTAGCTACGACCCGAAAGACAATATGGTGCGGCTTCAGGAGGTATGGGCATCACAGGCAGCATGCAAGCAACGACGGGGTCGAGCTGGTCGTGTGAGGGCAGGGTCCTGCTACAAACTCTACACACGCAAAGCCGAGGCGAGCATGCCTCAGCGACCCGATCCCGAAATCCGCCGCGTACCTCTAGAGCAACTGTGTCTGTCGGTCAAAGCCATGAAGGGCATCAACGACGTGGCGACATTCCTAGCGAACACCATCACTCCACCCGAGAACGTGGCTGTTGAAGGGGCACTGAACTTCCTGCATCGTGTGGGCGCCCTGGATCATGACAGGCTGACAGCGCTGGGACGGTACCTGTCCATGATCCCCGCCGACCTGCGGTGCGCAAAACTCATGGTCTACGGCTCCATCTTCGGGTGCATTGACGCCTGCGTCACCATCTCCGCGATCCTGACGGTGAAAAGCCCCTTTATATCCCCGCGCGACAAGCGCGACGAGGCCGATGCCGCCAAAGCATCCTTCTCCAAGGGCGACGGCGACCTCCTCACCGACCTCGCCGCGTACCAGCAATGGTCCGATCGCGCAAAAGCAGAGGGCTACTGGCAGACACAGTCCTGGTGTTCTGCTAATTTCCTCTCCCACCAGACCCTCCGCGACATCTCCTCGAACCGCGCCCAGTTCCTCACCTCGCTCAAAGACGCCGGCATCCTCCCCGTTGACTACACCGGCCCAGACTTCTCCGCCCCTACCACAACGGCCACAGACAGCCCCTGGAATCGCAACAACGGCAACCGGAACCTCCTCCGCGCCATCATCGCCGGCGCCTTCCAGCCCCAGGTCGCGCAGATCTCCTTCCCAGACAAGAAATTCGCCAGCTCCATCACCGGCACCGTCGAGATCGACCCGGACGCCCGCACAATCAAGTACTTCAACCAGGAGAACGGCCGCGTCTTCATCCATCCCAGCTCCCTCCTCTTCTCTGCACAGGCCTACTCGGGCTCCGCCGCGTATCTCAGCTACTTCACCAAAATGGCCACCAGCAAAGTCTTCATCCGCGACTTGACCCGTAAGTCCCTTCTCCTTCACCCCGTGGTCGTATCCTCCAGATCTGAAAGGGAAAACATGACTAACTAATCATCCCAGCCTTCAACCCCTTCTCCCTCCTCCTTTTCTGCGGGTCCATCAATCTCGATACCATGGGCCGCGGCCTGATCGTCGACGGCTGGCTGCGGCTACGCGGCTGGGCCCGCATCGGTGTCCTGGTGTCCCGGCTGCGTCTCATGCTCGATGAGATCATCGCGGCGCGCATCGATAACCCTGGCTTCAGCCCGGTGGCGGATGACCTTGGTGACAAGGTGATTGCGGTTGTGAAGAGGTTGATAGAGTTCAATGGGTTGGATCAGTAGGTTTGCTGGTTGTAGAGTGGCTCTTCGGTTTTTAGCGGCATGCTTCTTGATTGTTTGTGTTTTTGGATAGACAAAACTAGGTGCAGGATAGCACTGGTTTACATCTAGAGATGCAAGTTGAAATACATCAATTTCCCATAAGTTGGCATCCTCGTCCCATCCGTTACTGCAAACCCCCTTGCGCCTGAGAGCTAAGAAATGGAGATGGAGTCCAATTGAATTTACTATTCTGCACACCTTTATCCCAGACAAGTAATCATGAACAATAAAAGAAGATTCGGAGGGGCCAAAATCTGACAAAGGAGAAGTGGATTAAGAAGATTACTGCTTCGGCGTACTTCAACCGCCAAGCATCTCATAAAGCATATTGGGACATGCAGTCATGATAGACAATCAAGGGAAGATGAGGCGAAGAATAAGGGAGACAAAGGAAATTGCTAAAGGAAGAAGAGAGAAAAGGAAAGGGGAAGATAAGACTCATACAAGAAAAAGCATGAAGCCATAAGACACTCCTGTCTCGGTATGGTAGCGTGGTTCATGTCATACAATTTCATTAATCAAACAGACCTCAAAATATCCCACCCGTTTGGTATTCGATCATCTCTCCAATCATAGTCGTTTTTCTGTCGTGAAGGATGCGTGGAGGAAGATGTGCGTCGGCAAGGTATGACTTTCGTGAGGAGAAATTGGGATAAGGGCATCGCCAGTGAGTATTCCTGAGAAACTTGAGGGTCTCATTCCTGGTCTCTTATCTTTTTTGTTTTTTCTGTGCGCTTCGGTTTTCCTGATCTGCCTTTTCTTGTCTTTTTCTTGTTTTTGGATCTCAAACCGCGTAGGAGCGATGGTGTCGTGATAGCCGGGGGAGGTCGGCCACAGGCTAAAAATGGGTGGGAGGTCGAGTAATGAATTGTAATGAAGGGGATTTCCGTGTGGGAAAGAGACATGGGGCATGCATAGCTCATAGGCTTCAGAAGGTATCATAAGTTCGAAAAGAGGAGAGAAACGTGAAGAATAAAAAGAGAGAGAAGAAAGATAACAAGACACTGCTCAAATGCGTTTCCAGTGATGAGCGGGTTCGACATGAGAATTGCGGTCATTTGAAATGCTTTCTCTGGTAATCTCGGGCAGACGAAATCCTTTCTTAATCTCAGCCTCGGCAAAAAGCGAGGCACGCTTGAAGCGCTTGTCGGTGTATTTCTCATAGATCGCGCAGTGATGCTTGCGGGGGATCTCGCAGCACTCGAGCATGAGTGAGACCAAAGGGAAGAGCTGGGAGTAGGTGTATTCCGCATAGTGGACATGGGCCGGGGTCTATGGAGCAGTGTTAGCCAGTGAAAGCAGTGATCGGTGGCAATGAACATACCCAGTTTCCTTTTCTCAACAGCAGCCTTGCAAGACAATGAGCACCGGCCGCAATAAAGCTGGGAGGGCTGCCAACGAATCGCTCGTCCATGATGGTGACTTCCAAGAAGTATTTCGCCAATGTGCGCGTCTCCAGGTCGTAATCATCGGCTTTGCTAATTTTGCGCAAGAAACTCATTGGACCAGGCCAGCCGAGTTCGAATTGCAGCATGCTCAGCATAAACCGCTCAGCTTTGAGGATCTCGTCAACGGTATAGCCTCCATCAACCATGTACACGATTTCCTGGACGGATGGGCAGTTGATCTCCTCATACTTGGCAGCAATGAAGATTGCAGTGGCTCCCACAAGCTGCAGTTTGCCCAAGGAGACGATCTTGCTCGAGAGAAAGCGGTCGATGTAGTTAACGCAGAGGAAAAGAGTCTCGGGAAGCAACGAGAACCGATGGTGAACCTGCACAAGCCAGTCCATGAGGACCGAGCGCATAGACCATTGGATCTCTGCTTGGTTGTCCATGTAATGAGCGTTGGGTAGCATCCGGATCTATGAAGACGTCAGCCATTGATCGAAGAGCAATATTTACTCGGTTTGGTGCAATCATACCTCTTGCTCCTTCATGTATTCGAAAATCTCATCACTGTACTCGGCGACCATGCTCGTGTCCCAGAACTCATCCTCGATATCTTCTGTGCTCCGGGTTGCTTCGACGACCTGCTTGGCCAAGGCCAGCTCACGGCGCACTTGCTGGTTGTATTTGGGGAAGAGGACGGTAGTCGCTCCGCCAGTCGTATTATCACCTCGTGAGCGGTAGGAGCGCGCTGTGATGTACCCATCGTCTTCTTCGTTCTCGTCTTCCTCGTCATCCCAGTATTCCTCCGGCTCAGACGGCGCAGGCAGATGATCCTGAGCCACGTGTGCACTTGACGCAGATTCACGGTGGGACTTGGGGAGGTTGGTGGCCGCGTTGACCTTTGTTGTTGCAGCCGACTCATACGCCTGCGACTCCGTGATGAACTGCACCTTGCAATTGTCATCATCCGCCTTGCATGCATCTCTTTCAGCTCCATCAATGTCATCAGAGTTCACAATGGAGTACTCCTCAGTCTCGTCCGAGTTGATCTTCGATGTTTCGTTCAGCAGCACTTCCTCCCTGGGAATGTCCTTGTGCTCCGGCACTGTAGCCGGCAGCGAGATGGGGCCCTCTTTGTTTTCTTCCGTTGATTTGGTAATAGTGGTTTCCTTGGATGCAGTTTTCTTCGTTTCGGCCAATGGCTCTTGATTGTCTTTAAAGACAGCAGCACGCTTGTTGAGCGGCTTCCTGATGTTCGCAGTATGTTGATTGAGACCCGTCTGCTTGACAGAGGGCTGAAGAGGCTTTTGCTTGGAGGCATTGTTCAACCCACCCTTCATAGGGCGCTGAGCAGGCTGTGAGAGGATGGTTGCCCTTCTCGCTGGAACGACTCCCTTGTCGGTCAATTTGAGCTGTTTCTTCCCCCCAAGGGAGCCGTCGTCTCGACTGCCTTGAGCAAGGCTGGTAGTGTTGCTGACATCCCCAAAAGCAGCTCTTCTCGGGCCATTCTTAGTGGAGGCGTTCTGAAAGGCAGCAGACAGGGCGGGGGTGGATTTGTTTCGCTGGTGGATAGTTTTGCCAGGGAGGACCCCGGCAGCATTCTCATCCATGCGGACGCGAATTCGTTGAGGCTATATTCAAAAACACCTTCAGTCAGTCTCCAGAGCTATCATCAGATTCGAATCTAGTAAGGAGCGCAAGTTCTCGTCGCGTTATGTGTGTCCCACCATTGGGTCTGGGAGCTATAGCTCCCTTCGCTGCAGCTGAGACACTACTTGTTTCCAGGCTCAATAGAAAATAAGAACATACCTTTGCATCCATCTTGAATACCTATCCACGAAGAGAAGATAGATACTCGATCCCCCACCGGGTTGTGTGGTGTGGTTGTTGTTTGGGGCGCCTGAAATCGATTGTTTACCTTTTTCCCTTGTCGTTGCGGCAGCTGTCGAAGTAGTTGATGACTACTGTACTACTAGGAAACAGTCCCAAACAAACAACGGACCGCGCAAAGAACCTGCGACCGGAGTTAACCAACAAAGCACGACTGAAGTGATGAAACTTCAACCGTGGAAGATTTTCCAGGAAAAGAGACAAAGATAGAGAAAATCAAGAAAATAATAGCATCTCGAGGAAGCGTGGAGATTTGAATCAAGGGAGGGACGAGGGAATCTGTCGTTGTTGTTGTTGTTGGGTGCTCTGAGTAACTTCAATACCGTGGTTTTTTTCCTTACTGTAGGCTTTCTTCCTTACTTTTCAGTGGTTTCGTCGTAAAGTGTCAACCCCAATACTGTCTCAGTCTAGTCTCAACAGGGTTTAGCCTTGTTCCTCCGTTGCTGCGGCATGATTATATCAGATTCCATTCTGGCGGATTGTCTTTTTTCCGGACTGTTTGCAGTGTTTGTCTGATTTCTTTCTGCTCACTGGTCTAATGACATCACCCGACACGTCTCCCCGTCAACACTCGCTTTGACTGTGACGGCGCCAAATCTGTTACTTCCCATATATTTCTGAGTGTTTAATTGACGTTTAATACCTTCAAAGCAATGCGACCATATTGGACGTGTTTTGTTCTTAATTTTCTGTGGTGGTTGGTGTGGAATGAGTGGAATCCTGCTCCAGACCACTTAACGCGCTGTCAGACACGAAACCTTCGGCTATTGAACGCGAATTCACGTGATGCCACAGCTGCCTCATCCGCTGTAGGATCCGGCGCTCTTCGACAGCTTCGTTCAACAAAGAAACTGCGCGCTTGCGCTGGAAAATTAATATAATATGCTTAAGGCTACAAAGTACAGGAACTGCGATCGGGGCCCAGTGGCGACTCCCATGGACGGCCCTGTCAGAGAATCCTAGATGGATATTTTGCTGCAATCGCATATTGTCTTGGATGAAATCCATCGTCCATCCACAGCGATGAAGTGAGGAGCTCTGGATGCGCCTCTTCTTAGTTCATCTGATGGTCACGATGATAATCTTTTTTCTTTTTTTCTGGGGGTCCTTTCGCCCAAGGAAAAGGCTCCTCTCTGCTTCTCAATGGTCGTTTTTCTTTCTGCTCGCCGTTTGCACCCGCTGCAAAAGCCACCGACTCCTCTTCAATGTGGGACGCGGATCCGGCGGTACCTATCATGAAGAAGCGGGATTCGCAGCGTTCGTCTTGTTTTGTGTCGGAGCTGCAGCACCTGCCTCCACGGACCAGAATACTGCGATTTCCCCCCAACCAGATGGAATGGAATGCGCTTAGGAGAGTAGATCTCAGAATCGCGCAGAGCGACGCTTCCTCTGGAACTGCCTTTGAACCAGCCAGCTCGTGGTGAGAGGAAATGCGACGCAGTAGAAATGAGTAAATATGCGCAAACTTTCGGTGTGCCCTCGGACTGGCGACTTGACAATAGATAAATTCAATAATCGCCTACTCCATCGCATAACCCCGCTTTGATTCCGGAAGAAGACTCTCACAGAAGAAAGAGAAGAGGATTTTCTTCGTGTTGTACCGTACAGTACTGGGTACTGACAGTCCCTTTTTTGGGCAAGGGATTCCCAGGTGGTCAGTTCGTTGGAGTTGGTATATCGGCTACATATGATCTGTATCTTCTTCGCTCGCCGATTGTGGCCAGGTAGATAAATAGTCCTACGCCAAACAGCATCATACTCGGTCAATTCCTTGATATTGTCGGTCGCGTCCGCTCATCATTTCCAAATATCACAATCTGAACTCGCTTTCGCCGTCATTCGATGCTCACATCCCAGGCCAAGCGAGCTCCAAGAATCGAGGCTATAGGGGACTCCCAGCTCGTCTCGGAGCAATTCTGATAATATGGAATGATCATTTCTAGATTTTTCGAGATGAATTCTCTTCACGATCAAGATCGATTCCACCCGAAGAGCCGAGCAGTGATGATGATGATGATGATGATGATGATCATGATGAAGCCGTTGTTGTCACAATCCTCTTCCAACCTTACGTATCTAGCCCACTTTGTCGTCCCGAGGAGGGGTAAGAGACTATCTACTAAGTGAGAAGACGAAGTCTGGACAGGCGCAGACCATAAAACGAGGCAATAATTGGGCGCTGTCGCTTGTCTGGCTGGATCATCAATCAACTGGTACATACTCTGTACATCCCAAGGCTGCTAGGTATCCCCCGTCGGGTTATTTAAATACCATCGACCGTCCGTCGATCGTAGGCGACAGGAAGCGCTTGCGACAACGAACAAATGCGTCGCAAATCCAGACGTGAACCATCACCGATCTAAAAAGTAGTCAAACAGCAGAAAATAGATATACTCCCGTAGACAATCCTAGTAGTTATTATCCTACTATCAAACTATTGCCAGAGACCGATGATGAGCCCCTCCGTGTGTGTCAACCCCGTCAGACCCTGTCCTCAGGCATCGATCGGTGCTTTTGTAACTACCCAAGTCAAGCATTAACTGCACCCTATGATGCTCTTCCATTCAATCCATCCTCTGGCCCGTTCGTTGGCCAGGATGAGGGGTGTTCTGGGTGTCATTCGACGTGGCCGCGGTGAGGATGTGCCAGCCAACAGATTGACAGCCACTCAGAGCCATCCATTTCGCTTGTTCCTTTCTTGCTCACACACCATAATTGCTCCGGTCAGGACGTCTTGAAAGAAACTAAACGGATTGATTTCCGTCGAGACGATCCGTGGGGGATTCCGAGTCAATCATTGCTGATAACTCACTCTGCGATCTGAGAGCCAGGTCGCTCGCTGTCTCTGTGTTTTGCGCCAGTCTCCATTTTCGAGGCGATTCCATCAGTCCGACTCAACCACGTCGCTTGCCGTCATTAGACCTCAAATGTGATGAAAAACCATCGGTTCTCATCGCTGCGCCCTCGTAGATCTTAATCACCATGTGGATAGTCTCTTCAAACCGAATTTTGTTGGGTTGCGCCTTTCTCTGGGTGTTCGGCGCATTGCGCTGCGACCAGAGCAGACACTCTCACCACGCAATGCGACATCCATGTATCAACGTAGTGGGAAAGGTCCCAGTAGATATAGTCAAGAGTAGAAAGAAGAATCGCATCAAAATATGCAAATCAAAACTATCATCTACGGATGCATTGCATCGATTCTGCAGTTGCCGGCGAACGCAGGTCACCGACCCCCAAAGCCCATTTTCGCTTTAGGTGAAACCATCAATCAGTCACTTTCTCGCACCCACTTCGCTCTCTCGCTCTCTCTCTTCCCTCTCTCTCTCTCTCTCTCTCTCTCTCTCTCTTCTCTGCTCAGCCAAACCCTCGAAATTACATCCAGTTCCTTCAACAACTGCATTCGACTTCTCATTCACAGCTTTTCTGGTACGTTCTTCATCATCAGGTTCGACCTTTGGTTTCAAATTCAAAGTCCTGGTCGCCCATCCATCCGTGTCCTGCTCTCCTGACTTGGCTGCACTCAACCTTGCCTGTGATGCCACCGCTGACATATAACCCAAGCGCTTCTTCGTAGAACGAACTCACTCGCTGCGAATCCTTCCTACCATCGCCATCGCCTCCACTATCCATTGTCTATAGATTTATTTGATGCCTGCGACTCTCGATGAATAGCTTTGATTTGTGATAGGTGCGTCTTTGATGCTCTCCATCCTCTTCCGCGAGAACTCGGCTTTTCCCTCTTCCACAACCCCCCCCCCCAAGGTCGGTCTGCCAGTCATCAGGGATCAACCATCGATGACTTGTCATTCCAAATCCATGCCTGGACCTTCGTGAACAATCAGAGCTTGCTAGAAATCTGTTCTTGTAGTCAATTGTGCTAATCTGGATGGTCTCTTTCCTGCAGATTCTCAACCGGTTTTTTTCCCTCAGTGAGTCGGTCTCGACTGCTGCGACTTGGGAGTCCCTTCGCCCCATCCCCATTGCCTTCACCCAACAAATATTTATCGCTACAACAATCGCGGGAGATCCATCTATCTACCAAACCTCTCTGGTCCATACGTTGTGGTAGGTTTGGATGGAATTTGCCCATACCCTCGCCTCCCTCTCCCTGCTACCTTTTCCACCCCCACTACCCTCACCATCCGGCCGGGTTCTTCCACCCTCCCTCCCAACATCGAACACCCGATTGATATCAAGTTCAATGTAGCAGTCGAGTGGTTTCCCCGTCTCCCTACATCATGCAGGCTATCCATCAAGAACGGCCCTCGGTCCATGGGGAACCACCTGTCTACACCGAGCCTGTGTCGCAGGATCATCCCCACCAAGTGCCGGTCCCCAAGAACGTTGCCTTTGAGCTTTTGCTCGATGAAAACTCCAGGGTTCGAGCTCGCATCCCCATGCGAGTACAGATCTACCCGCATGATACCACGGATTCGATTGTGACAACGGTGAAGAATTTCTATGGCATCTATGACGGCGCTGCCAGCGGTGTCAGCTTCGAGGATGAAAGTGGTATCACTCTCATTGCAAGGTATGAGAATCTGAGAAACAATATGACTGTCTATGTGCGGGTCATCCCCGTTCAAGCATACTCGGAAGACTACGGAGACCGCTATTATGGCATTCCAGGCGAGGGTCGCAAGCGTCCCAGTCTTGGCGAGCCCTTCCAGCTGACGCCGGCTGCGCAGCCGGCGCAGCTTCTAGAGCACACCAACCAGCCACCCTCCCGGCCCACTTCCCGACTGGCTCGTAAGCGCAGCACGTCGCCTTCTGGCCGGAGTCGCCGTAGCGCCTCGCAGAACAAGCAGCTTTCTAGAGCTGGTAACAAGAGCAGGGGCTCTAGTACTCATGGTAGCTTCCATGATGATGGCGCCTCTGGCTATAGTGATAGCGAAGGCGGTTATGGCTCAGTCTCTGGTACCAAGAAGTCGCGAAGCGAACAGTTTGGTAGCTCGGATATCAGCATGGAAAATATACTGCACGATGGTCGCCGAAAGCGACCCAAGTTCGAAAGCTCGGTAAGAGGGCTAACCATACTCTGCTCTGCTTTCATTCTGCCATTGCCGAACCTTTTAGCTGACATGTTCTGCCTCATTGCAGGAATTACCGCTCTTTGTTCCTCCTCAGGTCCCTCTGACGACTTCCACATCCTCTATCTCTCCTCAGCGTCGATCTGTCGGCCAAGAGGGTGCTATCTCGCCCTTCGCACGCCCTAACCAGCGCCCCTACAACTACCAGCAACCATTGCCTTCCCCACAAAGCTATAGACACAACGACCAGGCATATACCATGAGCTCTGCTCAGAACGTCATCTACGCTACTCCTATGGTGCCTGAACATGGCCATCGTCTTCGCGATCGCACTGCTGTGCCATCGTCGGGACAATACAGTAGCTCTGCTAGCCGTGCTGGTGCTCCTGGGGTTCTTCCTACCCCTGATCCTACTATTGCTAGTTGCATATCGGACGAGGATGTTGCGATGCAGCTGATCCGACTAGGCGACGCTTCAAATTTCTCCCATGGTCGGACATCTGCATCCACCTTGGACGATGCCTTTAGCGGGGCTGCCGATGCTGCGTCTTCTACTGGCGCCACTAGTGAGGGTGAGGACTTCAGCGAGGACGATGATGACCTACCGGCGCGGAACAGACAGAAGCTGGAATCAAGTCCGATGCTCCCTCCCGGCACCACTAAACGCACACATAAGCGATTAGATGATATCCTGCCCAGCTTTGACAGCTCGGACGGCAGCTATGATGGCATGGATGAGGACTATCAACAGGAGGAACTCAATGATACCCTGGTTAAAAGCGAGGTTGACGAGGATTCGCTCTACGCGGAAACAACGCCCAAGCCCAAGAAGGCGAAGATCCGGTCAACCAGTATTGCTTCTGCCAAGTCTCGCGTGGTCAACAAGACTGCGCCCTCCCGGCAGAACAAGGTTGGCAAGCCTGCTTCATCTGCTGTGCCTCGTAAGGCCAAGTCGACGGTCGCCATGGGAAACCAGAAGGCGCCTCCGCCGCCGCAGATGGTTAGCCCTGCCCCGACCCGCAAGACTTCCACATCTTCAATCAATGGCCAGCATCCCCTTGCTGCGGACGAAGAGGACCTCTCCACCAAGCCTCGCTGCCAGCGCTGCCGCAAGAGCAAGAAAGGCTGCGATCGCCAGCGCCCTTGCGGTCGATGCAAGGATGCTGGTATTGGCCTTGACGGCTGTATCAGCGAGGATGAGGGAAATGGTCGCAAAGGCCGCTACGGCCGCCACATGGGCGTGCCAGTCAAGAAATCCCTGGACGGGGTTCCTGTGAGCAGCGAACCTCCATCAACCATCACAACGCTTATCTCTGCTTCGGCGTTAGCTGAGAAGAACAAGAAGCGCAAGCGCTAGCGCATGCCTGCTTCCCAACGCATCGATTTCCTGAATTCTGTTTTCATTGTCCGAGTGGTCTGCATCTGTCTAGAAGACAGCAAATGGAGCGCCCAGGTGATGGCGCCTTTGATGCGCTATCTATTGATTTTTTTTTTTTTTCACTGCCATCCCCGTGAACTGACCTTCACCACCCAAACTCTCATTCAATAACATACTTTCCCTCCCTTATAACGTGCAATTCTCCAATCCTTTGCCGTCAGTGCAATACGTACACCTCCTTCCGATGTCATATAGAAGAAATCTCAGAGACCGAGTTTGCCATGCGACTTTGGTATCTGAGTCCTCGACCGTTGACTCGACTCCGGTCTCTCTCACCGTGTCCGTGCTATGAGCGATAGTGCTCTTTACGTTCCCTCCCCCTCGCAAGCCGGCTGTCATCTGCATTTTTACCTCCTGTGCTGTTTATCATGGATAGTCTAGCGATTGAGCTAAGCGGGTTGATCATCTAGCTTTGTTTATCTTTTGGCGTTCATGTGTTTCGTTTCTCGTTGCGGACATCTCTTGCTTTAAGGGTCGCCTCCACTCGTTCAAAACGTATATGCTGAGGAAGAGTCGGACAAGGGGGCTTGTCGCGGCTTTGATTGCCTTGTGCCTGAGTCTCACCTTGCTGGGACTAACCTTCAGCTTGGGTTGGGGGTCTAGTGCTGTTGAGTAAGGAATATATATTGTTTGGTTTCAAATTGAAGCTCGATCCGAAATACAGTGTCTCGTAGGCTATTTCTTTTATTCTGATATGCTGGTCGAAAGACTACTCGGTAATTACCACCCATGCCCAAGCTCTCAATCGTCCGCCATGCCTTTTCAATACTGATGTTATTGCAGCCAGCTGCAAATTGCGCCCAACAATCGGGGCAATGACGGTCTTGCCGTATCGAGACTAGTGGATGATTGACGGCTGCCCCGCATGTTAGCGCCAGACGCGCGCTTATTATTATTTTTTCCGCTCAAGTCTCAAGATCACAATCAATGATTGAAAACTGCCTTGAAGGCTTTATTGCATCTCCATCCTCTGAAGCAAGGAAATCCAATCTCGGTTACACTCAAATCCAGCCATCCCCCGCGTCTTATCGTCGCAAACTTTCCTCGTCCATGTACTAACTTTTCCACCACCCCCTCCTCACCAAATCACCACTGAAAAGCACACGCGGGGTGTGCGCATCGAATCACCTCCCCCAACCCCCCCCCAACCATGCCTCCCAAAGCCGTTCGTCGCGGCGCCTCAGCCGCAGGCGCAGCAGCAGCACCCCGCCAAACCACCAGCGCCGATGCGTCCAACTCCTCCGCAGGCTCCGCAACACCCACACCCACACCGCAACCCGCCGCCGGCACCAGCGCGCCCTCGACGCGAGCACCCGTGCAGCGGCTACAATCACTCAAGAAACGCACACCATCTGGGAGCATCGGCCCATCCGCGCGACCGGCAGCGGCGGGCCCGGGCCCGGGTCCCGGCGAGCCGGCCAAGCCGGCGCTGAAGTACAAGCCGCGCGCTGTCGGCCGCCGCAGCAAGGAAGAGCGAGATGCGATCGAGAAGCTGGAGGCGGAGCGCAACCGGGAGAGACTGGCGGAGGTTGCGGCGATGCGGAGGGGTCGTGGGAATGGTTCGCGCGGGAGAGGGGGCCCCGGAAGGGGGCGGGGCGGGCCTATGGGTGGTCCACTGGGTGGTGGGAAGAGGGGCCGCGGGGGCCGGTTTGGGCCTGATTCGCGGGCGTCGTCTATATCGCGGAGTCGGTCGGTTATTGACATGGGTAGCGGGGCGGCGAGCGGGAATGTCTCGTCGGACGAGAGTGATACGGAGAATCTGCTGCCTATTGATCAGATTGAGGTGGATAGTGAGGAGGAGATGGAGTATGCGGCAGATGGGAAGAAGGGAAAGATTCCTGCGCGGTATGCGGACCGGGAGAAGGGGCTGCGCCCTGTGCGCGTTGAGAGGCTGGAGCATGAGGAGCGGGTGGTCAGCGTCAACATGGAGTCGAGCACGAGCAAACCGGCAGAAGCTGGCGAGGAGGAGGAAGTGCAGATACAGGAGACCAAGGTCGCGGCGGCGGCGGCCGACGACGACGCGCTCTTCGTGCGCGACGACGACGACGAGATCAAGACGCGCGTCAAGGAAGAACCTGTCGACGAAGATCAAGCCATGACCGATGCGGTCCCTCACGCGGAGGAGGCCGCAGCCACCGACGACGAGTTCCTCCCCGCGCAGAAGGTCAAAGTACGCAGAAGGTTGACTCCCAAGACGCCGGAACCGGAGCCGGAGCCCCAAGCCATACCGCCGGTCGAAGCCCCCGTCGTCAAGGACCCGAAGAGCCTACTACGCACAAAGGAGGACATTGAAGAGTATGAACGCCACGCCAAGGATCTCGAGGTTATTTTGGATCTACTCTCGGTGGAAGCTAAGGAGGACACGCCGAAGCAACCAGAGTCTCCTACGAAAGCGGCGGGAGATTCTACAGAAGGTCTCGAAGCCCCGGCATCCGACAAAGAAAAGGAAGAAGCAGACGAGGAGAAGGACGAGAGCAAGGATAAACTGTCCGGTCAACTATTCCTAATGCAGTTCCCTCCCATGACCCCCAACCTGATCGTCCCTGGGACTGGTAGCGCCAACACCGAGGAGACAGCTCCAGAAATCACCGAGCAGGCCGTCCCTAGCCGCTCACAACCCGGCGAAGCAGGTGTCAAGCGCGAGACTGGCGACGTCGAGATCCTGGAAGGCCCCGACGGGCCCACGACCAAGGCGCCATCCAAGGTCCTCACTGCAGCAGACTGGCGGCTAAGTGCCGGCCGGGTGGGTAAGCTCAACGTCCACAAGTCGGGCCGGGTCACGATGGACTGGGGTGGTATTAGCTTCGAGCTTGATCGCGGAACGGCCGTCGACTTCCTCCAGGAGGCGCTGATTGTGTCTGCGCCCGAGGAGGGGTTGCCGGAAGAGGAAAACCGGGTGTGGGCGATGGGCCAGCTCAGTGGGAAGTTCACCGTGACGCCGAACTGGGAGAAGATGCTGTGATGAAAAGGGGGAAAAAAAAGTCGCCTGTCTTTTCTTGTCTGGATTCAATTGGGAACGGTGTATACATAGGGGTGTTAGCGATGATCTTTCGATATGTACATGTACAGATGCCTTTCTCTGAGACATTGGGTTTCCTCATCCAGTAGAGATATACCGAAAGGCAACTGCCTTCAGTTGAGTTGAACCCCTTCTATACTTGTAGCCTTGGAGGTCTTTTCCCCGGGGCAACAGCGAGTGAACTGAAGCGTTCTAAATATGGACAAGGCGCCAAGACAGCATTCGTCATGAACCTGATTACATCATACAGCGTGGGTCCTCTGTTCCACGCTGACTGGCCTGTTGGATGGCTTGGCATGCTGCCAATCGGGCATAGTTCCGCCGCCACCGTTGCAAAACTTGCAGGGGACAGCCGGTACTTCGCGGCTACTGATTGGCTGCCTGTCTCTGATAAGCTTCTCAATTCTGGCACGGCCGCACGAGGCAACGATCGACCGGCGCTAATCCCAGACTGTGTTGACACGGGTAGTACTGGCCAATAGTATGCGAGAGAAATAGAAGCCAGAGCGCCCCACTTTCAGTGCGTGGGCTCCAATGTTAATTTCGAAATTTGATTAAAGGTGGTGAGTCTGGGCCTCTCGTTGGCTGGAGCTAAGATTGCTGGGGTGAGGCCTTTTTTTTTTGTTTGCTTTTCCTTGGTTTCCCCTTGGTCTTTTTTCTTTTTTCTTTTTTTTTTGTTTTCCCTTTTCTCTGCTCTTACTTTGCTCTCCTCTGTCACTCGCGGGATTTCTTTCCTCTTCCTCTTTCATCTTCATCTTCATCTTCAGAGTTGATACCTCGGACATCATCTCCTAACGTGCGTTTTGCTTGTGGTGCTTGATCGTTTGTTCTTTTGTTCTCCAAGTCCACCGCGGGAGCAGCGCAGATAAGGATTCCTTGTTCAGGGACCAATAGTCGCTCGTTTATTCTGGAGTCGCTCTCTCTCTCTCCTGAGCTCTGCAGATACACACCCCTCTCTCTCTCTCTCTCTCTCACCACACGTTGAAACGTCCGACAAGCAGCTCCTCGTCGATTGACTAGATATTCCCTCCACGACCCATCTCGTCACTTTGCTACAGAAATCATCGTTGCTGGAAGATCACCGCCATCCCTGAAAACATATCGATTTTCAACACCCGTTGGCCGTATCAGGGGTCGCGGAGGAAGAGGACCCTATCGCAAGACTTACCGACCATACCCCCCCCCCCCCCAAGTCGCTTGCCGATCGATCATTCCTCTCAGATATATTGATCACCATGAAGATCTCGAGTATCCTTCTCTGCGCTGTTCCTTCAGCGGCATTGGTCGTTGAGCTTGGCCAGAACCCCGCCATCGTCTCGACTGCCTCGGCAGATAGTCTCCCCTCCGCTTCATCGTCACCATTAGAAGCCCCCACCCTCTCGATTGCTGAAGGCGTACAACCCCAACAACAAGACGGTCGACGGGTCTTCCGGGTCGCTGGGGTTCGACCTGACAACGTCGCTGTACTTTCTGGTCATGACGATGCTGCCTCTGAGGCTGTGGTCGATCAATGGCCTGAACCCGCCCGTGGATCTATCGGGCTAGGCGCATTAGAAACAGCCCCTGGGTCGACCAAGTCGCTGCGCGCACGGAGTGAAGGCACCCTGGGGCAGACGCCTTGGATCGGGATGGCCATTGGGCTAACCTGTACCGCCCTGGCAGCAGTAATGCTAGGGTGATTGATCTTTGACCGACTTGACAATTTTATATCCAGCGGTGCGATATCTTCGACTGTTCTGTTGCATGATTGGACTTTCGCCCTCTCTTCTTTTTTTTTTTTTTTTTTTCTTTTCTTTTCTCTTCTCTTCTATCTGAGCCGTCCAGCGATGTTGATCTTCTCGTCGTTTCGAGCGCTGCATTACCCTGGGTTCTGGGAAGCTTGCTTCGTTTCTTCTTCTTCTTCTTCTTCTTCTTTTCTTGTTCTATAAATTTCTTCTCTTTTTTTTTTCCCCTTGCATTGACATACCCTCACCGATATAGACTGGGTTACTGACGCTATTGGCTGAATGTGTACATGATACCTTTGATTCTCTTCTTGTTATTTTCTGACGGATATTTGACATGGCTGATTTGGTAGGGGGAAGGCGACGATTGATGTATCTACTTACTACTGTTACTGCCCCGAGGCAGCACCCTGAATATTGATATGATAATGGCTGATCCGCGATGATCGGCTTGCAATTCCAAGTTTACCAACCAACAACGTGCTATTCTGGCTACAAGGATGCTTTGTTTGCCCGAAAACACGAGAAAAGGCTGTGTTGAGAGCAACCGAGACAGCCTTGTTTCTTTGTACAAAATCCCCCGCAACTCCACCATCTCATCAATCACATCAACAGCCGCATCCACAACCACTGCTCTATTCTTCATCGATATACAAAACAAACTCTCCCAACTCCACCAAAATGATCAAACCCCTCGAAGCCGACAAGAACGAAATCAAATTCACGCCCATGAAGTCCTTGGGTCACGAACTCGGCATCCTCTTCGGCTTTCTCGTCGCCTGTCTCCTCACCATGGCCATCTACATTTACTTCTGGGACGGTGAAATCCCTCCCCCCCCCTTCCTCCTCCTCCCTCTGCCTTTTTCTATTCCGAGCCAAACAACCAAGAAACTAACTCGAAATACCCAGCCGCCGACCGCCGCGAAAAAGCCCGCGACGAGCTCCGCCGCGTGGAGGTTGAGAAACGCAACGCGCGGTTCCGGCGCCAAGGACTGTATGAGAAGATGACGGATCGCGAGATCTTGGGTCCGCGCAATGTAGTGGAATTGCCTGTGGACCAGGGTACGGGAGCGCATATGGGGATCACGGGGATGAGCGTGTTGGATTGAGAGAGGGGGTTGGGTTAGGTTCCTGGTTCTTTCTTTGATTTCGTTGGGGGAAAGGAAGTCTTGGGGGTTTGATATGCTATGACTTATTGCGGCTGAATGGATTATGGAAGGAATAGGAGCGCTTTTGTGGCTTGGACATGACTTGATTTGGTGGAATGCAATGCGATGCGATGTGATAATGATCGGCTAGCTTGTTTACTTACTGACTTACTTACTATCTGAAATGCAAAAAGCCAAAACAGACCAAAAAAAAAAACAAATGACGACTATCAAACGAATAAGTTGCACCTAATGCCCGCCAAGCCGAGCCCTACTTTCCATGCGCGATAAACAACCGATCCCCAATGTCCCCTACACCAGGCACGATCATCCCGCGCTCATCGCACTGCTTATCCACGGCGGCAACCCACAGCTCGACACCCTCGGGCCAGGACTCGGCGGCGCGGTGCAGCCCAGGCTCGGAGCCGAGCACGCTGAGCATGATGATGCGCTGGACGCCCCATTCGCGCAGCAGGTGGATGGCGGCCTCGGCGGTGGCGCCGGTTGCGATGATGGGGTCGAGGAGGACGGCGAGCGAGGCGGCGGAGCCGTTGGTGGGCGAGTCGGCGCGCAGGAAGGGGAGGTTATTGTAGTACTCGACGGGCTGGAGGGTGAATTTGTCGCGGAAGAGGCCGAGGTGGTAGATGGGGACGGAGGTGGGGAGGAGGTCGTTGATGGCTTTGGAGGAATCAGTTCCCCTGTGTACCTCCAACTCCAAGCTTGTATGGATTGAGTGGGGGGATAGACATACCGTCGGTCATGCCCAGTCCGGACCGGAGAATCGGCACCAGGGCCACATTGGCTGGTTCGATGGTCTGCGTCTCATACTCGATCCCTAAGGGGGTTTTATCCTATCATGACCTATCAGATGGAGGACATCACACAGTTGATCCCCCGGGGGGGGGGAAGGGGAAACATCAAACCTTTCCACTGCTGGCTGTCGTTAACCCGGCGGCAAGGGCTTCCACGCCCAAGATGGTCGCTATCTCATGCACCAGACTGCGAGTCTCGCGAGTGGAGGTGGACTGCGACCGAAGCTGTGAGACTTTGGCCTGGAGACAGGGATGGGAGGAGACGTGGATGTTGGAGGGAAGCATGCTGGCGTTATGAGAGGAGAGAGATGGTGGAGGTGGGTAGGTGGGTAGTGAGAAGCCTTCAAGAGAGCTATAGGTATAGTATAGGAGGGAATACTAGTCAGTATGGGAGAGCAGAGAAGAGACTGAAGGAGAGGAGGGGAGAAGAGGGGCTGATGCTGATTGATGCGGATGCTGATTGATGCGGATGCTGATGCGTTGGTGTCTGTCTGCTGTCTGTCTGTCTGCTGTTGTTTTTATGCAAGCACAGGGAGAATGTCAAGTCACGCCCCCCTCACTGCGGCCTCATCCTCATCTTCATCTTCATCTTCATCTTCATCTTCATCTCATCCTCATCTCATCCTCATCTGTCCTGCCAATTATCCCCCGTCGAGCATGCATCAATCAATGCCATCTCCAGCTCTTATCGAGATCGCGATCAACGATGAACTAACTGATAACGACAAACCCACTCGCTAATCTTCGGGTCTCTCCGTCTCATTCTTAGTTCGTTCTCTCGTCACCAAAATCCTTGGCAACCCACATCATCACCCATCATCGTCACCCATCACCCATCATGGCCATGGCCATGCAGCAGCCTGACGCGGAGCCTTCTGGCCTCTCCGAATGTGCTGCTCCTCCAGCTCGCCAGTTGTGGTCTTCCACCGGTGATGCGCTGCCTCCAACCACCGACAAGCCTCCCACAGCGCCCATCGAGCCCACGCCCTCGAAACGCCCTCCGTCGGTTGAACCGCCGCTCTCTAAACAGGCCACCCATCTCTTCACGCTCTCCTACCTCGTCTTCTTCTCCATCTTCGGCACCCTCGCCCGCCTCGGTCTAGAAGCTCTGACCTTTTACCCCGGCGCGCCCGTCGTGACCGGCATAATATGGGCCAACGTCGGCGGCTCCCTCCTGATGGGGTTCTTCCTTGAGGATAAGAACCTCTTCCGCGAAGAATGGGGCCAATCCAACAACGACGAGCAAATTCGCATCAACAACAACAACGACATTGACGACAATGACCCCGCCGCCCGCGAACGGCTCCAGGCCGCGTCCAAGAACCACAAGGCCGTGAAAAAGACCATCCCGCTCTACATCGGCCTCACCACCGGCTTCTGCGGCAGCTTCACCTCCTTCTCCTCCTTCATCCGCGACATCTTCCTCGCCCTCACCAACGACCTCCCCAACCCGTCCTCTCCGGCCGGCACCCCCATCCCTCCGCGCAACGGCGGTTACAGCTTCATGGCCCTCCTCGCCGTCCTCCTCTCCACCGTCGCCCTCAGCCTCGCCGCCCTCATGGCCGGCGCCCACCTCGCCCTCGCCCTCGACTCCCTCACCCCCACCGTCCCCTTCCGCCTCACCCGCCGCCTCCTCGACCCGCTCTTCGTCTTCCTCGCCTGGGGGGCCTGGCTCGGCGCCGTCCTCCTCTCCATCTGGCCTCCAGACCGCTCCCCGGGCCCAGACACCTGGCGCGGCCGCGCCCTCTTCTCTTGCGTCTTCGCCCCGCTCGGCTGCCTCCTCCGCTTCTACGTCTCACTGCTCCTCAACCCGCGCCTCCCCACCTTCCCCCTCGGCACCTTCACCGTCAACGTCTTCGGCTCCGCCGTCCTGGCCATGTGCTTCGACCTACAGCACGTCGAGGGCATCGGCGCAACTGCCGCCGCCGTCTCTGCCGCCTCGACCCCCTCCGCCATCCTCATCGGCTGCCAGGTGCTCCAGGGCATTATGGATGGCTTCTGTGGCTGCGCCACCACCGTGAGTACCTGGGTCGCGGAGCTGACGGGGCTCAGCCGCCGCCGCCACGCGTATCTCTACGGCGTCGCCAGTGTGGCCGTCGCGCTGGGCTTCTTCGTCGTGATTACCGGTTCCCTGAGCTGGACTCGGGGGCTGGTGAATCCCGTTTGTTCTTGACCCGAATCGCAGCTGTATATACCATGGCTCTTTGCATCATACTACTCGCCAATTTCTACGAAGTAATCTACTTGTTGTAATATAATACTGAAGAAAGAACAGAGAATCCCCGCCGAATCATCTTATAATTTGTTGCAGTCAAAAAGAAATAAAAGAAGTACTTATATAGTACAGGGTACTACGACGCAAGAAACCATGTGCCAGAAAAAAAAGAAAAAAAAAAGAAAAGCCAAAAGAAGAAGACAGATGAATAGACATTAATGCAGAAAATCTTCAAAAAACAAGAACAGACAGGCAGACGCAGAAACCAAGAACGTAACATGCAGAGAGGAGAGAGAATGCAGAAACAAAATCAACAAATGCTGCGGGGTCGGCATAAACACATAACGATCAGAACGATTCTAACACGGCGCATACATTAAAGGCAAGGGAAAAAAAAAGTGGTCAGAGTAGAATGTAATAAAGCGTGAACGTGGATGAAGGAGTGACTTGAAGAGAAGAAAGCTTGAAAATAGAAAAAAAAAGTAACCCAATGAAGTATATAACGAACAAGGTATCAATATGGTCAAGGGACAAATCAACCAGCAGATTGACCACAAAACATGCTGACGCGCACGAGGAATTAAGGGTGTTCGACACGAAATGGGGTCCAAGTAAAACAACAACTCCACCGAGTGCTAAAAGGAAGAACACACAGGACCAGCCGGGTGTCGAGATGTTGCCTTGAAGGGGGCCAAGCAGCCCATGAAAACAAGAAAATGACCACACCGGACTCCTGTGAGATCTTGCCGAAACCAACAGGATAACCATGAAAAATGCAAGCAAAGAAATGCGAACCAAAACGGAGAGAAGGAAAGAGGAGCAAAAAAAAAAAAAAAAAAGCAACGCGATATATCAGTCGGGAATCACCAGCAAGGAGCATTATGCGGCAGTTCAGATCATCGCATTCCGTCGTTGGAAAACACACTTTGCCGCCCACCTGCTTGCTTATCCATTCCCGACCCGGTTTCCGAAATTCAGCAAAAAATGTCCCAATCAATGTAGCGATGTGTCAAGTAGCGAGAGTAGTTGGTTAAAAAAAAAAAAAAAAAAAAAGGCATGTGCAAAAAGAAGAGAGAACAGGCACCGTGCAGGTCAAATGGGACACTGTCGGCGCATGAAAGTAGTGAGGCATGCTAATATGCAGTCCCAACACTGGCGAGTGTTTTGGTCGGCATTGGATGGATAGGTTGATCTTTGGCAACTCGTAGCGAGTCTTCGTAGCCGATCAAAGCTTGAGCATGAAGCTTGAACGATTCGCCCATGAGCTTGGTAATTCTAACAGAAAGGTTAGCCATCGGTTGCATCGTTGAAGGGAAAATAACAAATAACTGACCCCCAAACTACCACGCCGTCCAGGATGTTACCCCATACACGGGCCACAGTGGAGCTGAGATTACCAAAGGCATCGACGGCGTCGTCATCGAACAGATTCCGCACCTTGTTGTAGATGGCCAGCTCAGCCTCAGTCGCGGGCTCTTCGTCATGTTCCAGGCGATAGAGCCAGAGACTCAGGATGACCATCAAATCCAAGCCACAGAGCGGATGCTCAACACTCCAGTTGGTCGCCGAGGTCTTAGCAACCCAGTTGATTCCCTGAACGGCGGCAATCTCAATGCATTCGAAACAGGATTGGATGACCTTGTTCATTTCTTGCGACCGCTTCACCTTCTCCCGCGCAACGGTCATGGCAGCAGCAACCTCATAGGATGAGTGGTAGCGCAGGGCTTCCTGGATGGACTTGAGATCAACCTCCAACCGAGCGCGGGTGTTGCGGTAAACGGCCATCGAGTTGAAGATCAAGGGGTGGCCATTCTGAGGCGTGCTCAAGGGGACGACGATGGTTTCCGGCTCGCAAACTTCCAGAGAACCTTCCCATGTCTCCAGCGCAAGGCGGAGCTTGTATTCGGTAACTACGTCCTGGAGAGCCTCGAAGGTTCTCTTGTGACTCCATACCTGCAGGAACAGGGCGTTGATCAGCACCCGAGTGGCAAAGGCGCTGTAGCGCGTCTGCTCGCCCTGGAAGAGACAGTCGTGGGCTTCCCGAACAGTAAGAGTAGTCGCTGAAGCCAGGTTGCGGCGCCAGGCCTCGTCGTCGGTAACATCGAGGTTCCACATCGACTCCGAGGACGGCAGTTCCATATTATCAAATTCATCAAAGCTCATGGCCGGCGTATGGTTGAATGTCAGCGTGAGCATGCCAAAAAAGATGTAGACGGCGTAGTAGGTCCGGCGGCAGGCTTCATCTTCAATCCACTCTTCCCGGGTTGGTTGGCGGCCCTCGCGAGCCTCAGTTCTGACCTTAAACTGATAACGATTTCCAGCCACCATATTGGCGAGCAAGCTCTTGATGGAGCAGGTCCACTCCAGACCCTTGGGATCCCCACTCCAGCTCTCAAAGATCATGTTCAGCAGAGTACTTTGCATGGCCCACAGGGGACATTTTCTCGAATCAAAGTTCTCTTTGTGTTGCAAGAACTGGTTGACAAGCATCTTCGATCCAACGTGGAGCATGAAGGCGTGCTCACGCTCAAAAGTGTACAGAGCACCAATGGAGAGGACGGCCAGTAGCAGAGGAGGGGACGTCATGGTAGGCTTGAAGGACTCCTGGTGCAGGAACGGCAGATGGTGGTGGTACAGGTTGAAGTACGTCGTCAAGTACCTGTTGAGAGCAGCAGTCGAAGGCAGCTGGAAGGTTTCGGGCAGCGCACTCAGAGAGTCAGCGTTTCGGACGCGCTCGACGATCATGTTCCGCTCCATGTCGTTGGCGATTTGAGGAGCCTTGGGGAGTGTCAGAGCCTGGCTAGGTCCAGGTGATCGGCGATAGTTGACAGGACTGACCGGGCCTGTCATTGACGGATACGGTGACAGAGCGTTGGGGGTGGAGTTTCCAGACATCGGAAGCGAGCTGACAAGGGATTGAAGCGAAGGAGCCAGAGCATCACCCACGGGTCCATGGCGATCCATCATTGTCGGCAGAGGACGCAAATCGGACCCGTTGTCTTGTCCCATGTAGGCGGGACCCATGATATGATGCTTCATGTCTGCAGGAGAAACTAGGGTGTCCCAAGGCATCTGAGGGAGCGTGGCGTTGCCGGACAAATAGGCGGCGGTGGGGTCCAACAGGGAACCACGACCCGGCGAGAACGAACGGTCAGACTCGGCACGATCGGTAACCTGGCTGGTAGCAGCGGCTGCGGCCTTGTGTTGGAAATCTGTCATCAACATGGCTGCGGTTTCAAGGTCGACCATACCGTCACTGCTTGCCTCGATTTGCTCTAATGTGGCGGGATCAATTGTGATTGAGGGTTTGGATGGAGCAGGTGCAGGGGAGGACTTCTGAACACCTGCGCCACCACGCCGACGTCCCTCAGCAACAAGCGGTATCCCCCCATTTTTGGCGTGAACAGTACGGTCATGGCGGAGGAGGAGATCTCGACGAACAAAAGTATTCCGACATTTTAAGCATTTGAAGGGTCTTTTTTTGGTATCTACAGAAACAAAACAGTGAGTGGGGCTCACGGAAAAGTCGGAAGAGTTCGAAAGGTAAAAAAAAAAAAAAAAAAAAAAAAAAAAAAAAAAACAAAAGGGAGAGAGCGAGAGAGCAGACGAAGGGAATCGACGCGAGCCGTTTCCCCCACATGCGAACGATGGGACCGGGTCCAGACGGATGAACTGATGAACTTACGTGAGCGTTCATGTCTACTGCGATGTTCACTTCTGCTGAATGCGCGATTGCAGAATTGGCATTTGTATTTCTTCTCTGGGGCGGATGTCTTCTTGGCCGGCGGGTTGCTGGCCTGGCTGGGAGCTGCTGGAGCCATGTCGGTAGAGACGATGCAGCCAAAAAAAAAAGCAAGACGGGTTCTTTCTCAGCAAACGGACAGGGGCGAGGAAGACTGCGGTATCGTCCCTTTTGTGAGTTCGCACCGGTTCTGTAGGCGGGTTGACGATAAATAATCGAGTTGATGTCTGATCATTCCTTGGGTGGGGGGAAATGGTTGATGCGAAAGTTGATTTCGAAGTTGGGAAAGTGGAGGGGGGGGGGTCCAGCCACAGGCGGACGATGATGGTGTGAGGGGGAGTCGGAGGTTGAGGGGTCTCTGGGAGGATGAGAAGGACCGAAAATGAGATGAGAGAGAAGAAAGAGACGGTTGATGCACACAACCGTAAAGAAGATGATGTTGAATGATGGAAGGAAAAGTAGAGGATGAAGATAGAAAGAAAGAGAGAGAGAGAGAGAGGAGAGGAGGAGGGAGGGAGAGGGTGAGGGAGGAGGGGGGGCAGAAGATGTTGAATGGAGGAGAGGAGGGAAAAAAAAAGAGGAAGAGGAAATAATAAGAAGAATGACCACGAAGAAGAGAGGACGAGGAAGAAGTGGGAATAATAATAATAATGGTGATAATAATAATAATTATAATAATAACAATAATAATAATGAAAATAATTAATTTTAATTAATTACTTAAATAATTCAGTGTTATTATTTTTTCTCTGATGGAAAAAAGAGAGAGGAAAAGGTGCTGAGTCTGGCTTTCTGAAGGGGGGGGAGAGCGAGGGGTGTGTGATTAGTGGGTAGGTAGGAGGGATGAAGGGGAGGGCAATAAGCCAGGAGAGTGCGTGTGTGCAAGAATGCCGATGGGTGATTGTTTGGGCGATCGCTGGATCGTGAATAGTGAGGCGGGTCGCGGGGGACTTGTTGGCGATTCTTGGGCGACAAACCGGATTGCCAGCAAGCAGGCAGTGAACCTGGTCAGTTGTCGGGGCTCAGAACTCAAGGTTTAGTGTCTGGTCACCCACGCACTGGGATTCCTGTTGCCACTGCCGGATTCCGCGTCGGCCAATGAGAACCCTAGGAAGGCTGATATTCTGACTTCCGGCATGACTAAACTAGACGCTACTCGGTTAGCGTCTGGAACCAACTACCTGACCTACCTACCTACCTTCGGTAAACTAACTACGACACGTCCTGCGTGTTTCTTGTATTTTGAATACAAACAAACTTACCCCATTCTGGACTGGGCCAACTTCCATGACGCGCGATGTGACCGATAGGCCTGTCACCATTCACCAACTGTCCTTCCATATTTCATCGCCTTACGAATTACGGAGTCCCTACTACTCCGTAGTCCCATAACGGCAAGCAATGGTTAAGGACTGGCCTAAAGTGCAAACCCGTCAATCCGGTTCGATCTTCTCTTCTCTCTCAAGTCATGGCGGGTTTCCAAGTCCGAGAAACAACGTCGTTAACTGGACAGTTGGTCGAATTGCTGTGATCCATGTTGACGTGAGGAAGTCAACCAGTATCCACTACTGTAGACTATCTAGTAGGTAGTAACTCATCATGAACCAGCCCACGAACCAGCTCACTTCAAGGACTCCAGACTCAAACAATTGGGAGTGACAATCTACTCGAAGATGGAAATTGGGCAGCATACGCTCGCATTGCAGCATGAACCCGACAAGCATACATACCGAAGATTCCACAGAAGAAGAGAGGAACACTTCCATACAGAATGATCGGTGACATTCCCCTTATCTACTAAGGATCAACTTTGCTCTACTAGGGTGAACCATTGGTTGATATATCATCCCTGGCTGGGCCCCTTCTTTAGATGCCTCAACTTCTGCAAGATCTATCGGCATCCTTGACACTGGGTGTAGATATTCGATATGCAGCAGGAAAAAAAAAAAAAGATAGGGAGAGAGAGATATATACTATTATCTAGAAATGGGATGAATGAACTCCATGTCCATTACCTAATATTGCTGTAGACTGTACCTACACTGTACGGAGTAGGTAGTGTGAAGATGGTAAGCCATGTAACCATATTACCATGGGTTAGGTACAAGTGGGGTACAACTCACTCCGTAGAATCACCATCGCTCGATCTGTATCTTTGGGTAGATAGACTACTCTGTAGATACTTGGACACTTGACAACTATCGTCTATCGTCTATCGCTAATCTCTATCGTTATCCCTAAATCTAATTATGACTATTCTCGAGGCAATCTTGGTCATGTTACACTTGACTACAATTATACACTGCGGGGGAACTATATCCAAGGTGGTGGACTGGGTCCAGAATATACCTAGACATCAAACATCATCGATGTTGTCCATAAGGAGCAGGCCAAACTCAGTGATAATCACACGCACCTCCGGGCTAAGTACTGTGTAGAAGTAAGTCCTATGTAACTCCTAACTCCTAACAGTGGGAGTAGTAGTAGTAGTAGTAAGTTAGTAAGTTAGTAACAGCCTAACAGGCCGGAAGCCGAAGAAGTCCCCCTCGTCAAAAGAACTCCCAAAGAGGAACCCCCCCCCTTGGCCCCTCTTCCAACAAGGATTCGCCGAATGCCACGGGAGCAGTCTGTCTCAGTTTGGCCAGCATTATTATTCATGTTTTTGCTCCCTTCATTATTTCCACCACCACGGATTCCTCCAGAGTCCCGACATCTAGATACCTTTTTACAGGCTAGAATTGTAAGGAGGAAATAAATACTTTAAAAAAATTAGAGATCAAAAAATCTAAAATGGTTGCATGCAAAGGGCATTCTTCAACCACTCATTTTCGATCGCTGTTGGCTTTTCTTCTCTCCCTATCATTTTCTTCTTTTTTTTTTTTTCCTTGCTATGGTCGCGGATCCCTTCTGGATTCCGCCAAAGGGGGGGGAGAACAAAAGACAGCCCCGAAGGAAGAGTAAGACAAGACAGACACCCCTCCAACCCGCCACTTGGTAATCAAATGATTAAAATACTCATATTAATTACCGTAGGAGCTAGTAGTTACCCCTCGGTCCCCTCCTGTCCCTCTTTTCCCCCCTCTCCCCCCCCATGATGCTTATTGTGTGGCCTGTTAAACCCCTCCCTGTAGTCCATGGTTGTCCCCCGGTGTTACCAACCCTTAGGCAGTCCACCCCCGTAACGTAATGGTAAGGTAACCTAGCCTGGGTAAGCTGACAAGGTCCTTCATCTCTATACAATATACACCTGATAGTGACAGTGTTAGCACTTAGCAACCTGGGGTCTAATAATCTCGATATTGATCATCATGACAATGATGGCAATAATTATAAACATAATAGAACTAATAATAATACTAAAGGATAATAATGCTGATTGATCATTGATGCATAGTTCGTCTAGTTTGTTGATCCCTATTCAACTGCGCTGACTCTGGTTCGAGCCCCTTGTCAGTCACTATGACGAGAGCCGAATCACGATCATACGGGCATTTTTCAGACCCCAAATATGAAGAGTTCAACATCAACTGGATACGATCAGATCAGGACCGTGTCCCTTCTGGTCACTGGGGGACCACCGCACGCACATGGCTAGTTAGATCATTGTAGAGTGTGGGCACTGAGAGAGCGCCACTGCCTGCCCACCGGCACTATCTACTTTATCCACCGCAAGGGCGGATAACTATCTATCTATATATTTCCTTGGGAGCTGATACATAGAACCGACCACTTTTTTCGACTGAGGATGAAGATCCCATCCCACGCGCTAACCCAGCTATCGTCTCATCTGGAATATCTACCGGATTTGTCCCTCCCCACGACCGTGTCGAAGTGTGAGGCAAGTGAGCAAGCACTGCACCGTCAGGGCGGATTTTTTTCCTCTTTCGCATACATCTCCCAGGTCACCTGCCCACTGCACCAGACAGCCAACGTAGCAGAAAACCACACGTTGCATCAGGCAAATATAGAAACAGCCTACCACCCCCGTAAGGAGTATACTGTCTGCTTGGGTGTTTTCCTCTTGGGTTACGAGCTCATAGTCGTCTCCGTACAGACAACGGCAGCCTCGCAGTGGCAGATTGGCAGCTCTACTTGCTGCCAGACCATGTCTTTCTCTTCTTCTTCCAGTTTTACAAATTACTACCAGGGCCATCCATGCATGCAAATCTACCTTGCGAGAATGCCAGAACTCATACGGAGTACAGCGTAGGAACAAAAGCATCAAGTGTTTGGTCTTTGAAAGCATCCAGTACATAGGAAAACCTCGCCCCTTATCAACCACGACTCGCTCAGCTGCAGCCTGCAAGACTGCATCATCTAAGGGTGGTGTATGCTAAAAGTCTGGCTAAATTGTTGAAAATGTCAAATGACAATTATCACATAAAAGAGGTAGATACCACCTTATAACCAATGGGAGAGTAGTATTTCAAAATTTAACTAATCAGGTTATATAGATATCTCGGGCTGTCACCTAATTTCAGTAGTCAACTAGAATTGAATAACCTTTAGCTTAAAGAGGAACCTTAGAGATCATTCAGACCTAAATATTCCATGTTCATATGAGCATACAGGTTGAGAAGCCTGAGATAGAGAGCTCTCAGCCTACTTAACTAGCAGAGCCACCACAGGCGCTTAGAAAACAGCCTTAAGAAGCCTAAAATTAAATTCTACACCTAAATTTTAACTATATTCACTGTCTCCTAGGTTTAAATAGCTTCAAAATCCATCACTTTTTATATATTCTTCTTCTGTTATGGGGGGGGGGGTTAGTTAACTAGTAGTATGTCATACCTTCCTGATTTTACTAGTAAAATTTAACTTTTCTGACAAAATATTACCTTATCAGAAAAACAGTCAAAATAACACGTCATTTTTCTCATTTTGACATTTTGATTACCACCCCTAGCATCGTCTCATAGGCACTGCACCCAGGCCGATGATGCATCGATAAATCGAATCTCACGCCAACTTTTTCCTATCTGCATAAGCGGCATGGGGTCGGCGGCGCCGGGGCGGATATCATCAAACTGTGGCTGCCTGTCGAACGCTCGAAGCTAACTACTACTGTATAAGTAGATA